CTGCTGCTGCAACAACTCGATCTGCTGCTGAATAGCGAGTTGCTCCACTAGAAACAAAGCAACGTAGTTAGTATCAAGTATATTAAGAACAGCAGAGAAAGCTATGGTACAATGAATAGGACACGGAACGGAAGCAATGGACTTCTGAAGGTGAGGAGTGCAAACTTACTCCCAGGAGTTGTGAACATGCTCATCAGAGGGGTAAGCTCAGAAGGGCTCCTGCGATGAGCAATATGAAGGCGACGGCCAGTAGGTCCGGGGACACCCCCGGCCTGGGGAGCGGGCTGTTGCTGCTCCATGTCGGGCTATCTAGGAAGCGAAGTTGCACGTCGAGTGCGAACAATGCTGCTAAGAGGTAGCTGAGGTGTTTAGATGATAATTGAGGCGAGGGCCAGTACTGGTTTGGAGCTTAAGCTGCTTGGCAGTTGACAAAACTTGATAGTGGTTACGTTCTTTAATGGTGATTGCGTGGACTTTTGCGACTAACAAAAGGAGGGTAAATGAGAGGATTGAACAAGGCTGCAGTGATGCTGTGTGCGTCAGAATCCCGTAGAGAAGGAATGTGAAGATGTGTTGAGAGAAGGTAAATGAAGCGGTGCAAAGATAAGGGAGAGAGACAAGACGAGAGATGGTGATGGAGATGAAAGTTGGGAAGCTTTGGAGTTTTTGGGAAGATCACTCTCCAATGGCCACCTGGGATACGGGGAAGAGGATGTGAGGTCAGGACTAAAGCGAAGACGGGCAAAATGGGGCAGTAAGTCTTGGCAGGCCAGGCTTTTAGCTGGGTTGGGGAACTTCTGATTGGTTAAAGGTTTCATAATGTGGTAAGAGGTACGAATGTACTGATACTAACGAAGTAACGAGAGGTAGGCTTGCCCCTGCTGTAAGTCTAGAGTTTGTACTACGGACAGAGCCAGTGTGCTAGGTTGCCCTAGGCATACCTAAGTTTAGGTACATATCTACTTAGCTACCTATATACGTAGGTAGGTACATGTACATACAAAGCAACAGACAGTCTAGGTGGCCCCAGCCCAAGCTTAGATCAGAATAGATAACTAACCTACATACGTACATACTTGTCCTTGCTTTGCGCTTTACGATATTTGGCCACTGTTCCGTTGTTTGAAGATTCATTGCGTGTGCTTGGTTTGCATATCAGGTGAAAACTATTGGAAACATACCTCAATGAGAATCAATAAGAATATAAAGCACGAGTATGCATATGGGAACACGGTGTATGCAACTAAGTACTGTACTTGATCTCAAAATATCCCTACCTGTTAAGCTCAGAACCCATGTGACTTCATGAAAGAACGCAAAGGACGCGTACCTACATGTAACTTGAAGTTACCTTCAATTGGGAACTTTGGCGCTACGTGCTGAGAGGTTATCTGGCAAGAAGATATGTGGGATGAAATTGGAAGGGAAGGCAGGATTACTCGATACGAATTACAATGCAGGTAAAGATAGTAGCATTGGAAGCGGCAGTCTCTTGGCTTAGAGCCTTCCTTCAACTACGAATTGGGTAAAGAATTACATATAGGATTAGTAGACCATCGTCATTAAGAGAGGTAAATGATGGGTTGACACCTGGGCATTTGAAGTAAATATACAAATATATAGCACCTATAGTAAGCTGGGGCAAAAAGAGCTAGGGTTCATAGGGTTCATAGAGGGGTCTCGGGAAGCTTCGCACAATAAGTAAACTATGTACCTAGTCAGGTATTAATATGTAGCTATAACATGAGGTAGCTATAATATGCAGGCGCATATTTATTGATATGTTAGGTAAGTTTAACGATGACTTGATATATCAATCTACATATATTTTATCTTGTTGAGGGTCAAATCTATTTCTTGATGAGACTCTAAGCAGGGAAACCCTGATCTCAAGTGAACCCTAATAAATTGGATGCATATTATCATTCAGATAGTACCCAGCCAGTACTACGTGAGTAGCCCACCTACCCACTTATAAGGGCCACTTAACTTAACCTATTAGTATACTAAATCAACTTCGAACTTGCACCAGCACAAGTCTGACGAAGGGATGATATTAGAACTCCACAGGAGGTCCTTAGTTCCCTAATTCTCCTCTAACAAGAACACTTTACACTGCACGATACAGCTTGAACTAAGAGAAAATCGAAGCATTCAACGGCAAACAGCGTTGCAAACCGCTATGATGTTTGATAATACTAAAAGAAACCCGATAGTGGATCTCGTTCCTTCATCATCATCATCACCACCAGCATCATCGTCACCATCATACATATAGATGTGCTCGCAACTTGTTCCAATTACCGTAAAAATTGCAGGAATACATGGTGCTAAAATAGAAAAACAGCAAATATCCCACGTGAGTCCTTACGACTTTAGGTTTTCCTGATATGTACTTAGAATATATAGGTAATAGTATAGAAGAAAATATTTCTCCATTAGAGAAGTATTAGATGAGTTTTCTAAGAAGTCATATTGCTTACTCTTTGAATAGATAGTTTTCTTGAATTAGGTAGTCAATAAGTTGATAGGAAGCTTGAATGGAAGCGCCCTCCAACGCTGCTTACCTAATGTTAGCTACCTCATGTACCTATGTACACAGGAACTGCATGACCACGCCGCCATGTAGCCCGCGCACAGGTAATTAGGTCAGCCACGCCTGCATTCAAAGGTAAGTGGGACCTTCCATAGGTTGTACCTATCTGAGTAACCTTATTAAGTAAGCAGATCAGCGCGTACCTTAGTGTTTTCCTAACCTTCCTATCGATAGCTTGAATTGGTCTTCATATTACACCGTTCACATCATTGATCCTTGCGATCCTCGACCTCGTTTTTATTCTTCACAATCAAGCAATGTAAATACGCGGTCGCTCTTTTACATATACCTACCTATACAATTGAAACTGAAGCCTCATACTTTGACTTTCTTAGGTACTTAATCCCACCAGTTCAATATCATCATCCAATCGGCCTACTGATCTTTAACGCAGTACTTTAACTGCTGTCGCGCGCCACGATCACCTCGCAAAATCCGCAATGCTGTAGTACGGCTCGGTAAATGCAATGGCTGGTTCTTCGCCCGCTGCCCGTACATCACAGCAATGGTCCACCCCTGACCGTCCTCGCATGTCCAGTATATCGTGTATCCTCAGTGAAAGTCGTAACACGGCAACCAGCCATCAGGATGCTCTCGCACGAGCTCAAGCCGAGCACGATCGTGTTCGTGAGGCTGCCATCAGGGTTTACCACGATCACGAATTGCAGGAGGAACAGAAAAGGTTGTTAGAGCAACAAAAAAGGATACTAGAACAGCAAAAGCTAGAGGAAGAGCGAATCCGAGCTGAGGAACGGCTGAGGGCCGAGGAAGAGCGCCTAAGAGCTTTGAAGGCCAAAACGGTTCCTAAGCTGCCACCAGAACCACCAACACCTATTGTCCACACAAATGGGGCCGCTGCTGCACCGGCCCAAATCAAAGCTACCCCAACGACAGCGAATTCAGGGGTATTATCCAGCTCAAAGTCTCCCCCATTCGGTGTTCAGCAGCCTGCCTTGACCAATGGGTTAAGCGGACATGCCAATGGCACATTGCAGCCACATCCATTACAGCCATTTGGTCAACCTAAAACTATACCTCAGGGTCAATCATTGAGCGGCCCGTCACCATTTACACAGCCGACAAATGCAATTTTACAGCCCAATGGTTTGTCAGCTGCAGCTCCTGCAAAACCCCCTGTCGCTATCAATGTAGATCGATATGTCGAAATTCATAAGAACCTCAAAAAGCTACGGGCATCCTTGTTGCAGCAATCTAAGTTGTCTCCTCCCTTGAAGAAGCGGATGGGAGATATGCGACGAGAACTAAGAAAGAATATGGGCCAATTGGTAGGCGAAAAGGGCGGCAATAAGAAACAGGTTTGTTCCCCTTCGTTCTTTGATAAGGTTTAAACTAATTAGAAACTAGATAGCGGCTATTCAAGCACTGTTGGATGAATCGCTTAGGGGAACTGTACCAAGCGAATTAGTCGACCCGTCCGATTATATCACGGACAGAAGAGAGCCAGCCGAAGGTGCATTGCACAACGAGCCACGGCTTCCGTCCCTATTTCTCTACCTTCTAAACCATTTCTCCAAAGCTGTTATCAACCAGTTTATCAATGAATGTGGAGCACAGCCCAAAACCGCTGATCCTATCGGCGTTATTGTTGCCATGATTTTCTCCAAGGACCTCTACTTGTGGAGGGGGAAGACTTTGATCGATATCTTAATGGCAAAGCTACGCGTGGTCTGCCCCGTTCTCTTTGGATATCGCGGCAGCGAGAAGACAGAAAACGGTCGTCTTCGCCTAGGTTGGAAGAAGACAGAAACTGGATGGGCACCCGAGCAGCAGCATAGCGACCGAATGAAGGGCTTGGGGGCTGGATACGCCGCCATTGCGCTGAGGAACTTCTCAAGTTCGAAGAACACCAACCCATGGCCCCCGTCGAAGTACTGGGCTAGCATTGCGCGGATAGTGAACACTCCACCAGCCGAAATCACGAATACGCAATGCGTTGTTCTTAGAGCTATGATCGAGGCTAGCGAGGAGAAGTTCATTCAATTCTACGGAAATGCAGCGATAGCCGCATTGAGGAAAGCGTTGGTGGAATTCCCTGCGAAAGCCGTAGAGAAGTCACCTGGCGTTTCGGGATTGCAGGTTCTAGCACAGATTTTAAAGCGGGATATAGGCCTAGAATTATGAGCTGCCTATACAGTATTCAAAAGGAATGGTTCGGTGTTGGTGTAGAAGGCGGTCAATCGGTTTTTTTCTACGGCGTTCGAGGAGTTAGCACGTCAATTAGCATAAGAAGGCGTCCAGAAACACCTCGTATAGATACTGCCTCTTCTAGAGTCTTTGAATATACCCAGCGGAGGTGGTCAGGATATTCGCTCTATTACTAACATTGAATAACTGGTCCTCAAATGAAATTATAGTGAACCTTGCCTGTGTCCATGCCAAACGCCTATAACACTAATAGTAGTACCAGCAGTATAATCAAAACCATAATGAGGACCGCGATACAACAGCTACTATACCGATCCTCGTTTTTCCTCATGACGTACCCTAGCTTCTGCATGCCCGTCTGCAGACGGCTGCCGACGCGGTCCGCCAAGGTATCCACCGTCTCGAGCATCTCAACCTGCTCCTCAAGCTCCCGGCCCATGTCATCAGCCTGTCTCCTTAGATTCCCTACTGTAACAAAAACACCGTCTAGCTGCTCGTCCTGATCGCGCATCATCTGTAACTGTTGACGGTGCTCGAACTCGGCATAGTTATCCTCGGCCCCCTCTCCCCCCTCATCGATAGCAAACGCGCTCGGCGGTGGTAGGTCCCCATTGGCCGCTGCCCTAGCTGCGCGCCCTGCGGCAGATGGTGTCTTGGGGCCCGACGCTGTTGTTGCGGTTTTGCTTAGCTCCTCGCGCATATCCTCTACCTCGCCCCCAACTTCCTGTACGAGCCGCTTGCGCCTCGTCACCTCGTGGGCAGACAGCCCATATCGCTCTGGATCCGACTCGGCCGCTTGCACGGATTCTACCAGGTCGGCGAGATCCTCGGCTAATGTCGCAAGAGCCTGTTCGAGGTCTGATCGCGCGGATGCGAGCTCGGGCGAAGTCGAACTGCTCGTTAGGCTGCGTATGCGCAGGTATGAGGCGAAGAGCGGGCGAACCGTCTGCATTTGTGAAAGGACATCCCTATATAGACAATCGCGTCAGCTATGTACCTATACTCACCCGAAAAGGAGGGAGTGTGGAATGGGAATGGGAATGGGAGCTTACGCACTGTTGGACTTGGAGGAACGGGTCCTCCTCATTTGTTGAGGACATCATCCTGGGGGCTCTATTATATGCCGCTGCATCTATTGGCTACGTCTACATCTGTGGCGGAGGGTCTTGTGTTATAAGAAATTCGACATTTAAAGCTCAAAAGGAAGTATATTGTTGGATTTTGTTAGGTTAGTATAAGGGGAGCCGCGAACGACGCAGCTAGGATCAAATGACGTGGTATTGTCTTTTTAGATTGACGGGAAGAATTGGCAGGTGTCAGACAGTGTCGGACAACTGTTAGTGCAACCACCGGAAATTCCTAACATAACCTAAATTTTTGCCAAATATAATAAAAATATTATAAATCACTAACAACTCAAAAACTCACATTATTCAGGTTCGTATTATTTAGTCCTTTACTTTCATGTTGTACGCCCACTTTCGTTTATGAATACGACATATATATATATATAAGCATGAGGCCTACTAAGCCCTTGCCGTACCCAGATTGCTGGGAAAGCACCGAAGACTATGTCGAACAACTCTTAGAGTTTGCGACTGCATCTGACTTCTTCCAAATTTTATGCGGAGGTGTACACATTTTAGACTTCTTCACCAACGACCCGGGGCTCTTTCAGACGGTGATACCGTCGGATTGGCAATCATATATCCTACAATGTGAGCCTATGAAGTTCCTGGACCTCTTAATGAGGGATGACCTAGATGATGTTCTAGACCCTCAACCACCAGAGAGCTTGATGAAGTATATAAAAGATATAAGGCGGTTGTCATTAGCGCGCAAGTTTTCTCCAAAGGAGGAGAAACTCCCGAAGTTGACACGCATGGTATCGGCGGGAATGAAGCCGAAGAAAATCCACGAAGTGAGCCACTTCGCAAATTACGTGGACACGCTTGCTAAGGGAATTGCTACTGAATACCGTAAGGAGATCACTCATTTTGTCGACTTCGGCAGCGGTCAGAATTATCTAGGAAGGGCATTAGCAACCCCTCCTTATAACAAACAAATTGTAGCTGTGGAGGGTAGGGAGCACAACATCATTGGTGCTAAAAGGCTTGATATGCATGCAGGTGTTTCTGAAAAGCAGAAGGTCATACGAAACAAGAAACTTTGGATGCAGAAGCTAGACAGTATGGTTCCCGGAAATCAGCTCGATGAAAGGGCTTTAAAAAGGGCCACTAACCCTATAAAATTTTCGGCTGATTATGTGCCTGATTTCAGGCCTCCAAGTGAGTTGGAGGCCATCTATACGCTCGAGGAGGGTAAAGGCTTCATACGTTACGTCGAGGGGAGGCTCGAGTCGGGAGATTTAACAGACGTCGTCAACCAACTTAAACAGGAGCCTCTTGTCGGTGAGAAAGGACAAGGCGATCCTAACTTAATGGCAATTTCCATTCATTCTTGTGGAAACCTATCTCATCACGGCATACGGTCTTTAATACTCAACCCGCGAGTCCAAGCCATTGCCATTGTTGGCTGCTGTTACAATCTTATGACGGAGAAGCTAGGCCCGCCCACGTACAAGCTCTCGTATATGAGACCAAGTCTTCAAGCCCTTAACGGTCGTGTGGCCAGAGAATCCGAAAGGCGTGACCCCCAAGGGTTCCCAATGAGCGATCGCCTTTGTAATTACAAAGATGTAGGAGTCCGTCTTAATATCACGGCTCGGATGATGGCTTGTCAAGCACCACAGAACTGGACTGAAGCTGAGAGCGATGCCTTTTTCACTAGACACTTCTACCGCGCTGTCCTACAGAAGATTTTTCTCGACAAGGGTGTTATCACTAAGATTCGGCATAACGATGACCTTACGGACGGTGATCAGAGTCCGTTTAACACAAGTACCAACCCGGTCATCATCGGTTCTCTCCGGAAGTCGTGCTACAAAACCTTCGGGGCATACGTAAGAGGAGCGATCAGTAAGCTGACTACTAATTCAGAGTACCACGAGTACAGCAACATAATTAAGGAGAAGATGATTGACATCACGGATGAAGAGATCGCGAGATACGAAGTATCATACGGGCCGCGCAAGCGAGAACTCAGTGCCGTCTGGAGTCTAATGGCATTCAGCGCTAATGTCACCGAGTCCTTAATAGTGACCGACAGGTGGCTATTCCTACGACAACATTCCGACTTAGTACAAGACTGTTGGGTAGAAACCGTATTTGACTACCGTGAAAGCCCTCGGAACCTGGTTGTAGTTGGTGTCAAAGGCCCAAACTCATGTCAACTAGGTTCTTAACTTCGGTCTTCACCGAGCCGCGGCAACGCAAATATTAACAATCAGATACAATCAGATCGCACTTAACTGTCGTCACGATCCGGGCACTTGCAGATTCCGCGTCAACTGGACCAGTTGTCTATGGTCAGCCCCGCTAGACCTGTTTTCTGGGTAGCTTGGAGGTCGCTTTTCGCGGTAACTATGCAAACCGGAACGATAATTGGACAGAAATTAAAACTATGTCATGCATGAACCTGCATCGGTGGGCCGCGGTAAATTTGCCTATCTACAGATTGCATCGATCGGTCAAGCCAGTCCTAGACAGAGGAAGTTTGCCTCGATCCAAGGCAGCTCGGAAAAGCGCATCGTGCCGAGAAATCACAATCGGACTTCTCGCCGTGAGAGGTCCGGATAGCTCGACTATTAAGTTCTGAATAGCGAGCCAAACACAAGCTTACTATTTGGAAACCCCTGTCTCTCGATGACGGCCTAATGCTACGCAATCCCCACGCGTGCCTGCAGACTACTCTCAACGCAATTAATTCTACCGAATGCCCCATCTCCAAGCTCTCCATCATCGTCGGTTAGAGATGGCAGTTTCCCGTCAAGGAGCTTGATGGCTGCCTGATACGGGAAATTCTCTAGCTAAGCTAGTTGGTGGCGTCCGAGCTGTGGGCCGTACGAGGTTCAATGCGGTCTAGTTTCATCATTCATGACGACAGTTATGTCTAAATTCATCTATCTTAGATCTTGTCAGGCCACCTAGCTAGTTCTTATTCGCCTTACCTGTCACAACCTCGCGGGGAATACCCGTGACCCAAAAACGATTCGATCATGGCTCCTGACGAGTGACTGGTGCCATCATAAGCACGGTATTTTACGATTGATTATGTATGGCACGATGGCGGTAGGAACGCGAGTGGATATAGTGGGAGGAAGGATATTTCGTGGGGTTGTCACGGACGAATATGATGGGTCGAGATTGTGCTTGAGACATGGTTACACTCGGCTCTGATTGAGAACCCTAGAATCGGATCGAGCTAGTCCAATTCTGAGGCGGGAAGAGGAAACGTGCTAATTGAATTAGGCACCTACATCTTATTCAGTAATGCAGTCAAAGAGGGCGGCTTATGAAAAAGCGGCATCTTTAGTCGAATATTCGACACCATATCACGCAAGTTATCCGTGATTAAAGTAAGCCAGTGAGACAAGCTATATCGATATTATACCTGCACCCGCCGTCTTGTTACGCCAACCTTAGACAAATGGCGTTACCATGTTACGTGCAGCAGTGGGTACAATAATTGGTGACAGGGTTGACGAGACTCTTTCGGCGGGCAGCTCGAGATAGGAAAATGCGGGGCAGCAAAGGGGTCCTCAAGGGTACCTCATCCCCAGCCTCTCGCTCATAGGCCGGACAGCTGCATCAACAACATATGCATTGGCGAGTAAATCTCCCCGACTCCAGGTACCGATGGATGGTCCTTTCGCCAAAGTCCGTATAGCTACCACCCAGGTTATTACATATATCCTACGACTCACTATCTATTCTCCTTCCTAGAGTTGCACTCTAGATAATGCACTCACCTGCATAGCATATCGTCTTCTACCTACCAGGTCGATAATCGATAATACCTGCTGTGGTACAATACATGGCTTCATCTAACGTGTCTGCAGTAGTATATTACTTCACTCCCTCAAGACTTACCTAGGTATAGCGAGTGAATGAGAGGCGCAGGTCGCCCCTCTCGGGAGACATCATCATGCAGAAGAGTAAAAACTCCTTGCAGGTAATCCTAGTAGGGTACATCTCCCGGTAATCCAAGACCCAAGCCTAAAGCTCCAAGCGCTCCCCCCACGCTAGACAGCGTTGCAAAGTTGCACCCGTTATATAGAGTCGTCCTGCAAGATTCTCCCAAATCCACTTAGCTCCTCCCAGCCGTCGACCACGCGCTCTAAGAGCTGATGTAGGATGGCGCCGTACGTAGATGATATGTCGAAGAGTGGCTGCATATGTTGCTCGGCCCCCTTCTGCACGCTTTTCATTTTAGCGGCTTGCCTTTTTGAGGTAGACGGCGTGCATACATAGTACGCGCATATGTTGTTAGTTTGTGTCTAGGAACCTCAAGCTAGGTTCAAGAAGCTACCTATGTATGTAAGAGGTAGGTATATGTATGTGCTAAGTAAATTACACCACCCTGAAAAATCTATAAGGTTCGGTACCCCTCGCCATTCACCTTAGTGGTCGAACTCGGTCTGCTGTAATATGATAAACAACGCCTTCTCGACGTTCCTAGTCGTCGAGGGTTTCGTTTCAACCCCCCTTACCTATAGAGATCCGCTCCTATCCACTGTTTGTAGCTGCGTCAACTTGCATCCGCTGGCGATAAAAACGAGTATCCACAGCGGCACCGAACCGCGCTTCCTATCAGTCCCGGTCCTGGAGACCGTGACGGGCGTCGATCCTTGTGGAATCCTACTATCAAGTGGTGTCATGTCACGCTATCTAAGTTACCCGACGAACTCGAAGCGTTAAAGAGACCCTCAAGAGGCACTCGCGAGGCCTTCTTTTTTTTTGTTTATTCTATCAACCAAACAGACAACTTATGTAGAGCTAGTCCCCTTACGAGGTCTAGTCTCCATAGTACCTCCGATTTACAGCCCTATCGCGGTTCCTATCTCTCGAAACCGGCCAATTATTTTCTTTCTTTATCTTGGCTCCTACCTAGGGTCGAAGTCTATCTTGTTGGCATTGTTTCTTTCGGCTTTTATTTCCCCTCCTCTTTACCTACGACTTTTGATGTTCTTTAATCTATTATTATCAATAAGGATCTTTTGTTGGGACCTAACCGAGAACTCGAAATTCAAGTCCAAGAGAGTCAATCCCACCAATCACAACACAATTCGAGCCGGATCTCCGTGATAGGCTTGACTCTATCCGTGCATTTTAGGGGTCCTCTGACCCCCGATCTTCGGGGTCAAAAGCTCTGGCCATTGGTTGCCATCTACGGCGTCACCAATACGACATCGTCATTATGAATGCTCAGATATCATTTCTCGTAAGCTCTCCCCTTAGTTCTTATCTTAGATTTATTATAAGATCGGATTTCTCGCCCGCAATGCGCCGGTAGACGATAATCACTATTATAATCGTCGCAAGGTCAAGTTACAAGCAATTCCCATGTGTAACACTAGCCAAGCCACGGTGACAGCCCATATTCTGGTATATCCTACGATGCATGCGACAAATGAGTCGCCGATGTCTCGTGATTATGCTAACTTGTATATCTCTAGGACGGGACATTTCGCCTAATACATATCCCCTTGCACCTGTACCCGAACTTCCTTCAACCAATATTACAGGTTCTTCTTCCTCAAGGTGATGATGATTCTCTTAGCAATGAGGCCGAAGGTCTTAGCATCGATAATAAGCATGGATTCCTTAACATAAGCATTACGCCTGTTGAATGTTCGGTTGTGTGTCATAGTAGTTGGGCCAAGAATGTTTTCGAACCGGTGATTAAGCGTCTACCGCCAAATATCTCTAAGACGGTTACGATTTCGAAGGATACTTATCTAATTCTCTCGGTAATAAGTGCCGGCATGGATGCTGGGAGTCGAGTGATGGACTTGACCTCACCCCTTGCGTTGGCGGGTGTGCCTATCTTTTTCATTACTACTTACTATTCGGACTTTATCCTGGTTCCTTGCAAAGATCGGCAAACGGTTGTGCAGGTACTTCTGGCCCGAAATTTCGAGTTTGATCAGGACGAGTCGGCCTACGTATCACCCAGCGCAATGTCTCATGTACGCGGGAGGAGTCAAGGTAGCGACCCGCCTTCGACGCCACCACCATCGACCGTGGCAGAATTACAAGTACGTACGTTTGAGTTATTGAAAAAGCGAAACGTCGTCCCGTATATCAGCCCTTACCTCAGCTTGGTGCAATGTTCCGGCAGGGATCTGTCTCGGTTAGTCGATTATAGCCGCCGTCCCGCTTTGAGTAGGCGTTTGAGCGGGAATGGACACCGAAGGAGTTGGCTCGATAACGTCGATACGAAATTATATACAAGCCTAATATCGGTTCTAGCCAAGCAACCCAGGTTCCTATCAATTACTTTAGCTCAGGAAGATCCACCGTCTTTACTACTTGATAGGGAATATCTGGGTGTTTTTGGGGACTCCATAGTCGGTGATACCGAAGGCGATCTGGTCCCTATCTTTCTCGACCTTGTCAATCTTCCTCTGGAGGCCACGGGCATCGTTTCAGGAGTTGCTGGAAAGCTTATTTCGGAGATGGGGATGGAAGAAACCGGTGTCAGCAGCGAACTCTCATATCTTTCCACTGCACAAGCCGGCGCCGTTATTCTATCAAGTAAACAGGCTATTAGGGCTCTTGAGGTTTTGAAACCTCTCCTCGCTAAAGATTAGGAGGAAGTATAATTGAATGAAAAGGGAAAAGAGTGATGTGTAGGATATTGGCAAGCATAATACGGAATCACGACGAGACGACATAATAGTTTCCTCACGCAAAAAAAACACGGCGTATTGGACAGAGCGGTTTGCATGGGCAGCATCTCGGGTCTTCATCATCATCATCATCATCATCAGCAGCAGCAGTTTTCGATTTCAAAATCATCTCGCCCCTCCATCGTTGCATTATTTCAACCGGTGTTTGGCGGTTCTTTTTTTCTCTCATGAAGGACAGAGGGAGCATACGAGTTAGGCGACACGCAAGGAGAGGAGGAAGATAAAAGTGAGCAAATATCTGATTCGGGCTACCTGGAATTACAGCACAGGCGACCGGTCTAATTGGTTATGGAAAAGAGTAAAAAGGAAATGTGTGTATCTGTTGTGGTTGAGAATATTGAGACATTCTCCTGATGCTAGTCTTACATAGATAGTATGGAGATGTCTTTAATAGTTTAGATCAACCAAAAGTTGCCCGTTTGAAATTAACAAACTGACTTATACGAGTGGCTATTTTTGTGGATGAGCAGTTGACATAAAGCTGCAGCAATAATAGTTAACTACCTACCTTACCTACCTATGTACCTACTAACCTAGCTCTTGCATTAAGTTACTTGGGACTTAAAGCTTAATCTTGCCTTTGTCATGTTAGAAGGTGTCACAACCCAGTATCTAATGAGAGACCCTGCATACCAAGGTACATTAGGTACACTACCTCATACACACCACACCACACCTAATCCTAGTCGTTTACTAATTGTATGCAAGACTTGCCAATTATGTCATAGTTACATGAGGTATGTAGGTAATCTGACCCTAATCTGACCCAGCCTTAACCTTTTGGCACGTTATCCGCTGCAGCACTAACTACTAAAACTACCTCTAATCTACTAATAACAGAGATCTGGTGACCCATTCAGCGGGGATCCCTTCAGATCCGCTACCCGTGCCAACATGTTTGCTAGCTTCCTTCTGATTGGATGCACCACGGACCAAGTACGCAATCGACTTGCTAAGTGGTGCTTACCGGCTTAACAATGAAGCTCGGCGTGCGTTTGACGAGAGAAAGGACGAGTCAGGATTCGGTTTACACGGGTGCTTGTCACCAGGACTTAGGGATTGAATGACTACCTCTACTACCTCTACCACCTCTGGGTAGGTCAGGTAGTCTAGGTTTTGTTGTCCTGGTAAGGCCGTGTTTACTAATATTTATAAGGGTTTCCGATGCGAAATCGAAAGTTTTATATTGTAATATTGGTAGCTGGGTATTAAGTATCCGCGCAGGAATAATACCGGGGCTTTACGATGCGGATTCTATCCTTTTTCGCCGTAGTATCCGTTGTCATCGGCCGGGGTTTCACGACATATCTCGATTTTAACGATGGGTCTCAGAAAGTACTTACGTCTGGTACGGCGGGGAGACTTCAAGATGGCTTCGATCTTAGTAGTATAGTCGCCAGCACCGGAGAAGATGCACAGAGTCCCGCATCGTGCGCGGCTTGCGAGGTAGGACTTTGCTCTTCTAGGTCGTATATAACTATATCCAAATACACTAACACAGCAGACAGGCAATCCTCTTACAGCTTAAGCTCATAGCTGCGGCAGGCGATAACTTCTTCATCCACTCCATGACGGAGCTCTGCCAGCGATTCCACGTACAGTCTCCTTCTCTCTCCTTTTCCTCCCTTTCCTCCTCCATAGTTACTCCCAGCTCGCTCACTAACTCCTCCATCCTTAGATCGAAGACGCAGACGTCTGCGCAGGCTCCATAGCTCTCGAGGGCCCCATCGTCGCGCATAGCTTGCGCGGTCTTGCCGTCGGCTCCCGGACGTCGCAGCTGGTGTGCGTAGCGCTCATGGGACTATGCCAACACCCCGAGGTCTTGCCGTATAACGTCTCATTTCCATCGCCGAGAGGGTTGACGGGTAGGCCGTCACCAAGTGGCTTGGAGCCGGTGCAGGTGGTACATTTCTCAGATATACATGTTGATCCGCTGTATGTCGAGGGTGCAAATGCGAATTGTACGAAGCCGATTTGCTGCAGGTAAGGTTGTCCCTAAACTTGGTTTATATCTACTATCGCCATAATATCCCTTTAAACCCACTCACTCACTCACTTACACTTCTATAGGGAATACACCGACGTTGACAAACCTGGTTTCAACGACTTTCCGGCCAAGCGATACGGTGAGCACAAATGCGACTCGCCCGCCAGCTTGGAAGACAGCATGTACACGGCGATCCAAGCCGTCGCACCTAACGCTGCCTTTGCCATTTTCACCGGTGACATCGTCGATCATGCCGTGTGGGATACGTCTGAGTCGCAGAACGCGTTAGGCATCGAGGACGCTTACGGACGTATGGCGCACGCCGGGTTACGCGTCTATGGCACGGCAGGAAATCACGAAGCTTCGCCCGCGAACTCGTTCCCGCCAACTCCGGCAAACAGCGACGATAATACCGACAATAACAGTAATGCCACGCAATGGTTATACGACCTACTCTCGGCGACTTGGTCCCGGTGGATCGGCCCACGGGCCGCGGCTACGACAAGGGAGTTTGGTGCATACTCGGTGCAGCACATTTCTAGTAGAGACGGCGTAGGGAAACTACGCGTGATCTCGCTCAGCACGAACATGTATTACGGGCATAACTATTGGCTGTACGAGGAGCCTATGCAGAGAGACCCGAGCGGACAGCTGGCATGGCTAGTAGGGGAGCTGGATGCCGCGGAGAAGGCGGGTGAGCGTGTGTATATTATAGGACATATGCCTATGGGGAGTCGGGATACATTCCATGATGGGTCGAATTATTTTGATCAGATTGTGCGGCGATATGAGGGGACTATCGCTGCTATGTTCTTTGGTATGATATTTACTCCTTTTTTTTTCTTACCTTATCAAGATATATGCTAACTTGACGCCAGGCCACACCCATTTCGACGAATTCGAACTCTCATACGCAGACAATTCGAACAAGTCTCACTCTAACGCACTGGTAACCTCCTATATCGCACCCTCCATGACCCCAATATCGGGACATCCCGCCTTCCGCGTCTACACCGTCGACCCCATCACATTCGGCGTACTGGACGCTACCACTTATATCGCCAACGTGAGCGATCCATCTTTCTCATCACCCACAGGGCCAAAATGGACAAAATATTATTCGGCGCGGGAGGCGTACGGGCCACTGATCGGAGCAACTAAAAAGTTGGAATCTGACACAGGACTAGAATTAGAAGAACTAACTCCCGCGTTCTGGCACAACGTCACCTCAGCCTTTGAGCGGAACGAAACGGCATTCGCGGAGTACTTTGCGCGGAGGCGTCGAGGATGGGAGGTAAAGAGTTGTGACGAAAAGTGTAGGGGCGCCGAGATATGCAAGATGCGGGCTGCGAGAGCCGAGGATAATTGTATACCACCTGGCCTGCGGTTGAACTATAACAAAAATATGGGCAATGGCCAAGGAGAGGAAGATGAGTGTGGAGACTCGATTATACGTGACACGCTGGAGAGCTTGGTTGGGGATGTAAATATGCTGAAGCTGCTTGGAGAGTTGGTGGTTGCGAGGGAGTTATTATAGGTGTAAACCTTTAGAATACCTAGATTAATAGTCTTTTTTTTTTGTATAGTTTAGGTACCTAATAAGGACAGCCAGGAACCTTCCGTCTACCTAATTCTCATTATTCAATTATTTGGTTTGGGAGTAATATCTGTACTTCACTATTGCTACCTAGTCTCTAAGTTTATGTGTCTTTTAATTAAAGAGAATTCCTATTTGAAACTTGATAAACAATGGTTTATGATGTTCGTAGTTGAACAATATAATGCTATCTGTACTCTGACAATCTCTGTGTTTATAGACTTTAGAGGGTGATAGGATCATAGACGAGACATCTGTAATAAATGACACCTCCAGTACACAGTAGTGGGCTTCCATAGTCAACCCAGAGTTCTTTACGGAACAATCAAGTTGTTCCCTTGCTTCTTGCTCCACCTCTGGGCAGAGAGGGTTGGAAGCCTCCCATACGAACTGTAACACCCGTTCCGACCGTTCAATAACGACGGCATTTTATGCCTTTTCCATGGTGAATGGTGAATATTGAACTGCATTAGACGGAACATGTATTACGTATAGTTTTTCCGAAGGGGAGAATCTTAAAAGTTAAAATTACTAGGAATTCCTCGTTAGTATGGATTATATTGATAATTGTGTCGCTATTTATGGTGGTGTTGGGGAAAAACGTACCTTTGAATGTGTCGGTTAAACTGCAACAGGGGGCCTAGTTTCTTGTTGGCCCCAGGGCGCCATACGAATTAAAATAGAGGATAGTCCGGGAATGATTTATGTAGATGTATACCGGGGTAGTAAAGAGTTTGAGTAAGGTGTTATTAGAATATATCCGCTGTTATCCGGGTCTCGTAGAAAGATTGAGTGTAGAGGTTGTCAAGTTTTACGTCTTCTTTTGACTCGGCTTTTGCGAGGGTCTACGTGACAATAAAGTAGACTTATGTGATTCCAGTCCTCGGGAGTGTTGAAGCCCACATTCTTTCTCGTTATCAAGCGCTTTACCGCGCTCCCGCACTTGCCTTAGGTCTACGTGATCAACTTTTCAAAATAGACAAGCTTGCTCGGTAGCGTTGCGAAATCATGTCTCTTAGACTGCTTAATTCCCATGGCCATAGGATTGGTTGAATAAGTTTGGGTTAGATTAGTTAGCGCAGGTTGAACTGATTCTCACTTTCGATATCAACCTGTGCTAAGCCGGATAGTTATTTGGGCCGATTATTGAGGTGATGGAAATAAAGGTAGGCGACGAGAAACATTAGTTAAAGATAGTTGTTAATATTAGAGGACCCCCCCCCCCCCCTTTTGTACTATTGGGTCGCTCTCGTCACTAATGTTGGGTGAGTTCGTATAGGTAGTGTAGTCCTTGTTGTAGGGACGATTTAGGCTTAGGTCGCGTAGAGGCGAATATATATATGCATAGTCGTAGCGAATAGTATAAGCTGCCTCGAAGGTTGGATGCGTCTGTTTATTGTAGGGAGTTAGTTGGGAATAATTTTAGGAATGCGTAAGCTGAAGAGCAGAGATGCCAGCACGCCAGTGGAAGCTTCCCTACCCCACACTGGAGTTGTTTACAACTGAGGCATCATAAGAATCTGGCAATATCTCGTAGGCCAGGAAGAATGTATAAGGTATTTGAGATAGAAAAGCTGTGTAGAGTGTAGAGTGTAGAGTGTGTAAAGTGTGCAGAGTGTATGGTGCAAAACAAACCAGCTGTAGTCACCTTTTCATCTGTGAAATAAAATAAAAACAACTTACTTTAGAATATTAATTAGAAGTAGTTTAAATAGTAGTTAGAATGATGAATAATGTAATGAGCTTATGGTAGTAAGAATGCAGTGGTGGTGGGTGGTGGGTTGTGGGCTGTGGGTTGAGGACTGAGTGTTGTGAGAAAGAATGTTGTTTAGGGTTAGGTTTAGAGATTGCAAGCTCGATTTCTAAGAAGCACAAACTAGTTTTAAATTTGAGATAGGAATCGCCGAGGTTGTTGGTACTACAAGTACTGCGTACTTACCCAGAGGTACCACATGAAGAAAGGGGGCGGCGATGACCAGTTGCTCTGTGCCTTGGGGAAGGACCCGCGTTGAATACATTACTCTGGGCTTCACAGAAGGATCAGCCTTAGTTCTTAAATCGATATCGTTTCCACTCTAGTAGTCTTCTTGGGAATATTAAGTGCTTTATAATTATAATAGGATCCCAGTATGCCACAAGGCATGACTAGAAGTTGTGCTGGCAAGGACGGCTGTTGTGTAAAAAGGAAAGTTACCCTGACGATGTGATTTCATAAAACGATTAGAAGGGTCTAGTAGAAAGATGAATTCATGTAGTCTAGAAAGAACGGTCGGCGTTATGGTATGAACGATTCGAAGATGGTAAAGACTTTATGAAGACGGAGGCTACTTCTGTCAGGTACAAGGCATGATGACTAGGCGTGCTGCGAGCTTACATAGAGATATAAAAGGTGAGCTTGTGATATAATACCATACGCAGATCAATAGACGGCAGGACCAAGGCGAGCTAGTAGATAATGCGTTCGCAGGTCTATTGACGTTTACTACCCCTGAACTAAGGGGCTAAAGGAGTTAAGGGTTCTGTTGATATAAACAGTAGCCTTTGTATATGTTGTACTTATTCGTCCAGTAATACATATTAATCTTCTAAGTATTCGTGAAAGATTTATCTTATAAGAATGTATAAGTTTGAAATCGGGGTTGTTGAAAAGTGAAAAACGTAGGATAAGCCAAACTGTCACTGTTCTTAATAACGGTACGACTATCAGTCGATATGCCTGAAAAGAACCTCCCTCGCGTTACAAGTTTAAAAGATTCAACCATACAGCTCTTGTGCATGCATAGACTCTATCTGTAAATGCATAGATCATTTATCCAGTTGCCAGCCCACTACGGCTTTCCCTGCCATACTTCACCCAGGAATTGTTTCATCTCTGTGAACTTGTAGTCCGGTAGTCGCTGATTCCACTCATCTGATATGTCCCAAGCACCCTTAGCACTACTCAGCAGCATACCTACGAGCACCTCTTTCAACATGTTTGCTGCCTCCTCATCCGCGACGCTGGGGTGGCGCGCCTCCAAATTCCACGATGCTGTTAGATTTCCGGCTTCGAGGTCTTCTAATTCGACTATATCAACCGTGAAAGAGCCTCCTATGATATTAAGTTAGCGACCCTAGACTTGTAAACGTCAGTAATCAGTAAAGACCACCCTACCTCGAACTTGCTCACCAATCTCGATAATTTTTGAGACAGGAAGGCTGTTACCCCTGATACCACCAATCAACGGCCATTCGCCTTCGAAGTCAACTGCTTGAGCTACGACCGCTGCTAAGTCTTGGACAGTGGTGTAGGTCATGATGGAATCATGCCCCTTAACGACAATAGCGCGTCGGTTATGAAGATCGATAAAGGCATTAAGTGGTGTCAAATGTTTAGAGGTCTTATGCGGGGTAGCAAGATAGTTCAAGAACAGGCCGGGCTGGAAGAGACAGTATTCTAGGACCTGTGTCGTGAAGGGTTAGAGTTAGCCCGCGACGAACCAGGGAAATTAGTTGTCCACTTACTTTTCCGTCCTCGTTTACCTTTTTCAAATACTCCTTAACCTCGTCTTTGCCCATCCACCAAGGCATCCCTGCGCCGCTACGACTAGCTATATGTCAGCCGGTTTTCACATATTCTTGATAATTCTATAAATAGGGTCAAATTCTTACCTTCCCCACTCACTCGGCGCAAAGCGCTTCACGCCAGCTATGACCGCGGCATCAATCAGATTCTTTTGCGCCTTGTTCCCTGGGTCCTGAAGGAGCTGAATGAAGGACAATACGGTGTCAATACCACGCAAAACTGTAACCAGTTCGTCTCTGTTTTCGTAATTGACCCGACGCCATGTAACGCCATGCCAGTTGCTGTCTTGAACTCCCACCTCCTATACCTTGGCTTAGAATGAAAGTTCATGACTTGATCCGAGTAGTATAATTATGGTACTAACCTTCCTACTCAAGATAGTAATGTCGTGTTTCTTAAGAGCCACTAAAGCATCAACGACCTCCCGAGCGACTTCTATAGACAGATTAGTATACCATAACCACTTCTCATACTGGGTTATCTTACCTCCTGAGCCACCAGCAATGACAATTTTAACCATCGTGTCTACAATACTGATATGAATGAAAATGTATCAGAACCGATGTTAGAAACTGATGTTGGAATGAGTCCATTGTTATATATGTACTAGATAATAGTACTTTGAAAGGATTCACGGGGAGATCTACGGCGCTTTCGAGTATCCCGTGGCGTTTTCGGGCATTTCCTTAACGGGATTGAATTGGCCAATAGGGTTCAACCTTTGGAGCCCGAAGTTTTAGGGGACCAGGACCTTACACCACTCCTTAGGGTGACGATTCAGTTTGAAATAAGAGGATAAGATAAATGTTCATATAAGGCCAACTATACATGAACCCAGAGGATAAATCGCCGTAAAGAGCGAAATGGTGCAAGTGGTAAGATTTAATGTAGTCATAAGAAGCATGAGAGGGTACACTTTAAAAGTGAATGAAAATTTAATGAATATACGCATTACTTTGTTAAATCAGGTATCTGAAATATCATTTAGAGCAGTACGTTCAGCTCTCAAATCTCTAATAGTCTTATCGTACTCGTTCCGAAGCCACGCTGCGATATATGTATAGAGGCTACCGGCCCCAGCAACTGACGACTCGTCCGAAAAATGTGAACTAAAAAGATCAATGAGGGCCGACATCTTGTTTAGCTCGCTTAGAACTAAGTGGTTTCTGATCGAAGCTTGCATTTTCTGGTCCTCGATGCCAAATGTTCCTAGCGTAGCCGGTACGTCAGTAACGACGAAACCTGTAGTTCGGGGCAATATTCGCAAGTTAGGAGAACGAGCGCCTGCCGCTTCGTCGGGCGCCGAAGATGAAGAAGTCGAAGGGGATATAGCATTGGTAGTATGAAATGTGTCGGCTGACTGAGGTTCTGGAGAGATGCTACAAAGCCATCCAGCAGCCTGCTGATACCATATTAAGATCCTAGAGATGATTGATGCATGAACCATAACTCTATGGCCAGACTTAGCGCAAGAACACTCTAAAAGGCCACTTAGTCGATCGATTGCCTTCCTATTGAAGTGAAGTACCTGGTCTAGCCGGGCCGTCACAGTATCCGAGTTAGTATTAGGAGCGTGAAGATCCGGAGCAGGACAGATCAGATCTGCAAAAATCTCATATGACTCCCGGGCGCAGCTATGAGACCCACGAGTATCTTGGACCCCGTGGATTCGAGTACCAACATCTGAGAAGTTAAATTGAGGCCACTGCTCAATGTCTAGAGAGTTGAATAGATGTAACCCCTCCAGCTGGTCATGGTTATAAGTGCTTGATAATGGAACGTCAGTGCTGCTTCCGGACGGCAATGTCTCATGTACTTGTCTTGGCTCTTCGAAGGCTAGATTTATAAAATTCTCTGTAGTTTCGGAATTGGGTCTTGCAGATAGCTTCCTTCTCGGTGCTCTACCGAGTTTGCGTGAGATGCCGTATATACAATCGATACCGAGGGTAACGCAACGACGGCATCTAGGTCGACTGCGATCGCATTTGACCTTAGCTGATCCACAAGAATCGCATGAGGATCGCACTTTTGGGTTTGTCATTTTTGGAGGTTGTGACGCGTTTGACAGTTCGTTCGATAATCCAGCCATCATTTTGTAGGTAGTATAATAGACTAGAGTTTACGAGGTCCCTCGTGGAAAGTGGAATATTTAATATGAAATAACTATAAGCCTTATTACGTGCTTGATATCTATATGGGTTCTCGCTATTCTCTTGTTGTCTATTTTGTTTCTTACTACGGAAAGATACGTATCGGGTCGACTTTTAGGGGGATCTTGGTTGAAGTCAAGGATCCTACTATATATAGAAACATAAACGGCTTATCATTGGTCAAGTAAGATTCCACTTACTGAACATGGATGACCTAAGCTACCTCACCTATGGTTCGGATCTGGGGTTTCAAACTTTTTTCTTCTCGAAATCATCAAACACCAAAGGCTTCTATACCATGTAGACATCATAATCATTTATATGCAAAAATGATAGTCACGCCGTGGATCGAACACGGAACCTTCTCGGGACTTTGCACACATCAATGTGAACGAGAAATCATAACCATTAGACCACGCGACTTCGCTTTCGAAGCTTCATTTATCAGACGCTTCGATATGATTGGTCGAGATTCGATTATTATAGTATATGTGTTGTGTCTACAGCTCCTTCTAGAGAATATCCAAGTTGCCATTGAGGTATGAACGAATTCTAGGCCTCACTAAGTGGACCCCCTCAAAAAAGTTATAGACTCCCATAGCATAAGAACAGCCCTAAAGGCTCCATATCGTAGAACCCTAAAGCAAACCCTACCTCCACACAGTTTCTTTACAGAGAGTGAATAAAAAGTAATTGACCACCCTGGGGCTCGAACCCAGAATCTCCTGATTGCTTTCGATCATGTTTTCTATGCTCGATCGTAGTCAGACGCCTTACCATTGGGCCAAGCGGCCTGTGGGGTTCTTCGTGAGGATGAAGACCCATTGCTTGATGGAGCAACTAACTGTACAACAGTGTTATATACCTGCTAGCCTCCTATGGTATATACAATAGCTACAAGCTCTCGCAGTAATCATCTGCTACTATAAATTCAGACTATTCATCAGCTTTGGTTTTGCTAGTAGGTGGTCTGGTGTGGACCAACGTAGAGCTGGTCCTTACTTACACTTGGGATGAACTTCAGAGTTTCAGTAGGCCCAACTTAGGATGTGATATTAACCAATAGGGGGGGATGTCCAAGACCATTATAGGTAAAGGCTCTATGCTTGATTGCTATCTTACACGCCTTTTTCTACTTATCCAGACTCCCTCTCCCTTCGCAGTTATGGTCCTCTTATATCCAGTCAAGATCACGATAAACGTGAATAATCCGGTACGCCATACGAGTCAATAATAAAAGCGAACCATTCGTTTACAGTTCCTAACGAACAATTACCTATACACCCCTATCACGACAGCATGTCCTAGTTTTACCCTTTACCTACTACCAGACAAGATAAGTATACGTGAAAACAACGTGTAGACAGGCGTGTCTTACTAGAAAAGCACTATCCCATCCCCACTCTAGCGAATGGTCCCACTAGAATCATTCTAGGATTAGGGATTACATTATCTAGTTAGCTCAACTTCGAACCCTCTTCCTCTACACAATTTTATAATACTAAACTCCAAGCCCGTCGTCACCCAACCGTGGTCCGGTCACCACCGGCCTGGTTTAGCTCAGCAGCCCGGTTAGCTCAATCGGTAGAGCGTGAGACTCTTAATCTCAAGGTTGCGGGTAAGTTGATCGTGAGATCTACTACATCTGCTACATCTAGCTAACATCTTCTGATAGGTTCGACCCCCGCATCGGGCTCAATTCCTGATGCTTCCTAGGTAACTGGGATAAGCAACCCCCTATTTTTATTTTTTTATTTTTTTTTCTGCCCTTATGGCTCCGTGATATTGAATTGTATACTGTCTGTAGTTATGGCAATATCGAAATGTTTTTTTCTTGTTCATTTGTCAAGATATTTCTTCAGCTAAGGCCGGCTGGTTAGTATCGAGTAACACTGTGGACGGAAATGTATAAATATCCCTTTACTTTAAACGTGTATAGAACAGCTTGCGTGTCTACCCAGGTATGGACATGGGTAACTATTCTCAAAGAGATAACTTTTATAAATAATATCATCGCCGCACATAAGGTGCTAACCCCCTGGGTACTAAATGAACATTGTCAATATCAAGCGCCTAACTTGTGTAGGTAGTAGCCCAACCCAATCTATCCCTTCTATCACACCTAAGTAATATACCATATACCATATCCCCCTTCCTGTATTCCCAAGTCTCTATATAACACGCATCATCTTACTCAACCCAGTAGTATGACGAAACTACTATGACTGAAGCCATGCTAAGATCAAGCCACCACGCCTTTTTTCTCAACGCCGTCTACTCCCTTTTCCTCTTCCCATAGCATCCCTCCGGCCTCCCTCAATAACCTTATACACTCGTCATTCTTAGCCCTCTGCGCCAGGAACATCGGCGTGTTATTCGCGCGGTTACGCGCGTGCACGCTCGCCCCCCTGACCAGGAATTCCTCTAATATCGCCGGTTCCGGTCCCAGTGCTGCGAGATGCACGGCCGTGTTGCCCATATAATCTGCATGCCGCAGTAACACCATCGGGCCCTCGCCTTCGTCGCGGTCTGCGGCTTCCAGAATCTCGATAGTAGCCTGAAGATTTCCCGTCGCGATTGTATATCCCAGTGCCGTGAACGCTACTTCTGGCCCAGTCAGACGCTCTGTCCACGATGTGTCTGGGTCGGCTGACGGGTGTGCGAAGGATGTTACTGCGGCGAGTTCGGTTAGTTCGCCGCGGATCGACCGGCTCATGCGCGCTGTTATTTCCGCTGCGTTAGCCCCATCGCCGCTAGGTCCGGGGAGTAGCGCGAGGAGGTACGAGAGCTTGGTGAGTGCGGCTTCGGAAGTAAGATCGTGGCCAAAGACTACGCCGGCACGACCGAGCGCGAACCCAGGTGCGTATAGCGGCGATACGAAGCCGTTGGTACATTGGCTAACGTTGACAATGATGATACCGCGTTGGACGGCTGCGGCAATGACTTTAGTTAGACTGCCGTCAACGCCCTCGGGTGCATTGCCCATCCCGAATGTTTCTAAGATTAACCCGCGTAGATGCGGCACTCGAAGCACCGAGTCCACCATCTCGGGCTTGATACCCGGAAAGATGCGCACGCACGCTACATGTGCAGTGTCCACGTACGAAGTGACGCGGAACTGTGCGATTTTAGTCGGTCGCCGTACGAGCGACCAGTTCACGTCGACGCCGAGACTAGTAACCTTGGCTAGAGGCGCGCAGTTGGGACTAGCGAAAGCATCAAACGAGGATGCGGAAACCTTGGTTGTGCGATTCCCGCGGAACAGTGTGTGGTGGAAGAATAAGCACACCTCGGGGATTGTGAAGGTGCCAGCTATGATGAGAGAGCCGAGTAAATTATCGACAGCGTCTGACTGGAGTGCAAAGATGGGGGCTTGAGAGCCGGTCAAGATTACCGGTTTACCTAGGTCTTCCTATATATAAATATTAGTGATGTCTAAAAAAACGCATAACTTTATTCAAGAAATCCATTCGAGCTATGGGGATAAGTTCGAAACTAGATTTCTCTACGTGTGGCATATCCACGTACCATCATAAAAGACAATGCCGAAGCCGTATAAGATAGAGAGTCGGTTCCATGGAGTACCACAAAGCCATCGAATAGGTGATAATTGGCTTTGATAGCCGCAGCGATCTGGGTCCAACCGATGCTGCTTATACTGGAAGAGTCTAGCAGCGGTGAGAATTCAAGAGCGCCATAGCGGATATGTCTCGAGTATGAACTCGGCGGTGTGCGTAAACTATCGATGGTAACCTTAACCCCATCCTTAACAGCGGTTAACGGGACTGTGTAAAGTTAGCCATATTTTATCTATCGTAGAAAGTAGCCGTTCTCGCGAATTTGATAATTATAGAATGATGTCGAAAAAAAAAAATAAAAGTCATATATCATAGAGCCTCAGACAAGAAAAGTCTCCTGGGTTATATGCTCAATAGACTTGCTTGTGACCTATAGTAGCCAGGCGACTATCTCTCCATCGTTTTAGCTCATCTCATATTGAACACCTAGTCAAAGATTTAAATCTTTACCAGTCGTAGCCTTAACTCCCATGCCTGATATAGGGTTATTATTATAACCGGAAATATAACATACCTCTTTCTGACATATCGTTAAACGATAGACGCGGTGCCATAGCATTATCTAGAAACCCATCGACAGGTACGAGGCCGCTTGCCGATGGCTGCATGCATATCGTGCCTCCGGTGATGATGATGAGTACTCTCGACTCGGGATATGTAGTAACTTCAGCATTGCCGCTTGCGACAGCTGTGATGCCCCCCATCGTCGCAAGTGAGCGGGTAGAAAAGATAGGTCGAGATATTTTTCTTTCCCTTGCTCTTATAAGTTATATATCCGCCTTCTTAGAGACGCCCGTTTAAGACGTGTCTGAGTCGCAGCGTCCCAAGTTGTCAATCAACCAGCGAGCCAACGACTAAACAATGAAGTTAATAGTTCTTATCGGAAAGAAAAGCCACGCCGTTCGTTATGCGGTGGCAATACCTAATACTCAACTTATAGTAAGTTATTTCACTTAACTTGGCGATCTTCACTTAAAGCTCTTCTTATAAATCCCAGTCTCGTCGGCCAAGATATAAGAAAATAACACCAAGAGCTATATCGGAACCCGGTCCCTGAAATTCGTAATACTCTTTTACGTCAAAGAAAGCGGGAAGAGGAAAAAATCGGTAAACCTTCAAGGTTCGCTAGAACGGACGACTCCACATAAGACTTGAACTAAAAGTTAAAGGGACAAATACGAGTAGTATTGATTACCTATGTAAGTGGATAGTAGGGGGTAATAGATACATTTTCTTCCTAACTTATATGTAGAAGCCTGCTTAGGTTAGACAGGCTTGTATCTAGGTTACCTAGGTTAAGTATCTTTACCTTTTGTTGGCTTTATGGTGTGCCGGCTTATCTATCAAATTCCGGATCAAAAAGGAAGAAAATGAGATATATCAGATACCCGGCGGATGCATATCTATCTTAGTACCCCTGGAAAGGGATCGGGATAAACCAATCAAAAGACGAGCCGATGACGGACACACTTTACGTATTTATTCCTAGACACCTAACCTAGACACCTAGACACCTAGACACTACCTATAAATTTTATACATGTATTTAGTGTCAACCGAGTATTGACTTGAATGATCAACAAGTTTCGTGGTCTCCCTTTAGGATTTCTTGAATTCATTATTTATCTTGGTTCTCTATTGCAATATTTTTATCGTCGCTTCTTAAACATCGACAATATTCATCTTTCATTAGCCTAACCATCTAACCAGGCATCGAAAACAGTCCGTCTTTGGTGGCGAATTTGCCATCTTTTTGTCGTGTTACATCGTAACTAATCATTACACGGGCTCTCTATTTTCTTGAGCCTGTCTCTTCTTCTTCTTTCTTGGGTGTTAGAAGAATCCTTCTCTTTCCTTGTTTATTCCTCTAAACTCGCAAGCAAAGTTGGACCTGGCTGCTGTTCTATCTTATTATTCTCTTATCTAGACCTGGACTGGCCTATTATCTGGTTGTCCTTTCGCGTATCAATCTCATGCTCGTATCTGAGTCGTACCCGATAACATTCGTAAGATAATAAAGCCTGTCTAATGTCAGTAGCCGTATCAAACACGGAAAGGGGAGAATGCGATTAGACTCACTTCTCCGCATTCGCCTCCTTCTCCTTGAGGTTCTCGAAGCGTTGCTGGCAGTCTGCCCAAGCCAATGTCCGCTTCTTAGGTGAGATGGATTTGACAGTAAACCTGAACTGGCCAGTCACGGGCCGATGATCAGACACCCGGACCTCGTGCCGTCTGTATTCAAGCTGCTGTATTCTACCAAAACCTCGATGAAGGAGGCGATCACACCATGCCGGGGAGCGCTTCTTCTCACTAGTATCGTAATTATCAGTCCCTACGTCATATTTATACGTAGGAGGGAACTCGATGGGCATCTCGTCGAATGCCCTAAGTTTGAATGCCGGGTTCCTCCGACGGGCTACGAGGAGCTGATCACGTTCCAGAAGTTTGGCCAGATTATTCTGTTTTACAGCGATCACGACCGTATCCCGTGACATGGTATCAATGCGGTAGTTGAGGTCACCGTTAAGTAGGCATAACTCGTGATCAAGGACCATGGTGCCGTCGCCACCACCTATGTAACTGTCGATGCGAACGCTTGGGTCGCGCTCTATAGGAAGGAGAGCGGTTTCCATAATTGCGGCAATATCGTTGTGTCGCTGATTGGCTGATGATTGTCCAGCCGCAAGATGGCAATTGATAAAGCAGAGCGAAGTATCGTCCACCATAAATCGCACAACAATGGCTCCTTTGTTACCATGCAAACCTCCCATTCCACGCTTTATCTCGGAACCGTTGATATTGCGTATACGATCACGTAGAGTCGATTTCACGAATATACAAGTAAAGAGGCCCACCAGAGTCGCTGTATGAAGGAGATGATAAAGATGTTCGGCAGGCATATAGTCGTCCAGACATCTAACGAGGAAATCTCTCCAATCTCGATATTGATGGCTCATCCGCTCTTGGTCCGACGCGTCTTTCTTCTTCGGCTTGAAAAAGCGCTTTGCTGTTGCGGTTTTATCCTCTAGATCAACCAGCTCCTGAAATCCAAAGATAAGAATATCGGGTGAATCGCTCGATTGCAGTAAATTTTGCATAAACATAGCATCCGACTCGGAGTATCTTAGGCTGTTTGGGGTTGAAGCCCCAGCATTCCATGTCATCGCCAAAAGCCTGATGTCTTCAAATTTGCAATACTGTGTATCGAGGGACTTCATCTCGTTTTCTAAGAAGTCGTCCTGGAGTAAACCGTCCCAACACTTTATCGTATTGTCGGCTCCGAGGGTGACGGCCTGGAAGCGGTCGAGCTTATAGACGCTCGAGGGGTCGGCAATGATTTTTATAACTGGGTTATCATGAGCTTGCCAGTCCTTTTTAATAACCCAAGGCGACTCTGCAACATCGTACACGCATACCCTCCCGTTATTAAAAGCTGCCCACATATAACCACCCACGCCAGCTAGAGAATTAATTTTGTAGGAGCTGACGTTGAGCACGCTAAGGCATGTAAAATCTTTTTGAGAATAGATGCTGACTTTTCCGTCATTGTGACCGAGGAAGACTTTTCCGGGCTGCGATTTGAGAAGGGCTCCGGATGTTACTTCGCCTGCTCCTTCTGAGACTAGAGGCCTCATAAGGACTTGCAGTTGATTCCGACCGCCAGCAGTAGGAGTGAAGACGCGGATTTCTTTGCCCGTTGCGTGCCATAATTCTTCGCCAACTACCATTGAAAAAGTATGCCCTTTAGGTAGCCTATAAGTTTGATGGGGGTTGCCACTAAGATTCGGGACCCCGTCGCTCTCTGGTCCCCAAACATGCAAGGTCCCTCCTTCGTCCAGAGTCCACATCTCGTTGTAGTGTCTATAAATCTTGACTATTTCATACCGCCCATGAGCGTTCGTCTTACTCTCGGTAATACCCTGAGACGTGACATCGGCTTCCATAATCTCGCCGACGTTGTTGCCAATCCAGACTCGCGTACCTTCATCTTGTATATCTGATGTAGGTTTAAACGCTACGGCTGTCGCTTTAATCCCCTCCCCGTGGGCGAAGCTCGTGAGAAGCTCACCATCCAGCAAGCTCCAGACGCGGGTGAGGTGACCGGTGGTACATACGTACTGCCCACAAACATCGAATACCCTAGTATCGTACTTGGTATAAATTTCATGAGTGCCTTGCTTGATGAAGGGCGGTCGCCGATTCACCCTGGTAGTGTCTGGGAATTGAGTTACAATTTCTACATGGCCCGCGGGGGCGGGGCCTGAAGATTCAGGAGGGCGGCTATCTGCATCAGCTACGCCTATCCTTCTCGTAGAATCATAGGATTCAACAGGAGCCTTTTCTGAGTGTCTATCCACTGTTAAGGATCTTCCATGAGCACGTGGCGGGGGAGGCGCGAATTGAGTGGTTGGTGTTGAAACTACACGCTTAGGCTGAGGGGACAGGGGGTTTTCTATAGTGGCACTAGCAGTAGTCACAACGGGTCTTGGAGGTCGAGGTGGTGGCCTCACGGCTGTATTTGCTGGAATTCGGGCAGAAGCTGGATCCGTAATAGTCTGTGGTCGAGCCGGGAGAGTAGGTTGCTTGTCCGCAAGCTGAGAAGTGACTGGCGATCTGGCATTTCCATTGACTTCGTAGTCTCGACGTATGGTTGCAATTGTATGGTGAACTGGGGGAGGATCGAAACCTGATGGCAATGCGTTAGTTCTCGGCACGGTTGTCTGAATCAGCGGTCGTGCTGGCCGAGTTGGGAGCACTGGTGGATCTTCATGATCGGGGCTGCTGGCGCTAGAAGGAGGGCTATTAAACGGCGAACGCTTCTCTACAATTTGAGGTGCTAATTCTAGTTTGTTTGCATTTTCCATCAGCCTTGAGAGTCTATTGGCTGGCTTTTCAGCACGATTCACAGGTGGAGGAATCGGCGGCGATGCCCTAGATTCACGTTCTCTTCTCAGCTCAGCCGATCTTCGCGGCGGAGGCGGTGATGGCGGTTGAGTAGTAGCGATCCTGGGAGATCGGCCGGGCTCGAGTATGGGAGTATGCGGTCGGCTAGAAATCTTCAAGGGTCGGGGTGAAGAAGTAACTGGAGTATTTGGAGTCTTCGAGGGGTCAGGGAAAAGGTGTGTGTTCGTATCGCTTTGTAGGAAAGAGAGCGGTCTTGATTTCGGTGGTGACTGAGGTGGTTCGACCAAGACGGCAGGGGGCTTGATAGGTCTAGGACTTATCGGCAAGGGATTCGCGATCTGAGTAGAATGAAGACCTGTAGTATTTAGGATTTCCTTTGGCTTGGGCTTTCCATTATCCGCTGGCACATTCCCACTTCGGGTAGGTCTTGTGTCTGGAATCGGAGGAAGATTTGGGGATGGCGACTGATTTCGTGTAGGTGGGGGCTGAGATTGTGTAGCTACTGGACCATCTTTGGGTTTGTTCATATTCTCAAAATGAGACCTCAGGGACGAGACTGGTCTCTACAGCTCTGGTTAGTATTATAATAGGTATATTAGATTAGGATGGGAGGACAGGATATCTTACCAAGGACGAGTCGTCAAGACCATCTTGACCGTTAGACTCCATGGCGATGAGGGGCAGTCTCTATAAGTCTTCAATATGCCGCCCCTTCTGCTCCCACGGCATCACTGACCGAAGAGCTAGTCTCCTGGGATCATCTAACGAGACAATTCGGTAGCTCTTAAACCGTAAGCTTTTAGCGACGGAGTTCAAGGTCAAAAATAAGAGGTTAGAAATTAAGTGGCCGCCACTTTCGTTCGTGCTCGGTGTAGATCTTCTTCCAAAGAGTGACAACGAATGAATGAGCACGTGGCCGTGTTAAAGCCTACAATTCTGGTTGGATAAGAAAAACGATGTTGTCAGACCAAATATTATAGTATCAATTGGATATTTTGGTTGCTTATTGTAGTCATGTTTTTTTTTTTTAGTTCTTTATCCCGTTTATTGTATTTCAGCGTTAAACGTCGATAGCTTCGGCAGAAAGTTGCAACGCTGTCACATAAAGGGTAAAGGTATAGCGAATGAGGCGCAGTTCCGAAGAAGTAACGTGCATGCGGTCATCCAGTCATACGAAAAGAAGAAGAAAAAATCATTACTCGAAGTTCGTCTAGGTTAATTATGTGATACGCAGTCTTTTGAGGATTAACGAGCGTTTTAATTTGGGTTCTCCTTTGGAGTTTGGTCCCAGACATGCGAAACCTCTAGTGAGTGGCTACTTGTGCTACCGAATTGCAGATCTTTAGGCGCATTGAATATTCCCGTCTTGATTTGAACAAAATGGAGGTGTACTAATTGTACATGTAATACAAACTTAGTACCCATACCCCATACACTACGTAATATTCTCGTACGAAACATTTGAACTTTGCTCTGCCATCCTTAGCTTGTTTCTTTAGGTACATTACCTGTACAAAGTGGTGTATATTATGTACCTACCTTAGGTAAGCAGCTAAGGTAGGTACCTCCTACCTAACCTTACGTACCACAACCAGAAGTACCTGATTATACCTAATAACGGCATGCACATGCACTGCCCATTTCCAAGGTTATGGTCAATTGAAGGGAGAAGAAGTTGCAGGTGCCGGCCTATTGCATGTCGTAGGCCCCTGTCATAAGCCCCGGTTGCCGGTACCAGATGCCCCCAAACACTGGAACCTCAACAGCAAGCTCTTGCTACAGAAGGCGACCGCACCCCAATTCCAGACGGTGGCTAAAAAAAAAGAAGTCGACCATTGATGGAGGTACGCTAAAACGACGGGAGTGCTTGCAGGGTTGTACTCGTTTCTATCCTGACCTGATAGCCGGAGATCATAAAATAAACGTACCACTTTATGACTTTATGACTTTGACTTTGACTTTGACTTTATGATCTTAAATGTTTTTAATCTTTTAACTCTTTTGAGCCTCCCACGTTAATCTACTTACCCACCTCTATTTTTTCTTTTCTCTCAGACATCATTGAGAAAAACAATAAGCTAAGTCTAAAGCGCTCATAGCCAACATTCAAAATGAACACAGTACGTATCTTATAAAGAGAAAACTAGGTACAGCCAGCGCAATTATGCTAACGACCCCCCGCCCCCAGGTCAAATCGTTCTGGTAGGTAATCGCAACGGTTGCGCTACTTAGTGAATTATCTTACTGATCGTCTACGCTTTTACATAGGATGGGATGGGGTTCCCTCTGCCTTGGTATGTATTTATACTAAAGTTGCGCCACTGTGAGCTTCCTTCTCATCCTTGTGCTATAGCTGGTGGGGGAGCGTATTACTTTGCGAAGAAAAGTATCAACGCAGACAGAGCTGCGCGCCTCGAAGAAGCCCGCCGAAAGAAGCAGATGATCGACTCTCTTGAGTATTCGAGCAATGTCCCCAGCAAACCGCTCTCCGCATCGACAATGGGTGGTTCTACGAACGGAAATGGTACGCCACCCCGAACTGATGCAGCCGGATCACCAAGCCAAGAGGCAAGCCGTGACCCGGCACCAACTCGACATGCTCCGGCTACAGAAGGACAGCAAGTCATAGAAAAGAGCAAGTACGAGAGTAGCGCACCGTTTACGAGTCCAAAAGGCGATCGGTTCTCTTAGTCGTGGTTAAAAGCTGAGCTGAGCATACCCTATAATGAAAATATTACGAAAACATGCATGTACACAATATTATTTAGAAGAGACGGATGAACACAACTCTATTCCCAAAAGTTTCGTCATAACAGCAATGGTATCTTGATGCGGACCGGTTGGTCAGCTATGTAATTCGGCCTTGAAACTTTGAAACTCTGGATGTTGGTATGCTCTATGCATATTTATTCGAATTCCCTCATATTTACCTAATCAATTTTGAGATTGTATCTATACAAATGACTTTTTGATCTTGCGGCTATTTGAGTTGATACTTGGGTTATTATTACGCCGAGTGCCACGGCCAAAATGGCTAGAAGGTTAAACAAGGTGAAGGGTCTTGTCAAAATCGCCATGTAAATTCCATGTACCTAGATCACTAAAATATCGGGAATATTTAATCCGATGCCTACCAAAAATCTACCTACTGGTTATTGGGCAGCCGGGGTGCTATGCTGCACCTGCACCAAGAGTCCATAATCTAACTCAATATGGTTAGTGCTGCAGGTCAGACTAGAAATCTACTCAAGTAACCAATCAAGTCAAGAGCCTTGCATTTACTAAGTTCCTAGAATTCCATCATTCCATCATACCATCATTTTCTTTAGTTATTCACCATTCACCACAGTCAAAACTCGAGAGTATGTGCTCTACCGACATTGTTCTCATCATCACTTTATAACCATGGCGTCGCCACAGCTAGCTATAGCTAGAGTTTCCTTCTCTGCCGTCCTCCTACGTCCGGATCCAACATCATGTTCGCGCGGCGAGATTGACGAGTTCCTCCAGCTGCTCGACGCGACCATCTCGCGATGCTCCCCGCCCAATGTTCAGGTTTGAGCAACACAATCTTTTGAAACTTGGTGTCTTGTACGACAGCTAAACGGTCGCCACATAGAAAAGCAAGCATTGGATATTAAAGAACCTAGTCCAGTCTCCTATTAGAATCACCGCCTTGGGGAAATACTTGACGGCAGTGGCTAAGTCCTTCAATTTGGATCTTGCCGCTAGTAGGCAAGCCCGAGAGCCTTCTTCGAAACGTAAACGCCTCCATATCCTCTACGTTCTCAATGATGCACTATATCATGTACATATCCGGGACCGGAATACCAACTTCGCGCAAAAGCTAGAACTTGCTATTCCGGATATCATTCAACTCGCTGCTGCCTTTCCGAACTGCCCGAAACATTCCAAGAAAGTATTGGATCTCATAGACCTTTGGGGCGAGAAGCAGTATTTTTCGGAAACCTTTATTCAGAAACTTCGAACTACTGCCCAAGAAGCACCGCACTTGGCCACCAAGGTTGATACGACTATCGACGGCACCCAAGTTACTGGTACAAGATCTTCCAAAGATGCTCCATTTATCATGCCAGCCATGCATGGTGATGCTACTGTGTCATGGTATGACTTACCTGCAGCGAATTGGCTACCCGCCATCGAGCCTAACTCTACGAGACCAATGAACCCCGACATTATCAAACCCTTACAGTTTGTTGCCGGCCCTGCGGATGAGAAATTGGTCAAAGCCGTTCAAGACTTATTAGTTGATGTGGATCGCATTTACAGTAGAGGTCAGCGCGATGTTGACCAGCATACTGAAGACATCGATCAGCTAGGACAGCGCGTTGTACTTGATGAGATTACTGGGGACGTTGTCGATGGAGATAGCTACTACGGCTGGTCTCGCGCGTTCTGTGAGAAGATGAAACAGCGCCGCAAAAAAACTAGCGCTTCTGGGGATGGCCACCGCGGACGCGGTGCGGCACGTTCGCACTCACGGTCACGAAGCTCATCTCGTAGCTCATCGCGGCCTGCGCACAAACGACGGCGCGTATCCAGCTCGCGAAGCTCTAATAGAAGCCGAAGTCGAAGTCATAGACGGAGTTATAGCAGAGACCGTCATCGTCAAAGATCGTATAGTAGTTCGAGATCTCGTTCTCGTTCTCATTCTCGCTCAGGAGATCGTCCATACGATCGTCCACTCTCGCGGTCCCAAGGAAGGAGTCCACCACCTGCTCCGCGGTCATACGACCTTCCTCACTTCGCCAATCCGAACGGAAAGCCGCTACCTGGTTTTCCAAATCAACCACCACATCCGAATTCCCAATATCAACAGCATTCTACGCCTCCGCCTCCTTTCCCACCACAAGCTTTCCCTCCTTTACCCTCGGACCTCAGCCAGTTCATACCACCACCACCCCCTCCACCACAGAACTACCAGGGCCAATGGCCACCGCCGCTTCCGATCCCGCCAAACATGCCGCCGAATTGGATACCTAACATGCCAATGGGAGGGTGGCCTGTACCTCCACCACCGCCGCCTGGACAACCGCAGCAGCATCATCGTGGTGGCTTTCAACAGTATGGAAGAGGGGGCAGGGGAGATTACCGCGGGCACGGACACCGTGGGGGCTGGGATCATCGAGGTCGAGGCGGTTGGTAATCACACCTAGACACGAACATAACCTTTGAATGCTGAAGCAGTTGTATCATATTTTTCTCGGTACCTGTGCGCGAGGAAATGGTGCTCTATCGTGATATCAGAATATAACAGTTTAATAAGAGAATTCGATATCTCAATAACTTCGTATTATGTACTTGGCTCCGTAATATTTGAATACTGTAGAGGCCGGAAAAGCTATTACGACGATATGACGCATAACCAAAATTACCTAACCTACCTAAGGTACCTAATTACAGAAAATCAATCTTGCTCTAACCTTATGATTATCGATATTTTATTCCTATTTACTCATAATATCGTCAAGATAGCCACCACAGTATAAGATATGTTTTTTGACGGCATTCTGTTACTTCAGCGAACATCTAATTTATAGTGACATATTGTAACAATCCTGATATATTCCCCCCTTCTTCTTTATCCTTTGTGGGGGGGGGGGGGGGGGGGGTTCCCCCGTATATACGAAGATTTATTATTAGTATGTCTCATAAGACTAGGTAGTTAACTACCTACTAATACGTGCTGCATGTCTTAAACAGATATTAAAACGAACAGGCATCTATCCATTCGAGTCCGTATTCTCTACATTAAACTCCAAATCTATCCGATATCTAGGTAAGCAGTTCTAATAAGGGTTAGTTGAATCAAGATTTCATCTTCATCAGCTCATTTCATATTATCTTTTTTTCTCATCCAAAATAAGAGCCTAACTAGGGCGCACTTTCTTCAATATTCTTTTGAAGTTTTCAAGTACCTAATGTAGTTCCTAACCTAGCCTAGATGATGATGATGATGGTAACGATCTTCGCTCTCGTCTCGGTAGAGATGGGGATAGAGGAGAGGGGAGAGCGTATGGTAGGAGGGTGGGAGAAATTGCTATGCTAATCTATCTAACTACGTGCTATCTACTATGGTTTGTTTTGGTAAACGTAGCAAAAATATGTTTCCTGGCACCTAACTTTTTCCTCGCGTACGTGCGAAAAACAAAAGTTAGCCCAGGCCTAAATTACCAACCTGACGGTATTTTGTGTGATTTATGTCGTCGACGTTGCCATGCTATTCATCATTCGTCCCTATGCGTGGCTTCTTTCGTCGACGACTAGACCGCCGTCCCGTATCCATTAAAAAATGCTAACGTTTTTTACGCCTTGCGCGTAACACCTGTTTTGCCTGTCCTCCGAATTTGCAACAGCTACGCTGGTCGATAAGCTAAGAGTTTCGTATCGCAACACACATCTTGATGCAGATCCCGGATCCACAGGTACCAATCGCTGTTGACGTTCTCGCCTTCTTCAACTGGCAATAGTTTTATGTGAGGTGAGAAACCAATCCTGATCTTGGGCTTGGTATATCGCCTATTGTAATGAGTATCGGAAGACATGAAAGTGAATCCACTCATGACTTTGCGTAAGTATTGTTGAACCCGAATGACTCACGCCAAAATCAGCGATTCTTGATTCAAAATGTGTACGTCGTTCTTAACGTCTGCTGATCTTGAGGCTGCAACTGGCCGAAAAATTGGTCGAACTGAGGGATTATCTGACGGTAAATGCCGAGGGCCTGATTTATTGTTAGATTTTAATTCTATTAGTTGGAGAATTGCGATTGCTCACCTTCTGGAAATCCTCATGGAGGCCGTTCTTGGTTTCACTACGCAGTTTTAGGTCCCTATATCGGGCAATCGCAGTGAAAAAGTGCAAGAGGGATTTCTCCATAGCCATAGGGTTCTTCTCAACAATGGCGGTAAAGCCCCGGAATGCAGTCGCCTTCTCATCCGACGGATCAACCTCATCCATAGAGATGAGGAAATCTTCGGCAAAGTTAGCCAGATGCGGTGCCAGAAGCTCGCCATTACCGAGTCCAAGCCGCCCCAATGCAATCGCAGCATTTTCGGTCACCCCTTTAGGGATACCTGGGTTAGATACTATTTCTACAAAGCGTTGGAAAAGCTCTGGTACGTAAGGTGCCATATTAGACTTGTGTCGAATGGCAATTTCTCCTGCGGACCAACAGGCATTGTTAATAACACCGAATCCGTTATCAATCTCTTCGTCGATTATGTTGTCCAGATCCAACTGTCTCAAGAGCACCGGGAAAATGTTCGGTAGTGACGATTGTAGTTGCTCGAATACGTACTTGGCACAGTCTCCAAGGAGTGCGTATGCAGATTGTCGTACTTCATCTGTCGGGTCTTCCATGCAGAAGGTCAAGAGCTCGAAAAATGCAGGTTGAGACTCCTGAACAAGCTTGGAAGATTTTGCCGGATTTAGCGCCTGAATAATAGCACTTAGGAGATCCAAACTCGTGACTAGGAAGTCTTTATCTGGCGCATCGAGGGATGGGTTATTTGCTAACGCTAGAGATGCTTCTAGGTTTTGATGAATGATGTTGACACAGCGGACAAAAATCGGCTGCGCATAAGGGGTAAATGCATCGTTCAGTGCCATGGCAACATATGACAGACACTCCAACAATGGGAAAATCTCTCGGGACTGGTCGGAGACCTTAGTCCACCTCTCGATGAGCGCTGGCATCAGTTCATTGACGAGATCGGGCCGGGCTAAAGCAGGCCCTATATGTTCGGCTAGCGTCTGTACACAGTCGTAGAGGATATACATATTCCGGTCTTTATATTTCTTGAAGCAACGGACGAATTGCTGAATGATCGGGAGGCTGTAAGGCTCCAATCGCTTACCGGCTTTCTCCTCGAGATTAGCGAAAGCTGACGCACCAGCTTCTTGGACTTTCTTATTGCTGTCCAACATTTTTGTCAAGATGCCCTCCATCATGGGCTCGAAGTAAAGTTGCTTTTGTTGCGGGTCCGACAGATCCGCGGCCCAGGAAGAATAACGACCCAACGTCCAGCAGGTAATTTGTCGGACGACAGGCTCAGGATCATCCAGAAGAGAGATCAAGTAAGGTACCAACTGAGGGAGGTGAGGCGTGACAACATTGATACAACCCTCTGCGACAGCGCCAAACGCGAGTACCGCAGCCTCCCGATACGGCCAATCGGCGTGCCTGATGTTTTTATTCAGGTATGGCATAATGGACTCAAATACCGGGTCCCTAAAATCACGAGCGAAAACATCAAGTGCAGCTGCGGAGCACTTTCGTAAGGTCCATCGCTCATCCGGACTCGCGTCATCCCCATCATCAAAGTCATCAATCTCGCCTTCCTCCAGGTCGTCGTCCATGCTAGCCAATTTCTCATAAGCATTTCCATTCTGGGCGGAATCCGCAGACCCATCTTTGTTAGCTTGTCGCGCCGATGGCTTCTTTGCGAATTGAGGTTTAATATCCTGTTCAAGATCGTCCTCATCCTCGTCGTCAGATGCGCCACCGAGGAGCGCAATATCCTCAGCGCTATATACCATGCACTGAAGAAGAACCGGGATGATCTTGCTGATGTATGGGGTTAAGGAGTGCCAGAGATGCTCATGTTCGCCTACTGTAAGCCAGAACTCCGCAGCGTCGGTGGCTAAATCCTCATCATCACTCTGCTGTTGCGTAATAATGTAATCGACAAGACCGGGGAGATGAGGCTGGATCTTGTCCGGGCGAGATTCAACAAGCTGGGCAAATGCCCTACACACCTGCCTTCGCACGTCGTTGCTGGAATCCGTTGCAAGTGCGAACAAATGCTGGAGCAAATCGTCGATGGAGTTAAGCATGGCCTGAGATTTTCGGGGTGTGAAGACGTTGATGGCGGTCAAGGCATGAGCGCGAACCTTGGGCAACGAACTCTTAGTAGCTTGAATCAACTTGGGGAGAATGAAGTTCAGCGGTCGTTCACCGTTCAGCTCGCGCTCCAACATCTTAGTGTTGTCTTCACAAATCTTAGCCATAGCCGCCATAGCACCTTCTTGTGCTTCATTCGTAATTTGACCAGACTCGTTGCCAATCATCTTCAAGAGCTCTGGGAGTAGCTCGGGCCAGCTCATTATACCACCTCGACGAATCATCTCAGTTGCGATAACACCTGCGTAATTACGAATTTGAGCATTCTTGTCTTGCAAACACATAGGAATTCCCATCTTGATCAAGGTCAAGCTGCTGTCGGAAACTTCTTTGGTGCTCGTCTTAATGTTATTTTTTAACATAATTGCGGCGGACGACCGTATAAGAAAGTAATCCTCAGCTGAGCACTGCAGGCCACTTGGAGGTTCCTGACTGGAGAATAGATAGACGAGGTAGTTGTTAATATCGGGAGACGACTTCGCTTGCGTGAGCATCTACAAGAGAGAAGCTTCGTATTAGCTCGAATTGCTATGACTATTTTTTCTTCTTCATAGATAAAACCATAGCTATCGCCTGGTCAGGCATCACAAGAGGGATTTCTTACAATCTCGGCCTGTTTCTGCGCAGCTTTGTCGAAACCACTGAGAGAATCCTTGAGACAAGCAGCGAGCGTGCTCAAGGACTCGGGCGAGGGTTGCCACGCCATGATGGGCGGCAAGGAAATGAGAATCTCGGGATATGTGCGCGTTCGAAATCCCAAGTCTAGATTGAAGGCAATTTTTAAATGCCTATGATCTCACGATAGTAATAAAAGAGAAGAGAGGAGGAAGAGGGGGGGAGGGGAGGAAAGAAGATCAAGCGTTGATTGTCAGGAACATGGACTCTGGGGATGGTGGGGTCCTAAGTGCGATAGACCAGTTGGCGATAATGGAAAATAAGGTGAGATATGAAAATTGAAGAGAGAAGTATGTAGAGGGGTGAAAAAGCTTTGACAACTTCTTTAGTCTTTTTTTCTCTTTTTTTTTTTTTTTTTTTTTTAACTTCTTGTTGTCCTTCAAAGTTTAGTCTGGATTGTCGCGATGATGCAAAACAGGGCAAATGACCTGTTGCGGCCAATGTCAATTTCCTGCTGGCTTTACAAGGAGACCGTGACCTTCCGGTTACTGAACCATGATCCAAGGGCTTAAAATCCTCTTTTAGAAAAAGGTTAATGGTGGGGTGGTGCTTGGGTGTGGCAGATTTTACGTTAAAACATGCTTAGCTCTTTTGAGAAAGTGCTAGGCGCTTTATAGTATATAATACTTATTTTTCCTAGCAAATTTGCCGTATATATTAGTCACAGTACATAGATATCTTATAGAATAATTGTCCACCGCCCACCTAACCATTATCGATACGGAGGCCCCAACCGATTATACTTACCTAAAAGAGCCTGGCAAGGAAGATTTGTTAGTGTAAGACGCTCATTGTTACAGCGTTTATTATGTACATATGTACATGTATGTATTTGCACTAGAATGATGTACTTACATGTACCTAAGATATAAGTAATTCTCCAAGTACCTTGATCTAACTATATGAATATAAATAGATACCTAGATATTGTCACAATTTTTTTAAGACTACGTGGTTTATAGAAATTTGAAAAAAAAGGATAGAAAAAAAAGGTGCAATATTATATTACTCCGTAACGCATAACTTTTTGCATTACGTATATGCGCCAAGGCAGTATGTAAGTATATATATAAAGTGACACTCCTCTGAATCTTAAAACTCCGTTATACGTTGTTTTCGAATAGATTGAAGGGACGATCATAACAAAATATTTAGCTTCGTCTAATGTTACCCCTTAATCATCAAAGTCACCAAAGTCACCAAAGTCACCAAGAGCAAACAATATCTCGGAACCGGTTGCTTACTAACATGTTTTTCTACGGGACGGATATATGTATAAGACAAGGGCATTAGAACCCGGTCAAGTTTTGACATGACTCAAAGCCGTGGGCTCGAATAATACTTGATATCCCCTAGTGACAATAAATTAGCTGAGCAAGCAGCATGTGAAGTAAACACCCAAGCCAGGCCGGGATCTGCCCGGGCCTTCGTGTACGCAGTGTACTATGTTGTCGTAACCTGCAAGGTGCCAAGTCGGACTGGAATACGAAGTATGCATACCTAACGTATGAGGTCGATAGCATATGCTGAGATGCCACGCACAACAAGCCCCTGTGCAACGAGAATCAATATGGGTGTAATAATGAGTCAAACTACCACTGAAGACGGATAGTGTGGATTTAAGGCAAGGAGCACGGTTAGTCAAGCTTTAGGTAGTTAACTTATTATATACTTATATGACACTCTATCGATAAATGGTTGAGATCCCTAGATGTTCTATGTCCTTTTATATGGAGTATGATACGTAGTTGAATAAATAAGAAGTGAGTAGTAGGCACTAGGATAAGAACAACTTATTATACGAGACATCACCTAATAATCAATTACGCCCATTTCTACCCAACGATAGCTTTGTCAGGAGGCAGGGGTCATTGGGTTGGAAAGCAGCCCTCACGGGGCCTTTACCAAGAATGAATGTGTTCCACAAGATAGCCAGATATCTGCGGTAGCCAAAATGACCAAGCGCTGTAGGTAAGTTTGTTGCATTTCCTGAAGCTACCTACTTTGAAGGCAGACGTCGTGTGACTCGGGGATCTGCACAGGAGATTATTTGATCCGCCAGCTCTATAAACGGCACCTTGCTTTGACCCTGGGTTCCCTGGCCCTGAAGAGGTTGTGTTGCACGTGTATTGGGATGATCAAGGATTCAGACGTATGCAGATAGCCGCCCGAGCTACCGATTCGATGCAGATCAGCCGCTGCTACGGTGGACCATTATTACAACTGTGCCAAAATCAAGAAAATAGGTCAGATCTGTCCAAAAAGGGCTAGTATGAAAGGTGCACAGTATACTATGCGGGGTATATACAAAATTCTTATATTATTTAATAACTTTTTGAGTATTCTTTCTAAAATTTAAAGAAAATATCATTATTTCAATTGAAGTATGAAAAGAATTATTAAAATTGTCTTGTAATATTTCTAATTTATTTCGTAAAGATAATGTGTAATATATGATGTATATACAGGATTCCAAAGTGGTCATAAAGGGTATCACGTGCTAGCCTATTTGTATAAAACTTAGCCTCCCTGTATAAGACTTATTTGATACTGATACAACACGCCAGCCAAAGGCTATATATAAATGCAACTTGCATTTTTATTTTCGCATTAATTAAGGCTACAAAATGATACCAGTTATATTTCTTGAAATAGTATATTGGTAAAGTTATTTGAATACGCGTAAGTGTTGTTATTGAATTCGGGTATTTTGAGGTTAAGGTAAAGGCTATATTTGATTGGCTATTCGACTTTTGGTTGGCCTTATACTTATACTTACACCCTTTTTAATCACACTACGAACCTTAGGTTAAATTACATGCAACCTGGATAGTAATTTTTGTCTTTTTTCAATCAAAAGATCAATAGTTTTTGAAAAATATTTGGATAAATATTCGTAAAGCTATTATGGTATAAGGTTAAAAGGGGTGTTAATTGTGTATATAGTGCATATCAATTGAGCTTACACTGTATTTTTGCCTTACTATTACCTTATTAGACATAGTGCCAACTATTTTCTCGATTTTGGCACAGTTGTAATAATGGTCCACCGTAGCTGCCCTCAGCAGTAGATGATAGGGAGGATGGTCATCGAGTATTTTGAGGGCTTCCGTCGAATAGTTTCTCGAGGTATAAATAACATCTCTTTGGTACAATTTATATGTCACAGATATGCTAAAGCCCTGGTGTAGGCAAGGTGTTTGGCGCTTTTTTAAATTGGATGAAATCAAACGATAGTAGCCACTAAATAAACACTTGATAAGTAAATACTTTAGATATATAGGAAATATAGCATATAATCCTAATCCTGATCTAAATACTTATAGGATAAGTATATCAGAGTAACTAACGTAATAAATCTTGCAAGTGTCGATGACTCTTTTCAAGTCATATTAACACTAACGAAGCACGTATCAGCTAGAACTATGTTGATATTGTTTTGTAGCCGTGTTTTGTATAGTCCAAAATAACCCAGTAGAGTGAGGTCGAGTCAACCCTCCTGGATTTGGCCTTATAGTAATTGTTAAAGCCGAATGAAAACGTGAATAAGTATAAGATTTCACTAGCTTTAAGATGAGAAAGGGGCAATTCGTCATATATAGATACCAGGTAGACGATTCATTGAAGTTCTCAAGGCTTGGTTGAAAGTTCTCATATTACTACTTTCGTAGGGGTCAATGCATGTCCTCATAGAACAGTCCCACGTAGTAACTTATACCTACATTCTCGTCATCCATACGCACTTAGAGAGCATAATATGAGCCTATAGTCCATCGACCAATGTGACACTCGATGACCGGGCAACCCTCTCGACGGATTACTTAGTATGAGTTCTCGAGTTCCAGAAGCTCATATACCAGTATACCATGGATGACTTTTCAAGCAGTTCGTATACATGATTTTGTCTTTCAAAATGCTGTGATCACAGATCGAGATTCTGCGCAAGAGAGTATGTATCTGCTCTCAGGGGTAGTTGCCATACAATGCTAACAGCATCCTCAAGAACTGCCCGTTCCGTTTGGTAGGACGTTAGGCGATTTGACGACGCCTTGGAGCTTATCAAGTGAAATTTCAACGACTCTTTTCAGAGCTTCCATTTCCTCCTCTACTGTGCCCCCCAGTCCGGTGTTGGCAAAGCTGATGGAATTGCCCACATACACTGGCATTTGTGTCTTCTTGACTAGAATTTTGGCTAGGCGAGTAGTGAACTCTAGCGTAGCTTCTACAGCGAAGATAGTTGTTGAAAGTGGTTGGCTTGGATTATATTTCTAAGGTCATGTATTTTAGTAAATTGCGGATTCACTAATGGGAACAGGATTACATACGTCAGGCAAAGCGTAGACGAAAGATCCCATTGGAGTTGCTTGGTCTTCCTCATCTGCAGTTACGGTTGTGAGAAATAACATGATGACTTTTGACTTGATGTCTAAGCGCATATGAATCCTTGTATCCAAAGACCGTGGCAGGGGAAATGAGAGCTGGATGGGCTCATTAATTGTCTCCGCCATTTTGATATGCCTTTACTGTAAACAAGATTCAACCGTGGTGTTTAACGAAGTGAATATTCGAGTGTGATAGGCAGTTGTTAGCGGCTAGCGTTTTAGTGGTTAAGGTATAACCGCGATAGAGCAATAGAGCAATAGAGAAATAGGGCGGGCGATAGGGCAGATGATAGGGGTGCTTAAGTGAGATTTAGCTTAGGCTTAGAGCAACTCTTTAACAAATAGATGTTTGTCATGATCCAGTCTATCTGTCGTACAGAAGACGGTACCCCACATTAGATCTCCAAACGACTGGGGCTCCATTAGATACATGTACATAAAGTACATAAAGTATCTTACCTAAGGAGGTATCTTACTAAGGGTATATGTACTTATTCGAGAGGCCCGTTTGTAGCAATCTCGAAGTTTAACTTTTTATATCATCTACCATTTACTATCTACCATCTCTTCAAGAACAGACCTTATACATTTCTGTCTGTAATTTATACGACACTATTATAGACCCTTGAACTTAGAGACATAATTTTTCATTATGAAATTAGTATAATCGCTATTTTATATTCCTGGCAAATATGTGCTAAGGTTAAAGAAAGCTCAGTTATTCAAATAGTCGTGTGCCCCTCCATCTGGAGATATCCCTCGTTCATATACGATACATAACGGCGCCCCCTCTCCCCCCCCAATTATCATAAAGTTTCGAACTGGAGGTGTCGATTATATAATAAGATATATAATAAGACTATTCTTCGTTTGCTAACTCTTGAATTTGCTGTTATACATCATGGAACTAGCGAAACCGGCTTATAGAGATGATTCTCAGTGGGATGGGGTCGAAGAAGCCATCGAAGACCCAGAGGAAATCAGAGTCATATTCTGCGCCCTCGATTCTTTTAGGTTAGTAATACAAGGTTGTTGCGTTGTTGCGTTGTTGAATATTGTTTGTTAAGCTGAGTACCTCCTACGTCCGAGGGGGAGGATGCGATTTTGCTTCTAGTAGGCATCATATCACATACCTTACAGGTCGCTCACCCACACACGCTTCTAGCCCGTTTATATACACTAACAAATATCATATAGCCAATATGCGAAGACGGCGCACCTGAACTGCACCCATTTTCGTAGGCAGGCGTTCTACGCTCTCCCTCAGGCCCACTGGCAATTACTCGCCCAGCCGCCTTTTTCGTATCTGGATGTGTTAAATCGCATAGACGATGCTATTGAGAGTAATGCGGAGCTAGCTCGTATTATCGTCAAGTTTGGCTTGAGGTCTTTTGGCGTACTTGAAGCTGCTTCGGAAAAGGAGCTTACTATGCCTGAAGAATGGTCCGGTGTTGCTAAATATAATGATCTGGATAAGGCCCGGAGCACTATTAGGCAATTCTACCGTGACTGGTCCGCCGAGGGTGCTGTTGAACGTGATGCTTGTTACGGACCTATATACCGTGCGCTAAGTGACGAGAAGGCGAGATATCCTAACCGACAACCGATGAAAGTTTTGGTACCTGGTGCCGGGCTGGGACGACTAGTATTTGATCTCTGTCGGACGGGGTACCATACGGAAGGCAACGAGATTTCCTACCATCAACTGTTGGCATCGTCGTACATTCTCAACTCTACCGAAACCGCTGGTCAACACACTATATTTCCATGGATCCACTCCTTTTCAAACCACAAGAGTCGCGATAATCAATTTACATATTACAAAATCCCAGATATTCACCCCCAGACGACATTAGCGGGGACGAAGGGTATCGGCTCGATGGAAATGTGTGCCGCAGATTTCCTCTGCCTGTATGGGGATGAAAGCCACAAGGATACCTACGATGCCGTAGCCTCCGTATTTTTCCTTGACACGGCGCCAAATCTAATTCGCTACCTCGAAGTAATAAGAAATTGCTTGAAACCTGGTGGTGTTCTTATCAATGTCGGACCTCTGTTATGGCACTGGGAGAATCACGTCCCCGGCCATTACGGATATGATGGAGACGGTGATTACGATGAAAATAATTCTTTAGGCATTGCAGATCCGGGGAGTTTCGAGCTTACTGATGACGAAGTCGTCGCGTTGGTGGAGCGTATGGGTTTTATCATAGAGAAGCGAGAAACAGGCCTGCACGCCCCTTACGTGCAGGACTCTCAGAGCATGTTGCAAACGGCATATAAAGCTAGCCACTGGGTCGCGCGAAAGCCAGAGGACGGATCTAATGTGATGTCTGAAATCTAGACTGCATACTAGAGCTTATTGGTGGAATCTGGGACGCATTGCATTCTGGTATCGGAGCTTGATTTCTGCAGAGATATTATCTAGACATACCTAGCATCGTAGACCGGGAACCTAGATAAAGGCATATAAAGAATGAGAACACGCATAATAGCTTAATGGCTTGAATATCATTAATCATAGTAAATAGAAACATCTGCTACACCGGCTATGCTACCGATACTACGCATACATATTCATAGCTTAGGCTCCGCCGACCCGGCTTCTAGGGAGACCGTATTCCACAACGCACCACCATCTATCTGTATCGTCGCGCCGTTAACGTGCGACCCTGCTCGACTCGACAGATAAACTACCACACCGGCGATATCCTCAGGCCTGCCGAGCCGCTTGTTCGGGTTGCGCGCGGCGTGCTTCTCGAGACCACCCGTCATAGACAACAAGCCCGTGGCCATCTTAGTCGGGAACCAACCGGGGCAGATGGAATTAACCAGGATATGGCGAGGCCCTAGCTCCAGCGCCAGATTGCGACCCAGCGCAATAACAGCGGCCTTGCTGGCGCTATAGCCAAACGTAGCCTGGGGCCCCGTAGTGCCGACGCCCAAGCCCGCGACGCTCGACGTGATGATGACGCGGCTGGGGTCCTCGACGGTAGCGCGCTTCTCCAGCAGCGGCGCGAACTTCTGTATGCACAAGAACACGCCTTTGACGTTCAGGTCCATGACCTTCTGGAAGGCGCCGTCGGGGTGCGTGTCGAAGGCCTCGCCCCAGGTGGCGCCCGCGTTCGCGAACAGGATGTCGACGTACTCGGTGTGCTTGGATACCTGGGACACGAGGGACTCGACGCCGGCGAGGGTGCTGCTGTCGGCGGGGACGGAGATGGCGCGGGCGCCGGGTTGGAGGTTTGGCAGGGAGTTGAGCTGCGCGACGGCGGCGTCGCAGGCTTTGGCTTTGCGCGAGGTGATGAATACTTTGGAGCAGCCGGCTTGGAGGAAACTGGTGTGTGGTGGGTAGAGGTTAGTGAGGGTTGGTTGGGGAGTGTTGTGTGTAATTGTAAACGTATAGGTAGAACTCACGCTGAAGCTGCGTTCAAACCCAGACCTCGAGAACCGCCTGTCACGACGGCGACTTTACCCTTGAGGGAGAAGAGCGACGGGAAGTCGGTAAGAGCTGTTTCGTCGGCCATGATGTTGTGTTATCTACGAAGTATATCGTGATAAGAATATATTCTCTAGTTAATTGATCCAATGGCGAAAGAAGATAGTTGTTGGTTGATATATTAATTAGTATGTTCTCCTCTGTATCAACATCAATAGCAAGTCTCGTCTTTATAATTATCAACTAGTTATTAACAAGACAACAAGTCAAGTTCCAATGCCAGAATTATTGGACAATGTATAAGTCAATAACCTAGTCGTACCTCCCTATCGATAAGTGATGACCGAGGAGCTTGCGGGGACGTGCCGAGGTTCCCCAACGGAGATGGGCCGGGATGAGGTTAGGTTAACTAAACGATTCAAGGAACATCTTACATGATGGAATCAACTTCTCCTTTTGTGTTTATGGTATTATTAAATAACTAACCTAGGTAGTTATATTGGAGGCTTGCTGGAGGAAAGTTAATTTAGGGTAATATCTACGGGATTTGTATAAACATGGATACTGGTGCTAACTTCTAAGTGTAAATATGATGTCGTAGATCTGGGAAGCTTTTAGTATCATAACCCCCTATACACAAACACTTAATATCCCAAAGTCCAAGACAAAACATTATTTGGTCAATGATATGTCTTCATATTTATCAGACACTTACCACCACTTCTCACACAACACCCGATGAGATTCCATTCCCAACCCAGCCTCCATGTCAGTCAACTTTAGCACGAACTCGTCCGTCATAGTAGGTACACTGCAGACATACACAACCGCAGCCTTCCTCTCCTCAGCATCACCCACCGCTACCGCGATATCATCGACCGTCATCCTCCGCGCTTGAAACGGGACATCACTCTCTCCTCCCTCCTCCCCCTCGCCCAGACAATGCACAACCCCTCCTCCATCCCCACTCCCACCCGTAAGAAACAGCCTTAACCGCCCCTTCACCCTCCCCGAAGCAAATATCCCAGCCAGCCTCTGCACAAACTGCAAGCGGTCCGCGCGTCTACCTCCCGACCCATCATCATCCTTCAGCGAGTACAAAAACTGCACCTGGAACGGCGCATCCGCACCCGTCTCCGCGATGCTAGACAGCATGCTCATCAGAGGATTAATCCCCACGCCGCCAGCAACGAAGACCACGCGTCTTAGAGCATGCGCATCGATACCCACGGGCGGCCACACGAAGCTACCGCCGACGCGGACCCTTAGTTCCGCATAGGTAATCTCGTCCGGGTTCTGCCATAACCACGCCGCGGGTGGATCAACCGATTTCTGTACCGCGAGCTCTACGTACCCCGGACTTTGAGTTTGTGCTGGCCCCGGGGAGACATGGGGCCGCGCTAGAGACGGGGGCGAGGTGATGGTGTACCCGCCTGCCTTGGACACGCCGGGCACGAAGACATCAAGCCATTGACCCGGTAAGAACTATATTATAGGAAAATAGCAATATATGTAAGAAGGTAATTAAACTCGTTGTATAGTGCCGACATCAAATAGCTTGTAAAGGGGGCCAAAAAGCAGAACATACCCGAAGAGGGGCTGATAGCTCGAGACGGAAGAGCCTGATTTGATCATTGATCTCGTCGACCTTGGTCAACGTGACGATGTGTAGGGACTTGTAAATACGTGTTAATAGATGATCCAGTAGACAAAATTCCTATTATCAGTGTGAGTAAATATACCTCATCTCGCGGTTCCGCTGCCGTCCTTTCTAGGTGGCTAGGCTTCGGTTCAGCCATGTTGGTAAGCTAATAGCACAGTAGTTCAAGTTAGCGGAGCGAGATGCACTTTTAACAGTGTTAACTAGGTAAGATATTAGATAGTATTTAAAATATTACTATCCGTAAACTGTTGTAGGTTTGAAGTAAAGTATTGATAATTGCGTAGTAAGATATGAGTTGAGGTTCCGGTAAACCCCAATACAGCTGGCGGGGTTTAGATTACTAGTAAGACATAGTAGATATCAAACAATTCCTTAAGTCGCACCGTCACATACAATTCATACGGATTAATATGTAAACAAGTAGGTAGCTTTGGATGCCAATTTGCATATGGCGCAGTCGATTCCGTATACCTTAGGTACCTAGGTGGTAGCTAAGCTACAGAAATTAATAGTGCCTATACGGGCTAAGTTTCTCTGGCGCAGATTCAGTTATAGCAACATTACGTCCGGCAACCGACAATATGCAAACGGCCTATCTAGATCCAGTTACCCGCAGGGACACCGTTTATGTATCTAGTGTCGTGTGTAGCGCTTGCACGGACACCGCGAGCAACACCTTTGCCGCCAGATCCTTTGATATCCTTATCGTCCCCCTGACGGGTAGGAAGTTCTATCATAGAAGAACGACCGGTATGCTTCTCTGGCCGTGGACTCCATGGGTACTTTCCTGGTCTACCTTCATGTTGTAGGGGTGATGGGGTCTGCCCAAGCCATTCTCCTTCGGTGACTTTTAGCTTGTCAACATCAGGGAAGCTTACATCGCTAAGCAAATTCACCTGCGACTTGGAGAGTGGCAGCCTGGCCTTAGATTTTGGTGACGATTGGGCGATGGGAGAGTCGAATTGGTTAAGGTGCCGTTCAAGCACGCTGCCAGTCGTTGGAACATAGCCGGTCGGGGAGGGCAGTGCCGGTGAATGCGACGCTTCGGTAGAGTCCAGTGAGGCTGCATAGTCCGAAGAGGACTCATCCTCCCGTTCATAGGCATTTATATCTCTCAATTCCAATGCTTTAATTGGCGCAGACGGCAGTAATATCGACTGCGCCGTACCCAACTTTATTTCCTCGTTCTCAAACTCTTCGCTCTTGACGTATCGTTTTAGAGACGGTGTTAGAGATGGGCAGCTGGAACGGAGTGAACTCTTGGAAGCCTGCCTAGAACTTGTCTTGGGAAGCTCTGGCAATGGTCTCTGTAGCAGCTTAGCTAAAAAGGCATCCCTCTTTGCCTTATTCACATCTTCAATGGCAGTAGCAGGTTGGCGAGCCCCTGCGAGTTGCGGGGGGCTTCTCAAGGAGTATTCCTCTACTTTAGGAACTTCCGACAGGTCCGAAATAGCCATGCTAACGGGATTAATGTGATCTTCGAACACGTTATCCTCGAGGAACTCCACACCGATAGCGAGTTGATGCGCAGATGGAGAGGTCGCACGAGCGGGATTCTCTCGAGAATCAGAGCCTGATGAGTTATTTGAACTTAGAGATGCCGGTCGAAATCCAGTTTCGTACTTCGGTATAAGGTTTCGTTGCACGAGATATTGCACGGATCGGTAATAGAAACAAAAGGTCGCGAAAGGCGAATCTTTTGCATCTTCCAGATGGTATTCGTAGAAGGTAGCATCTTGAGGGTTGTCAACCAAGCCGCCACTAGATGAGCTGAAGATAATTAGCTAAATGAACTAATATATAGGAGAGGATATTCAAGTAGCCTACGTGATTCCACGACGTTCTTGGTAAAGGTGTGAATAGGGGTCTAACTCAACAGCGATGCGCTTTCGTCCCCGACAGCGAAAGACTTGGACCTCGATCAAGCCACCATCTTCAGAAGCCAAAGTCTGGTCGAGGCCATGGACGAAATGGAAATATCGCGTCTCTATGCCTATAGGGATGTTGCCGTTCTTGTCTCTCAAGCCATCGCCGGGCTCAAAGAGGCTTTTCGACACGGTCCCTGACGCACAATAAATGGTGTCAATACCCCAGGAGACAGTGGGATGACCATTGATAATCATCTTAAAAAAGACGAATCTTGAAGGTGGTGCTGGTTGATGAATGAGGTATTTGAGCCGAAACTGGGAACCTGAAGACTGGTTTAGATCGGATATATCAATGATTTGAAATATCAGAGTAAAACTTACCAGGACTTGAAGGAATATAGACTGATACGCGGGGGTTAGATTTCTTCAGGGTGGGCTCGGCATTAGGATACTTAGAGGAAGAAAAGTGAGAGCCATTTCGGACCTTGTCTCTTAGATCGTGGCAACCAGGGCCAACTCTTGTGAGACGAACAGACGATCCATCCGGGTGAGGATATTCGGGTAGCCTCTTAATATCCGAGCTGGCTACGATGGATATCTCAATACCACGAAGGGAGGGCATGTTGGTAAAAGAACAAGCGTGAAATACGCCTGTATACGTCCAAGGATGAGGGTACGATGCCACCGAGTCAATAAAAAGGGGGGGAAGTTAGAGATATTTGAAGATGGTGGAAAGGAAAATTAAGCGTATTTAACAAAGTAATTTGGTGGGTAGCAAGGAAAGTGCGTGTATGTGAATCACAGACATCTCCAATAACGGCTTGCTCTTACCTGAATATCTCTTGAACGTGCCTACCCTATGATGTATGTACCTAACGTAGCGGCTACATGTGAGTGACTAGATGTGCACATGTACGCACCTGCCTATATTATGACAACGTAGACATGCTTGCACACGTGTACATATTTCCATCTGTTTGTATAGCTTCATCTCTTAAAGAAATGAATCTATAATCATTTTTTACCCGAATTGTGATTGGCCTTACTAAACCATCTCATTAAACTTACCAAACCCATAAATATATGCTAGAACCAGAGTTGACCAGCATTAAACCTTCATGGTATATATAAGTCGAAGGGGGTGGTTTATTTAGTGAGATAGGGTTGGTATCATTATAACCCATACCAATACTTCTATATTTGCGCCTTTGGGTTGTGAATATCTGAGCAATATGGGGTCCCTGATGCCCACCGATTCGGAAAATTAGGATTTGATATCCGTAGCAAGGCTGCGGTCATCCTAAGCAACGAATCCCACTGATTTAAAGGACGTCTAGTTCGGGTTTTGTTGATCCTTAAATTCATATACACCGAAGACCTTGTACGTACACGGCTGTTCCCGGCTTTTTTTTTTCGAAGCGTCGCAATCATCCACCAAGGACCTGTTTCGTATCCTCCTCCTTGCCCAACAAGCCCAGATTCCTTATTTGGCCAGCACTTGGCGCATTCTCTCGTGCTGACGATGCTTCTGCCTTTCGATATGCAGCTTGCAATGCTCTTACTCTCGTGGCCTATTCAATTTAACAAACTTTAGTCAGTCGTCCGGCTAGCATAGTGTTTGTAGGTAAATCAGGTTGGATCCTAACCTCTTTCTTGTGATGTAAGCACTCGTAGTAGTCCTCTAGAGCGGGCGCGCACTTCTTTTTCCCTGAGTCATCTTCCGCCGAAGTGTTGACAACGTAGCAAGCTAGAACTTCTTGCCAGAAGGGGAAGCACCGGCCCGGACCTATTCATCCAAAAATATATTAGTACTTCGGAACCATTGGATATTCTTCGATATACGAACCGCCATGAAGACCGTATCCGGATGACATGACGTCGAGCTATGCGTATAGAGGTAGACGTCGTTCGGTGGCTGCGGGAGGGAAAACGCGCATTCAATTGCGGTTACTGAGATAGATTAGGTTATGTCGTTCAATTGCTTCGGGTCTTTGCGACGTTTCGACGAATGATGCTGTATCCCGGGCGAATTAGATAAGCTCTGGGTCTGACGAATTAAGAGGTGACCGTTCTTAAGCTTGACCTGACTAACTCTATATGGTTTAGATGTAGGTAGTTGCAGCTTAGGGTGGTCTGTGCATTGGTCTTATAAAAGCATTTAACATATTTTATGAGTTATAAAAGTTTGAGATACATACCTCTTGTACAAGTGAACAATGGCCTAGGTTAACTGTCAAGACTAAACCAAATAATATTTACTCATACTAGGTAGCCTATATTGTGAATTTTCAAAATAATAGGTATATACCTGTCTATACCAAATGTATTTTCTTTATTTTTCCATGTCATGACAAATACGTCATATTGGAGATAGGTATACATATGAGCTAGGTACATGAACTAGGTACCTATTAAAAGCCACATGCAAGTACAAAGTACCTAAGCATCTAGGTTAGGTGTACCTAGAGCTACCCAGGTGCAGGTACCTTAGGTAACTAACACGTCAATGTTGAATATCTCGAATAGAACCTTTTATCTCTTTACTTACTTAACCCTTCATTCAACAAAGCCTCTAGAAATACCAAGCATTACCCAACCTTGTTAGGTTCCTGGCTCCTCTATAAACGAGACCATGTATATAGCGCCTTAAAAATGATGACAATTCCCTCTGCGCCGCGCATCGTACTCCTCGCTACGTACCTAGCTGCCAAGTCCGACATCGAGAGCTTGACTGTGCTCGCCGCTCAGCATAGCAAGGTCCTACGACAGGACTTATTACTTCGAATACTATTAACATGTTTACCCGAGACCTTGCCCCCTAGCGAATATGTCTCCCTCATTCAGCACCTTGAGTCGGGAAGCTTGGAAACAGATGTCGAACCGCGAGAAGTTGATTGGTCTTCGGTGGAGGACTTAACAGACGACGAGGCCGCAAAGAAGGTCCGCAAGCTACGACTACTTCCTCTTGCATGGGATGGCGCGCCTAAGGATGAATCTCAAGATTTTATATCTCTCTTCTTAATCCATCGCGCGCGTCGGGTCGACGAAGAGGCCGGTTTACTTGCCCAGCTACCCGATCTAATAATACCATTCCTCGACCATGCGCCCGCTATTCGGACATGGATGGTTTCGGTCTTACTTCCCCTTCTACGACGAAACCACGAATATTACCCACACCATCCAGCTGTCCAGACTTTGTCCGCCTTCGAGCGCATGAGCGATCAAGCCGCAGTTGACTTGCTACTGTCGCAAACTGGCGCAAGCCAAGAAGATCTTCCCTACGTCGGGAGAGATCTTCGTGGCTTAATAGGTCCGTGGCTATATAACGATGCGAGGTGGGCACGTGGTGATGAGAATGAGCGCTCTTCGGAACAGGGTCTGTCCTATACTCTCTGTCCAGGGTGGGAACATGTCCTCGAGTGGGTCACAGCGCAAGCCTCCAAGTCGTGGAGAGTTGCAGTGAGAGCTATAGATCAATGGGACGGCCCAGGTGATGTTGACTTAGGTGGCTATGCTTCCATGTGGCTAGAAGACGATGAGCAGGGGCATCTGGAGCAAAGATACGCTCGTGCTGCGCTGGCTTCGGCATATCTGATATCAGAAGCTTCGGTCGAAGCATTGACCGGTGTCAACAACATTATCACAAAGATTATGGCCTTACTAGATCAAGACCCCTGCCCTACCTTACAAGTCGCTTCATCTTTGCTTCCGCCTTACACTGATCCTAATGGGGAACGACTTCTGTTAGCTAAGAACGCTACTTATATGCGCAATGATTTACTCGCCGATTCAAACCCGCTTACTGCACCAAATGAGACATCTACACAACTCTTACATATCTTAACACTCAGTGCTTTCATCTTAACCAAAGCCGATGCTTCTTGCACTGTCCGAAAAGCAGGAGAACTGGCTTTTCTGCAAGATGAACAAGAACAAAAGGCAATAGCTACGAGATATATAAATAACTTAAGTGGAAATGGACCTAAAAGTGATGACAAGTACTGGATCAGGGCGAGAAATGAGCTTTTGTGGCTCCGAGATTGGGGCGCGGAAGAAGCTCAAGACTCCCCCAATACTCGGGTCCAAGGAGTCTTTAGTCAGCTAAAGAAGGAGTTTCTCGAGGTTGAATGCCTCAAAGCGTTCCTGAACAACACACGTAAGGCTCACTAGTTACTTTTATTAAGATCGCATGCTAAAGTTATCAGGCTACTCCCTGGCGAGGTCTATATACGAAGATGCTCCTGAGAAGCCCCTCGATAGCGACGTATTACGAGACAATGTCGTTTCTTGCGCAATGAAGGCCTATGATAGTGCATCGAATCCCCACCGCGGTCGTGGTGGTCTCTTGAAATGCGACGACATGTAAGCTTTCCTTAATCAGTATGCAGGATATTGCTCTAAATGATGTTAGAATACATGCATTTCCCCAGACCCTACCAGAGACACATCCCGAGTCTAAAAGAATTGAGGCTCTCTTAAGGACCACGCATGCACTCGGCGAATACCGCTTGACGCTGAAAAAAGGAGAGCCGTTCATACCAATTATGCTTCGAGTCCATCCAGATCCTATCTCCATAATTGGGAAGGTATTAGAACAGAATCCCAAGAGCTACACCCGAGTCCAGGACTTTCTCGAAATCGGGTCCAATATGGGCGATGCTGGTCTATTAGCTCATAATAAGCCTGGACAGCCGCACTCAGCAACAGAACAAGCATGGCAAAGACCAATTATTGAAAAACGGATTATAGCTATGTGCGTGGATGCCGCACTTACAGAAGATGACTTCGAGACAGCATATTCGTACGTTGTCAACCGTTTAGCCGCGGATAACAACGGTCCCTCTGCAAAATCAGGGGCTACCTCCCCAATTACGGATGATTATTCATGGAAAGCCTCGTTGCAGGCGGGTAAGTACCGCCGGACAGCACGTACCATGAAGCCCACGCACATCGGGACAGCCAACGGGAATCTCGATATCCGACACCTAGAGCAGAGAATGGAATGTCTCGCAACTGCGCTCCGCATCGCACCGCCCGCGACTCTACAAGAGATCCTAAATGTGTTCCGTAAGTGCGAGGAGGAGCTCAACGCAGCGGCTAAAGCAGAAGAAGAGCAGGAATCGGCGTGGGACGACAAGGGCGACCTGGAGGTTATGCCTGGCGCTTTTAGCGGTACCGTACCGGCGGGCGTGGTGAGAAACGCTACCAAGGCGTCGTCTTCACGCCATGTCGAGGAGGCACCTATGTCGCTGTTCGACCTATCGCGCGCCAGCATGGCTAGGGCGCAGCGCAACTTGACAGCCCTGTCCAGCTTGCAACGCAGCGAGAACGCTCGGTCAGACGAGACCCGCGAAGACACGGGAGAGCCGCGGGCTAGGAAGAGGGACCAGTTGAGGGATGTAGCGGTCGGAACGTTGGCATCAGGTGTAGGGTGGCTGATTGGAGCGCAACCTGTCGATAGAGCTGGCGAGAAGAGCTAAATAGCAATGAAGTAATGAAGTCTGGGTGGATATTTTGGGTGGTTCTGCTGTTGTAGCATGGGGATAATGATATCCAATTCAAAAAAGGGGTTCATCGCTACGAATTCAAAAGTCTTGGTTTAATGTCTACAGAAGATATGCATCATCGTGATACGATATGACGCTTCTCGCTCATAGGGAGAAATAGGGGATGGACATAATTGACGAAGATTAAAAGGAAGGGCAATCTTGAATATTACATGTGATTAAATGAGTTCATTCCATATATTCCGCATCGTTTACGTGGAAGAAGTTTAACCTAGTAAACTGCCTGGCTACTAGGTAGACGTCCTCAATTTCTAGTAAATAGTTCTAGGACCAGCATCCCTTAAGTACATTAGGGGTGAAACTTTCATCAAGTCTAATAAGTCGACTGAAGTATTCCTCTCCTCTCAACCCCCCCGGTGTCTAACCACGCCCCATCGTATGCTTACCCATGCTATCAATATGTTGGAAGTTCCGCCTTAAACCTTTCCCGATTTACTGCTACTACTCGTTAAGCAATATTAGTTGGTGCTAAGATTAGGCAGAGTTGCGCTACAACGGACAGAGAGACGAAAGATCCAAGAAACCACAAATACAAAACATGATAAACCCAACCAGATTATTTCACTCCCAGGTACGCAATGAACCCAGAAAAAAAAGAAGAAAAAAACCATGAAACATGAAACAACAGGAAAGCTATAAAAAAAAACACTCATCCAACTCACCAATACCCTTTATACCATAAACCCATCCCATCACCCATCTCCCCACCCCCCTATTCACCTATCTATCCCCCCCAAAAGTCAAAGTCTGCGTCCCCCCAAACCGGACATGTCTCTTCTTCCGACCGTTCTTAACAACGCCATCCGAGCTCTTATTCGGCAACGCCGAGCGCAATTTCGTCTTAGGCAGCGAGCCGGGACCCGAAGCCGGAGTCCGGCCGACGCTTGCGCTCGCTTGGCTGCTCTCGGAGAGGATCTGGTCCTGGAGCTGCTGCTCGTTGTAGGTGTCGTGTTGGGTGGTGGTGTTAGCGGGGGGAGGGAGTTGGAGCGGCTGCATGTTCGGGTCTGTTAGGGTTGGGTATAGCACTGTGTCGACGTCGCTGCTTGAGTAGTGCCACCATGGGTCTTTCGTGCTGATTGGGTTGTCGCTGGGGGGCGGGGGAGGCGCTGGTTCGGATTCTAGAGGTATGGTGGAGGGGAAATGGGGAGGGGGTGGTGGTAGTGTGTCTGATGTGATTGAAGCTTGGGACGGTGGGGGGCGTGGTGCGGGCTCTAGTGTGGGCAAGAATTGCTGCTGCGGTTGCTGTTGCTGCGGTTGTTGCTCTTGTAGCTGTTCTGGCTCCGGCGCTTGCTTCTGAGCCGGTATCTCATCTGCGAAACGGACCTCCCTACCTGACCTCACATTCTGAGCCTGTTCTTTAGGTTTCGCCACCGATGCCTTCTGGTATATTACCGTGATAGGCGTAGCAGCCGGAGCCTCCTTTACCACGTCCGGCGTATCATTGCCATCGTTGAACTGGAAGGTCGAAGTGACAGGCGAGTCGACAGGGTAGTGGTACTGAGCAAGGGGAACGTTTACCGGATCTACAGGATTCTGTGGCGGTTGTTTCAAATACGGGTTCGTGTGGACGGGTTGTACGGGCGTAGTAGCCTTTGGCTTTGGTTTAAGCGTTATCACCCGACCGGATGGCCCTTTCAACGGTAATCCCGGGGGCGTCGGTAGAGGGCCGCGCATCATGTCTTCGTCGCTCAACCTTGCTGGCAAAATAGCCGGGACCTGGGAGTATTGGACATACTCGGTATTCATCTCTGCCCGCTCAAAGCCCACTCGTAGTCTTTCAAGTGAGATCTTAGTAGCGAGGTTTGCCTCTAAGGGGAGTCGCTGTGCATCGGGCTTGGACTCATTTTGCTCCCTTAGATCCGGATCCCATGGGGTTGGATCCGGTTTCTCCACGTTCAAGTAGCCCGGTTCCCATCGGCCGTATTCTTCCCCCATCTCCAAAATCGACTTCAGCGTCGGGAAGGCCTTCTCTTGTTGCTCCCAAGTCATGACCCCTATCTCTTCGCGAAGCTGGTCGGTACGAACGAATCTACTGTCTACTTCACTCTCATATGAAGTGCCAACATCCTTCCACTGTTTAGGATCGTAGTGCTCTGGCTGTGGAGTGGCGGGTTTGTTTTGTGGTCTTGGTTCCTTCTCCTCTTCTGCGTGCGGCGGCAAATGCAACTCTGTATCGTTTTGCGGAGGCCCCTTTTTCGCGTATTTGTTGATGACTGGTTGCGCGAGTTTGTCCGCCCAGTCTCCAGGTCCTGGTGCGTCTTCGACTTCGGCCATCAAGGCCGCTGCAAACTTGGATGTTGGAAATTCGGATTCACTATCACTTAACTCAGTGATGTTGGTATTACCGTCTTCAAGGTAGCTATCATTGCCATCACTAACGTCGCTATTGTCACTGACACTATCACTGTCGCTGTCGTTAGGGAAATAACCTATAGCTGGACGTTTTCCCCTGGCTTTCTTGTTAATCAAATCCCTAACCATCTTAGCGACCATCTCGTTGGAAGAACTTGACTGGCCACGAACGTCGGGGTGGCCTTGCCCAGCTGCTGAAGTTGTCTTGGAGTACTGATGGCCGGCTGTAGCGGCGACAAGTAGCTGGACTGAGGTTCGCTTGATGCGGCTTCGATAGGACGCTATTTTCCTGTCGATCTTGCTGTTGACATCTTTTTGAGCGTCGGATAGCGAAGGCGAAGGCGGTACATCTAGCCCCAAGTACTTCCTTCTCGTGCGTTCGCGAGCATCTTGCGCCGCACGACCACGCTGTCTTCTCCGTTCTGCCCTCTCCTTCCTTTTCTGACCACGTTTAGATATCCATTTTTCCCCGGCCCAGTCTGTCAGGTAGGTTAGTGAGAATGACTGACTGCATAAGGCAAAGAATGGGGTTTTGGGGTCTTCTGGATTGCACAATAATATGAATACGTACCCTCCGTCTTTTGCTCTGGTAGTCCAAGGTCATATTCGAGGACGGCCAAATACGTCTTAAGCCGTTTTAATTCATATCGTAAGTGTCGTAGCTCAGAGCTCTTCCCGCTGCTTCTCTTATTCATGCGTGTTCCCTCCATTACAGACCTGTCTACATCTACTATGACCAATATCTGAATTGCGATGTCAATGAAGCGAGCGAAGCGACGAAGCCGTCGTATCGAAACATGAAAGGTCAACGAAACAAAGTGTAGGACGACCGATTTCTTGCCTCAGAAGAGGAGTCGCCCGAATACATCTCCATTATCAACTAAAGTCTATAGACAGCTTTGTGTCCCGAATTTTCCTCTTTCGGCCGGCTGTCATCATCGTTAGTTCTAGACGTTTTCGTCAAGCTTAGCCGATTTTCCTTCCGTACAATCTTTCTACAAAGACTGCTCCCAGAAGCATGCTTCCTCAGAATTCAAGGTATTCTAGTATTAGTCAAGGCTCAAACAAAGCGAAGTACGGAATGTAATGTACTATTGTTGCTGGTTTCGGTTATCAACCCGCTTTGAGACTAATACCACCCACGTGGAAATCAGTATCATTCCTTTAAGGCTGAAAAACGATGAAACGAGAATCAGATAGATGCCTGTAGCTTTAATTATATGTAGCTACCTAATGTATACTATGTACTCTATCTAAGCTTAGACAATGGTCACATCACCAACGCACAAACGCACAAACGCATAAAATTAGGCCAACTGGGGTATCTAATGGGTTACACAACCTACAGAAGGATCCGGTAGAGGCTTGGCTAGAATGTGGAGGGGACATCATCTAGGCATGTCCACGCATTCCAATAGATGGTCACGTATAATACACTGTAAAACACAACATTCGTCAGCAGATAGTCCCGAAGCTGGGGGGATTTACCTTGTACGCTTCTTGCTAGCGCAGGAGCAATGTCATAAAGCCGAAATAGACGGCTTAATTAAAAATTTGCTGCGAAGGGTGACTATGGATTATTGGCAAGGCGAAGCAAAGGCGTTGAAGCGAGAAGGCGGCTCCCATTTACAATTGTTGGGAGCCTATTAGGAACATTAAAAATCGTGTCGCGTGGCGTTAAAATGTGTATTGCTGAATGCAGCGCAGCGACTTAGTATTGAGAGGCCAAATTCATGGTATTTACGGAACATTAGTCGATTCGACTCAAGGGTGCACCTTTCTGGGAATTTGCGATCAATTATGTGTTGCATTCTGCGGGACCACCATTGCAGAGCTGTCTCGAATATCCGCCCGGCAAAATGCTGATGGATGTTGCTCAGTCGTCACGCTCGTCAAACTCGAAGAGAAACCTCGGAAGTAAAAATAATAGTACAAGTAGCAGGTTGAAAAGGTGAAAAGATTGCTGTGTTGTCCACGCCGCAGACGTATTTTCGTGATCCAAGGGGACGGGTGACTGGGTGAAAGGGGAGGGGAAGTGTTGCCTGTGCCATCATCCTAAAATCGTAGTTGCCAGGCTGACTCCTATATTGACTCGCCGAGGAAATTCGCCCACAAACAGGCGAAATCAAAATGACAGCACCCTCAAACCCGTGTCTGGCGAACCCTGTCTAAGGATCAGAGATCATAGGAAAAAGAAAAAAGAAAAGAAAAGAGAAAAAAACATGGCGGTCGATGCCTTTTCCTTCCCTTTACCTGCCGTATTAAACTCCATATGTCACATCTTTTATGGTATCCGCCGTACTCGCAAGCCTGAAGAGAAATGACACAAGATGAAGGAGAGGCCCGATACTACCGTCGAGCACCGAACCATTATGGAGAGACGCGAGTGCAGAGGAAATGCCCTTAACGCGTATAGCGACCGTTTCCTGAATGACGCATTAGCAGCGGCAGGCTGAATATGTCGGATTATCGTTATTTTGGTGATCAGGGCGCACCTCCGTAAGTTTCGCGGGCCTCGGGTCGAGCTGCAGAGTCGCCATAGCCGGATGCGGCGGGATCGCGAGCTCGGGCACCGCCATCGCGGTCGGGACGGTCGAAGCGTTCACGTTCGTAGCCAGGGCCACGTCGTTCATCTCCACCTCGAGGTCCGTAGCGGTCTCGCTCCTCACGACCACCAGCATAGCGGTCAATTCGTCCATATCCCTCCTCACCAGCACCGGCACCACCTCCGCTGCTACTGCCGCCAGCAGCAGCAGCGCCGCCTCCACCACCACGCTCACGTCGATCTTCCCTACCGTAGTTACGATCATAGCCGCGGTCGTATCCGCGATCCTCTCGGCCGCCACTATAGCCGCCGCCACCTCGAGCATCACGGTAGCTGCGATCATATCCACGGTCCTCGCGGTAACCGCGGTCGCCGCGATCGCCACGATCCTCGTAGCGAGGTCGATCATAGCCTCGGTAGCGGTACGGATCGTCACGTCCGCCATAACCACCACCGTAGCCACCTCCACGGCGTCGCTCTTCAAACCGAGGGCGGCCCTCTGTAATAAATGAATTAGAAAAGGAACACATTAAGTTTGGAGTTTGTTTACTAACCTCGCTTCGGAGGACCGAAGTACTTGCCAGGAGTAGGAGTGCGAGGGCGGGCGCGACGAGCCTTCTCAATGCTGAGGGTTCGTCCCTCAATTTCCTCTCCCTGCAATCCATCCTTAGCTGCATCGGCTTGATCAGATGTAACCATCTTAACAAAGCCAAAGCCGCGGGACTCCTTGGTGTGAGGGTCCTTCATGATCTGACACTTCTCAACCTCGCCATACTTCTCGAAAAGGCGGGTGACCTCGGCTTCGGTCAACCTGGGATGGATTCCAGTCACGAAGAGGTTAGATCCAGGGTTAACAGAACCATCCTCGTCCTTATTGCCATTTTCCTCTTTGGGGGCACTAATTTCAGAAGTTAGAAGTGTGCTGAGGGATAGGTACGAGACTATCATCTCTATTTATATAGTAGGGACTCACCGATCTTGGTTGGCAGCGGGAGAAGCAGAGCGACGGCGCGACGTCTCAATTCCGTCATCACGGGATGCTCGGGGAGACGCACTTCGCTGATCACGCTCGTAACGGGGACCATCATCTAATAAAACAGACATATAATTAGTATGATATATCTCTTTTATGCATTAAAGGGAATAATTCAAGGCTGCGACTTACCATCAAATCGGTCGCCGTTAGCGGTTTCGTAGTCCATTGCAGTAGTGGCCATGGTGAAGGCTGTTAGTAGGTTGTGACTGTGAATGCGGTAAGTAAGGGCGTTTCGACGCGACAATAAACCAATAGGCAGTGCGTATGAGGACGCGTTTTGTGCAGGAAGCCAGTTGTGGAAAGGGAATGGTCGCGCCAAGACCAAGAGAAACAAAACAGTTGTCAAGGTGATGGTAGAAGGAGGTGTAGTCAAGATGAGGGAGGTTGTAGAATGGAAGATAGAGATGGGGATGGATAATGGTGTAATGAGAGGTTTTTATGGTTGTGCGGGCTGATGGTTAAAAAAGAAAGAGCAAGATGTAAAAAATAGTCCGACTCACCTGCTACTTCAATGGCTGTAGACGTAAGTCGTAATCAGAAATAACAGTTACACAGTTGCAACCTGTTCTGTTCTGATGCAGGCTGTGGATTCACTCTCCAAATGAAAGGCGCGTGATACAGTGCTGTGCAGAGAATTGAAAATTCCGTGAGTCTCAAGCGCGAACACAAACAACCCTTTTCTTTATGATGATGCAAACTGAGAAAAGTTGAGGTCTCGGGCAAGGCTGGTTGGAAAAAAAAGAAAGGCCTGCTACAAAAGGAGAAAAAGATGGAATGGGTGAAAGAGAAACGGGAAGTGTTGAAGGGGCGGAAAAAAACTGGGGAGGCAAAATTGTTCAGCTGCGATGTACCGTACCTACGGTAGGTTCTAACGCATGTACTTTATTATTAGTACCTGCCTAGGCTTCCCTAAGCATTGTCGCGTCTCCACATACACATACATGTACAGGTAAGCACCTACCCCCTACGAGGTACATCTGTAGGTAGGTACCTACCATACTTCCACTATCACGGTGCAGTGCGGCAAGTGCGAAGGTGCGAAGGTACGTTTAAAGGCATATGCTTATGCACGGATCCGTATGTAGTTGCCTTAAGTACGATAATATCGATAATATCAACTATCCGCCTGAACCTTGAACCTATATGAATTATCCAATCAATTCTTTAGGTTACCTCCCAATCATCTTATCCAATTCAAACTTCTGTCAATGCGGGAGAATACGGAACTATGACTACGACTTGGAAACTCTAGACGAGAAGCACTTGCAGATCTGGAATTTCATCTTCCTTTATTCCTTCCTTTTTTTGGTGGTAGTACAAGGCGAGCGCTTCCGGAGAGCTCTCATGGAGATATTCCTACCGCAAGTACCTTAGAGATAGGCACATCCATACAATTTTACACTAACCTCTACCCAATGTACATATCCAGCGTTAAGCGTTAAGGTACCTTCGATCTAGAGGAAGTTTAAAGGTAGTCTCTTCATCCTATATACTCACTACAACTCCTCCATATCAGGCTGGTTTATAGCGATTTCCCTTCTCAAGGCTTGTTCCACATCAATATCTGCGGGAGCCACTTCGTCTAGGAACTTTAGACCTTCCGATGCTCTGCCACCACAAGCTCTCTCTAACGCGAGGAATGCAAAGTGACCTCCTACTACCGGGCGAGCCATAAAGTCAGGCCCAGGAAATCCGCCATCACCCTCCGTCTCGTAAAGGTCCGTCAGTGGTCGATCTGTGAAGAGTTAGTTTAGAATAGACCGCTATATTAGGCGAGAATAAGGCAATATTAATTATACGCACCTGTTGCAGTCTCATTGACCCACGTCGCAACGTGTTGTAGAATCTCCGTGCGTACCTTCTTACTCGTCACAGCAGCCGCAAAGAATTCCCAGTCGCTCTTCGTGTATAAATGACGGCTATCTAACGGCAAGCCGTATCTCTGGAGTACAGCATGGTACCAATCACTCTGGATCTGGTAGATTTTATCTGGAATGAATGTTGATTTAGGTTTGGTGATAGCCTCATCCCCTATAGGTTGCTGTTCTGAGCCCCAGAATCTACTCGCTCCTATCGGAGAGGATGCATCCGCAGGCAAATGGAAGCAAAGCAGAGCATCAGCGAAGAGGTTATAGATCGTCGTCCACGATCCATACCAGGTGTACGCTAACTTCGCATGTGTCTTATCTCTAGATAGACCTAAGTCCTGCCACTTGTCGATATATTCGTCAGCTACGTTGCTGTACCATTGGGAGTCGGCCTTCTCGCCGATAACGTTAGCAATCTCGCTCATGGCCTTAATGCCAATGATACCCTTCAACGCTAGGTTCGTCTGATTGGCCAGCCAACCAGCAAAATCATCAGTGCAAAGTTGATTCGCCGGGATGAGCGACTCTCGGACAAGATATCCTGTCCATTGCTTCCATAGCTTGTATGAGCGTCGTATCCATCTTACAGCCACTTTTTCACCCGTAGTGCCTAGGTCTTCCCATGTGCGATCCATTCCATATTCATTGACTAGAAATGATCTCTTCACAGACTCCAAGTTGAGTGTTAAAGCTTCCTCTGGTACAGTACGGACGAACTGGGCTTGCGAATCATCTCTGAAAGCATTGACAAGTGCAAGACCCATGATTAGCATATCGCCGCATTCTTCGACGGGCATATATTCGTCATTACCGTCACCATGCCCTGTCGCGTTGGGAAAATGGAATCCAAGATCATGCATGCTGTAATCGTTGGGATATTGATTGCTCAACTGGTGTTCGAGAAGAGGTTCTAGTAGATATGCTAGCCACTGGGGGTTGGTATATAAGAAAAAAGGGAATGCTGGGAAGATAACGTCGACTGTCTGGAAGTTTCCGTTCGATGAGATTTCCTTGAGGAATATAATAGGATTATCCGGTGTACCAGAAAATTGTGTCGCTCCTAGTACTTGGCGAGCCGACAACGCCGCGATGTCTTGGTAGTCTTGTGAGCCCGAAGCATACGCGTCTTTAGCGAGTTGCTCGGAATAGTTGCTAGCAAGATAAGCTGCAGTTTCATAATCGTCATAGTGGAACTGCAGCATTTCATGAGTACCAGAGAAATAAAAATCCCATAGGGGACGCATCTGGGTCAAGCCTCTGGCTGAGGCAAACTGAACGACAGGATTTTGAGTGAGAGCAAAGGTAAAGGTAACGCTGTCCTGGGCGATACCAGACGACTCGTTGGACCTCTTCTTAAGCTTGAAAGTCTTAGAGAAGGCAAAGATAGGTTCCTCCTCAAATATTCCACGGTAAGAATCGTCGACTTCATTCTTCAATGACCCGTGCTGGGCAAAATGACGTCGTATATAGTTCGATTCACCGGACTGGTGCTCAACGTCGGCCGGAGCAGAAACATGAATGGTTCCCCATTCAGCGTGATCGTAAAACTCGGTTAGGAGCTGCTCGTGGCGCCGTGTGATACTCCAAGTCTTGATGGGAGTCTTTGCACTGTCACTCTTTTCAGTCCGGACAAGCCCCCACTCTATCTTATTGTCTCGGTTGCCGCTAGCCCATTCTCCATTTATGTCCACGTATAGGCTTACATCTGTCGAACCTTCCACGATGCAAGTGAGGTATGACGCCGGTAGGGACTGTCTAAATGTCGATGTAGGCGTGATAGGAGACAAGAACGAGAGAGTAATCCTCACGTCGGACCCTGGGATAGAATAGGTGAGGTTCGTAGTTGAGGCATCGAACGTAGCACCGTCGTATTTAGGAAAGGACACTTCATAACTAATAAGAATTAGGTCGAGAACAACGCAAGTTGATACTAGAAGATATTCACTAACCTAGGAGACTTCCTAAGGAAATCTTGCGAGCGACCTAGCAGGGGGTATACTGTCTTAGTCTCGGGCACCGAGGCTATGACAGCAAAGCCGACGGTGCTGCCAGTCCAGAATATCGGCCAGTTTTCCCACGGGGCATCTCGGGCATGGGCAAGCCATATACTCAAGTAGGGATTTCGTACGATCAATGGCAGTACAGGCGGCGTCAGGGACGAAGCATCGACGAGGACTAGACACAGCGCCGAAAGGGCCGGCCAGAGACACAGCCTCATGGCGATGGATCAAATGGGTACTTGTTTATTTCTAAGCTGATGAAAGAGAGATGTGACGAATTGAGGAAGGATAATGCGTTGGCTAACTAAACATAAAGCTAATGTATGTGTGATGTCGTCGAACACATGGAGGACGAAAAAAGAATGCTATCTGATATATCTAAAGTTCGGCGCAAAATTGACGATTAATCAACAAGCAGCACGAGGGTGAAGTGCGAGATTCAAGAGAATATAGATCTAGAGAACACCGAGCCTCCATATGGAAGTTGGAGGAGAGAAGAGAGAAGAGTTTCAATGATGAGTGCAGGTTGAACATAATAAGTACATGTACCTTACCTAACCTCACCTAACCTAACCTCCTTACAGGTAAACAGGATCCACCTCCCCCAGGTTTCGAAGGTAGCGAAGGCAGGAAGGATGAACGAACGGAAGCCCGAATAAGCTAGGTAGAGAGAAAGAAGTGACGACATTTCTCCACAAATTTCATAGTTTCGGGGGCTGAGGGGGTACCTAATAGGTAGTATCCAGTTGGAGTTCATCAGGGGTCATGAGACAACAGCTTCTCCAGCCATGTGTATTTTGCCTCATGCACTAGGGAATAAACTGCTATGTGCCTAGCTGCTCCCTTCTAGCTATTGAATTGAGGGTGCCGAGGCTGGGGAGCTGAATCGAAAACGAACGATACGGAACCCCTCCTGTATTTCAACCCCTCCTAAACTAATATATTACCCCACAATCGTGTTATTCTATTATACATACAGCTTTCTTTAATAGCTTTGTTTAATAATTTATGATATCGACAAGTTTTTAAGACGCATTTAATGACATATAATGTAAGAAGTAGATTGTGTTTCGAATGAATAATCGAGGAAGGATTATTCTAATAACATCAGCTTTTAAAAGTTCGTCAAGGCTTGAAAGTTATACTTATATATTGTCTAATCTTTAACCAAAGGTTAAGCAATAGACTATCATACATTCGAGCTTGAAGTACAATAATTTAAACCAGCTAAGTAAGTCAATTTCTTTATTTAGTCTGGACAACTTTAAATCTATAGAGAAACAAGTTACCTATTGTGTTGCTATGAAGCGTTAAAAAGGCGCACCAATACTAGTTCTCCTAAGAGAGCTAACCCATATTCTCCGATTGAGTCTACCTCAAGCCGTTTCTTCCCACATTGAAGCCATTCAGAATCGTACAGTATATCCACTCTCTCAATCTAACGATACATGATAAGTTACTGAAGTAGGCAAATAACCTAGTTAACTACCTAGTTAACTACCTAGGTAGTTATAAGTAATGATATGATAAGTGTATTACATAGTAGAGGGGTAAACCACTTAGCTTTTAACACCGAAACCCCATCCCCGTTTCTATTGGTATCTGTGTTTATAACCTACCCAACTCCTCGTGTTGTTAAACCGAAAGATGGAGTTGTCCACCAAGCCCTTTTTAAACCTTCGAATCTCGGTGTCCACTAGCCCGCAAAGCCGCATATTAAACCCTCTTAAATTATTTATAGTCATTATCTAGAAAATATTACCCCGCTAGCACTACATTACTGTTTTTTTTATAATATTTACTACCAAGTATAAAGCAGTCGAGAGCAATAATGGCAACCCTTGATGGAAAAGTATTCGCAATTACTGGTGGTGCTAGCGGTATCGGGTTTGCAACGGCACAGATAATATCTAAACGTGGTGGGATTGTTTGCATAGCCGATGTTGACCCGGCAGCTATAAGCAACGCAGAAGAATACTTTACCAGCCAAAATGCACCCTTTACTGTTACTAAGGTAGATGTTTCTAAGCGAGACGAGGTTGAATCTTGGATCGACGGTATCGTCCAGAAATACGGAAGACTCGATGGCGCTGCTAACGTCGCGGGTATAATCGGCAAACATCATGGCGTACGAGAGGTTGCTGATCTCGACGACGACGAATGGCACAAAATAATCGCAGTTAACCTTACGGGAACTATGTATTGCTTAAGAGCTGAACTCCGAAAAATCGTTGAGGGTGGTTCTATTGTGAATGTTTCATCTATTCACGGGCTTCAAGGTAAGTTAATGGCCGAGTCTCGCGTTTCAAGAACGATAGAGCTGATCGTTAATCTAGGGTTTGCTAAACATGGAGCGTATGATGCCAGCAAACATGGTGTCATAGGTCTGACAAAAGCTGCTGCCAAAGAAAATGGAGTCCGGCAAGTGCGTGTCAACGCGGTGGCCCCGGGAGCCATATTTACTCCGCTGATGGAGAAGAGCTGGAAAATCCATAATCGACCATCTGATGCACCCTTTGATGATACGGCAGCTCTCGGCAGACAAGGCACGGCGGAGGAATGCGGCCACGTCATTGCTTTCCTTTTGGGCCCTGACTCCAAGTATGTGAGCGGGAGTGTATATTCTATCGACGGCGCCATGTAGCCCGCAAGCATAATCAATTCTATTAGAAGACATCCTCAGGCTGAACATCGTGATTTCTCCCGTCCTCTCGAATATGTTTTAGCGTCTTATCTCTGGACATGGGTTTACGCATATCGTAGGCGTCTTCACCGTGAGCGGTGGGGTCGTTGACGTTATCACCATAGTAGTCTTTGACTACGCGATATACGCTATAACCCATACTCTCATAAAAGTTGATAGCTCTCGTGTTGCTTTTTCTTACGAATAGATCGACGAACCAAGAGTCTCCAGCTTCTGCAGCAACTTCGAGGTTTTCGGTGAGAATCTTTCCAATACCAAGACGGCGAGCTTCAGGGGCTACCGTGAGAGCAGTGATATGTGCGTGCCATGGTAGGTAATGCTCAGAATACTGGAAATAGTCTGGAGAACTTTCCAACTTGCCCATGACTGTAGAGTAATGTATAACCTCGTTAGGCTGGGTTGTTATAATCATTATAATAGAAAAAAAAAGACTGTCACCTACTATAGCCGATAATGTTTCCGCTGGGATCCTCAGCGACTTGGAATAGTGAGGGCCATTTGGCAAAGTATTGAAGATAGAAACTTAGATCGTACGTCTCGGTCAACGGGTCAAGGTTGCATTTGGAAAACTTGTCTAAGTCATCGGGGCGAAAACGTCGAAAAGAGGCCATAACTGCAGGATAGTTATTAATTCCCACTTAGCTACCGAATAGTAAAAGAAATGTTTCTGTATCGGAGACGCTTGGACATATGTCTAATTTGCTGGCATCGGTTGCATAAAAGCCCAGGCGGAGGTAAGCGAATAATAGAAAGGGGTTTAATAGAAATAAGATTACGAGTATACCAAGTATCGTAGATCTTTTTCCTCTTGTTACTTATTTATCGTAGAGTATAAGCAAATATAAAGCCGATATATGGAAGTTATGTTGGGATAGCAAACGCGGGCTTCAAATAATGCGCAATAATTATTAGGTAGGTATGGGAAATAATAGCTGAATAGATCACGGCGCACAGCGCATTGCCCCTCCAAAACATGGGACACAATGAAAATGGAGGTGGGGCTAGCGGCGGGCTCTTTAAGCCTTTAAGCCTTAAAGCGTCTCTCGAAAAGTATCCCAACTGCCCAGTTGAAAGAGCCGCTAAAAGTTTGACGGGTTTGCAAACACATGGTTCAATTTCGCAATTTATCTTATTAAGGTTAGGTACCTCTTATCCATGTACCTCTACTTAAGTCGTTTTATATTTTACGCACGCGGGAATCGGCAGGTGCCTGTCGCCGGAATACACATGCAACGTTGGCATAAAGTCAGTTGGTAAATGTGGTTCCTATTTTTACATCTGATTATTACACAGCAGCCCGGGTAGTGCCAACCCTTGCTACCTCGTTCAATATTGGTCGATTATTATTGGGTGTACTTGATCCTTTTCAAACACTTTTCGTGCGTACGGTACCTATCTAAATCACCAACTCAATATTGAAAAAAGTTTCTTAGGCGGCCATATATTGCGACACGGACTCTCGGAGGAAAACAGAAAGACAATACGAACGATAACCCTGTTCTTGATATATCAGTTCCTTTGTATGACAACTCGGACTAAGACACCGTTTCTACCCCATGGTCTGCTCGACTATACGCACCACGAAGTTATTGCTTCCCTGAAACCCGTCTATATAATACGCTGCGGGATCTAGCATTTCGTATCGGATTCGTAATTATGTCGAGATCACCGCATACCCCTAGCCATTCCCGGCAAACTTCCGCTATCGATACCTCGTTTCAAGCCTCGAGTCCAAATATGTCACCTCGCAGCCGACGCCAGTCGAAATCCTCCTTCCAAGACCCTTTAACACCCCTACGCAACAGTATGAACGAGTCTGAGCTTAATGATCTCAGCAGTGGTGGCATGGGTCAGGATAATGGTCTTGGAAACTTGGCTGATGAGTTGGCTGATGCTTTGTCTGGATCTGGCGAGGAAGAATATTATGAGGACGGGGAAGAACGGTCGCAATTCGGATTCGATGAGGGGGATCAAGGCCAGGCGTCGACTGATGGGATTAGGGATAGCGGTGTTGACGTAGAAAGTCAACCGGACCACCGAGAGAAGACTAGAAACGCAAGCCTAAGCATACCTTCTCCCCCTAGGCGTGGTCACCGACGGACTGGGAGCGCATATGATGGGAGTGAATATGGCTCCGAATCCGATTTAGAGTCACCTGGCATGCCGCCGAGTCTGGTTGCCAGGATCGATGCCGTGGAATCTCTAGCCCGAAGAGGAACAGAAAGCAATGGCAGTTCTAGTGACGCCGTATTTCAACGGTTAACAGACGGACTGAAAGACCTGGGGTCACAGTCTGGTGTAGAGGGTAGCACCACAAGGTGAGTTATGGTTCCTAGTTCTACTGACCCTTTTTAATATTTTCTAACCAAAATGTTTGTCGAATTATAGATTAATAACGGCTCACTCGGCCTTGGCAACACATCTGGCGCATCAGACGCGGCAGATCCATAACCTTACCTTCCCTCTATTATCGCCGCTAGTTCAGCCCCCGGATCCCGATACTATCGATTCCCTTTTACCGCTACTAACTTCCGTCTCGGACGAAATGCCGCGGCCCGCGACCTCCGCTCTTAACTCTCTGAGCGCTTTACATTCCGTAACGTCGGACCTCGTGCAAACGCTGAATTACCTTTCCGATACACTGCACATGTCACGACAAACCACAACTACCGCCACAAGGCGGCTAAGAATGGCCAAGGAAATGGTAGCAGAGATAAAACGCGAAGAAGAGCTGAAAGAGGAAGGGGAGAGGTGGTTGACGAAAGGTAACTGGGGTGAGAGGTTACAAAAGCGCGAGTGCGCCGGCGTATGCAGGGAAGTCGTTGGAGGCTTCGAGGAAGTATGTAACGGCTGGAGGGCCCGTCTATTAGCCCAAGCAGAGTCGGCATAGAAATGACTTAAAGCGCAGGGACACGCGTTCGTAACGAAGCCAGGAAGCAAGCATATTTTATTTTTTTCGAGCATGATTCGGAAGCTGACGTCTGTAATATGCGGCTGGGTTGGCCTTGTTAACTCGGACTTTATTTTTGTCATCTTTTTTTTCGGCATTGCGGTGGATACGTATTGATTACAACTCAAGAACTTGGCGGCGTTGATATCAATTGGGCGGCTTTGACTGGTTCTTATGGCCTCGGGATAGACATAAAGACTCGAATGAAAGCATAGTACCCGACGATGGTGGTGCTTCGTTAATTTACACAATGGGAATGCTCGCCGTCTTGGGTACGGAACCTGTTGGTGGACTGTGGTTTACTCATATTGAGACCTCGTGGGCATCCCTTTCGGACTAACCTCGCCGTTGTCTCAGTCCATAGTTTAGCATTCTCAGCAAGCTTAAGAGCGGACTAGATCTCAATAGATTATAGGCTAGAGTAGCATTAGAGTATCTTGATTCTAGAACATTGAGTCCTGTTTACTTCCTTCGGTTCTAACTTGAAGATCTAAGATTGACACTGGTGAGATATAAGAAGAATCGAGTCATGCTAATATAGTATACGTAGATAGATTGTAATCATATACGGCATTCAGCGTGACAAAGGTCTTGGCCTACAAGGAGCAGCTACTATTTCTATCAAATAACGGAAATCTTAAGACTATCTATATCTTAGGTATCAAGGCATGAAATTTGTTGATTGAATAATATGACTAGGAAACATGTTAGGGAGAATAACCATCACTCCTCCTGTATTATCAGCATGTTAGACAGGCTGGTTACATCGTAGTAGATCCTACTTTCTTGTGTGCTAGGTCACTAGATCCTGATGTGCAAACTTCAATCGCCACGGCTCCCGAAGTGTTTCCCAAAGCCGACGAGGGACGACACCCATTGAGTCCTCCATTCGCGTTGCCACTACCATAACTTGTATCCTCCCCATCGAAGGGCCTCTTCCCATCGATTTTCACGTCTACAAGCGGTGCGTCCCGAGAACGTCGTAAACTGGCTTCCGCGTCGTCGTTAACAAGTACCACCATCCACACGCCCACGGCCCCGTTTGATCCCAGCAGCGGCGTGCAGTGTATCCACTTGCTCTTCCCGTAACTGTCCATCCGGGTCACCCAACGGACCTTCGTGGTGACTCCGCTGCCGTCGGCGAATGCTTGGGCGACTGCTTCGCGGACTGCGTGCGGGCCTCCGATTCGGGACATGAAGCTACTTTGTAGCATGCCGGGGAAACGGAGGGACGGGGAGGCGAAGAGGACCCGTAGGTGAGGGTGTGGGCGTACTAGGAGGTAGTGCTCGAAGAGGCTTGTAACGCGACTAACTGACGCGGTCGATATTCGAGGCAAGGGATCGGAGTCTACGCGTGCGAGGCCATGGTGTCTTGATCTTGTCTCGGAGCCTGCCGCGTCGTCCTGGCGGCGACGGTGCATGCTACCGCCTACCTCCTGAACTATTTTCAACTCCGAGGGGGTGAACATTTCTACGAGCTCACGGAATTCGTCTTTCACACTCGTATGAACACTAGCGTCCTCGTCGTGCTGTCTCTGGTCGACAATGCGCCTAAGAGACTCGAAGCCTATATATTCCTTCGCCAGACCCGAAACATCTACCTGGGCGCTGATGTGGTACCGGATGATTCCACGGCTGTCCAGAAGAGGCGCAGCCATGACAAGGTTCATAAATGGGGACCCGTCCCGGCGGTAGTTTAGTAGAACCTCGCAGTGCTCCTTTCCAGCATCTAGATGTTCTTTTATTCTTCTCGCGCTCAATTGGCTCGTGCTGGGCCCCTGAAGGAAACGACAATTTCGACCTAGGGCATAGCTGGCTCCATACTGTAGTAATCAGTGTTGTTAGTTACTATCCACGTAGTCTGGATGGTATTCATGATATGATCTATGATAATTGGCCGACGTGTCATATTGACAAGGAATACACTTTGATTTCTAATATCTTCTACTAACCTGTGTCATTTGATGGAACCCTGATATTGTTTAGCTAAACTATTGTTTCCTTACTCCGTGGTTGGACTCACCTTTGCTAGCAAATACAATTGGGTTGTCATTTCTTGAGGGATCTATCAAGCAGAAGACATCCGCTACTCCTTCAGAGAGATCCTTAAGATGGTCAGGCAACGTATTTGTAATCCGCTGCTTAATAGTGACGGCCACTGTTTGTATCCAAGTATGGGTGATATAGGCAGGTAGGTCATCTGTAGCGAGAGTATGAAGTACCTTGCTGAGCCTTGCCAATAGGGGTTCGTTGATAGTATTTGAGATTACCTCTTCACAAAGGTCTGTTCCCTTGACAGAGACTAAGGATCGAATAATGGTGTTTGAATACCCTATAGCCTTCAGTGCTTTTAGAGCATCTAAATAATATACTAGAAGAGGGACAGACTTTGGCCTAAAGACGCAAAGGAAGGATGTAAACCGTTCAAGTAGGAGCTGATCGTGGAAGATAGCGTCTAGATGCTCTGCCGAAAAGAGAGCTTCCGATATTATTTCCAGAGAATACCGAGAAGGTGGGTTGTCGCATGCAGATACAAGATCAATCGAAGCTTGGTCGATTTCATCTCCGGTTAAAGGCATAAGTTCGTCGTACTCTCTCGGCCCCTTGCTCTGGAGACCTGGAAGAGCTGTGCCATCTCCAGGAGCGGGGGATGTAGATGATGAGTTCTCCCTCGACTTTGTAGACTGAGATATGACTACAAACATTTCAAGTCAGATCCTATCACTCTTTAAATACTCTTCCAAAGTATAGGGAATTTAATCAACATGCTGCATCTTAGGAAAGGGTTAAGAATAACCATTAGATACCACAAGGCAAATTTGGTTGGCAAAGGACCTGGAATATACTTACGACTCCCGGGGGAACTTGAGGCCGAACGAGTTTCGGTGGAAGGCGGTTCGATAGGGGAGGTGGAGGAAACGAGCCCGGTTCGGCCACGTTCAGGATTACTCCGAATACTGTACAATAATTAATTTCTAGGTCAACGAAGTATATAATCGGCAACTTACCTCTCCGGACGTCTTCTACGACTGGGTTGGCGGTCTGGGAAATTGGTTTCTGTTTCTTCCCATATTCTTTTAAACGTCGTTGGTGATGAGACCGCATCAACGACAGAAGCTCCTAAGCTCGATCGTTTCTCGAGGATATCTGTAAGGCTACAATCGTCTTCAACTTCATCTTCATAGTTTTTGAACGCCGCGAAGGACCGCACACTCATTGCGACACGGCTCTCATTATCGGCCCCTGTACACGATATCATGTTTCGCCTACAAGGCGAATCACCACGTTTTGGGGGCTGTGTCATATTAGTCTCGTAAAAAGCGAATAAAATATGGACGTGTTGATTATGAGAATCTAGAGCGTACTTGCGTCATGGGGAGTAAATTACAGGTAACTAGAAATGGCTGATGTTTGGAGTGGGCGCGCCTCTCCTATGTTTCACTCTGGTATCTTGGAGGTTGATACGCATATAATGATATGATGCTGGAGTGCTTGAGCGTGTGACGTTGGAATAAGGAAGAATAGGGGAAAATGAAGAAAGGGACGAGTAGAAGACCTTGAGGGAAGTTAACACTTGAGTAGAATCGGCTCAGGTGTCTGAAGGCAGGTCTTTTAGAACCTCAGGTATTGGAGCGACCTGCCTCTTGCGCATTGACGGGTCATATTGAAAAGAAAAAGCTCTTAGCTTGTCATAGCTATATGCTCTTATTCATACTAGGAGGCCGGCTGTTACGCCGGAAACCTAGTTATCTTGCCAAGTTAGAAACTAATGGCCAGTATGAAAAAAGGGGGGATCATGTTTGTGGCAGATAGGTTTTCCTATTAAGCTTCCTAATCATCCTAAATGGGTTTCCTCGCAACTCATGGTGCATCTTATGGATTCTAGGCATTTTGTAATGCCTTTCACAATAATATCCTAGAGTTCATAGCAATATCACAGAATAACGAGGATGGCGTTATTCAACTTCTCTGAAAGTGGGTTTGAAAATAGCAGCTTTGAGACTGTTATACACGGTTAGTCGAATCTTAATAGAGTCGGATCTTGAGATAGAAGAAGCAAGTAGAGCCACCATTGTTTCGAATGTTGCCTCTACTTTATATATTAGGTACCTATCTAGTGAAGATAGGGGCCTACCACCTAGCTACCTAGCCGTAAGAAGTGATCTATGGTATGAGCTTGCTGTAGCATCATACAGAGCCTGCTAAAAAAAGGGTGTTTGAAAACACTCGAGTGTAATACAGCTCTTGGCTGGCCGAGCGGCCTTTGAAACAGATACGTAGGTATTGGCATCAAAAGCTTAATGCCTAGTCGGAGGTCTATGTAAGGGCTTACCGGGTTTTCTTTAATAGTTGTTAATATGTTAATAGAATAATGATCATATGTGACTGCTAATGTTGTATGTTGAAGATGGTGGTGATGGTTCATTTTGAGCCTTATTGATTGTATGGCATTCTAACTAATGTTTTATAAATAACTGCCTATGTAATTGTGATTGTTAGATGAGGGCTGTATAAGATTTTATTAAGAATGTTTTATGTTAAAGTAACTACCTAAGGTTAATTAAGCATATGGGGAACTGTTACAATGTAGGTTGGAATACTTCAAATAGTACCAATAAGAATACTGGTGATATCCAAAGGGCGCTAAACTGTCCGTCAACCGGGCCAAGCTATTTTGTTCCGATCATGAATATTATTGGTTGGGGGATGTTTTGGTATTTTTTTCTTAGGGATGACGGATAAGGAAGCCTTGACGCGCTGCTGGTAGATCCTGCTTACATGTATTGTTTATGTACCGCAAACATATTATATTAGCTTGTTAGATACGTCTATGGTACACAAATAACGGTAGTGGGAATCCCACATAGCTACCCTATCAACTGGTAATCCGGGGACCACCTGGGCAGTCTAAACAATAACCCCTGAGTGGGAAAGCGCGTACATCCAGTCGGAAAATTCGATGCGCGTTACCCCCCTGCGAAATGTTGCTGGTAGGTTACGTATGTAAGAAAAATAATAAACAACCCCAATCGCGCCACTTACAAAGAGGGTACATAACCTCCTTTTAATGGCGAGGGGCAGCTCCGCTTTACTTTTACTTTTTCTGTTATGAAAATGAGAAAATGGGAAAAAAAGGGAGAATAGGCGCGTCTCGTCAATCTTGCATCGCGAATTCGGCCGCACAATGGGTCTTAATTCTTGACGTGTTGAATTACTTACAGGGTAATGGGACCTGTTAGAGACCTCATGTTATTGTCTTGTTCAAACTAAACTGTCCGCTTTAGTTTAATGTTGCTTGGTGCTTGCAGCTACCAGGTAGCCAGACCCCCACAATTATACTTTTTTTGCTTTGTTTATATACCTGCAGTTCCATTCTAACAACCGTGAACAAAGAAGGGAAATGAAACTATGTGAATACTGTTTACATACGCGTTTCCCAGCCACTAGCGGGAACCTGACCTTTGTCTGTACATAGCAATAGAAGATTTCGTATGTGCAGTAAATCATTTTCAGGACTTAGATAGAATGTCATAATACCTATCTATTTCTGCTTAAGAGTGATTCAATTACGATTTTGGTTTTATTAGTTGACGCTTTCAATTCAATGTTGTAGGTCTTTTATCATTGTGTGTTGCGCTGCAAGTCGTGATCGATCTTAATAGAAGAAAGTCAGAAGGTCAGAGGGGCCATATCATATCGGTTTTTAGCGTACCTCATTGAGCGTACCTCATTGATTAGGTGGTATTGAACACAGTCCGCGGCCTTTTAATATCGGCTAAAAAGTTAATCGGTACTTAGTAGTATACCCTCTTTCATGCTTATATGGAAGTATCTTATATCATCGAATAGTGGGGGATTAAGTCTAGCACACTGGTAACACCCCTTGTGTCGTTGTAAGGCGCGACATGCAGGCACGCCAAAATCATAGCAAGAACAGAGCCAGGTCTTCCTTCCCTAGCACGGTCCATTCAGCCCGTTGTTACCATTCAACCTCCATCCAAATCCACGAAACCACTCCGCTGCCTCTTTCCCAACTTTGCTGTTGCCCGCTGCAGTCGTTCACGAATTTAGCTTACCTGCCGTAATTCCTCCCAATATCGAACTCCCTTTTTTACCATATTTTATTCATTTCGCTCTTTTTATCTATTTTTTCAATTCTTTCCGACATACGAACAGTACCAGGAAGCGATCGAATAATAGGCGTATTCTCCCTTGCAAACCATCTCGGATATTAATTCTGGCTTATATCGTCGATGACAGAAGAGCATGCGCTAGAAGGAGCTGCATACCCTTAGGGGCTTCAGGACATATTTGCTGATAATATCTATCCTTCGACAAACTTTCTTATCAGGCCTGGCTTTTACCAACTCACTGATACTTTTGGCTTCAACTCATAACAAAACTGATCCGCGCCTTTCGCCTCGATTATTCCACCTACCGTACCCCCTTCTACCTTAACAACTTACTTAGCTTCTGCGGTCACTACCTAAACTTCATCTGCATGAGAGAAGATGACTATAGAGTCTGATTCGGTATCGGCGGCACCGCCGCTATTAAAGCGACAGGCGCACGATACGACAAGCCCCGCCGCGCGCACACCTTCGAGGATAGGCACTCCTCCCCCACCCTCTGACCGAGGAACACTACAGGTGATGAATAATGTCGAAGGTGGTAATTCAAGAAATATACGTCATGGTGGACGGAGAGGTGAGAGGGCAAGTATAAGCGGCATCGATCCGGATACTTTGACGCGGGCTCTTTCGAGGGAACTTTCTGCCGACAGACGAGATAGCGCTTCAAGTGCTAGTCCTAGTAGGAAGCGACAGCGTATCAATGGCGACAGGTTAGTGAAACCTAATTTTCACTCATTCTAGTGATTGAATATCTTTCCCGGGGTTGTGACTAGTTGTGTTGAATTCTACCATGATTGTTCCTTCCCGTTATAAGATTTGTTTTTGTTTTCTTCGATCATACATACTAAAAAATGTCTAGATTTATACCCGCGCGCGTTGGCCAGGATATAATATCCGCTTTCAGTCTCATGCACGAAGAAGGATCGCCAGCTACACCCTCAAGGCAGAAGAAGCGAACACCGCACGGGGAGATTGACTTTCACCGAAGTAAGCTGACTTCAACTTCCTTCTACCTGTTGACCCAGTGCTAATTATACCTAGCTGAGGAGGCGAACGATAGATTCTCCCGAGTATTAAGAGCGGAGCTTTTCGAGAACACCATACCGCAGGCCACGCCGCAAACGATGTCTCCGGATGCCAACTTACCAGGTTCAGCACACTCTACACACACCCATAACGGTACAAGATCCCACACTCCGCCTAACAACCCTCCTCCATCTCTACCCTCGAGCTTCACCCCGTCAACACCTCACAAGAATCTCTTTTCTTACATGTCTCCCCGCCATCATTCCAACGTCGCTGGCCAGCCGACGCCGTCCCGAACACCACAGAGCCGCCATGGCCCCAATCTGGATATACGATCAGAGATATATAGCTTGTCTCCAGTTCGCTTCGGAAGCCAACAAATGCTATTAAGCCCGCGACGCCAACCTCGAGCAGTTAGCAAAGTACCTTACAAGGTTCTAGATGCTCCCGAGTTAGCGGATGACTTCTATTTGAACCTGGTTGATTGGGGTAGTGCCAATGTCTTGGGTGTTGGTCTGGGCTCGAGTGTCTACATGTGGAACGCCCAAACAAGTCGAGTAAATAAGCTCTGCACGCTTGAAGATGACACGGTTACAAGCGTATCATGGATTCAGAAAGGCACACACATAGCCATTGGTACTGGAAAGGGTTTAGTTCAGATCTGGGACGCCGAGAAGACGAGGCGCCTAAGAACGATGACAGGGCATACTGCACGCGTAGGATCCTTGGCATGGAACACCCACATCCTCACATCAGGATCTCGAGATCGATTGATATATCACCGCGATGTCAGGGCCCCGGACCAATGGATGCGAAAGCTTATGGGACATAAACAGGAGGTTTGCGGCTTGAAATGGAACTGCGAAGATGGCCAATTAGCAAGTGGCGGGAATGACAACAAACTCATGGTTTGGGATAAACTCTCCGAGACACCTTTGTGGAAATTCTCCGATCACACCGCTGCTGTTAAAGCAATAGCATGGTCCCCTCACCAGCGAGGTCTCCTAGCCTCAGGTGGCGGAACTGCTGATCGAAGGATAATATTCCACGACACAGTTCGCGGGTCAGTCATCAACGAGATTGATACCGGAAGCCAGGTGTGCAATATCTCTTGGTCGAAGAATTCCAACGAAATTGTCTCGACACATGGCTACAGCCAGAATCAAATCGTGGTTTGGAAGTATCCCGCCATGACCCAGGTGGTCAGCCTAACTGGACACACTTACCGAGTTCTGTACCTGGCAATGAGCCCCGATGGCAGGACAATAGTCACAGGGGCTGGTGATGAGACCCTGCGATTCTGGACCGTATTCGGAAGGAGACCAGGACAGAGGGAAGACAGCGATGGCGGCGGACGACTGAGTGACTGGGGTGTCATTCGGTGACGAAATCAAATCCGGACTTGATCTATTGTACGATGACAAACCCTACTTCACCATAACGATATTCACCTAGTTTCACGACATCTTCGAAGGGAAAGCATATTGCCTTTCCACAGTTCCTTGCATCCATCGGCGTTTTGCATGTATGAGTCTGTTTTTTTTTGGGAGGGGTACCCGGATCTTTTTGGTGTCTTTACCTAGCTATCATGGTATCAGACAGAGATTGACGGGCTAGCTAATTCGCATTCAATTGCCTTGATGAACGGCCGGTAGCCGGGGTGATGTGTCCTTTTTTCTCCTTATTTTTGGTACGGAATAGCAAGGCGTTGCGGGAAGGGACGAGGGAGGGTGGAGGACGGGAAAGGCCGCAGACTTACACGTCTTTGGAAGGGAATGGATCACGATATGATACTGGTCGGTTGGCAGGCTCGACGGGACGTAACGTCAAATGAAGGGCGTTCGGCGTGAACCTGGAGCATCATAGGTATTCTTATGATAGCGGTGTGTGAAATAAAAAAAAGAGGAAACTAAAAGTTCTTGAACCGGAGTTGTCATGTGTCGTGTCGTGTCGTGTCGTGTGTATGAATCGATATGAAGTGATGTAAAACGTGCTCTGGCATAGTATAGAAGATATTATTAGCTTTTATTTAGCAATTATGAGCTATTGCATGTATATTATACTAGTAGCAAACCATGGAATTCTAAAGTTATCATATGATACAACCAAGCACTAAATCGATCAACTGTCGTAAAAGGGATGTATGTTGTTTATGATTTCTAGCACGCTATGTATAGTATCGTTGTACTCCGTGGAGAGCCATGTCTCATTAAATCCCACACCCGCCGTTTCGTAACCTCTTCTTCCTTCACTTCGCCGCCTTTCCCAACCGTCTTAACTCCGTGGTTCTCTACTTCTAAAAAAAAATTCGATATGAAGAGGGGTATGGGGTATCGAGACGTGTTTCTCATGAATAATCAATCTTTGACGATGCTAATAATGCTATATGTAGCTAACCGCTCGCACAAGAACTCCAAATCCGAAAAGGGGAAGAAACATAAACAACGGCGACATGTATGTATACATGTATCGAGAGCGCCTTAAGCGGGTATCGCCCGGACTTCGGCCGGACCGGAAGTTGGCGTGGTGGTTTCAGATTAAGGAAATGGAATCTAACCAATTATCCCGTTGACCTATCGAGGCCATCAAGTCGTTTATCCGATATCTTAAGAAATCCTTGAAAAAAGCCTAAGTGGTAATTATATCCAATAGTCATGATTCTATCATCCCATTATGATATTACCTCGTTAAGTTTCCTTGCTCGTACTGCATCGTTAATACGTTCGTCGATCCCGCTAGCCGTCGAATCGTTCTTATTTAGAGATTCGCTGTCCTTAGCTGGCTTCTCATCATGTAACAACGGGATGTCATCAACGCTCAACCGCCGGCCGCTGGCAGGGTCTTGAACCCTGACGGCTGCCTCGGCACCTTCTTCGGTATCGGTTGCGCCAAGCTTGTGCTCTACATCCGGCGCGGGAGTGGAAACCATCGAAGGAGATCCGAGTACGTCAGGGCTGTTCTGCCACTTAGCAACTTCAGCCTTCATGGCCTCGAGCTCCTTCTGGAAGCGCTTGCCGAAGACATCGATGTAAAATGTAGAGCCATTATATACGCTCCATACGAAGACCACGATGAGGAAAGTAGCTGATGCCCAACGACTGTAAAACCATAAGGGACAGGGCAACATGGTCAACACGGCGTATAAGTACTGGATCAGCATGAAGGCGAACTCCTGTAAGGTGTTTGGTAGCGAGAGCACGATTCTGCCGATCCAGGTATTGGAGTAGGAACGGCGCAACCAGGTGAACGATGTCGGGCGGCCGGCGGCGATCTTTTCGCGCCGGCGGACCGTAATGAAGAAATAGTAACTCAGCTGCCAGACGGTATACGGTATTGTGGACCAAGCGAGCATCGATATGAGATTACCGTAAGCGGTTGGGGAACCCGGTGGAGAGGTCTTGATGGTCCAGAGCGCGGGGAATCGTTCGCGCTGCTGCTCGGGTGAGAATAGATGAGCTATGCAATGTAGCGTCACACACGGCATAATATGGATGAACAGGGATGTGACCTTGTCGAAGTCGTGGAACACGAGCGAATTACGCCACATTATAATAGCCACGGCGTTGTTTCCGTAAGCCAGGCAGTACGCAGCAATAAACAACCTCTTAGATGCCGGGAAGACCCAGAGACTGAGGAAAAGTAGTAGGTTGACGAAGTAACAAAGGTCGGCTAAGAAATAATGGTAGCCGCGTCGCCGGTAGGTATAAAAGCGGATGGGCATATAGTAGACGAGCTGGGCCGTGTACCAGACGTGAAAATACTCGGGGTAAGCGCCCAACAAGTAACCACTGATAAAAATGTTCATAACACCACCGATGAACGAGACCTTCTCGCGCATCGTAATAACCTTGGTATCGTTCCATTGGCGTCCTAATTTCTCTACGCTCTGCTTCATGCGCTTTCTATACCTCACCAACTGCTCATCAGCATCGGGTACCCTTCGCCGCCATTCTTCGACCATGCGTTCCTTGGCCACCTGGCCTCTATTCTTAAGAGCGGCTCGCGATTTGCGGACTTTCTCCGTCTGCGCTGATATTCCTCTTTGCAGCTTCTCTAACTGCTGTGGTAGGGCGAAATTATCGAGAAGGTCAAGGACAGTTAATCTATCCAGCGGAGGATATGAGTCCCAATCTTCATGATAGGAACTACTCCCCGAGAAGGAGGGATTCCTCGATATTCGAGGGCTGTTGGAGGCATCGCCTAGTTTGTGCGGATCGACCACAGGATGCTGCTGAGGTGATGAAGTTTGAGATGGAGATGGGGTCGTAGTATCGTCGGGAGTTAGAGCATTTTCATCGTCAGTATGGGTTCCCTCCGACTTGGAGGGTGCTAATCTGCTGGAATCGGCCATTTCTGCAAGGGTGCGAATTGGGAATCGTTGGATATCGTTGCGGAAAGACACTCTACGAAGAGCTTCAGCTCCTCTTAAAACTAATATGTCAGCCATCGCCGAGTGAACAATGAGGAATGGTTCGAGAGGGGAACAACGAATACGAACTTACAACAAGAGTAGGGGATTGCTTATAGTTAATAATAATTATTATTATTCTTTTGCTGGTCCGAAGAAGACGACTTCACCTTGTCCGTTTGTGCGTCCGAGTGGATGCGATATTAGGATTCGGTCCAATTAAATAAAGAGCCGACAACAGGTTGAAGCTAGAGACAAAGAAAGAAAAGCGAAGATAGGCAGACAGTGGGCGACATGTGACTTTTGGTAGGTAATGATAGACACGCGGTAAGATTGCGTGACTCTTAGAGGCTTGTGATTATGATCTAGAATTGAGGTAAGATATAGTCCTGTCGAAGTTAGGAAAAGTATAAAAAAGTAGGTGGGCGGAAATGTTGAAATTCTGATCCTGTAAGTGGCTGTCTCTAAAGGACGTGTCTCAAGCGCGACCTGTGGTTGGACGAAACTAAGCGGCTCTTATTATTGTGAGATCTCCAAAACTGTCAACTGCAGAATGGATGTGACTTTAAGACATAGGTAGGTTATATATGTGTTAGTTATGTGTATAAGTATTCCAAGTATTTGAACCCTTGGACGAACGGTTTCAAAGCTGGAACCGAATCCTCTTTTTGATTCGTGTTCGATTTATAGAGGACGCAACTGGTTTTTGTTAAGGGACGTGCATCATCGTCTTATGTTTTTTTTTTTCTTCGTAAAGCGTAAAGCGACAAAAAAGAATTGAAGGGGAAAATCAAGAAATAAATCAACTTAAACTTGTTACTTGTTGATTATGTATTCCGTACCCGGGATAGATATGATAAGTCGTTTGATAGCTAAGACCCTGAGAAGCAGGTATGATGATGACGCCATTAGGCATTTATAGTCAACCTTAAATTTATGTCACCTAAATTCTAGAATATAGAGCTAAGACTAAGCCTACCTACCTACACTAGTCGACTCAACTTATATACAACATGTTAGTAAGATTCGAAAAGAAAACGTGATATTTGACTATGCTAATGCCTCGGGTTAGCTTTTATTTTCCTTAGCCTTTTTTGGTGGGTAGACTTCATTTGGTTTACAAAAGTAGAAGGGTAGGTAGACAAAAAAGAACTTTAAAGATGCTTATAACAGGTATTCCTATTAGGTATAGCTGCAATATTCAAGCTGATTGGTGAATTGAGCTATGGCTGACACTTGCCTGTCAGCTGTATACGCTAATACTAGATCGGAAAGGAAAAGCCCCCGCGTCCGTACCGATGTACAGTCGCGTCTTGTAGGTACTTTCCGTAAAGCCAAAGCGTGGAAAAAGTATGGACAGACATATTATCGTGATACCTAAAACCTTGGAACTTATCTATCCACGTACATAATAACTACTTACATATTATTTGCATCATAAGGTACACTTACGGATACCTTCAATGCGCAAAGGCGCTCAGTCTTAATATACCCTTCTACCTATTCATTGAAATGTCATAACTGAAATCGCAATCGGATCCAAAGCCGCTTAGCGACGCTGGATCCTCTTTCGCATATTACCTCGCGTCGCGTCCTCATCTAACCAACATTAACCCACCACGTATTCTAGATAAGCCTTTTTACCAGTTAAGCCAAGATGGGTAAACTCATTCGTCTTGAGCTATTTAGTGCGTATACTACTCTATAAGAAGCTTTGAATATGCGACAAAAACTAATAACATGAAGATTTCAAGTCCTATAAGGGCCATCATACCCTTCTCTTTGGCGACTCGTATTTTACCTCCATTATCGGCCCAAATGGATCAGGCAAATCCAATTCGTATGCCCTACCCTCTCCTGCTTTACAATCGGCCCTTGCGCATTGCATATTAACTTAGCTCTGTAGTATGGATGCCATCTCCTTCGTCTTGGGTATCAAGTCGTCGCATCTACGTTCTGCCCACCTGAAAGATTTAGTATACCGCGGTCGAGTTCTTAAGACGTCCAAGATCAATGACGATGGTTCGGCTGCCGAGCCGACTACGAATGGACATACAAATGGACACGTTAACGGCGACGACAACGATAAACCGAATCGTAGTGACCCCAAAACCGCTTGGGTTATGGCTGTATACGAGGATGATGCTGGCGACGAGCAGCGATGGAAGCGCAGCATTACGAATCAGGGTTCGAGCGAATATCGTATCAACGACCGTGTCGTCACAGCCCAGCAATATAACGAGGCCCTCGAAGCTGAGAATATTCTTATCAAGGCCCGGAACTTCCTCGTCTTCCAGGGAGATGTTGAAGCTATCGCGGCTCAGTCTCCACAGGATTTAACTCGTCTAATTGAGCAAATTTCGGGCAGTTTGGAATATAAGCCCGAATACGAGAAACTCCAAAGCGAAGCAGATCAGGCCGCCGAGAATTCTAACTTTCAACTCCAAAGACGGCGTGGTATTAATTCCGAAATTAAGCAATACCAAGAGCAAAAACGCGAGGCCGAGAATTTTGAGAAGAAGACGGAAGAGCGCGATGCGGCCATCGTTACCCACATCCTCTGGAAACTATACCATTTTCAGCAGGTTATGGATGATTCCAGTGCTAAGATCCAGGATCATCAGGAAAATCTTAAGGAGTTCCGGCGCAATGTCGAATCATTTGAGAGGAAGCTTGAAGCTGCTCGCAAGGAGCAGGCTGATGCAGCAAAGGAGGTCCATAGGGTAGAGCGACAAATCAAGCGGCAGGAAAAGGAGATTGAGGAGAAAGAAAATAGTCTCGTCCCTATAGAGGAAAAAGTGCAGCAGACAAGTTCTCAGGCCGAAACAATCCGAACCAGGATCGAGGGCGTCAGAAAAGAACGTGATGAGCAGCGCAAATTGATCGCCAAGATCGAGAAGGACTTGGCCACAGTTCAAAAAGCACAGAAGCAGTTCGAGGACCAGTGGAAAGAGACGATGAAGAAGCAAGGAAAGGAGCTAAGCGATGCCGACCGAAAGGAATACAACACTCTTCGGGCGCAAGCTTTAAATAAGTCTTCGGAGAATCAAGCTAAGTTGGAAAACCTCAATCGACAGCTAAAAACCGATGAAGTCACCGTAAATAGTCTGAAGGGCAAGGTTGACGGCTATCAAGCTGCCGTAGAAAAACTAGAGACCGAGTTAGCAGCTATCCAGGAGCGAAAACGCACCACTGAAGCTACTGTAAAGCAGCTCTCGAGCGAGATGGATGCCAAGAAGAAGGAATTCAATCAAATCCAGTCAGAAAGGGTTAGGACTAACCAGAGACGAACTGAACTCGACGAGAAGCTTCAAGACGTCTTACGGAAATTATTAGAAGCAGACGATGGGAGGCGTCAAAATGACAAGGAGGCGCGAATAAAAGAGATGGTCACTTCTCTAAAGCGTATCTACCCAGGTGTCAAGGGCAGAGTTGGCGAGCTATGCAAACCGAAACAAAAGAAGTTCGATGAAGCCGTCATCACTGCACTCGGGCGCGATTTTGACTCTATTATTGTCGACAGTGAGAAAACCGGTGTCGAGTGTGTGCAGTATTTGAAAGACCAGCGTTTCCCGCCAATGACTTTTATCCCATTAGACAATATCAAGGTTAACGCGGTGAATACCGCTGTCAAAGGCATTTCCGGTGCTCGCTTGACGATCGATGCCATCGATTTTGACTCGTCTCTCGAGCGTGCCATGTCCTACGCTTGCGGCGGCTCAATTGTCTGCGATACACTGGATATTGCGAAGCAGGTTTGCTACGACCGCAGGATTCAAGTCAAGGCCGTAACCTTGGAAGGCTTCGTTATTCACAAGGCGGGCTTGATGACTGGTGGACGAGTCCAGGAAAATAAGGGAAACAAACGCCGCTTCGAGGAACACGACGTTCAAAATCTACAGAAGATGGCGGATAAATTCCGTGATGAAATCGAGAAGATACCTAGGGCCGATCGACGTGGCGTAGCAGAGGAGTCATTACAGAACGAGCTCGCCGGGCTTGATCAACGGTTAGCATTTGCTAACAGTGAACTAGCTGCTTTCAACCAGAATCTCACTAGCAAGAAAAAGGAGTTGGAACATGTCAAGCGCCAACTTAAGGAGTGGCAGCCCAAGTTCAAAGATGAAGACAGCAATTTACAGAAAACTCGAGCGTCGGTCGAGAAGTTCAAGTCTGCGATCGCCGAGGTGGAAGATAAGATCTTCGCCGACTTCTGCAAACGACTCGGATATTCTGACATACGAGCCTACGAAGCACAACAAGGTAGTCTTGAACAAGAGGCCGATGAGAAGCGCACACAGTTTGACCTCCAAAGATCAAGACTAGAAAGTAATAAGAGCTGGGAGACATCAAGATATAAGGATACCGAGAACAGACTTCATAACCTTGAGGTCCGCCTTAAGCAGTTGTCCGAAGATATCAAATCCTATCGAGCGGAGAAGAAGGCGATCGAGGAGGCAATGAGCAACGACCAGGATAACCTCGAAGCTTTACAGGAGCAGCTGGATGAATACAAAGCTGAACTTACCAAGCGCACCGAGAAAGTCAACGCAGCTAAGGCGGAGGTGCAAAAGAGAAGTAAGGATATCGAAAGTAGACAAAAAGCAATCAGTGCTCTAGAGACGGAGGTTCAGAAGAACAGTGCTGGGAAGTTTGCTCTATTAAGACGATGTCGACTAGAGCAGATCAATGTCCCCTTAATTTCAGGATCACTTGACAATCTTCCAAACGAAGACAACCTCTTACACCAAGACCCAGACGCTATGGATGTGGATGACGGTGACGACGCCGAGATGATGGATAACGCTATGGATGATCACGGTATCGAAGTTGACTTCGACCAGTTGGATGATGATCTGAAGAATGTAAGTTGGTGATTAAAACTTGACAAGGGTAGACGCTAACTTAGACAGCCTGACGATGAGGGCATAGAGGAGAAGCTACAAGAGAAGATATCATCTCTCACCGCAGAGCTGGAAAAGCTAAACCCCAACATGCGAGCAATAGAACGCCTAGAAGTTGTTGAAGCGCGGCTCAAGGCTACAGAAAGGGATTACAACGAATCAAAAGCGGCGTTTGAAGCTGCAAAGGATGCCTTCGACGAGATCAAAACTAAACGCTTCGAGTTGTTCAACAAGGCGTTCGTACACATCCGGGAGCAGATCGAGCACGTCTACAAGGACCTAACGCGGTCGGACCAGTACCCTCTTGGTGGACAGGCTTATCTAGATATCGAAGAAGACACGGACCGGCCGTATCTGTCGGGCATCAAGTACCACGCGATGCCGCCGCTGAAGCGCTTCCGCGATATGGAGCACCTGTCCGGTGGCGAGAAGACCATGGCTGCTCTCGCCCTGCTCTTTGCTATCCATTCATACCAGCCCTCTCCTTTCTTCGTCCTTGACGAAGTCGATGCTGCCCTCGACAACGCCAACGTCGACAAGATCAAGAACTACATCCGCGAGCACGCTGGCCCTGGAATGCAGTTCATCGTTATTAGTCTCAAGACGGGTCTCTTCCAAGATAGCGAGAGTCTGGTTGGTGTATATAGGGATCAAGAGGTGAATAGCTCGAGAACGCTGACCTTAGATGTAAGCTTCCCCCCTCTCTCCTTACTTTTAAACTTACTCTTTACTTTAACTCCTTTCCTTTACCTTCCTTGGCTTTATATATAGTTCATATTGTACTAACTTCTCGTTCTTAGCTACGTAAGTACGTATAATATCTAAATCAGTTTTATAAGAAAGAGATATTTCCATAGGAGAGGGATGTCATGAGGGACGGGTTCACGAATGACTAGGTAGTAATGGGTGGTGGGTTCGTGTTAGCATGGATGGCGAGCCTCAAATCATAGCTTTAGGGGCTTTGCCGAAGCATTATTACGTTGAAGATACCTTTAACAAGATCCCAAACATCCTATTTGTACTATACGTATTCCTTCGGAACGGTGTAGATAGGTATGTATCGTTTACATGGTATCACCTGGACTTTTTGTATTCCACGTCTGCAGCCAATTCTAGAAATCCAAATGTAATTGTTTGCTATCCATTTTTGGACGCCTCGCCTATGCATATCTGTCTAGCGGGAATTTAAGTATAAAAAAACCCCTGAAAATCAAAAAGACGATACGCTATGCCTTCCTATACATATATACTTAGGGTATCGTAACCACAAGGAAGTACTCACATATACTTCATGTGCTCTCCCTTCCCTTACCCTAGTGCCCGCAAACCCAACACACATAAAATTTTATTAGTTTTATTTAGACGTCCTCGAATTGCATCTCATCATCATCCTCGCTTTCGCCGCCGTTGGTTGGCTCCGCTAGCTTGACCTTCTTTGAAGGCCTATCTTCCGAGGTGGGAGTATCCGCAGCACTAGTGGGACCGCTCGAAGCAAGACGCTTCTCGCCAGTAGAACTAATATTCGCAGAGATTTCCACGAACTCTTCATCCTCACTTTCATCTTCCTCACCGTCCTCATCATCTTCCTCAGCTTCTTTCTCAGCCTTACGCCTTGCTTCCTCGGCTTGGGACTTCTGTAATGTCTTGAATAGCTCCTCCATAGCTTTATCGTGGTTAGCGTCGCCGACTGATTCGTCCGGCATTTTAACGCTGTCGTCGTCCGTCTTAATTGCTGAACTTGAGTTGGAACCTCCGGCAAATGATAGACCAGAGACAGTGCTTCGGGTATGCCACTCCGGCAACGCGTTCATCTGAGCAACCTCCTCTTTACGGGCGCGTTCAGCTTCTTTCTCGGCTTCGGTAGGGCCATCCGTGTCTGTAATGCTGATCGCAATACTCTGGGGGCCAGTATTCGCCATACCCTTGACAGCGGTTGGTTTACCAAGAGATTCGACGGCGATCGAAGGGGCGACCCTGTTGGCTTCATCGCGGTAGACAGGGGCAGCTTGAGAATATAAAGTCTCAAAGTCGGCGTCGGGAATAGTAACGGTATCGAGCTTCGGCAGGACTTCGATGATGAATTTGATCTGACTGTTTAGTCGAGTAGAGAGCTCGTGGCCGCCAGCCTCGCGATCGGGGTCAAAAACGAGGACTGTGTTGCAGCGGTGACATAGAAAACCTCGGACAGGATCGTTATTGTCAACAACATCGAGCATAGTCCATTCGGCCTTGCAAAGGGGACAAAAGTATTCCTTCTTCTCTTGCTGGGGGGTGGATTCGCCTTGAACTTTCTTGTCGAGTAGGAAAGTCCTATACTTGATAGCATCGATGGCCTGGCGATAATCGATGTAATAGTATGTGCGATTTCGTGGTTTCTCTTTGTCTTTCTCAAGCTCAGGTCTCATATGGCTATGACAATAGCAATTAGTTCAATAAGTGTTAATGAATAAGGGCCAAAAAAGGTAGCCGTACATCTGCAATAAGTGATCTTCCTTTAGCTTGCCGCAAACCCTGTGCAAATCTTTCCCATTGAGGTGGACTAAGTAAGATAAGTCGTCGTCGCGCAAAGTCGTATGGCGGACCAATGCATCAATGATAATGATCATTCTACGATCCTCGGGATTGGTATAGAAAGCGCGTACGACAGAGCGTACTAGGGTCTGTACCATATCCATGATGACGAAAGATGCTAGACGAATAGGCGCAAATGGTAGGTAGAAGAGTCGTTGGATTGTTGGATTGCGACAGAAAAGTTGAAGAAGCGGAATGCGATAATACGAGAATATGAAAATGTAAAAATGTAAAAATAATAGAATTAATGGTAGACGGATGGGTAAGTAAGTAGCAGACAAAGCCACTCAAAAAATGATAGTGAATGTAGTTTCCATCATTTGTCAGTTTATTGCCGGGCAGTTATTGACTTGTAGGAAGTTGGCGGTGGTAGAATATCTAAAGAGGACAAAGCGAGAGGCAAGATGCGATGTTCCGTGCGAAGGTTCCGTCGGATGTTCCGCTTAAGGAAGAAGACTATTACAAATTGGCATGCTGGATTAGACTTGAACCTAGCCCATCAACTAACCAGCATTTAGGTACCTTATAGGGTTTGAATTACGAATTGGGAAACCCTAATGGTCGTTTCGCGTTGCGCGTTTCTAAGATATCGAACAGCCTCGAGCGATTGGCGAAGTTGAGGAAGTCTATCCAAATGTTTAGCTTGACGGATATTACCTAAGAGGTACCTAAGGACCTTAGAGGTATCATTTCTCGGACATTCTGTTTGTCCGGTCCCGCTATCTTTTTTATCTTTTTGTCGTAACTTTAACTCCAAATATTTAGCTGACGTCACATGCCAATACCAAATGTACATTCAAGTAGGTACCTACATTTGTAAATGGGGAGGCACTACCAGCAATCTATATGTAATTCGTAGGAGATATTTGTAAGAATTCCAAACTGAAATAATACATGATGACGTCTATTCGAGTACAACCCACTCTAGATTATTTCTCCGAATTTATCAGGGAGTTCTACAAACACTCACTCTCTTAAGGCAAAAAGGTAAACGAGGATAAGGTTGCAACCAGCATATTTACTCACTTCTACAACACAAAGACGATATTAAATAAAACATGTAGTTAAAACATGTATAAACGACTCGAATATCGTCAGAAGGCTCCTACGCCAAGGGTCATTATAAGAACATTGAAAACAAGACATAAATAAAATGACTCTCGACTTCCCACCTATCTATCTATTACCTACTCATATCGAACCCAACAAGTTGCCAGAACTAGAGAGTAAAATACCTACTTTAACCCATAACATCGATGAGTCTAATATTATCCTGGGCAAGATATCTAATAAGGAAAGGGCAAAATTCGAACTAAGGCGCAGAGACATTCTAACTGAAGATATCAAATTATCTTCGATTCCTCCCCTTACTCCGGAGACGCAGAAAGATGACCCATCTCCGCCACCGAAGCGAAGAAAGCTCTCGGGCTCGGTATCTTCTAAGCACACGCATGACTATAGGCAGATAACTGGATCTGAAGAAGAGAGTCTTGATGATAGTGCAAGTACTTTTGGTAGAACTAGTTGGGAAGACCAAGGGTTCGGAAAGACTACAGACGAAGATGACAACTCTATCGTCAGAGTTGTGAAATTTTCTTGGTTTATGGACTGTTTAGCTCAAGACTCTATTCTTCCAATAGATAAGTATTTGATATATGAAGGACGCAGGATACAAAAGACATCTAAGAAACCTCCTCCAAACTCTGATGATATCCTCAGACGTGCTCGACAAGAAGGCGGAGACGACAGCTTTTTATCAAAAGGAGGCTCTTCGCATATCTATGCATCTACCTCACAGCATTTCAGAACATCTGCTAATGTAAAGCGCCCTGAGTTGGTCCACGAGTCAACGTCAGAGCATGAGCGTCGCTCACACATGCCCCCGATTCCGGATTACTTACACACAACATACTCTTGTCAGCGTCCCACTCCTGCAAGCCCCCCTAACGACTCTTTTATAGATGAGTTAGAAAAGATTCGGACGTTCAGAACCCTCGAGGGTGACAAGGTAGGCATCAGAGCCTACTCTACAAGTATCGCCTCCTTGTCCGCTTACCCCTATCTCATTTCACACTCAGCTGGTAGGTGCTCAAAGAGCCCTTAATGTAGCATGGATTTATCTGATTTCGATTCCAGAAGTAGCCAGACTCCCTGGCTGTAGTGATAAAATTGCTGCGCTATATCAGCAATGGAAAGCGAATGGCTATTTAGAAGAGATCGAAGAGGCAAAGAAGGATCCGAAAATGTCTGCACTACAATTATTCTACAACATATGGGGTGTCGCAGATACTACTGCTCGCGAGTTCTATAAGAAAGGATGGCGAGATCTCGACGACATAGTTGAATACGGATGGGATAATCTGAGTCGAGTTCAACAGATTGGTATCAAGTACTACGACGAACTACAGGAGAAATTACCTCGTCGTGAAGTTGAAGAAATCGGGCAGGTTATACTGAACCACGCTAATAAGATTCGCAAGGGGTTCGAGATGGTTATCGTCGGAGGCTACAGAAGGGGTAAAAGGGAAAGCGGCGATGTTGATGTTATCCTTAGCCACCCCAATGCGGTCGCCACCTTAAACTTTGTCGCGGCTATTGTCCATAGTCTTGAGAAGGATAAGTATATAACTCACACGCTCATTATGAGCACCAAGAATAGCGACCGTGGGCAGACTCCAGTGTCATGGAAGGGACAGGACCGTAAGGCGGGCGCCGGATTCGATACCCTGGATAAAGCCCTAGTGGTATGGCAAGATCCGTACTGGGACAAGACCGCATCATCTAAGAATCCAAACCCTCATCGGAGAGTTGACATCATTATCAGTCCATGGAAGACGGCAGGATGTGCCGTAATTGGTTGGACGGGAGGTACGACCTTTCAGCGAGATCTACGGAGATATTGCAAGCATGTAAAGGCTCTCAAGTTCGATAGTAGCGGCGTACGGAGTTGGATGGATGGAAGTTGGGTAGATCTCGAGAGTGACTTGAATGGTCCAGCCCCGGATATGCTTACAGCGGAGAAGCGGGTTTTTGAGAGACTTGGACTGGAATGGCGTCCGCCGGAGGAAAGGTGTACAAGATGATTACATTTGCGATCTCGATTTCGTAATGGCCTATTGAAATCGAAGATGGGCTTAATAATGTCTGCGAAAATCATGCTGCACCTAGGGTCATTGCTATTATAAGAGTTCATCAAACCAAAGGGATAGGGTTTCGAGCCTTATTACCCCTGAGGGTGATAAATATTTGCACTATCTACTCCATTATCCATTCGACGCCTTATAGTTAGTAGAGGAAGTGTAAGATACGCACTTAATGTGATATAGCAAATCGATGAGCATGTTATTGTTGGATGATCTCATCTCGCTTCCCCTATTCGGAACTTTGTAGGATTGCATACGAGCGGGACGGAATTGTAACAACACCAAAAAAAAAAAAAAAGGAAAAAAAAATACAAATAAAAATAAAAATACAAAAAAGCAGGCCCTAGGCTCGAGCTGCGCGCATTTGACCTGAACAATGAGACCGTCTTGCCGCCCTGCCGCTGACTCGAACCCGGTACCTTCGAAAAACACCGCGAAGGCATTTTATCTACGCCGTCTTACCTTCAGACCACTAGGCCACAGCCTCTTTGGCTTCGTATCTTCAGGTCAGGAGTGATGGAGGGGCTGTTAATGGGCCTTATAAGTTTGCTTCGGGTACATGTAGTTATGTATCTGGTTGCCTGGAGACTGCGTTGCTATGGAGGTGCCTGAGGTAGACACTTGTTTACATGAACTGTAGACAGGTAATTTTGATGTGTTAATGTTTATATAAGGTACTGAATAAGCCCAATGGTATGGTCAAGTCGTATTAATGCATTTACCTATAATACACGTGTTTGTATGTCTAGATGGATATTATACATCTTATAGATGGGAAAGGATCCAGTGCGCCTGTACGCCCATTTCTCATATCTATTTCTTAAATAGTTAATCGTCTTATTTCACATACAAGGTAGGTATACATAGGTGCTCATCCTCAGTCATGTAGGATGATAGAATATCGTGGCGGTCTGCATTCAGCTTCGTCACCAGCCCCCATAAACTACCATCTACCATCGTCACCCTTCCCTTTCCCCTTTTTCTTAGCCCATCACAACTTAGATTCAGGTCTATTTCTCCCATCATCACCACTAGACCTCTCCAGTATCCAATCTCCCACATCTTGATAGAACTCCTCCTTCCCGGGATCAGCGTGTAACTGGTGCGCCCAACCCTCATACGACTTAAACTTGCCATCCTCCACCTTCTTCCCCTGCTGCTCCCACCACTCCCGCACGCGATCATAACTCGTCACCATATCCGCGGTGCCATGCGCGAGAAACACAGCGCGCACGCGCGGCCGCAGCCGCAGCCTCCCCGCCGCCAGCGCCTCCGCGCGATCAATCATGCCAGACAGTCCCTCCAGCGTGCCCGTATAATGCAGCAGCGGGTCCGCCGCCAGACTCTTCTGCACCGCCGGGTCGCGACACAAATGCTCCGGCGGCACCGGGCGCACGAGCGTGAAATTCGGCACGACGCGCGCCGCCAGACGTCCCGACACGATCGTCAGCCGGTTCGGCTGGACAGATGGCGCAAACCCCAGGAACGGCGCCTCCAGGATCCAGCCGCGGATGCGGGATACTACGTCGTCGAACGCGGGGGTACTGGCTAAAGCGAGTATTTCACCACCGCCCATGGAGTGGCCTAGGACGAATACTGGGACGTCATCTGTGGAGGAGGAGGAGGAGGGGGAACTCAAGGCCCTCTCGCGGATGAAGGCCGCGAGATCCGCTAGCACGGTGGCTGTGGGACCGGTGCGTCCGCGGTCGGCGGGCCGGCGCACGCTTTTCCCCCAGCCGCGCTGGTCGAAGCCTAGGACGGCGATGCCGCGGCGCGCTAGGGACGGGAAGAGCTCGTAGTACCGGTCGATGTGGTCGCTGAATCCGTGGACGGCGACGAGTTTTGCTTTGGGCGGGACGGAGGGCTGGGGAGGGTTAGTTTTTTGGTTGTTTAGGTATGTATAAGAGAGTGTTAGTTACATACGAGCCAGGACTTGGTGTGTAGGCTCACGCCATCAACCTCAAATGTGCCCTCGATAATATTGACATCTCCCATTGTGGGCAGCTGGTTGGTGGTGGTAATGAAAGAGCAATTGGAATCTATAAGATAACCTGATTGCAGATCAACGGTAGTGAAAAATGTAGTACCCGTCTATTTCTATCATATGTCGTTGAATAGTTTGGTACTTGAGGTAGATATAAGCTCTAAGTTGAAATAAAATGAAGCTTTGAGAATAGCTTTTGTACCTAGTTGCGAAGTAGCTGGGAGCTATGTAAGCAGAGTCGTATAAACAATACAGTTACTGATTGGTCAAGGAGCGGCTCATATAATATATTTGTATTGATGAATTTGTATTGATGACGGGATCGTATTCCCTCGAATAGGATGTGACCCAATCAACGTTTCTGCATCGGGAAGCTCACCGAGGTAAAGGTAACCAACTCTAAAGGCCTTGTAAGTTCAATTAGGCGTTGAAGGCATGTGAAATATAGTGGGGTATTGGGGTAATAAGCCACCACTAGGTACCAGTCAGGTACCTAATGTATACCTCCATTACTTCCTTATTAGATTAGGTAATTCAGTATAAACTTCCTAAGTCTAACAGCATAACTTCTTTTTATCTTCTCTTACCTATTCTACTTTTCGGGTTAAACGGGATAAATATAAATATACATCCCTCGATATCTCGTTAGCATTTCCATGGAACCCTTACATCCATAGTCTTAGGAACTAAGTGCCCAAGCATCCCAATGATAACCAGAGCTTCTCTATCTTCTTTTTCGACGTGCCGCTTACCGCTACTAATATCAATGGTTTGTACCCGGTCTAAGTATTCATATAAGGTTGCGCTTAACCCGGCTATACTGCACATAGCGATCATTTGAACGCCGAAGAAGGACGCACTAGACGACGGATTCGGCGGCACGTGGAGTTGACGGCGATCCACAATGAGTGCCCAGAGCGGGTAGTTAAGTTAGTTGGTTAGACCCGGTAGATGACTCGAGGATGAGTAGTGGGTAGTGTTAGTTCTAGATTTAGATAAAATATATTTATTGCTTTCAGCTAACCGCTGTGGACCCCATTTGGCACATACCCACTTTGTGGCATAGGTTTACACCAAAACTACTACCTTTTCAACCTTGAATAATATCATATATGTTGATGATATAAATTTAAAACTGGATTCATTTGATACTTTAAAAGGTCTTATTATTAACCATATATTTTTAATAAAATAAAAAAATTTATTTATGGTATAATTGCTATGGTTATTGCTTAATATAAAAAGTACATCGTTTTTATATGTAAATCAGGTATAAAAATAAGTATTTTTTAACAATATAAGGAATTAAAATACTATAATAATAAAGCCTTATATTTTAAATCTAAATCTGGTAATATAGTATTTTAAATTCTTTATATACATAATATACAATTAGTTATTATTGGTATTTTATATTATTAAAATATCCAAGTTCGAAAATAGCCTTATATTAAATTATATTATATTTGTATAAACAAAACTTTCAACTTGTATATTAAGCCACTTAATTTAATTATAGTTATAAAACTTTTTATATAGCGTAAAACTAATTATATTAACCTTTTAAGCCTAATATCTTTAAATATAAAATGCTTAAAAGTAAATTATCGTAACGTTTTTTTACACCTAATTTATATGTGATATTTAATATAGTACACTAAAATACCAATCTTATTATAACCACCGCTTCAAGTCCAATATTATATATATAGTCAAAAACACAAATTAATTATCTACCAGCTGATACTAGCCTCAAGTAAATATCATTAATATATATAATATTATTCAAGGTTAAAAATGTAGTGTTTTGGTGGAAAATGTCCCACAAAGTAGGTATGTGCCAAATAAGGTCCACAGCGGTTAGTTGACTGTTCTGACATATACATGGAGTTGGGTAACACAACAAGAGTTGTACTCTAAAAATAAATCCTAGTAACACAAAACCACGACGTATGCTAAATGCGGAGCTTTATGATAGAAAGAGATACAAGATTAAACAACCAAGCGGCCGCTAGAATTGTGCCATCTACTGCAACTGATATTAGAACTATCGAATTGTCTTTAAATATAACGCGTAGCAGATAAGATTAAGTGAGCAAATCTAGTTAGAAATAATCGTTAGTATGCACTTGTTGTATCCGCACTTAAGTAAATGGGTAAATGGTTTAGGCCTATGATGTAATGGTACGGGGTGCATGTGACGCCGTCCCAAGCTAAGTAAAAGACCGGCTGCCAATGGAATTCTCTTGTAACACCACTCGTCGTGTTACACTGTATTCCAAGGGCTCTTTCTCAGCTTCCCTTTTATTGGGTTCTGAGTTCTCAGTTTGAAAAAAGACTGAAGGTGCACCCGAGCTGAGTAATATAAGTTTCGCTTGAAATAATACAAGCGAAACAACATTGTACTACCGTAATCTGAACTTTTAATCCTAAAGACTAACCTCGTTACTCACCGCCGTCGGAAGGTAACCTTCGGAGAGTACCTAATATACGTAAATAACCTACCACCTCGAATCCCTATATACTATACCTTAACACCTTTGAGAATGCCTCGTCCGTGGGAATTTAACGAGGAGGGCCCCGAGCCGGAAGAGGAGCGACGGACCCTGCTACGAGAAGGCGAGGAAAAAGCGCGGCGTGTCTTTTCCGACTTCATCGAATTCGCTTTCTCGGGCAACATTCTTGAAATTGCATTCGGTTTGATGTCAGTGAGCCCGTCTAGAGCTTAGGGCTGCGGACCACTGACTCTCGTCTCTGCAGCCTAGCAACGGCATTCACAGCCGTCACTACCTCACTCGTGAGCGATATACTTCTCCCTCCACTCTCCATCATCCTCCCACTACGAAGAAACATGGGCGAGAAGTTCGCCGTGTTGAGACCAGGGCCGAATTACAACGACCAAGATGGCTACAACACCCTAGATCAGGCGCAGAGTGATGGGGCCGTCATTCTAGCTTATGGGTACGGATAGTTAAACGCCTTCGTTGTTGACAATAGGTTCTCGGTAATTAACTTCGTCGATTAGTATATTTCTCAACAGGGTCATCAATTTTCTAGGCGTCGGCCTAGCCCTGTACGGCCTAGCAAGCTTGTACCAGTGCCTGTCGCACGATCCTATCATCAAGCATACCGTCAAGTGTCGATACTGTAGGAAGAGTGTCAGCTCAAAGGTATGTGATTTTGACCCTAAGGTAGCTGGCCACTAGGGACCGATGGGTCTGACCGATCTAGGCAATCCGATGTGTGAATTGTACTAGCTGGCTCGATGGGCGAGAAGAGCGGATGCGATAGACGACCCATAGTTACGAGTTGTTTATCGGAAATACCGACTGAATATCGTGTTTCCGGTCAGTATGTATGCTTCGAATTAATCACCTTTCGGGATGCATTCTAAGTATTATTCTTTTTTAGAGAATGTCTCATATAAACACTTTGATAGGCTTTAGACCACTTGGTTTAGCATGATCGGATCGAACATTCTCGTCATTGAGTTTCGGTGTTGGCGTAGATCGGCGCATGGGCACCAGTGAAGTTCGAGGAAACGTCACGAGGGGAAATCCGGTTTCAGGGGGGTATGGCGTATGTTGGGAGAGTATTTGCCTTACAAGAACTTCAATCCAAATTTGGGCCGAGTACTAGTACTTCTCATGCTTATGGAGATATTGTTAAATGAGATTTTTGGTTGAAATCAAAGACTTCTTGATTAATAGTGATCGTAATTGTTGTAATTATGAAATTCACTTTGTGAAGACTAAAAGTTCGAATTGGAAAGTTGAAGATTAGGTATCTTGTATAACTATATGCCGCAAATGAGGTATGCACTAATGAAGTAAAGCGTTGATCAGATAAAGCCGATAAGCTATTTTACTGCTACATCTGCATATGTTGCATATGTAGAGTTGCAGCCAAGTTTTAATCCCTGGAACCGACCCGCGATGTATGATGTCACTGTTATAGCAACGTGGTTAGGGGCAATATAATTTCTTCTAGTTCATGTTAAACACCTTTTAATACCACAATGCCTCGAGTCAGATCTGATTTTCGCGTACTAAAATTTAATGGACGCGTTATAACCGTTTCCAAAAGCTTATAATGTCTAATGAGTCGCATATTCAACTTCACGACTTGGAACGATCAGCGACAGAGACGGCAACCTTACAGTCGCAACAGCAGCAACAGCGCGAATACCAAGATAATGGACGCCGTCGTTCGAGTTCTGACCCTATAGGTCAAGGTCGTCAGCGGCCAGGATTAGCAGTGATACGACCTCGCAGGGGAATAAATGGCTCTCGTATGGCCCCGATTGCTGAGAATGCAAGACCGACTAGTACAGCTCTTTTCCATACACCGAACGGGCGGGCTGAACTCGATGAAAATATCGCCGACCTACTCGATGTAATAGGTAAGTGCTTTATAAAACAGCGATAAAATGTTCGAGTATAGAGCTGACCACTTAATCAGATCCCGAGGTGTCTACGTTTAACAACGTGACCAATATACAAAACTCTCTTTTTGTGCCATCTCTCGGTAGATTTATCAACCGGAGGCCAACATATCAACTTTCAATAGTGCCCGAACATAGAACCATTCGAGAGGAGAAGGATAAAGAGGAAGAAGGGTTTAATTTTGACCATGCCGTTCTCCCCGATGGAGTATTTTTAGACGGGTGGACTGCTGACGAAAAGGATGAGCTTAATGACTATGTGCGCCATATGTTACATTCACGACGTTCACGATTTAAGCGCAGCATGAAGGCTTTCGGACAGTACGTCAGGAAGCCCCTTGGCTTTTTTGTGACGCTATACGCGACTCTTATCACGCTTTTCGGCTTGGCCTGGGTACTATTCTTGATTGGTTGGATTTACGTCGGAGAAGAGCAGGTTTACGCCATCAACGTTATCGACTACGTCCTGGTCGCCCTTTTCGGTCTCGTCGGTGACGGTTTGGCGCCTTTTCGTGCCATAGATACCTATCACATGGCTTATATAGCCCACTACCATCGCCTAACATGGAAGCTACGCAGAAGGAAACGCATGGGGAACCTGCGCGACAAGAACGACTTACCGACGAATTCGGATCTCGAGGCGGCGCGCGATGAGTTATCAGTCTTGTCACCGCAGCAAGAAGCGCGGCTTGTATACCACCAGACGAAGTTTGCTAAATCGCACACTTTCTACAAGCCGCACGAGACCAAGACACATTACGCATTTCCCCTGAACTGGCTGGTAGCAATCGTAACGCTGCTCGATCTACACTCGTGCCTGCAGATCGCGCTGGGCGCGACGACATGGGGCATCGACTATAACGTACGGCCGATGGCAATAACAGCGACGATCCTATGCTGCTCCATCGCGGTCAACATCACGGCAGGCATCCTAATCAGCATCGGGGGCCGGCGGACGCGCAAGAAGGACGTGGTGGAGCGCATGTTCCGACAGGACCTAACGCGCGAGGCGTTCGACAAGATTCGCGCGCGCGGCAAGAAACACGGCGACACCGAGAAGCAGCTCAAGGCCGAGCGCGCGCTCGAGCAGGGCCGCAAGAGCGAGGCGAATGACGACGCGGCGAGCGAGGAGATACGTGGCGTTCCGATAGAGCATACTAAGACGGACGACGAGAAGGAGATATACCCAGACGCGCGATGATATTGGGATAGACGTGGATAATGTCTAATGATCTGGTTTTTCTTTAAATTATTTGGTGGAGGATAACGCATACATACCCAGGGAATATACATGGTCTTTTTTTTTGTAATTGCTAAAACTCGCTGTTAGAAAGCCGTATGATAATATTGAAATGATTTATCATCAAACCTAGTCTGATCTCGCAGCCTCTAACCGTGCTACGTTAGTATACTTAGATCTTTTAACTGAAGGATTTAATTTTCCTTTTACCCCTTCTTGTGGTGGTCGTATATTTTAAGGGGTAATCTAGGGGCTTTGGTAAAAGTTGGTTCACGGCTTGGGGTAGCGTCTCCCTTCTATGCTTTAGCCGTATAACTATGAACTAGTATTCGTAATAGAGCGTTTAGTCTCTCCCTCGCTCCCTTCTTGCTGAAACTGATCGCGGTGAGAATTAATAACTCTAGATTACTCTATGTTTGAGCTATGCTGAAGTTGAGATGGGGAAAGTTTCTCGAAGCTGGAGAAGCAAAAGGGGGGAGAGCAGGGTTTCTTTTTCTTTCTTTTTCTTGGTGGCTGTAGCATGAGAGGTATAACGTGGACATACTGTCACAAGGATATTTCAACATTATATCAATCGTCTTGTTAATGCGGCTACAGTGACAACCTTTGAGGACATACATATATGGGCCCAACTATTAGGTAACATATAGGTACCTATTCTATATTCAATTGACAATAAGAAGAAGGAATTGCTATCTTCTATATGCTTGGGACTAGGCTTAGCTTGCAGATGCCTTTCGATATGCTACGGACCCCTTCAGGTCCAATTTCCAGTCTCTCATCCGGTAGGCTTTTGACCGGATGTCCCCAAGCTCTAACACCAGTCTTATCTTTCCTAAAGTTGTGCTGGAAGTATCTAGAGAGCTCAACAGCTTCAGCCCCTCGAGGTAGTACTTCCCCATAGAATGTAGTGAGTAGACGGTGGATGGCAGCGTCATCCGACGCATCGAGCTCGGTTATTAGCTTGCCTAAGAGGAGTGCATCGCGCATTGCATGTATACCTCCTTCGGCCTTGAACGGCAGCATCAAGTGCACAGCATCGCCGAGCAGAATCGCCCTTCCAAGCGGTATCTCGTCAAGATGACAGTCCGTTGGAACCCATCCAATCTCCCGAACGCCTTCTGGGGCTGTCTCATAAATGATGCGTCTGAATTTGGGATCCATGTGCGCGGTCATCTTCTTGGCAAGTTCGAGACGTTCCGCCTTGGAAAGACTGTTGACTGCCGCGCGGCCAGTTTGCTCAGCGAGAGGATCGTGCCACCCGATAACCCAGAAGAATTCTCCTGATTTGCCATCTGGCGATATCTTGGTGAGACCCATGAATAGATTGTTCCAGCCGTCACCGCTGGTGACTGGTATAATGGCCATGCTATGTGCGATCTCTAGCTGACGTGCGAATAGTTCACCGGTAAGAGTGGTCTCTCCAGTTATGGAGCTGAGCGGGACATTCCTCAACACCTCGCTATTAGGCTTCCCTAATACATGCTCCCTTACTGTGCACGTATTAGATACTTTATTACAATAGATCATTTATGGGATGAAAAGAGCTTACCAATGCTGTTTGCACCGTCGGCACCGATCAGGATGTCACCCATGGCGGTGGTGCCGTTAATAAAAGAGACCACCATTTTATCTCCTACCCTTTCAATCTTTTTTGCAACCCTGCCATACTGGACGTTGACACCGGTTGCTAGCCACTGCCGGAGTTGCAGACGGTTAACACGCAAGGTAGGAGTAGAAGGAGAGTTTTCCGTGCCAAGACGGTCATTATGGAAATAGAAAACGACTTGAGTTTCTAAGTCAAGAGGATTAAGATGATGAGTGGCGTCCCTTAGGTTGGGCATATCATCTGGGAAAGCCTTGAACAGATCGTCCAAAATACTGTACGATTTAGGAATTGATTTAGTTATATGCAATTATGATAATTGGGAAGCTAATACTAACGTGTGCATCGTCAGGGACCAGCCCTGGGCTCTGGCAACTTCGTTCTCGTCCCGCTCGAAGATCTCAAATGGTATTCCATTCTTCCGGAATATCTGGGCGAGGGTGAGGCCACCGAGGCCGGCGCCGACGATGAGAACTTTCGGCTTATATCTAGCTTCCGACATGTTTGGTTCTACAGTCTCTTTCATTTTTATAGTAATGGGCAACTTTCTCTTAGCAAATATAGTAATAAATATAGAGAATATGCCATCTCGGCTTAAATTGAAGTGGCAGAGAGACCGTTTTTATGTACGAGGATCCCAAGAATAGTTAAACCAATCATGCGATAGTAAATGCGTGCGATCACTCAGCTCTCGGGGACGGAGTATCTCTCCACGCCCCGTAAGGCTATGTGACAGGGCTAGACACCTCATCAAGCAAACACATTAATGGAGCAAGACGTCAACGAAGGAATCCTATGCAAGGGTCAGGTAAGACAGATTGGTGTTATTGTTTCTCCGTATTATACACGATTCGTTACCCACCTAGGTACCCAGATATAACTAGATATATACCTCTTTACTCTTCCTTACTTAGTAAATAGTAACAAACTCTAGGTAGGATTCTCCGTACTGACTTGATACATATATATTTATATATATAACATGATTGGAGAAAACTTCGTCAACCCGCTTCGTTTGGAGCTTGTCGGTGTAGTATGATATTTGTAAATCTGCCATGCTATGTATATACCCGCCACATTATAATCGGCTGTGGCCAAAGGCATTATTTTTCAGCTCGGCGGTTGACCGGACAATATTATCTTATCATATTGCCCTAGATATGCGTGTCCGACGCCTTTACACGTCTTCTAGCGGCTAATAACACGCCTACACCTGTGGCTCATATACACCAGGTACATCTGCCTGTCTATAAAATATTAACAACTTAGTTAGTTCTATTAGTTCTAAGTATTCTAGCCAATAAATGGAACTAGGTTTTCATGTCTTCATAATTCCTTCGTAGTCTATGTTCTTGAAGAATTGAATTATACGAACGTTATAAGTATTGGACTCGTACTGTTACTTGCTGTATAATAAGTCTGGAAATTAAGATTAGCTACCTAGGTATATATTGCTATAGACCTATACTCACACTGGTTCGCTAGACCATTGAGAGCACGAGCAAAGCTATATGTATATGATAGCATAATAGACGGAAGCTATTATATATTAAAGGGGGAGTATATTAACGATTGTGATCTTAGAGAAATAAAGTAAAAAAGGGCAAAGCAACTAAATTTCGGGAAAGCTACAGTACTCGAGTAAAGTAAAATAAAGATATAGTATAAAAAGATGCCTGAAATCAAGAATACTGTCTAAGAAATTCAAAAAAGAATTCCGAATCGGGGAATCGAACCCCGGGCTCAGGAACGAGAATCCCGAATGTTAGCCACTACACCAATTCGGATTGAATTAAGTTGCTGTCATGCTGGTCTATGAACTGTTTTCCATAGAAGTTGACTGGATCAGGGAGGAAGGTACAGACAAATCGAACATTGGGGTTACGCTTGAATCATACCTCATGTAGGTTTTTGGTGCGAGGCAACTACCCGATATACATGCCAAACGTATAGCTCTTGTTTGTATTTAGCTTTACTTGCTAAGGAAATCACGTAGGAATATTTTGTACATATGTAATTTGTTTACAAGGGAACATCAATTATTGCCTATCATGTAAGTTGATAGAGTACCTTAGATACTTCATGTAGGTTGGTAGATATCTACATAGGTGCGCATAGAAAAATGCGTGTAGCTCTTGGGTTATGTACCTATGTAGATATATAAGTACTGTATTCTATGTTGTAGACTGGATAAGTACCTATTGAAAGGTGTATTGTTGATTCTCAAGTCTTGTTGTTAGGTGGTGTGGATTATCTAGCAAGAGTACCTGCACTGATATGTTGAAATTTAAATCAGCAGTTGAATCAACATGAGGTAGGTGCATAAGTGTGTACGTACTTGCGTGCACGAGCAATGTTTGCATACATAGAGGACGTACCTGCCTTACATATCGTAGTTGCCTCTAAGTTCTCTAGGAGACGAGGAAGGAACCTCTTGATAAGTAAGGAGCACCTTCCCTAGAAACCAAAATTCCTGCTCTTGCCTGCTCTTGTTGCTCTTGCTGCTCCTTCCTGATTTTACTGATTCTACCTGTCTGATTCTGCCGGACTAATTCTGCCAGACTGATCACCGCCCTCCAGAATTTCTATATAAGCATGGCCACCTCCGCTCCAAACTTGAAACTTTCCTCTTACCTTTCTCATTACCAAACACAACAACAACAACAACCATCATCATCATTATCATACTACCTCATAAGTAACATCAAAGCTTTAACCCTTGACTATTCTTCATGACTACTAGTCACTACAAACATTTATTACAATACCTATTGTAATATATCCTTTCTTGTTCTTGTACTTCACCATCTCACACTTGAAGGACTGCCCTAACACTCAATACTTGAGACAACTTACCTATACTTCCTTCTCCTGTTCATTACTATTATCAATTTCAAGTAATACAATCAAAATCTAATTTTCGCGTCTTCTCGGAAGCGCGTAAACAAACATTGTCATCAACATTCAATGCCCTTGGTAACCCCGGTGCATCTAGATGGTTGTCTAGCAACAACAACAACATGGCAACAGAACAAGTCAACAGAAATGGAACAACAACAACGAACTCAAGAAATACAGGTAAATTTTTTCCCAATCTTCAATTCTGATTGTCACACTCACCTAACATCCTCACCTAAAGTCCTCATCAGCCCACTACCCTCTAGCATCACTTGTTATTAAGATTACAGCCACTACATTACCCAGAAACAGCATTCCATTGAACTCTTTTCCCAGACCGCTATACTACCATAGGAGGAAGTACCTGTCACAAGCTAGCATTATACAGAACACCAGCGTCTGCTTGACTGCTAATGGCTCTTCTGTGCTGCGACTTCACCTCTTGCTTGTCAGCCAAGCGTGCCCCTGACACTGCATATTGCATAGCAACGTGATTTAATGTACAGAGGAAAACTCTTATGGTAGTAGAAACGGTGGGAATTGAGTCAGAGGTCTGCATGCTTGATTGGTGTGATTGCAGTGTCTGTTAATCAATATGGCTTGTTGATCCTTGAGCGTGGCTGACTCGATGAAAATCGAGACGAGATAATATTTTGCGATGCTCCATGCATCTTAAGGTAAGACTCCCCTCTAAAAACATTCCCCTACCTTCACGCTTAATGGGTGCTGACTTTCCACAGTCAGAGGACATGTGAACTTAACTGCCTGGTAGTGGACTGCAAAGGCCCCGGGAAAATCAGATCTGCCGCTTCAAGTTATAAACAGGGAAGAAATTATCAACAGATGGTGAGTACATCATAAACCTTGCAAGATAATAATGATTGTAACTTTGAAGCCACTAACCACGTGGAATACTTAATTAGGCCAACCCTACAGAAACAGAGCATAATAAAAGCAGCTACCTACCTGTCTAAGGTATCAATGCAGCATTGTTACTACCAATATGCTTTGTGCAGCAACCAAACCAAGTGAGATAATCACCACAGCAGACTGGCCTCAGGCGAAGAAGAAGCAGGAGCAGGAGCAAGAGCAGAATGAGCCCAAGATCAGGGAGAAGACGGATGGGAATAAGCATGTGAATAGGTGGAATAGGAATATTGTATTTACTCATTAGAATAATGATTTTCTGCCAAGATGCTAGGAAATTCATTAGTGAATTAGTGTTATGAGAAGCAGTCCACGACTCTTCTAATACCATAATAAAACCAAACCCCATACAACTTATACGCAGTCCTCACGAATTTTACAAGTGAAGTAATATCATGTTTACTTTTTATTTTAGTATAATGAGTTTCTCTATTTGTACTTGAGTACGTATGAGAGGCAGCTAGGTACCTTGTTTAGAGAGGTATGAGATATGGGTTATGTTTTATGATACACATTGGTAATAATGGCTGGATTTGATTGCTTGTGTAGTAGAAAATAATTTATGTACACAGGAATATTTATTATGAAATCTTTTTGTGATGCTCTCAACCTGTTTCACTTATGGCAGAATCGCATCAAAGATACTATTTGTATGGCACATACAAAAAGAATATCTCGAACAGATACGAGTCTTCCTATCCTAACCTCGACCTAATTTCTTTAATTCCAATATAATATCACTATGAATTTGAGTTATTTGACCATACATATTACCTAGGCATAATCTGACTGCTGCCTCTTCCTGAACTGTAACATTGGGCCATGTCGTATTGAAATATACGCGTCAAACAACTGGAACTGCTTCCTATCGCGTGCGCCCCATCCATATTCAGGTCCCCCTGACCCCAATGTAGAGCCCGGCTCCCTCCTGACATCTAATCGGTGAAGAGTTAGAGCGACTATAATCATCATTTCCATCATTGCGAAGTTTTGTCCAAGGCACCTACCAGGCCCTCCAGCAAAAGGGTGACTACTGGACCGCGCCCTATTCACGTCCTCCTCCGTTACGCCCGTAGCCTCGTCTACAATCCAGCGTTCGGGACGAAACAATTCAGGGTCGCCGTAAACTTCCTGATTACGGGATAGTGCCCAGTTAGGCGTACCAACATTGGTTCCTGGGGGGAAATACTCTCCTTGGATCTCGAGCCCTCCTGGAAGCACTTCTCGGGGAAGCTCACCGGGGATCGCCGGAGCAAGACGCATCCCTTCTTCAATACACGCTCGTAAGTATACCAGAGATGAAAGCTTGGGTCCGTATACGATATCGTCAATGGATTTAAGTTCCGTACGAATCTCCCGGACAAGCTTTTGATAACGCTGGTCGTCACCAGTTAAGTAAAAGAATAGGCCGGAGAGGTTGACAGACGTGGTATCGGACCCGGCAACAATTAATAGGTTTGCCTCCGCTCGGAGCTCGGCCTCGTTATAGGCTGGAAGGCCAGTATCGGGGTTACGGGCTTCGCACAGAAAATAGAACATATCCTGGCGCCGCTCAGCTTCCAATTTCTCGGCTTGTTCCTGGTGCAAGGAAATCCTCTCGGTGACGCTATCATGGATAAACCGTTCGTATTGCTGCATATTTGGTGGCGTTAATAACGCGAAAAGCTTGTCCAAGCCCCTAGGCCTGAGCCAAACGATATAATCACGAAAGGGGGAGCGGGCCATCTACAAGCACTCAGCCATCAGCACGGGCATAATTCTAAAAGGGCAATGCGAGGAAATTTTACCGAATGGTGCAATTTCAAATAATCCGAAATGCTGTGTTGTACGGTTTTCAGGGGGTTAACCCCGGGTTCCTTGACATTGAAAGACTTCCCAAAACTAAGATCCCCCATGATATCGAAGATTAGACCATCTAGCTTCTCCGAGATATCGACCGCAGGTGACCAGCCGGAATCAATCTCCTCCATAAGAAGTTGGTTCCAACGGTCTAAATGCTGGATGACGAAACTCGACGCGGCACGCACCGAATTCTCCGTGAAAGCGAGACTCAGGATCTTTCGCCTCCGCGCATGTTCGGCGACGTCAAGTGTAGTAATCGTTGCATCTTCGAAGCCGTTGAACTGCATTACCTTGTATAAATTGTTTCGTCTTACGTTCGACTTCTGGCTGTATATATCCGCGTACGCTTCAGGGCTGTTGAAAAGGACTGTGTTGGGTTCCGCGCGTACCTTGTCGCCGTATATCTGGAATTGTTGCCATACCCAGATATGCCGGTCCCCTCGATGTGCGTGATACCACGAAGGTATTTGACTTGCTCTGGCGAGAAATGGCCCAGGGATGTTGGCCAGGGGGTGGAAGAATACATTGTATATACCCTTTGCTAGGAACTATATTCATTTAGCCTAGATATTACCTTGGGAGCTAAGTACGTACTGTGAGGATAATAATCATAAAAGCCGCTATGGGCCATTCCATAGGGCTCATGTCGTGGAGAGGCAGATTCAACATGGCGATGGTAGATCTGGGTATAAGTAGTGGTGTGTTGATTGATATTGCACGTAAGATATATGGCATATACAGTGGAGAAGAGAGAGATCCCTTTATATAAACGTATAGCTGATTAACCATTTAATATATATAAACATCCTATCTTACCATAGCTAGATCTATGACATCAAGTATATCACATATAAGGAAGTGGCACCCTGAGCCAAGGTCACTTCACTGGCTGGTTATGACGCGCAACCGACGTATATATTAGATATGATATGTCGCGTAACATCAACGCCAAGTTAACAGTCCTGAGTAGTTACTGACCCGGCCGTTATCCAAAGTAGGTGGTGGTGCTGAATCTTGGAGAACTATCTACTCGCCTCCAATCAGAGATCCAAGCTTAGGTAGCAAACTGAGATTCCCTCCCCGTGGCGGATCCCCGTTATCCTCCGCAGAAAAGCAAAAAGGGGAAATCACAAAGTGATATATGGAGTAATCGAGATCTATGGTACATAAGCTCGATATGCTGCATAACTTGGCATGGCATTGGGTAGTCCATTAGGTGCGTTTGGCTACAAGTTGCTAATAAAATGACAAATGAGGTACTACGTCTTGGTATTGCTTATCTATGACGGGATATATCTAATATCATAGGGAAGAGAATAAGGAAACTTATAGAAGAACTGGCAACTAAGATAGGGGGTCAAAACACTACTATACACCTACTACTATATATCGGTGACATTATGTCAACCTCCAACCGGGGTCTTCCAGTTACTAATCTCTTCATCCTATGCTTCTTCTATATCTTGAACGCAAGGTGCCATTTTCTTATATCAAATACTCGTAAATCGGAGGGCGGGGAGGGGTTTGGGGGATAAAAGGGGGGGACATACTCATCAAGTGTTAGATGAGAGCTAATAATCGATGGACAATAGAGAGCTAGTAAATGTTGGCATTCATGGTACAATGCCTAGTTACACATAGAAACTAAGTCTTCCCCTTCGTCTATGAAGATCAATTGCCTGGTCAACAAAAGCATCTCACAATATTCAAACCAGGCTATCTGTCTCTAACAGGTATTTATAGTTTAAGAATGCTTCAATACATACGGACAGAAGGTGTAAGTAGGCTCTCCCTATACATACCGACTAATTCTTACCTACCCCACCCTTTGAAAATTGTGGTAGTTTATATACACAAGGAATATCTTCATTCCTCACATAATCTCTCACCTATTTGCATCCATATAATAATATTATATACCTGATATATAGTACATAAACCTTTACCAATATATCTGTAAAGTCCCGACCTTCCATATACAGACCTCCTGCTTTATATACATGCTGAGATAGTTGAGTACCTAGATATGTGCCCTATTCCGTTTAAACCCGTATCTCGTTCATCCATTATATGTCTAGATCCATATATACCTAGATTGCCAGTAGAAAAATGTGCAGGTATGCATACATACAATTCACTGCCATGCAGAAGTTGGGGGGTGATTAGGATCTTGCATTGGCGTCTGATTAGCGTAGGCCGTCATCTGGGGTGCGTGGGCGATGAATCCACCGTATTCCTGCATCAAGTAGTTCCAGTCCATCTCGCCGCCAAAGTTTACGTCCGGGAACGCAGTCGCGAATTGCCGGTTCATGTCCATCTGCGGCATGCCACCACCGAATATATCGGTTTCCGGGTATATGGGTATAGCAGCACCTGGTACGTTTGGTTGTTCTGGTGGCGTTGGCGCCGTTGCAACGTAAGCACCGCTTATGACAGGGATCTTAGGTGAAGGCGTGGGTACCGGCGACTTCTTTTTAATCGCCTTTGGTAGTCGAGCCGCGATTTGTCTCATGTGGGTGATAAGGCGAGGCGGTGCTAGGGTACGCCCGAGGGCGGCTTCTGCGGCCTCGCGCGCGTCCCAGGCTTTTACAAAGAGAGGGCTAAAGGATAGATGCATAGGACTACGCATGTGAGATGTCATCTTCCTTCGGTCAGCGTGCTCGCAGATGGTTTCCCACGCACGCTCGCATAAGTCACCGGTCGTACGATGGCGAAGTTCGGTAAGCAAGCATATATAAGCCGGGAATGGGAAATGCATATTAGTATACCAGAGGAAGCCCCGTAAACTTTCTCTTGCTTGCATCATGCTATCATACTCGATCATCTTAATTGCCTCGATGAAGAGTTCTTCCCTCTCGGTTGTCGGCAAGGGAGTAGGTGCCGTAAGTGCAACGCGGAAGAAGCCGGATACTATCTTTAGCTTACAGATATTCGCTCGCGTCATAAGAAGAGTCATATAATGAAGTGGGACTTTAGGATCGCAGTATTTCAGATAGGTATCCTCCATATGAGAAGAAAATCGTTCGAGATAGCTCGACAACCGGTGGTCAGCAACGCTTGCAACCGCTTGGGGATTCGTTTCTGAAGATTGGCCTCTCATCTTATCGTTTCCTGGTGCCTTGGCAAACTCTAGGCGCGAGAGAGAGAACATCATCTCAGTCGCGCCGGTATACGGTGGAGGAGGGTCTTTCGCGTGTAAGTGTAAGTTGGCGTCGTCGATGTTGAGCGGTAATTTGCAGTTACCCCCATTGGATATGGCAGTGATGATGGAACCACATAGTTCTCCTATTCGTCGATCAAATCCGGCAAGGTTCCACCATAGTCGTCTCCTCTCTTCCACTTCGAATGGTGATAAATTAAATTGAGCACCGTCACGATGTAAACCCATCCTCTGAGCAAGGCGTACGCCAATTCCCGTTAAGCAAAATAATGACCGGGGGTCCGAATACTGTCGGATACCCAGCTGATATACGTCAGACCTGGACCTCAAATAGACGAGGCGATTTTAATCTTACAAGATATAAAAGGTAAGCTTGCAGCAAGGTAAGATCCGGGTTGCGCATAAAGCCTGCATTTAGAAGGGCTTGCTGTGTAGCATAATAATACTTGGCCAGCAAGTTGATTCTCGATTCGTTAAACGTGGCTTGGCATTCTTCATCATCTATACTCGTGATAGCCATTAGGTAGATTGAAAACATCAGTGCTTCGAGGGACCTAGACACCTTGTCGAGGCTTGCTCCGGCTTCGATAATCCGCACTTGCAATGTTGGTGTATGTGTAAGCTTAAGAAGAGGGTTAACATTATTTAGGTAGATTTGCCATAACTGGAATATTTGGATGGCGGATGGATGTTGAGCGGTGACACTTTCGAACTGGCCGCCGACTACAAAAGGGAAGCCATCAGGGCTCTCAAACATCTTGTCATATGCTTGATTGATGGATGATCCAACATCTTCTTCATCGGATGAGTCTCTGATTGCTTCATCCGTTGCTCGAAACTATATCAATATTAGTATAGGGTAACGAAATAGGAAAGAGAAAACTACTAGCCTCCCTCTGGAAAGGAAACCATTTGAATGTCCTAGTGGGATAAGTGGTTAGTCAAGGTACCGGATGAAACGTTCCCCGCCGATCTGGGGACAGGTTAGGCTTACCTGGGAACATGGGCGGTCTCGCCGGGTGATGAGATCAAGTCAGGGTCCACACCGGCTGGAGACTCCTTACTCCTCTGCCTTATAAACTCGGACTCTAGCTCGTCACCGTCTTCAACGGAGCCGGGGTCCACAATCTTGACGTCCGGACCCAGCGAATCAAATTCGATGCCGTTCTGGGCTAAGAGCGCTTCATATTTCCGCAGACGCTCAACCAAATCTCGCTCGGGAACGCGCTTCTTGCGGCGCCTAGGTGGTTGAGGTGGCACAACACGGCATTCGACATTTGCCTTTAAGCAATTGGAGCAGGGTTTGTTCTTATCGCAACGTACCTTGCGCTGCTGGCATAACACACAGCTATGCCCTCTTGTAACCTTGATCATAGAGGCGTCTGGATTTGGGGGCGTATAGTTAACCGAGGAGCCCGCAGGCGGCGTGGGCTCATTGCTCGCCGAGCCATCACCAAGCTGGGACTCTGGGGTCGGGGGCATAGCGAACGGGAAGCTTTTTTTTTCTCTTCAGTCGGTCCCGAGGACAACGGGTTCTTACACCGCTAGCAATAAGCGTGCAGACAATTACCGACGAGCTAATGATTAACAAAGCTCAACTAGGACTCGACTAGGTAACCAAAAAGTGACTCTGTTCCACATGGGACGAAAAGCCTCAAGACCGGGAGCGAGCATTGATTGGCAAGCAGGCGTAAGAACGATGGTGTTGATGCGGGAATTTCGGGACCGAGAGGGGCACGGGCAATAAAGAAAAAGAGACAACTGGAGATGTCGCGAACGGGCTCGTGCAGGGTCTTTAGCTGCTGTGTCGCTTCTGGAAATTAACAGATGAGACGGGGGGTTTGAGATGAGAGAGGATGGGTAGACTAGGTAGACCGGGTAGACCAGACCAGACCATTCAACCCCATCTAAACTTCTCGATGAGAAGAAAGGAGGGGGGGGGGATAGATATGCAGGTCAAATCAAAGGGGAAAGATGTGTGCGTATTTTCGTTACAGTAGGAGTTTAATTGTGACCTTACTATGTAAGAGGCGAAACTAGGGGAGGGTATGAAATTATGTATTGGATTGTGTATTGAATTGTGCAGATAAAGGTGCAGATAATTTGAATATAAAGACCGGAACAGTTCTTGAACTTGTTTTTAAATTTGTAGAGAAGGGGGGATCTTCAAGTGATTCAATATTCACTGTCCATTTGATCCCAAAATGCAACTATTACAGGTATGTTACGGATACAGTGGCTATTGTTTGCGTAGGTAGACGAAGATAGACTATGAGGATTCAAAGACGATTCAGGATAAGTATTTCTGGGTTATTCAGGTTATTCTGGTATTCTGGGGGGGATTGGAGGGTTTGGGGGGGAGTATAGGGAATGTTACAATAAGTCTTGGGGGTAAGTTAATAGAACTTCCTTTGACAATATGTCAGGATGTTAGGATATTAGGATGTCATGTGGCGGATGAGAAAAACGATTTGGGAAAAAAAAAGAAGTTTCGCATCCTTCAAACCCAATTCATTCATTCATTCGGTAATACCCCCCTCCATAATCAACGGCGGTAGGCAGTTAGACAATGCCGTCGACAGGGTTCAGCTCACAATTGAGCCATGACGGTGTAGTTTCGAAATAGGTAGTAGCCTCGTATTAAAAGTCTCGTAGATTCTAAACACCGACCACCGACAAAAGCTGAACAAGTTAGCAAACTAACTTATCAAAAAGCTTTTGATAGGAGATTTGATAGGATAGAATAACTTGTTTGTCGGGTTGCAGTCTGTAAAATTGTAATTCTCGTTGTTAGCGTTGCTTAGCGCTCGGCGTTGAAATATTATATTTCGGGACCGAGAACGCCGCTTGACCTTAAAATATGCAAATGCAAGCCTTTAGTCAGTACATGTATGTACATACGAATACACATTTAATGTACCTAATATTAGGTATTTCCATAGGTATCTTATGACATATTGTGGCATTATGTATTCCGTACATAATTTGTATATGTTTAGTTCAGTTTAGCTCAGCTTTTTGTGCCATTCAGTATTACAGTCATCGTAACACAGACCCACTTCGGACAAATCGCCTCGGTCCTCACCTCCCCTTAAAAGTTCCGCCCGAAAAGCATAAGAACTTTGTATCACGTGGTAGGTATCTTTTTATGTTTATTTCTCCAAATCATTTAAAGCTGCTCGGATTCTCTGTGCCAAATCGCTCCCGAACTGCGTCCCCGTCTCGGTGCTCCCCAATGCCCCGGTATAGAAAATGTCACTATCCACGAGGAAAAGATGTGGGTTTTCGTATATCCAACATCCAACGTGTAAACCACATGGCTGTCCATCCGTCTTATGTTGTCCGTCCTACTCGACGGACAGCTTATGCCAGCCAAGAGGCTTGCATTCATGGCTTGTTTTTACGTAGTTAATACTAGAGCATACTTAACTCCTATACACACCATATATATACATTCCTTTTTATCCCTAGATTCAAGGTTTACCAAACCTTGTGTTGTCTTGGACCAATTAGAGAAATAGAGGGAGACTACTACTTGGGTTCTCCCAGCTTCGCTTTTGTCCTTTCTCATTATCCATCCCTTCTTTCTCCCTATCCTTGGACCCATCCTACACCTATCCTCTCGGAACTCCATGGCCGAACTGTCACGGAAGACCTCCGAAGCGGGTGGCCCTTCAGTGGTAGCCACCCCTGACGATGTAGAGAAGACGACCGATGTCAAGCCGGCACCGCTTGAACTTGTTGACGAAGCTGAGGATAATTTCCAGCCAAAGACTCTCAAGTTCTGGTCTGTTATGGCTAGTATATATATTACTCTATTCTTAGTAGCTCTTGATCGGACCATTATTGGTACAGCGATCCCCCGGATAACACAAGAGTTCAATAGTTTAGGGGATATCGGTTGGTATGGCTCGGCGTATCAGTTAACAACTGCGGCGTCTCAGCTTGTATTCGGTAGAGTATACAGGTTTTACGATATAAAAAAGTATGTTTATAAACTCTTGCAAAAAAAAAAGATACGCGCGACATAGCTAACATTTATCTGACAAGGGTCTTCTTATTCGTTGTCGCCTTTTTCGAGATCGGTTCCGTCATTTGCGGCGTGGCTCCAAACTCGATCGCATTTATTCTTGGACGCGCCATCGCCGGTTTTGGCGCCGCAGGTATATTCACTGGTGTCTCCATCATCATGCTTCCGCTAGTACCTCTCCGAAAGCGACCAATGTTTCAAGGAATCTTCGGGACTATCTTCGGAATCAGCTCGGTCATGGGTCCTCTTATAGGCGGTGCTTTCACTGATCGCGTTACTTGGAGGTACACATTTTCTTCTCCTTATCTTCGTTCATTGAAACAAACTAACGTTGGCATGGCTAGATGGTGTTTCTATATCAATCTTCCTATCGGTGGTGTTGCAGTATTATGTCTTCTAGCTGTGAAACTTCCGACGAGACCACCAGAGCCAGCAAAATTCTGGGAACATTTCACTCGATTGGATCCTCTAGGAACATTCTTCTTTGTCCCGAGCATCGTTTGTCTCTTGCTCGCACTCCAATGGGGCGGGTCTACGTATGAATGGAATAGCTGGCGCATCATCCTTCTGTTCGTTCTTTTTGGCGTACTACTTATTGCCTTCATGGCAGTTCAGGTGCTGATGCCAGATACTGCAACTATCCCCGTTAGAATCATTAGCCAACGTAGCGTTGCTGCCGCGGCTACTTTCATGTTCTGCGTCGCTGCGTCGATGATGATGAGTGTTTACTACCTACCGTTATGGTGTAAGTCATCTCCCCAACCTAGATTCTCCAATAACCTCGTATACTTATATTAAATTACAGTCCAAACTGTACAAGGCGTGAGTGCTGTGCAGTCCGGTATTAACACGATAGCCCTGGTTCTAAGTCTCGTCGTGGCCAGTATCATATCTGGTATCTTCACCCAAAAAGTCGGGTACTATGTTCCCTCGATGTTAGTCTGTCCTATGATCATGGCTGTAGGGCAGGGCTTGATGAGCACCTTTAAAGTTGACGAAGATTCTCCTCACTGGATTGGATACCAGATCATCGTCGGTTTCGGGCTGGGCATGGGAATGCAAACAGCTGGCCTTTCTGCGCAGGCTGTGCTTCCCAAACCCGATATTCCGACTGGTATCGCTCTCATGTTCTTTTGCCAGCAATTAGGCGGAGCCGTCTTCGTGTCTGTTGGGCAGAACCTTTTGAGCAGTTACATTGTTGGACATGTGACTGATATCCCCGGCCTTGATCCTAAGGAAATTACCAACGAAGGCGCCACAGATCTTGTCAACAAGGTCCCGCCCGAGTATAAACTCAGAGTAAAGGAACTTTACAACGGGGCCATCTCAAGGATATTCCTATGCGGTATGGGTGTGGCACTTGTTGCCTTGGTAGCGGCTCTTTTTATGGAATGGAAAAATATCAAGAAGACTGGGCCGCAAGGTCCACCAGGAGCGAGGCCCTCTGAACCGAAAGAGAATGACTCGACATCTGCAGGTGAGGAACAGCGAAAATCCACTTCACAGGATGCCACATCAAACGCGCTGCGACAATCAATTCAATTAGACAAAGACAAGCGAAAATCCAGCGATTCATATCATCCATCTCAAACATCGCCCGATCCTAAAGCTGTTCCTGAGGGGCAAGTTAAAGTTGACCGCTTAGAAGATTGAATATCTCTTGAAATAGAAATAAACGATAAATAGGGCGTTGTGGACGAAACTATTATAATGATGAGCCCAGACCTCTCTAAATGCTGATATATTGGTTGTGCTATAGCTAAATAGGTCGGGCTAGAATTGGATGGGAATAGATGGATATTTGGATACTACTCTGGAAGTATATATATGGCAATAGTATTGTTAGAATTGGCTTATATAGATAGATAGATAGTAATAATAACCTGTCTTGAACCTTGAAAACCAAGAGAAACCTAATAAAGTTAAAATATGTAAAAAGCGCCACATCTGATGTTGTAAGCTTATTTGCTTCATGCGGTTACATTTTCTTATCCTTCTTATCCTTCGTTATAAAGGTATTACGTGGGTTCGGGGTGGGTACTTTGCGGTATGATATGCCTTGCACGATCTTGCTACTATTTTGGTTAGGTAATCTATTAATGAATAGCCTGTCTAAAAATAGATGACTATTGTTGATGCTTAGTCAAATGCCCCCTAAGTCTTGGCGTAGTCCTTACAGTATAACACAGCGAACATCTGGGAACACAGCTTGTAAGTTTATCTGTGCTATTACTTTACATAATAATTAAACTAACACTAATTTTTAAATGGAACACTAGTACGTACAGATCTTCAGTTCCTTTGGTCGTTTGATCTATATTAATATTCTCCTTATTTTCACTTTTTCACTTTGTTTTTAACTAGTTACATTGTCGACATAATGATTAAAAGCCCTGATACTTAAGTTTTCTCCGCAAACTTCGGATTGGTCAATTATTTAAATACGAGATGATCATGCCCCAGTTTCCATACCTTTGTAACATATAGCTAGTTTACGTGGGGGTTGACAAGGAAAATATTCGTTCAGGGGCCGCTAATCTGAGTACTAGCGATGTTCTGTAGCGGGCCGTGATAACATTCATATAAGCTCGTTATCTACGAGAGATGCATTCCCAGATCGTCCATAGTGGGTATCTATCCTCTCAAAACATTAGTTGCTAATGGAACCTTGATGCTTGGTCTCGATGTGGGTTTTGGCCAGTAATCGTCTTGCCTACCTATGGATCGTTTCATTAAGATTCCTTCGCTACCATCAATGACCCTGTCCCTGACCATCTAAGTTCTAGATAGACAGGTCAACGTTTCCGCGGCCGTAGAGGCTGATTCCATTTTCTCCATTTATTTCTTCTAGAAACCCTTAAATACGGCTATCGAAGAAGTCGTATTTGTAGGGGCATGGATCCTCTCTTTAAAGAGTAATGCAGTATGGCGTACGCACCAGTCAAATTTAACCGAACTAGTTGACCTCCTTGTCGTCATCATGTTTATCATTGAACCAGAGTTTATAATTCCAAGGAAGCTGATGGGGAAGAGCGGGAGCAACCGAGGAAGGCAACTATACATACTATTAGTTAGACTAATATAGAATAGACCGGAATACGTGCTCACGCAAAGATCGGATAGAAACATGCGGGTCTACTATTTTCTATATTTGTTCTATATTTGTTCAACAGTTTAGCTTGTCGTAGTATATATAAACTTACGTAAGGGTTTAAGTCTGATAATAATATCGGTTGAGATACGCATGTATTAGTCGCTTGCTTCGGGTAACTAGAAGAAGCTCTCTCATATAGTTTAAGTATTATTGGATATTAAGTATGAGTAAACTAGCAATCTCTCATATCTATTGGTCCATTGTAAACCACCACACGGGCTTACTACGGGGCTAGCATAACATTCTACCTGTCATAAGGCGCCAAGCTGCCCTCCAGCCCCAGCACTACACATACTATACTAACCCGCACCTCATGCAGCTCTTTGCCGGTTGCTTGGTAAGGCTGGAGATAAAAATGGAACGGCTACCACAATCCCGCTAAATCAGACCCCGATATACTTAGTCAGGATGGGACCCCCTTATGCTACCTTACAATTCAAGGTAAACTAGCTGAGTTAGTACTTCGCGGCACGCCATCATGTTATTTTTGCAAAAGTCTCTATTTCTTATCCCGAAATGGAAATTCTAGTCAAAAGAATTGTACGGGACGGGATTAGGTGGTCCAGGCAAGGGGATGGCATACGATCGGCACACAGGACCGGATATGAATGGGGATAGCTCGGTACTTTTTGCCTGCGCCATCGGGATGAAATATGTGATCCCGTATCATCAGACAAGCATAATGAGTATGGAAATTCCATATTCTTGCAAGTGAGATTGGCTATTCGCAGGAAATAAGGGGAGGCTTAGAAAATGCGGTAATACATATAATAAATACGACAAAACGCTCTCTCGCATTCGTCCCTTTAGGTTGTCTAGACATATGCAGAGTACCAATTAACAAATTCAAGAAAGTTGCTCAGGATCATTGGCACCCAAGATTGTCACCCTCCAAGTTCAGAAAAGAAAAAAAAGGAGGATTACACAACCGCATACTCTATTAATCTGTATTATTCGATCTATTACCATAAGCCGCTTATTGACTATGGCGCCTACAAAGAAACCCCAATGGGAAACAAGTCCAACCCCCTCCGGCGACGACATGATCGACCCGGCGCTGTCATTAGACACTGCTTCCACAGCTACAACATCAACCAAGCGCAAGAGAGCAAGCAAGCCCAAGGTTCGAACAGGTTGTATTACTTGGTTAGTCTATCGACCTTGATAGGATTCATGATCATCTACTAACTCATTCCGTACAGCAAGTAAGTTTATTTATTATATTAACTGGATGCCTACCTATATATCAAACGAAGACTCTCTCTTATCTTATGTCTCTCTTCGATACCAATGCTAGGTACTCCTGTTGCACCCAGTATATGTATCTTACATTTTACATCCATTTATTCTCAATACAACCCCAGAGCTATTAGAAGCTAAACTAATTACCTCATAACAACATAGGATACGGCGCGTAAAATGCGACGAGACCAAACCCGCGTGCACGCGGTGCACAAGCACGGGACGGAAATGTGACGGGTACGATGGTGCGCCGCCGCCACGGCCGAAGAAGCCAGCATCGTCGTCTCCAGATCAGCTAGCAACTCCTTTTTCGACACCGACCACCGCAACGGATGGGTACTCAGGAACGCGGCACGACTTAGCACGAAGTAGCTTCGCCGCCGCGTACCGGGGAAACTCGGCATTGCAGATCCTCCGCCCGCTGGCTGCCGACATCGAAGGCACGGAAGAGGAGCGGTTGTACTTCCACCGATTCCGGCAAGCGGCAGAAGCCGGGCTAGCCCTGCACGCGTCCAGCCTCGGGGCGTCGTTCTGGCGCCGCCTGGTGCCGCAAGTAGGACATTCGGACCCGGCGGTGCGGCACGCGTTGATCGCGCTGGGAGCCGCGTACGAAAGCATGCAGCTGCAGCAAGGACAACACCAACAAGAGCAGAACTACCAAATGATGAGAATGAAACAACCAGCACCGAGGATGTCCCCACGAGGCGGCAGTCCAGCCGAACCATCATACTTTTCAACACCACCGCCCGAGGATACTTACCAGTGCGCGGATCAGTTAGAATTATTCATGATCCAGCAGTACAACCTCTCAATATATCACCTACAACGACACGTGCAGCCGGGGTCGTCGTCCGAAAGCGTCGAGACTACGCTCATATGCTGTCTAATATTCGTCTGCATCGAGACGTCCCGCGGCAACGAGGCAGCGGCGTTAGCACATGTTGCCAACGGCCTACAGATTATCAAAGCTTTGCCGCCGGATTCGAATTGCAGCGGACGGAACAACGAAAGCAGAAGCAGCAGCAATCAGGGGGGGTATGGTAGTAGTAGTTCGGCTAATGGTCTCCCGCCGCGAATATCACGTTCCGACTGGCGACAACTTCTCGATTTCTTCCTTACCCTCGAACCTAGCACCGCCACGCATGACTTCAGCACTAGCCAGCCAGAAAGTCTGTCATGTCCACTTACTGCCACCTGGGAGAATCCACCGGAGTGGTATAGTGAGATGATATCGCAGTGGGAAATTGAGGCGGCCGAGGGAGAAATGAGACATTGAATCTTAATACCAGTAATAATCTAGTGAATAAAAGAATCTACAACTAGCTCTAGGGCATTATTTAATATGTCCTTTTAAGTACTAGAGAAACCATTTTCTTAGCATAGACTCGTATCTGCCTGAAGAAAGAAGAATCATCTTAAGGGCTGTAAAACCATGAGTAAGAATTTCGATTTGTATCAGTCTTGGCGTAATCCAATGATACACTCCCTTAAGGCTCCAATCATTAACATATTAGTGGCGGATCTATTCCGAGGTAAAAGCTAGCGAAGATATCCGAGGAAGTTATCGTAGACAACATGATGTAAGTGCAAAGGAAATAGAGCTAGTTATATCCCTTTCCTAAGTAAAAAAAAAACTCCCCATCCTGGCCGCACTCAAAGGGTATCTTGCCAACAAGGGAAAACCAAAAGCACTAAAGGGGGTTATTAAAACCCTTCAAAAACCCATGCTACCTCGTCTTAAAACCCGATCATAATCGGCCATTCACGATCTCTTTCTCGAAGATCCTAATACCGAAGATGTCGTAGAATGAGAAAGGCTCAACAAGTTCTAGTTTCACCCTTAATAGTGGGTCATCGTCATCGTCGTCATCGCTCTCGCTCGTAGCACCCCATTCTACAGGTGCGACTGGAAAGAGTCCGTTACCAACATAACCTTGATTTAGGCTTGGGGCATGTTTCTTGTCTTTATTCGAGCTGACTTTTGACTTCCTAGGAACTCCTGGTTTCCGGAGAATTCTTACAGCTCGTTCATCGTCACCCAGCGCAAGCCACTCGAGTTTCAGCTCAGGGTGGAAAGAAAGAGCGTCAACTATGAAACGGCGCGTCTCGCGCATGACGGAAAGGCAGGTGTCCTCTGTTCTAAAAGAGATGAGCTGCAGTGCGCGGAGATTAGTAAGGCCAGCGATACGCTGGATTAAAGTATGCTATATGTAGTTAGCCACAATTGTATAGGGGTATTGTTATTTATCAACGTATGGGGAAGTGATGCTTACAATTGCACGCATTCCCATTATTACGGCCAGTTCTTCTAGCACTTTTCCACGCCTGCAGATGTGCTGTATTGTTTTCTCATCCACATCCCATGAACTATCAGCTTGGTTCTTGATCATCAGACGTTTGAGAGAATGCATATCTATGACATAATGTTAGCAATTTATAACTAGGATCTTGAATAATCCCAAGGTATGAACCGTAAGTATGAGATAGAATGAATCTGAATGGTACGTACGCTTCTTCAGGACAAAATTCCGGATTTGTTCGATAGTTGTGCCAGGATTCGGCGCGAAGCTCTCCGGCTTGTACTTTGACGATCGCTGCAGCATGAATACCTCTTTAACACAGTCAAGCTGGGAAATAAGGTGTAAGAACTGCAGACAGACATCATCTGTAAAGACTTTTCGTAGTGGAAGCGGCCTCAGGCTATTTTCTTTCATCATCATTACCCAAAATTTCTTCTGCTCGCCGACATTGAGTAAAGTAATTCGCTTTAGCGAATGCAAATCTATAGCCTTCCCTAGCACCGAAGCCTTGATCGGTATAAGATGGATACTGAGAGAGTGAAGTCCGATACCTCTCGTATCTCGTGCATATTTATTCACGTTGCTAAGATGCGTCTCCGTACCGTTCGTGGTTAAGCTAGTTTGAACTGCGTCATCGCAAGGTACGTCTTCTACATCACAGCCGGTAGACTCTAAGTGTTGGTGAGATTTATCATGGCGATCATCGTCGACGGCGCAAATAGCTATGTGTGTCTCCTTGGAGAATTTGTTAGTACAACTCTTCGATTCAGTCTCTACATCGCCCATATCCCCGGCATTAAAGAATTGGACGACATCGTTCGGTTCTGTTGCATTGGAAGGAATAGTGCTCACTTCTGTCGAGTTAAATAGTTCCTTTGGTGGTACTGTGTCGGTAGACGTTATTTCAATAATCCGCTGAAACTCAGCTGTCAATTGCTCCTCTGGGACCTCGATATCGATATCTTCTGGGTTAGCATCATATGAGTCCTTTGGTATTGATGGATGTAGCTTGAGCCCAAAATTAAGTGACTGGGACTCATCTGGCTTGTCTATATCAAGCCCTAGTTCATGGTCTTTAGGCAACGAATGTAGCCCATCGTTAGTGGGTAGATCTCCAGACGAGGGCCCAGGTTTGGATTTGGACTCCTCCGAGGTCACATATTTCTTTGCGGCCTTTGCGATTGCATCCAAAGCATCCTGTTGTTCAATAGATGTAAAACCGCTGGTACCGTTGACATGCGCCACCATACGCTCGAAGACTCTGCTAACATGATCTATGAAGTGTTGTCCACTATCCGAAACTGATTGTTCCTCAGAATCCCCCCTTTTCACATTTTCTTTCTTGTCTTCAGTGGATAAGCGAGTATTCTTTGTGTGAGATGGCTCTACCTCGAATATGCGACCCAACACCAATTCCTGAAGCTTACGTTCTTCCTGCGCTTGAAATGCCTTTGCGGGTCCGTTGTCATCGTAATTGGCGCTTAAGGATATAGGCATAACTTGAAATTCGTCGTCTTCGGATTCATCAAGCTCTGCATCAGCGCAAGGTTTTCTTGCTTGCATAGCAAGGCTATCTGAAAAAGAAAGCTTCACCTTTCTCAACGTCGATGAAGAATTACGTACGCAAACTTGGACCTCCGTTATCACGTCAAGGCTATCTATATCAAGGACACTCAAACTTTCAAGGTTTCTAAAACCTTCAATTGTCGGGGGTTCCTTGGCAGTAGATGGTTTCTTTGGTGGTTTATTCCTCCAAGAGGGTTTGTAGCCCAGCGACAATGAGGATGGAACCGGAGGGGGCCCATAAGCGACTATGGGGTTAAGAAGGGGATTGTTCGAATTGGCCCATTGCGAGATTAAAGTATCGTACCCAGAATGCTGCACATTAGAGTCTGAAAAAGGCGGCGGAATCTGATGAATGGAGCTCCCGGCCTGTAATCGCAAATGAAGATGTCTTAGGGACTTGATGTTATGCAGTGCTTTATAAACAGGCCTGCTAAGCTCAACTCTAATGTTCCACCGAAAGGTATCAAGTGACTGGGCCTTCCGCAGCGTAAGAAGCAACAGGGTGTTCATAAACTTCCCGCAGCTCACAGAAGCGAGGTACGGCTTATAGGCAAGTTCAGCCCTGTCACCAATACTAAGGGTGTCGAGAGAGAGCTCCCTTAAGTGTTTCGCATAGTTGTAATCGCTTGCGACGAACGTCTCTAGACCACCCGCGAGACCATCAATGGGGGAATCGAAGTACGGATCGTCTTCGTCCGGGAAGATGATATGGAAGTTACGATATAGTTGGGCGGCAGCAAGGTCGCGAAAGCGTCTGCAGACTAGGGAAAGACGAATCCAATCGGATTGGAAGCACTGACAACATATATGTTAGCAATGGACTCCACAAGTAAGGAACAGATGATTGTGATCCGCGACCAGGGGTTGGAACATACTTGGCTACATATTTCCTTCAAAATCTCATCAGGTAAATCCAGAATATTAGATACCTTAGGAGCTAGTAATGGAATAGAAATAGTAGTGTTGAGTGCCATGGTGGCTACTTGGTGAGCCAACTCGTTATTTTTGACTGGATAATAATTCCAGTGTAAATGACAAGTAAAAAAGCGTCTCGATTCGTCAATGTCCTGATATCGGTGTTAGGCCTTATTATATAACGACCCTTATCGACAATGTTGCCGGAAGACTTGAGGACCAAATCGACTATTATACCGCAATAGCACTTATCACTTAACACCTAACATATAACACATCAATCGAACAGTTTTAGAGAAAATTAGTCACCTAAATGATATCCAGAGCGAATATTCATAATCTAGAATAACGATTGCAGTAGAGTTATATGTAAATAATATGCTGACTTGAGGGTCTTTGAAGCGCGAGTATGCGAAGGGGAGATGGAGGGGCAAAGAAAGGTACTAAGTACATGTATCTATCAAGGATGCGGAGAATGAATGGTATACATATGTGGAACTATTACCTACTAACTAGTACAAAATAGTATTAGTCTTATTTTATTAAGGCGTTTTGTTTTAGGTTCCGGAGGTATGCAGGTATGTTAGTGTTGCTTGTATGCATATTTAGCAATGAGGGGCCGAAGGATCGTCGCTCCCCGCTCGCAGGGCTGTGTTAGCTCTTATGTTTTACTGCTGTTTGCCTGCTGCGCCTCGATTATCATGAAACTTTCAACTCTTCCAAGTAATCATCACAACTCTCGCTATGTATTTGATTTTCCCTCCTCCATTTTCATTCACTTAATCAAGTCTACCCGAGTGGTCTTGTGTGTAGATTTATAATTGTTCTTTCTTTTTCCCTGCATAGTGTTAGCTCTAATCAGCTCTCGTTTTTTTAATATATTTTCTACTAGCCGAGACCAGTACAATCTTGTTAATTGATGTTAACACGCGCCGTCTATGGCGCCATCTGTTTAGTTCAAAATATACCCCGTCCAAACGAGTCATTCAAAAATATTACACATCAGCAGCTTTCAATATGGCCGAAGTCGAAGAGCCTAAGTTTAACTCTCTTGCAGATCGGATCGCAGCTTTGAATGGCCAGAAGAACTTCACAGCTCCTCCCTCTACTAAACGACCTCCTCCTCCACCACCTCCCGGTGCCAGAAAGTCCACATCTCAAGCTCCAATTCCAAATGGGAATGGAATCGCCCGTCCACAAATTCCTCAAAACCCCAACCTACCTCCACGACCGCAAAAGCAAAATCCACCCAGTCTACCTCAACGAACTAATACATCGGAGTCGGTGGTAGAAACTCCTTCGAGCCTCATAGGGCGTGATGCGCCGCCACCTCTCCCGAATCGTCGAAGCTCTACTCAACCATCGCCAGCTTTACCTACCCGTAGACCCTCGGCGCAACCATTTCATAACAGGAGAGGCTCTAACTCCTCCGAGGTATCCCATATCTCAACCATTTCGAATCTATCGTTGAACCCCGTTTCCTCTCGCACAAGTACAACGTCGACCGAAACACAACCTGCGCGACGAGTTCTCGCCCCATCATTAGATCAAGCCAAGTTACCACCTCTCCCGCCATCGAGAAAGGAAAGAGAGGCGCAAGCGGCCAAAGAAGCCGCAGAGAGAGAAGGGACTGAAATCATTAAGGCGCCTCTTCTATCAACCCGTTCTGCCCCGGCTGTACCCCAGACTGGTTCGCGACCCAGCTTACCACCTAGGCTGCCCTCTAGGCCTACTCATTCACAAGTCAACGACAATCCTTCGGTAGCGCCACGTCGTCTTCCACCCCCACCTACAGGATTCGTACGTCCAGCAACAACCTTCGAATCTTCCCGAAAGCCTAGCCTGCCTGGCCAAAGACCAAGCAGCGAAGCTCCACCGCCAGTTCCAATCAGCTCGCGACCTACATTTGCTCAAATTGATGCAGTTGCCGTACGTACAAGCACTGACTGTTTACTCTGTCGAGATTTCTCAGCTCCGGATAGCGTGGCTGCGCAGTACCCCAACCATTCGCTTCCTAGGCATGACCCAGTCGGCTATCTAGCAAATGTTTTATGCGGTCCATTCTCATCAGCTACTGACAAAGCAAGAGCTATCTTCACGTGGTGCCATCATAATATCGCTTACAACGTAGAGGAATTCTTTGGGAAATGCATCAAGGGTAGAAGCGCGGACGAAACAATATTTTACGGTAAGGCCGTTTGTCAGGGTTATGCAGAAGTATATCAAGCCATTGCCCAACGCGCGGGGTTGCAATGTATCGTAGTAGGTGGTCACGGAAAGGGCTACGGCTATAAACCACTCGCAAAGGGCGAGCGCCCTCCCCCTAAGGACGCCACAGGCCGTATGTATATTTCTAATGTTAACTCTTCCCTCGAAATACCTATAACCCTTCTTGGTCCTACTTGAGGCTGTTGCCTTTGAGCCTAAGTTTCTAAGACTTCTTGCGAGTAACGGTTACTGACAATTAGGTTTGTAGATGCGTGGAATGCTGTCTGCATAGATAATGGGGAATGGAAACTCCTCGATGCATGCTGGGGCGCGGGTTCAGTAGGAAACGAGCAGTACAATAAGCATTTTACGCCTTATATGTTTACTCTGAGTAACGATCTCTTTGGACTCTCGCACTACCCTTCAAATGATCAGCATTTCTTCCGGAATGACGGTCGTATCCCTTCTTGGGAGGAGTATTACATCGGGCCGCTCAATGGCGAACCTGCTGAAGTTTTTGGCAATGTAACCGAAGAGGGCATCTCCAAGTTTAACTTCAGCCCTATGGAGAAGCATATCCCCGTATACAGCGGTGGGGTGGTGCGGTTCCAGTTTTCCAAAATCTGCGAGCATTGGGACCCTGAGCGGCACGGCAGGGGTAAAAGTTATCTACTTCTCATGAAAATCCATGGGTTAGATGGCAGAAAGGAAGACCTCGTACCGGTAGAGACAGACGGGTTCTGGTGGTGGATAGATATCCCAGCAAGGGATTTGGGTGCTCCCGGCCAGACTATCTTCTTATATGCGCTGACGACACTCAATAAAAAGGACGCGAGAGGTGTTACGAAGGAAGAGTATTACAGAACGAAAAATAGCGGTTGCTATAGTATGAACTGGGGCATTTATATGAAATGGGAACTGGTATAGACATAGACATTTAACCAGATCTAGGATGAAACGATTGCTCTAATGAGCTGTATACCCAGCAATAACACAAAGATTTTCTGATATAATCCCGTAGTGTGAATTTATGTATTTTGCTATTTCGTCAGATTTATTAAATGCCATTGAACACCGAGTGAGAATAGGAACAAAAGAACTAGAGCGGAACGATATAGTTATGTATAATTATTATTATAGTAATGAGGGTTTTCGACCTATCCGAGTGTGGAAAATACCTACTATTCTACTCGTTAGAAATAATAGAAGATTCTCAGACGGCTTTCTATATCATGCCGTGGTATCTGAAGTATAAATACCGGCACTCGGGGACCGTCCCGGTCAATTCGGGGTTCTCCAGTGGGTCCACACGGAGTAGAAGCGGCGTCTGCCGTACGTCGGGTTTCCAATATGGAGGGGTAGTATCGAAATCGGGGTCAATAATGGAAGGTAAAATCAAATGTATTAGATAATACCTAGGAATCATAGAGCAAAGTACAGAACAAATTGACACTAATAGATATTAAATGGAATTGCCAATTCATCTATAAATTACAAACAGGCCGACCTCGGCTCGCGAAGATCTTTCTTAGTCAGCAAAACTCGGAGATCCGTTCGTTATTCAATTCGTTTGTGTCTTGGCGAATTAAAAAACTCCAGCTTTGTAGATAGGTAGCTCCCTTCCGTCGTCCACCAATACTTGTTTTCTACTCCGAAGGATTATACACCTTCTTATGGCTCAGTACACCCAATTAAGTCCGTCATAAAGCTAAATTTGTCATGGGAATAATACGTCTGGGTTACCGGAGCATACTGCTCCTTTTGGGACTTGCTTTCGCATCCGGTGTCGCAGCCAGCCTCGGCTCCGAGAATGCGTCGCGTGCCTTGTTGAGCTTGAATGAATTGGAAGAAAAGCTTCAGGTTTGCTCTACTCAATGTATCGTTATTTGGATATCATACTAATGTAGAGCTTTAGACTTGCTCGGTTGTACAAGAGCTCAACGCTGAGAAGCTTGCTGACGCTTCCGAAAGTTCGACCTTAACCTCCCAGATATTCGCTGTCTTATTCCCAGGTAGCCCCGCGGTAAACGCTCTTTTAGCAACCCTTTATATCTCAGGTCCGCCAAACTTCCTGTTAGCACTATGCCCGCCGAATATCGATCCTTCATCCCTGTCGGTCATGGTGGCATTTGCTGTAGGAGGATTACTCGGAGATACGCTCTTCCATTTACTACCCGAGATCTTTCTCGGAGAAGACAGTCCTGAGCATGTCCGGTTCGTCCTTGTTGAGCCCAATCGCAACCTCCTCTTAGGCGTTGCTATTATGGTCGGTTTCATGACGTTTGTAGCTATGGATAAAGGATTGCGAATAGCCACGGGCGGGGAGGAACATGAGCACAACCATGGAAATCACTCCCATGCTACGCCGTCGGAGACCAAAGCTATCTCGAGCTCTGTAGATGTCTCAAATGCGGAACTCACAAAACGGAAGAAGGGTGACAAGGAGGATTTAAAGGTCAACAAACAGGAAAGCGAAAAGGAGATTAACCCCAGCGCTAAACTAGGTGGCTATCTTAACTTGATGTGAGTTTGGTTCTAGCAGAGCCAGGATCATCCAGATTACTTATTCTTTCGTATAGTGCCGACTTTACACATAATATCACTGACGGTCTAGCAATGTCGGCATCGTTCTATGCCTCGCCTACAATTGGCGCTACGACGACGGTCGCAGTGTTCTTCCACGAAATTCCTCATGAAGGTTGGTAGTTCTCTTCCCCGAAGTCTTCTACTAGTGATAAATACTGACCTACTTCATCTAGTTGGTGACTTCGCTCTGCTCGTGCAGTCCGGATTCTCAAAACGTGCTGCAATGGGTGCTCAATTTGTCACGGCCCTAGGAGCTCTTCTAGGAACGCTAATTGGCATCGCCGTTCAAGAATTTGGTGGCGGCGGCGGCGCAGACGGCAATGGAATCGGTATGACTGAGGGCATCTGGGGTACCAGCCTTACGTATGGTGACCTGCTGTTACCGTTCACCGCCGGAACGTTCCTCTATGTGGGTACGGTCGCAGTAATTCCAGAGTTGCTGGAGACTGGTCCTAATAAATCCCTGGAATTCCGGAAGATGCTTGTGCAGTTTGCTGCCATCGCCGTAGGCGCTGGGATCATGCTTTATATCTCATGGGATTGATTTTGGATTTAATGACATAGATCGGGTGAACTCTAGAATGGGGCCGAATGTCGACTATATAAGTTTGACATATTTATAGAAAGAACCTGCTTACTATAAATCGTAAGTGAGGAACATAAAGGTTACTATGATTCATGGTTGTCGGTAAATCCGAACCCAATTCGTCATGTCTAGGGGGGAATGTACTATGTAGTACTCGCTTCTCGCTTCCGTTGGCGGCAGCTGTTATTAAAAACCAGGGACTACCCAGCCTCACGAAGCGGAACGAATCCATCGTCAGACTTTTCCGTTGCCTACGGTACCCGCTGGAAGCCGGTGTGTTGTGATGGACGTTTATTAGTAAAAGAATCCACAGAGATGCCAAGAAGATCTAGCATTGCAACCCGTTCCTGCATGTGAGTCCCGTTTTAACATGCGCAAACGGTTCTGGGCCTTTGAGATTTACATGTTTTTTTATCAGATCATTCCACGTGGTTATGTGAACATCCGAAAGATCGAGAGATTACAGTGTGTTTCATTGACGTGGATATGCCCGAGGTGAAGGAATAATATCCGCATGACATTCCTGATCTACCCATCTATATACCGATGAATAATGGATTTCGTAATATGTGTATGGAAGGTGAATAGACTAACAGACTAGACTCCCCTATTACGAAGGGAGGGAAAAAAAATAAACCAAAAAAAAAATCCACATCACTATGTATTATCTAAGTGATCTCCACGTTTGCGTGTCTTCTTGAATGGTTGGCTAATTATTTGGTTGGTGGGTTAGCTTTGACTTCAAACCGGGGTTCCTCCTTACAGGGCTGGTTTGGTTTATGGCAGAGGGCCGAACTCGGAGAAGATATTTACTTTAAGGAGTGTTTGATTTTGATGTACATTCAATGGTAAAATACACATGGCATTTCCAAGGCATTTCCAAGGCCAATGCAATAGGTACCTAACCTACAATATTTACGGACCTCAGGTAAGTGGTAGTGTCTTATGACTCTTCGGCCAGTGCACTTTTAACCACTTATACGGAGGTTTCCATAACCACAAAATATTCCTTGGCCTTCTTCAGGCCTTAGCGGTTAGGCAATTATGGATTCTTGCTACTTTAATGATAGTTAACTAACGAACCCTACAAATAACGATACGGTACTTGAATCACGCCTTTAGTTATTAAGAACAACATCATCTATCTAAATATCGCATCATATATTTTATTCATAATATCGACCAGGGGGGAAGTGATCCATCAGGGTCACAGGTTATAAAGAGGTATAATTATAAAAAAAAACAATGCGCCCTTCATTCTAAACACAGCAATCGTTAAACAACACATGCACAACTACATGTGTAGGTACTAGTTATATAATTATCAAGTGGATAATACTCCGTCGATGACTCTTCGATCGAGATAAGTGGATAGGGATAGCTTTTCCCGATCAAGTAATTAGCATGTCTCAAGACTGGATACGATAGGTCAAGGGCATCGTTTTTTTAGCGAGCTACAACATGTCAGATTTCTAAGCTTTCGAAGGGCGCAAACACATAATAATATGTCTAACTTAAGTGGGTATAGTATCATATCTAGGCCTCAGCCCTCCGAAGCTGAAGCGGTCAAACCCCACAGAACAGTCCTCAAGATCCAAGGGGGCCAAGAGCTAAAGGTTCTAACTAACGGACGTCGTCCCGGGGGAGTGTCAACGACTATGACTTCTCCGCCCAAGTGTCGTTGTTAATTCCCGGGTGTCATCAAGACGCAAAAGCCGAGAGCGGTATTTCCACGAGCCGCATGACACCAAAGGCGGTAGACCGTTGATTAGTAGGCCACTCATAGGCATGGGTCACTCGTAAGCCACTTATATGACAAGCTGCTGTGCTCATGCGCATTATTAGAATATGATAGCGTGCTCGAAGGGCGCATCCTAGACGCAAACTTCTTGAAGACTCAAGACTCAAACGCCATCTTCCTTGCTCCACCACCCCCAGCTGGTAATTATAACTTTTTTACGTACGACTATTGGATACGTCTTCCCTTGGAGGTAAAGCCTCGAGGTGGTCACCTTTAGAGGTCAAGCGTAGGTCAAGCATACGACCAAGAGAATTTTTAGAAGGATGAATACACCCAATACCGTCCCGACCCCCTTCGAACCCTCCCCCCCCCTCCCTCCCTCAGACTCCCCTCAGACCCCAGACCCCAAATCAAATAAAAGAATGCAAGCCAAGTTGACAAGTTAATTGCGCTTCTACAATGGCGCGATAACCCCTGCCTTGGGCAGATCCGCTCCCATGTCAGGCCACCAGGGTCTCCATCCAGCCAGCGGAAGACATGAAGGGCGGAACGATCTAATACCCTTTACGTCAGAACGGAGGAGCTTTATGACAACCAATTTTTTTTTATCACTAACATATACAAGTGTCAACCTACATAAAATTTATATCACTCTTCAATCTTAAGATGACTCAAGTACTATCGTCGAGCTTAAAGCTAGACAAGCCCGTATATTTTTTATTTCCTTGATAGGTATACAACTATATAAGCCACTTGGTTCCCATCATATTCTCTACAGCTTTGGGGTCTTATCGATATTAATATCACAACGTCGTACCGCGATCATCGATACTACCTACATATGACCTTTCTCATCCTGCAGTTGACGGCAAGGACTCATATACAAATTTATTATTATCACTTTGCTGCCTAGCATAGCGCTACAGTTACACAGTACAGCACTCAAGCTATATATCTATGCCCCCTTTGGCTTCATTATCGCAAACATTAGTTGGAGCTAGGATCAACACATCTTATACTACTGAAATCTAGAATCTATACTTGAAGCTCTAAGCCATTTGAGAAAGAGCACCAACTTTCAAAATGGCGTCCACTTCGTCTTCGGAACACAGCAGGGTTCTAGGGGGATACGCTCGCAAGCTGTCTATCGCCCCTAAATCGAGCATCAACATTCATATCAACAACCATTATCACTCTCGAGTCTACACCACCGGCTCAGAAATATCAGGACATGTTACCATTACACCCCAAACCGATACGCGATTCGACACGCTCCAGGTTGTGTTGCTCGGAACTAGCAAAACCCGAATAGACGCCTTAAATATTCCCCAGACGACCTCTCACACTTTCTTAAAGCTCATAATGCCTATCCCGGAATCATCCTATCCAATCCCGCGCGTGTTCGAGGCAGGTCTGACTTATACGGTACCATTCACCTTCGTCATTCCGAGCACCCTCACTCTTAATGCGTGCAGTCATCAAGTCGCCAACAATTCTGTTCAGGACCACCACATGCGCTTGCCTCCTACTCTTGGTTCGTGGGAAAAGGATGACTTTGCGCCGCACATGAGCCGCGTTCAGTACGTGATCAAGGCGCGAGCGTATAAGGATGAGCCGGCTGATGGACTGACTGTGAAAGTTATGGAAGCTGGGCAGGAGATTAAAGTCTTGCCCGCGGCGCTGGAAGACGCCCCATTGAGCATTACCAAGCACGACGATTTGTACATTATGTCGAAGAGTAAGTCGCTACGGAAGACTATCATATCGCCGAAGACAGGGAAGGTTACTATCACGGCCGCACAGCCCAGTGCAGCTATGCTAAGTCCCGACGGGCAAACGAGTACCTCTACCACAGTACCACTCTACCTCGAATTCGAACCAGCTTCTATCGACGCGCGCCCACCGAAAATAACAGGAATAGCATCCAAGGTTACGGCAGTCACGTACTTCAGCGCCGGCGGCGTCAGCCAGTACCCTAACCTTAAGGACTGGCACAGCGCATTCGGCTCCGAGGGCCGCGGCTCGTACTCAGGCACGACATCCGTCACCACAGGGCCGTTGGGAGACGTCAAATGGAGCCGACACCTAACAGCACAGGCCCGACGAGACTCGGGATACGGCAGCGACAACCTCTCATCTGACACAGACCTACCCCCCAGGCCCCTCCCCCACAAGACCAAGGGCAATCTCCCATCCCCGATCTTCCATGCGGCGCAACTACAAGTACCGATTCAACTGCCGGTGCAGAAGAAAACATTCGTGCCGACTTTCCACTCGTGCATCACGTCGCGCGTCTACGTCCTGTGGTTAACAGTGACCGTTGTTTCCGGCGGGTACAGCACACACATAACCCTCGGCGTGCCTCTACAAATCGGTGTCCGCGGCACGGTCTCGCACTTAGATAATACTGCGCTACCGCCTAGCTTCGAGGAGGTGGAGGAGGCCGATGCGGACGAGTATCTGCGCCCGCGCGTCATGAGCCTTCCTACGATTGATTTCCACCAGAACGGGGCGCTGCCAGGCTACGCGGACTTGGATCATCACAGGCGAAGGACGGTAGTCGCGCACTGAGCCATGATTCGATACGCTTTTTTTTTTTCCCCTTGTTCTTCTATATCTGTATTCCTCTTGCCTTAAAGGGCTTTATGCGGGACTTGATACCACCTTCGTTTAAGAGCGATTTATCTAGGGCGGGGATATTGGGAAAGCGTGGCGTTTGGGTTTTGGTTTTGGGTAAAAGGACTTATGAAATTGGTATTTGATTGTATAGAAAAGGGACTCAGGGGCGGGAATCGTTGACACGACGGCATGGCTTATAATTTGGCAAGGGGGGTTGATGTTCAACGTCTCTTTATTTTTCAACTACGTATTGAGTAATGATAGTTATTATATTTAATTTACGCATATCATATGGAATTATCTACTCTCTCGTGACGAAGAACTTGAAAATTATAACTCTTATTTCAAGTGTATACTATCAACTGTAAGGCGTTTTCTTTTACATGTTGCTTGTAGAGCGAAGAGTACGAACTACCAAGGTTCCAGCCAGTCGAGTTAGTAGGTCCATCTCCCCTATTCCGCTACAAAGCTAGAATATTAGTCTAGACCCGGTGTGAAGATCTCCCGAGTATGGCTAGTATCTATCTCCACCATGGCCCCTCTTGGAGCCCAACATCGTCAAATTACTCACATATGAATATATGACAACCGAAGTCGGTAGACTTTCGACTATAAGTTAAGTTTAGTGAGCCAACCTCCATCTCCCCCGGAGCTAATGACTCTTGTCTGTGTCCACTTACACCAGACAACTAGTCACGATAGGTTTGTTTTGCGGTCCTGCTTCGTAATTGTTATAAGTAATATACATAATACGGAGCACATCTTACAGATAGCTGGTGGGAAACCACTGCATGCCAATCAGACCAAATAATCTCTATTGGCAACTCGGTTAGCTACCTTCTCTTGAAGGGCTATAGATGCGGTGAACATAATGAAAATGCCCACAGCCAAGCTTTTACGCTTATATATGCCGTATAGAGTTAGGGAGTATTAGCAGATGGTGGCCGCCTGATCATTAACTTGCCCTACACGTTACTCCAGAGAGAAAACACCGGTAGATCAATAATTACGCAAAGGGATATATGGCTAGGGGCTGGAGAAGCACCCATGAAACTCTGAGCAAGCTTACCTACCTAGTAATATGTTATGCCTACTCCGTATTCACTGCGATATTTAATTATTCGTTGGTATAGCTCAATAATGTAGTTGAGGTTGGGTATAATTTAAGGAGTCAAGATGTATCATCTTGACATTATATTAGGATAACTTCTTAAATACCTAGTAAGGTAGTTATAACTTTCAGTAAGTACTTTAAAATACCATGATTCTCTCAATAATGAAAAGAGAATGTATAACATTGCTCTAAGCACATGAAAAAAAACTAGGCGGAGGCTACCTATAACAAGACAAAAACATTGGTATAATACACCAATACACTAAAGGTGGAATAAGAGCAATATATGCCTTAATATGCTACCGAAGCCTTTAGCGACGTGATTTGACTAACTCGCATCACTACTAACGATTTTGCCCACGCTCATAACTCCCATAGACTAGTGAATATCAACTTGGTTAAATTAAAGGGGTAAGTGACATGAATGATGCAGATTCCCGGAAGTTAAGTGCCCAGGTATGTTTTCGTCGTACGAAGTAATAATATCTGAGAACAACATACGCTGTCACACGTTTAATAGGTAATGGCTTCCTAAACGGGCCCTTCTGGTTGAGGTTTGGCCAATGAATGGCGTATTTACCTGGTGCTATGGTGCTACCCGCTAGATCGCTAGAAACAAGTCGTAGGCGAGACGAACAACTATGCTTTAAATTTCGCCGTATCCTTTTGAATATTTCTGTCATTCGTCTCATCCTAGTTTCCTCAACTTCTCCTAAAGTATTAAATGGGGTCACGATGCTACTCTCCAACAACTTGACTAATTTCAATACATAAAACGAGTACAGTAATATATCCCTTTTGTAAATATTTTTATTCACAGTAGATTAGTACACTACTATATATACTCGTGGCTTAGAGGATATGTCTCACACCAGCCTTAAAATGCCATCATCGAACTCAACACTAAGGACACACCCGAGACACGCAAGGGGTATAAGCAACGTCCAGTCCTTAAACACCGCTATATCGTCCGTTATATCTTCTCGATTTACCTGGTATATTCTTTCTGGAGTAGCTTGGCGATTGTATTAAGTCTGATGTTGAAAATTAGCATTGGTCCTCATTTAACGATACGGTGTAGAGCAAATAAATAAGTCAACTTACTGAATATTACTGGTTCCCTCGTAGATAGCGCCGATCTTGCTATCCCTCCAGTATTTCTCCGCAAGGCCCTCCCGGACGAAGCCCATACCTCCCATCCACTCAATGGCCAGGCCGCTAACACGTCCCGCGACTTGCGAGGCGTACAATTTTGCCATGGCCGCATCGCGCACGAAGTCCTCACCGGCTTCCTTCTTCCGGGCAGCATTGTACACGAGAGCGCGCGCGGCCGCGATCTCGGTGTACGACTGGGCGATCTGATGCTGCATGCCTTGGAACTCACCGACTAGCTTGCCAAACTGTTTGCGGTCGTTCCATACGTACTTGACTGCGTTCTCCCATGCACCTAGCGCTAATCCGGTCATCTGCGCCGCGATACCAATACGCCCCTCGTTTAACAGCCCAATAGCGTACTTGTAGCCCTGGCCCTTTTCGCCCAGCAAATTTTCCTTAGGGATCTCGACATCATCGAAGCTGATGGCGCATGTACTGCTCGCTTTGATGCCTAGCTTCTTCTCCTTCTTGGCAATCGAGAAGCCCTTGGTGTCTTTCTCAACAATAAAGGCTGTGATACCCCGATGCGCCTGGCTGGGATCTAGGTTTGCGAATACGATGAAGAAATTGGCCTCCATAGAATTCGTAATCCACATTTTGCTACCGGATATCCGGTATCCATCAGCGGTTTCTGTCGCCCTAGTAGCGAGCGCGAACGCGTCAGATCCCGAGACGGGCTCGCTCAGACAGAAGCTACCAACGGTGTTGGTGGCCAGCGCCGGGAGGAAGCGCTTCTTGATATCGTTACTACCCCACTTCAGGACGGCCGTGTTGACCAGCGTATTGTGGACATCGACCAGAACGCTGACGCTCGGGTCAACACGTGCTAACTCCTCGATACCTACGATCGCGGCAGTGAAGTTCATACCAGCACCTCCGAACTCCTCAGGGATCTCAATCCCCATCAACCCTTGCTCAAAGAGTTGTTCAACCAATTCCGGATCCATATTCTCAGCCTCATCCATATCGCGGACTTTCGGTAAGATTACTTCGTTAGCGAACTTGGAAACTGTCTCTTGCATCGCTGCCTCGGTCTCGGAAAAGTGAGTTATAGGAGTAGGGGGGATATCTGTGATGTCTGTCATCCGGCGGGCTGTGGCAGATAAGGGTCTTATTGTTCTACAGGCCCAAAATATTAATATAAGCCATTACGACGAGAAACTTGACTATGAAGACTTACTGTCGCGTATTAAACTTCTGAACCGATCTGCTACCACATCGCGGCGACAACGAGGCCCTGGGAACTACACCAAGACCCCGCCGTAAGGCCGGCCGAAGTAATCTTGCGATCGACGACATGGTGTGAAGTAGCAACTTGTAATCTGTAACACAACGAGCAGGTGTGTAACAGATGACGAGCACAAATTACCGAGAGGGTTTGAAGGGTTTCGGATTATTGTATGTACGTAGGTAGGTAATTATGTACACGATTAAGAAAATAGAGAATAGAGAAGAAGATAAAGAATATGAAGAGTCCCGCCTTCTGCTCACATTTCCACCTTCCCCGGATTCGACTTACCCTGAACGCCGAGCGAGTGGGTTCTGCCGAGGATAGCCATGGTTCTTCAACAAACCGTGGCTGGATGCAGCGTTGACGTCGGTTGTGTACCAATGTATACATTGAGAGAGGCGAATTAGCGAATCAAACATGAGCAATGCCGCCGTCCGGCTAGGTGTTATAGGTACTGCATAACCGTTAGACATGTGAATCCAGAGCTAGTAGGGTACGTACCTGAAGAAAGTCATCTAAATTACCTAGAACCACACCCTTACCAAAGGCCGGAGCTCAGAACTTGCCAGACCGATGTCACCTGACATTGAATTTTCCACCGTTCGTCAATTGAATTTGTCTTGGCGGCAGCGTATCTTATGAAGTTTCATACCCGATTGACTTGTTGGAGTCAGACACGGCGGCCGACTGACTACCTAAATTCCATCATGGCCGCGCCAATATTAAGATGCCTCTGGCCATCCCTAGCAAGGCGGCCGGTCGCAATACCAATGTCCTTTCCTAAAATACCCATGCGATCATTCTCTTCGACGCCGTCCCCAAATGCGACCTTGAACCAAGTCCTACGAGTGCGTTTTCCTCGATCCCGTCTCTTTCTAGAAAAAGAGAGCATCGCCGTTATATATCTTCTTATGCAGCTGGTCCTTTGTAATAGCGACTAACTCAGAATATCAAATAGGGATGTCGTAAGCCCCAACGCGCGCGCCACGCCGTTTCTCCAGCTCTGTCCGATACGGAATGTCCGCAGCAGAAAGGCGTGTGTCTCAAGGTCGGCATTACGCGGCCCAAGAAGCCCAATTCAGGCGAGCGAAAAACAGCTCGTGTGCGTCTGTCTAGCGGCCGTATGATCACGGCTTATATCCCCGGCGAGGGCCATAACATCCAGCAGCACTCTGTCGTTCTTGTCCGAGGTGGCCGAAGTCAGGATTGTCCTGGTGTGCGGTATCACTTAGTCCGAGGAGCTTTGGATTTGGTAAGCTAGCAAATGGCGTTGAGAGTCTAATTTGAAGGGGAGTTATTAGTTAGAGACTACTTTTGCTAATATACGTATTTTTACCAGGCCGGTGTTTCTAATCGCAAATCGAGCCGAAGTAAATATGGAACGAAGAAGCCGAAGAAGGCATCTGTTGGCTCATAGAAGCATTTTATATGCCTTGTTCGTACAATTAGGGTTATAAAGATCCCGACCTACTAGGATTTAGGAGATGTGCTCGGACGTAGACTACTTTTACTACACGATGCGACGCAAAATAACTGCAACATTTTCATTTCATATGGCAAACCCATAGACATATATCTACAATGAAGAAACCGATATATATCGGTACGTTAATGAACCCGTGGACGCCACCCTGTTGCCCCGGTCAATACCCCATTGAACCGCACTGGCGATGTTGCAATAGCCCGTCATGAAAGATGGATAAATATCTATTTACAATCATCTGTGAAATGGTTTTTTTTCTTTCATCCCGGTTTCCTTTTCTCTATTCCTGTTGCTCCTCATAACCCTGCGGCTTATCAAGCCCGTTGATTTCGAAGTATCTTGCTGTGCCTGCGGATATGTTAGTAAGACTCGATATCACGAATAAGTGAATTGGGGAATACGTACAAGAGTACCCTTTCCAGTCAAAGTTTTCCTTCGGATTGCAGTGACAGCGGAGATCTAACCGCGTTTTCTCGCCGGTTGGACAGTGAGTAAAGGGGACGTGGTAATAGGCAATATCGTTGAAGAAGTGGATTTCTTCTTTCTTCAATAACAGGCCAGCGGCGATGGAGTGTACCGGTGCATCACCCCATCGCTCGTAAAAGAATCCACCATCTTGGTCAAGCGACTCGAAGAAGTCGGTATAGGCCTTAGATCGCAGCCATTCTAAGTTGCCAACTTCGAAATTAGACCACTGTTTATAGGTTAGTAGCTGTTAATGCATAATTCGACGTACTACTTACGAAGTGACATTTGTTGTATTTCTCACCACCGTCATCACTGAGGAAAGCCATAGAGTTACCCTCGGCGATGTGTTCGGGGTAATTCTTCATGAACTTCTTTACGCTATCCCAGAGAGTAGGAATAGTCTCCTCGTATTCGTACAGACTAAGCACGAAGCTATACTTCTTCTTGTTCTCGGCCATGAAACGGAAGGGGTCGTAATGAACGTCGCAGAAAAGCTCAACACTGGGCTCGACTCGCCAGTACCATTCGTAGTTCAACATGAGTGGTTGACGGAAAAAGAAACCGGATTCGAAGCGACACATGTGTCGGTAACTAACGGAATCACCATAGATGATCTTGCGCTGCGCCATATCTTCACGAACCTTCCGCGCCTTATCCTGGTCGATGTGATCGGGGAAAGACCAATGTTCATGAGGAATCTCGCCATAGTAAGTCTTGCCAGACACGAGGGAGCTCGTGACTTTCTTAAAAGTCGCATCGAATGGCTTGTCATTGAGGAAGACCCAATCGTAATTATAGCGGCGGTTGAAGCGATCTTCGACTTGGCGAATAGAACGAGCAATTTCCCACACATCGCTGTTGCGGGCAAGAGAGACGAAAGTAGCGTTCATACGAGGGCCAGGGGCGGTTCCTAGAAGGTCATTCCACCCTTGATCTGACGGTGTCAATGCCATTGGAGCTTCGGCGAGGTCTTCATATTGTTTCGGGGATCCTGCGCCGGGCTTTGATGGTGAACTCTTCGTAGATCCTGGAGCGTTGTTGATCGAACCATCCGGCTTGCTTCCCCAACCAGACGATGCCCCACCAACATCGTCGAATGACTTATCTGGCCTCGTCGATGAGGAACCTTGGCTAGCTCCGAATGCAGAGGGTTTGAGTTGAACCCCTTCATATGTGGAATGGGATACGAAGTAAAGAACTGCGAGAAACTGTAGCGAGTTCCTATTAGCCACCTGGACTTGACCTGCTCAAGCACGATCCACGAATAGTCTAGGTATAACTTACGAAGAAGGCGAAGAGAATGTATCTCACGATGCGCGCACTGCCGGCGGCCATGATGCGAGATGTAGGGCTGACGGATTATTCGCCGTCAGAATGGGTTGGTAGAGGAAGACAGGGTATATTCTCGAGGTCTAGAATGTTTCGCCGGCCGAAATGGGGCGGGGACTTTCCAAAGGGGAAAACTCTCTTCGACTATGCAGAGTAGGTATTGTCACAAGAAACAAAGGAAGGACTATCAAGTCATCACCGGGAGCTCAAATGCGACTGGATTAGATTCGCATACTTGAGCCACGTTTTTTTCGACGAGAATACGTAGGGAAGCGGGAACGAAAGAAGTTGAAAGAGAAAAAAATAAAATAAAATAAAAATGAACGAGATGGAATTGTAATAGGTAAAGCTGGATGTGAATACGAAGTTGTTACACCATGTACGTAGAAGTGGGATAGGGGTAGGTACAGTAAGGTACAAATTGTACATATAATAAAACGTGTACGAGGAAGTACTTGCAGGGTGTAGGGGATTTTGATTCGAAATGGAAGAAAAAATCGGAGGCGATAGATTAGAATTTCACTCTGATAAATGGATCGACGCGTCAGTAGTGAATGGAAGGTCTAGTCCCCTAGCAGTGTAACTGTAGCACCCTGTACGCCTGAACTGTGCATAGGTGACTTCCAATTGAATCAATATCCCCATTTTTACGGGTATTAGGTTTATCATTAGGCTGGCAAGCACTCCCCGTATCAGAGAGCCTTAAGGGCTTGGCGTTGCCGTATTCCGCCCCGGGTCCCGTTATTGCCCATATCTCCAACCTTTGGAAGTATTTGATAGCAACATGAAAGTGAAAGTACCGTAAAAAACCTTAGATTAGGTACATAATGTAAACTAACATAAAATTGTTTAGTCATTCCTATAAACTCACATCTTACATATGCTTTGTCAGATTGATAGACGTGTGTTTCTATATGTATATACTTTCAAGAATGTTTCAACAACTTGGGTAACCTGGCAGTTTACATGTTTTGGTGCGGTCTTCCGAAATCATATCCCTTGGCTACCTCCTTGTCTAGACTTGTCTAGACTTGTATACATAGACTTGTACATGGGAATATCTCATACGTGCACATTCGATGTGTGGATTGTATTGTTAGCTCTACGACTCAAATAGCCTACCTAGGTTCTGCCCCCATATCTAAATTCTTAGCATACCATTTGTCCGGCGGACAATCTAGAGGCTAACGCTGACGTACCTCACCACGTAACGCAGTAAATACATGCGAATCAATAAACATGATGAGGATTATCTAAGAATATGTTAATCATAAATAAATGGTTTCTCCCTACATGAGATGTAGAAGTTTGATTTATGTGTCCGAGTTGGTCGACCTTAATTCTAGATTGGATTCACCAATCCTAGGTTAGACACGTGATCATAGTACACATGGCTTAAGACGGGTAATAGCTTGATATAAAAGGTTAACCTAGGTAGTTATATCTAATGAACTAACTGTTATATACTAAATGTTTAGTGGCTTCCAAAGGGTAAGTTACTCCCATGTACCTGACATGTCTAATACTTGGCTACATCACGTGATCCGGAACGCATTAACTTGTATCCTCTTCCCCACCTAGGCAACATGAGACATGATTGGCCTAACTGATGCTGTAGGGTCTTTAGTGGGAAACTGGTAGGTTCTTCAATTCCACCAAATTGCTTTGCGAAATGTTGCCGTATGGCACGTAGATACGTCAATCATCTCGATAGAAGTTGACGGCGCTCTCTTCGAACAGCCTTACCTACGTTACCGTCTTTCTCTGGCCGTGAATATTTTATACGTATTGAGAGCTTCCTTGTGCAGCTACTACTTTTCTTATTAAACTGTTTTCTAAATATTTTTGTCTCCCATTTTATCAGCTTTTTATTCCTTTCGCCCCTCACAACCCGAGCTGTTTTCACACCCACATCATGATCCAGCAAGACCATTTGCTTCTCGTCTACCAAGTATCCCAGCTCTTTTAGTTGTAAGTCTTTCTATTAACCTTATATTAACCTATATGATCTATCACGATACCTTTCTACCTTCTCGCGCACCATATTGTTATACAGTTTTACGCATCACAAAGGGACTGTACTCTTCTATTTTATGCCCAACATCCCAACTCTTCTACCCATGCATCCTACATATGCTGCCTTCCCTATTGTTAATTTCGCATAAAATATTTCGGGGTTGGCAAACAAAGCACTTTCTTTGTATTCCGTAACCTTCTCTAAATTCATCACCCCTCTACAGCTTTGACCATCCCACTTTAGCAACCTTAGGGGAGGTACTTTACTTACCCACCTTCTATAGTTTGACACCAAAATTTCGCGAGCATTGCGAGGCTTGCAACCGCCGCCATGTCCTTCCCCGCGAATTCATCGCGCCACGATATGGCAGCTCCCGGTTTTGGCCAATCTTACGATCCCTTCGCCGATCTTTCGCGAAGTGCGGATGACATTGATGAAGCTTTAGATTTTGAGGATACGTACGATGGATTAGGTGATGGGTTGGATGAGACGGACGACGCTTTCAACGATGATACGTTTGGTGGTACTGGTGGTGGTGACTCTGTTGGAGTGTCGCATGCGCCAGTTGGCAAGGATTTCGACTTCTTTGGACAGACTGCTAAAGTCGCGAACGCTATCGAGGAAGAACACCAGCGCTTCAGTCGTCAACAACCAGCTCCGAAGTCGATCCAACCTTCTTCAACACAGGCATACGGCTCAGGATATGCCTATCAGCCAGCGCCTAAACCTGCCCGAAGCGGTTACGAGAAGTATAAGACCTCCGAACCGGTATCCGACCTTCAAGTTGACGCTTCAATATGGGGAGTCCAGCCCAAGAAAGCTACTCCAGTAGCACCCGCTCAACCCCAGCCAATCGCGCCACCAGCGGGCCGTAAAATGATGAGTCTAGAAGAGGTCGAGGCAGCGATGCGAGCCCAGGCAAAGGCTCCTGCTCAACCCCAGCAGCCTCAACCCCAGCTTCAGGCTCCGTCCCTGACTGGCCCTGAGCTTCAAGCAACATTTCCCCACCCTCATTACCCCCAACAGGAGCCGATCGACTACCTGCAACAACAACAATTTGACAACCGTCAACCCCAGGGATTCTATACTCCTGACAACCAGCAGGTTCCGCAGGGGGCCACTCATGGACACCCTATAGCAATCTTACAGCGACCATCTTCAAAAAGCATCCCATCTAGCGGACCCAGCGTGTCAAGTTCCTTAACTCAGCAGCATCAACCCGCTTCTGTAGGATTCCCGACGCAAATATTACAGAACCCTAATCGTACTCCTGGAGAGCCCGCTAGAACCAACTTGCCAACTCACCCAACTCATCGATCACAGAACTCATTCACTCGCCAGCCTCAGCCTAGCACAGGTCAAGCTCACCTTTCAAATTTATCCGAGCAGGAGAAAGCATCCTTCCTCGAAGCTGAGGCAAGACGAGCCAAGCGTAATCATAAGATACACGTCTTGTCGAAAGATAATGGTCTGATGACACCACAGGATAAGAGTTTCATTACCAGAATCCAACTTCAACAACTTGTCTCGGCTACCGGTGATCCTAACGAGCACGGGACCGATGCTGCTCTTGCGGAAGATTTCTACTACCAGGTTCTCAGCTCGTTACGAGCAGGACAGCGACCTAACCCGAATCAGCCTTTGAACAATTTTGCCCAGACGTACCTTTTCCAGACTGGTACTCGCCATGGGGGTATGAGACGTCAAGGACGAGGCCCAGAGAACCACATGCAACGAATGGAACAACAGGTCCAGCGTGCTGTTGAGGCGGCCAAGAATAAGCCCAAGAACAAACAACTAGTCATAGAAGGCAGTTTAGGAAAGATCTCGTTCAGCAACGCGAAGACACCAAAGCCTCTATTGAACATCAAGCGGACTGAGAGCAGTACCGAGACCAATCGACCTGGTAGTGGACATCGCTCCCATCCGACCACGGGTACCGACAAGAAAGAGACACTGCAGAACATCGAGAAAGTCTACTTAACCCTAATGAAGATGGAGGATCTAGACCGCAATATGCCTCCCCCTCCAGCGAATGGCACTTCGGATCCAGACTTTGAGCGACGTGCCGAGATACAGCTACAATTGCAACAACTAAATGAACAGCTGTGGACCGAGCTCAAAGTCCATGAGCCTATTGGCGCTACTTCTGTGCATCCTTTCATTGCCTTTTTGTCCTATCCCAAAGGCAAGAAAGCTATTGGCCGCGTGTTCAACCATATTACTATCGAGCAGCAAACAACCATACTGACCATCATCGTCATCCATCTCGATCAACTCGATGTAGTCCGCGGTGCACAGGTCCAGACCGGAGAGCCCATCAATTTGAACGCCGCTACCCGCGAGAGCATTGAGCTGTTCATTGTGGCGGTCATGCCAAGTCTTCTCCACCTCTTAGGCAAATCAGAGCTACATATTGTCACTGGTGTACTCGGATTGATAACCCAGAATCTCAATGTAGATCTCGTTGCTCGGACTCGGATTGGTGTTTCGATGTTAACTATGATCCTTAGCCGAGCTGAGCTCACCAAGCAAGCTGGACAAGCAACTGAACAGTCTTGGCAACAATGGTAAGAATAAAAATGATCGTTCAAATTATAGTAGCTAATTTCCTGTTAGGGTTGCAACTTTCAACCAGTTCTTCAACGCCTTAGAACCAACTCTTCCCAACATCTTCCCGGGTACCGTGGCATCTGGAGAGGATATCTATGTGTGGCAATTCCTTGCTGCCATTGGCATAGGAGCCAGCCCAGAGGAACAGCAACGCCTCGTCCTTGCCGTCAAAGACCGTGTCATGGATACTGTCAATCTGTCTAAGACTCTTCCCGCCGACATGGCAAAGACTCGCTTGGACAACGTCAACCTGTTTATGCGATCTATCGGTCTTGATGTGGAATTGTTGAACAACTAGACTAGACATTACGATGGTCATTTCGACTTACTGTATAGTCTCATCTAGATTTATCGTCGGTTTGTTTGGCCGATGAAGACTTGGAAGTCGGGCACTGGATGTGATTATTCAATGCCGCTGCTTTATACGGTTTAATGAGGCACGAAGAAGTCCTTGCGAAGGGCCTCTGATAGACGGGTGAGCGTTTGGCGCTCGGTATATGGGTAACGAACGGTGAAATCTATCCGAATTCTCACGAGTTCATGATACCCGAATTGGCTTAGCAATGAGGTCTGGAGATGAGGCGGGCCAATTTTGTGGACGATGGTTCTAGACTCCTACGGGGAGTGTGTGCATAGATAGTTACATGGTGAGGACGAGGCATCTAACGCCTATATTTTGTGCCATAGCAGCAGTCAAGTTTCGAGTCCTATTCAGGCCCTCGCGATACTGCTATACGTTGGTGCTAGTCCTACAGATGTGCATAGGTAGTCGAGTCGTTTGTATTGCATGCAATAATTCCGAGCTGTTGCTAAAGCCTATACGAATACCAAGTGTGCCAGAAAATCAGTCTTTGACGCCGAGCAATGCAATATAACCTAACCTACAGGTTTACCCCTTACACCTCTCTTAGTTGCAGACGTATTAGTCGGCTTAACACCCTATTAATCAATCGCCTTAACCTTAGGCTCTTGAATTCCGACGTCTACATTCCCTTCGGGTTTCCCATCCCTCCCTCTATCAACCATTCTTCAAGCTGCTGTTGGTCATAATACAACACGTAGCTGGAAACGCTTATGCATCCCCTTGTTACTATGAAGGACCTCGAATATGGGAAAGGAATTCTTCCTCGCTCCACTGCGCTTTGAACTTGTCCTTGGACACGTCGTCTTCTGCCGTATTAGGCTTCACCGTCTCCTTCTCTTTCCCCTTGCCCTTCGCGTCAGCTAGGGATTTGGGATTAGCCGCTCCCGGGTATACGAGATGGTTAGTGAACATGTGCCAAGCTTTATCGCTGTCTTCGTCCTCGTATTTGAGCTTGGACCACGGCTCCATCTGGACCTTTCGCAAACGTTCGATCATCGTGTCCACTACCAGCTCCCCGTTCTCGGTGCCCCCCGCACTCTTGATAGACATGTGGATCGCCTTGGCCGCACCGGCACCTCCTTGCGTTCCACTGCCAGTCGCGCCACTTTCTTTGCCTGTCCCCGCGGCCGGGCCTGGTGCCGCCATGCCCTCGCGCGGACGGCTTAGGCGTTCCTGCTCGGTGTAGGCATCGAGGTGGTGTAATTGCGGGCGCAGGTGGATTAAAGATGAGACGGGGGTGAGGTGTAATTGATCTAATAATCAAACTCGTGTTAGCCGCAAGTGTGCAGTGCATCATCCGGTAGACAAATTGACAATCGACGAACCTCCTTTGAAAACACCGACCATCCACCTGCAATTCGACTCCTTCTCGATCGCGAACTGCCCGCCCAGGGTCTGCGTCCTAAGAACCTTGTCCTGGCGCACGGCTTCGCTCCAGTCCAGCATGCTGAGCTCCCGCTCCAAGTCATCCGGGCGCTTCCCAGCTGCGCCGCGACCCCCTCCAGCCGCGGCGCCTCTGGCAGGGACGCCGACGCCGAAGCCGCCGGCGAGACCGTGGGACCCGCCGTTCTTGGCCGCGGTGCTGCGCGTCAGGGCACTGCCCCAGCGCAGCCCCTTGTCGCGGTCGTAGTCGGCGTGGCCGTGACTCATCGGCACGTCGACCTCGATGAAGCCGGCTTTGTTCTTGACGCGCACCTCACTGATCTGCTTGTACGGCGCGCGAACGGGGCCTTGTCTATTCGGGTGCTGCAGGACGAGGAGTTTACGGTTCTCGGGGAGAGGGGGGTTTGCGTAGATGTCGTAGCTGGCGATTATGGGGTCGGCGTCGTTGTCGTTTTCGCTGTCGACTTCGATCGCTTTAGGCTTCGAGGCCTCTGTGTCAATTTCCATTTCTGCCATTGTAGCTTGGTTATTTCATTAGGTATAGGAGGAATTGAGGGTATATATGAGTCAGCTCATTTTACAAAGGTATTGTTAAATAGCGACCTCTATGAAAATGATTGGTTAAGTTGTAGATATTCGCCCGCATTATAAAGTCGACAAGCTCAATGCTAAATGACTTTTTTGGCGGGGCATATGCTTATCGATGAGTGTGGGGCTTATCTAGATCCTAGCTCTCTACACTATAAAGGTTAGGGGTCTATGTACAAGGTTTCTATCTCTATGCCTTAGAGGGATTCTATCTGTGACTTGTAAATATATTAGGTTACTTAACGTATTGCTCAAATTAATGCTTTAAACACATAAATAAACACCTAAGCCCTAAATTAACTATTAAAACAACCTGTAGAGTACTAATGATAGTGCACAAAATGTTCGTAAAGGTTATATTCTTCCAACGTCAGTGCAACATAATATAGAACCTTCATTATTGGGAGATCAAAATACAATATCAAGTTTACACAAGTCATTATAGTCATTATGTTACTCAAAAGAGTTAAATATAGGTAGTTATCCTTTCTGATCCAATGCAAGAAGTCAATAACATATCTTACAGTGTTATAGTAATGACAACTAATCAGAATATTTAATCCAGTTTGCATTCTCGAATTTTGTGTTTTCATGACTTGCCCCGAAATCACCAGAAGGCATTAGATACCAAATAGATTTATATTTATGTGTACCTAACCTATAACCCGAGATGGTAGAGTTGATAATTTTTAAAGCAACTCGTAGGTACTGCTATAACCAAGCGGATAGCAAATTATTAAAAGGTTCGTGGATGCAATAAAGCAAACTATACCTTCAATTTATATCTATCCAAGTCTTCCTACTATCTACGTACCCATTGCTTGCTGATAGGCCCCAGAGTTGGATGTATATAGTTGTATTATCGTTTCTCTATTCTTTGTTTTGTAGTCTTCAAGTGTTGTATCTACAAGAAGAACTTCACCAAAATCTTGAGATTTACTCTCAAGTGAAATTAAATGCATGGCATTCTGACTAGTCACTAGCTACCTAGGTATTCTTTTTCATTTGTTATGAGTAATATTATTATAATCCAATGAGATATATGCTCATTATTTCTTCTATAAAAACCTACATATGTCGTGTTGTTCAGAAGCTCTCTGGTAAATGTACGTTGGTTACGTACGTAGTAGTTATCTAGATATGATCTTATAGTAGAGTGCAAACTAATTGTACCATGATGTCTATTATTACTATTTGATTAGAAATTTCATAACACGAAAGAACTAAATATTCAGTTTATAACCACTAGAACTAGTATCATCCCTATCTATCAACCTATCTATTTCTAGTAGCCATCAACTTTTAAATACAACTCTTCCATATTTATTCTTGTCCGTATTAATATTTGTCTTAATTTGCTATTAAGTCGAGAAACGACTATATCATAAGATTATCTCATATTACAGGCGCTATCGTTGTCACATGCGTCAAGCTGAGTATTTCTCATGTCAAAAGTGTATCATTCCACTAACCAACTACTTGAACTTAGATGTCGCTACTGAGCTATAGAGACAATGCCTTTGAATTTCATGTTTTATTAACTTAGCAAGCCAAATTGGAAAGAATTGATAGTCATCATGAAGTTAGCACGATCAAGTGATCATTATTCTCGCAGTGTATCTCAGTTACAAGCTAATTTAAGCTCGGCCACTTTTGATACCTACCTCTTACGAATAGGCTTGGAACATGTATTGACATCATCATAACTCAAAGTAGTTATTTCAGACCGAATTTATGAATACCGGCAGGAAACCATGACCCGGTACGCCAATCGATGGCCGAATCATGACCTTAGTAAAGCCGAATTAAGGGATATTGCTTTATCCTTTTCTAAGACATCAATGGTCTACATTGGATGGGAGGGTCAAACGGATTATTATGATAGAAGTTGACTATGGCTTACAATAATTTTGACGCTTGCTGCGTAATTTCTTTGATATGATTATGACTTTGCTTCTCGTGGTAATGGAAGATGGCTGATACAACTATGAGTGATATGGTGATAATACTACCCCTTACGGTCATAAATCTCTACGGCCTGCATACTGCATAAGAAGCAAAGACATTTGAAGTCGCTATTGCGCGCGGCATTGGTGGTGGCTCAGGTTAGTTACCTAAATAGGAAGTTTCCCCTTTCATTTTGTGGATTTAGTCGTGTCGATCATTTTCAATTTGTCTTAAATCTCGAGTCTAGTCTTATTGAAAGGACTTCGTATTTAGATCTATGAACCTTTCATTGGATGAACTGTTCATAATGTCGAACATAGATGGCTTGAAACTAACTCAGATAGGTGCATCTTTTTCTCAAGAACGGCAGCAAGTTCCGAGTATCTTCTATACTTGGTCATGGCTGAAATAATTCAGTCGTATAACTCCAAGTGCTTCGGTTTGGTCCCGTTTATTTTAGATATTGCTTATTTTCTAAGTAGATTGTTTCGTAAATTCAACTAAATTAGAGAGCGAAGTGTAGTCCAGCTCTCAACATCTGGATGATCTATATCATGAGATTACAACCTAAGAGTATACTACGCCTTCATTCAATAGCTAGCCTTCTATCGTATCAAGGTACTACAAGTATTACAAGGTCGTTTCCAATTGACTTAGAACTCTAAACATGAATGGCTGGATCATGCGTGAAACACTAACTACAAGGCTGAATCACAAGTGATATTTTAGATGCAGCCTCAAATTAGCGTATAAGCTATTGGAACATGATCTACGACTCACAGGAGCCAACCCCCTACTACAGGGTCGGATCTCCGAACTTGAACGGGAAATGCAAGATTCCCATGATGATGGTATCTTATAAGAACTCAACCGAGTGCCATTCTCTGTGACATATTAACACTATCCACATTCGCATCATCTTCTGCATCTTTCACATTATCTTCCTCACCCGAAGAAATAGTCGCTCGTTACACAGTCGCTCGTTACTTATCACACTCGTGTCAAAAACAAATATCAAGATGCAGATCAAGAGTTTCCTCCCTGTAGTTCTCGCTGCCGTGGCTACTGCTAGCCCGGTGGCCAACCCCAACTACAAGGCTTCTACCCCAGAGGCCAAGTACCCAACTACCACCCAGAAGGCTCACTACCCTACATCTACCCCGGAAGCTCACTACCCCACGACTACCGAGAAGAAGGTTCAGTACCCGACCTCCACACCGGTAGCACATTATCCGACGACCACGGAGAAGAAAATGGAGTACCCGACTTCTAAGCCAAAGACCCAGTACCCGGCGTCTACCATGAAAACTCACTACACCACGACCACGGTGAAGAAGGTTCAGTACCCAACCTCTACTCCTGAAACTCACTACTCGACCACAACCCAGAAGAGCAAGGAACACAAGGAGAAGCCAACCAAGACGAAGTCTTCTCACAAGCATGAGAAGACAGAGCATGCCAAGGAAGAGAAACCAAAGCATTCTAAAGAAGAGAAGCCAGAGCATTCTAAGGAAGAGAAGACCAAGCATGATAAGGAGGAGCATCATTCCAAAGAGACCAAGAGGGGCGAGTATCCAGCCAAGTACCCAGCAAGCACGCCAGCATATCCTATGTACCCAGCTGCCAGCTCTCATCCTCATGGGGGCAATGGCGGCTCGGGTGGTGATGGTGATTCGGAAGGTAGCCAGGGTGGCTTCGGCGGTCTTGCAGGAGTCTGCCCTCTAGGCAACACGGTATGTGACATCGAGACCTTCAATCCTTTCTCCTTTCTTCTCTTCACAGTATTCGTTTGGCAGTCATGAATCCTAGACCAAAATATTTCAGGAGTTTGAATGCGTAAAATGATTTTCTTCAAAATGGTCTTAATGACAAAAATAATTGCTAACATCTATTACAGCCTCTTTGCTGCCAAGTTGACATCGATGGCATTCTTGACCTTACCTGCTCGAGCCGTAAGTTTACATGATCCCATTGCTACTCCATATGGCAATATACTGACATTTTACAGCCGCTCGTGACCTCAACTCTCTTGAGGAATTCGAAAGTTCTTGTGCAGAGACTGGCCTGACGGCTGAGTGCTGCACCCTACCCCTCGCTGGTGACGCTCTACTCTGCACCACTGTTTAAGATAAAAACTTGCAACGAACCTTACTTGCATGGGGGATGACTTATTGATGAACGATTGGCTTGGGGAATTCATAGACGCCTACTGGTCGAGCGGCTATTAAAGCATCTGGTCCATTTTGACACCTTCACTTCTGTAACATTCTTTCACTTCGGCGCTTGGTCGACATATTTAGACACTACTGTCTTCTACATACTTTTATTCATATTAGCTTTACCATTCTTAACGAAATAGAGATTCATGGACACTCGATTTACTTACTTCACTTCTCAACATTATTGAGATTATCCATGATAAAGTGTCTCGTGATCTGTGAAATATCCCACGCTTCTTCAATGATTGTGATTTCCAGTAAGGGGCTACCAACTTTAATTTAGAGCCCTTAGGCAAACCACAAAACTTTTCCTCCTGTAAGCATAGAACTCGTTGTGCATTCTTATCCCTTGCAATATTCGGACGAGTGGAATGTGCCTATTTCAAGTCCATGATGAAAGTAATGTTTGCTTTCGGGTAATTCCCAACATTACACGCGTTCGTAATGAAGCTTATTAGGAGATACAAGTGGTGTAATAGTTTAGGGTTGAGAGAAATGGCTCTGCGCCGCGAGAAAGGAAATAAGGGATGTTAAAACAATTTCCTAGGCCTTACATCGATAATCCTTCGCAGTTGATTCATAGCTGCATTCCGTACCTACAAGGGTAAATTATTGCAGAAGTCGATAAAGTACCTTATACTGGTACATTTCCCTCTCTTTTCTCACATTCTCTAGATGCTAATCAAGGCTACACATATGAATGTATGCCTTACAACAATCATGAAGATGAGCACGATATATACAAAATATAATGGTCTCGCCAGGAAGACGAAACTTCATACGGTCATTCCTCAAGAGCTGGACATTTACATGACCAGTTTGTCACTAGGACGTCGTAGCAATGTAACCAAGGTATGGTGTATACTGCAAATGAAATTTAGAAGGATTTTCTAGTACCAACATGAACAGAACCATGGCAACGGGTAAAGTCCTACAGGGATTTTCCTATCACAGCCTTTTAGACAGATTCCCGAAATGCAGAAAGGACTCGCGGCTCAGGGGTACTGTGATTAATCACATGCATCGTATGAGTTGGATTATCAGGAGAGGATAGAAGCTAAATTGCATCCTACCCTTTAAGCCAACAGCCACAACCATGTTTGGAACACGTCACGTATTGTCCAAGTTAAGAAAAATATTATTTGACTATCAAGGGCTTGTAACAGATGACAGGTAATGTAGTATTGTTAATAGCAAACGAGATAATGTATTTCAATTGAAAGTCTAATTAATCTTAGGGAGGTATTTTTCAACGTTGTCGTCTCGAAAACTTCGAAATAATTTCTAACGCACTTTACGATCAGAGTTGAATACAGTTGAATATTATGCCCTATAGTTTTATGTATCAAAGGAATGATATACTTTTAGTAATAATAAATAGCAAAGTATAAATGTCTACAACTTGTCCTGTTGGGTTAAAACAAAGGTAATCAACTTAGTCTCTTTCTCAAAGGCTTAGTTCCTTAAGCCTTTTTTGCGAAAGTATATAATTTAATTATACAGCAATTAGTTTATTTAGGTCTATGAAGACTAGACTTAACCTCGAGCTAAAGTTCTTCAATAGAACACGTGCATCAGTTCTATTGAAGCACAACTCTTGCCGGGGGGATGGTGAACTAGAGTTTACTTTTGGCTATTACAAGTTCTATATCTTCGTCTTTATCACCAACATATCATATCGCACCACGTAACTAGGTAATTTCGAAACCAAGTTATCAACAAGCAATCACTTTGTCGACGGGTTCTCCAAAAACATCTTCCCGCCATCCCCACCCGGGGATGCATACCCGTAGTGTTCTAAAGTTAAAGGGAGGTTGCAATTATGACAAGTCGATATCTACTCAGATGCAACCCTTACCTGATTATACCCTTACCTAATCCGATTATACGCGACTTGATCCAGTAACTGTTACTCGTATACACATCTATTCCTCACGGCAGAGTTGCTGCTTTAACAATCTGCAGTACCACCAGTAACACGCGCGTCGCAACATCCCACTAACATCCGTTCTAAGTAGCCCCAGCGAAGCATATTCCAGAAAAGCTCTGGATCAACACATAGAAAGGTCATGGGTGGTGCACGAGCTTCTCAAAGATCGGTGACGGCGTACGCGGGTGGGTTGGAATTCGAACAGCTGGAGATGTGGGACTCTGGAGGACCCAGCTATTTGGATGGTCGCGGAGTAAAGCCCGGGAGAGAGAGCACACGGCTGATACCGCTTTGTATACATACCTTACATGTACCCAACGTATGTATCATGTATGTACATGTATGTTCGGGTATGTGTGTGTAGTGTATAGTGATCCTAGTTCAGAGCTATCGGCCGATAATTTCTTGACCGAAACGACAAGCAGGCTACTAAAGCAGTGCAGTTACTTGAGATATTTTCGATTGCGGACTAACATCTTTTCTCCAAGGCTTGCATAGTTGGGGGTCCTTAGACGAGATAATTTCCAACGATGCCGAGGCCGTTGGTGGTTAAAGGGCCACTTGCTTGCATGTACACTTACCAAGTAAGTAACTTACCTAGGTAGTCTTATACTAGGTTGCATCGTCGGCCACTTGGGATATACCTAGCAAGGTGTTTGTCCATTGTTGCCGATCGGGCCGTAATGTATAAATCAGATAGCCGAGGGATTCATTATCTACTGGGTACCTAATAAGTGAGCTTGTCTGCTTTTGCATACATACATGTTATAGTGTCCATAGGTATGATGATAGTGTAGGTTAGAGCAGCTCAAGTTTTGGATATTTCTCCATTTTTAAAATACATGTAATACAATTGAAGCTGAGATTAGCCTATCTTGTAATTAAATGCTTGTGTATTCTATATTTAGGAGTAGTTCGTAAGGAGAAGAAAAAAAAAGAAAAAGATGATAAGTCTAAGTTAGGTACGTGTATGTGACACGTCTGTTACTTGGAAAGTATTCAAGTTACACGATTAGCTAAAGCAATTGCTCTAAGTTAAGGGTAGGGGTAGGGGTACCCGACGTATGTAGACCAAGGCTATTTCAGGGGTCCTGACCCGATGTTACACTGCCTTACCATTTACCCCTCCTTTCCATTCTTTGATCCACTTCACTTTCTGCAGATAGTAAATAGCTTCATTTCTTTACGCAGTAGCTTCAATCGTCGTTATCTCAATTGGAATATTCGTACCTAGGAATTGGGTTTGACATGAAAAATTTAGGTAAGAAGAAATGATTTCGAGATCGTATTAGTCCCAATTGAATATCTGGGCATCACCTTTCAGATTTGAAAACCCACCTTTGCTTGCCTGCGCTGAACCAGCCTTATTCAATTCAGCCTCGTACCCTAAACGTGTAGTGTAGGTAGCTATCATACCCTACACTAGCCTAGGTTACCTTGTTAGTGCCGGCTTCTACCTTGTAAAACCCTTGCTCAAGTCTATACTTATTCCAGCTAGCCTCCACGACGTGTTTGTACCGGTTCACGAATTTATTCGGCGCTATAGGCCCTTATTTCCACGTCGCTATGGCAGTTGATCCAAGAGTTGCGGACATCATCCGCGGCAAGAAGTTGCACTATTGCCTATGTGCTGATACTAGCCGATGGCACCTTTTTGAGAACGTGGCCCTGCCCGATGCTACCTTTGCCTACTTTGATATCGACGGGTCTTTACTGGGAAGTGATGGGGTTGACTGGAATTGGCCTACGAGAGATGAGTTTGCAACGTACTACGAAAAGACATTGGGCCAGTACCGGAGTATACACTCTATAGGCTCTTCAGCTTTCGAACAGGTTAGCCCTGATGAGGTGAAGGCTACGTTCGGCGTCATTTGGCGGGTCGCAGTGAACGAAAAGCAGGGGACAGGCGGGGGGTACTACTTCGAGACATGGGTTCGAAAGGATGACGACTGGTTCATGAAGTCTTTAAGGCTTGAAAGAACCTATTGGCATATATAAGGCTTTTATCTTCGGGTATCCAATTGAGTAAGCCTATGATGCCAATGGAGGCATCACGATGTGTTCTCCGCTTGGGTTTATTTCTTTAACGCGCCGGAACTTCAACTCCCGAGCGAGTAGCAGTTATGATTGATTTTCGATAGCTAAGGTTTTAAGGGGAAAACGCAACCATACCTACTTTCTACGATGGTTGGGCGTATATTTGCTTTGTAGGTTTAGAGTTACCCTGTGATGAAACCGAATTGACTGTTTTACTATATTGAGTATTCTCTAAATAGAGGGCATACCCGTGTCTTACCGTAGGAAATAGCTCTCTGACACTGTGCGTCGCTTGTTGCTCGCCATTGTTTCTAGAGATGTTCGTTAAGGTGGGTAAGAATCCTACCCGACAAGGGAGGAGGTTGCAGGTAAGCAAGGGTCTTATGGAGGAGCAACACGGAATATAGAAAATGTCTATTTATTTTCATGATCTCGTACTGTGTACATAATAATAACTCTTAACACTTATATATACCTAGGTAGGTAGTGTATGTAGTAGCTCATATTTAAAGCTTCCCCACGATAAACTGTTGGCGCGATTTCCTCACGGTTAGATGGATCTTACGCCCCCTCACATTCCTAGTCATTATAAGTGCAATTAATACTCACCGCTGACGCGTGAATGCAAATTGCATACAGCTTTGGCCTCACATCCGGGCTCCGGTCTTTGATACTATCGCATCCTCCTCCTTCGAGGTAATTTCCGCGGGAACGTGCCGCTCTGCCACTCTATGCAAGAGAGGAATCTTGGTATTAATGGTGTAACTAACACTCGAATTCAGGTTGGCTATCGTTATAAGAGGTACATATCTTATACATGGGTCTGCGCAATCGTATGGCATCTTAGATAGCCGAAGCGTAGTATCGGGGGCTGGGCCGAGTCTGCTGACTATGATCCTCGCCGAGACGGGATGGCTAGGATTTGAAATCACCGGCTGCTTCGGCCTGTACATACATACATACATACATGCAACTTTGGTCTTAATATTCGAAAATATACCTGAAAGGCCGGCTATCCATGTGATAACCATGCAGCTATGCCGACCGCCATTATCCACGCAAATTTGCTCTACCTATACGATCACGAATTAAGTAACCTCGCCGCCTCCTCTTATTTACATACCTTGCCACATGATAGCATTTACGTCAGTGTAACCTCTAAATTCCAAACCGTTAACTATGAGGCTCTGATGTGCTTATAATACTACGTGATTATACACCGCTTTATACTAGCGGCACTACAATGTCAGTTTACATACCACGATTGGTTAACAGCACAAGTAGTGTAGATCTGGCCCCAGACGGATATGTAGAAATGTACTTACTGGAGCTAGCAATCTGACGATCCAGTCTCATCCGCAAACCACCGTTATGGGTGGACTAGCCTGAAACGGCAAGGATCGCTTTAAAGAAGAATCTGGATTTACAGTGGATGGGCTGAAGCGATATCTCTCTCCGTGATGGTTTGATTGGGAGGAATTTAGCTATTGGACCCGAATTTATGGGATGATTATGAGGAAAATAAATTACTTTTTCTCTTCAACAGTAGCCGAGCATATCTCACCGCTCAAGGGGCGGAGCTCTAAACAACTAACGTGTCTACGGTCTGCGTGTGTTATGTAACCCGCTCATGTTGAATGTGAGGGGAACGAATCTCAAGATTGATAGTATACGCTACGTTGTGGAAATATCTAACTACATGTGTATGTAAGAACCAGATCTAACTACTAATTATCTACCTAACATAAGTTTTCGTGAGTCTCATAAGTCTAAATTTTGCGCTACGCTCAGAAATGCCCCCAACATCACAACCCCCCCCTGGCTACCTGGATTGGCTAGTGGTGCTGACCGGTGTGAACGCAGTCAATTCCTCTGTATTCGAAATATTTGTTCCATTCAGGATCGTTGATTAATCCATCAGCTAATTTCGTCTCGTACGAGATGCTGAGCTCAGGACCCTCGTCTGATTCAGGGGACCTGTCGCGCGGCGGGTACACAAATGTAAGATTCTCAGTGACCACATCTATGACATGTCGATACCCGATCGGCTTGCCAAATCCAAAATCGCACAAGGTGACCTTGACGTCACGGTGGTCAGTCTGGAGGTTTGACAATGGTGGGAATGAATCTGTGCGGGTCATCAATGCTGGCTTATCACGTATCGGTGCTAGCTGGTTAAGCACCTCATCCACACGTTCCTGGGTTACTTCGTCGGTCATCTGACGAATGTATTGCGCCAGCCTAGACAAGGGCCATTCAGAAATGATCTGCGCAACAGTTGGCTGTTGGACGTTAGTCATTGTAGTCGACGCCACGAAGTACACATTTCCTTGCATGCGGGGTGGACACTTTGGGGTGTGAAGCCGTCTGCGCATATCCATTGATTGAGCCCAGGCGACATTCGATGACATATCTGGCTTAAAGAAGGGAGCGCGAAGCCGGGTCGACGTCCGAAAGAGGAATGCCATGAAGGCATCATAAGTTGAGATCCAAGTACCGTCGTGGGGGCTAGCTAGCTTCTTCAACTCCGCTGCTTTGCTCTTAGGTAGGTGAAACAAGTACATCGTAGCCCCGATATGGTCTGGATGACGCTGGGGCTGAGGAGGGCCGTCAATCATCTGGTCCTCGGGAGGTAGATCTTTGATAAAGTTCGGGACGCCAAAGTGGTTATCGCTCCAAGGAGGAAACGGAGTGTTATTCACGATGGCGTAGCAATTATCGGCCAATTGCTCTACAAATCCAGACATGCCCATCACATCGCAGGCGTAATGATGAAAGTGCATATTCAGGACTAGGCCACCACGAATGAAGTTAGCTTTGAAAGCTGAAATGATTGGATGATTGTCAGGGTGCGACTCTGGCTTCTCCCCGTATGTCATAGGTTCAACACTCCAAATCTTGAGGTCGCCCATGGCCACGGATCCAAAATTAGCCTTTTCGAGATCATCGAAGGACGGATATTTATCCTTGTCCTCAGGCGAGTCGAGCCACTGAACGTGAAAAGGAACTGTGCTATCCTTCTTCTTGATGAACACGTGACCACCTTTCTCTTCATCTTTCTCGATCGTGCCAATAAGATGTCTAATTTGCGTAATAGTCCGCTCGAGGCCAGCCTTCAGCGTAGAAGCAGCCAATTGCTTCTTATCATCATCCAACCTAAAAAAAGCAGCATAGTTCGTATAGACGCAGGCTGCCAAATAGTCGAGCGTGGTTACTTTGCGAATTTCTACTTCTGGGTCGCTCTCCCAGCCGTTTGGGTGAAGCTGATAAATGTCTTGCTTTGGCATGGTTGCACTGCAGGAAATATGTAGGTGTGATTTGATAATTGATTTGTCAAATAAAAAGCAACTAATATGCAGTATCTGCAGTATCTGCAGGTACGGTAAATGAGCTGAGAGCAGATAGGAGAGAAAAAAATAGCTTGGTGGAAACGTGGAAACAAATAAGGCTTCACGCCACAAATATCAAAATTGTCCGAATGGTTTGTTTTTTGCCTATTTTCTTGGAGAACCTGGCTAGTGTAATATAACTATAGGTAAGAATCCAGTTTTTGCTTCGCTAAAGATAACGAAACCCTTTCTGTTACATACTACCGATCAAGGGATTTATACGAGCTTATATAAGTCGGATAAATGCAGTATGACTGTAGCAAGAAAATTGTTAGTGCGGAAGAATCCCGTCAAAAAAAAGAACATGACCCATACTGTTGGCTAGTATGGGGTATTATTCTTCAACGGCACAGAATGTTTTGCGCGGATGAGTCAAGTTCCTGCAATAGAAAGAAATCCGCGGATGTGGCTAATAGGGGGCAAGAAGTGCAGAGTTTTGGCTAAGCCAAGGATAGAGCTCCCTTAAACCAAACCATTTGGCCCACTTCCCGTTTAGAGAGGCGGTATCGTGATCCCATCATAGCTTTGATCGTCCGGGGGTCGCTTAGCCGTACCTCACCGTACAATTGCCGGGGGCAGGGTGTCGCGCGAACTTTGAAAAATGTCGAAAAAGTTGAAAACAAAACTTCACTTTTGACGACTTTGGTGGTGGGCATTAGGAGAATTATATATCCCATAATTCTGTTCATGCTATTTCTGCAATGTCAAAATTGTGTGTCCTGAAGTTAATCAGAGTGTGGTAGCGAATGGAGAATTATAGCTAGTTTACTACATTTGATTCGAGGAATTCCGAATTTTACGACCTAATGCGTCAAACCCCTGCTCGATTTTCTTGAGTTATCGCAAGCTGAACTTGTAAGAGGTAGAAAAGTACGAGTATCGTAATTACTTACCTTTTTCTCTGACAATTGACTATATTATTTTTAAAAGGGGTTTTATATCCTTGAACATGAAATATGCGTAAGGGTTAACTTTGCAAAGACTGCTAGTTAGCTTCATCAACTCATTTATTTTTATTAGAAGCGGTCAAATAAAAAGTAACTACACTGAGAAGAAACTAAGGAATCGCTCGTACGAGAACTCAGTTATGGATCTTACTGGACCTGCCTTTAAACCGCCGCTTGGTATGACTTCCAACCTAGACAATTGGCAATTCTCCGAATAATAATCAACTTGTCTGGATTGCTTTGTCTACCCTTTTTGCATGCGCTCAAAGTTACGAGAGATTATACATTTCCAGAAAATATAGGTCAGGGAAAGTATACTTAATACTAATCGTTTATAACCTTCTTCTCATAGGATAGGGTTCTTTTAGAAGAATACGTCTTATATTAACGGTTGTTAATATATGTATTGTCAATCTTAGTATTAATTCTTATTGCTTACATAATGTTGGCTATCCACCTTATAAACTATCCAAAACCAAATTTCCATAACTATAGCACTAACTTTATATAACCTAGAGCTTCTACTGGGGAACGGCCTATCTATCAATCGCCATAATTGAGGCACTAGGCTATGGATTTCAAGTACTAGTGGGACACTCGTCTACGAAATCTTATATCAACAGCTTATGTAAAAGTTCCTTGATTTCTAAGGCGAAATATTGACTGACTTTTGCTTAAGTGGTTTCTCATCTTTGATATCTGCTATTCATCTGAAATGTCGTGTCTAAAATCGGCTATCCAGATCGAATGACGTCGAATCTTCGTGTCTAGGGGTAGCCGTTTGACGAAATATTTCTGATAGGATACTTTCGTTGTTGTGTTTATCCAAGCTAGGACAAGAATTATAGTTATAATCGCAGTGAACCTTCAGTGCACCCCACACCCGGCCATCTGGGATACCACTATTGCTGGTCACAAGTGCTTTCCCCTTTACAACGTTCGAATCTCATCGGCAACTATCTAACTAGCGTCTGACGTTACTATCTTCTTGCCACAACATGTAATTTGAGAGCTCCAGATGACGTGGCAGAATAGACTCTGTGTCTCGATGATATTTGGCATGGGCTTGCTGTAAGTCCACGACTTAGACCTCCTATCATTGCCTAATTTGATTAGTAAGCTAATGCTAGGGATACAGTAGTGCTTGCGTCTCGACCGCGGCGAGGTTGGCAACAACGACATTGCAACTCGGAGGACCAAGTGTATACGCTAGCGCATTTGGTATTGTGGTTCAATGGTCGAGATAGCATGCGGGCTCTTTGTTGCTTGCGTGGCCTCTATACGGGAGATTGCTTGGGAGTCAAAACACCTCCCTGGATTCAAGAGAACTTTCGGTATAACGACAAAATCATAGCTAGCCAATGCCACCGACGGATTGGCGAATCCTGGCAAGATGCCTGCCACCATAAGCACTTATCATGGCGTTTCTGTCTCGAAGGAAGTTCGTTTCTTGATATCTCAGGGAGTTGGGGTAGGTGGTATCTTGGGATTCACTGGGAGGTATCTTGTATAATATCTTATTACGCACATGCGCAATAGAATACTACAAAATGATGAAATATATCTACTATATTACTTTCTATATATTAAGGGATAAAGCATACCTAGCATCTATTATTGTAGGTGTATATGTATAAGAGCAGCTACTATACCACCAACACATGTCACTGACACATGTGCGAGTGTTACATGGCCCCTCCTTGTAACGATGCAAGGAAACGAAAGGTTGGATGGTCATATTCTAAACATCAGAAAATGTAAGCTTGATCGTATTATCGTTTGATTATTCCCACCTTTGGTATATTAAGTTGGGTATCTTATGTGTGCGCTAATGCAGGTTGCACATGGAGTCGATTTACATATGTTACTCGTGCGGATTCTGGGATACTGGGGAATGCGACGCGCATTTCTTCTCGCGATATACATGTAAGTACATCTAGTACATCTAGGTACATTGCCCAGATAGATGTTCCCCGGTCTGACATATAACTCGGGAAGTACTGTACTAGGAAGGGTTAGGTATTACCCGAAACTTCGGGTTTACTTTGCGTAGTGCGAGATTAGTGTATATTGTCCTCTTTCGTAGTGCCATTAAGCGTTGTTACCCCGATTAGGCAAACAAGTTTTCGGTAAGAATCCCTATGTCGATTAGCGTAATAACTATTCATCTCACCTGACCAGAGAGCCGGGCTCTAAATTCCAAACGGAGTATCTAAAGTAACGCTGACAGGATTGCTTTCATATTAGCTTGATAATATAACTGATATAACATGTAATTTTCAGTTGTGTAGCAATGCAGATGCGAAAGGATAGGGATGATTCAAAATAAAAAGAATGTGGTACTAAGTTATGGATATGATGATAAAAGGTGGAGTATTCCGGCGTCCGCGTGGTGATTGCCGGTTAAAACCCGGGGCTATTTTTACGTGTGCAGGTGCGGCACGTCAAGCCTGTCATGTTATTCCCAATTTCTTCTAGCAATTGGTAAATTATGGTTTTAAGTATTTTTCAAGCATTAGGTAAATTTTATTTAGAAATGTGTAAAGCAACCTGGAAGTTACATCTACCTACTATCTCACATCATCACACTGTTTAACCATCTGACCGTTCAAAAATAAAGAAAACCACTTTCAGCCTATTAAAATTCATTAATCGACACGGGTATACCGATGATTTAAGTAAAGCACGAACTACTGCGATAAGATGGATCTCTCTGTAAGGTGGCATGCATGGAAATTCGCATCCTTCTCAGGTATTCGTTCTAAAGCCATGCCAAAACAAGTCTAATATATAATGCAGGTAGCTAGTATGTATAATCATCTCTCAATGGTATCCAATGATCCAATGATCCAATGGTCCCCATGGGAGATGCTACGCACGCGAATGCAACCTGCAAAGTTGATGTAAAGTTGATACATGTGGACTCAAGTGAATTACCTAGGTACTGTACCTAGGTTGGTATGCAACTACATTCTCCTCTGGGCCGGGGTTGATTTACGTCAATTGCTGTTTAGACACCCTTACACCGTATACCGACTGAATTCTCTCGCTATTACATGATGTGCTGAGGCTCTCCAGTTGCCTCCACAAATGCCCTCCACAGATGCAGCAACCCGGAGAGGACCGTTTATTTATGAAACCTGGAAGGAGACGACAACCTATTCTTGTTTAGATTTTCTCCGACTGTAAACCCTTGTAACGGCCGGGAAAGCTTTGACTTGACGACCCGGGCCGCTTACGACGTAGCGAAGAGTGTGGAAGCCGAGACGGGGGACTGGGTTCTATCTATGGTACGCCTGGGTCTACGCGTATCGAGGATCAGCCCCTTACCTTATCGACGGACAAGTGGAACTTTAACGCATGTAAAGCAGCTCCGCAACAATGCATCTGCTCTGGGTCATCAGTTTTAACGCTACCTGCGCGCCGAGATCATGGCAAACTTGTTCAACTTCCCGAGCTGCGGGGGCCCTGCATTTAGAGGGATTCATCTAAGGCCAATATAGATGATTCTAGTACGAAAAAAGTACAGTATCCCTATTATAGCTCCACTGATCTGTAGCGTGTCAAGGTAACCTGGGCGGGCACCCCCAAAATGTTGGTAATCTTTTCACGTACGCTATGTACGTCAAACCCTGAATGGAAGTCCCTAGCCAGGGGACTGGGAAGGGCTTGAAATTCGTGTATATTTATGGCCAAAGAAGCGGTGAGTTCTGCGATGGTAAAAGGTAAAGGTAGACCAGGCCTTTTGATGTTGACTCGGTTAAATGACGTTTTGTTGCTCTATGAAATCATTATCGTTCTGCATCGTTATACTTCGAATAGGTTGCAGGCTACAATCTCATACCGCCTTTCTAATATCCTAATACTAATGCGCTCGAGGTAACATGGCGGAACACACAGACACATCAAGCACCCGATCGTTGTCGGAGTCGGCAGGATCCGGGGATATTGCTATCGTGGGCCTCTCCTTCAAGCTACCCCAGGATGCCGACGACGACGCTACGTTCTGGAATATCCTGGAGAACAGACGGAACCTGATGACAGAATGGCCAGAGTCGCGCGTAAAGACTGGTTCTTTCTTGGACAACCCGCGCCATAAGGTAAACTTCATCTCTAATCCGGGTAGCTACCGTGCCGGAGGCTTATCAATCGCAATAGTTTCAAGGCCGAGGTGCGCATTTCCTCAATACCGATGTGGGGGTTTTCGACGCCCCGTTCTTCTCCGTCACGGCGAAGGAAGCGGCATCTATGGATCCAATGCAGCGGTGGACCCTGGAGGCATCTTACCGTGCATTTGAAAATGGTAAGGGCATAATGCAAGCTTAAACGGGACCGGCATGAACTGACTACGATTCTCCGCAGCTGGAATCCCGGCCGAGAAGATCAGGGGGTCGCGCACCGCAGTTTTCTCCGCCTCCATGTTAGAAGACTACACTAGAATGGTAACCGTGGATCCCGATAACATCGAGCGCACGGCCCTTACCGGGAGCTTAGTCGCTTCTATAATTGCAAATCGTGTTAGTTGGTATTTTGACCTACATGGTCCTAGCATCCATGTCAATACGGCATGTTCGAGTAGTTTGGCAGCTGTTGATATAGCCTGCAAAGCTATCCAGAGCGGCGATGCAGAATGTGTAAGTGTCACTCCTATCCTTCTAAGCCAACGTTATACTCCGAGCTAAACAATTACATCTAAAAGGCGCTCGTTACTAGCGCCAATTTTCTTCTCGATCCAGCAATCGTCCAATTATTATCTGATCAGAATTTCTTATCTCCGGACGGTGTATGCCGCAGTTTCGACCACCGCGCAAATGGATACGCAAGAGGAGAGGGCGTTATTGCCCTTGTGCTTAAACCTATATCTTCCGCAGTTCGGGACGGAGATATGATCCGTGCCGTCATCAGATCGACGGGCTCGAACCAAGATGGGTATACACCAATAATGACCCAGCCCAGTTCTCAAGCACAGGAGGACTTGATTCGTCATGTGTATCAACAGGCCAATTTATCCTTTGACCAGACCCGTTATGTAGAGGCCCACGGTGAGTAAATACATTTGCCGTCACTCGGATGAAGATTCTAACGTGGAAAACACTAGGGACCGGTACGCCTGTGGGTGACCCGATTGAAATGAAAGCTCTAGGTCGGGTCTTTCGAGAATATCGATCTGCCGAAGAGCCTCTTTACGTGTATGTGGATCGAAGCTCCAAAGTAGCTTTACGCTTATTTCTTCACTTATTTGGATGTTTTGACTAAAAGATTACAATAGTGGTAGCGTAAAAGCGACAGTTGGACATCTGGAAGGAGCCAGCGGCCTCGCCGGGATCGTAAAATCGATTTGTAAGTCTCCTGCGGCTCTTCTTTGTCTTCTAATAGGAGAACAGAAAAACTAATATCACTTATAGTAATCTTAGAGAAGGGCATAATCCCTCCCAACCCTCTCTTTGAAAAGATGAACCCCGCTATCGATGCCGACTTCTATCACACTGCTGTGCGTATTTATGAGATTGGGGAAATATTTATATGCTGACCAGATACTTGAAGGTCCCTACTCAAAAAGTAGCGTGGCCGGGCTCGGGCCTGCGCCGGATATCGGTCAACTCGTTCGGGTTTGGGGGTGCTAACACGCATGTTATTCTAGATGACGCGCTCCATTACTTACAACATTATAACCTAGCTGGAAATCACCATACTGCTTCTGTTCCTGGGGGTACGTTAGATGACTTACCTGGTCCTACGAATTGGTTAGTAAACGGAAAAATCCACACCAACGGTAACGGCATTGTCAACGATGTTACCGATATCAATGAAACAGTCCTTATTGACAAACCAACTAATGGTAATGGGGCGGATTATACGAATGGGACGAACTATTTCAACGGAACAATTCCTATCCACGGAATAGATTCCTTGTTAAATAGCCCTGTGACGCCCCAGAAGCTTGATACTGGCTTACCCAAATTACTAGTGTGGTCAGCCGCCGACGAAAAGGCTGCCAAGCGTATGATGGAGTCTTATCAGACATTCTATGAAAAGAATGTCTTCAGAAATTCGACCAAGCTTGATCGCTTAGCCTATACGCTGGCTGTCCGGCGAAGCCAGATGTTGTGGAGGACATTCGCCATAGACGAACCGGAGGGCCCAGCCGTGACGAAATTATCATTCTCAAAGCCTGTACGAAGCGCATCCCCGGCGGAGCTAGGCTTTGTGTTTACTGGCCAGGGAGCACAGTACGTCGATATGGGTTGGGATCTAATCCAGTACCCCGTATTTGCAGAGACATTACGGCAGATCGATGGTGTTTATGAAAGCTTAGGATGCAAATGGTCGATCTTTGGTAAGGAAAACGGCCATGCCAAACTCGATAAAACCACCAAAGTACAATAATACTAACTCTCTTCGGACTTTGATAGATGAGCTACGCTCTAGCGCAAATATCAACAAGCCCCAATATAGCCAGCCATTGTCTACGGCGGTCCAAATCGCTTTGGTAGAATTACTCAACAGTTTCGGAATTAGGCCCCGAGCCGTAGTTGGCCACTCCTCAGGCGAAATCCCTGCTGCGTATGTAACCCCTTGAATTTGTACATTGTTTTCAATCAACAACATTGAGAAGAATAGTCGGACTGACTCGATTGAGACCAACAGCTACGCTATCGGTGCCTTATCCTTACAGTCCGCCTGCAAAGTCGCCTACTACAGAGGACAGCTTGCCGGAAAACTTAAGGACGCTAACTCTGATTCCCCAGGTGCCATGATGTCCATCAACTTGGCAGAGGATCAAGTACCGGAATATGTGGAGAAGGTCAAGACAGCGAATGTTGGGGGCTCGATTTGCATTGCTTGTGTCAACAGTCCCTTTAACTGTACGCTATCGGGCCTTGAAGCGGATATTGACTTGATTAAAGCACAGGCCGACCAGGATGGTATCTTTGCGCAAAAGCTTAAGACTGGAGTTGCGTACCATTCGAGCTCGATGCAAGCTATCGCCGACGAGTATCGCTCGCTGATGGGAAGCCTTGAGGGCGTAGACCGTCAAAATCTTAAAGTTCCGGCTCAAATTCTCATGATCTCATCGGTTACAGGAGAGGCTATTATTCCGGCTGTATTAGCTACGGCACAGTACTGGGTTGATAATATGGTGCATGCGGTCCGGTTTGCTGACGCTATAAGTGCTCTAGCGCAGGAATTGCCGAATATGAAGGTTACGGACCTGATTGAGGTTGGTCCTCATCCTGCCCTGCGTCGGCCGGTGCAAGACACTCTAGGTAAGAAGGGTGACGCTGCCAAAATTCGCTACTTCAGTCCTCTGCACAGGTCTCAGTCAGCTGTTCGGACCATGTTGGAACTAGTAGGGCAACTGTTTTGCTTCGGACATGGCGTTTCGATAACGACAGCCAACCAACAGGCAGCTCAGAAGAAGTTGCCTTTTCTTGTTGACTGCCCTGAATATCCCTTTAACCATTCGCAAAGATACTGGGCCGAATCGCGCATCTGCCGAGATTATAGACTCCGCGAGCCCGTTCAGGGAGAACTTCTCGGAGTACGCGTATCAGATTGGAATCCCCTGGAGCCTCGCTGGAGGAATTTCTGGAGCGTCGAAACATCTCCTTGGATTGGGCACCATAAGGTATGTCGTTTTTTAGATTGCAGAGAAAGCTGTTGTTTAATCTGAGTTAATACTAATAACTTCGGGATTAGGTTGGTGGAACAGTGCTCTTCCCAGCAGCAGGAATGCTTGTTATGGCTATAGAAGCTGTACAGCACATGATACCTTCAAATCGCGTCGTAACAGGTTATCTCTTTGAAAAGGCCGAATTTATCAGCGCTATCATCGTGCCGGAAGATTGGGAGGATCGTACGGAAACGCAGTTCCATCTACGGCCGAGAAAAAGGCAAGCGAGCGAAAAGGATGCATCGGCGTGGTTCGACACAACAATTTACTCGTATACACGTGGCCAGTGGACCGAATCTTTCCGGGCAAGTATTCAAGTTGGATTCCGCGATTCGTCAGAGACAGACAACAGAGAAAGAATGCTGGCCGATGAAAGCGTTCGAGTCCAATATAGTGACGCAGCGGATGACTGCGATCGACCTTTAGATTCACAAGTCATGATCCGCGAAGCCGCCGACTTGGGATTCCAATTCGGAGAATGGTTCCAGCAGACCCAGGACGTTCGTTGGGATGGAAAGGCGACGGCACTCGCGCGTGTCGATGTTTCTAAGCCGAAATACCAGACTCGCAGTTTGGTCCACCCGGTAGTACTAGACGCAGGCTTTATGGCTCTACGAGTTAGTGGGGGTCAGCAGCCAACCCTCAATGTCCCCAAGCGCTTATCGAATGCTTGGTTCTCGGCTCTTGGTTGGCAGCACCCACAAACAAGTTGGGTCCGGTGGATGGCTGCATCGACGTCTACTTTGAGTGGGTGGCAAGCTGTTGGTCACGGAGAGCAGGGCAGCCTAGCCGCTCTGGCTGACGATGGGACCGTTTTGTGCACCATAGGGGAGGCTAAGACGGTAGCCATGTCTACCGACACGGGAGGCAAAGAGAAGAAGCTGCTCTATAATGTCGAGTGGAAACCTCAAATGAATCTACTAGACCAAGAGCAACTAGCACTTGTATGCGCTGCTAATAATTTCCCAAGGGACGAAACCGTCCTCGTGTCGAGCTACTCCAAAATGCGTTCTACGTTAGACCTAGTTGTTGGTCACGCCCTGAAACGGTTGGACTATACCAAGGTGCCTGACAGCCTACGCCGTCATGTCGAATGGATGGAGCACCACGTCAAGGGCCTACCACCATCACAGCAGGAAGACATAGAGAAAATCAGGGATGCTGAGCTTGAAGACCGACTATGCGAAGTAGAGACTGTACTTCCATCGTGGAAGCTGTACACGGCTTGTGCGCGCAAAATAATAGATATGCTGGAGGGAGAGATAGACCCGCTCCAGGTCGTATTTGGCTCCGGGCTGGCCGACAGTTTTTACGCCGACCTGTTCCAAGACCTCTGCAACGATGGCCGGTTTGCCGCCTTGTTGGACATAGCTTCACACGAGAACCCAGCGCTTCGTATCATGGAGGTCGGCGCCGGGACGGGAGGTATGACTGGGCACGTGCTAAAGATGTTACAGGAGCGGGAGAAACGACTTGGTGCGCCTAGTTTCGCCCACTACACATACACGGATATTTCACCCGCCTTCTTTGAGCGAGCAGGTAGACGCTGGCCTGAGCTTCAGAGTCGCATGAATTTTAAGACCTTCGATATGGACTACGATCCCACTACCCAGGGGTTCGAGCCCGGCTCTTACGACTTGATTTTTGCCGCTAGTGTTGTGCACGCTACCCCTGACCTGGAGCGCGCCATCCGTCACATACGCAGGGCTCTAAAGCCTGGTGGTCGTCTCGTGTTAATCGAGGTTATTAATCCAGCTGAGATTATCATCAACTTCATGGCTGGCTTAGTACCTGGCTTCTGGGTCGCTCGCGAGGATTGGCGTCCTCATTCTCCAGCTGTACCCGAAGCTATTTGGGACAAATGCTTACGAGCTAATGGCTTCTCTGGTAATGATCTGATTATGCGCGACTACCAGAGCGATGTATGTCATGTGATGAGTACTATCGTGTCTACAGCGGTAGAAGCCGAAGACACCACTCAGTCAACAACAAAGCCTGGTCGCCTTATTCTTGTCATAGACACACAACAGCCTGGCGATGACCAACAACAGCTGGCGGATGCAGTGCTTAGCAGCATTAACTCTGAAGGTAACCGGCAAGCAACTATCTGTGCATTTGCCTCGGACGAGCTTTCTAAGGAGCTAGAGGTTGTAACCAGGGATGATATTGTCGTTTGCCTTGCTGAAGTGAATAACAGACCATTGCTTACAAGCCTTTCCGGGGAGGGCTTTACATGCCTCAAGACAATAATTGGGCGGGCGCCTCGACTACTCTGGGCCACAGCGACAAACACCAATAACGAACAGTATCCCGACCATAGCTTCCTACAGGGTTTCGTTCGATCTATTCGAGCTGAACAACCTGATAGTCAAATTGTGACCATAGCTATCGAGAATGAGGTAGACGCGACGAAATGCTCCTCTTTTATTGCAAAGGCTTTCCAGGCTTCGTTTGATTCGTCATCCAAAGAGCTCGAGTATATCGTCAGAGACAATTTGCTTTTGACTGGTCGGGCTGTCGAAGATGTAGAAAGAAACGAAACGATGCGATCCCTTCTCTTCCCGAAACTACAGCATAAGTCTTGGGCTGAGGCACCTGCCGTGCAGCTCTCAGCAAATGGCAGCAACAGTCTCGACTCTTTACAATTTGTCCTGGACACTGAATATGGGACTGACATCGCTCCCTATGAGGTTGAAATCGAGGCTAAGGTTTGGGGATTGAGTGACCAAGACGTTCAGGCGGCCCTTGGGAACCAAGAAGGTAACCAAGATTCGTTAGGAGCTGATTGTGCTGGTGTCGTTACTCGGGTTGGCCGTGCTTGTACCTTGTTCCAACTCGGAGATCGTGTCTGCATGGTGAAGCCTGGTTGCATGCGCAAGTTCCCTCGCGCTCTGGAAACAAGCGTATTCAAACTGCCCGATTCGCTATCATTCGAACATGTTACCTCTATACTCGCTCCTGGTATGGTGGCATACCACGCCCTTGTCGATATCGCCAGGATACAGCAGGGTGATAAGATTCTTATCCATTCAGCTGCAGGTAGTATGGGACAGCTAGCCATTCAGGTTGCTAAGAAGCAAGGTGCCGATATCTTTGCTACTGCATCATCGCCTGAAGCGAAGAAATTCCTAGTGAAAACGTATAATATTCCTGAAAACCGCATTTTTAGCCAAAACGCCCTATTCGCGAAAGGGGTAATGCGCGCCACACGGGGATATGGCGTCGATATTGTGTGGAACTCGCTGGCGGGCAGCGATGAATTACAGGCTTCATGTGAATGCATAGCTCCTAATGGACATTTCCTCGAGATCGGCCGCGGCAACATGACAGCAAATACCACGCTACCTATGGCACTATTTGCCAAAAATATCACATTCTCGGTGGTCGATATTACACGCTTGAAACCGAGAACTACAGTTAAGCTACTCGAAAGCACAGTGCAGCTGCTGAGTGAGGGAAATATTCAGTACCCTCAGCCGTTGCGCGTGTTTGAAGCGAAGGATATTCAACAGGCTTTCGAGCAGCTGCAGGATGGCGGAGAGATTGGTCGCATAGTCATTCGTCCAACTCCCGAAGAGGTAGTTCCAGTAAGTTAACTATCCCATAAAAAAAAGTCTACCATCACGAATCCAAAACAGCCACGTCCCCAATTTATCGAATGTCGAACTAACATGTGCACATGACAGCAATTTATAAAGGAACAGCGTTCATGGAGATTTGACGAAAATGCGTCGTACCTGATCGCCGGCGGATCTGGTGGTGTAGGTCGAGCAATTACTCGGTGGATGGTGGACAGAGGAGCCAAACATCTAATTCTTCCTTCTAGATCTGGTGCCAAGTCTAAGGCTGCTGCTGAGACGGTGGCCGAGCTGAAGGCGCGTGGTGTTAATGTCTACGCCCCAAGGTGCGACGTGTCATCAGAAATCAGCTTGGCTTATGTGCTAGAGGAGTGCTCCCACACTATGCCACGAATTAAGGGGTGCATCAACGCTGCTGTCGTCCTCCAAGATGCTATATTCCAGAATAGCATGACATATGAGCAGTGGAAGCTTCCGATCCGCTCCAAGGTACAGACGTCGTGGAATCTGCACCGTCTCTTACCCCAGGATATGGACTTTTTCATCCTCCTCTCGTCTCTTGCTGGTATCAATGGCCAATTGGCAAGTTCTAACTACGCTGGCGGTTGTTCATTCCAGGATACACTAGCAGCATACCGTAGGGCTAACGGTCAGAGGGCGCTGTCTATCGACCTCGGCTGGATGCGCAACGTTGGGCAGATCTCTGAAATTGGCGAATATCAACGCCAACGCCAAGAGGCCGATGACATGCAACAGACCGACGATACCGAGTTGTTTGCCCTGCTAACACTGGGATGCGACCCGACTAACCCACTCCCAATAGATCAGGTTCTGTTCGGTCTACGCACGCCCGCCGACGCCCTTGCCCAGGGCCGAACGCCAGCAGCTATTCTGGACCGGCCACTGCACGCTGCTTTTTCGTACGTCGTAGGCTCCGGATCAGGCGCAGACAGCACGAGTACAAGTAGCAATTTAGCCCCCGACCAGCAAGCGGCGGCCCTCTTTAATCAGGCGAAAGACTCAGAAGAGCGTATTCAGGTTGTGTTAAAAACACTGGCGTCCAAATTAGCTCGGGCTATGTCTATAGCACCTGAGGACGTCGAACCGAATAAGCCACTATCGGCATATGGTGTCGACTCACTCATGGCTGTACAAGTGAGGAACTGGATTAACAGAGAATTCAGTGCCCCAGTGGGTGTATTTGAGATTATGGGCGGGGTATCCATCACGGGCATTGCTGAAACGGTTGTAGCAAAGAGTACGGTTGGATAAAGTACAGAATGAATTAGGATTTGGGTTCGGAAACGATTGGAATGATAATGTCGATATGAATTTTTGTTTTATTTTTTTCTCTATGTTTCTCTATATTTCGTCTGTTATACATAGTATCTAGGTCAGGCAATAATATAAATCAAATATGATACTTCAACAAACGGTGAAGAGACGAGGCGAGGAGGCGTAAAACCGCGTGATACGCCAAGATCACATGACGGCATGGGACTGCGCATATGCTTCGTAACATCCATGTATTAACCAATATTAACCAATAGGGGTCTTAATAATGAAGGTCAAAGCGTCTGGCGGGTTCTACATCTGATAACCCATCCTATCGGGATCAAGTCCGGTGGCTTAACAAGAGCCATTAAGAACACTGACAAGTCTCCCCAGACCGAGAGAACACATCATTATGAAGAATCGGGTATAGTTATAGTCATTGCTTTAAATAATAACCTATAGGATTACTTGTTAGAAATACCCGGATCAACAGACGAGTGGGACTAACAAAGAAGCGATATACATACCCAAAGTAGATACAGTATTAAATTCCAAAATACCTTCAAACATGGTCCATCAGGTTAAACTTCAAGCCACGATCCTTAAATAGCCCCGATAACGGGAGAGTTATGATGATTCTTTAAAAGCTTTAAAGTGTATAATATAACGGGAAAAAAAAAACCACTAACACATTGTGGTATAAATAAGAAAACTACCATTTAGCGTTAGCATACATATAGAGTAGCACAGTATCTATTCAACTAATTATTAATATAATAGTTGGGCAGTTGTTATGTTCAAGATAGACTTTAGCTCTTCCTAAACAAAATCAAAGAGCAATAAACCAACTTCTGCACGGATTATCCAATGACCTAACCTATATCATCGACAATTATGCATGACTTGAGAGTTTCCGAATACAGAAGCTAAGCCTCGTAGAGCAAGTTGCATCCCTAGCCAGCCCTGCTATGCAACCTTAAGTGTCTACCCCTGACTCGAAGAATTAAAGTTAGAAAGGTCATGTTGAAAGAATTCGTTTTCTCTCCCGAGAAACATTCCTCTTCCCGTACGTAAGTGGAGTGCCCGCCGGCATTCTTTCAAGACCAAGACTGTTATACATATCCTTGCCAATCTCCTCTCTTAACTGCATGGCCCCACGGGAGAGCGGTGTAGCAAAATCGCAAATACATACACTATGTATGTATGCGCATAGCTGCAGCCATAAAGATCTTCGGTATGTAGGCTACCAGTCCCAGTGATTGATATCCTATGTATGTATGTATGACCCGGGTTCCTGGCATTGCCGGACCATCCGACGCAGGGTACTTGGATCCTACATACACTACATATGCGCTGTCGAGATGCCGTTCGTCATGGGTGGTGCCTGGATTCTAGCGAGCTCTTTCTTGATGTTGATGTCTTCGGCTAGACTATCATTATGCGCCTAGTCCTGCGAACACGGCCTAGCTACTGTAGACCGAGGCGGTTGAGGTACCGTCGGTTACTTGCGGTTACGGCTTGGCAAAGGATCCGAGCCGTCCTGAATGATCGGCAGCTATGTCTGGACGGATACACCAAGCGCCTATTCAAGGAATGGGCTTCTTTTCTGCTTGAGCTAAGATATCCGTCCGCGTCCCGTGGAAGAACTAGGGAGACCTGTGAGATAGTAACACAACATCATCTAATATCATCGTTCAAATGTGATCCAAGTTGCATCACACACGATACATGAGGCGAGTGTTAAGGAACTAAGCGTCGCATTTGATCTGTTCGCTCAACCCCGGGCCGCGAAGGTCAACACCGATCATGTCGAAGCAGTCTAGAAGTCGTGCACCGACCTCAAGATCGTCGCTTACCATTTGAGCAACTGAATAGTTCCTCGCGTTGTCCGGGCCGCCGAGCTGATAGAAAATGCTACCGATCCGATTCTAATTCCACATTAGCTACATAGAGTAAGCTTAGGGACATTATGTGGTGATATACTCTCTAGTTTCGTATGGAGAGCTTCGCAACTCCTATCGTAATATTGCCCCTTTCAGGGTGATTCCAATCAAAAAGTACTGATAACTTGGCATATTTTAACGAAGAATGCTACAAAGGCAATCAAGTCAGGGAAGACTTTCCAATCAAGGGAATAATTTCTATTAAACAAGTTGCCCTGTGGTAAACTATTAGCAGTAAGGAATGCTATCACCATCTAATAGACGTAGTGTGTAGAGATATCGTATTAATATCATATCCAATCTTTCTACTTAAGTAAAGAAACTCTGTGCTACGAATTATAAAAATTCCCTTCTATTCTATTTAAATACTTGGGTGTACGTACGCCATCGTCTTAGAGCACTTTTGAGAGGCTTATTGATAGATCGCTGCATAACAACAAATTAGGGGCTTATGGATAGCGTCTGAGGCTTGCTGCATAAGCTGACTATGCTCGTGAAGATATCAGTTACTGTTTCGAGTAGCTATGTAGCGTTGGTTGCCTACAAGAATAGATTCGCTATGGTCGTGATTTATTATTAGACGCAGACTTCTTTTTGGTATTTATTTTCCTTGGGGAGAAGAAGGAGACCTACACATCTGCTGTAGACTACCAAAGGCTATAAATTAACAACCTTCAACTAAACCTCCTTAATTAATACTTACTTCTTGAAGTCAGTGGCACCCAGCGTTTAACCCCACATTATGGTTTCCTTTACGAGTACCCTACTTGCCATTCTCACAGTTGGCGCAACGTTGCCACAAGTCAATGTAAAACACCAACCTATCCTTAGAAATATTGGCTACCTTAACTAATGGACGTTTCTATAGGGCTTAGAGGACTACGCATGTGGAGACCAGCAACTGATTGTCAGTGGGCAAAACAATCGCGTGTGCTGCCCTGGTATAAGCAAGACTACGGGCGGCAAAACATACTGCTGCAACGGGGGCAATGACGACGACCATCACGATATCAGCTCCTGCAAAGAAGCGTTCGATGTAGATGATCCTAACTATGCTAAGAACGTCCAGAGCAAGCTCGGAATCACCGTCCATACCCCCAAGGACAACAACTCCGGGGGTTCCAGCTCTAGTAAGCCCTCCAGACTTGTGGTACGTCGTTGGTTTATTCTTAACTTAGTTCACAGGCACAAGAACCATTACCAAAGATACTCTAATAGTTGGAGCAATATTTAGCTTAGCTATTGTTCCCGCGGCCATGCTTGCATTCTAGACTACCATAGTTAGTGTACTATAATGTATATTACTCTCATTGAAGATTCGCAATTAGCATGGTATGGCGTTAAATGTTTATATTACCGAGAATAAGTGGATAAAGTGGTCTTTCGGGCGGTCAGCGTTAAATACATAGATTCTCTTTAGATATATACATCATTGTTACTCTTAGATACAGATATTCTCTCTCATGGAGAACTAGTTGGATTTGCGTGACATGCTAGACCGAACTAAGCCAAGCGATCATTGACACTCCTAATAATTGACCACCTATATCACCTTTCCCCAGATCATCGTCCTAGGAGGCTATTACATTGCGAGAACACAGCTGACTCCGTCCACCTTCTGGCAGACTGCTGTCGATAGCTGTCAGTTTCTTCCAAAACGTCAAGGAGGTAAGCCCGGTCAGGAGGCCCTGCAAACATATATGATACACATATGTGTCTGCTGAACGACGCCGAGCCAAGCGGCTTCAAAGATAGGGTATATCGACAAGACCTCCAGATCCGCCCACTCCATTCGAGACATTCGGCTTCTAGGCTTGGGTCGTCGATGTCCAACATCGCATTTAACTCCTGCCTAAGCGTATTTATTATGATGTTAAAGGAGGCTACGTTAGTGAAATGCAATGCAGTTACGCCGTTGGGAAACACGTAACTCGTGCTAAAAGGCGATTCTGGGTCATCTTCTTCGTAAATAGTTTTGCTCTGCAATAGGGGCTGTACGGTCTTTCGGTCGAGCGCGCGGAAATTCTCTCCTACGTCGTTAAGAGCTATAGAGAGCGCTTCAAGAGTTTGCAAGTCTTGGAGGTGCTCGGGGATGGTGCGGATCTTTGCGAAGCGTCTTACGACATCAGCAAGAATCGTGGACTGGTGGATGATCTTAGAGATCTCGACGAGAATTGGTGTTCGGGTCTTGTATTGAGCGAAGAAGTTCACAAGTGCATTCTCCCAGTCAGGTCGCATGAAGAAGTTGTCGATCTCACCTCTTATGAGAAGCTTGAACTATTAAGTCTATTAGCTAGGTAAGTTCAATTCCTAGACTCAAGACCTGTATATCATTTACCATAAAGCCGAAGGAATCGAGTATGAGTTGGCAGCCAAGAGCGTCTCCCGGCTTTGGGGCTCCCCTTTTCATCATTATGGCGTATATCCCGTTGCAATGAGATATCTGATCGATGCCTTTTGAGTAGTCGAATAAATGCTACATTGGCATTAGTTAGACTATTTACCTAAAGATTACTGTAAGACTACTTGCCTCGATTATTTGAAGATAAATGGTTGCAGCTAGTGTAGCAGATGATGTTTGCTTCTGCGGATCGTTTAAGGCTCTTTGCAAGCTGCGGAGGGCACGGTTATAAGATACAAGTCTAAGAACATCATTGGGGTTCGCTCCCCGGCAGAGCTGTAACCACGTAGATACTAGAAGGTTGGTGGCATCGTATAAGGCCTCGCTGCTCTCCAGGAGGGGTGGTACGTATCTCAATGTGCTCAAGAATACCGTTAGGCTATACCCTGTTCCCTCGCTGTTGTTAAGATGGTTTATTAGATTGCCCGCCAATAGATCGGCTTGAGTCCCGGATAGTTTGTTTGGTATCCGCTGTTTCTGATTCCATATTCTCATTTTGGAGAAGATTGCGCCGTTTGCAGTAGTTTTATTTTTGAGATTTAGCCAGTCTATGTTGTTGGTATCCAATGCTTCGTCTGTAAGACTTGTAATAGCATTCTTTTCAGCTTGGCCATCTTCATGTTTATCTCGACGATTATGTCTTCCACCATGTACGAACTTTACGCGCTTTGATGGACCGGAACATTCCTTACCTGCCTTTCTGCAGCTTCCGCAGGTTGGCCAAGCTTCATCACACTACCGAAATGATGTCAATTGCCCGCGTAGGGCTGTAGCTGAAGAGCTGAAAAACGCACGTACCTTGGTCTTCCGCCACCTACAAAAGTCGCACCTATTGCTTTTCGGTACGCCGACCATTTTCTTAACGCTTGATGAAATCTATCGCGACTTGAATAACCTGCTATTGGTGTCGCTTCATATTTCCGTATATAAGCATCTTCGTCTAAATATTTTATATAAGTTTACGCTTGACTCGCTGTTATACTCGGGGCAGCCGTCGTAGGACTTGTTACAATAGGTAGCTATCGAGTTCGTATCGCGAGCTGCAAGTTTGGCTTAGTCGTTGACATTTTCAGGGGTTGATTAACAATTATAGTACCTTAAGTACCTGTAATACGACCTAGCACGGACTCCGTCTGGGGCTATGCCAACCAATCATCGTTGCTAAGCTTTAGGTACATTGTAATGGAATAATGACTAGGACATATATTTATACTGTAGTGAAGGAGATAATGATACGAATTGTTAGATGCGAAAATGAATTAGATGTATAAATGAGGTAAGCGACGTAGATATTATGAACCAAAGGAATATCGAAGATAAAATTTCCCTTGTCAGATTCTTCTTCAACCTGTTTTATTCCAACCCTGTTTGGCATCCTCACAAGTATAGACCGTAAGGAAGTTAGGTCTATTATTAGTTGCTTAGGTACCTAGGTACCTAAGTTATAACTATTGTGATAGGTACTAATATAATGTAACTAGCATAAAAGATCTCAACACTGTAGATAAATCATCAAGAGGTTTTAACTATATAGTCGTTGGGGCTTTAAGCCCACTTATATGTTTATCTATTAATTAAAGCGAATGAATGAATGACTAAACGGAAACGAGCGACACCTAAAGACTTGGTGAACTCGATAGATCAACCTTGATAATACAAAAAGCAGCAAACCTCCCCCCTCCCTTTTTTTTTCTTTTGTCTTATCCTTTTACAATTTTATCGATGTCCTTGGCTTTTTCGCTTATAATATCGTTTAAACATAAGCGTACTTGTTTCTTGAACTCATCGTTTTCAAGTAGGCTCTTAATCGCGTCCTCATAATTACGCTGGAGCTCAGTATTCTCATTTGAAGGACCCGAAGTCGGTCGGGGTGAATAGTGATAACTCGCTTGAGTATATGAGTCCGAGTTAGAATTATGTGAAGTGCGTCTAGAATAGGAATCAGCTTCTAAATCTGTCTTGCTATACATGGTTTTAAGTAGCCAGAAAAGGCCACAATGGTTCATAGAATACTTACTGATTACCGCCGTGTTTGCTTTTTTGGGACTTATTAATAATATTTGTAATCTTCCGCAACACTTTTGGAATCAAGATCAATGCTTGGAAATTGGAGCCTTGCTCAGTCTCGATTCCTTCATAGCCATGAAGATCTAGTCTCTCTAGAAGTATGTCGAGTTTCTGTGCGTAGTTGTTTGGAAATTCTTGGACATAGTCCTGAAATATCTTTGACTGCTCTTCACTCCAACTATATCTTAAGCTCGTGTCATGTTGATATACCTGAACATTGAAGAGAGTATCTTCTGGTGTTCGTCGTGGCCTCTCTTCCGAGCGTAATGAACTGTGTTGATTGGAGTGACTCATGGCTGTTTGCTAGTTGCTAAGAACGATGAATAATGAAGATATCTTCTGACTTGAAATTGAGGGTTTGATATGTACGATATCTCTGGCGTGATGTGACAGATAATAGAATAACATGGTGACTATTAACTCGATATTTATATCCCGTGGTCACGACCCTAAACTAAACTGAATAAAGGGAAGACCACCTAAAGAAAATATGATCGTGACATGTATCAACTCTTCCCCGTGGAATACGCGTCGAAAGAGTAAACGCTATGGAGTGATTTACATGGACAGAACATGAGTCCGGTTTCAAACTGCCACAATTTATAAGACATAGAATTCGTTGGCCCAGGTAGCTATAAACAACGCAAGCCATCAGTTTAGGCGCTACCTTAGAGAATTGGACTACTAGCTGACGTAGTACAACACATCTGCTGAAACTATACCCTTTGAAAACTCAGTAAGGGTTCTTGCTTGAGTAAGACAGTTGCATCTTTACCTGTGACTAGTACGAACATGCCTATGTGTATGATTGGGGAGAATCAACTTTTATAGTAAGGTTGGCCAACTAAACAAGCGCAGTGAAGTCTTCTTGAGAGACTATGGTATTATGCTCCTATAACACCTTTACTTATGCAAAACGTATAATGAATCTAAAAGTCAGTGCTGGGAATGCTGGATCCGTCACGGCAACTTCATGATTTATGTCCAACCCCAACCCTTCCTTTAGGGTCTTGTCTAGGTTTGATCGGGTTTGCTCCTCGATGCTTGGTGGGAATTGCATATATAACGTCTTGCCTTCGGCTCTGATTGAGGGTTTCTTCAACTGGAGATCAGCCTTTGTGGAAAAGGAGTCAAGGAGTTCCCTCAATGTCCAATTGGGGTCAACTTCTAGCGGCTTAGCCACTTCGCCACACACAGCACAGTCATCTTTCTTGTCGTACTTAAAAGTGTTTGTGTAAATGCTGTCATCGCCGGAATACATCATGTAACTCTCCTCAAACCCGAGGGCGGGCGCAGCTGCGGTGGCTATCTTCAAAGCCTCATTGCAGCAGCTCGCAGCAATGATGGCGTTAGTGGACGCTATTGCTGGTATGATGTTTTTGACGACACCTTGGGTGAGTGAGTAGGTAACACCTGTGATGCCAAATTCTTGAGCTCGCGTGAGGGCTTTACGATATAGCCATGTGATATGCTCGGGGTCGTCCTTGTCTAAGCTTGGGAACGGTTTCTCTTGGTCCCATGCAATAATATGTGCCCACTCTATGCAATGTTCGGGCTGGCGGGGGATGGTGGCCAATGTACAAAGCGGTACGGCCGCTCTTGGGGTATAGAGGTCTAGTTGGCACTCGATACACGGTGTGAGAGTTGGGAATACGACCCTAGTTTGGCCCTTGAATCCTAACTCCGGTTAGATTCCCATACGTCCCGAGAAATATGATGCGAGGAAATGCTACCTTCTGTTCCGCCGTCAATCAATGGCTTCAGAGAGTCCTGGTTCTCCATATCCACCATGTTCACGAGGGTCGCGTTGATCCATCGCCGTGCTTCGATGCTGTCGAGACCACATACAACTAGCTGAAATTGCATATAAAAATCCTCATCGAACTCTTGAATTCGGCAGTTATGTGGGGTAATCTTGACACCTTTGACTCGCTTCTCAACAAACTTGGCGGCGACTTCTGCTTTGAACTTGCCTACGTCGTCTTTGCGAAAGAGGAATTGACGATTGAGGTTGGAGATATCGATGGTGTCTGGTGCATAGGTACGTAAGAAAGTTAGTCTCATATTAGGGTTGTAAATAGAATAACTTACCCATATCTATGACATGAATGTCCTTAAACCCAGAAAGGGCGAGGTTCTTTAGTATCTCACAACCAAGTCCGCCAGCACCAATAACAAGGATCTTGGTCTTGTCCAGCGTCGCGAGAGCTTCTTCGCTTACATCTGAGTCCTGATTGAAAGGACCAGGTGTCCTTCGAATACGGTCTAAGTATTGCCATCTTGAGGCACCGTTTTGTATTATAGCGGTTGCCATGGTGTGGTCTCCCGGACGTTGCGTGGTACGCCTAATACAAACAAAGAGGAAGCTTACTTTTAGGTAACTAGGATCTTAGAGCTCTCGAGATGAAGGGGGAGTTTGATGTCATCTTTTATCGCTGATAGTGATATATAGAGGCGCTAAAGGTGGGATGGTATTGTCTTTAAGCGGGTCATCGTCTAATGCGACCATAGTATATTGAAATATACAGTACTTACGTAATTTACCTATAAACTGAAGCTATTACAGCTGCTAACAGGTGAGGTCCCATTCAATATCATCCCTACTTTCCTTAATCATTCATCCATTCATGAAAGGCTCATATCATGAGATGCGACGCATAAATAATTCGGAAGAGATGAATTTTATTATTCAAATAAAATCAACTACTTAAACATGTAGTTTCTGAATCGAGGGAGCGAGTATCATGCTAAGAAGCGATAATCCCAGATAATTTAATCATTTAGGACCATCTCATTCAGAATCGTCGATTATCAAAATGGAAGGGCTACTCACTCCCGTGAGCCAGAATTACCGTAAATCTAGCCAGCATGACGAACTGTTCAAAATTTCCGAACCCGCTGGACCTGCATCTAAAACGCAGTCAGAGTTTAGTAGCTCATCCCCTGAAGAGGCCCTTGAAGCTCTTAAGAGCCAGCCAAGCTATGATCTTCTGCTATCCGTATTAAAATACTTACAAAAAGGCTTGCGAGGTGACCACTCCTTCGATATCCGAAAGCCAACTCCTCAAAGCGCTCAGATCATACATGTATTGGTTACTGAGATTGTTCCCAACTTTTGGACTGTGCTACAAGATGCATCCACAGGACGAAGTAAAGGAGACCTCCATGTGCTAGTCTCCTGCTTGCGGAGCCTTGCAGGTATCAATGCTGTAGTGGCATACCTCCGTGCTTTATTGAAAGAAGCCAAGTTAGACTCAAAATCTCTAAAGGATTCACGAGTTAGTTTCGATCTGAGCTTCGTCCTGGAGCTTCTCGCCCATCTCCTTCGTTCACATGATGACATAAAGTACATATGGAGTAATGCTGGCTCTTCAGGGAATCCGACTCAGATTCGGCTCGTACGCCAAGAACTTGTTTCATTATTTACAAACGGAAAAATCATCTCACTCTCAGCAGAAGCGGAGGACATTTGCCGACAAGCCGGACGATTGAAGGCTGAAGTTTGGATTAGCAATGTTAAGCTCTATATCGATTGGCTTGCTCAAAATATAGTGCATTGGGTTGAATCAGGGGTCAGCGAAGCTGAACTCAAAGTATGTGCCGATATATTGACACGTGGAATGCGGTTAGGCTATTCAGGTGAGTATTATTATCCGTAGAACAAACTATCTTGCTAACAAACACTTAAGAGGGTCTTATTAATACGTTAATAACGGGGTTGCTTCTTCGAAACGTCGAAAACTATGAAACTTTTGAGAATTTATTGAGCTCTCTTCCAACTCTTGAGCAGCGGAAATTCCTCAGTTTAGCCCTGAAGCTACTTTCGGACAAATACCTAAACTCCATACACGACACTAGTGAGATAAAAGACGCCCCTATTATTCAAGCTACATCTAGAGTCTTGAAGGCGATAATAGGAAACGATGAAACTCGGAAGAACCATCTCTTGAACTGGTTAACGAGCGGATCTGGCGCGGGGATTGGCGAAGGATATGGCATCAGACGGGCTGCCGTCGCCGTTTTTTGCGATGACAAGGAATTCATAACAACTATCTTGGAGAAAAGCCTAAGCCAGTTCGGTGACAAACTATATATCAAGCATGCCCCCTTGCTCCAACAAGACGGTTAGTTCTACTGATACAATTTTCTCACACTGGTGAAGCTAACAAAGAACAAGCACATGCCCAAGTACTACTTCTCAGTGCTGGGTACGTTCATAGACTTGTGCCAATAAAGCTTACTATTATATTACGGTCAAGTGTTTACTTAAACGCTGTATCTAATCGAATTGCCGCGTCGCAAAACCGTGCCCGTTTCCTGGGAATGGTGGTTGGAGAGGCTCTTTCGGGACTTGTTCATGGCAAGGAGACAAAACTTGACTTCAAGATGGACGAGATGGATACGGAAGAAGCAAAATGGTATAAATCGTTGGTCCAACTGTCTGACAAACCTGGTCCTTTAGATCCACTAAGGGAAATGGACATCCTACCGAAACCCTCCAATGTCCCTAAGATAACAAGACCCTCGGTGGCACCCGCACGACGGGCTGGGAAGCCGCCTCTCCAGTCAGGTTTCATTATCGAAGAAATTCAAGACGATGAAGATGAAGACCCAGGTCTAGTACCGTATGTGAAGCCTGATTCGGACGCCGAAGACTCAGATGATGACCCTACACTCATTAATCGTGATAAGCCTAAGGCTCCTGTCTATGTTCGCGATCTCATTACCTATTTCCGGGATATAGAGAACTATGACCGTCAAAAGCTCGCTTTAACGACAGCCCCTACTCTGATTCGTAGGAAAGCGAACTATGGAACGGAGGTCAGTTCTCACGCAGAAGAGCTTGCTACTCTCCTCGTCGGCTTACAAGACAAATACGAACTCGACAACTTTGATGATCTACGTCTACAGGGGATGGTTGCAATCGTGGTTGCGCAGCCAAAGAAGATGGGCCAGTGGTTCGCTAAGACATTCTTTGATGGAGACTATTCGTTGTCACAGCGCGCGTCCGTACTCATGGTGTTGGGCCTTGGTGGTCGAGAGATAGCGGGCTTTGAAGCATCTGAATATGGATCTACGGCACAATTTCCGTCTAAGATGCTTCCCGCCAGAGTCGAAAAGTTTTATGCTGCATCCTCGCCGTCGAATAGGCTTGAATCTGGAGCATATAACTTGAAGGCCCTCCCTCCTAATGCGCTAGATAACCTTGCCAAGTCTCTCTCGCAGACCTTCCTGGCCCCACTAGCCGCTGAAGCAGCGGACTCGGTAACAGGGCCAGACGCACTCAAGCTTTCATCCTTCACATCGCGTCTACAGTCGCAGTCTTCAAACACTGGGAAAAGCAAGGCCAAGCCGCGCATACGCGCTATACCCAACACGACAGCCTCCCTTATAGCATCGTCATTCTTCTTCCCCTTGACCTCGCGTTTCCAGGCAGCGATGCATTCGGCATCTGCTACGACAAGGGGCATTCTGTTCCAGCCATACTTACTCACCCTCTACCTTAAAACGCTAGCTATCCTCTTACACGCAGCGGGCCCCAGCACGCTCGCGCTTCCGCAGATGACATCTGAGTTCTGGGATCTGCTCCTCGGCGTTCGAGGGCAATGTGTCGGCGATCTGAGCATCACACAGGCTGTGCTCTTCGGGCTGGTAGCCCTGTTAGATGTCAATGAGGGCGACATGCGTGGTCTCTGCGAGAGACAGGGGCGCGAGGTTGTAGAGAGCGTCGAGTGGGTGAGCGCCGTCTTCAACAATACGCGGGGTGGCGATGTTGGCGGCAAAGGCGGCGGCGAGGAGAACGAAGTCAAGATGTTGGCTGCTGGTGTTCTTATCCGCTTGCGTGAGGCGGTGGATAAGTACCAGGCTGTTCTGATGGGAGACTTGATAGGCTTTACGTAGATGTATGTAGGAAGCAATTACGCTCTCTTCGGAAGGTTCTTAAGAAATCTTTTATTACATTCATGATGCACTATTATTGACTTGCAGTCCTAGAGAAAAGCCACATCTTGGCGTACCCCTTTACTAAGTACTTTCCTCCCATACTCATCTATGTTATTTAGGCGATATCCTAGGTACGCTCTTCACTTAAAACATTCATTATTGATCTCCGAGAGCTAGGTTTATCGAACTAGCATGTATTATTGTATTTATACCAATCCTTATCATAACGAACTGAATTACACCTGGACGGCAGTAAGTAGTGGTATCTCAATAGTAAGCAGCTAACGCAAAAATCAATGCCATATACATAGACGAAGTATTCCCTTCCCATCGTTATTCAGATCTCTTATTCGTCGTACTCCATTGCAAGGAAGGGAGAACAAATCTTCCCTTACCTCCGTACCGTATCGGGCTTTAAGACATGTCTTAATTTCCACTTGTAAAAGGGGCATGCTACTCCGCGCCCTCGAAATTATTCCGCCCCGCGCGCCGAGGCTCCATACTACTGACCTGCTCGCCGATGATCGACAAGTGTTCATTAAGGCTACCAATAAGACGGCGCATTTCATTAGCCACGTCGCCAGCTGTAGCTCTTGCCTCAACGACGCTTATTGATGGTGGAGCTATGGACGGGAGGTGTACGGGTCCCGTCGTCCGCAGAATGTGCGCGGCAGTGGTAGGGCCGTGATACCCGTCATCCCGATCCACATAAGTATCGGTTGATGAGACAGTATACTCGCTATTCTGATGTTGGTGCTGATGGTGTAACAGCTGTTGTTGATGCGGAGGTCCCGTCATGTTTAAGACGTTGGATTCAGACATTTCGTCTTCCTCGGCGATCTTACTGGCTATTCGGGCAGAAAACTCGGAGCCATCGGAAACATAGATGGATGGCTCACGGCTAGTAAAGTTGGCGGGCGCATAGACGGAGGCGTGGCGCTCGAGTTCAAAAGGCTCACGAGTGCCAATTTCGGAGCCTGCGATGGATGCGATGTCTGAGTTAGCAGTAGATGGGCGTGTGAACTCTGGGAAGTTAGGCTCGGGCATGCTCATATCAAGGTCAATCAAGCTGGCCATGGACATGCGATCATTTGATGGTGCGCTCGTACTTTGCATATCATAGCCCTGTGATGGCAGCATGGGCTCGGTAGGATGGTGTTGGAGTCGGGGACGTTCGGGGCCACTGTCAAAGCCACGATCTTCGTTAAATGTGAAATGTGACATCTCAGGATTAGCGGAGGCTGGAGGGATACTTGTTGGCCAAGACCAGTCAGGTGCATGATGTCGGCCATTATTCATATCCGCGGGGTCGCTTAAAGGTGCCCTATCGTGTACTTCTGTCGCCGTAGCTGATGAGAAAGACCAGTTGTTGTCCATTGAAGCTCGTGGGTTCTGTCCTATTCCTGAATTATGCCCTACTCCTGGGCCCGGTCTTATCGTACCCATATCGACAAAGTTCGAAAGGTCACCGCCACCGAGAGAGGCGTCAAGGTCAATTAAGGATTCGCGAAGTGTTGCGTGGAGAGAGTCGTCGCGTAGTGGAAGATCAGATGCTGGAATCTCGTTTGTCATCGGTGGCTCTGATACCGGAGGTGGCCCAAGGCGACCGTAATACATACGGGAATTCTCGTCGTAGTTTGATATCGTGTTGGGGTCGAAGACTTTTTCTAGAGGGGCTTTTATTTTGGTGGCAGCTAGGGCTTGTGGTGGTGGTCGACGTCTACCTTTGCCTAATGCCTTTGGTCGTGCCGTGTCTTCGCCAAATGTCGTGGGGAAATCGACAGCTGATCCATAAACGTCGCGGACTGCCTGGACTTCTGATATGCCATCTGAGATATCGTGAAGCTGCTCATCGAAGGCAAGCGTAGTGGAAAAATTCCATTCCTCAGTTGACAACGAAGTCGAATCCAGATCAGCGGGTGCTTGTGCTCCTCCGGCTGCGAAGAGAGATTTCCTGATTCCGCCACGCTCTTCCCAAAGTCTAAAGGCTTTTACTAGGTTGGCCAGAGAGGAGGTAGGATATCGAGAACTCGTATTAAAAATATATGGGTGTTGCTGGATCTGTTCGATAGATGGTCGTCTGGAAGGATTTTCCTCCAGACAAAAGGCAACTAAACTTTTAAGTTCGTCTGAGTATTGATCACCCTCGAGATGTGGTATATGTTCTCTAAGGTAGTCACCTAATTGAGGGAGGCCTACCCTTGCTGTCGCATTCGGTGGTAAACCAGAGGCAATCTCGTATACCATAGATCCGAAGGCCCATATGTCAACCTCTGTTCCATACTGAGCATTATGGTCAAAGAGTTCTGGTGCCATCCAATGTGGTGTTCCAATGAAAGTAGATCTTTTGTCTAACTTCGTCTCCATCATACCAGCAACACCGAAATCGCACAACTGGACCGCTCCAGTTTCGGTAACTAAGACATTAGCGCACTTAATATCGCGATGTATAATGCCCTCCTTATGAACCCAATAAATTGCTACGGCCACTTCACGCAATATAGGTATAATCCACTTCTCTTGTAACCCTCCAGGAGTGGTCGGTTTCATTAGAGTTGCTACACTTCCTCCAGCACAATATTCGGTAACCATCCACATAGCCTTGCCAACAGGTAGAGCTTCGATGACATGGTTGATGTTCTGGGCACCAGACTGACTTAAACGATGCAGCGCATTGATCTCTTTGAGAATCTCACTGTAAGTATCCGCGAGCTTCGGGTTCACCGTATCACTTTCATCAACGTCTATAATCTTGACAGCTACTACAGCAGAAGTTCTCAGGTCGTTTGCCTTGTACACACGACCAAAACTCCCCTTACCGATTAGTTCCGTAAGGCGGTACTGGGGAGCGGGTTTTCCTGACTTGGCGCATTCTTCTTGAACAGCCTCTTCCATTTTCCGCGCGTCTTCGACAGCTTTTTGGCGCGTTGTCGCAGGTCCTCCGCCAAATACTTGAAGAGTTGCCATGGTGTGTGAACGTCAATCGTAGGATAACTGGGAGACATGGTTAGCTGGTGCTCCTCAAAATTAAAATTGAACAAACGCATAGTGGATTCAACGTGTAGATTAGAAATGGTGAACATGAAGGGCGACAAAAGGGAATTTGTAAGGAATATTCGCATCTTATTAGCGTTAGTACCACTCCTACTCGCCTTTTTGCCGGAGTTGGGGGACGGAGTGGTATGTTTAACGGCGGGTGATCCATTAAAGCTAGGACGTATGGACCGCCGCGAAGGCCTGGGTTAGATTCTAGCGGAATATCCACTGACCATGCTGGGGAGTTCTTATCATCAAGAAAAAGATTATTGTTCATAGGCCCAGCTGGAGTCCCAACCGGAGTCACCGCCATGGGGGGTCGCTTGAGAGAAGGGGTGGAAGGTTGTACGGGGGAATCAGTTAGGAACGCCATGTTGTCTTGATGTTGTGGCGATAAATTGTCGGAAGCAGGACGGGTTGGTGACTCGAGAAAAAGAAAACTGAATGAATCATTGAGAGCAACATACTTACAAATAGGCGGTAACTCCGGTAATAAACCTTTAGATTTATTATGCCGAATAAAAAGGAGGACTTATTTCAACGTAGTCTGTTACCGCCTTCAAAAGAATCGAAGTCCACAAGGCAGCATTTGGTGGTCTATGCTTCTTAGCATAAGAAGGCTAAATGGTCAATGCTGTTGAAGACTGATTTCTCGGAGTAAATTAGTGATTCGAAAGTATGGATTAATTAATTCGTGGGTGCGTTTAAAAATTACGAGTATTAGATTGTGTAGTTGTTCTCTTATGCCTTGAAGTTGTTCATATCTTTAAAAAAGAAAGTTGATGGGTTGACAATGTGGCATCGGCGGTCCGTGCCTGTTACAACCTTACTAAAGTCGGGAAGCATAAGCTAATAAGAGGGCGAGGCGCGCTAAACTAAACAAAAGATAGGGTGAAATATATAACCAATCAAATCAATTAATGACAACTTCAGCTTTGTGCAAGGCTAAGTACCTAAAGCAGCCTCAATTACACGTCGATATATAAGTACCATCAGTGAAAAATTACTCAAGTATATGTACCTACTTATATATATCATCTATATTCCATCTGTTGTATACTTGATAATATGTCTACTACAAGTATAATATCTATATGTTTAGAAATATCTATATGCTGAGATGACCTGCCGAATATATTATAGGTATGGCATGCCACATTATCAATTAATACCTTTTGACTCTACCCCCGTTTGAATGCAGAAACCTACCTAACCTAACCTAACCTACATGAGGCTGCTTCGCCCGCCAATCTCCATGCTTCCTTGACCATCCCGCATCTCACCGCTGCGTCCGACTACGAATTCCCTATAGATTCGTTCTAGTCGGTTTCTCTCTTGAGGACTGATGCTAGCCCTAGTAGATTCCAACGCTTTTACTACGTGCCTCCATCCAATAAGAACCTCCGTACTACTTCCTTCTTTCCCCTTCTCACCGCTATCTCCTGTAGTATGGTTTACCCTCTTCTGACCCAGCTTTGTCTGTTTCCTTGCTGCTTTTATTTCTGATAGTTTAGCTGCTATAGCAGCATTCTCGGCTAGCTGGGACGATTTGTTATATCCTTTCTTCGTCTTTTCCTCTGCTTCGGCTAGGGCCGCCTCGATGCCGTAGCGAAATTGGACAAAATTCCGATTGCTCACGGCTGTGCTTGCTTTGGCTCGTGGGTCAACACCGTTACGTTTGTCGCCCGAAGGTTGTACGTCGATGTCTTTAAGCACGTCGTGAATGGCTTCCAGTTGAGCGTTCGAGATAAGCGCCTGTAAATCAGCACCAGAAAACCCTTCTGTACGCTTCGCGAGTTCAAGGAAACTCTCTTCAGACGCTACCAACTCTTTGCTAAGCTTAATTTTCTTGCTCAGAGCCTGTAGGATATCGGCACGGTCTTCTACAGTCGGAAAGCCGCATAGCAAGCTCTTGTCTAACCGTCCCGGACGAAGCAGGGCGGGATCGATTAGATCCGGCCGCGATGTTGCGGCTAAGACGTACACACCAGATAACCCTTCCGCGCCGTCCATTTGGGTCAAAAGCTGATTGACTACTCGATCTGTAACGCCTGTCGAGTCATGCCCTCGTTTGGGTGCGATCGAGTCGAATTCATCGAAGAAAAGCACACACGGCTTTGCAGCAGAAGCGCGTTCAAAAAGATCGCGAACGCTTTTCTCGCTGGCTCCAATGTACTTATTTAATATTTCAGGTCCCTTCACGGATATGAAATTGAGCCCGCACTCGCCTGCCACTGCGCTTGCGAGAAGAGTTTTACCGCAGCCAGGGAAACCGTATAATAGTAATCCGGAACGTAACCTCAAAGGGCATTGCGCAAATATCGGCGCGTATTTTGTTGGATATTGCAATGTCTCGAGTAAGATCTGTCGCGTCTCCTTTAAGCCACCAATTGAGTCGAAGGTAGTTGTCGACGTCTGCAGCGGAACATTCCGGAGAGATGCCGGCGTGAACCCTTTGAGGGCGTTATCGAAATCGGTGCGACTGAGTTGAACGATGTCTAGTGATTCATTTAAAGGCTCCTCACTAACAGACCGTATCAAAGCTTCGTTACGAGCTCGAGACACGAGAAGAATTAGATCTCCCGGCATGTAGCCATCGGTCTCCCCGGCAAGGTCGAGGAAATCCAATTCTGGGTCTAAAAGGAAACCATCTAACTTCGTATTTGTAGAAACAGAATTGCCACGGCTACGCTGATCCGCACCATCCATCCATGTGCCAGCATCATCACCACCCACACTCCCATTGGCGGTAGTAGGACGACTACCGCACGAGTCGGGCGCCTTTAAAGATTCCGGAGCCACGGTTTGCTGTTTCACAATCGTTTCTAACACTTTTCTTCGGGCGTCTTTATCCGGCGCTTTTAACTCGACGATTTCCCGGACGACGTGACCTCCGATGATTACGTTGTTGAGCGACTCTTTGCCTTGGGCGGTAGCTAGGAGAACAACACCCCTGTCGCGTCCACAGTACTGGCGCACAATTGAGCTGATAGTCTCACTGACCTGCCTACTTCGGCTGTTATCATTTCCCACTTGCAGCTCGGTCTCTACCGGGCACAATTTATCCAGGTCGTCGAGTATGACAAGCGCTTTCCCACCGAGTCTTGCGCCCCAGCTAGCACCCATGAATATTCTATTTAACGTTTCCTTGATCGTGGAAATTCTGCTTTCATCATTGACAAGCTTTCTACATGGAAAGTAAGTTGTGTGGAATAGAAATTCCTCTTGCAGTGTCCGAGCAAGGGACTGAACTATAGCTGTCTTGCCTGCTCCCAAAGCACCGCTTAGGAGGACAGACGACATATGTGAGAGGTGGGATTTCAAATCGGTTAGGAGTGAGTCGATTCCAACTAGAACTGAGTCGCCTGAAGGTTTTTGCTCGTTTATCTCATCGTCTACTAACCAAGTTGGGCGAGGAGCTGGTGTTTGTACCTCAATCGGCACAGGTTTTTCAGACCCCAGGTACCAATTCAAATGATCCTTGGAATTGGAATCCAGATTTGCGCCTTCAAACTTCACAATGCCACCCTCCCAGCCGTGTGATAACTCAAGGGTGTCGTATACTGGTAATACCATACCGTCGGTTAAAGGGCCGTGCAATAACCCATTGACTTTGCCCTTTTGACCATAAATATTAAATATCCTTCTGGATGCTTCCTCTTTTTCAACTTTCGACTCTCCACCAAATTTCAAGCCATCTGAGGTTCTAAGATCTTCAATTGAAAAAGGAGAGACTTTCAATTTTTGTATCGCATTACGCGATAATGGCGCCGGTGCCGGTTCAATCTTTGCGATTCCTCCAACGATCCCTAAACAGCCGAGCATTGCGCATAGAGGGGTAGAGAGAGCAATGGTCTGGGTCGTCGGGGGATCATCCCACGGACGTAATTGGGCAACGACCTTCTCGGTCGCTTTCGTAGTCTCGCCATTCGTTGCATTTTCTTGCTGCTTTTGGGGGTCAAGAGGAGGTTGAAGCCCAGCTGGTTTAACAATATTTACAGCAGCCCACGTTACGCCGCGAAATTCCTTTGATAGTAGAAGATCGCGATCAACCCATACGCTCAAGTCCAGCGGCGCTGATTCTTCGTCAAACCATTCGTCGCAAAGTTTCCGGTCGATTCCTCTTAAAAATAAGCTTGGCTTCTTCTCTTCTCGAGCACTCTTCCTACGCACTGTACTAGCCGAACTCTTCGCGCTTCTCCTTGACGTGCTACCTACACTACGGTCTTCCCGTGTGCTTTTAGATGGTTTAGATCGCGTCTTTGGCGCAACGATGACTTCGGCGTCGGGTGCAATTTTCACAAACGGAACATCTGCTGAGGGAGCCGGTTCGAGGGACAAAATCTTTATATTGGCTGTAGATGTGGGCGAGAGATGGAGAGTCAAGGGATGTGTGCTGGGAGGCTGACCCGGTAAGGCGGTGTACGCTGGATTCGGGAGCGCGCGGATTTGTGATAGTAGATTTAATTCTAAAAAGGTCGCGTGTAACTCGATGATCTCCCAGTCTTCAGGCGTCAGCGGTTCGATATTTACCGTATGCGCCAAAGGAGGATCGACATGTATTATGGCCGTAACCTTCTGACCGTCTGGCAATCCAAGAGTACGAGCCAAGGTAGCGTCAATCTCGACGGAAGCTACCTCCTGATCTCTTCCACTACCACGTGTACCAATTATACCATCGCGATCTACTATAGATGCTATCTTGCGTTTGCTAGGCATTCCCGTCCATCCGACATAGAGCGATCTTTGTGACGAGGAGCCATTGGTTTGGGGGGAACCATTCGCAGGCAATGGGACGCGATAGTTGAGTTCGACAACAACATTTTGGGCAGGCTATGATAGCAATTTAGTAACAACTCAATATTTAGAAGAATGAGTGAGGGCTTACAGTATTGACAGTTACAAGTAGATTGACTAGCGAGGTCGGGAGATTCACGAGACAGTTTTTAAGATGTACAAGGGATATCTCAGCAGCGACAGACTGCGCGTTCTTCCGCTGAGATGGAGCCATGTTGAACTAAATATAAGTAGATCGAATTACACCTAAAGCACTATGAAGTGTCTTCGCGAGTTGGTTACGAGTTTTCAAATACGAGCTTTCAAACATGACTTGAAGTATTACAATTTGAGAATTGTAGCTTTAACACTAAAGAAATATCCCTATGCATATGCCGTGGCAGCTGCATGGACCGAGGCATTGATCGATTTATCAAAGGTACTTTGATACTTGCATAATCATATGTACCATACCAGGTTTTGGTGGATCGAATAAACCGTTATTTCACCGTTATTTTACCATTTGCATATTTAAACGTTTGAAAATCAAGACTTAAGTGAACGACGAATAAGATTTTATATCTATTGAAGTTATTTTCAACGTTTGGAAGTAATTGGAATGTTTATGTATATAGCTATTTATATTTCCAAACGTTTCACTTACTTTCAAACGTTATAGCGTTTATAGAAAGAGCTACAAAACCCACGGGAAGGCCACGGGAAGGCCACGGGAGCGACGGGAAGGTAAATTAGGTAGGTACGTATATTATACAAATACAGGGGCAGGTAGGTAGGCAGGTAGGTAGGCAGGTGGGTAGGCAGGTGGGTAGGCAGGTGGGTAGTCAGTCAGTCAATAGATTACGAATACAATTATATTAGGTGAAAGATTGATTATATAAGACTATTTAAGGGACTATCTATCTAAAGGACTATATAAGAGACTGGCTAGGAGACTGGCTAGGAGACTGGTTATATATCTAATTAGCTAAGGTATTATAAGGTCAGGGGACTGACTGACTGACTGACTGACTGACTGACTAGCTAGTTGGTTGGTCAAGAAGTTGAAGACTTAGAAGAAAATAAAGATGAATGGGAAGGGAGGGAGGGCCTTTTATATAGACCTGTATACCTGTATACCTGTATTGCCTCAGATTTGCCTGTACAACCTTGATTTTAAATTAGACCTTGTCTTGTATGGCCTTGACAAGGGTGTGAGGCTGTGATAAAGGCTTTTAGACCGACGGGAACGACGGGAAGAGATATAAATGCTTGAATATTTGAAGGCATATTGAATATTTGAAAGGCTAAATATTTAAAAAGTTGAACGTTTAAAAAAATTTAAACGTTTAGATATTATTTGATATTAAAATAGTGGTAAACGCTAAGAATGGCTAACGTTTTTGATCTTGAATATTTAAATGAAATAAACAGTATAAATATGGGTCAAAAAAGTAAACGGTTATTGAACTGTTTATTCGATCCACCAAAACCTGGTATGGTACTTTAAGTACTTAGATACATAAGGTACGAAATACTTGTATTTATTTACGTACCTACGTACCTAAGGTATCAAATGAAAGACACCCTGAACTTCAGCTTAAGTGGAGAAAATCACTAGCCACATGGTTAGCACATGGACCTCCGTTAAGCACTTTAAGAATTGGGGCTGAAGAAGCACGCGAAAATTCGCGTCAACGCGTTATCTTGTAGAAATTGGGTCCATCTATTTCCCTGTCCCCTGTTACAACTTCCAGCCTCCATCTTCCTAAAAGTTACAGACTCAGATGTACACTAATTATTGCGACTTGCCTAATTCTGTCGCAATTCTTCTACATCCCACATCTCACTTCACCCACGAAGATTCCTAGGAGTAGATTTAATTCATAATGGCACTCCTTCAGTATAGAAACGTCGTCGACTATGAGGCACAGCAAGGTAAGTCACTAATTTCTACAATCAGCTATGTTTGAACTAATAGAATCTGTTATTAAATATAGCTGCTTTTGAGAATTTTCTCGAAAAATTCAAGACCTCGCCAGAACAGACATTAACCCACGCTATTGGCAATATTAATATTGACGAAGATGATCTGAGTGACGAGTACGATTTTATGGACGAAGATGATGAAGCGCACGAGCGACGCCGACAAGAGAAAGCTACAGCGAAGCTACCAAAACACAAATACGCCGATTTGATGCAGAAGCTCGCAGACCGCACAATTGACAAGGTTTTAATAGAGCTGGATGATATTTCTCAAGTAAGATTAATCCATATTCTCTTCGTACGAAATGCAACTAATAGCAAGTAGTGGGAGGACGATACAAATGACGGATTGAAGCTAGTAGAGTCTATCGAAGCGAATACCAAGCACTATGTCGAGATCCTATCCAGAGCTATCGATAAAAAGATGCCCGCACCCACGACTGGCATCACGTATGATCAAATGGCCTACCCCCCTCGTATCTTTACTTTCTAACACGAGTCTAGGTTCAAGGATGATGTTTTGGATGTAATCATGGAAAGGAGACAAGCCCGGAATCGTGATCTTGCTGAAGCAGCTGCCAGCACTAATAACCCAGATTTACTCGAGTTGACCTTTCCGGCTCAGCTGACGAGGAGATATACACTTGTTTTTAAGCCAAGAACATCCACCAGCGAGAATCCAGTTAAGGCCCTTGCCGTACGACAAGTACGAGGCGAGCATCTTGGTCATCTTATCACAATCCGTGGTATTGCGACTAGGGTATCAGACGTCAAACCCATTGTGCAAGTGGGAGCATATACTTGTGATCGTTGTGGATGTGAAATCTTCCAACCTATCAATGATAAGCAATATGCACCCCTTACTAGCTGTCCGTCCGAGGAATGTGAGAAGAACCAGTCGAAGGGCCAGCTCTTCCAGTCCTCACGCGCGTCCAAGTTTCTACCTTTCCAAGAAGTTAAGATTCAAGAACTGGCGGAGCAAGTACCTATTGGCCAGATTCCCCGAACTCTTACAGTCATGTGCTATGGTAGTGCAGTCCGCCAGATCAGTCCTGGAGATGTTGTCGATATTTCGGGAATTTTCCTACCTACCCCCTATACAGGCTTCCAAGCTATGCGAGCTGGACTTCTTACCGACACATATATCGAAGCGCATCATATTGTTCAGCACAAGAAAGCGTACGAAGAGATGATCATTGATGACAAGCTATTAAGGCGCATTAACAACTACAGCCATACGGGTACTGTATATGAGATGTTGGCGAAGTCAATCGCACCCGAAATCTTTGGTCACCTTGACGTGAAAAAGGCACTCTTACTGTTGCTAGTTGGTGGTGTCACAAAGAAGATGGGTGACGGTATGCGGATTCGAGGCGATATCAACATGTGTTTAATGGGTGACCCCGGTGTAGCCAAATCCCAGTTGTTGAAGTATATCTCAAAGGTTGCCCCTCGAGGCGTCTACACGTCCGGCCGTGGTTCAAGTGGTGTTGGTCTTACCGCAGCCGTAATGCGCGACCCCGTAACGGACGAGATGGTTCTCGAAGGCGGTGCGCTGGTTTTAGCTGACAATGGTATCTGCTGTATCGATGAGTTCGATAAGATGGATGACAATGATCGAACTGCCATTCACGAAGTCATGGAGCAGCAGACGATTTCTATTTCTAAGGCTGGTATCTCAACTACACTAAACGCGAGGACATCAATCCTGGCTGCTGCTAACCCTATCTATGGCCGCTACAACCCACGTATATCACCGGTCGAGAATATCAACTTGCCGGCCGCTCTACTCTCACGTTTCGATGTTCTATTTTTGCTACTTGATACACCAACTCGGGAGGGCGATGCGCAATTGGCTAAGCATGTAGCATACGTACACATGCACAACAAGCACCCCGACCTCTACGAAACTGGCGGTGACGATGCAGCACAGCATCCAAACATAGTCTTCACACCCCACGAAGTACGAGCATACGTGGCGCAAGCCCGCACATACCGACCTACGGTCCCAGAAACCGTTACCGAATACCTAACCAAGACTTACGTTCGTCTACGAGACGCGCAACGCCGCGCTGAGAAGAAGAACAAGCAGTTCAGTCACACGACACCACGAACACTGTTAGGCGTGGTGCGTCTCGCACAGGCGCTTGCGCGACTCCGATTTGATACCACGGTCAACCGAGATGATGTAGACGAGGCGCTGCGGCTTATAGAAGCCAGTAAGGAGAGCTTGGCTGCTCACGAGGCCACAGGTGGTAGAAGAACGCTCAACGCAGCTAGTCGTATCTACAACTTAGTCAAGTCGCTGGCCGACAGTGGTGCGTGCCGAGCCGAAGAGGATGAGGATGACGAGGAGGGTACAGTGGAATTAAGTATGCGGAAGGTGCGCGAACGTGTGCTGGGTAAGGGATTCACTGAAGACCAGTGGTTGAATGCGCTGGATGAGTACACGAATCTTGATGTAAGTTTTTCCAATATTCTCTATCTCCTGCGGTGATTTAAGTTACTGACATTACAAAAAAATAGGTATGGCAGACAGCGGGCAATGGCAGCAGGCTAGTGTTCATTACAGCAACGGATAATGCAGGGGAGGAAGACGACGAGTAAGGTGATTTATAAATCAGATATGAAAACTAAGCGAAGCAAAGCTCCTAATGGGCTTTGCGCCCTGGAAGTACGAGGATGAAAATAAGCCACGGCGTTATGGAACCGGGATCAATGCTATCACTGATATAACGATTAAGATGTTCTCTATCGTAGTAGCTTGCTTGTTTTCAAGCCAGTTCTTAATGTCAGAAATGAGAGAAAGCTACTTTAAGTATAAATACCTACATATTAACTATATCCTTGATTCTATATTGTGATATTACATAGGCCACCTTGATGACCTAACCTTCAAGTTCTCAAACTCCAGCAAAGGGAACCAAAGGGGCAGATAAGTCCCGATCAGTTCAATTTTGAAATAAAGAAAGGGGCATATTTCGTCTTCCTCGTAGTCAGTTTGAGTGTGATATATCTTATATGGCTACCCAGACTAAGTCACTGGTATTCCGGGGCCTCTATATATCCAAATACAGTTTATTCACCCTTACTAGACCCAGACGCTTACCTATGAGAACGCATTCCTAGATTTTACACTTGCATGTATATTAAGTAAATATCTTATATAGAAGCCCAACGGCGCGAATAAGGGCACCATCATTTACATAGAAGTGTTAAATCAGACTTGGGATTCTAGATCATCCGAGTTAACGTAATATAAAAAGGCAACATGCACAGCAAATTCCTAAGACAAGATATCCGTATACTCAACCCATACTTTCTTCAAATATATGAGCGCTATAGTCTCTCCAATACAAGGGTACATATTCCCATCATGAATACATTTCTTCAATTCAACTACAATCCCTTATTGTCCTTTATTCATTATCACGCATTACAACCAATACAAGGCATACATAACTAATGCACATCGCCGTAGAGCTTATATCATATCGTGCATATTCTATACAGGGCATATGGCGTTATATACATCCCCACCAGCGATATATCGCCGCCTAACCTCTAGAGCGGTTGTCACTTCATATAGAAGTATGAGTAATTTACACAGGCGATCTGACATCATACAGCGCAGCCCGTTCCATCTCACCGAGGATACCGCTACCAGCCAGGGTCCACTTCTCGCTGACGTTCTTCTCGTCGACGCGCAGACGAAGAATACCGCTCGCAGCCCAGTATTCCATAAGCGCGCGGGCCTCCTGCTTAGAGACACCACGGATATTCAAGACCTTGACGCCCTTGAGAGCGTCGAACACGCGTTCGTCGTACTTGGCGAAGAACGGGTCTCGAGGCGGGATCGGCTCGCCAGCCTGTGCGGCAGCAGCTTGTTCTAAAGCTTTCTCCATCGACGGAATCACGAGGGTATTTCCCTTGGTGCACACGCCCAGGATCGCCGCGCCGTTGGCGAAATTCGTCTTGCCGCCCAGCGCCTCCGTAAATAGGCGGAGTAAGCTCAGGTCATGGCTGTGGATAAGCTCAAAGGCGGGAGAGCGGTAATCGCTGATGCGCATGATGTGGCTAAGGCCGTCGAGCGCAAACATGATCGGTGGACGGCCCGGTAGTAACAGTTCCTTCCAGAAGGCCTGGAATACGGGCCAGGCAAACTCGGGTTCCTTGGTAGCGTTGGCGAGGGCGGCGAGCGTCATACCTCGGTTCACTGAGATAGGGAGGTGCATATGGTCTAGTTCGACCTTATACTGTGATAAAATGGGCTGGTTGGCCTTGTAGATAGCCTGGAAGAGCTTGACGGTGTATACGGGTTGGGAGAACTGCTCTGAATTGGGTATCGGAGAATACTCAGTCGCCGCAGTAGTTAGTTCTTGCGCTGAATGTGCAAAGAGCAGTTAGCCTTGAATTATAGCAGACCAGACTGAAGGGGGGTTTCTGTACCTTCTGGGATGTTAATTACAACCCATTTATTTAGAAACCCCGTTGCCAATCCTTGAAGTCCTAAGACACTCTTTCCCGACGCCTTATCTCCAGTAATAACCAACCTCAGAGTCTCTTTCTTGCCGACAGCATCTGTGAGTTGCTTCGCTAGATCTACCGTCTCCTTCCTGATTAACGTATGCGGCGACCGGAATAAGCCCCAAGTCTGCGTCGGCTTGAATGCCTCGCTGGCCCTTAGTTGGTCTAACACCACCTCCGGAAGGCTGAAAACCTGGCCTACAGAACCAGCATCCACGACGTTTTCGGCCGTCAATTCGCCAAGGCCTGTTACTGCTAAGGCATTATTGTTGCTAAGCTGAATGCGCTTCCGAAATGCCTTTCTCTCCCCAGATACCGGTGGTTTACCCTTATCGGCTGGTCGTTTCTTTTTACCCAATATTAACTTTTTACCGGTACGAACATGTCGTGAGAGATTTGTATCTTCCTTCTGGCCGGGTTTGGCCCTCAGTTGCGCCGAAGTGGTGAAGGCTACCGCTGATGCTGGGGTCGACGGAGCTGGTAATAATGATGCTGGCACGAGTAGCCGCTGTGAGGGCCGTGCTAGACACCTCCAACAATTCGTACTCGCCATTGCTGGTGCGGATCGAATTCGAACGTTAGTCCTCGTCGAATTTCCAACACTAGAAGCTCCCAATATCAAAATCGCAAAAAGAAGCTCCAACTAAATTTTAGGAATTGAACCTCTGATAAAAGCATATCGGTGCGGGTCACTTCCATACCCGGTACACAGGTCCATACGGATAAGATGGCGGAGAAATTAGCACTCCGATCTGCTATCGATAAGTCCGATTATGTCTGCGCTACCAGCATCTAACCAAAAATTCTTGGGAAGTGCAATTGGAACTTCATTTTTCTTTCGGTTTAACATCCCACTCACGCCATTTCAGCATTACAACACAGAGCAAAAAAGATATAATCTAGCCACACTGAGTAAATACTACTACTAAATCTACGAAAGACCTATTACCAATTCATTCCGGTCAATTCCAACCACAAAAACTTTAACAATGGCCCCGCCATCTAAGCCAAAGCTCGACGTCGCCGTCACCAAGCCAACACCCTATACCTTCGATCTCGGGCTCCTCCTCGCCAACGATCCCAACCCGCTCTCCACATCCGTCCCGGAAGAAGTCGACTCCAATGCTCTAGAAGCACAGCTCGCCGCTACCGCCCGCGACGGTGCGCAAGCCCTCATCAACCAGCTCCTAACGACACTCCCTCTTGCCGCCACCACATCCGGCGTCTTACTCACCCTCCCTCGCCCAGCGACCCCTCTACCACGTGAGAAGCCGCTGCCAGCAGCCAAGCCCCCCACGAAATGGGAGCAATTCGCCGCGCGCAAGGGTATCAAGCCCAAGACGCGCGAGCAGCGGCACGCCAAGTCCCAAAAGTACAACGAGGAGACAGGCGAATGGGAGCGCACGTGGGGCTACGATAAGGGTGGTGTTAAGAAGCGTCGTGAGGAAGGTATGGTTCAGCAGGATTGGCTCGTAGAGGTTGATGAGAAGAAGGACCGCGAGGAAAAGGCTGCCAAGGATAAGAAGAAGAGGAGAAAGGCTTGATGGACTAGGACTGTGATGCAGAGAAGTATAAATGATAAGCAGGAAGTCTAGCTATTGCTAGGAGATGCAGACTGGTGAAAATGGTAACTTGAAGGGGGGCACTCTGTTGATACCCACACATTTCGAGTCGCAATAGACAGGCGGGAGTTTTGGCGTTTCCGGCACAAGACAGCAGGTTTCGTGGGTTTGGGCATATTTGTATTGGTATTGCGGATCTTTCCACCCCAATGTATGGTACAGATTCTTTTCTAACCTTCCATATTCTAAAACTCCGTCGCTACGTTTTGTTCCACTCTCCTCCGCCCTTTCTTCCACGCAACGAAGCGTTCGCCGTGTAGCCAAAGTAGGAATTCGTTATGTTAGCACGCAGGGCGCATTGGCTATAGTAATCCATGCGCCGTTATCCAAGATCCACCACCAACTTAATTTGCTACGACATAATATGTCGGGTAGATCGACGTAGAGCGCCTAGGTAATAGTAGGTGTTATGTACTCATGTAGCAGCGTAAGGCCCATCGACTGGTTAGCTCTCTTGAAGGATCCGAGTTTGTAGTTGTTGAGAATCAAAAGACGATGCGTGCTGCTAATTCATAAAGCCTGATCGGCTCAGGGTAATCGTGAAACGCTAAGATATGAAGAAAAGTTTGAAATCGTAAACGGAGCGTAATATCGTCAAAGAGCACCGCCAAGCCAAATGCTAACCACATCCACGCCCTGGGGTATTATCAAGGCAAAAAAGCTATCATCAGATCAGGATCAACCTATCCCTACTCTCCAGTTCAGTATACCGTGACTTAAATCACCCCTTAATTATGAGAAGTTCATTGGGGAAAGAGGCTTGATAGGCGACAGCGGTCGTAATTCTCGTTCCCCGGATCGTCGTACGGCCGTATCTTGCTCGCCGTTAACAGTTAACGAATTCGACGTTGAATACTTCGATATAGGTAATCCTCCGTTTGGCTGACTCACTGGTACCGGCTTCTTTCTTATTTTCCCACCGTGGTGTTCAACAGGGGGAGCCGATAATTTGCTGCTATCAGACGAAGAAAGATTCCGATCATCACGGACATCGCCCCCACTATGGCTTTGAGACTCGGACGAGCTTAATCCACGAGGCAGTGGTTGTTGGAATAACTGATATTCCTCTTCGATATATCTAACCTCGTTCCTACACCCTTGCCAACATAATCTCCAATCGCAAACAAGGAACTTAAAACAGAATGCGTCGATTTTCATGCACGGCTGGAAACATATGCATAGATTGCGGAAGTCCATCTTATTTTTATCGGAATGTGCGAGAAGCAAGCTGAGATGACATGTGATGGCGAAAAGGAGATAATAATTAAACGGTGACAAGTTGGAGAGTTCATCAATCAGCAACTGGGGTACTTCCTCGGCGCCAGCGCACTCTCGGGAAATTCGCTCCTGGGCCTCTTTTGGGAATAGTTCGTCGGGGAGTTCACGGAGCCAGGCCTTGAACATCGAACCGATGATATTGATATCGTAAAGGTCATTCTGTGCGAATAGATCGACATCGTATTCTGTCATCGATTTAGTAAATAGTGAAACGAACCGCGGCGGGACGGGTAATTTACCTTCATCAAACTTCCTTTGCCATTTCTTAACCTGAGGGCCACTCCCAGGCACACGATAGAGGCCTTCAACCTCGGTTCCCTTAAGATTAAGATAATCAATAGCCCGCCAAGGGAAAGCGGGCATCCAAAACTCTGTCTTGTCCCGGGAATCTTCAAGTCTCTTAGATATCCTCGTCAACCGCGTCTGTTCGATCAATGGCAAATTAATAACCTTGAGAACGTAATGTTCGTCGTCCACCCCCATATCTTTATCTGACGTACTGGCGCTACGGCCGCTTCTCCCAAATAACCCTTTGCTGATCATATCTGCTGCTCGGCTACCAGAACTTTTTAGACCGTTGAAAAATGTTGAACCGTTGCTGTTACTGTCCTTAAAAGAGGAAGGATGGCTTCTATAATAGTCTTTATCGTGTCGGTGTTCTTTGTTCCCTGGGGTGTCTCGAGGAAGTGCACGGTCGGCGGAATGATTACGTATAGTCGAATTCATCATGTTTCTAAAAGACCTCTCGTAGCCATCGGGATTCATAGGGGCCGTCCTCAAAGGCTGCAGGCCTGCCGGGGATGGGTCTCGCTCAGCCTCATGTAATGTGATTGTAATCGACTCCTTTGGGCTACGACCATCGTTATCCTTCAGCGACCTATTACGACCCAGAAGCGTGAAAGGGTTGGGTTTGTTCTTTTTCGATGAGTTGGTTTCTTGTTCACTAGTGGATGCCAATGAAACATCAGATCTGGATGGCAAGGAAGGGGTTGTTTTGTGGTTCGAGGGATCGGCGGATGATAGGTCTAGATAATCAATAACGAACAAAGGATTAGCATCATGAGACTGTCGTAATACGTAACTGCACTAACTGCACTTTCTTTGACTTCCAATTCGGCGTACCTGAATTTTTAGAATTTTTACTGGATACTCTATCCGGCATGGCGGTGTTATCCGTGCCGCGGGACATAGCCTCACGCGTCCCTGCGCTGTCCGTGTGGGTATGGTAAAGCTGATTGGTAGATCTAGACGACTTCCCAAAGCCGAAAAAGCGACTACCGCTTCTCGAGTGCTTCTCGTTTTCGGGACGAGAACATGTGTCCGCAATGGTTGATACAGTATTGGAGGATGGGAGGAGAGTCAAGGGCGGGAGTTCTGGCTCGTGGCGCTGAGGAGATTGGTGTCGTCGATGTTGAGCAACATGTACGCTTTCGGGAGATTGCAGCGGCTGGGTTGGTTCAACAGGATAATCCTGATACTGCTGTGTCTGAGGCTTGCTAGGCGTGCTTGTGTTAAACTTCCCAAAGGGAGAACGAGGCGACTTGGGCGACTTAGAAGGCGATGGGGAGGTAATTTGAAGCGTAGGTTCACTCTTCAGCGTAGGGCGCGGGCTTGGTCTATCTGTTCCTGGAGCATTGGGATCTGAGTATGTAGGGGCGCTTGCGCTGGTACTGGAAGCGGAGTGCTGGCCCAAGGAATCCGAATCGTCAGCCAGGGACAACGGATTGGGGACTGGCTTTCGGCGCATTATGGATGGCATGTGTTCCCCTTATTGTCCTCCGGTCAAACACAAATCGGGGAATATCAGGGACGAGCCTGATTCGCTCTATGCCGCAGGAGGACAGGCTAAGTCGTGCGCGGTGGAATGCTGTAACAAGTATTGGGGTATCAGACGGATCGTAGGAAGGATTAGCAAAGCGAAATAAGGCAGACTTGGGTAATCTGCGACAAGAGACGCCAGACCAGGCCGATTAAGGGTAAATTTTTTAGGAGGGGAATAATGGTAACGGAATACGGGGAAAGATATTGTACAACTAAACTTTTAGAACTTGCTGACGGCGACATACAAGAAAAAAAAGAAGAAGATGACCCAAAGATCCAACCTTGAGATTTCCAAGGGAGAACTGAATTGGGGTTGAATTGAATATTCAAGATTGATTTGACGAATTGATGCCTCTGGGAGAGTCCTGGCAGCAAGTAGCTGGCAGGGGATAACAAGAGGTACCCACATCCACGGTTGTGTCGGTCGTCGTACCTGACGAGTTGCGAAAATGCGCTAGGTCTCAGGGGTTACTAAATAGTTAATACAGGTAACTACATGTAACTACATTAGGTATATAAATGTATCTACGTACATATTATTGAATGGCAGTAGCAGAAAAGCTAAAATACTCTAATGAAAGTTCGAATTTCCCGAATTACTCTTTCAGTTACATAATTTTTACAATATTGAAGTTGAGTAATCATAGTAGGTATCACAAACCTGGAATTGGCTTTGAGCTTGTTTGACTTCCGCTTACCTTTCCAAGTCTAGCTATTAGAGAAAGAAAGAGAAGGCTTAAGACATAAGATATGACGAAGTAGTGATACCCTCACTTAAATATTACTTATTATAAATCCAATTGTAGGGATATATGTAGTATTTACTGGCGAGTAAAAATGGAGGTTAGCTTGAAAATAGTACTAGTAGTGTCAGATGTTGTAAAGCTACTTGCGACATAACTTGGAAGTTAAACCTTTCAAGATTTCACTTTAGTTCAATGTTCTTTATTATTAGTAAGATATTTAGTTAAGTAATTAAAGTTATTTTTGCCTATATTGCTATTTAAGTAGATGAATATATACCTCCTAAGTTAATAGAAGATATTTCACTGATATATCGAATAACTACCTATTAAGTTTCTAAAGCAGTATGGTCTCGGTATGTTTTCATTGAGGTTCAATTGGCTTTATCAACCTATCGAACTATTGACCGTACATAACCGGGCTTGCCGGGATCCACCTTACTTCATGTATGTAAAGGCGCGTAATAAGATTTTAAATCTGAAACAGGCTCTCACGCATAACCGCACTTTCTATAATACCCATATTTTCCTCGGCGAAATGTGGCCAGACTTAGCGCTGCAGACATACTTTATTAACCTATGTTAGGTAGGCATCTACATATAACACAGGTACATAAGGTATGTAGTAGGTATGCATCGAGAACATTTGATATGCAAGTAGATCTTAGCTGAAGATTATAATGACGAGGTTATATATTATCATAGTAGCATCAATACGTATTTTATATGTTAGACATTATTGTATCTCACATATTAATTTACGTACGATAACCTCCGAGGACATCTCATGTTCCTGAGCGTACATAGGTTAGGTACCTTAGGTACCTACCTTATATGTGTAGTCTGTCTTAGTCAAATTCTAATAATAGGCTCACATAATTCACAAGGCATTCGATGGAACATCTTCCTAACAATATAGTAATTCGTTAACAGATTCAAGCTATCCACCCCGAGTACATCCTCTTCCATAATACCATGACCCTAATGATTCCCTTCTAGGTAGAGCACCGAAACCTTTTGGTCTCACATTTGAAGGGATAATATATGGCAAGTAAATTTATAACCCAAGAGGTATAAGACACTTAACTACCAGGAAGAACCCAGATAAGTTACGGCCGCCATAGTCGTATATGCGAGTCATATACCATACCATAAGCTTGGAAGCCAATAGCTTATGGTGTAGACACTACCTAGGTAGGCTAGGTTGCTGGAGATTCTTTAAAGCAAACACATCCATATGTAGATGATGCATTTGTATCAGCCATTTACAGATGTGTACATGGTACCTTAGGTAGGTACATCAGTACCTTAGGTACCTAACCTAACATAGGTCCACTGTTAAATGGAATATTTCGTATCTCATGTGGCTTAAGGTGGTTGGTTCCACTACCTACTCCAACTTGTCCCACCTGGCACGTGCTCTGCCTACAGGGCGGGAACTAATGGAACTTTGCAAACATTACAAAACATCGTTCTTCGTTCGTTACCTTCTTACATCAGTACCCATATCAGTCGCTATCACATTTAGCTTGTTACATGTCAGGGGTTCAAGAATTACCAGACGAGCTTCAGCTCGCAGCCGCGGCTCATGTCAAGTATATTCAAAGCTTAGACACAAAGAAGGATGAATATGAGTACTGGCTTACCGAGCATCTCCGTCTAAATGGACTATATTGGGGACTGATGGCGCTACATTTACTACGGCATCCCGATGCGCTCCCCCGAGACGAGGCTATAAACTTTGTCCTCTCCTGCCAGCATGAGAGCGGCGGGTTTGGTGCCGCACCGGGGCATGATGCTCACATGCTCTACACAGTCAGCGCCGTGCAAATCTTTGTCCTGCTTGATGCTTTAGATGAGTTAGAGAAGCACGGTAAGGGCAACGGTAAGGCTCAAGTGGGCAAATGTGAGTCAGCTAACTACGTTCCGGTTTTGCTCGCCGCAGCTGTCTCGTAAGAGCTAACTCAGTCTTCAGTCCTAGCGGATCTTCAAAATCGGGAAACGGGCACATTTGCCGGCGATGAATGGGGCGAAGAAGACACGAGGTTCTTGTATGGCGCTTTGAATGCTCTCTCGCTCCTTGGCCTATTACATTTGGTCGACATCAATAAAGCAGTTGATTACGTTGCTGCTTGCGCCAATTATGACGGTGGCTACGGTGTTAGCCCTGGAGCTGAGACTCACTCTGGTCAGATCTTTACTTGTTTAGCCGCTCTCTCCATTGCCGGGCGTAAAGACTTAATCGACGCCGATAAGCTAGGCGGCTGGCTCAGTGAAAGACAGGTCGCCTGCGGTGGCCTAAATGGGAGACCGGAGAAGAAGGAAGATGTGTGCTACAACTGGTGGGTACTGAGCAGCTTGGAAATGATCGGCCGCACACATTGGGTTGATCGGGAAAAGCTCATAAAGTTTACCCTGAGCTGTCAAGACAGCGAGCGCGGTGGACTATCAGACCGACCTGGTGACATGGTTGATATCTGGCACACGTTCTTTGGCCTGACTGGCTTAAGCTTGCTAAAGTATCCAGGCGTGGAAGCTATTGATCCTGTCTATTGCCTACCAAAGTACACTATAGATCGTGTATTTGGCAGAGCAGGATAACTGCACAGCAACTTCTAGCAAATATCTGCTCTGGTAATCTAATCACGCACCTCTGTCCTACATGTGATTTTCTTCCTTTTCTTCTTTCTCTTTTATTTATTTCTTCTCTCCTCGAGGCCTCGCTCATCAATAGATGGCCAATACTATCTCTTAATGTCTTATTGAGTCCGGCCAGAGGCTGGTTAGAAAAACATCTCTTGCAATCTAATAACCTACTAACGTAAGTCTAAATGGTAGTTAGGATACAAGGCAAGAGTAGAGAGATCCCGAATGTTTCCCCTCTTACTCACAGTTCATTTCACCATAACTAGAGTCATAAGGGTTGCACTCGGACATTTCATACTTAGGTATTAATAGAAGCTTCATACATTCTAGCTTCCATCTCAGGAATTCCAACGTTTTCACAATTTACAATATATCTCCTATTCTACGATCTTTTCATATTTACGTAGTCCTCTTTCGAATTTCTTCTCCACTTTACGATCAGTGCAGCATGTATCTTTAGGCCTTGGCTGTCCGCTTTACGACTAGTCACCAAGCCAGAGACCTTCATAATACCGGAATTAATAATATCGAGATGATCAGTTTGCCTATTTGCCCTTATATAACATCCAACACGTGGTATCTTTTCAATATTATGTACTCTGACCTGACTGGGTATGGCTATTCGAGTTATGACCCGCGCGACCCCAGAATAATTATGTGCCCCTGTATACGCACAATATTACATTATGCGGTGTCCTTCTTTCTCTGTCCGCAGTAGAAGCCAAGTCCATAGTCATCCGTAGTAAAAGTGATCTTTGAGCCCTTGGGGAAATAGAAAACATCGCCAGGTACAGCGTGCACTTTGTTGCCTGCCTCATCGCTTATATCAAAGCTACCCTCAACGATTACCTTCACTATAGACATATTAGTCAATTGATCACTTCTGGAGTTTTTATCAGATGAAGCTTACTCTCGTGATACGTATACTCGTATACAAGCGGCGTCCCCTTCTCCAAACGGTAGAACCCGGCTGAGATAGGTTTCGCGGGGTCGAGGTTCTCGCTTTTGTCTGGTTAGAGGAGAGACATGTGACGGCTTAAGGCACAACTTACGACGTCGAAACATCGCCTAGAAATGCATTATCGTTTGCGATTAGCGGCGGCTTGGTACTCTGTGCATTTGAATAATAAGACATTGGAACAGGACCTTCTGGGGTCGAGCCCGTCTTTGATTTGGCCTTGCTGATAATAGATCCCATCTTGTAAATCGATCAACAGGTATCCCAAGATGAATTATCTAACCTAGTGATACTCGAATATTTAGAAAACACTGTCTATATAAGCTTCTATCTATACTATCGAGATATCTACCTAGGCTTCGTATCCCGAACTCGGCCGCAACATCTTTCTCCACTAATACGATTCACCACCTCCGGTCAGGAGATAACAGAATACCGACTTACATTTTCTTATAGCACAATGCGAACTAAGATGGGGAGCTTTCAACTGGCTCCTTTCCTGTTTACGGTCTGATCAATGTCTCTGGTTGGGCGCGCGTCCCTGCATTATCTTGTCAAGCTCCAAGATCCGCATCCTATCTACCCCAAATTTAGGTACTCATCCCGATTGGACGGAGTTGGACGGGGATGGTTCGGCATTGTACGCAGATAAGCTACCTATATTCTACCTGCGTCCTCGAATGCGGAGTTCGTGATCGCCGCTACGTTCCGCTAGCACTATCACTTTGGGACTCTGGGATATTGGCCTGTACATATCTTAGTATCGCCACTCAACTTCCCCCGCATGCATCCGGATTGGCTTCCACCTATATCTTTATGTAAGATAATATTGCGAATTTATCTACTATAATCGAGTTATGTTTTTAATTAGTTAATAATATTTTACATGTTTGATGTCAAGGGAGCCCCACCTAGGAGCTGAATAGAGAATGATGGTTAACCATTCAGAGTTAAGTAGCGTGATTACAATGCTCATCCAAGTCTAATCACTCCATCAGGCCCGATAACCTCGAAATGTCCATCTCCAACAATTCCTAAAGATTTTAGATTGAGAAGTACTAAGGATGATCGAAAGTCTGCCCTGACAGCTAACCGTTCGCCCTCGGCCTCGCGACCTTCTTTTGACGTCACCAACAGGCAGGTCTTATCTTCCACAGTCTGTTCATCGAGAATAACTAGATGTTCAGAGAAAATACCCTGCCTGACTGGATCGAAATGCTCACGAGAAAACTTAAAGACGTCTTCAATGCCCCAGCCGTGGAAAGGGTATGAAGCTGGTTTCCCTACTGGCGCTCTCGTAGGTTTTTTGATAGCCTCGACGTCGAGCGTATCGACTAATACAGCTATTTAATCATAATTAGCATGGTCCTAAAGGGAGTTTATTTTGAACGGGTGGGACCGTTCTCAAGCACATACCAATCCAATCTACACCCTCAAGCTCTGGCGCACCTAAGCTTTGCGAAAAGAATTCGTCTAACGTCTATTAATTTCTGATTAATTAATTGACGAGCTTCCTAGTAAGTTTCACAAACTTCTTCAGATATAGGGGCTGTGCAGAACACTGGGATGGTATCTTGCAGTCTGTCTGGGTTTGTCATATTTAGCGAATTGTTGATTAAAAAGTTGGGCAAGTGAAGTTTTAGGTGACTAGTTCGTTCGTGTGATAGGATTGAGTTATATCGGATATTTTTTTTAAAACTCTTGGTAAATTCATCAGGTCATGTGATAGGTGCTGTGATATAATCTCAACGTTCGGTTATGAGATGAGAGGACCTTTAACACCTAAGTAAAATGGCAATTTTCCATATTACATTAGGTAGCTATTCATCTGCCTTTCCTATGTTGTATGGATGGATTATCATCATATCTCTCATCTATTATACATGGTATCTAGGGAGCATACGGCGCCGTGAGCGAACCTCTCTATATAGGGGTAAAAGGATTTACACATCCTAGTCCTGTGAAGTTGCCGTAGGAACGTAAAGGGGTTAGGTCACTGGCGGGAGAAGCATGTGTCTACGATCCGAAATTGGAAGAAACAATAAGTGTTAACGACCTTAGATGTGCTATCCGCTCTCTAGCATTGGCATTATATTTCTGATTTTTTAAACTATACCTACTTGATTTATCCATTTCAGGTATAGAAGGTATGTAATTCGTTAAAAACTGACCCTTTACCTACGTAGTTTGGGATAGGGGTATTTTAAATAGATTAAAGAATTACTAACATATGAACTGAAAACCAGAGGAGGACTTGTCTTGTTCGGACTTATTTGATATTAGGAAGTGGAGACTGTACAGAAGTAGAGTACTCTCTGGGTTAGCTACCTCTTATCAAATATAACACCATATCGTAGACTCTAATCGAACGAACTATTGGTATAGTTCTTCAAATCCCCATATAGCCCTTGCATTATTTCCGGCTCAGAGGTACCATTTTCTTAGCATTGGAATCGCTGTTGCTTCACCCAGTTGCACATCACCTGGCCTACACAACCGCAACACTTGCACGCCTATACCACCTCATTAGCATAGTATATAGAAATTAAGGTTCCTGTAGCCCGCCTTACCTTTTTGGCTCGCTCGTCATTATTCGTCCCGCCGATACATGATAGTGTTTGGTTGTCTCTAAACCGAAATTGATTGTAGCAGGCATTAGCGTTGATGACATCGGCGCAGTCATCTGTTGCCGCAAGCTCCCGACTGCATTCAGGAACTTGCTGGCCTAGAATCAAGGAGAAACAGAGTGATATGAGTGCGAAGGAGACTTTCATCGTGAATATCGTGAGGTTATTATTTCTCGAAATGATTATTTATATACCTGGAAATGAAATTTAAGGTTGTCTGACAAGTTTAGGTATTTACAATAGGAATTGAGAGCATTCTATGAATGAGCTAGATAGTATCAGAGAAGATATACTAGCTCTTGGATAACATTTAAAACTATGCAAAGTCTCGGTGTGGTTTAATTACCACTTTAGCCGGACATACCAGTTATGATTGGAGCTGCAGCGCCGAGCTTCATGAGGTAAGAGATAACTAAGAATTGATCGTCTGCCATCATTCGCCAGGAATAGTAACTTCTTGATATTATATGACAACTATAGTGCGGGGATTGTAAAGAAAGGGGGGCGGGATTAATGATTCCGGTCTAATAAAAGATATCCCAACACATAGGTCTACTGTAATCTAGGCAATATTTATTTCAAATTTTGAAGTTTCATTGAATTCTTGTCCACGGGCTATTGTTCCCATCGGCATCTATAAGTTTCTAATGTATAAGAACTCGTGTGGCCTTACTAAACCTTACCAGACATGGTGATGGAGTTATACATATATTACCCCTGTTTCCGGTAGAGCACAAGATGGTATGGAGTGAGGAATAGGGGGGCCTAATACGAACAGATGTACATATTTTAAAAGGGACTGGAAATATTATCTACCGAGTGGACATCAGATTTAACTTTAAAAATGCGTCACAAGTGGTAAATGACTGGACAAGGCCGCTCGTCGTCTGTCTACCGAAGCTCTGGGCAGTGTTAATCCATGCTCAAGTCCCGAACCAGTAACCCTTCTCCACATTAACCGGAATCAAAGCTAGACGGGTTCGCCTATCGAAATGCTCTCCGATATTAATGAGTAATATCCTCCGAGACCGAAAATTAAGCTGGGTTTTCTGCCGGGTGTGGGTGAGACGGCAGTGGTTTACGGAATGGCAGGCAATCGTCATGGCTAAGACCATAATTACCCTTTTGCCTGTCCCTTTCTAACTTCGATTTTTGGTTCAAGGTCCAATACTAACTCTGAATCAACAGTTTGGGAAGTAAGATCAAGATGCAGCTTAAAATTTTCGCCGCAGCTTTGGGGCTGTTTGCGCCTGCGAGCGCACTGCTTCGATTCGGCTGCTCGAGTTTGACCGTCCAGCGCCTAGATCCCTTGGTCAACCCAGGCATGAATCCATCTGCTCATCTCCACCAGATCATTGGAGGCGTATGTTTATATTTATCGAAATTGATATTCTATATTAGTGACTAATGATATAAAGGATTCTTTCAATGCATCTATGCCTCCTGAGACACATGATCTCGCCGCGCTTTCGACTTGTACCACCTGTCAGTTCACAGAAGATCTCTCTAACTATTGGACTGCTGTCATCTTCTACCGTGGCAAGAATGGTACTTTCAAGAGGGTCCCGCAGATGGCCCAGGCAGGCATGGAAGGCACCCAGGGCGGCATGGTGAGCACGGATCGAGCGTAATGAGTTTATAATAACTGTCTAACTCACTACAAAGGTTGTTTACTACATGACTGATGCCCTATTCGACACTGCCCAAAAGTCTACTGTCACAGCTTTCAAGCCTGGCTTCCGTATGCTTGTTGGCGACTCAACTTTCCACGACCGCGAGGAAGCCAGGAAGTGGCGTCAGTTAACTTACATCTGTATGGAGAATCAGGGTACTCGTGCCCCAGAGAGTATCGGTTTCCCTACGAGGCCTTGCCCTGGGGGTATAATGGCGAACCATCGCTTCCCTACGTGAGTATCTTACACGTATGTATGTTGAAATGATCTGACGCAGTGTAGTTGCTGGGACGGCAAGAACTTAGATTCCCCTAACCACCAAGACCACGTCGCGTACCCTGAGAGTGGTACTTTCGAGTCGGGTGGCCCGTGTCCCTCTACGCATCCGGTTAGGCTTCCTCAAATACTTCTTGAGACGATGTGGGATACTAGAGCCTTCAATGACCCAGCAGACTTCGCCGACGGCAAGCAGCCCTTCGTCTGGGCGACAGGCGACACCACTGGTTATAGCAGCCATGCCGACTACATGTTTGGCTGGAAAGATGATTCCCTCCAAAAGGCCATGGATGGACACACGTACGTGTCTGCTCCGATGCTCAAGACACAAAGTATTTCCCAGCAGAACAAATGCAAAGTTCCCGACATGGTAGGGGAGGATATCGATAGCTGTAAGTAACGCGATATGCTTGTTTTCAATAATTGGGTTTCGATTTCTAATTTTTCATAGGGTTGACCAACCTACCCGGTGCAAATCCCGTGGTGTAGGAAGCGATTTGTAGGATAGCTATGGGTTATGGGCTGCGGACAACTTTGCGCGTCACCCACATATCAATTAATGTTCTTATTAATCCACTAAATCCTCGAAATATTTTTCTTTGTTGATTTATCAATTATGATGCGTTCCTAAGGTTGCTTAGCTTGGTGTATTCCGATTTGAAAACTGTAGTGACATTTACGTACCTGTGTACGCACCTCGAGGAACAATGCACGTTGACTAAACCTGTACGCTTTATGATTGGTTTAATTCTCACTCTTACATATCCTCAACCTCATATCTCTTTGTAAATCAGAAGGACATTAAAGAAGATGGTGTACGTATCAAGATATTTGTAGAGGCACGCCAGTTATTTTGATGCCTTTCTGTGAACTTTGCAGGTGACAATGTAATAATTCTTTATGCCAGCCTATCTTAGTGTCTGAACCCCTATTTTAGTACTGCTGTTACGAATACTACTGTTTGTAAATTTTAACTGGATATTAAGTCATTAGCACCTATTGTTCAGAAATCAACAACAACACATATGATAAGATAATAGATTCAAGAAAATGCTAGCTGACCTAGTTACTTGAATTACGGAGAAAATATACGGGGAATCATAGTCACAATAAAGTCCCGAGGGTAAGAACTATGAACATATTAAAGAAGCATCTTACCTGGTAGGTAGGTACATACTAGATGACTGGGGGATCTATGCTAATTAGGTACATAAGATATATATGTAATTCTGAATAATCTAAACGTGCTAATGGTTTTAGTTTAATTTACTAGGTTAGTAGCTTGTTAGAACTCCTTAACCATGATAGACTTTTCGAAGTCAAATTTCTACAGCTGGCAGTACTATCGTACGGCTTAGTACCAACCTTAGGTAATGTAGTGTCCTAGGAATTTATTACTGTACAATGTGTGAAGCTAATATAATATTATTTTTCTTAACTTATGTAATTGATTAAATAGTTGCCTTGTATTATTTGCCTTAGGTACCTATGTAGGTAGGTCCCCTTCAACCTTTAGTTCCTTATGAAGATTTGGTTTAGAGCCTAGCAAAAATAACTGAGTCCATCAACATCGCTACCTGATATCTTCATGCCTTACAACAGCCAACGAAATTTTCCAACTTCGAGCCTCTTCTTTCCTCGTTGCTAGCCTAAAGCGGTAGTTATGATACTTACATCAGAATCATGCAATTCCCTCTAGTCCCAACATTCCCCTTTTATTGTTTATTTTTTTTACAACACTATTTTGTTGTCTTAGTTGCCTTGGTACCAAACTTACCTACATGTAGGTATCATCTTCTGGAAACGTGGTTGCCTCACCCCCTTCGTGCCTTCCTCATAAGGTACCTTACCTAACCTACATGTATGTACCTACCTACATTGTAGTTTCCAAGGTTTCTGTATCAGATCAGTATGCACACAAGCACAGGCCACATTATCTTTCAGTGTAAGAGATACCTAAAAAGACAACCTAGAATTCCCTTTTGCTTCTGTATTTTTTCTAACTCGAGTACATACCTCCATTGAGTTACGTAAAATCAGGTACATAAATGCAAGTAATACATGTATGCATCATGGTTGATGTAGGATCAATTGGAAGCAACGACGTTGATTAGGAAAGCACCGTACCTTACGTACTAGACCACTTCATACATTTTACCAAAACATTGGCAATCGCTATGTGTTGAATTGTTGAATTCAGCAGTAACCATCCATATAACGTAACGTCCTCCTCCCTCGCACTACGACAATTTTTATTTCCCAGCCTCTACCCCTTCTTCACCTTCTACCAGGTAGTTCCACCTATCAAACAACATAAATCAACTAGGGCAGATGTCTACACATCCAACCGCCTTATCTTCCTCAAGTTACACAGGGCTGATTTAGGAGTCAACACCTTCTTCACACTTCCTGCGGAAAGAGTTCATAACAACCGGAGTAAGTAACCACTCAAGATCGTTGGATTTCTTTCTAGTATTCTCCTTTGAGATGCCTCAATTCTTGGTATCTTAATTCACAAAGCACAATACCTCTTCCTCTTCCTCTTGCAACTCCTCCGAAGAAGTCATTCTCACTCTCCTAATCTTACCCCATCCTCCACCATTTTTACCTCCCGTTATATTATCATCTATCTGCCTTATACGAAAAAAAAATTCTATTCCGAATCGCAATCACGAAATTTGATCACATATCACCGCACTTCCATATTCCAGCCATACTCTGACAAGCAGCCATTTGCAATATTAGGTCCCCACATCCTCATTCGATTCTCACAACGCCTCAAATCAGTGTGATACCCCAATTTTGCCTTGGCCATATCACTCTAATTCATCCAATATATCCTTCGTTCATTTGAGTGACCGCTTTTCTACCACCTACCCAACGCCTCCCTACATTTCCCGGACGGCCATAATTCGCCTGGAGACCATATCATTGGAGACTTGAATTGCTCTACGCCATCTACAAGCGATAGAAGATTTGGGTATATCACTGATAATTAAATACAGCAGCCTTGACTCGACCAGGGAATCAGCCCCTCTAGTTAAGATATAGGACGACAACTTAACCGCCAAATAGATCCGAATCCTACTTCTTGACCAAGGTCTTGGCATCTAGATTCTGCATACCCACCTTGCGACACAATACAACACCGGTAGTTTGATACAACTACTGATTGATCTATCTCAGGATCAGCTAATAATAGCTGGGAGAATTAATATTTAGTGTTATTGACGGCCTTATTTCACGAATTCTCGATACTTGTTACCGTGATTGCGGATCCCCCAAGGCTATTAGCAAAGGCTCAATAGGAAGATTCGTTGAATCCCTTTCCCTTGCAAGCGCATTGGGCTGATCTTTCGTCTGGTTGCTATTAGCAGCTTGGAGTTAGATATCAACTCGTGTTTGATCCAGGCAGGGCCTTTTAGGTATGTAGAACTTCTAAGTTTCCCCCCATATCCAAACTTTGAGGAATCGCTCCTCGGGAAATCCAACTGCTTCATTTCCCTTGTGAATTTGACCTTTAGGACCTGGGGTGCTCCTTGCTTAGGATTCGTTTTCTCCCTTGGTCTGGTCCGCTCTTTTCTTAGGCACTGCCTTTTGACCTTAGCAGCCTACTCTCTCCGTTTTCCGTCCAAAATTTTCTCAATTTACCTGGAATCATAGAAATATATATGTATATCTATGGTGTTTGTAATGGCCTATGGCTCATTCCCCGGTACACGATATGGCCTCAAAACTACTTTTGATGACCTTATTTATCACCCCAATGTTCATCAAACATAACGATAACAGCTAAACTATATTACAAGAGCTAAATCGCTGACTCGTTCGTTTTATAGGAAATGGCATCCTACTCGCGCCAAGCCTACATTGCTGAGGACCCTGGTGGGGTCCTCCGTGATATCGAAGTCGACGAAGAGGCAATGATACCGCATCGAGTCGACCAAGGAGGCATCCCACTCGTCTGCTACGCTTGTGAAAAGATTCCAACATTCTCTGACCTTTCTCATCTGATCACCCATGTCAGCTCAAAGGCTCACCTACTGGAGCTTTACAACCTACGCATCAAGAGTTATGGCAACGAAGCATGCGCTGCTCAAGCTCGCAAGTTCGAAATCTGGAACCAGACATACAACATTGACCAGTTGGTTCGCCAGCGTATGGAGGCAAGGGATGAAAAAGGTATCCAGCCACAGCGACGTGGCCATACTCAGAGAGACGAGGCCTCTGGTCGATCGACGGCACGTCGTGGTGCCCGCGGTACTCGTGGACGTCGCGGAAATGCAGTAAGTATTTCTCTGACTTAGTGGCGAATTAATTTTCTGACGTATTATGTGCTACAGAACTCCCGTGGTCGTGGTCGCAAAGTTTCTGATCTTACGGATATCAAACACGAGCCAGATGATGGCATGAGCTTTGGGGATGGCTATGAAGACCTACAAGGCTCTCCAATTCATTCATGGCAATCTAACCTTAATCCGCTTATGTCCCAAGAGGGTGATCTAGATCTGATACCACAGGGAAACTTCGAAGACTGGGGAGATGAAGAGGATCTCGTAAAATATGAGTCATCGGAGGCTGAAAGCTCCTACCCGTCAGAGAACCTCACCGAGGTCACAGAGGTTAACGAGAACGATACGGGTAGTCTTAGTCTCAAGGGTGTGGTATATCCTGGCATGGGTCTCTTTGATGCCGCTAAGGAGGAACAGCGGCGTAAGAGAAACCAGCGCAAGCCTCCCGCGGTTCTCCTGCAACTGGAAATCAACTCCACAATGGTCACAACGCAAGAAGATGTATATGATTTAAATCTCGACTACCAACGATCTAGGGATGTTTATGATGATCCATCCATCGATGGGAGCGAGGTAAGTGGAGAGGAAACTGCAGCTTAGTATGAGAAACTCGCTAACATACATTTTGAGGATGAGGACGACGTAGAGAGAAAGCCCAGACGTCGAGGAGCCCAAGCCCATGCAACGTCAGTTTCCAAGAGGGCAAAATACCGTGCTTCATCTCGCGATACTCGCACCACACGTACTACTCGCGCAGCAGCACAGGCTGCACAACGGTTCACATCAACAGAAGACTTCATTCAGCCAGCGCACAGTCGAACTTTGAACGCCGGGGGGAGGATTTCGAGATCTGCTTCAAATTGCGGTTCAGTGTCACAGGGCCAGCTGCCCCTTCATAATCATGGGTTTCAGGGCGAAAATAGCATGATCCACGATCCTTTGGTTCTGGATAGTGACCTAGGTTGGCTGCTATCCCAAAATTTTGCCGGTGACACTCCGGCTGACATTGAACAGCAGACGTTGCCGACACCCCCCCTGGTCGACGAAGGCGACAGTGAGTCATTAACAATGTCCCAATTCGCGTATGATGGGCTCACATACATTGACAGTCAAGACCGTTTACCCGGCCTTGCCTTACGACCAGGCAACCCGAATCTGTCGTTCGCATCTCCAAGCCCTAGTCTCAAACGACCCTCATCGCATTTCCTCGGGAAGGAGAATGATAATTTAGCACGAAAACCGCCGGTCGCATCCTCGAACCCCTATTTCCAGTCCATCAATTCTAATCACAACGAGAGCTATAACCCGCTCTATGTCCAACCTCAAGACGGACTTGCATTTCGCATGTACGATACGTATGAAGAGGACGTAAAGCCGGTAGCAAGTTTCCACCCTGTCAATGGTCACGAAGGGTTCAACTCTTTACAGATGCAGGTTCATCATAATGCAACAACGTATGCTCCCAACCAGACCGGTGCTGACGATTTCGACCTTTAGAAGATTGCAGTTATTTGGTACGACCTACACGTCTCGAGTCGTAGGCTAGGGAATGCTACTTATGTTCTCTTAAACGAATTAAGCAACGCATCATCAATAGCCCCGAACAAATCATTCTCTAAACTTTCGAGAGTGGGAAAGTTCCCAATCTTAAGGTAGTAAAGGCACTGGTACGTTCCCTCTTTTTGGCAAGGACTAGTGCCTGTGATGGTATTCATGGCATTCCATGACTTCGCGATCCTAACCATAATCATAGGCAAATCATAGGCAAATCATATTGGAGCGTATAGTATTACTATCGCATTTTTGCAACTCGATTGGACGTCTTATCGACCCATAGTTGGCCGTTTGACTGTTTCTTTTAACGCCGTCGGTGTACATACTCGGCCCCGAGCCCATTGTTAAGACCATCATTTCTCCCTTCACCACCCCTACTTGCAGGACAATAGGCTTCGGCTATTTTATTCGCTAACTTTTAACCTACCGCACGCCACGGATGAGTTAGATTCGAGAGTGAAGATTTTCCGCCCTGGGTATGGTGGGCTCATCCCAGGATTGGGGCAAACTAGGTATCGACCAAGGCATCGTAGAGCCGCGGAGTTAGGTTGATGGGATGCAAACAAGAGACTCTGCATTATTCGATGATGATTCACGACTATATTAGGTCTAAAGGGTAGACTATCTTAACAATTTTGGCAATGGACTCACATATTTATTATTAATACGGGCTTGTTGTACATTAAGTGATAGCTGTTATTTAGACTACCACACGTTCTATTACATAAATTGCAATGCATTCCACCAAAATGAAATGACGGGCTCTAAGAGTATCGGCATCATTGAGGGGTTTCTAGAGTTGCTCAATACTCGATACAAGATGATCTAACTGATCAGGTCCGTTCCCCAATACATCGGCCAGGAGCCTTGTTGCGCCATTCAACCTACGTATTTTGATCGTTTCCTCGAGTTCCTTAGACTTTCTTGCTGCTACATCCAGCACTTTCCGCGGAATGCGAGCTAATCTCGCTACGTTTAGACCATAGGACCTATGAGCCATGCCCTCACCCACCTCGTACAAGAATGTGATGTCATCTTCTTCTCCATCTCCATCTTCGTCGTTACCTTCGGCTCGCGCTTCCTCGCCATCAATGCCGCGCTTGGTGGCGGTAAAGCGCATGTGGACGTTCTTGCAGCGGCCGTCGAGGCCGTCGGCGACGCGGGCTAGGTTCTGGTAGTGGGTGATGAAAAGGGTGAGACAGCGGGTATCTTGCACGACGTGGGTGAGTACGGCGTGGGCAATGGCGGCGCCGTCGTGGGTGCTGGTGCCACGACCGAGCTCGTCGAGGACGACTAGGGAGCGCGGGGTCGCGGCTCGGAGGATACGTGCTGTTTCGGAGACTTCGACCATAAAGGTGGATTCGCCGGCGAATAGGTTGTCGCGAGCACCCATGCGCGTGTAGATTGCGTCGGCGAGGGTTAGAGTCAGAGACGAGGCGGGTACGAAGGAACCGATTTGTGCTAGGAGTACGAGTAGCGCGACGGCGCGGACGAAGGAGGATTTGCCGCCCATGTTGGGTCCTGTGATTAGGTGGGCGAGGGGTGTTGGGGAAGATAGAGTCGTGCTGAAGGGGATGTAAGATGTTGTTAGAGTCTGCTCTGCGATGGGATGTCGGCCTTCGCTGATTGAAATGGTTGGGGGTGAGTCGGATGGGAGAAATGTGGGTTTGGAGTAGCCGGGGAGGGCGGCGACCTTGGAGAGGGAGAGGAGGCAGTCGAGGGTGGCAAGGGAGGAGACGGCGTCGCGGAGTGGTTGGTAGTCTAATGCGATGGCCTCGAGTAGAGAGGTGAAAGCTACGTCGCAGGCGGCTGATAGAGCCTCCTTGCGCTGGTCACGCTCCGAGATGAGGCGGACGACATCTGGTGTGTGGAAACGCGATAGCTTCTTCGTGCCACTGATCTTGAGCCAGGAGGCGGGGACGCGCTTAAGGTCGCCATTTGGTACCTCAATAAGGTACTCAATGCCGGCGACGGTAACGTACGGTACGGGGGACTTCTTGCCAAGAGTTAAAGCAGCTAACTTGCGGTGAGCATCCAACTCCTGCTCTACAGACGCGATACCTAGTTTGTGCTCGGTGATAGCGTCTGTTTCTTCACTCTCGCGGAAGAATGCGTATTTATCGTCCCGGCGGGCTGCCTCGGCACTGATGCGATCGAGATACGACAAGACGGTTGGCAGTATAAGTGGCAGTGAGGAGATGGCGGAGCTAATTGCTTCTGCTGTGAAGCCCGTATCTTCAGATGACTTCACCTTCGTGAATTCCATTGCTATCCTTTGAAGTGTTTGAAGAACCGCTAAGAGCTCAGGGCGAGTACACTTTCCATAGTATATACGAATTAGACTTCGCTCGAGGTCCGTCCTAATACTCTTTAATAAATGCTCTAGTTGGTCGACCTTGGCTGTCGAGGCATTCTCGAGTAGCTCCTCGATAGCGGCTACCCTTTCTTCAAGGCGCTCCTTGTCTAAAAGGGGCCGACCAATCCATTTTCGAAGTAGCCTCTGTCCAAAGCGAGTCAACGTCTTATCCAGGGCCCAGAAAAGACTGCCCTTTTCGGTGTGGTCAGTTTGATTGCGATACACCTCAAGGCTCTCCAAGGTTGTGCCATTGATCAACATGTGCTGACGAGCAGTGAAGGACTGGAAATATTTGGTTAAATCGAATATATGCTCGAGACCGTACTCTTTCAAATGGTTGATCATAGAAGATAAGCAGATGGTGACGGGTTCTGGTAATTTGAGGACTTTGTCGAGAAGAGCGCTAGCCTGCTCATTATTACCTTCAGAAGCCTCCTTTAGTTTAGCGGAGTAGAACTGAGCGACATGCGAGTAAGCTTCAGCAGCAATTGTCTTGGACTTAGGAATCCTTTCAATTCTGCTTCGATCGCCAAATACGTTGGTAGCGCTGCCCGATAAATGCTGAAGGAGCTTGTCCGTAGCTTTAGAGAGATCACCAACGATGAGAAATTCGCACGGCGAAATATGTAGGAGTCTCGTTTCGATTTCGCTTCTCATGAAACCATCTTCGAAGTTATCATATATGATATCGCCGGTCGCGGGCTGTACTGCGATGATACCAACATCGACCTTCTCGTCAGTACCCCATCCTTTGGCTTTTGTCTCCGTGATACAGAGGAGATATCCGCCTGCTGGAGCTCCTGAGTTATCTCTCTGGTCCAGCTCCCCAATCTCGTCAACGTAGGTTCCCTTAGTGTATACATTGGTAAGCTTTCTTGTGAAGGGTGCATTGCGATTATCGCCGGCTTTCTTCAACGCTGCGGTCTCGATTTGGCGAACAACACCAACTTTGTGACCAGCCGCGACTAACCGTTTAGCGTGTACCGGTAGCCGGTGTACGGGAATACTTGCAGACGCGAATCTGTCAAGATGTGCTTCAGAGGGGTGCTCGTCGTATCTGAACTTTCCAGGTATACAGACTATACTAAGCTCCTTGGCGGCAATACGAGCATCTTCGCCAAAGAACTTGAACTTGTATCCCACTTCAACAATCAATATGGTGTCCATATGCTTTCTCTTGATGTCCAAAAATTGTATTTCCATTGGTGTAAGCTTCCCTGTCTTGGCTCCCTTCTTCTTGCCTTTCGTAGGTGGTGGCGGAGGTTCTTCTTCTTCGCCATCTTCTGCGTCCTCGGCCGCAGCTTGTGTTTCGTCATCTCCCTGCCCAGTTCCACGTCTGCCATATGCCATACTATCCGGACGTCCAAGCTTCTGTACAAATTTACGGTGAAGCTCTTCTTTTCTCCGCTTCTCGGAAGCACTATCTTCCTTCTCCTCCTCGATTGCATCTTCTCGAGAGGTTGAGCCGTTGTATATATAACGTTCCGTACGAGTACCCGGTCTGCTTAGGGCTAAGGTAGGAGATCTAGCAGTTGAGCTTTCTAACTCGTCATCCTCATTTTCTACATCGGTAGCTTTAGACTTTTTCTTAGGGGGTGTATTATTCCCATTATCGGTGTCTTCTCGGAGCGGTCTCTTTCGGGAGCTATCAGGGGTATTATTGGGGCTCTCGGCATCTTGAGTCTGGGGCTTTCGGAGGGATGTAGCTAGACCATTAACGGTCCTCGGGGTGAAAAAGTTAGTGAGAGACTGCTGCTTTTTCCCTTTGGGATGGCTGGCCATTCTGGAGATAGTAGCAACTTAATGTCGCTAGTAATGCAAATTGTCAATGGTGGTTTGAATTTTAGAAATAAGTCGTCATAAAGTTGAAGACGGGACGCGTCTAAGAATCAGTAAACGCGTTAAGTGTTCAGCACAGACCATCTTCTAGAGTTTCTGCTTCAGGGGAGCTCCTTGCCAATCTCCACTAAGCCACAGGATACATGAGTGCCCCGTACCGCTATATACCGCTAAATACCGCTAGGGGAAGGCTAACCCCCACGCAAATTCAACCTAATACACCACAACCTCTTTTCTACAGAATACAACTTCTTCACATAATCATTCATCACCCAGGTTTTCATACTGCTATTGACATGAAAAATATGAAATTAATCTATATAACCTAAATGTATCCTCTTCAGACGTCTATCCTATCCAACCTACTCTATTTTATTACTAAGAAACAGTTTTCCGAAATCCCACTAATTCGATCCAATCTTTATGTCCTGAACTCTTCTATAGTTCAGCTTCATTGCCGTTGAATGCGATTATGTTGGGGCTTCCGTTTGCATTCTGCACCTTGTCTCGTGTTCCGAGGTCAATTAGGCGACTGGTGACCTTTTGAGCACCTGAAATTGACTCTCGCGACATCAAGTACGTCACAAGTCCGGCGACGTGAGGACAAGCCATACTGGTTCCGCTCATGGCGACATAATCCGAGTCACTATCCATCCAAGCTGAATAGATGTCGCTTCCCGGGGCGAATATGTCCACACAACTTCCCCAGTTAGACCAGTCTGGTCGATTGTCCGTCTGATCAATAGCTGCTACCGTGATTGCTTCCGGTACTGCTGCCGGGCTGTATGTGCATGCGTCGACACCATAGTTGCTAGCCGCTACTACTAATGTCATACCAGTTGCAACGGCATTCTTAACAACGTCGTCTAGAGCCTGGAATCTGGGGCCACCTATCGACATATTGATTACAGACCGATCGATTTTCCCCTTTGTTTGAGCATCGTTCACAGCTGGTAGATGTTAGATTCTGTCATTGGTGTTCTCTCATTCGTAGCGACTTACCCCAGTCTATTCCGGCAATGATTCCAGACCAGCTTCCAGACGAGTCTTTATCCAGAACCTTCACTCCGATGAGCATAGTACTATTGTTCACTCCAACCGTGTTGCCGCCGACGGTTGCAGCTGTATGAGTTCCGTGCCCGTTGTCGTCAATATCCTTTGGCAAATATTAGCAAATGTTATAGGAAGCTTCGCTAGTGCATCTTACCTGAGCCCCGTTGATGAAGTTCTTTCCAAATGTAGCACGTCCTCCAAATTCCTAGCTTAAGTCAGTCACTAATGTCCAATATTTATTAGATTGAATGTGGCTTACCTGGTGAGTCACGCGAATTCCGGTGTCTAGTATGTAGGCATAAGTTGGAGATTCAGTAGTACGGGCGACATCGTCTACGTAGGTCTCAACACCGGGGTCCCGATGAGAAATTCGACCCAAACCCCAGGTATCAGTCTGGGGGTCTGATCTAGGAGCATTGCGAGAGATAGCTGCTTGAGCAGTCACACGGCCATCTCGAGCAACGTATGAAACCTTATACCAGTTAGAATAACTTTATTGGAGGTGTATAATTGACTTACCAGAGGATCATTACGAATATTGTCGAGAGTCGCGTCGTCGCACTCAACGTGGTAGCCATTGAAACCAGGAACCTGATAGGTTTTCACAACCCCCTTTTTGGCACCTTTGGTCCGTTGAGAAGAAGTATAATGGATCCGCTGATAATGCGCTTGAAACGTCTTCGGGGTGGCGCTTTTCATAACTACAATATAGTTATCGTCTATGCCATCTGCAATGTCTCTATGCATGAGAGGCGCTTTGGCTAGAGCAAGAGGCACCAAAGCCGCGAGAAACAGATGAAAGGTCTTCATCGTGATTCTTTTCCGAGTCGGCAAGACGGAGGTGTACTTCTGTATAAGCTAGACGAATGGCAACGGAGTAAGAATAGGATTTATGAGGCTTGAACGGAGTTTGCTGGATCAGCTGGTTGATAATTATAAAGATAAACTATGCTGTCTTCATTGATTCTTTTATAGAAGCAACGGCTAGGATAGAATTGGAGCCCCTTTCGCTTTCATAATATCTTCTGTGGCACCATAAACACTTCAAATGACTCGTCATGTAATAGTTCTATTCACTTTCTTGTTCTTGACACCAAATGAGGGTATTTTCTGAGACCCTAATAGTGACTTAGTAGCACCAATAATCATCCTCAGCTCACGGGAAGGGCCGAGACTTCTGACTGGGTGAAGTACTCAAATCTAGAAATATACAATTCACTCGATAGCGTTGATTTGCTGAAAAGGGCCCACCTACGAAGCTTTCTCATGTGAATTTGAGAGCCTTTCTATTCTTCGACATGTCTTACGGATCTGATCGGAATTATTAAGCTTGTGATTGCGTGACAGTCGCATCGGAGCTAATTCTAGTCACACAACCAGCAGTGAGGCCGTGATATTGGGTCAACTTAGATCGATAAGGCTCGAAATCAGGACCCGATCTTGACTGTACCGGCAGCTAGGTCGCGATTTGAGGCTATCTATTACCATCTAATCGCTGCACACTAACAACCTAGCACTTGAGGGAAGTTGATTGGATAGCTTGATTGCACAGTACACCATTAAGGGGTAATGTCCACCTTCTTTCACCTATTCCAATCACGGACCCAGTCGACTCACCGTGTTCGTATGACAGTGCTATTATCAAACATTTTGACCTAATGAAGTCATACGAGGAGAGTAACAGAGTATTCTATAGAATATAGATTTGTATTACGGAACAAATTTATAGTTCCTTAAGCTAACGTTTGAGCGGTGATGGCGAGATTGTTAGTCCGTCTAACTATATCTAGTCGTCGATCGCTTTCTTGCCTTGCCAAGTTACCAATACTCCCTCGTAGGGCCAAGTGTATACAACGTGTGACCCTGTACGACTTGTGCCGGAGACATACCTATTTCGTATCCCGGGGAGTACAGAAAGGTTAAAGTGTCTTATCACAGAAGGCTAGCTGAGGAATAGCCCGCACATAGGGTGATTTTAATATGGCATTTGCTAATACAAGTAGGGTGATGTGGAAATAGCTAATAGAGGAAATGTTTCGAAAGTTGGCTTCTTAGGGAAAAAGATGGCTATTGGTCATATATGAAGGCTGAAGTTGTCTGAACTAACACAGAAATGCTGCTGATGATTCATATGCCGTATTCCTAAAGTTTACACACGGGTAAATTGTAGAATCGGAAGGACATACCTATTATAATTAGGGCATGCTCATATAGTATCTTTGAGGGATAAAGTGAACAGTAGATATCAACTCGCCTCAGAAACGCTCAGATACATCAATAATACGGAAAGTGGCAGTATTGGCCATGCATTGGTAACGAACGATCAAAGTGTGTGATGCTTGTGTTCCTTGATCGTAATATCTAGCAGCTGTGAAAGCAAGGGGCACCTGGTTAGTCAGATCTAATCGATTGGATCGATTTCCTTTACTCTTGTGTTGATGTCATCGTGAATCTAGTGTTTGAGATATTCTACCTAGATAGCTCCAATACTAATATACTACCGTCTCTATATCTATATTCTCTATGAACTTGGCCACTGGATACCTTAGGTACCCATGCTTGTCATATCGAGGTATGTAACTATCTAGAGCTGGGACTCGGCGAGGCCGTGAAAGCTGTGGCACGGAAGGAGTAGAACTTGTATTTTTCTTGCTTTATAGCTCATAAATACCTTGTTCTTACTGAATTACCTGTACATACTTGATCTACACATGGTAACCTTAGCCATCCTATTACCAAGTATCTTGCAGTCTCATACTTGTTAATTCAAGACTTCTAACACATGATATCCTTTGCTATATTATTTATGGATTGGATCCTCGAGAGTTCAGTCTTGTTAGTTACTGAAAACTCTTCCTAGTGTTGATCTTATTACGTAGGGCGTCACACTTGGGTAAAACATGGAGGCAAGGAATATTCACCGTAGGTTAAGGTTACAATGTTTAAAAACAATAGGGCAATATGCTAGTATTATATTGTACAACATTATCTTCCAAGATATGTCCTTTTGCGATGTATGTGGAATACAATAACCGCAGAGCTAGATGTTTGTACATTTCGCGGAATAGAGAGAAACTAAACTGTAATTCGCTTTACTATCTGGTTGTTTTATGGTAACATAATTCTTGGTAGGACTATGCCTTAAGTATAAGGAGTTTATGACAGCGTTTAGTTGCCTTGGTGCTCTATCTAAGTGACTTGCTACACGGCTATTAAAAGATCTCCTTTTATTTGAGACTGACATGTTGGGATTGTCCTCGTAGCTATATAGTATTTAGATACACAAGCACATATGTATATGTAATATTTGATCGTAGTTCAGCTTAATCGACCTATAGATAAACTTGGCAAATGAAAGGGCAGAGCGGCCGCAGTCTCAGAGAGCTCAACTAAAATACTAAAGCTAATGTCCTCTATTGGATCGGTATAGTGTCGGTCTTGAATATGATTGATCCATATCTTACAACTACATTAGTACATATGTAACGACCTAATGCATGCGGGATGAATAAGGTTTATAACTTCTTGGGAAGGGGCCACTTATGTGCAGGAGGATGGAATGTGTGTGGCAAATCAAGTACTTAGGTGGATACGGTACACGCATGTTTTATACAGTATAAGATGAATGCAACTGCTATTTCATTAACTTGGAGAAGGAGCGAGAACCTACATACATAGGGGCGGGAACAACAAAGAGTAAACGGATGTGGTGGATGTATGACGTATGCACGTATTTGCCCATAGCCCGCCACTTATGACGTTTAATATCTCCATATATTGACTTATATCGAAGGGCTTACCTTCTAACTAACAACTTCATCAACTTTTAAACTTATCGCTAAACTATCAAACGAAGAACACTACCTAGCATAAACCATCTTAACCACCATGTCGTCGAATAGCTACAGTTACAGCTCTTCAACAATGTCTTTCTCATCTTCTACTACTCGCAACGGGGAAACCACTGGGTCCCGTTATGCCGAACATACTGCAAGTGACCCATCGGGCACCACCACTCACACTGCGTCCCAACGTACCGGCGAGCCCCTCCGTCATGAGCGCCGCGACTACGATGCGTCGGGTCGTCTGGTTTCTTCCTCAGACCGAGCCCTAAACGGGAACGGTATAGATTCAAACCGACGCATTGAAGATGTGTCTGACGAACAACGGGAAAATGATAGACTTTATAAAGAGCGCATCGAGGATGAGTATGCAAAGAGAGAAGGGGGTGCATGAACTAGGAGATCGCTTCAGGGGGTAGAAGATAACAGATCATGTATATTTGGACATAATGAATCTAGTCTTTGAATAAGAATAAGGCTTCTTTCGTGATATATGATATATGTATCCAATCTGATAGATCTAATATTTCGTATTTGATATCATTATTTTATGAGGTTCTACGTAGTTTCATTTAATTAAATAGAAGTTATGTCGAATAGGTATACATCATGTCGGGATGTCAGGTAGATACTTCAGCCGCTATGCCGGTAGTTCTAGGCATTGGTGATACTTTCCAGGGACCAATACCGCTGTCAAAATGTCGGGTGGTACCCAAAATTGGAGCCTAACTGTACCGGGAACGTCACTATCCACTATCGCCGGCCCCACTATAGCTTCTGACTCGTCGCGTGAGGTTTCCGATTACATCAAATTATTGATTTTTTCCTCTTTAAACCTATTCCCCCCTAAATACCTCCTTACTACCCATGTACTTAACCTAATGCACAACATATTCATTTTCTCTGGCGTTGCCATCTCACCAAGTCATGGATAATGGTGATGGTGATGGTCAGTCTCGGTTCTGCCATGACGGGAAAGATGGCGAGAAAGCCGCAGGACCGGACAGCAAGGACATTTATGTTCAGCTTGTAATCTCGCTCGCCTTAGGTATATCAGCCTTTGTCGCTTTTTGTGTGAGTAGTCGCCAATGGTCAATCCCGCCTAGGTCCTGAAGCTAATTATCACGAGTAGATCCTAAGACCTCGGTGGAAGACTCTCTACGCCGCTCGGAGACGTCACTATGATCCTCAGATTGCGCTTCCTGCGCTTCCCGACAGTTTCTTTGGATGGATACCAGCATTATATAGAATTACAGAGGAACAGGTGCTGGCATCTGCAGGCTTAGATGCCTTTGTGGTAAGTGTTATACCAACCTAGAGCTTGATCAATGGGTTGCTTATGAAGTTCTAGTTTCTATCCTTTTTCAAGATGTCGCTCCGCCTATTTACTACCATGTTATTTTTCGCCCTCGCCGTTCTTTGGCCTATCCACAAGACTTTCAATGCCGGCACGAATCAACCGCCTAGCGAATCCTTCGGAGATGCTTCCATGTTTATGAACTTGGTACTGCGAGACGGAAACTATAGCATGAGCGGCATGGAAAATATTCTGACGAAGCCCGAACCTGAGGATAAGAGCTGGAGCTTGCTATGGGCTCCGGTCTTTACTTGGTTATTCTCTTTCCTTACAATGTACTTCATGAATTCCGAGACTATAAAAGTGATCAAAGTGAGGCAGGACTATTTGGGTACTCAGTCAACAATAACCGACCGGACTTTCCGGCTAACGGGAGTTCCCGAAGATATCAGATCAGAGGAGAAGGTTAAGGAGTTTGTGGAGAACTTAGAGATCGGACATGTGCGAAGCGTTGCGTTGTGTCGAAACTGGTCTGAGATAGACGGTCTGATGGCCGAACGACAAATCCTTTTACGAAAACTTGAAGAAGCATGGAGTGTTTATCTAGCTAGGAGACCACCAACAGGAGCGTCCAATCATCAACAACGCCCAGATCCGGACAGGACTAGCCAAGGCAACGATGACAACGATGAGGAGTCGCAGGAGAATAGGCGTCTTCTCACCGGCGATGGCCTACGGGACCTTATCGCAGAGAGGGCGAGACCTAAAGTTCGTCTTCGGTATGGCTTTCTTAGAATGCGCAGTCGTAAAACCGATGCTCTTGACTATTACGAGGAGAAGTTACGTCGTCTTGATGAGAAAATCCGAAATGCGAGAAGGAAAGAGTATACGCCAACAGATACCGCGTTTGTGACGATGGATTCTATTGCGGCGTGTCAAATGGCCATGCAAGCCACCATTGACCCTAGACCAGGACAGCTGCTGTCGAAGCCCGCGCCTGCTCCTTCAGATGTTATTTGGAAGAACACTTATACTCCACGATACAAGCGTCGATTAAAAGCATGGACCGTTACCCTCTTCATCACCTTCCTATCCATCATCTGGTTGTTCCCAGTAGCGGTACTAGCTCAGTTACTCAGCCTTTGTGGCATTTCGAAGGTAGCGCCCTCCCTTGCCGAGACACTTTATGCGCACGATATTACGAGGGCTTTCGTACGGACCGGCTTACCTACCCTCGTGGTTTCGTTGCTCAACGTCTTGGTGCCATACCTCTACGATTATCTTTCCAACAAGCAAGGCATGATGTCTCAAGGCGATGTTGAACTTTCCACGATATCGAAGAATTTTTTCTTCATATTCTTCAATATCTTTGTTGTCTATGCGGTCTCAGGTAGTGCAGCTCTATCGGATTTCTGGAAGATAATCGGAGATTCGCTCAGCGATACGCGTACTATCGCAAAGAAGTTGGCCATCTCGATACAAAACTTGAACAACTTCTACCTCAATTTCATCATGTTGCAAGGATTCGGCCTGTTTCCATTTAAACTTCTCCAATTCGGGGGCATCACGCTGTATGCCATCTATCGGATGGGAGCGAAGACGCCGCGAGATTTTGCTGAGCTTGTCCGACCCAGTCTGTTCAACTACGGGTTCTACCTCCCTACCGCTCTACTGGTGTTTATCCTCTGTTTAGTGTACAGCATCCTCCCTGGCGCGCACATTGTCTTGCTACTTGGTGTCTGCTATTTCTCACTCGGATATTTTGTTTACAAGTATCAATTGTTGTATTCGATGGACCAACCACAGCACGCCACTGGTGGCGCATGGCCGATTATATGCGGACGTATCATTGTTGGCTTAGTTGCATTCGAAGTTATCATGATTGCTTTCTTGGTACTGCAGACAGCCTTTATAGCTGCATCATTTATTGCACCTCTAGTTGTCTTGACTTTTTGGTATAGCTTTTATTCCCGGCAGCGATACACTCCACTTACGAAATTTATCGCGCTTCGTAGTATTAAGCGCGCTACTGATCCTGGTTCGGAAACTCGTCCTGATCGAGATCCAGACCAAGTACAACGGCAAACTCGACTAACGAGACGCATGAGCACCATCGACGAAGATAAGGAAAAGGGGATGAGGTTCATAAACCCGAGTCTTGTTGTCCCCTTAGAACAGCCTTGGGTGTATCAAGATCCACCACCACTTCTGCCAGAGTCATCTGTTAGCTCTAGCACGGGGAGTGTTGGCGAGAATGGTAGTCGCAGGGAGGCGTCGCTAAGAAGTAATGACGAGCTGGGTAGCGTTTCTAGTTCCTTTAGTCTTGGAGATACCCATATTTGGCGAGACAGCAATGGCGATGACAACGTATGATGGCAATGAGAATTAGGACGTCTTATAACGAAAAGATTGAAATATTACTATTATACCCTATTCTTGATTTCTACTGTAGCGTTCTGTTAGAATATTAACGTACTACTGTTTAGATGTGCATCTGATATAGCGGTTCATGGTGAAAGAAACGAATATGGAAGAATAAGTGAAAGGAGCTAAATATAAAATTCCATTTGCTTGGTCTTTTGGATTTAATTACGGCCACATGCCATCAAACATAAATAACCAATCCTCCCAATACCGATCATAGCGTCCGACGAGCCAACTTCTTCCATCACCTTGCCCTCCAACTTTCCACGGCCGTGTATATAAACCCTCACCCTGTAAGTGTCTCTTCAACGCCACATTAATACTAAAGCTGCTCGGACTTACTCCGACGAAGTAGTCGCAGTTTAGTAGCACTACAAAATCTACTAGCGCTTGTTGGTCCCAGCTGAACGACTTCAGCTTCTCTAGCTTCTCGTCTCCCTCGTCTAGTAGGTCGTACTTGGACCTAACCTCTAGTTGTAAGGTCACCATGGCCTCTGCGCCAAACTTCCTCGTTTCTGTCTCATTGCCCGAGGCTATGTACGCTGCTCGCCCTTGGTACCCCTGACCCGCAGCCTCGCGCAAGTAATTCTTAGTCTGGTTCTCGTACGACGGCCACCGCGATAGGGCATCCGCCTCAGTCCGCAGATGTATTCCGAGAAACGATTGGCCTGCTACGGTCTCGGTCCCTCGCGTGGAGGTGGCGAGCGTCCTCATCGATGCCACAATCGCATCTGCGACATCTAAGATATCATCCCGGATCTTCAATAGCCCGCCGAATGTTGCCGCAAACTCGGGCCCGTCGCGATACACAGGCCAGTCCCACAGCACGCCCCAAGAAAAACGGATCAGTCGCGGGTTATCGACGTCGTTGGATGGCGCCCACCCGCGCTCTGCTGCCGAGCTCCGCAGCCAATCCCGAAACGCGCCCCCGAACCGATCCGTATGCCGGTTCGGATCCCGCTGATCGCACCCGGCGCGGCTGCCTCCGAAGGTCTTGGGCATGACGCGCTCCACGATCTGGTCGATAGCCCGGTTCGCCCTGGACGCTTTGGCCCGCGCGCCGGGCACGTCTTCGACGCGAGCGTACACGGCGATGCGCGGGCACGCATCGGCTACGGCGCTCCGGAAACGCGCCTCGTCGAACATGTACCCGAACTCCTGGTACTCGTGGAACAGGTTGGCCGGGTTGGAGGGCGAGCGGGTCTGGATGCGCGGTAGGACTAGTGCGGACGCGCCCGCATCCACTGCGTAGCGTATACATGTCAGGATGTAGTTCCGGATGTTGCCTGGTCCGCCGCTATTGTTGTCGCAGAGAAACGTTAGGCCGGGGACATATGTTGTCTCAGCGCAGACACGCTTGAGGGGCCAGGCGATGAAGGGAGCTCGTGCGCTTGAGAGGTCGATATTAGTCTCTTGTTCCCTGTCGTGGGTTTGTAGATGTTGTTGGTGGTGGAGTAGCGATGTTGGGGTGTCCCGGTTAGGGGCTGGTAGAACAAGATGGTTCCAGATGAAAAGCACGAAGAGGCTAACTGAGCTGAAGAATAGTAGCACTGCAGCCCTCCGACGGGTGGTTGCTGTCTTGTGCTGCCGAAGCGCCATTGATGCGTCGGTGCGACTCTGCTAACCGGTAGGTATCGTCATTCGTATCACATGCCTCTTACGGCTTGCACTAGCAAGTGAGGCCAAGACTTTATTATGGTGTTTAATAGGAGAGTTCTACGTTCCGTCCGTAAGAGAGAAAGAGTTAAAGTATCGCGTGCCACGATTGAGACGTTAGGCTCTGGATGTCTTTCATGATGGAATAGTTCCATTTTGGGTATTGCGGAATGTAGACCCCGACGTTGCTTAATTGGAACGAATGAATAACTTGATATCTTTTTAAGTCACATGTTAGTTATAGGATATAACATATCTCATGTTATTATAAAAAAGAGTAGAGACTATTCTGGGTACTTGAATTTGAATAGAATTGTAGAAACTATCGTCTATCGTGAGCATTTTCCGCCCCTTATATTACAGGTATAAGATGATACTTTAGACAGTCTAGCCTTGGTAAATCTAAGAGCTTGAATTTTAACTTAAGAACACTTAGGGCCGAGTAGCTTAACTCTATCATTTAAAGATACGGGGTGTTATAAATCTTATAGAACAATTTGACTATTGGATAGATCGTGAATGAAAGTTTCTGGCAAGATATAATGGAAAGCTACTTTCGGCGCTATGGTAAATTGCTAATTCAGTTATTAGTTAACAGGTAGTCAGTAGCTGAAAGCTGTGTCATTATACAACTATAAAGTTAATAGTTTACAAGGCAAATTAAAAACAACCTTCGTTACTCTAAATCTGCTAAGATTCGCTGTGAATCATCGGATGGCTATGACTATGACTTGTTACAAGTACCGCTCTGCAGGCATTAACGACAGTGCGGTCATTAGAAGAAAAGCAAGAGTCTTCTATTTGGTACCTAGGATGATAAGAATGATAATGATAATGATGAGAACTATCGAACCCAAGAAAGAGTAAATAAATAAACTAGTTTACGTAGATCGACGGCTATAGTAAGATTAGGGAACCATATTAAGCGAAAACGACGTGATAATGCGTTTCCCTTACATCCTTAATGTGCCATTCTTGGAGGGGAGATAGCTAAGTTCGGCGTTAATGGCATGCTTCATCAGAGCGTCTTTCCGCATGAGGAAGGTTGGATAACCGTGCTCTGTTGGCTCCCCACCAATATTAAGTCCCGTGAAGAGTTTAACCAATCCCTTACTTATAGAAGTCCCTAGTTTACAGAACCTATCTAAGTTATAAAGATGTCCCGAGCTGCCTGGTCATCCGTGACAATGAATAAAGTATCCGCGTGGCTACGATGAGCTTGGCATGTTGTACGACTGAGCTGTGTATTTAAATCTTTCATGATATAAATGCATACCATTTCCCACCTTGAAGTTTCTCGTAAGTTAATTTTTGATAGATAAATTCCATTATTTTGTATTTCTGAATCATGGTTGACTTGTTATCTCCCTAGGTCCAACGAAGGTCCAACAAAGCTACCTATAGATCATCGCCCGCGCACGGACATTAGCTGAGATTCAATATGCGGACCATCATGGCATCTCCTTTCTTACCTAATTATTCCCCGACTCGCATACGTCTTAATGTCCCTTCTTTCTGTCTTATCGCAACCCTCGCAATGTCAAAATTGGCAAATACGTTACCGATATTCAATAAATCCATTCCGGACTACACTACCTCGGAAGCGGGTAACCCTTTCGTGGATAGCTGGTACGCTGACCCTGATACTGAGATATATGAGGGTCTCTATTGGGTATATCCAACAGCCTCATATTCATATGAAAAGCAGACATATCTCGATGCCTTCTCTAGCCCAGATCTAGTTCATTGGACAAAGCATCCTAATATTTTAACAACTGACGATGTGACCTGGGCTAAGAATGCCGTGTGGGCTCCGGCGCCAATCTTCCGTAACGGAAAATACTATCTATACTTTGGTGCTAACGACATTCAAGAGGACGGACCTGCTAAGGGGGAGATTGGAGGGATTGGCGTCGCCATCTCGGACAACCCACAGGGCCCATACGTTGATGCGATTGGAGCACCGTTAATCGGAGATTACCACAACGGCGCACAGCCAATCGACCAAGACGTCTTTATAGACGACGTCGACGGACAAGCCTATATATACTACGGAGGACATTCGCATGCCAACGTGGCCAAACTTAACGAAGACATGATTTCCATCGGGACTTTCGATGATGGAACACAATTCAAGGAAATTACCCCTGAGAACTATGTCGAGGGCTCTCAAATGATCAAGCGCAACGGGATTTACTACTTCATGTGGTCCGAAGGCGTTTGGACAGGCCCGGACTACTCTGTTTCGTATGCCATGTCTGATTCGCCCTTAGGCCCCTTCAACCGGCTCGCCAAAATCCTACAGCAGGATAGCGCAGTGGCCAAGAGTAGCGGGCATCATGGTGTTATCCACATTCCAGACACCGATATATGGTATATCGTGTACCACCGCCGCCCACTGAGCGAGACGGACGGTAATCATCGTGTCCTTGCCTACGACCGCATGTATTTCGACGACGACGGAAAGATCAAACAGGTTAACATGCTCGTTAAAGATAACTTCGCCGATGGAGAAATGTACGGTTGGAAGACATACGATGGGGAGTGGTCCGTGGTAGACCAACGACTCACCGTCGCCGAAACAGCCGATGCCAAAGCCTTGCTGGACACTGATTTCACTGATCTGGCATTTGATGCAACTGTCGCGATTCAATACGGAGACGGAGACGCCGGGCTTGTGTTCCGGGCTACCGATGTATCTACTACCTCCGACCAGTTCAAGGGATATTACGCAGGCCTCTCGTCGGCTAGCAGAGTCACTCTCGAGAAGGCGGATAGCGGAACATGGACATCGCTGGGTGAAAGCGATACCAAGGTCTCCCTTGCGACCGAATACCACATCAGAGTTACGGCCGTCGGCGGAGATATCAAAGTATTCATAGATGACTTTACAGAGCCCTTGATCAGTATTACGGATAAGTCGTTTTCCCATGGTGCGACTGGGGTAAGAGCTCATAATGTCGCTGCTAAGATTGGCAATGTTTCTGTTCAACGGCCTTAGAGTATTGGGGGCTACTTAGCTGCGTACCTTTGATGGTAGAAACATTTGGATATATTTTATAGTTAAACATGATTTGGATTCTATAGATACCTCTTAATAATAATCTATCAATATTCGCCGAGCTGCTGTTATCACTCCTGGTACACAAACGAGTTGACGTCCTTCATAGTTTCATGATGACGAGTTGGTTGAAAAGCGGAAGTTAGCTACCCCTTAATCCAATCACGGCCGCATAGTTTCACTTACGCCATGCTGAACAGTGGCTCAGTTATCAACGGTATTCTTATAGTGTAAGTCATGTCTCTTATTTTACCGCATTTAATTATCGATTCCTAGTACGGCTGTGGCGGGTCTACGATGAAGACCTACAATATATGAACGGGCTGGTCTTTCGATATCATATCGTGTAAATATCTAGCATCGAGATATATTTTATCCATAGTAACAGCCAGATCATAGGTTCCTAACTAGACTCTCGAGCGATCCGAAAGATACCGAGAACGAGACTCCCTTAGAACTCACTATCGGCGTGCTGTCGAAGCCCCTAAAACCCGACCATTATTTCAGTATTTATGATGCAACGCTCTGTGCCACCTTTACGGAGCTCGTTTTCACCACCACACCACCTCAGTATGTGATTGATACGAGAATGCTATTTACTAATAGCTTGGTAACTACGATTGAGTCGATCGTGACCGTCAAAGGCGATTGAGGATTCGATGACACTGGAGGTGCCGATGGCTACTTACGTTAGGATTCTCTTGAATCATGGGACCGCATTCCCAAGGACAAGCATGATAGCCGAAAGGTGATTCAAGTCTCCGGGGATTTATACTTCGATTACTTCGCCAAAGAAAATGTTAGTATTCCATTCGGCCCGTCTTGTGCTCGTCTTGAGAGTTGAAAATACACCGACCCGGATGTTACTAGAGGGAACACTTGTTCACTCGATTACCCCTTCCATGCTGATGTGACGAATCGCCGATACATTATCGATGAAGAACTAGGTACGCTCAATATGTATCTTGGTTTCTGGGACTCGATCGTTCCAGGTCACAAGCATCTCTTCCTGATAGCCATACTTTTAGAATTAAAAAGGGGCTTATTAAGTACATCCATAACCTCTCAGCTTGTGTGAACGCTGGGTGTGGATTGAACTCGAGTATGAATACTCAGGAACATCTGCCATTTAAGATAAATGAAGACCTCTAGTAGCTTATGGCCCCAGTACTCGCGGGGTTAGCTATAGCCACAAGTCTTCTCTGTTTGAGAAGCTCGATAGTTAGGATGTGGATATCCAACGAAGAAGGAGGGTCGAATGCTCTGACTGATGATAGGATAGTATGAGTTAGTTTACGCCTTCGCCATGACTTTTGTGTATATTTGCATTGGGGTCGAGTTGCCGACGCACATGTATGAAGTTATGAGGCTAGTAGACACAGACAAATTTATATAAGGTACGGTATGATATTAATTATGTCTATTGTTACATTTATTAATGGACTAAGAGAACCTATATAATACACTCTAATCTCTATGGAAGCGTGTTCTATCTGTCAGGGTAGTTCAAAGGACCATTTGTTGGGTACTTGACCACGAATGAACCAAGCTGACTATCTTGGTATATTCGCTCTGGCCTCTGTCAAAGCTAAGTTGCCCGTTGCTCTTCCGGACCATCAGGGTTTCCGTAGTTTAATATTTACAAATGTACCATAGAAGGATCTACGTTGGGAGGGACCCAGATATCCAACTTTTCTTTAACAAAGGTCGCGAAACCAGGATGTAAGTCTTTGGTGGCCAGATCCTTCCGTGTGACCCATTCTAGCTTTATCGTCTCACTTGCATCCACCTTTAGGTCGGATATGTCGAAGTGCTTCTTCACATCAGTTATAAAGGTAGTGTATGACCAACCTCCGTGGTCATCGACTGCCTCTCCAACGTGCCGTAGAAACTCTCTGACATTAAGTCCAATCTCCTCCATAACTTCTCGTTCCATGGCTTGCTGGGCTGTTTCACCATTTTCTATAGCCCCTCCAATTATGCCCCAGGTCAAAGGGTGATGACACCGATGTGATCGCTGCCCAAGGAGGATTTGTACTTCGCCAGATTTGACGTATCGGTAAACTAATAGTCCTGCGGCACCACGCGGGCCCCAGTGCTCGCAGCCCTGTGCGCACGTAACGAAATTCTCCATTTAGTCTTATAATATTCTCAGTATAGTAGCAGTATTTGCTGTGTAGAAGAATGAAGAAATTGAAAACGAAACAGAAGGAAAATGTGCGTTTATATAAAATAAATTTGGTGCTTGGATTATAGACAAGATGTACATGAACAAGGGATAGTTACGTATTGTTTACAGCTTCTTATAGAACAATAAAATTGTTTCCATGCCTTATAGTTCCACTTCAATATATTGTATAGCTTTTAGAAAAATTGTTAAGGAGTATAGTGTTTGTTTTGTCGATGTTAAAAACCATAGGAGATATGATATAAAGAAAAGAGTATATCGGTCTTTCATTGTGAAAGACTTGCATAGACATCTCATGTTTGGAAGAGTTATGGATGAAGGATTGTCTTTATGTTTTGGCAATGGCTCGGTATATACGATAAATTAGACGTCTATTAGACACAATAGGTTGATTGCTAGCTATTTCATAACTTTAGGCTATGAATTTAAAAGCCCTATTTTCTATTAGTTTGAATACTATGGAAGTTATCATAAATGATACTTCGGTACGAGTATACGTCCTCTTAATATAATATAGTCCTATGACCCCGAATAGATGATAGATATTGATATGGATATAATTCTATTGTTATGACACCTAAGTAACTCATCGCTCTCGTCATCGTCATCGATGTACCTTATCGAGTCCATTACCCTTAATTAAAGTGGAATCCTGTGATATAATGTTAGCTTTACTAAAACTCGATTATTCTTCTTAGAAAACTTACCAATATACCTTCCCATCCAAACCAGGTTAAGACCCAAGCAAATGTCGACATGCCGCCGTGCCATATATTCAGCTTCTGTTTCGGCCGTAATAAATCGCTAACTACCTGCTTTGCGAACACTTCTGTCTCGGTGCACGGCGCCTTCTTGAGGAACTCGCGATTTTCTACATTGCCCGCCGCAGCGCGGTATAGACTGCCTTCAGGAATTTTCGTCGGCGCGTTATCGAATAACTTGGACCTGACGCTACCTGTCATCAGCGTAACGAATTTGACGCCTAGCGGGGCAAGTTCGACGCGAAGGGTCCGTGAAATAGCGTGCACGGCCGCCTTAGATGCGCTGTAGGCAACTTGGTACGGTGGGCAGAAAACCTCGTTAACACTTCCAACAGTCGCTACGGTGCCTTGAGCCTGGATAAGTAGCGGGAGGAAAGTATGTGTAACGGCCAATACGCCCACGATGTTGGTGTTGACAACGCGTCTGAGATCGTCAACCTTGGCGTCGGTGAAGGGCATCACATGGTTTATACCAGCATTGTTGATAAGGTAATTGAGAGTACCGTCGGTAGCTTTTTGCACGGTGTTAAAAGCGGCAGAAATAGATACGTCTGAGTTAACATCAAGAGCGAGAGTTTCGATGCCTCGTTCGGATAGTGATTGCATCTTATTCACATCGCGAGCCGTTGCGAATACCTGACATCCTTGAGCATGGAACTCTAAAGCTAAGGCGGCGCCGATGCCACCTTCACTACAACCTGTGATAAGCACGGATTTGCGACTCATGTTAGCAGCTATATCCCTGGTTACGCAAAACCTTTTATTGCATTCGTTTAAGACGTCCTTAAATAGAGTTGTCCCACCATTCTGGTAGCGTGGAGCATATAAATCTGGGGTCCCAAAATTTAATCAACAGATGTTTTAAACTGCGGGGATCACCGAGCAGGGGTATTGGTAAGAGGCACAAGGGTAAAGGGGCTAAATCTTCATAGGTTCGAAAGCAATAGAATGGAGAGAAGTCTTATTTGTGTTAGGCTGTACTTAGAGACTCTTAACTAGAATACAATGCTATTTGAATTCATGCGCATCTATTTGTAACTCTATTGAGTATCACCATTAATTTTTATCAGTTTTCTGCGGACTTAAATTGTCGTACGCCTTGTAAGAATCAATAATATCTGCGAAAAAGCCATATGTCCCTGATCCTCCAGTCTTCAAACTTAGCCTAAGAGCTTAGATGTTCTTAGTATCCACCCTATCAACTAATGAAAGTCGCGTTTGAATATCGTCTATAGGAGGGTTTAAAGGCCAGAATGCGACTGTCCGTAGCCCAGTGAGTAATCAATGACGGCTCGAAAATCGGCAAGTGTAGCATCGGTGTATAGATCGCTTCTTGAGACACCGAAGACCAGAAGGGGGCCTCTCCAGTCACATCTAGCCTGGCCGTGCTTCGCAACAGTTTCGTATAGACTTTTAGTCGGCCTAGATCCATCACGAAGGAACAAGTCACGAAAATGGAATTCGATATGCTGAAGAGCCGGTTTCATAAGTCGATAGTTCCAATATACTCGTTGTATATCCACGTTACCAGGGGTGCCTTCTCTAACGATGCCCTTCACCTCTTCGAAGGAGGGGATGCCAAGGCAGGAAATCCAGACGAGCTCTGGGGTTGGTCTGTCTTGTGGAAAGTATATGGCCCTGACATGAAAAGAAGACGGTCGCTCTGATTGGGTTGAGATGGCCTTGCATAACAACTTGTGTGACTTCCAGTCATTCTTCTGGCATCGCTTTGAGCAGTAGCGGCAGCTCTTGCAAGAAGAACAGAGCAAGTCGCCTTCCTCCCAACATACGACGCACTGATCTGAGGACATTTTTCTTGAATGATGTGTGGGGTCGAAGTTGGGAATGTCTAGGTAGGTATGTACTGCTGCTGCGGACTTTGTTGCAAGTTGGCTGATGAATTACCTAGATTTTTTGTGGAACTGTTATTGGATCTTGAGTATCAAATGCTAGCAGCGTGCGTATCTTACGCCTTCCTTAGCAGCACCTTCTTTTTGCGCTTAGCCGAAAGAGATTATATAGTAGGTTTCAGATGTCTAGTTGGCAGTTGCGAATAGGTACCAACCTAAGGTAAGTTAGGTAGGTACCTGTATAGTAGCTTACCTGCGTTGAATACTCCTAGATAATCAAAGCCACACTTGGAAAAGAGAGAGTTAGTGTGTCATTGAAAAGTACAACAGTTGATAGGAAGATAAGTGTAACAACCCCATTATCAGATGTGGCGTAGTTAAATAAGAAATGAAGTATATCATCCCAAGTCTCTCATTTCTTGTGGTAACCGATTTGATGATAGGTAAAGATGCACGGTAAGAAAAGGTTGAACTATAGAGAAGTCACCTCGTCTGGGTTCGTAAGTTGCTACTTAGGGGATGATTTGCCGTAACGCCTTGCTTCAAGTACAATTTGGATATCGACACACTTACAACCCCTCCCAGAAAAAAAACCACCAGCAGAAATATACCTAAGACCAGATACCCGACACTTGAACAACAAGATTATAAGAGATATGGCACGCCAAATATAACTACCCGTCCCTTGGACTTAAGCAATTTCCCTCAAGCCATTCTAATAGCACCTGGAACTCTGATAGGAACCCAATATGCTCTATATAACCATCCGGTCGAATATAGACATAAGAAGGTTTGGAACAACCAAACTGACCATGTAAATGGTTCCCAACATCAATATACCCAGAAACATTAGGTCCACCGGCTGCTTCATCATGGATCAAGTGCACCTTAGCTTCGTCTGAGTTTTTATTCGCAAAAGCTGACTGCACTTCTAGTATAGCCTGTTCCGTAATAGCATCATCACCAACCCCTGAGAAAAGCACTAGATGATGCGTATCTGGCGTGATAAGCTCCAAGAACTGCCTTTCCTTACCCGCGCTCTTAATCATCCTGTCCGGAGCACGATCGCCCCCTAACACCGGCCCCGAGTACCCCGATGCTGTACCCACCACGGAGCTATCTCTGTAGTTGATACCAAATTCAGATATGAACTTGAAGATATTAGCACGACGATTCCGGCTGCTGACAAACCAGGGCAAGACCCATGTGAACAGAACATTGCGGAAGGAGATAAAGAAGGGGTTAGTAGAACAGCCCCAAGTGAACATTTTATCTGAAGTTTCAAGTAGATGTTGGCCGATTGGACGGCGTTCGTGGTCGTAGCTATCGAGGAATGAATCTGGTCGCTTGCCCTGTATCACCTTCGCTAACTTCCATCCTAGGTTTATGGAATCTTGCATACCGGTGTTCATGCCTTGAGCTCCAGCGGGGGAATGGATATGTGCTGCATCACCCGCGACGAACAGACGACCGTCGCGGTAGCTGTTCACGCCCCTATGGTGTAGATGGAACTGGCTGATCCAAGTAGGGTCATACAGTTCACCCGCATCTGGATGAAGCTGGTTCAACATTTCTTGAAAGTCTTCTAGTGTTGGCTCAACATCCACCCTAGGGTTTATGCGGGACACTACAACACGACATGTGCCGTCTTTCAGCGGGAACACAGCAAGAGAGCCCCTACCCAGACAAAGAGAAAATCGGTTCCAGGCTAGTTTGGAGTTCCTTACATGGGCATCGCAGAGGATGAAGTCTTGTGGGTAAGCCGCGCCCTGAAATGTAAGACCCTCGGCAGCACGTCGCACGCTGCTGTGTGCTCCATCAGCACCAATGACGTATTTTGCGCGGACAGTCTCTTCAACACCATCTGGATCGCTTAGTTTCGCGGTGACTCCAGTGGGATCTTGAACGATGGACGTTGCTTCGAGACCTCGCTCGACAGCGAAACCATGCTTCGCAAGACATCCGTCCAGGAACGCCTCTGTTTCGCACTGAGAGATAATGAGGATTAGGGGGAACACCGAGTCTTCTATAAGACCCGATATATCAATGTCCGCCGCCTTCTTTCCGTTAAGATAGAATGTAGTGCCGCTGCTTAGATTGCCTTGTGATACGAGTTTACGAACGTCGCCATGTCGATTTAAAAGTTCTAGGGTGCGTGGTTGAATACCCAGAGCCCTAGACTTATCCGATCTTTGTAATTCCCTGTCGACGATGCGGAACGGTATCTTATGAACAGCTAACTCGAGCGCTAATGTCACCCCCGTTGGTCCTCCTCCTACGATTAAAACATCAGTTTCCTGTGCTGTCATGATATGCTTCGAATATCGGTCCAACTTTGTTAGTGAAAAGCATCGGATCCGAAGGCAACAGTTGCACTAGGCAAGAATTAATGAATTTTACGGAAGGCATGTCAAAAGTAGAGGCAGGATCTAAGTCAAAACGTCATGGGCATGTACATACCTAGGTATGTATTGTTAGACTATCATCCCTAAATGCCGCATGACGCGTCGGCGTCCATTCTCATCAGATCATATAGGTAAGACCTTTTACAGTATCTATTTTCGAATATTTAGGATCTGCAATCCGCCCTATCCATTATCAGAACGCCGTCAGATTATTTTTAATCCAAACTAGGAACAAATAATCCCGGCATATGTAAGTGCGGGCCTAACCTTAAACATTTTAGAGATAGTCATTCCTAAAATGGTTATCTACCAAGGTAGGTAGAGACAACGTGGCTGAGATCTCAAAATGTATGTAGGTTAGTGTCTTTGTATGTCGCAACGAACATTTACCTAGGGCATGTTGCTCGCTCGGTCCCGACAACCGTAGGAGTCAAATGAAATAGCCAATCAGCTCTTTTATTATCAAAGGAGGGCGGCCATTTATAGGAATACATCTACCCACCCATAATCCTTTGTACATGGCATAGTCCGTGCTCAACTCAACCCAAGAATAGAGCTGTCGTCCAAATTTAGTAGGTAACTATCAAGGTACAGCTAACTTCAAAAGCTTCGCGACAAATTAGCATATTAATAGAGTATCGTCTTAACTCGTTTAATACTTACTATAGGCTTAGATCCATACGAAGGTGAGCATCAATAATTTACCCAATTATTCCATATTAACACCCTTTGCACTCTCATAGTTGTCGTGTAGTAGTCACAAGCGAATCTTCCTACAATAACACCCATGGACCGATTAACAAACTTGAATTGCCTCAAGTAAGGAACTAGAAAAGTCTTAGTAGGTTAGATTATGCCCGAGTATTCGAACTCTTCATTATAGTTGCTATAGTTGGTAGGTTACGCAGCTGAGTAAATGATACAAGACATTCTAACACGCAGAGATTGGGTATAATAACTCAATACATAGAACTAAATTATAATAATGCTCCTTTTCAGAAGGTTTCTCAACTAATGTGTAAAAGTTTCGTTACTATGCTATATCTACTAACTACCTCGTTAATAAGTTAAGTAGCAGATACCAGTTGGTTTATAGAGTTGAAATGCCATAATTCTTCGGAAAGTTAAAGCTGCTAACACGGGTTTAATACTTATTAGTAGTCCAAAACTTCACCAACCTCTGATAACCTATGTCGACCATTTACCTCGCCTAGATGTTTCATATCCTAAAGATAGAATACAGCTGAATATTTTTAGTAGTAGTTTATGAAACCCAATTTCTTGCACCAAAAGCATGATTTATAAGACGGCTCTTACCAAAGATCGGATGGTCTTGGCTTTAGAAAGGTTAGAAAGTAGCTTGGGTTTAAAGCCCATCGACATATATCGTCGAAGAAAAATCATTCAATGGAGATAACGGAAAGTGAAATATTACCGTCGTGTAGCTATAGGCCCTTTCGATCGTTAACCGCGGAACATCACCATATAATCCCACGTAGAAAGGGTTCTATACTAGCTATTCTTAGATTAAACTGACTCTAAATATAAACATTATTCAACCTATGCATTCCATATTTCATCGGCAGCCCCCGGTACTACATCTAGCCCCGACCGTATTCTAGGTCCGAATAAGCCCTCTTACAGTTAAATGTTGCTAGGGCGCTTATGATAATAGAGCCTACTAGGCTGATAGATGTGGATATCGAGTTATTTAAAGAAGCACTGAAATAATTGTATGTATTCTGGCGATATATTTTCGAATACGTACCTAAAGTTCCAGGGGCAACGTTTTGTTTCCCATATTTTCTTATCATATTCTTTTGGTTCTGTTTACATCTCATATGCTCAATTTAACCATCATAAGCTTGGTGATGTATTAATTAAGTTTGCCCTAGTACTAAATAATGCCATCGTGTCGTCGTCGTCGTCGCAATTTGTTGTTCATGAGTTCAGGGGCCGTTCATTGCAAGCTCACTCCATTTACTCCGTCTCCTTTCCTTCAAGTTCTCCGTGAACTTTGTAAGTAGGTCTGTATTGACGCTTATCAACCGTCTCCTTCCCTTGGAGCTCTTCGTCATCGTTATGCGTGGGCCTATAATGACGCTTTTCCGCATCGACCACTTTGCCCTCCAGTGCTGCGTGTACCTTGTACGTGGGCCTGTACTGACGCTCGCTCAGCTCGGCAGGAACCTATGAAACAGTGGTTAGACTTCAACGATCACGGAAGAATAGGTAAGTATAGCTTGTCAAAGTTACCTCGACAGGTGCTGCCAATGCAACGGCAGCTAGGCCGGCTAGGAGGATAGCTAATAGACGCATTCTGGATTTTTGGAATTGATTGCTTAAGTTATAAGATTAGAGCACACTAAGTGATTAGTTATTGTGATTGAGGGGATAATGCAGTGTTATATATAGAAAAGTGATAGATATATTAGTAGACTCGTGTTTGACAGAATGTTGATATCAAACAAATCTTGGGAAACTTGAGCTATACTCGTCGGGGTAAGTCTAGATTCTATACGGTCCGATGCTCCTCGCATACATCGCTGAGCCTTACCGACGTCTCTTGGCTTGGTGGAGTCGAAGCACCCGGCAGCACGGGTATTTGTTTCCTGATATCACGTATCCCGGACCAACAACAACAGATCTTTGCTGTTTTAGTATTAAGTCATGCACCTCATTTATCATCGGTTACTACGTGATCTTGCGTCCTATTCGCGTAAGTCGTCTTGGAAGTAATTGTAACTCTTTCCTGGGTAGAACAAGTATATTAAAATGGTCAAACTCGCAGTGTTAGTTGGTTCACGTGTCCATGAACCGTCAACACAATCCATGTTTGCGCCATGTCTGCGATGTAACAGCGTAACTTTGATATTCCTAATATGTTCCGTAAGGTAACGTTATTCTCAAATCATGTATCTCGTAGTACGAAACTTGCATACTTCGGTCAGTTTTTGACGCCATTTAGGGACTAGTCGATCGACTGCTTCTGGATCCGGTAGGGGTCCCTCGGTAGTACCCTGTAAAACCCCTTCTCTAGAACCTATTATTTTCCGGAAAATTATATTTTGAAGAAACCAAAGCTACATCCTTCTCCTTCGAGCACTGAAGCAAAGTGTGATCGTGCTACGATATCCGTTGATGCAAGCGCCAAGTCCTCTTTATGTCGTCCAAGACTCTTACAGAGTTACACCACAATTGCCAACCGCTCCGTCACATCCGAAAGTTTTTTAAATTCGGCCGCATGAGATGCCGATATAAACCGCTGGAGCCGATGGGACAGTCAAGTAAGGGGTATCGTATACTCCGCATTTACCTTGCCTGGTAAATATCCCGCTTAACTGCGCACAAGGATATCGCATGTACGACCTTCTAGATTTACGTACGGGCCTAGGCATATCTTCGCAGACACTTTTACGTGGATTTATCCTATTATCAACACCTTCTTTCACGATGGAGGGCAAAGACGAGGAGATAGAAGGACTGTTGGGCGAAAAGCTACCAGCAAGTGAGTCAAAATGGCGACGCTTATCTACAAACGCTACGTTAATCATAATATCAACTCTAAATATCATCATATTCTTGATATCACTCGTTCTTTTCTCGGCAACATTAGGCCATAGGTCCCAACTCAACTTCGAACTACGACAGGCGTCTACTTATAGTAAGATAATGAGCCGAGTCTAATTCAATTGGACATTTATATACCAGAAGCGATAGCTAAGGGAAACACATAGGCCCCTTCTTCGACAGATTGGACTTAGAAATGAGGCCGAGGGCGATCCAAGGGACACTATTTCCAGCTAAAGACAGTGCTTCGATAGCACGGGAGCTTCCAAATGCTGCGGCAGATGAGATGTGGGAAGAATGGGAATTAAGTCGTTTCTATCCCCTGACGCGGGACGAGATTGTGCGGATGGGAAAGGACCCGTCGACCGTCCCAAAACTAGAAGACTCCGAGTGGGGGTTAGGCGATGATGCTTATGTCGGCGCCTTCGATGTATACCATCAGATTCACTGTCTCAATGCTCTCCGACAGAACGCCTATCGCGGGTATTACAAGTTAACAACTCGCAATCACTCGGTCATGGGTCTACCAGAGATTCACATCAATCATTGCGTCGATATCCTTCTCCAAGCATTGCAGTGTAGTGGCAATGTGAACTTTATGACATACCATTGGGTCGCTGGTCAAGAATACCCGCAACCCGATATGTGAGTCTGCAGCTACCCGTTTATCTAGGCTTGACGCACTTCAGCTTCGGGAAGAACTGACAAACTCTTGAAATCTAGGTCGATTAATCGGCAATGCATTAATTTTGAGAAACTTACTGCATTTAGGAAAGAGAATGGGCTTGACCTCGAAAAGTATGTCCAAATAATGAAAAAGTCGTTACATCCAGGAGTAAAGGAGAGACATCAAAGTGATGCATACTACTATTGGTACAATGAAACGAATCCTAATCATATTGACGGAGCAAATCCTGGGGAAGATTTCAACCTGTAAATACCTAGATATAAAATACCTCTTATGAGGTACCTTTTTGATTAAGTACCGATTCCGTAGTTGAGCACCTACCTAAGCGACATGCCTTAAAAATATGTTATATACTTCTACACTACGACGCATCTCCATGAGTACATTAATAATGTGTGTAGCAAGACTTGTCCGTTGTGTGACTTTCTTGCTGAGTCATAATTGATTTCCTTTTAACCCCTCCCCCTTTTTAAAACAAGATTGAAAAAAGGAGAAACCCCCCGCTCCCCCTCACAAAAAAAACCCCCCACACGAGTGATCGTTATTAAGGCTCAGTTTGAGACTAAACTCGGAAGTCCTACGCAATTTTGACTATTTGAAGATGATTGTAATTTATATCATCAATCACTTTCATCTAATATCTCAATCGTGTTGACAGGATCCTGTTTATCAATTTCTACATTGCGCTCGATTTCATCCATCCTTGAGACGAATTCGGTTTGAAGTCGCTTAAGATAACTTCCAAGTGCGGCGTCATCCATATTTGACTCTTGTAGTTGAAGAAGTGTGTCGTGTAAATTCAATATTAACTTTCGACGCTGAAGCAGTTTTCGGGACTGCGAGTTTTGCTTCTTTCTTTCGATACTCTCCGCAAGCGTCTTCGAGACATCCTCAGCAATTTCAATAAATCTTTCTGGGAACCCGATCGCACGTGCAAGGTTTAAACCATAATGTTCTTCTTGGACCTGCCCTGAAGTGATTTTATATAGCATCGTCATTTTCGGATTTCCGCCATCCGTCTCATAGATTTCGGTAGCAAGATGTAGATTCAAAACTCCAGGTCTGTTTCCCAATACTTTCGCTACCAATCCAATAAGCAAGTATACACTTGTTAGCGTCAGGGTTCTTACCAAGCTGTTGAAAGTGAGTTGAGAACCATATGAGAGAATTGCTTTGAATCAATGCCTCGGATATAGCCATTGCTATCGCAAGTCCATCCCTTGTGCTAGTTCCGCGCCCAAGCTCATCGATAATTGCGAGGCTTTTTTCATTAATGTTCCTGAACCAACATTAGCTGCCATTCACCAAAGCAAAGTACAAGTTCAATATACCTTAATATAAATGCCATTTCTCGCATTTCAAGTGAGAATGTTGACATATTAGCTTCAATACTATCATCTGTGGACATTCGCACGAAAAGTTGCTGGATCATCGGAAAAGCTGCATACTGGGCAGGCACAAAGCAACCCACTTGAGCCATCACTTGAAGTAGAGAGATCATTCTGATATAGGTACTCTTGCCGCTCATGTTGCAGCCGGTGATTATTTGGAAGCGGTGTTGTTCGTTTGCGAAGACATCGTTGGGCACAAATCGTTCTGGATTCACCTATAATGTATTAGACTTGAATAACACCGTTGACAAAGTAACGAAATCATCTACCCGTTCGCAAATGGGATGTCTTGCTCCTTTGAGAGCCAATGCACTACCAATTTCAGGCCGGACATAGTCTCGAGTAGTAGCAGATTGGCCAAATGATGCAATCATATCCAATAGAGCAATACTTTCGCAGACACGAAAGAGATTTGGTATATGTCCTCGGATTGCCTCTAGAAGCTCTTGGATAACCTTATCGCTAAGCATAATTGCTTCGTTATGTGAATCCGTGATACGGTGGTTGAACTGGATCAAGATCAAAGTTTGGCATTGAATCCAAGTTCCCTTGCGCACCATGTTTATGAGGACTTCTGGAATTGCTCGATCTTCAAAATCGCTTTGCCTAAGCTGTAACCAATACTTCCGGTTGGCATCAAACTTCAGTTCCGCGGTAATGTTATGTTCCCCTATGGTACATAAGCTAACGAAAAGCTAGACCTGGTAATTACTATTTAAACTTACTATTGATATTTTCAACGTGTTGATGGACATCGACTGTTGCCTCTTTGTATGTTTGACGAGCAACATCCAATAGTCCATGCACTCCAGACTTTCGAATGTCAAATTTTGTCAAAGAGTAAGCGTGTAATTAGGGGTAACTTACTTTAACAGCATATGTTCTCTGATTCCTCATATCAAGAGGTGACTTTGCCGCGACCGCGTCCTCATTAATTGTAGCTGCAATTAGATCCATGGCAGGTCGAATTAGCTCGAGGCGACAGATTTCGCGTATTCTAGTTAGCAGGTCCGTACGTGCTGCTCCTAGTGCCTCGTATATAGAGGGGACGGCTGTGATGAAGGCTTTGATTCCGAGAATATTATTGATAGCCTGTTCTGAAGCGTGAATTGACGACTGATTAGGTATAAAGACAAGCTTTATATGGTTAGCTATCTGGTTTAACTGCTAAATATATCTAAGTAGATAGTCATATTCACCATAGTAAGTAATTTCTCCACGTCTACAAATCCTTTAAGGGCTATACTAAGTCAGTGTAGTGATCAAGAATTGAGGTATTGGCTCTGACCTTTCCGTATTTCAAAGAACATGTCTTCTTTCACGGTAAGCTCGTCTAGAGCATCATATCGAGGAACAAGCGTATTATCAACCTGGCATGAGGGTTGAAGTATGTTGCTTCGTAACATTCTCGAACCCATAGGGGTAAGTGTCTCGTTCAAGAGCCCAAAAAGGCAATCCTTCGACTTTGCGTCCTGGAGGTTCTGTATAAGTTCAAGGGAATGGATGGTGGAAATATCGATCATCATTGTGTTTTCCGATGGCTGATACTTCACCCGAAGCGAATGGGACATAATAGATACGCGACAAGAGAGCTCGATGTACTTGACTGCCTAATTATTATGAGCAGATACACTGAAGAGATATTCTAGAGCTAAGCCTACTGCAGCAAATGAACAAGTTGCGTAAAAGTTGCCCTCGATAGCCACTTTGATAGCTTCCAAGTCTTGCCTAAACGCGAGCGTCTGAATAAATTCAAGACCGGCATTCTCAGACCAGTACTTGCGGTCGAGTGGCTCGACTGAGGCATCTGGAAGTTCTTCCTCGATGATGGCTAGAAGGCTAGATTTGGGGTTAGGCGGGAAAGCTGTATTGACAATTAGTATTGTAGACGGCTCATGTATCTGAATTTTATGAACGGTCTTAACATAGAACTGTGAATCACATATCTGGCTTAGGATAGCCTCGTTTGTGGTAATATTAATGAAGGCAAGGCCAACAGTTGGAGATACACCTCGGGCTTCGGTGACTGCACAGACAATCTCGTGAGATTCGGAACCCCAGACAGACGAGGTTGCACGAGATTTACGACCTGACGCCGTGCTAGCACGACGGCGTTGCCTTGATGGATGGGAAGGGGTTGTTGCAGAGCGACTACCACTGTATGAAGTAGACGAAAATTGGCTCGCAGAGGTATTTGGCCTACGGGGAATTTGTGAGCTACGCGGGTGAGGAGTGGAAGATGTGGTACGAGAAAGAGAATAATTAGCAGCGGTGGTCTGTGGTGAAGGAGAAGATGGCTCTTTACTCGAAGGAGCTTGAGACCCTCGATGACTAGAATGTCGTCGCATTATAAAGTCTGCTTAGACGGTAGAAAGTAGAAGATTGAGTAGAGATAACTACTATGTGAAAGGATTATCAACGAATAGTTTGCATGATGAACCGAAATAGTCGGCTTGACCTTTCGAAAGCGTCAAGTTGCGAGGAGTACGTAAATTATGTTCTAAGGGACTTGAAAAAACGGATGTATTATCAAATAGATCCTAAGAAAATTCAACTTTAACCTTATTCCCCTTTGCCCATGCCCTGTTTGAAGACTGGACGCAGCTTCCATCGTAGTTGTAATTGCCCGGAGCAGGTAGATCCATCGTCAAGGGGCGTTAGCCACCGTGGCTAGTTGATGCCCCTCGTGTTCCAAAGCTAGGGGTTCTAGAAGTCCGGATAAGATAACGATAAGATATAGATTTTCAACTTTTGTTCTTCGATCTATCACTCAATCTACCACCCCGCGATATCATATTTCAATTTACGAAGAAACCGGCGATTGACCGTCAAGTTTTAACCCCTACTCTTCAAAACTACGCGCCGAGTGTATTTACGTATAAACTAAGTAAAAGTCTACGTTTTCTTTTGGTTATTTGTCAAATCTAGCGCGATGGCTACTGTGGCCCCTCCACCCTCGAAACGACAACGACGAGAAGCTCTAGAGCGTTCTCAACTTCAGCAGGATGTCACTCCTCCAGTTATTGAAGCTGGCTCATTCAAGGCGCGATTCGTAGATAACGACGGAAACCAATTAGCTGAGACTATAGAAGTTCCCCTAGCCGATGCGACAGAAAAGAACGTCTCTTTACTGCTTAATACTCTATTAGGAAGGGTATGATATTATCTTCGATTTTATTGCGCAAAAGATACTGGAAAACTAAACTGTGGTTATCTTATAGGAACGTGAAGAGTTCACGCCTTATCGCTTTCGTATACATCTACCGAGCTCTGATACGGTAATTGATAACTACCCAACACCTGCCGAATTCTTAGCTGTGCTTCGTAAACATGGTATCGAGAATCCCTTCGAGACTACGATTACCTTATCCGCCGAGCCCCAAGCTGTATTTAAAGTACAAGCCGTGACGCGCATGTCAAATAAGATCCCGGGGCATGGTGAAGCTATTTTAGCAGCTCAATTTTCGCCTAAGACGAGTAGTCTTTTAGCGACTGGCTCGGGTGATAACACAGCAAGAATATGGAATACAGACAGCGGCACGCCGAAGTATACTCTTAAAGGTCATTCAGGATGGGTCTTGGCACTGGCATGGCGCCCAGATGGACAAAACCTAGCTACTGGTAGTATGGACAAGACAGTCCGAATATGGGATGAATCAGGACAAGCCGTTGGTAGACCATTCAATGGTCATTCTAAATGGATCACGAGCATCGCATGGCAACCATTTCACCTATGGCGTGATGACACGCCGAAGTTAGCAAGTGCTAGTAAAGATGCTACAATAAGAATATGGTTTTCGAATACCGGCGTAACGGAACATGTTCTGTCAGGGCACAAAGTGAGTGCCGATTGTATAAAGCATTCATGTCGGCAAAAGGCTAATAATGGCGCAGGGCAGTGTTAGCTGTGTTAGGTGGGGTGGAACGGATCTGATTTACAGTGCTAGCCAGGATAAGACGATCAAGGTATGGAATGCGATCGACGGAACGCTTAAACATACGTTGGCGTCGCATGCCCATTGGGTAAATCATCTTGCTCTGTCAACAGATTTCGTGCTCCGAACAGCCTTCTATGACCACACAAAGAACGTACCCACGTCCACGGAGGAGAAGCGAACGAAAGCGAAAGAGCGCTTTGAGAAGGCAGCGAAACAACAAGGTAGGATAGCGGAGCGGGTTATCTCAGCCAGTGACGACTTTACGATATATCTCTGGGACCCGGAACAAGATACAAAACCTTTAGCACGACTTTTAGGGCACCAGAAACAAGTTAATCATGTTTCGTTTTCCCCGGACGGAACATTGATTGCTAGCGCTGGATGGGATAATCAAATTAAGATATGGGGCCGGTAAGTCATATACACCCGTCACGGTGCATGTGCTTCTTAGCTACCGATGGACTCATGCAATGGAATGTTGCTAATATGATAAGCAGCGACGGGAAATTTCTCGCGACATTGCGAGGCCATGTACGTCTATATCTCGAATCATGTTTTGTTATTGGTTTAAACCCCTGATAGCCAACCATCTGCATAACTTTGCTGCGGCTGGCGAGGAGTAGATATGATTGCTAACCAAGATTTAGGTTGCACCGGTATACCAATGTGCATTCTCAGCCGACTCGGTAAGTTCTCATTTTATTCATGTTTCCTACGGAAATTTCCGTAGAAAGTGAAGGGAAAATTTTTCTTTGTGCATGCTTGCGATATTTTTAAAGTAGGTGCTGACATGTGATTATTAGCGTTTACTTTGCTCTGGATCGAAAGATACTACTCTGAAGGTGTGGGATATGCGGTCCTTTAAGATGTCAGTTGATTTACCCGGTCATGAAGATGAGGTCTATGCGTTAGATTGGTCGTTGGACGGCCGGCTCGTCGGGTCCGGGGGGAAGGACAAAGCCGTTCGGCTCTGGCGTAATTGATTGGGATTCATAATGTTAGAGCTGAGCCGAGAGATAAGCTCTGTGCTGGGTCCCATAACATCATAAGTTAGACCATTCTGGCCACTAGGATTACATTGGCCTTCTAATGCTAATTCTTGTAAAATGGTAATATGGGAAACTTCTCATCACGGTGACGGAATGGAACTCTGAAGAAATGGGCACGTGGAAGCATGTATACAATATCCGGGAGAAAATCGGGCCCACATTAGTTAGGTGACTTTAACTTCGGCTAGTCTACATGTATGTACTCGTTCCCCAGCGGTGGGCATCAATTCAAAGTTCAAACGATCCAACCAGATGGCACAACCAATTGCGGGCCGTTCCTGCATAAGTTTAATGGCAACCTAGGCTCGGGAGCGTAGCCGAGTTGATAGATTTAACCTGTAGATCCGATTTTCAGCTCGAGTCATGATGCTATTATACATCAATTATACCAAACTTTCGTTCACTTAGGCGAAGAAAAAAAAGGAGTTGGTCTAATGACTCGCAAACAACTTATATACTGGGACTACTTTTACGGTGGCTTGGTTATGATAACTTAGGTAAGAGTATATTGGTGGTAGCGCAACTAGTGTGTCCTCGATATATATAATCCAGCGCTTATTTTGTGAGCGCGTTTAAAAAGCAGATATATTACTGGGTGATAGCTGTGGAGAGAACCTAAAAGACACGAGTTGAGGGGTAGAGAATCATATGCGGGCGGTGGGCCTACATGAAATACGTATGTAGTGTAAAGACGGGAAACGAGGCGGGGTAGTACTATACGCGTGGTTCGTTTAGATATGGAATCGAGTGAGAAGCAACTAACGTAACCTGATGGGTTTAGTTAATGGACTGGTCGAGACATGTTAACGCCAAGAGTGTGACATCCATTCAAAGGTGAAGGCCTTAAACAAGTCTATCCGTGAATATGATTATCTGCATATGATTAGTATGAGTTTGTAGACCTTGGCCCCTTGCTGTATCAATGTAGAGCCGCCTTAAGCTTATTCATGGAAATCTACATGTAGATGACATGGAATTGAGTTGGAGGGTTCCCGTATCTATCGAACCAATACACGAGTTCCACATAGATGAGGCACTTGCAACTATATCTAAGATCGTGCTACTATTTTAAATTGTAGCTTTGTATGGGTTAAGCCAAGCACTACCCGGTAGTTATTGACGATCTGATCTTTGCTACGTGATCAAAAGGGGAGCCCAATTTGTATGCGGGTTTTTGAGAATCTCCCTTGGAATAGATAATCAGGAAGCATGAATGTGGATGGATGTATTAGGTGTCGCGGTATTACATATCAATTGAGAGCCAAACATTGTCAATGCCACGATGGCTATGTCCAAAATAGCTCAACCTATCAAAAGCTTCAATTTTTTCCCCTGCACAACGACAGAGTCGGGGACCCGGCCTACGGGCGGGCCTTGCAAGCATGTGAACAGTCCTAGGGGGTTTCTTAGGCATCAAGGATTTGCCATTTCAGGAAAACCGCATCGAGCCTACATGTGTTTGCATTTAGTAGATGGTTCTAGGCTCTTCGTAAAATCCCAAGATAGCTTGCGTCTAGTCGATGCCTTTTGTACAGGGTAATTCAATATTGAGCTTTTAGCACATCGACGATAGGTGCGGTTTAAGGGAACTTAATTTAGGTATTAATGCATCTTTGGCTTGGTAGGCTAAAACGGCCAATTAGCTTGGTATTGCGCCGGCCTAGCTGCTTTGCGTTCTTTTCTGTTTCTTTTCTGTAGGTGACAAGCAGAATCGGCCGTGATTGGTAATGATGTAGGATAGCCGTGATATGTTGTAGCTGTTTAGACCTCGGGGTTGATTGTAGACTGATGATTTCTGAAACTATCACGTCTTTAAAGTTTGCCCGCAAAGACCCGATTAAACTGGTTACATTGCGGGGAAATTCGGTGGTTTATTCAAAGTCCGTTAATGGTCCAATGTCTAAAACAGCCAATGAGACGTCCCAAAGTGACAATGTGCTCAGACCCTCAAGCATAATTTACAAGATGACAGTAAGCCATGACGGGACGGGAATGAATAACTGAATAGTTAGTTAGTTAAAGGGCGACGTTGAGACTTCGGAACTTTCTGCGTAAGTGGAGACAGAGGAACAAGATAGAAACCACCGGGGAATTCGGCAACTGTAACAATTGCGGGACAGGTAAGCCGGCTGTGAGAGGATTGTTGCATCTATCCCGTCCTTTGACAAGATTCTCTCTCGATGGCAATCCGGAGGGAAGGATTTGATACACCTAACTCAGCTAAGTCCAAGTTCCTAGCCGTATTACCTCTTGTATTACCTCTTGGAACTTGGAGTGCCGAGCTCATGGAGGGTATACGCGTTAGCTTCGGACCAAAACCTCCTGGGTAAAGAATGAAGTTAGAAAACTGGACTGGGTTCGGTAGGAGAAACTACTAGAATATCCTCGATCTCCCTTACAAGGCTGTGATTCGCATTAAGTCCCTAATTTTTTTTTGGTCATACCAAAGCCTTGCGTCGGAGCGAAATGTCCTTGGAATGTATAGAAGAAATCATTCAAGGTTGGAGAGGGAGCTCCGTATTAATATTTGAAATAGAACATATGAAGTCATACATATCCCTGTTCTTCATTGATAGCCTTAGAAGAATTATCATTTCTGCGTAAAAGCCCAACTACTACGTCAAGTGTAGTTGGTGTGGGAATGTGAATCCATGATAGATGGATCTCGAAGTTAGTGGGTAATTTTTAACCCTCACCAAAATTTTTAAATTTTTCTCTTTCCTTTGCAAGGCAAGTCCGTGTGTCAGCTTTACTATCAAACGGCAGAACGGCAGGGAATAGAAGGACTCGACGGCATGTACGCTAAAATAAGGCCCGTTAAACAACGTATTGTACATATTGATTAAGGTAGTAGTAACCCTGTTAGAAGCTCCATGTCTGCTTCCAGTGTTGAAACTTGGTCTATATATGTACCTAGGTACCTTGATATCCTTGGCTCTTTTACCTTTCAAGTACGTCACTGGTCACTTATTTTATTAGCGACTTACAAGTCCTACTGGTGTCCTCCTAGCGCGAATCGATTTTCTACCTAAATCTAAGATACCCAAAGTAGTGACATCAATTTGATCCAACAGCTTTACAGCTTTGCTCACGCTTCTTTAGCAATTTGTATTTTTTTGCGTCACCCTGACCGATCTTGGTTCAATAACCTTTTTTTCCCACTAAGCCTCTCCCGGTAGTATCCGTCTAAGCCCCCCGTTCCCCTCCGCCGTGCATTCACCCGACTCTTAAAGCACATCCGATCTCCAAACTTTTTTTTAAACAAGATTCTAGCTTAAGTGATCCTAGCAACGCCAATTCTTCGACCTTGGAACAACAAAAGCACACATCCAACTAAACATTGGGACCTGTTCCTATGAGCTTGCTATTACAGCTTTACAACATTATCTTTCCCTATCTAGGGTGTCCAGTCTGGAGACATTGCAGCTTGGGCTGTGCTTAAGACCAACTTCACGAGTACGCTCGTCCTACGTTCACGATGACTATCTTTCTAGCTTCGTTGTAAGTGCATTTTTTTCTGACTTTTCAATTACATATTCTACGGACTCGTCAATTTCTAGGCCTTGTCCATTCACTACCTGCTATCGAGCTCGTGGTTCCCATCAACCTCTATTCATATCAACTGCAGGGGAGCTGATTAGCTTGCACTTTTTTTGCGCCTGGATATTGTATCCTGGAATATCTAACCTTTAAATTTTTTTACAGGTTTCTCCCCAAAACTGTTTATTTTAGGCTGCCACATGCGCCACCTGCTATTGAACGCCATAGTCAAAAGCCGAACAATAAAAAGCCATCGAAGCGACCGCCTCTCGAGCTTCGCACCAGCCTTTTCCCCGATCCGGCCATTACTCCTCCTCGAACTCCCGAGGAAGAAGAGGCCTACCTTGACGACGGCCTTTTTGTAAACGAAGATGGCCTGCGGGTTCTTAACGTTTCGGATGACGAGGAATTCATCAAGGCCCCAGCGGATAAGGAATCGCCGAAATGGGGCGGCCGGGCGAATCAGCCGAAGTCTCGAGCGAACTCGCCACCTCCGGCTTCTTTGATAGAGCATGCTAAGACCTTGGAAAAGGCCAAGGAGCTTGGACGCCAAGGGGTTCTCCAACCTCGGGCCACTCGAAGTGACAGTCACGACAGGGTCTTCTCGCATGCCAACTGGCGAATTGTGAATGCAGACCAAGGAAATGGCGGCCTTCGCAATGCTGCCGAGGCAGCAGCCCGTGATGGAAATGCAGAAGAATACTCATGGGTAGGTACGTTAGGCATGCCCACAGATGCCCTAGAGGGGACGCAGCAGAAAGAGGACATCAATGACAGGCTGGTAACCGAATTCAACATGTACCCCGTGTTCTGCACAGATAAGGACTTCGATGGACACTATTTGCACTTCTGCAAGCAAATTCTTTGGCCTGTCTTCCACTACCAAATCCCTGATAACCCAAAGAGCAAAGCATACGAAGACCACTCGTGGCAGTTCTACGTCAACGTTAACCAAGCATTTGCGGACAAGATAGTTAAGAATTGGAAACGAGGAGATACGATATGGGTAAACGATTATCACCTCTTGCTGGTGCCAGGAATGATTCGAAAGAAGCTCCCGGATGCAAAGATCGGTCTGTTTCTACACGTTGCCTTCCCGTCGTCCGAGGTCTTCCGATGTCTCGCTGTCCGGAAACAGCTGCTCGAGGGCATGCTTGGAGCAAATCTGATCGGCTTCCAGATCCATGAATATACCCGCCATTTTCTTCAGACGTGCAGTCGCCTCCTTTCTGTAGAGGCGACACCCGATGGTGTTCAATTGGAAGACCGGTTCGTCAATGTGATGAACCATGCCATAGGCATCGACCCTGTCAATCTCAATGCTCATCGTCAAGATGAGGAGGTTATGAGGTGGATTACAATCATGAGAGACCGTTATAAGGACAAGAAAATCATTGTCGCTCGTGATAAGCTTGACCATGTTCGTGGAGTTCGACAGAAGCTCCTCTCCTATGAGCTGTTTCTCAACAAAAACCCCCAGTGGAGAGATAAGGTTGTTCTAATCCAAGTTGCCTTATCTACTGGCGAGAAGACGGACCTTGACGCGGCTGTTGGAGATATCGTCACTAGAGTGAACTCGAATTGGGCCAACCTCGCCTATCTGCCTCTTGTGTATTTGAAGCAAGATATTCCATACCCTCAGTACCTTGCGCTATTAACAATTGCGGATGCCCTTATGATTACCAGCCAACGCGAAGGAATGAACCTCACTTCCCATGAATTCGTTGTCTGTCAAGACGGAAAATACTCTGACAGGAAGCATGGATCTTTGATTCTATCAGAGTTCACTGGAACTTCGTCGCTATTCGGGGGTAAAGAGTTAACTGTCAACCCATGGAGTTACCGGCAATGCTCCGAGGCCATCAAGCAGGCGCTTGAAATGTCCGACGGAGAGAAGGATGAAAGGTGGGAAGCACTTCGTGAGATCGTCAGCCACCATACCGGAAGCCATTGGTTCTCGAAATTCATAAGCACTCTCGATCAGGTCTATGAAGAACAGCACCGTCATGACCAAACATCTGTTCCCCGACTGAACTTAAATACTCTTGGCCAACGATATTCCAAGAGTCAAAAACGGCTATTCTTCCTCGACCTTGAAGGTACACTAATTCCCTATGGCCCGATGAATGAGATCATCCCCATGAATCCCCAGGTTGGTTAAATTTATTCCTTTCCTTATAACATGTTCGATTCCTAACATATCTGTAGCGGACCTTGGATGTGTTAAACGACCTCGTCGAAGATCCTCGTAACACTATTTATGTTATGTCTGGACGTAGACCAGAAGAGCTCGATCGCCTTTTCCGCCTTGTTCCTAACCTAGGCCTCATAGCCGAAAATGGTTGCTTTATTAAGAAGTCCGGAAGCGCTAAGTGGACCGAAGTTGCGGACCATGATAAGGTTACTACGTGGAAAGAATCAGTTCGAGGGATCTTGCAGTACTATCTGGAGCGAACCCCTGGATCAGAGATTGAAGACCGCAATTGTTCGGTGATATTTCACTACAAGCATGCTGATGACTATGCAAATGCTGAGCGGCAAGCAAGCGATTGGACCGGACACATCAACGAATCCTGCGAGGAGCAGCGGGTTCACGCGACGCAGTTGGATAACTGCGTTGTTGTTGAACCAATTGACTGGACGAAGGACACCGCTGCCGCCCAAGTCTACGAGGACGCGAATAAAGATGCTCAGGACTCCCAAAACAGCCAAGTTGACTTCCTTATGGTCATTGGCGATGGCCGCGAGGATGAAAAAGTTTACAAGTGGGCTAACAGTCTAAAAGGGGGTAATATGGCAAAGGATGTAATCACGGTAAGCTTGGGGAGCCGGAATACCGAAGCTACCTCAACTTTAACGCAGGGCGTTAGCGGTGAGTAACATCCAACATAACTTTATGGAACTGGTCTAATAGTAGTAATAGGTGTTCTTGTGACGCTGCAAAAGCTTGCTGGGCTTTCTTAGACAGGAAGGGTCGTGGCCTTTGCGATAGAGCGGGCGTGCTTGGTAATTGTGGCTGGCGCCTCATAGTACCTTGGAGCTTACATACTGAGCTTACATACTGGTTTTGGCGTATATTCTGGCTTAGAGCCCCTGGGTGGCCACGGATGATAATTCGTATCCGCATTTTCATAGCCACAACAGAGACTCCCCTTCATTAGAGTCCTTGTAACAAAATCGGGATACACGCATTAGAGCGGAGTTGATGAGTTTGGGATTTTACGATTTTCTGCTTTTCCCAAGCCAGTTCCTTTAGGACTGTATCACAACTCACTTAAACACGAGGGGGTTATTTTGGTGATGTACATCGGATCTAGGACGTTATGAGGTGGGATGGATTTTTAAAAGGATACAACTCCATTGAGGGCTGGCAATATGGGGGGGAATTACGTACATAATAATGAACCGTTTGGGCAGACTAATGAGTATTAATGACTAGTGGTGGGTTTAGATAGTACCTATTGGGGATAGGATCATTCATCTCACCCTGTACAGATTATTAGCGGTTGTAACTAGCTTTTCACAACTATTTTTGGTATTTGGTAAAACAATGACAACTCTACGGATCAACCTATTGCTGTATCTTTACTTTGCTATCTTCTCGAGCTACTATTTCCTACTAGGGCATTTATGCGATATATGTTAAGCACATTGCATAATCCTTACTCTGATGGTCACTAATAGTTTACTGGAGTTATTAATTGATTCTTTACATGTGAAATATGGCGCGACATATGAAATCCTTTACTTTATAACTACTACATAAAGGTAGGTTTCGTGTAACGACTTTCAATAACATCCTAAACTGCAACATAAGTGACTTCAACGACGTGACTCGAAGTGGAAACTCCATCCATGAATCTGATGACACGATAACTACTGGGTGCATGGAATGGCTCGACACTCATACGGGATCGGCTGATTGACTGGGCGATCCGGTAAAAGCAATATGATAACTACTACAGCGAAAATCCGACGATTGTGAAACATCAAGCATATCCGAAATTACTGAAGACGCGTATATTAGAATCGGACGATGGAAGGTAGCTTTATTAGGTGCCGGCCTGCATCTAGAATGGTGAGTGTGTAAGGTAAGGTTCGCGAAGACGCGGCGATGGCATGAGGTGTGGCATGAGGTTCCAACTATATGAGTAGGAGATAGAGTCCCCACCAACCGGATGTATGATTTCATATATTCTATTCTGGAGGTGTGGTGCGTATGTTAGGTGGTTATATAAAGTTGAGATGCTTGTTATCATGTGGAAACTCCGGATGATAATGCGGGATACATCAACGGTAGGATCCCCGACGGGTGCAACCCCCGATATAATTCAGGTACCCCATGGTACGAAATCGCCGATGCGTTGTTGATTGACATCGGCCTACATCGGCCTCACAAATCCACAAGGCCTCGTGCAATTTTGTCTCTTACAGTAGTTGAGTAAACCATGAAAAGTGAATAAGTGGTAGAGACGACTTCTTAAATGGTAATTAGCATAATATTCGCCGTCTCGTAGAGCATCTATCTAAAATGTACGTGGCAGCGTGGTTGACATTCATACTATAGGTAGGTGATCTACCTCGTGTCCAGTTTTATAGAGCCACGGTGCTTAATAACCTGTTTCAACTGTTGTTCGATTTTGTTGAGAATATATCGCGGGGTGGTGTCCACGATCAGTACCAGAAGTAATTATATTATGGTCGCTTACAAGACGGATTTCTCCGCCTTACCCCAACTATACAACCGGAGTTCCGCAAGCGGCGAGCGTATATCCTTAAATTGGTTGATCATTGATGCTTATTGAATAATGTGTATATAAAGAATGGGTTATTTCCCTTTGGGCTAGGCTCTGGAGATACTTTCTTTCGGAATTTTGAACTTCATTTAGTCAAGTCTCGGTCTGATGATTGTATACGTATAATAGCTTCCGGACCGAGACAAACGGACGAGATACGAGAAAAACCGCAGAGCATACCTTAGATAGTTTGGGATAAAGAAATTGAATCCCGAATTTGTGCACCGGCGATATGGAATCTGCAAGCCCCCCGAGTCCCCCGCCGACGGCAGAATCGGAGGGCTGGTTCTGGACATGGGTTATAAGCTCGTATCCTAACTAAACTCATTCGAGTCCGGTCCCCTACGAGACACAACGACACATGGCTATGTATGTGTCATTAGTGCCTTTGGTGAAACTGGGGAAAATCTAGATAAAGAGATAAATTTGAACTTATGAGTCTCGAAAGTTTGGAAGTCGAACGCCTCACGAAGTTATTAGTGGGTGTCGTCTGTTTGGGTTGTCTGTTTGGGTCGTTTGCTGCTGGCTGCATACACATAACTAGTTGCATCAGCCTTCTTCTCTGTCTTTATAGGCACTTACAAGAGAAGCTACTATTTATTGTGGGATATACCGAAGTCCTATGTCGGGAAATGTTATGGAGTTGAGGGATGAATAGCGAAACTGAACAACGTGGCGTTGGGCTCTTTTATTTCTTGCCTACGATGGCCTTTATGATGACGGGAGAATTATCGGGAAGTCACAAGAGCCTAGCAGGCATCATCCAAGACGCGATGTTACCGAGAAGCTTGGATATCTGAGCAACTCTCTTGTTTGTTACCGTCCGTTGGCTTTTGCTTTGATGATGTCAACTTTGGAGGGGCAAATATCTTAAGTTTGTGGTAATAGGAGAAAGGTCTTGGACTCGGGTTTGGGATCACGAACAGAGAACGCTACGTGCTATGCAGGGCTTCGTCGGAAAAGATAATGAAATGGTCGAAAGCAATCTGTATAACAGATTCCCTGGCCCCCTGGGCTAAGTGAAGGTCAAAGGACCTGGCTTAAACAGCAAAGAAGTCAATTCTAGTAAAAGAATATGTAAGAGACAAAGCCAGATCCAATAGGTATTGAATGCAGTTTTACCCAGTATACCGAGTTATTCTTGCCTTGATTGAAAACTTCCCTTTTCTCAACACCCGAGCAGTTTTGCAATTCGAATGCTCCTGCTGTAAAATAAAATATCTTGGTAGGTCGCTTCTGGTAGTAAGTAGGTGGTGCCTACCTCATATGACGAGAGAAGGGCGCTGAATAAGCTAATACTCAGGGTTCAGGGTCCAGACCCCACGCGAGTTACAAATAGACAAATAACCCCGCGAGTCCGATATTCGGAGACATCTGACCCTTACGAGAGTCAGGAAATTTCGAATGAGCACCAAAAGTTAATGAACCAATGAACTGATCGCATATTCTCAGCTTGGTAACATCTTTGAATCGTGTCATATTAGGACGGAAATCGAGGATTAGGACAAGGTTGGAAGCAATTGAAGTCTTAAACAAAGTATTGTCAACGCCAAATATTACGCAATGGCTTCATTTCCACCCCCACCAGTTAACACCATTGACTGGTCTAATGTCGGTTTTCGAGTTCGCGAAGGTTAGTCTATATTGTACTGCTGATGTTTCTGCTTCTTAGTAATATGGATGCGCAAGAGGGAACATAACTAACCCCTTGTATCAGTGAACGGACACATTGAATCGCATTATTCACAGAAGACCGGAAAATGGACTCCCCTTCAATTCGTAACCGATCCTTATATCCGCATCCACGGCATGGCACCCGCTCTGAACTACGGCCAACAAGCCTACGAGGGCCTCAAGGCTTTCCGCACTCCATCGGATGATATTCAGGTCTTCCGACCAGACCGTAACGCCATTCGGATGCAGCATTCTGCCGAATTCATCTCGGTCCCTCCCGTTCCTACAGATCTGTTCGTCGAAGCCGTTAAAGCCGCCGTTTCTCTCAATGCCGAGTACGTCCCGCCCCATGAGACAGGCGCTGCCATGTATATCCGACCGCAAATCTATGGATCCAGCGCGCAGTTGGGACTGAGCCCACCTGAAGAATACACATTCTGTGTTTATGTTCTGCCGACCGGTGTGTACCATGGCACACACCCCGTCAATGCTCTTATCCTAGACGAGTTCGATCGTGCAGCTCCCAACGGAACAGGAAGCGCAAAGGTCGGAGGCAACTATGCACCTGTGTTGAGGTGGAGCGACAAGGCAAGGACTGAGGGGTATGGCATTACGCTTCACCTTGATAGCGCAACGCATTCGGAAGTCGATGAGTTCAGCACAAGCGGCTTCATCGGCGCCGTCGTGAACGGGGAGGATGTAACACTCGTGGTACCTGATTCGAAGAACGTGATCCAGAGTGTGACGGCGGATAGCATCACAGACATTGGTCGCAGCTTTGGATGGAAAGTAGAGAAAAGATCCGTGAGTTCCATCTCGAGGAGAAAATATTGATTGCATCCTCACTAACTTGACTCTAGATTAAATACACAGAGTTGCCGAAATTCTCCGAGGTCATGGCTGCGGGAACTGCTGCAGCCTTGGTGCCGATACGGTCCATTACCAGGCGGTTTGACCCTACCTCGCCGGAATCCATTTCGTCTGCTGCTGGAAAGCACAGTCGTCTATCCACAGAGGCGGGATCAGAAAAGGTGACATATATCCCCGATGATAATGAAGACGCGGGTCCGATTTGCCTAAAGCTGTTGACTCAGCTTAAGGGTATTCAGCTCGGAAAGGTCAAGGATGAGTTCAATTGGTGTTTAGCCGTTGGCCGCGAAGATGGTACAAAGGTGACTGGAGAGACGAACGGTACACAGAAGAACGCAGAGACGGTCGACCAATTAGATTAATTCAAATATCGGAAGTGATGCTGTACCCAAGTGGAGTATATCCGACGACAAAAGGCTCTGAAAAGTTAATCTTTATTTTCTACTAGATTACACATTGACATGGAGAAAGACAAAAAACGGGTTGACCTGGGGAAAACGCGAAAATTAGATAGACGAAATTTCGATGCTTTAAGATCAAGATATATATCGATTTGCTATCTGCGTTTCACATAATGTGCCGCACAATATATATCTACAGCTGCCTGATTTAGAAGTTGGATGCATATCCGCATACTTTCGGGATATACTGGACTGTGGTGGTTACTTTGGTTGAATATTCTATGCGGCGCAAACGTTTGCACCAGATTAGTGAGCTCAACTTTCAATCACTGAATACTCTGATTAAGATCGCGGAAGAACCTAATTCATAGCTCTTGAGCTACTTTTATAACTTTTAATAAGCATCATATATTTGCTCCATTGGAAATAGGAACTGGTTGATTGAATCTAAACGCTAAAGAGCGTTACCACATCGCATACTATCGGCATGAGAGATTTCTTTTTTTTTTTCCTTTCCCCCCTGAAAACCATTGCTGCCCTGTAACACCAGCCACCACTAATCTCTCTCCCCTCGAACCCTCCAAGTCCAGATTTGATTACTGTTCCCCTTTACCACGAGGCTAAGTCAAGATAAGGATATCATGTTTCCAATTCGCTGGAGCTTTTGTCCTGCCTGTCATACCGTCCCCCACATATCGATTCGTGGGGATGCTTATCAAGTGACAGGTAGATAATGCGGCACCGAGCTGGAAAGTTACGGTTGCGTTCATGTCTTATTCTAGTTTCATAAATGAGGCCTCGGGTAGACTATTTTAACAGCTTCTATATAAATTACGTATATATCTAATTCTTAGATATAAATAAATTATTGATTATCGACTAGTCAAAATATTCTGGTTGATTTAAAAGTCTTTCTCAAAACATCGAATCGAGCATTTCCTACCGTTTAGGCGTTTAATAATGCATCTTGCATTTTGCACTTTTCCGAGGTTGACCTGTCATTTTATCTTCTATTGGGTCAGCCTCCAAAATAAGCAGCATCCTCTCTTTTTTGTTGGCTTTTACATGCATAGAAAGCAAGACCAGGGGACCTCCCCACGCTGCTTTTTGTCCTCTTATCGTATGGAATGACAGGCAGGCTAATTCACCTAGGATCTGTTGCTTTTTAGAGGGGTCATGGCCGTTGGTCTAGGTCGATCGGATTGTTGGCCCTCTTATATCTCGCATTAGACCACACCGAAATCCAAAATGTATCTAGTGCTACCTGATGACCCCGAAGAAATTTTACATACTCTAAACTACCTACCTACCTTTGATGTTCTCGTATTGGTAGTAATGCCGATTGTTCAATATGGCAGCGCCCAAGATCACAATTGTTGCGGATGACAACTTGTCCGTCAAGCCTATCCCGGATCTCGGGGGCGTTTACCGCACGCGGAGCTTGTCACAGTCTCGGGCGGGTAGGCGCCGTACCGCTTCTCGCCCGTCTCACGAGAGACGCAGTGAGCATCTTGATATTGAGGATGAGGATGACTGGCTTCGAGACGATGGTCGGAAGAAACAAGTCTTCAAAGGAACCGCACTACTCTGGTATTATTACTGGTTTTATCATGAACTTAATCAGTTTTAGGTGTTAATAGCTAATCCCTCATATGAAGGCTGTCATACCAGTCGATCGGCGTGATCTATGGTGATATAGGAACAAGGTAGAACTCTCTTGTACCGCAAATCAGACTGGTCACAAGCCGCTAAAACATAGCATATAGTCCCCTATATGTGTTCTCGAGTACATTCACCTCCCAGCCATCCTATGATGACCTTCTCGAGGTCCTCTCAGTGATACTTTGGTCTTTAACTATCATGGTTACGCTGAAATATGTGTTAATCGTGTTGCATGCCGACAACCAGGGAGAGGGTGGCACGTTCAGTTGCTACTCATTACTCACTCGATATGTGAGTTATTAGTTATAGTTAAGAGGATGTTCTCGTTATTAATACCGCTAGGCTAATATCACGGATCGCGATCCTCGAGAGGCGCGACTCGTGAAGATGGAACGACACGAGACAAATGACATGCGCCCGAGTAATCGGACATTACGCTCAACTCTCGAGAAAAACACGTTTCTACGCGGTTTACTAAAGACTATTGGCGTCTTGGCTGTTTCTATGGTTATTGCTGACGGCGTCCTTACTCCTGCCCAGTCTGTTCTTGGAGCTATCCAGGGTCTCTCGGTGGTGAGTCCCGATATAAGCAGCTCTACCATCGTCGGAACATCATGCGGCATACTAGTGATTCTCTTCCTTATCCAACCTCTTGGAACCACCAAGTTGGCGAGCACATTTGCTCCCATCGTTATCTTGTGGCTTGGATTCAATGCTGGTTTTGGCATTTACAACTTGGTTATGTACGACCACTCGGTGTTGAAAGCTTTCTCGCCCTACTTTGCGATACACTTCTTCGTGGAGAAGAAGACCGCTGCTTGGAAAATGCTTGGCGGTATCTTACTCGCGTTTACAGGTGTCGAGGCTCTCTTTGCAGATCTCGGTGCCTTTAGCATGAGAGCTATTCAGATAAGTTGGTTGTCTTGGTGCTACCCCTGTCTTCTTTTAGCATACGTCGGCCAGGCTGCATATATCAGCGTCCACCCTGATGCATATATGAACCCTTTCTACAATGCCGTACCCCCAGGAATGTTATATCCTAGCTTGATTGTTGCCGTCCTGGCAGCAATTGTTGCTTCGCAAGCCATGATCACGGCTGTTTTCCAGGTAAATCAGTTCATCGATATGTACTAGGAGATATTATGCTAAAAGACTACTCCAGCTCATTAGCCAGCTAATGAAGTTATCATACTGTCCGCAAGTAAAGGTAGTCCACACATCGAAGACATTCCATGGGCAATTGTACGTGCCCTTCATCAATTGGATCCTGATGTGCGGGGCTATTCTTGTTACTTGCGTTTATTCAAATACAACCCGCCTTGGAAACGCATATGGGTAGGTGTCCTCGATTTTCATCTTTCTAAAATCTATGTCCTTTTGTGATGAAATCTAACGTGCTCCTAGTGTTTGTGTCATGTTTGTTACCTTCTTCGATACATCCATGGTGACCCTCGCCTGTTTAATCGTGTGGGGACTGTCCCCTTATCTCGTCTTTATACCGTGGCTTTTCTTCGCTACAGTCGACGGCCTGTACCTCTCCTCAGCGTTAACTAAAGTTCCCGATGGAGCCTGGTTTACAATTACCATTTCAGGGATTCTCACATTCATTTTCCTACTCTGGCGCTTCGGTAAGGAAAATCAATGGCGCGCCGAGGCAGAAGACCGATTCCGACCCGCGCAACTCCTGCACCGGATAGACTCTACTCCTAATAGCGACCTTGTTCTTGGGCCCCGTTGGGGTGGTGGTGCTGTGAGTCGGATTAGAGGGTTTGGTATATTCTTCGACAAGACGGGTGTGTTAACGCCAACTGTGTTCACCCAATTTGTTAGCAAGTTTGGCACTGTGCCGGATGCTATGATTTTCTTCCATCTTCATCCTGCGGAAACACCGACTGTTCCATTCAATGAGCGTTATTCTATCTCGCGTATATCTGCTATTCCAGGTTGTTACAGACTGGTGGTCCGCAGTGGCTACATGGACGAAGTGATCACGCCTGATCTCGCAGCGCTGATATACGAGCAAGTACGGAACTTTGTTATCGATCAAGCCAATGGTAATAATACGAGTCTACCATCAGTGGAAATCGAAGCTGTAGAGGGGCAGGTATCAAGTGAAACTCACGGGGTATCTTCTGGAAGAAATGTTCAAGCGAATGACCAGAGCGAAAGAAACAGGGCAGTATTTGCGCTCGGGGACGATGCGATAAAAGAGGAGCTCGGTAGGCTTGACCGGGCTTTCGCCAGCAAGGTCATGTATGTGATCGGCAAGGAACAAATGCGCATTAAAGACCATCCCGCGTCATTTTTCCGCCGCATAATCCTGACAACGTTCCTCTGGATCAGGGATAACACACGCGCCAAGATCGCCAATCTGAGGCTTGCCATGGATAGGGTTGTCGAGGTCGGGTTCGTTAAAGAGATATAATGCGAAACATTACGAATACTTCTTAGGGATATCTAATATGTAAGACAATTTGGGGGGGAGGGATGAGTACTTTAGGATAAATAAGGACAGTAAAATTTGATATTATTGCAGAACTATGAGATTCCATTGCTCACGCGTCCTAGCGGAGATGCCACACTACCAGTTATCAAAGAAAGGAATCCGTAACCGATATCAGGATTATTGAGCCTCTCTTTCTCCAAAGTATTAAGATACACATACCATGCGTTCCACCACCAACTATGAGTCGTACCATCTCGTCGCATATAGCCAGCAATACCATCCTCGCAAATCCGCTTAGCCCAAGGTTTATCCACAATATAATGTAAACAGACGACTTCCCCATCACGCCAAATATTGGGATGCCAATACTTCATTGTCTTTAAGGCGTTGTATTGCCATCCCAATGCTTTCCACTTTCTAGCGAAGAAGTGAGCTAGGAAATCCTGGTCCGGAAATAGAAAACTAGATAGTAAAGGTGTCGTGTTGAAGAACTCCACCATAGAATCCCATTGAGTCTTGGAAGGCCGAAATAAAAACATACCGCTATTCATGAGGTGATGTGTTCTTGGGCCCCCTTCTTCCGGTTGTGTAGGTTTAGAAAGCGCTGACGGATGAGACTGCGGTGTATATGCGCAATTCTCTGGACACCAATCCTCCAAAGCCCAGGGATCGTGATCTCGGTTACATATACACGCATGATTTGCTCCTAACCAACCCTCCTCTAACAGACTCAATTTGTCAAAGATCGGATCCATATTACGGAAGACCGTCATATCTGCGTCCAGATAGCAGACAGCATCGTAGTCAAAAAGCTCAAACACGCGGAGTTTGGTCCAAGTATCTTCGAAACGCTCGGCGATCAACTCTATCTTATAATTTCCGGGTGGTATTAGGTGGAGGCATCGTCGAAGAATTAAATCACCTCGCAATGATTCAATCTTCAGTACTTTAATTGCATCAGGGCAGAGATTTGGTGTAAACAAGACAACAAGAGGATACTCCGTCTTATGTCTCTTGAGCGTGTCTGCTAGAATCAGAACACCTGCTAAATAACTCTTACGAGTGATCAAAGTTACGTAAGCATAATTCTTAGGCATGGTTGAGGTTATTATTCATGATATATTGTGGTGTAGATCATTAATACTTTCGCAGCTTATCTATTTCACATAATGAGTTCAACTTGTCAGCCATACATGTATTATTAGATAACATCATGCGAGCTCTCTGCGGCATAACATCGCTGGTTAAGACTTAACGACCCCCATCCTGGGCAACTAATCACTATGACGTGCATATATCTGCAAAATCATGTGCTATTAACGATATGAGTTCTGTTTTAGTCATGAGGTCATCAATTTACCATACGAGAAGGTGCCCGGAATGACAAGTATGGTAATAGATTAAGTAAAGATGCGCTTCATATATCAGTATGAGTCAAAAGAAAAGTTTATTAGAGTGAAGATCTGAAATTATTGATGTACTACCCCCTATCTTAGAATCTATGATCCTTTTATTATCTTAGTGGTAATAATGATTACGATGCGTATGGTATGAGACCGCGGAAAGAAGAGTGATAAACGGTTTCTAAATTACAAGGATGATCGACAATCGAAACTATATGCCGCTGTCATATCTATTATTATCTACTTAGTAGTCGACAGTGCGAGATCTTCCCATGTTTAAATTGTGTAGTGTAAGATCTGACACGTGCAGCTTCGTATAATTCAGGTCCATTTTCATCTGGCATAGTAGTAAAACAAAATGCGAAAACAAATCCGCCAAAATCAAAGAATGATCATGTCACACATGACGAAAATGAATGTTATAAGCGAAGATATACCATCGAGGGGTTTCCAAGAAGAACAATGACGAATTAAATAATCAGTATGACAGTGGTGGATATGACGGTTTTTCGTATATGAACCATGGAGCTTCTTGACTAACTAAAGGTGTTTTTTTTAAATTCCTCGTTTTGAGGCCTGTCGGACGTGATGTGAAAGACTACTTTACCGAAGCTTACCAATAGAATTTCCTTCTTAAGATGTCTAACTTCAATGCGACTGTCGAAGAAACTAAGCGTGGCTTCCACGTCGAAGGTTATGAGAAGATCGAGTACGACTTCACATTTGTTGACGGTATCTTCGATATTGCAAAACCAAACCTTGCAGAATGCTATTTGAAATTGGGAAGAGCACTTGCCGTCATGGATAGACAGGTTTATGCCATCTACGGTTCTAAAATCAAGGAGTATTTTGACCACCACGACATCAAACTCACAGTCCATCAGACATCGATCGGCGAAACTGCTAAAAACATGGACACATTCCTCGGTATCGTCGATAAGATGACCAAGTTTGGGATTATTCGGAAGGTATTCTTAAACACCGAGTCTAAAATTAAAGTCATACACTTATCAGAATAACTAGGAGCCGGTTTTAATAGTTGGCGGCGGCTTAGCTACGGATGTTGGCGGTTTCGCTTGTGCTGCGTATCGTCGCAACACCCCTTTTATACGAATACCAACGACCTTAATTGGTTTGGTGTGAGTTTATTTATAAAAAAGGGGTTATAGAAGAATTGCTAATGATGGCCAATTAAGAGACGCTGCTGTTTCCATCAAGGTGGCAATCAACCATGGGAAACAGAAGAACCGCCTCGGGGCATATCATGCTCCCACAATCACGTTCCTTGACTGGAACTTCTTGCGAACACTTCCTACGGCACAGATACGAAATGGATTCGCCGAGCTAATCAAGATTTCGTCTTGCTCTCATCTTCAAGTGTTCGATCTGCTGGATAGATTTTGTGAACAACTGATCGAAACAAAATTTGGCCGGGCAGATGAGTCAAGACCTGAAATTCGCAACGCAGCTGATACTGTAAGACTAGCCCTGCATGCAATGCTGAGAAAGAGAAAAGAGCTAATAAAGCGTTAGATTACCTACGATAGTATCTATGAAATGCTCAAACTGGAATCCCCTAACCTCCATGAGATCCGTCTTGACCGAGTGATAGCATATGGTCATACGTAAGCTTACTATGGAGACATTTATTGTATAAGTTAGAACTGACATACTGATGTGAATAGGTGGTCTCCAATGCACGAGCTCATTCCTGAGACCCCGTTACGCCATGGGCATGCCATCTCAATCGACATGGCCTACTCCGCCACGTTAGCTAAACAGCGTGGACTTCTTTCGGAAAAGGAACATCGTCGGCTACTGGAATTATTCTCAAGAGCCGGTTTGTCAATTGACCATCCTCAATTTGACAACGAAGTTATTGAGAAGGGAACTGCCGCTATCTTGAAGACGCGCGATGGCTTGTTGCGTCTTGCTGTACCAAGCCCCCTTGGTTCATGCTGTTTTCTCAATGAGGTATCTATACAAGAACTAAAACAAGCATTGGCGGTGCATAAAGCGATTGCCAAGACATATCCTCGGGAGGGACTCGGAGTTGAGACCTACGTCGACGGTAGCGACATGGGATATGTAGACTTTGAGACGGAAAGTCTAAATGTCGAGAAAGCTGCTGAAAAAGCTAAAGGTAAGGGTATTCTCCCCCGACTCTATCTAGTTGGAAATCATTATTTTCTACATGTTTTACCTCTTGTTTATTTCATTGTCAGTTTTCACTAATTCGGGTCGCTTTAGTAGTCTCTACAATCGGGGTGAAGGATCCAAGCCAGAGAAATGGACGTACCTACGATGCGCGAGGAACCAAGAGTCACGGTGGTTTGCTGAGAACCAATTCCCCGAGCTTATGCTCAGTGGATATTTCAGATGGTACTGTCAACGGGCAACATAATGGTATTAAAGCACAAGCATAGAATTTCCAAAACCAATGTATACATAAACCAAGTCTGAACTAGCTTCATGTATATTGATAGGTAACAGTAGAAATTAGTATCAACGAAATCGTTCCACTGAATGATATTAGATATTGCGCCCCTGAACCGAGGATAAATTAATACACCTCATAAATATGTTGCGTATTGTGTGCTAATGTTAAAAAACTATGGGATTTTCTAAATTGGGACAAGGTTTTCATGTACATATCGCATTACCGGCATCCTGGCTTTAGAAAGTCTTTCATTACTATTGAATGATGACATGTTAGGAGTTTAACCTAGTATGGATCGATCTATGACTCAAACAATTGCAGATATTAAATAGCTCTCTCTTGGTGACCTCGCTGGTGAAACTATCCCTGATATTGTTCAGACCTTGACTACGGATGGGAAGTCAGGATGTTCGATAAATTTAGAAGAAGGGATACCATACGTTGTTTTGGCTTGATCATGATTAGCTTATTCTTTCTCCCCTCATCGATTTTAATACTGTGCTTTCGTATTTTTGTGAGCTGGATATCTTACTATAGGTCGAGTCGGCGATCTGAGAATGGGATCCAGGAAGAGTTTCCCCAAGAGACGATATTAGTTACTGGTGTAGGAATGGCAAAGGGTCTGACTTTGGCCCGGTCCTTTTATATTTCAGGGCACCGTGTTATCGGTGCTGATTTTGAGGATCCCAATATTCCCTGTCCCGGTCGGTACTCACGAAGTCTTTCTGCTTTCTACCAACTATTAAAATCGAATACCGAAAATGACGCTCAAGTTTATATCGGTCAACTTATCAATATTATCAGAACAGAAAATATTAAACTTTGGGTTTCTTGCTCCGGAGTTACTAATGCCATACAAGATGCTAAAGCAAAAGAGCTCATAGAGAAGTACACATCGTGTAAATGCATTCAGTTTGGTATCCAGACCACCTTTACACTTCACGATAAATGGTTATTTATGGATGAATGCAAGAGGTTGGGACTTTCGATACCAGAAACCCATAGGGTCAAATCCAAGTGTGATGCCTTTCGGATACTCTCGATTTGCGTAGCGTCGAACCCTAAAGGGAGATATGTCTTAAAACCAGTTGGATTGGATGATATTCATCGTGGAATCATGTCAACCTTACCTCTAGAAACAGAGGAGGAGACTCAAACTTACATTTCTCAGTTGCCAATATCAGACTCTAACCCCTGGATCCTACAGCAGTACATCTCTGGTGGCAAAGAGTATTGCACTCATGCCCTTGTCGTCGAAGGAAGAGTAAAATGCTTCTTAGCATGTCCAAGCTCAGAATTCCTCATGAAATACGAGCTTTTGCAAGACTCTGCATTATGGAAAGCGATGCTGAAATTCACTGTCGAATTCATCCGACGTTCACCAAATACCGAAACCATGACTGGTCATCTCAGCTTTGATTTTATGGCAAGCGAAGAAGATATAACCCACCAAGGATTTAAGAGGAACATTTATGCTATTGAATGTAACCCTCGTGCTCATACTGCGGTAGTCTTATTTGGGCAGCAGGGACCAGAGACGTATGCGATGGTGCAAGCTTACCTTACACTTATTCAGAGGAACCGAGGGACAATTGCTACAGATTCAATACTCACGGAAAAGCTATTAGATAGTACCGAAGAACCAATAGTACCACCCGAAAATGCGCAACCACGATATTGGATAGGTCATGATCTGGTATCCCTTTTCCTCTGCACGCTATTTCGGTGGAGTATCGGATCAGATAATTCTAAACACACCATTACGAGCGTTCTCGAATTCACGTCTCACGTATTATTATGGAAAGAAGGAACTTTTGAGATTTGGGACCCGCTACCAGCGTTATTCCTTTACCATGTGTATTGGCCGATTACGATTCTGTCGGCTTGGTGGCAGGGGAACAATTGGAGCAGGATTAATGTTAGCACAACTAAAATGTTTGCCTGCTAGATTAGACCGTGTAAATACTGTATTCGCACGTGGCTTCGCTGAGATGAGACTTACGGATGTCCCTTTCGAAAGCTTTTACCTTTTTTTTCCTCTCTCCCCCCCCCCCCCCCCCCCGGTGAGCTTTGACCAAGTACGGTGGACCATTATGACATTAGTGCCAAAATCAAGAAAATAGGTCAGGGCTGTCCAAAAAAGGCTAGTATGAAAGATGCACAGTATACTATGCGGGGTATATACATGTTTTCTTATTATTTATTTAAATTATTAATAACTTTTAAAATATTCTTTTTCAAAATTTGAAAAAAATATTGTTATTTTAATTGGGGTATGAAAAAAATTATTACATTGGTTATATAATTGTTTAAATTTATTTCGTAAAGATAATATGTTATATATGATATATATACGGGATTCCAAAGTGGTCATAAAGGGTATCACGTGCTAACCTCCCTGTATGAGACTTATTTAATATTATTTGATACTGATATATACAACACGCCAGCCAGAAGTTATATACATGCAACCTGTATCATTATTTTCGCATTAATTAAGGCTATAAAATGATACTAATTATATTTTTTGAAATGGTATATTGGTAAAGTTATTTGAATACGCGTAAGTGTTGTTATTGAATTCGGGTATTTTGAGGGCTATATTTGATTGGCTATTCGACTTTTGGTTGGCCTTATATTTACACTTACAACCTTTTTAATAACACTACGAATATTAGGTCAAATTACATGCAACCTGGATAGTAATTTTTACCATTTTTGAATCAAAATATTGGTGTATTTTGAAAAATAATTGGATTAATATTCGTAAAGTTATTGTGGTATAAGGTTAAAAGGGGTGTTAATTGTGTATACAGCGTATATTAATTGAGCTTATACTGTATTTTTGCCTTACTATTACCTTATTAGACATAGTGCCACCTATTTTCTTGATTTTGGCACTAATGTCATAATGGTCCACCGTACCAAGCTTGGCAACAACTGCTCACATATTTAACATGTAACTACCTAAGTTATATCTTATTTTACTCTACTATTTCAATAGGGTATAATTCTCTTGAACTAAACTCTACGATTTTTTAAAAACGTATATTATATATACGAAAAGATGCTTTTAAATATGCTGGTTTTATATTTTATTTTAAAATTATATTTAGCTGTCAAACTCAATAATAAGCCTAAGGGATAATAATGTATACATCTTTAAATCACCCGACAATTGCTGGCCAAGTATCAAACAGCTGGCGACAATCTTGACAGGGGTTTCCTATGGTGAAAACTTTTAAAAGGGACATCCGTATTCTTAATGAATATAGATCTTGGCAACTGGACAAACATACTGCATGCTATTTTCCTGAGCTCACTTTAAATGATGAAATAATGCGCAATATTCTTACAAATATAGCACCACAATACGTATCTGTTACTCATCAAGGTATTGTTTCGTCTTCGTGAGGTCATTGACTTAATTAGGCCTGTACCCCTATTCAGAATGACCAGATGGAACAAGTCAACTTCGAAATCCCCGACTATGATACTGAAATCAGCAACGGAAGTGATAGACCAAACGCGTCTTAAACTTATAATGAGGACTCGCTTCATACTCACTCAAGTTCAGCGCTCAGCTTTATGATTCTTTCCCCCTTTTGTTTCTTAGCCCCTTTATCCGTATCTTCCTCCCAACCCCACCATGGGACATTCCAATCCCAATTATTTCACATGTACTCTAGGCCAAGCGGCCATTTTAAGAGAAGAAGATACAGAGAGCTCAAAATCATTTAAGACAGTACTAACATTGATTGACGAGCAAGGATGGCATCTTCCCCATCTGCCCGCACTTGGCTTTGCCAACTTCAGGCCGACAGTCCAAAACCACCAGCGTAAATATCTCACTTACACCCATCTCCTAAAGAACCATGAATTGACGGTTTTAAGTGCCCGATATAGTCACATTTTCCGAACTCCGTGATATGTCGAATTCGGCGGCGCTCAAATTATCGGATATCCTAGGTTCATATCTCGAGAACAAACAATCTACAGTCGGATTGCTTTGCTCGAGTAATTTTAACTTTGTTCTAACCTGGTTAGGACTTATGCGACTGGGACATATAGCACTCATCTTAGCGTATGTTTCATCAACCTCTTAGTTAAGAAATATTAGGTAACTCACACAGTCTTATTTCATGATGAAAGCCCAGAACTAGACGCTCGGGCGGTACAACATCTTTGCGCAACTTCTAACACGAGGGTTATTCTTGTAGACAATACTCTAGAAGACAAAACGACTAAACTGGCTACATCCCTGAATATTATCAAAATACCGAGTTATAGCAACAGCTCTATTCTCGATGATGGAGCTCACGACCAGAATGTATTCAGGGGAAGGGAATCTGATGTAGCCTTTCTACGACATACATCTGGCACATCATCAGGTGTTCCAAAGCTGATAGAACAAGGTCAATGGGGGGCTGTAGGTTGCTTGCCAGCCTTTTCACATGCAAACCAGCCAGCTACTTTTACGACTACGCCCCTATATCATGGAGGTTTGGCCGACTGCTTCAGAGCCTGGACCAGTGGAGCCATGATATGGTTCTTTCCAGAGGGCTTTATGCCTATTACAGGGGCGAATGTTGTCCGATCAGTCATCTACGCTCGTAGCAGATGCCCGACCCCTGTGAGATACTTCTCTTCTGTTCCATATGTCCTTCAGCTTTTAGTTGATGAGTGTAAGGGCATTGATATGCTTCGAAGCATGGAGTTGGTCGGAGTCGGAGGAGCTGCTTTAGAGCCTTCTATAGGGGATAGACTAGTGAGACTAGGTGTCAACCTGGTATCTCGACTAGGAAGTACTGAATGTGGCTTTCTCCTGTCTTCACACCGCGACTATACCCACGACAAGGAATGGCAATATTTAAGAGCCACTGAAGACTCCACGTTTCTATCATTTGAATCGAGAGAGAATGGTCTATCCGAACTAGTGGTAAACCCGAGGTGGCCCCTGATAGAAAAGAGAAATCGCGATGACGGTTCCTACGCCACCGCCGACTTATTCGAACCACACGCTTCTATACCTAACGCATGGCGATATCATAGTCGAGCCGATGCCCAAATAACGCTAGCTAACGGTAAAAAATTTGATCCGGCCCCTCTTGAAGATGCCATTAAAGCATCAAGTCACCTAGTACGAGATACCCTTATATTTGGGGCAAACAAAGAGTACGCCGGCGTTCTATTATTTAAAGCTTTAAATCGATATTCGAATGACGATATAATAAACGCAGTTTGGACATGTGTACAGAAGTTGAATGAGGAAACGCAAAGTCATTGTCGTCTGATAAGATCAATGCTAATTCCCATTGAATCAAAAGAGGGGGAAGAACCACTCTCCAAAAGCAGCAAGGGGACTACACTAAGACGCCAAGCTGAGAGTCGCTACTCTGATGCCATCGCCGACGCGTATTCTTCCGATAAAAATACGTCAGTGAAGATACGGAGTATTTCAGATGCGGATATTCTCTCCGCCTTACTTGATCTATTTACTCAGGTTGTAGGCCGTGAAATACACCCGCATCGAGATATTTTTCAACAAGGAGTGGATTCAATTATGTGCATTCAAATGAGGAAGCTCATCCAATCCAACATTCTCTCCGACACATCTATTAAGTTACCCGAGGGTCTTATTTATGATTGCGGGAATGTTCGTGCTCTAGCAGAGGAGCTGATTCGGGTGCGCAACGGCGGCAAGTTTCGCGATTCTCGTAGGGATATCGATGAATGGAAATTGATGCAAGAGCTTGCAGAGAAACATGGCCATTTTAAGATTCATAATGTCGACTTAATCCGAGGAAATAGAGAAGTCGTGGTACTTACTGGCGCTACTGGAATGCTTGGATCACATATACTATCTGAATTATGTTGCAATAATAGGATTGGCAAGATATACTGTTTGCTCAGGGGCGAAAGCGAGCCCATATGTCGGGAGCTCTTATCGAAAGCACTACGGAAACGTAAGCTATTAGGCCTAGACGAATCTGAGCTCTTAAGAGGGAAAACTATCTGTATTCCTTGTCAACTATCTGAATTACACCTCGGCCTATCCGACGATGAGTGGATACGCATTGTAGCCGAAACGACTATCTATATCCATACGGCGTGGTCGGTTAATTTTAGTCTTCCACTCAATTCAGAGGAGTTTCAAAATCATATAAAAGGGACTCAGAATATTATGACTGCGGCGTTATCGAGCAGATCAAGATTCTTCTTTATCAGCTCAACAGCAGCGGTGAGCTCCAACCCATCTGCAACCATCGCGGAGGAGGTCTCATTGGATCCATCACACGCATCACCACTCGGCTATTCTAGGTCGAAATGGGTCGCTGAACGAGTGTGTACAACAGCTCGTGAACAATTATGCAATGCTATAAAGAATGAAGCCACGAGGAACACAGAGATCTCGGTTATTCGTGTGGGGCAGCTCTGCGGTAATGAGGCCGGCGTCTGGAATACAGCCGAAGCATATCCACTACTATTGTCAACTGCTCGCCTCGTAGGGTGTCTGCCGGATTTACCGAACGAAACTGTTGACTGGTTGCCTATGGACCAAGCCGCCAGAACAGTATCAGATATCGTACTATCAGATTGCACCACCACTATGTTATCTGCTCAGTCGAAGACACCTGTCTATCACGTTTTGAATTTTCATAAATCACCTTCGTGGAATCAGCTGCTCCACTGGATCTCAGAGACACCAGGACACTCCCCGTTTGAAATACTGCAGGCAGAACAGTGGTTAGAGCGGTTGGAGCTAAAATTCGGCAGGACACGAGAAGATCATCCAGCCCAGGCCCTCGTTGGGCTGTGGAAACGGAGATACTCTTCCGTGGCTGATATATCTGGAACTCCAAAACCCTCTGACTTCGATGTCACCTCGAGCTTACGGTTATCCCAGGCTATGAGGGATATGAAGCCGCTCAACTACGAGAGGGTTATAAAGATGTGGGACTGGATTGAGATGAACGTGGGTAGGTAGGTAAGGTAGGTAGCTACTCCGAAGCATAGTATGCTTGACCTAACTATGATAATTCGTTTTACTTTTACATAATATCAAATAACTACTTCGGTATTCCCCTGCCGCGAATTCGGCTTGTATATACCTAATGAAGGAATAAGCTGCCTAGAAAGCTAGGAGTATATAAAAGGGTATGCCAAACATGTTAAGCCCCGTATTATCCTCCCTACAATCCCGACGAACTTACTATATTAGGTAGCGAACTAGTCTTGACACAATCTACACTCCGTTCCACGTGGAAGAGATCTATAAAGCAAGGTAGCGGTCCCTTGTTAATAGCAGCTTAATCCGGTAAATTACGCGCAAGACTACCTAGCTCTCAAAGTCAGAAATCATATGCATATTATCAGAGCGGGCTGTGTTCTAGACAGGATGCATCGTGCAGGGGCAAATCTTGCCGCAACTCATCAAGTGACTATAATGAAGTTCTAGGCGTTCCATCTTGCATACCGATGGCTTGCCAGGGTATCTTAATTCGCTAGATGTATAGAGATAGATATCGAGATGCAAGGGAACGTCAAGCGTGACAGGTCACCAGGCTGAAGGGGCGTATATATAGGTAGTCTAGGGGCCAATCGAGTTTCTAAGAATTATCAAAATATGTCTTCCCCGCTCAGAACGGTGTGTTATTGTCTAAACTGTATACTGTATAAAGTTGCCCATGATAATTGTAACTAGATATTCGGCTAAGATAGTTCTGTAGGTAAAATAGGTTAGTTAGTAACGATATAATAGTTTATATGTTTTGAATAAGTCGTTATCAAGTAGCACCCCTATGTTTATGTGTCCACATACTTACGGATACTCAGATGAAATACTGAATAACTACACGTTACCAGTACCTAGTTTCGGAGGCAAAGGTCACAGCATGGTATTGGAACGCCGGTTTATAGACTATATTGGCTAGTATTAGTCATATGGCCATGAGAGAATATTCCTACCCAAACAAGATATTGTATTGTTACGAGAAAAAGTCCTTGGAGTCTTTTATGCAACGAATTCGATAGATGGTTACACCACCGACGCGAAAAAGCCTATAAGAATTCATCGAAATTCCTCCGCATTTCATCACTCGACCAATCAGAATAGCAGTATGAAATCGCGCGATGTAAAAAAAAACGACGAGGCATAACTGCAAACAATCAATCACATTTTCTTGATAGATCAGCGGGAGAAGGGGAGATTGGGAGATTTCATCTGGGGATCATCAGCCAGCTTCGAGGACAGATCCACACGATAAGCAAGGTCTAGTAGTAAATATCAAGACACCGCGTTCCTCTAGGCGCATTTCTTTATCTCCGTTATCGGGTGTCGTACTGTATTTGAAATTATACAACGGAGATAACGTCGCATAGAGACATGGAGACATGATGGTTAGGCTACACAAACAAGACTGGGGATAAGACCGGGGAACGCAGGGAGGCTTGATTGCCGCTTTCTAATCGGGTTAGTATTAATGACATGTCTATTAATAAGACTCCAGTTTGGTTATTGGTTATTGGATATTTTGTGAAATCCACCATATCGGGATTCCCCTATCGTGAAACATACACCGTATTTATGGGAGTATACACATAGACTTAAAAAATAACCATTAACGATGAACTGAGAATATATTATATCTACGTATATTTGAAACAATATAACTAGATGATATAAAAAGATATTACCTTTCAGTAACCCCTAGAAAACAGGTACCCATGCTCTACTTTCAAAACCCCGAAATTGCGAAAGCTCATGAGAAAATAACTTTCGGGATTCGGTTTCTTATTCCAAACATGTATCGGGTTGCACATCGCGGCTCTTCCTTTCTCAGGTGGCATCGCATCTGGTTTGGATGCCGCTTTAGTTACGTCCGGTAACGCTAGGATTGCCCCTCCACACCTTTCAGTTTGATAATTCCTTCACCAGACCCAACCACGTAGGCAGGCAAATATTTCCTATCGAGATAGAGACCAGAGCTAACTTGCTGATTGGAGAAATACATAACACAAGGAGGGGATAACACCTCCCCGTCGCCGGTTCCACCAGGTGCTGCTTTATCTCGGGGGCGTTAACGTACCGGGCGACAGGCAAACTCATACTCATGCCTTGTCTATCTATCATCAGAATGCCCAATCTTCAACTAGATTCGTCATAGATGATTCCCGCGACGCAGTTTCCGGGGTCCCGTGGCTTCGTTATTGGCGAGATGGAGTAAACTATTGATTAGTATCAAGGCTTTGGAGATAAGAACAGGACGGACCCTGGGCAGGCGTCACGATGATAAATGGCGGCCATAGAGACATCTACCAGGCCTCATCGTTGAGCAAGCAATATCTGTGTTCGACTCAGGTTCTGCACATCTCTCGCCCGCGGTAGAAGAGCTTCGTACTTAATCCATTCTGGTCATCTGCACCAGGTACCTATTCATATATATCTATCCAATATGGCAGCAGCAGCGGTAATGCCAGCTTCAGCTGATCCTAAGCCAAATTGGATCCCAATAATCAAGGCGCCTGAAGTGTCACAGCTTGGAAATGATGATTTCAACCCTGCACGACACCTTTCATTCAAGGAGCCTCCGAAGGTACATACCATGAAGGAGCTGGGCTTCGATGAGGATGCAGGAGTATCTCCAATTGCTGTCTCAGAGCCCTTCCCGCTATTCACGGAAGAAGCTGTGATGAGGATGAGAAAAGAGGTACTGAGCCATGAGGTACTCAGCAACTGCCAATATTCAAGCAACTTGGCGCAGTGTCAACTTAGGGGCTTTGCAAATAAGTAGGTCCAGCATGCTTAATCCAGACCAACCGAATCACGCGAGTTTGACTAACTCAATCATTCAATTAGATATGCACCTTTCGTATACGACGTGTGGAAGAGCCCAGAAACGCTGGAAATCATCTCCAAAATCGCAGGTATCGAATTAGTGACGGAAATGGACTTCGAAATCGGTCACATCAATATTTCAGTTAAGACCGAGGAAGAGAAGCAGGAGGAACTCCGAGCATTCAGTGATCGTGCCCAATATGAAGCCGACGAAGGCATCGCGGGCTGTCCTTGGGAGGACGACAAGCCCATAGTAGGCTGGCACACTGATAGCTACCCTTTTGTATGCGTGACTATGCTCAGCGATTGTACGACAATGATTGGTGGCGAGACAGCGCTTCGTACCGGCACAGGAGATATTATGAAAGTACGAGGTCCACAGATGGTAAGGTCTTCTCAACCCAAACCTCTTCAGATGTGGCCGCTAAATTTTGATACAGGGATGTGCAGTAGTACTCCAGGGTCGATATATCGAACACCAAGCGCTACGGGCACTCGGCACAGCAGAGCGCATAAGCATGGTGACTTCGTTCCGACCACGATGCCCAAAAGTACGCGACGACACAGTCTTAACAACTGTGAGACCCATTTCCAACCTTCTGGAGCTGTACAACCAGTTCAGCGAGTACCGCCTTGAAATACTAGAGGAGCGCATCCGCCAGCAGTTGAAAGAGTTACGTGAGGCCAATGGTGCTGGTCGCAAGGTTGCCACACGCAAGCTCAAGGCATTTTTTGAGGAACAAGAAAAGTTCCTCGCACATATGAATCGCGAAATGGTCGACGATGAAAATGTCATCATCGGAAACATCGATGATAGTCATCTACTTAAAAAGAAGGCCGAGGAGACTAAGAAAGCCGAGTTCAAGTCCAAGAAACGCCCGCGGCGTTCCTAAAAATGTGGTTGCAATTTCGAAAAATGGTGGAAATTGTATATTTGGTTCTTAAGTCGTTCGATTATGTTGTAGTGAAGCGAATAGTAGCTATGTGGTGAGCTACGTGGTGTATTTGTTAATCGAATAAGCCCAGCGGCTTGGTCAATCATTCGAGTTAAAATATTGCAGCGTTCTAATAGGTAGCCAATTTGAATTTTTTTATTCGCTGTTCATACCTACCTAGGTAATTCAAGCAATTATTTGCTCTATTTGCATTTCAGGTGGGGGTATCGTTAGGTAGTATGTATGTATCTCAGGCCCCTATTTGATATGGGGGAGGTTGATCCATACCAAATTCTGGCTCACCCATATTATCATTATCGACACGTTCAAATATGGCTTGTCTTGCATTTTGCAGCTCTTCTCTAGCCCTTTTTAGAGTCTCCGTGCGCATATGCAACTCCTGCTCGGCTTCTTGGTATCTTGATTTGGCCAGGGCTAATTGATTGCGTAGGCTATCGTGGGCTCGATAAATACTTGCGCGGGAATCCTTGATCTTTTCGTGGAAAGCCATGTCGCTAAATACGTTGTCGAAAAAGACATCACCCAATAGATCACCGTGTGCGATTTCGACGGCTGGTAGATCTTGTACTTTTTGCGACGCGTGCTGTGCCTGTCGCACGAGTGATAGCATCTGACTGACTTGACTTTCGGCTTTATCCAATGCGTTACGCTCCATCATGTCCGTTAATGTCCCGCCACCAAACATATCCATTCGGCTATGGTCAAGGGCTTCTTCGGTGTAATTGAGCGCTCTGAGAACCCGCTCTTGGGCTTCTGTTAAGAGATGCACAACCTGATGCTCCGCCTCCACCGTCGTGCGAATGTTTTGGTAGGATTGTAAAGCATTCCTAGAGTTCTCTTCTAATCGATCCTCATCTGGAAAACCTGGTGTTGGTCCTTGAAAAATACTGTCATAAAGGTTGTCAAGTTGCTGCTTGGCTTCCATATGACGACTCATTTCAGCCTCTAAATCGCTCTGGGCCTCCAAGGCCTTCGACCGCATTTGTCTAAGATGCTCTTCCATCTCTTTAGCTTGCTGTTCTTCCTGTAAAACAGCGAAATATTCTTTCTCTTCTTTCTCAGCCTTGGCTTCGAATCTCTCGGTCTTGCCGCTTACTCGGTATGCAAAACGTTTCATAACCGAGTCGCGATACCTTTTATGTTCCTTAAACTCTTTAGCCCGCTGTTTGTCAAGCACGGTGATACGCTTCTGGGTAGCAGAGAGTTCATTATTAAGGTCATCAACATAGCGCTTCTGTTGTTCTAGAGCCGGCTGTGCATGATCTGTATCGGAGAGAATACCTAGGAGTTCGATGTTGCGAGGGACTGATTCCCTGATCTTATTTGTGATGGAAGTCATGGTGGATGATGTTTTGTACTTATGACAGATTCGTAGTTTAAAAAGGTTGATCAGGATAGTTTTTTTCTGGGTCTCCTACGACTTATATACCTTTTCATCATGCTATGAAATAAATTAATTTGAGGTAGGATAATTAAGGCACTGCCACCATTAAGGCAACTTTCCATGGTCTCAACCAACCAGTTTAAACATTACTTCATGATGTTCTTTGAACTTAAAAAGATTGTTATGATCGTGGCTGTGTACGGAATAGGTGGCATAGCAGCTATAAGTGGGGATTGTAGAAAGAATTTAGTGTAAAAAGGCCTCCCCCCCACATCGACGTCATACTGGGATTGTTTCACTGCACGGCTTTGAACTTTAGAAGGTTGAGAGGTACCTAACCTCCTATATCAAACCTAACCTAACACTAACACAGCCTTTTAGGTATTTACCTCCTATTAACGTAGTTTTCTACTCCTCATCAACAACGCACAGATTATGGCGAGTATAGCACAGATCAAAGAAACTCCTAATTCATATTAGTAGTTGAAGTAAAAGTTCATCTCGGTTAGGTTGGTTTTAGTAGTTTCTTACCATGGCTAAACTCAAGTCCGCGAACGTAAGCCTCCGAAACTGCCTGAGCTATCCGCGGTGGCGCCTCATCCAGATAATCGATCCGAGCAGTCGCTTGCTTGATAATCTTACCAATATTGTTAGTGGTGATTTTATTAAATGGAATATCGCAGTATCAATTACCTGTTCAGCTTCCGTTTTTTCCACGCCAAGTTTGCGTAGCCTTGACGCCAAATCTACAGGCATCGTTGCCTGCATTACCGCGTTGCAAGCCGCCATGCCTAAGATCGACCCGACTGGTATTGAAAGATATAAACCTGATGCTGCCACAGCCTTGTCTATGGGGTTTATCGCTGCTTGAAGAGCAACAAAGACCGCATTTGCTGAGATACCAGTACCAAAGCCACTATGAATCTTTCAGTAAGCAAACCCCCCTATACATGGCGCAATCCAACTCACCCAGGAAATATATATAACGATTCTATCCAGTTTGTTTTGCCATTCCACCTAAGTATCAAAAGTCCGTAGCAGATGAACGAGATGATTCCTGCGAATACGAGTGGTGCTTTGAAGTATCCAGTCCTATAGTATCGCAGACCGTTAGTTATTGCTAGGGAATAATTGTGGAGGTAAATTTCCCAGTAAGACTACTAACCTCCTTATCCACGCGCCTGTCAGGAGACCTCCAATAGTGTTGCCAATGACGGCTGGCATAAGGTGGGCTCCAGCAACAGTGCTAGAAGACCTTTCCGTAACTTGAAAATAAAGAGGAACAGCGACCATCATCTATTCGTGTAAGTAATCTCAACTTCATAGGGGCCTCGATTTGGATTCGGATGACATACACCAACTTGCGCGGCAGTTTGCAAGACCACTATAACAATATAAGCGAATATCCAGTGTCTTTAGACATACTCTGGGTGCAATAACTCCCTGAGTTAACCCAATAGGAAATAGTGCCCCTTAATAGGGGAAACAAGGAAAAGGGGGCGGGCTTTTGATGTTTACATACTGATAAGGTAACTGAAAACCACATCTCGATTTTTCAACAACCTCAACGGGAAAATGGGTTCCTTCGCCCATCGAATTTCCGCGACGGTAAATAGCGCTAGTAAGAGAATTCCAATTGCAAATAGCGATAGAACGACTGGGCTCCCCCATGGTACCTTTTGTCCGGCGATTCTCAGAGGTAGGAGGACAGCTAAGAGGCCGCCACCCAGCAAGCTAGCACCCAGAAAGTCTATCCTGGCAAGTCGACTCTTTGTGGTTTCGGTATTCGTTTTGCTCTGTTCAGTCGTTAAGTTAGGAAGTATCATCCAGCAAAGGGCCATGGCCAATAAGAATATTGGCGCTTGTCCTAAGAATGACCTTAACATCATTGTAAGTCTCAATTCATGTGCTCATACGGGGCTATTTAATAGACTCACCATCTCCATCCAATCGTATCAGCGAGAAAGCCTCCCGTAGGGCCACCTAAACTTCGACCAACAGTAGCCACTACATTGAGGTAACTCTGCCACGAAGCCACATCTCTCAGAGGAGCCAAGTCTATACCACGGTGAGCTTCGTCATAATAGTCATCTTTAATTATGCAAGGGTTCAATACGTACCAGTTATAATCACTGCGGCCAGTGTCATTATGCCAGCCCCTCCGGAACCAGATATCACGCGGCCGACTATGACCTGCCACATTGACTGGCCAATGCCGCTATTTACACGTATATAGTGAGCCTATATCCACGGATATATACGAATGCTGGAAACCTTACATCAAAGTACTGAAGACAGTCAGTCGCGCTCCTTCCCCTTTACAGGGTATACTAGGGCTTAACTTACGATCCAATGGCAAAAAGAGCATACGAAGTTAACAGGACAGGTTTGCGGCCATATATATCGCTTAACTTTCCATACTATCATTCCACGGTCAGGTTACCAGCTCTCATTGCGGTGATTGCGAGCTTACAAGCGACTGAGTTGCGGCTCCCGCGAGTAAGAAGCTAATGAACAGCCATGTAGAGTTCTCAAGATCGTTGAACTCGGAGGCAATAACTGGATGCGTTGCTATTACTAGTGAGCCATCTGCACTCCCTGTAAATACCCCTGCGAGAATGACGTTAGTAAACTGTTAAGACTTTCAATGATGGAAGTCCTTAGCTCACCAACTAGTAGAGCAAGTACAACTCTAGAGATAAATCTATTGCTATAAGTCTTTGTGCCAGATTCACTCGTAGTCGTCTCTTGGTCACATTGTTCTTCATCAGGTTGATCTGAAGTACCATATACCGACGGAGGCGAAGTGTCTATAAGACTACTACTAGAGGAACTATCGAAATCCCCATCATGAGACCCATCACTGGATGAATCAGTCGTTAAGAGTCTCGTCCTTTCATTAACGAGAGGTTCGGGTTTGTTATCGTTCGCCATTATATCCCTTCAGGCTCAAAAATCCGATATGAGATAGCCGCGCGACAACCGATGGAGATAAAAGTTCGTCAAGCGTTGCCGACAGAAGAAAAATAATTCTCTAAAACGTCCATATGTACAGGCAACTAGGCGCGTCGCAATATTCCGTTCCGGATATCATCTACTATAGGGCCGGTCGGGTGTCTCCAAGTTGGCGGAAAAGCCCGAGTTAGGCTAGAGCTGGAAGCACGCCATGCCCCTGGCATCGCACATCATCAACGTATATAATAACATGCGCCGGGGCACGGATATGAGATATTCCATTATATTTCATTCGCTAAAAAGATATAATACGTTCAAATCCAATCCACGCAGTCACAATTACTCCAATTCAACGTATACATAGTACACCAGCGCAACATTCGTGATTGGTTCTCCTTAATAGCTGGCTAAGTTCAAGTCAGAGTCTTGTAACGTTTACTACAATAGACGTAGAAAGTGATTGTTCGAAGAAAACAAAATGGTATATTTCAAAGTTCTACCTGGATTCCGTGTTGTATCTTTCCACCATATATATCCGTTATGTTCTTTCAAAGTCTAATGTATCCATCATTAAGTACTTATTTACGTCCTAAGTTGATCTCTAACTTCAGCATATCCTGATAGAATCTGCGCTGTTCTCTCGGCACTTCGGGGTTGGAACTCGCAGGGGAATGGTAACGGCTCCAAGATGACGTGGGCGTTGGTAGCCTCGCTATCAAATTCAATGTCCTTGCCTGTTGCAGGACACTTCTTCTTATTAAGATTAAATCCCCAAAGAACACCGGCCCCCGAGACGAACATCTCATCGTCTGCGATATGCTGTCCAAGACACGTCCTACGGCCAAATCCGAAGGTGTGCATCCCAATACCTTCTCGGAGGTTAGGGTATCGTGAGAGTGGCTCTTGGTAGGTCGGCCATTCTTTCTCCAAATAACGCTCGGGGTGGAAGTTCTCGGGATCTGGGTACTGCTCTGGAACGCGGTTCATACTCCTTAAAGAACGAAGTCAGATCAGCCAAATACCATTTTGTGTGTCAAATCTGTAGCAAAAATACTTACCACTCGCATGCCATAACTATCGTGCCTTTCGTGATCTTCTCGCCCCTGAACTCATCATCTTGCTCTGCTTGGTGGGGTACTCCTGTACGAATGTGAGTAAACTTATGTGTTTTTAACAAGAAGAGTCAGTGGCTTACCAAGAGGAACGCCAGATCTCCATCGGAGCGTTTCTTTCAGACATGCCCTAACTGTAGGCAAATCGGCCATATCCCCTGTCGTTGGCATGCGATCACCGCAAACCCTATCAATTTCCTCCTGAGCCTTCTTCTGCCATTCGGGGTGCAGTACCATCGCCATTAGGAAGAACAACATCGGGCCACTAATTGTCACGACACCTACGAGGTTTTGGAATCCAAGCATGCAGCTTGCGAATTCCTCTTCCTGAGGATTCTGCTCCAGATCGATATTACCCTGCTCCTGAAGACCCGTGAAGTACCGGCTTGACCACGTGTCTTTAGGCAGGTCGCCTCGTAGATATCTCCTCTTTGCTGTCTGGAAAGAGTTAAGCCACCAAGCCCGCTGCTCGTCTTCACGTGCCCTTTCGGACTTTTTCCATGGGTTAAATGCCCAGGGTATTGCCCACAGTGGTGTCATCGTGTTGACGATTGGTCCCGACACAGACATCTGGGTCAGGGTACGATCAGCACTATCTCCGTTTTCCTTGCCCTGTGAAGCATCGTCCCAAGCTAGGCGGCTCATTATGCGCCCACAATGTTCCCGCGCATTGGCATGAAACTTTGCAGGGTCGAGGAGGAGCATTGCCAGGTACCGTTTAACCTCATTCTCGATGACCCCAAAGAAATGTGATCGATGGAAATCAGCCATTGCAGCATGGACCCATTTCCGTTGACGAGTCCATGTTTCTTAAGATTGACAAGTTAGCATCTGATAGTATGGCTAATGATAGAGTGTAGTATACCATGTCGGTCCATTAATGCAACATATCCAGGACCAGTCTTGTGGTCAAAGAGAGCCCGAATCTGAGGGCGCCCAGAATATATGTGGCCTCTCTTAACAAGAAGCTCCTCGGCAATCTTATGATCTGATATTATAATAAATTGTTGTCCCATCATACTCGTCCTGTATATCGGGCCATATATATCAGCCCATTCCTTGAACTTCTTCCACATACAAAACCTATCAAGATCGTGAACTCTCCCAACAATAGGGAATTGCTGGGGTCCAGGAATAGTTTTGTTTGATCCATTATCTCGTTTTATCGAAGATATTATTTGACGCAGGACGGAGAATAAGAGGCTCGGTACCGCCAAATAGAGAATAACCAGTCGAATGCCCTCCATCTTGCAGGCTCTTTTATAAGGGATAATACTTATGAGACAGAGGTGATATTCCTGAGACAAGGAAATAAATTAAGTAAAAATATCGACTACTTATAGCCAATATAGGCACCTCCTAGTATTGAAACATTCCATAATTGGTTTTCTGGTTCCGTCCGATACCCTTCTGATACCGGACGCAGTCCCCGCACCAAGACGTCAAGAAATACCTAGAGAACTTTCTCACCGAAATTTGATACGTTCCATCGGATCACACTGTAACCCCAGTCCCCTTAATTCTGCATAACTACTACTCTATTTCAAAACAAAACATACCTACCTACCTATTCACTACGTTATGACTTTGGCTAGCATTACGCGAATAACAAAAGCAATAGGAATCCTTCCAAATCCTATTCATCTCCACGCATAACTACAAGTAACCGAAACTCATGGAGACGGAACGGTAATTTGTAATCAATACTTACATGAATGTATTTGTAAAAGAAAATCATATATGTTTAATTGGCTGCGGTCTATTTTGATGTCTCTCGGTACTTTGCACCGAAGCCACACGAGAATTATCCCTGCTCACTGACGTCCGGTTTAGCTGAGAGGCGATTATACTAATTGAAAACTCGATCGCCTCAGCCGCAGATGTGATACAGCAGACTTGGCAATATTGAATGGTGTTAGATTTCAAGAATCCTTGGTTAAAATTATCCGGTTGCGGCAACCTGAATAGTTTCTAAGATACGGGATTCGAACGCAGAACTACTATACGTCCGGAGCAATGGCATCTATTGATAATCTGGCAGGTTTCTACTGGAGATATTTCATGTGAAGGATGAAATATTTCAATATCGGAAGGGTTATTTCTTGGGGATGTCCGGGCCGCTATTGATGAGCCTATTAGAGAATCTAGCTTGTTGTTTGCTCGTGGTACAAAATTGGATTTCGATTACTCAACTATACGATCTATTCGTCTCTACTAAGCTAATGACATCTCATGATAAAATCATGATAGTATTTTTCTCTTACATAGAAGTCCTCGGATATCACAGGAATCATTATTGGCTTTGCATATTCCGTGGTTCCACCTCTGGCGCCTCCATGCACGACAACATCATTTCATTCGGGGCTTATATAGGTGGGTCAAAGCTAAGGCATAAACGAGGCGTTTACTATTACAATATAAGGATAGTCTTTCTCAGCTCGTGTTACCATTAGGAGCAAGGCGCATTTGTTATACCTATCATGAATCATGAGTCTTTCTTTTGAGTCTTAGCCCAGGCAGGTTTACTTTTGATTTACTGTTGATCATAAGCCAAACCCTTCATGAGTTTATAATATTATAACACACTGTTTTCTAATACCAAGCTCAAATACGCGGTCGTAGATGATAATGGAATTGTAAACATATTCCCTCGCCACCGCCACCGGAGTTCGTACAAGTCTAGGCAAAGACATTCCAGCTGTAAGGAATTTGCACTAAATTTTGACATGGCTAGCACTGCAGGTGTCAGTTATCGTGGTCATCTGAATTCTTCTACTTATATTGAATCTCTGGCGTTTGAGTCAACTTGGTTAAGGTATGCAACAGAACCCGGTTGGCTTACATTGCAGATATTGTTACACCACGACAAGGTTTAGTTATCGACCGACATATCTAGGCTGTAGAACAGGTGGCTGACCGTTTTCGTGTCTCCAAATATCTATGCCGTGTCTCGCGAACGGAGCCGAGATCCTATGATGCCTAGTCCTTGATTGGGCGTCCAAGGATTTGTTGACTGCGAAGTAGATTTAATCCCAACTCTTTGGTAATTTTAATCCTACGTTGTAACATGATTGTGGCATCCCAGGTGACATATATTGACAACTGATACCTGTAACACACCGGCTTGGCAATGATTGAAGACATAGTCTGGGCCCAGTCATTTTTTTTACCAGCTGGGCGCATAACTTTGAGATACCGCTTCCAAAAATAACTACATCTAACCTCGTATCTACGAGGACTTAGCGATGAAGTCATGATCCATCTAGAAGAGCTAGGGGAAGAATTATAAAATTCTATCGTAGGGGTTCTCTAATATTGCCCGCTATATAATTCACTAGGAGTATCCCCTTCCAATGGTCTATTCCTGTGGAGATAGTTAAAGAACGGTTGAACTCAACTTCAACTCATTCCTCGTCTATTAAATAAATTATTCCCTAATGGGTGTCTCCATGAGGAGCACTTCAATCTTTACCCTAATCCGATGAAATATTTTAGATAATCCTTAGCCTGATCACACATCGGGAGTTGAGCGATTGCAAATATGACTTATCATTGTCGTAATCTCAAGAAAAAACCTGGTCCTAGCAGCCACAAGCTTGGTACTTTTCACAATACGAACTTCTCAGTCCGCATACCCCACCGGCGCTGTGCTGGATGGTCGCCATGAGGAGACACGAGCCTTGGAGTTTTAGCCGTATTATTGAAGCTTGTAAGAGCTAGAATGCAGCTGCATGCAGGAGGTATCTATCGACTACTAACTAAGTGATAACACATGTTACTTAGAAAATACGTACCTACCTACCTTAGGTACCTAGGTAGACACACTGCATCACTTCTATTCATGGGGTTAAATAAAAATTCATGCGTATCTACCTGCGTCGAAAATCCTCTGAAAAGGATTTTGGAATGCAGTTTCTCTGATTGTTTAACTCGCCAAGTAACATAATAAATTGATTTATCTTTATAGAAACGAACAATCTATTTTAAAACCTGTAATAAATATTACCAAGTATCATATGACTTTTGAGACCTTTTTAAAGAGGCAACATTAGACAACGTGTATAATTAGTGTAAAATCGTCATGATTAGCGACTATTTCTTTAGAAATGTACAATTCCGAAGGCTTTATAAGGTAGCTTAGACTGAAAGTACGTATCGTTGAGTAGGAATTTTAAGTATTCATTATTTTAAGGATAATGTCGCATATTCCCCTCATTTACTTCTTTAACTTGCCGAAAAGATTACATGAGATTTTAACTGACTTAGTTATAAAACGCATTGAACATGTATGTGTGTATGAGATTTATATGAAAAGTAAAGTGAAAATGTAGTCGTGATAATGTTGGTGGTGAGAAATGTTACCATGATGACATAATTCGGGGTTATTTCCGCCCTTTAAGTATTAATTATCCAGTACTCCTTGCGTTTTATTCTACATTCAAGACAATTACAGTTTATTTGTGGTACTTTGGTAATACTGTTTATGTTTGAAAGATTAAGCTTGTAAAAGCTTTGGGTAGGTCTACTTAAAGGTATTTGCTTAAGCTTGAAAAGGGGCTATTTTAGAGGATGATAAGAGCTAAGAGCTTTTCTAGTATATTACATGCTGGCCCTCATGGCGAGCTTATACTCTTTGATATCTTTGTTGCATCCTCAATTTCTATAGTCTGATTCGTTTCCCGTTTCCTTTATTTCATAGCTTCTACACCCAAGCTTTTCCTCTCCTTCTTATCTGCCTAAGAAAGAGAATATATTATATACGACTCATTAGGTGCATATAATTGGTCCTTTGAGGATACTTCTTCATCTTCACGACCCTACTAACCATATGCATTGTCATTACAACATCCCGGTCTTGTCTTAACCGTAGACTATACGGTCTTCTGCGGGGCCTTTCTTTTGAAAGCACTACAATACCTCAATCACTATTCTTCGCAGGGTTTATGGATCTACTATACCTGTGTATTGTTAGACGATACCCCAGTAGTTCATTATATCTACCTCTTCCTGGGCCCCGCCCATTAAGAAGGCGAATCTGTCCTAGTTAATATCTCGCGCGAAACTTCATATGGATCATCATTGCTTGACTATTATGAGCGTTAGAAATTGAAACGTGCTGAAAGATACGGTATATGAGCTGTAGTTGTATATTGACTTAATCTACCAACTGTATGAGTGAGGAGGGAGGTCCTTCTTATATATACATTCCATGCCAAGATACCATGTACTGTACCTGAGAGTAGTCCCTTGACCACTCATTTCAACAAAACGGGCCGGCCTAAAGAAACCAGTATACCCGAATTCATTGACGTTGGCGCATCTATAAATGGTCTCGTTATGAGACTTTTGCCATTCAAAGCCACACTCGAACCACGAAACTCCTGGGTGCGTGATATCATTATGAGGGAATGCGATATTCTTGGCAGTAGTTTGATATCTTTGCTTAGGTAGTCAAGCTGGGGCAAAACTATTCAAGCAACTGTGTAACGATAGTAAGGTATCTTAATCATTCATTCGAGTCACTTATCAAGGGATATCATACTATGTCAGTTATAAAGGCTACGTACAAAGAAATTTGAAATCCCACGGTAGTCTAGAAATTAAAACATACTACAATCGAGTTCTACATCTTAGACGTCTTTTTCATCCTCAGATGATGTTGTTGTTCGCTGAAAAATACACCTGTGATCCTACTGAGGGGGTAAGTAATATCCCTTACTTTCATCTCCACCTGGATGATCACCAACCACTGTTACACAACTTAAAATACTCGTTGGTCCTCTGGTTAAACAGAACGCAAATTAATGTCGCAGAATAAATATCCAGTTCTCTCAAGAAGAAATCTTAATTGAACTTCCCAGATTCACTTTTAGAAACTATAGCCCAAGTAAGACAATATGTCCCAACCTATTCGAATCGCTATATCAGGAGGCGGGCTTGCAGGTGCATCCTTATTGCAAGCCCTCCTTAAATTCTCGCACTTAGACGTACACATTTTTGAGTCAGCCTCAGCATTCAAAGAATCAGGCATGGCGATTGGAATAGCTCGTAATGCCCTTGCTGCCCTTGAACTCATCGGCCCCTCGGCGACTGAGTGCCTCGAGCGTGCTGGAGCCGTGCCTATGAAAGGAGTCCGCTTCATGCTAGCCCAGGGCGAAAATCGAGGCAGCTTGATCGATGAGGTAGACGGTGAGGTCCAAGGGAAACGAGTTACTAGCATCGTCCACCGTGCCGCATTCCTCCAACAGCTTCTAGCAGGCGTCCCGGAAGAACGAATGCATGTTGCCAAAAAACTTGACGGGACCAAACGTAAAGATGACGGATCTCTCATACTTCACTTTACAGACGGGACCACCCATGAATGCGATATTCTCATCGGTGCGGACGGCATTCATAGCACTGTTCGTAAACTAATCCTTGGCAAGGATGACCCCGCTGCTTCACCCAGGAACACAGGCACCTGGTTGGTGATGACTCTTCAACCCTTTTCCAAAGCTCAGACCAGTCTTGGTAAGGGCACGGTGGATCTTGAAGATGCTCGCGAATATTCTTGGATTGGAGATGGCTCCTTCATACTCCATAATCTACTAAGCGACGGCCAATTGGTGCAGTTCGTTATTGCATCGTACGACAAGGAAGCCGAGTCAACAGATCGTTGGAATCGATCCGTGAGTGCCGAGGAGATTAAAAGACTCTATAAAGACTGGCCATCGCATTTAAGCAAGGCTGTCGACGAGGTATAGCTTTACGTTAGGATTCATGATATCAGTTCCATTTTACTAACAGAAAATATAGCTATTATGTGACCAACACGAACATCAGGGGATGTACTTATGGGAACACCCACCGGCCCACACTTACATATCTGGTCCCATCTGTGTTATGGGCGATGCTGCCCATGCTACCACTCCCTGTACGTATTTTCGTAGGCGTGATGTTTTGTGTCGATAAACTTTTTCTAACAGTAGGTATTATAGGGCAAGGCTCAGGGGGCGGCATGTCTATTGAAGATAGTCTGTGAGTGACTCCCGGAAACCATCGATCATTAACTTTCTTATACATAATCATATCTTGTAGCTAAAGCTCTCACGCTTGAAGCTCTCCTATACTCATCTGACCTTCTACCTACTTTGCCAGTCGTCCAAGAGAAATTCTAACACTATATATTATAGTGTTCTTTCAACCTTACTCGGGTGTGCTAAAACACCTTCTGAGGCGATTACGGCTTTAAAAGTGTATGACCAGGTTCGACGCCCCCGTACCCAGCGTATCGTCGAGTCAAGCTACGGGACTGGCATAATTATGAGAGGCAAAGGTAAGGATATAGGACTAGATTTGGGGAAGCTTCGAGAGAACTTGCTGCCAAGATGGGACTTCATCATCAATTATGATAATGAGAAACATTTGAAGGAGGCAGTAGAGATAATGAGAAGTGAGCTAAAGGGTTAGAAATTATAATGGATATCGACCAAACCAATTATGTTGATAAGTCATATCACTACCTAGAGGTACCTATAAAATCAGGGTCGACGTGAGAATGGCTCAAGGATTCGAGGGGAAGATGGACGTGCCTAGGTTGTTACGAGATTCATTATGCTTAGTTCCTCGTAAAACAAAGAAGTTGTTTCCATGCTGTCTGGTTCCACCTCGTGGCACCCAGTACTAGAAAAAGTATATCGAAACTATCCGTACGGTATACCCGTAAGAAGTACCTATAACTAAAGTAAGTGCTGGTTGGAATATTACTTCATAAAGGAGAAAGCTATGGAATTAACTTCTCCTTAATTTCCATCCGATAGCGCCTTTCTTTATAGCGCCGCAATTTGGCTTCTAGCGCTCACCTACTTCAGCCTATTCAATGACAACCATTCCGGCGATGCTCATAGAAAGGGGCGAGAGGTTAATTAAGGCTACTAGGAGGGAGTAAGTAACTTGAAGCTGGATTTAAAGGGGATAAAGGGTACAATATAAGGGGGGTAGCCTCTAGAAAACAGGTCAATATAGGTACCTAGATAAGGATAGCATCTCTTCTCTAGGCCTGGAAAGAAGATAAGCCCAAGGGCTCGCTATTATCCTCTCATTCCATCATTTCTTATCCAATAGGACCCCAGCCCCTAATAAATTATATTACATGATTATTAATATGAAAACATAATAATATAACGTATGGCAGATCTAAAGCTTTGTTCTACAACATTTTACTTATTTGGCAATAATTTCATTGCTTCATTAACGTTCAAAAAGTGTTTATAAGTCGGCTAGCTCCCACAAGACCTATGTACTAAATTTCTCGTTCGCAAATTGTGTGAGTTAGTCAGTCATATCAACTCCTGCAAGTCTTAGCTACCTGTCATTAATAACACTGGCCGCGACTCTCTAGTATCAACATATCTCATAACGACATACGCAAACTAAAAATCATGGTGTCCCCTTTACTTGACCAGGTGTTAGCTAATCCAGGCATCCTTAGGTTACCTAACAGCATTGCTGAGGCAGATGCCGAGGAGCATATAGGAGCAGTAAAAGGTCAATTCCCACCACTTCTGCTCGTCTCGGCAATTGAACACAAGGGCGCTCATATCGATATCATTCGCGAGTTTGCCCGTGCGTTGGAAATCGAGAGGGTAAGATCCGGGAAGAATGCTAATAACGGACCCTGGATACGAGAATCTCCATTAGTAACAGCTGTTCGGTTAGGTCGGGTTAATGTCGTTGAGTTACTACTTAGAAATTATCCCGATCTTCTTTCTTGGATGAGATTCGAAGACGAAGATAGCAGCTTGAAATCCTCAAGTGAGCCACCTTTGCAACGACATTGCTTGGCTGCGATCCATTATGCTGTAGAATTGTTTGCTGTGGAGCAAGAACCTACAGTTCGTGAAAATTTCGAGAGTTGCGCCTTAGCTCTTGTTATTTTTGGGACTTATTTGGGTCCTCTCAGACCAGAAGCCCAGGTTGCCCGAGCTGATAATTGTACGTTGCCGGCTCATTTCGTTCTAACGCGTAACTTCTTATCAGCCATAAATTCCGGGATGGATCGATATACCACCGCCGTAGTACATCGGACGTTGAATCTACCGCTAGAAAATCACCACCGACAAGTCCTTGTCGGTGATGGACTTGCCGAAATATTAAGCAAAGCAGCCCAGTCGGGAAAACATCCAACTCTTATCCAATATCTCGTTAACCTATCATTTGCAACTGATGGTGAGATCCTTCCGCTCTCGGAGAATAGACTAGAAGCTTTCAACGCAAACCCCATTGCATTAGCACTTACTTCGGAAGCTCGCCAACGGGACGCTATCCAACTTTTACAGATGCTAAAAGGCCCAGTACTTCACCTTGCAGCTCGACTCGGACAGGAGCCGTGGGACTATATAGTTCGGATTCTAACACATGGTAGCATAGCAAGTGAGGCAGCGACAGGAGAGTGCTTGAATTACTTCGTGGAGCACATGAGTTACATCCAAACATTTCTTTTCGATAACTGCTCACTGGATCCCAATATCCGTAAACAATTGCAGGAGCACTGTAATGATATTGTGCAGCTTGCACTTCTAACTGGTAAAAGTTCCATATTTAATTTTTACTGGGCTGTCATAAATATGACTGGTTTTGATACTCCAGAATGGTTACGCCGGGCAATTATCTCTGGTAATAGCGGAGCTGTTCAAATTATTGTTGCTAGATGGATTCAACAAGGACAATCTTTAGAAACAGTATTACCTTTAGTTCAATCGATATCAAGATTTCCCGATGTTAACACTCCTCAGACAGCTTTAAATGACGCCGTTCGGGTCAGACACCTTTCAGCGGTAATTATACTACTGAACGCGGGCGCTGATCCAAGTTCCGTTAGCTCACATCAATGGGCCGATTTCGCAGAGGAGGTGGAAGATAACTATCAAACTCTGAGTCGCTTTGTTTTCATTAAGCTATACTTTGGTTATGGATTTTTTGAATGGGGAAAAGAGTTAGTAAGTGAGGAGGAGATGGAGAACAACCAGGTAGTTGAATATTGTGTGCAACTGATCCTTAAGGCTGCACAACAATATTCTCAACCACCCTCTAAGGAGTAGTTATCTAATTTCTGACGCGCTTTGGTTTTGTTTAGTTTTAGTGGGAGGCGTCTGTTTATATGTTTATTTAAAAAGTATATAGTCTTTGCTGAAGACTAATTTTAGCTGTAAGTCAAGTTATAAATACCAGGTAACTAGTACTTAAGGCAAAAATTATCTTTGATCCATGAAACAAAAGATTGACATAATGACATGTATGTACCTAGATATCTGTTATGTTTAACTTGAAAAGTTTAGAAACATAGTTTCTCCCTGCCAACATTCCAAAGGTAAGCCTGGAATGGAGGACGCGATAAAAGTCTCAATTGGAAGTTTCAGGTAATTAGGTCATCTTAACCAAGATTCAATCCAAGATTTAATCCAAGAATTGAAACTCCACCCAACTCTGACGTCACTGTTCGCTTGCTCAGCGGGACCCTTGATACCCTCGATGTCCTCGGTATTTAATGATATCAATATCAACATTATATATGAATATGAAAGTATCTAAGCTCATATGAAAATTATACCAACCTCGTGCTAAAGTGAAATCTCATACAACAATTTATAACTATGGCTAAAGGATTTGAGACATCTGAATCAATTAAACTACCACCAGAGTTACGATCAAAGCTTATCGATATCGAAAATCAGTTCAATGTCTCAAGCGAGAAGCTCAAGCAAATTACCCAACAATTCGAAAAAGAGTTACGAGAGGGTCTTGAAAAAGATGAATCTAATATTGTAAGTAATTTGACTTTTGTCTTTTGTCTTATTCGCATCAATATTAAACAATAGATAGGCTATGAACATAACATGGGTTCTTGGACTTCCATCCGGTGACGAAATTGGCGAATACGTTACGATTGATCTTGGCGGCACTAATTTACGCGTATGTCGAGTTGCATTAAGAGGACAGCGTAAGGAAATCGATATTAAGCAACACGTTTATCGCCTTCCTCCGTCAATAAAGACGGGAGGCGCTCAACAACTATGGAACTTCATTGCAGATTCCCTAGACGAATTCATCAAATCGCATCAAATTATAGCGAATCGCAATGATCGGTGCGTACTTATTATTATTTATTACTCACTGCGCAATTAACTAAATACGTCAATAGACTACCTCTAGGGTTTTGTTTCTCTTACCCGGCTTCTCAGGATGCTATCGACCATGGCATTTTGAAGACATGGACGAAAGGATTTGATATTGACGGTGTCGAGGGCGAAGACGCCGCGGCACAACTAAAAGGTGTCTTAGCTGAGCGGGTAAGGCGATTGATTATAAAACGATGATAACTTGAGTGGAAGACATAAAGACTAACACGAACGCAGGGTTTACCTTTAGAACTTGTTGCTCTTGTAAATGATACGACTGGAGCGATGGTAGCCTCAGCTTACAAGGATCCGTACACCATCATCGGTGCAATATTTGGCACGGGTTGTAATGCGGCATATGTGGAAAATGTCGGCTCAATACCGAAATTGAAGACAACCCTTCCACCCGATACTCCCATGGCAATAAATTGTGAATACGGCGCGTTCGACAACGCTCATCGCGTATTGCCGCTAACTAAGTACGACATATCTATCGACAAAGATTCACCGCGGCCAGGCGAACAGGCATTCGAGAAGATGAGCGCGGGTCTGTACCTAGGCGAGATCTTTCGACTAGTTGCACTTGATCTTTATGAAAGCGGCCTCATATTTGCAGGGCAAGACGCCGCAAAATTGAGAGAGCCTTATAAACTAGACACTGGCTTCTTATCGGGTATCGAGAATGACCCTCTAGAGACATCTCAAACTCGACTAGAAGAATGTCTAAATATAAAAGTCACATTAGATGAGACAAGGGTAGCTCGTCGCTTGGCAGAAGTAATCGCGGCTAGGGGCGCGAGGCTCTGCTCCTGCGGTGTTGCAGCGATATGCCGAATGAAGGGTATTACGTCAGGTCATGTCGCAGCGGATGGCACTGTCGCAAACAAGCATCCGAAATTCAAGCAGCGGTGGGCCGAAGCGCTTGGTGAGATTCTCGATTGGCCCGAAGATAGGCGGGAAGACCCTATCATCATCACGAATGCGGAAGATGGTAGCGGTATTGGTGCAGCAGTCATCTCGGCCATGACGCTGTACCGAATCCACGGAGGTAATACAGTTGGAATACAAGGATGATAATTTGGAATACTTATAGTGGGATAGTATTGTTACGCGATTCGAGTTGGAGGAAGATGATTTCAAATTTGTCGGTCTTTAGACTCTTATAGAATACTTAAACCCGAAGCTCCCTATCAGGTAGGCTAATATAGAATATAGTAAGCCAATAGTAGCCTTCTATATCTCCAGATAAGCTCCCGCGTGATACTGTTGTAGGTAGTTGGTAAGAAATTCCGGATGTGTACGCCGTCAGACCGCACAATACATACCCCAAAGATCCGGATCTCAACTTGGCATCCCCCCCGCATACATCTCCATCAAACTCGTGGGGATAACATGGGTCCCCACAATCCCCACGAGTACCAACAAGGACACTGATGCAAATGTCATGAGTAGATGACCGGGGGGCTGCTTATATGGTAGTGAATGCCGACAAGTCTGCCGATAGGATTGACCCTTTGTTCCACTCTTATCTAGCTATACCAACTACGTAGAAACTGGACATCGCTAACCTCGGTGCAGAAGGATAGAAACCCCCAATCACGGTCCCAATTATAGCCTTTGTCGTGGGTCACTCGTCAAGGTACCTACTTCATACGTCGTTCATTATAGCCCATGATCTCTAGCATCTCTAGGGACCACGATTCATACCCATGTATTGTCTTAATGCCTATTGGATGATGTAATTCACCTCCATCGCCAACCCCTTTATTGAGGGAGAACCTGGTCGGTTTCTCCTCCCCGCACACGCCATCAATGTGACCCGCGGAATCTTTCAGCGCGCCCGCGCAGGGCCTCTCGGTGGAATGCTCCGAGGGGCTAATGGTCTTACCATTTGACTTTACCTATAAGTGCTAGGTTTCTCGGTTTTATTGATTATCTATCACGTTTCGACGCGTCTGGACTGTTCCCAACAACTTTATCCCCCCCAAGACACCTGACCTGGATGTTCTCATAGTGCCAAGATTTAGGTACTCGTCCGCTCGTCATGGCATCTAATAATGAGATATCGGATTTTGGCAAAGTTGTCGTTGGACATCTCGAGTATTGCGCAGAAAAGGGGCCGCAAAATGAATCCGATCATGCTGACGCCCTTGTTACGACTTCCGAGGCGACTCTAGAATCATTCGCCGACCTAGATGAGAAGAAAATACTAAGAAAGGTCAAGACCCCTCTTCGTGATTATCGAGTTTTTTTAACCTACAAAAGCTACATGTACTAACTCTAGTTTCTTATTTAGATGGACCTCCGCTTGATTCCAATGCTCGCGATTCTATATTTGTTATCTTTTCTAGATAGAGGAAACATTGGCAACGCGAAGATCGAGGGTCTCCAAGAAGACTTAAGAATGAGTCCTGATGAGTATAACTGGTGTCTGACCGTATTTTTCTTCACCTATGCCGCATTCGAAGTACCAAGCAACCTATTATTAAAGAAATTGCGTCCTTCAAGATGGCTTCCCCTTATTATGGTCGCGGTAAGTGAATATCTTGATCATGCTTATGTATCTCTCCCTTTAGTAATACACTAAAGTCATAAGATGATATTCTGGTATATATTTCGATGTCTTTAATGTCAATTGCTAACTATCATTGATCTCTATAGTGGGGGATAGTGATGACATTGATGGGCATAGTAAGGAGTTACCATGGTTTACTTATTGCGCGATTGTTTCTTGGTGTAACTGAAGCCGGCTTATATCCTGGGTGTGCCGTAAGGATTTGATACTCAATTCCAAACAACTAAAACTAATGAGTTCTGAAGTATTATCTCACGATGTGGTATTGTCGCCACGAGATCCAACTTCGCCAAGTATGTTAGCGTGCCAAAGAGCAGTCCTAATCCATAAAACAATGGTTCCCGGTGTTTCTCTTTACTAATGAGGTATTTCTAGGCTATGTTTTTCTCGGCGGCGTCAATAGCTGGTGCTTTTAGCGGGCTGTTAGCTTTCGCTATTGCGAAGATGGATGGTGTCGGAAATCTCGAAGGTTGGCGTTGGATCTTCATCCTTGAAGGAATAGCGACTGTCAGTCAATTTCTGTTTACTCAGGGTTAGTAACGCAACTAACTCATCTAGATTATCGTTGCCGTTCTTGCATTCTTTGTACTGTACGATTTTCCCGAAACCGCCTCGTTCCTCACCGAGAAGGAACGAGAATTTGTCGTGTTTCGCTTGAAGTACCAAGGACAGCTGCAAGGAAAGGAAAGTCCTCATGTAGCCCAAGCGGAGGAGTTCGAGTGGAAATATGTTTTAGCGGCCTTCAAAGACTGGCAGATATGGGTTAACTTATTTGTTTATTGGGGTGTAAGTTTCTTTATTTTGGTACTTGCCCTATCATTCTCAAAGACTAAACAATGCTGCCCATAGGTTGTGTGCCCCCTTTATGGCATCAGTCTCTTCCTCCCGACGATTATCAGAAATCTTGGATACTCTGCAAGTACCGCCCAGCTTATGACGGTCCCGATATATATCACAGCGGCAATCTTAGCCGTTGTATTCGCATTCATATCGGATCGTGTAGGAAAACGTAGCCCGTTCGTCATCTCATTCTTCTTAATAATGATCGTAGGGTTCTCAATGTAAGTGAAAACTCAAAAATAAGTAAATGAATGTTCAAACTGTTTCTAACTGTCTTAAGGTGCGTATCAAGTACCAATCCTCGAGTAATTTACGGGGGTGTCTTTATAGTAGCCTGTGCTATTTATCCAGCGTTCCCTGGCGTGGTCACTTGGCTCTCAAACAATTTAGCAGGTAGCTACAAGCGCAGTGCTGGAATGGCCATCCAAATTGGCATTGGGAATCTAGGCGGAGCTATGGCATCGAACTTTTATCGACAGGGTGATTCTCCTCAATACATTCTCGGGCATGGCTTGGAGTTGGGGTTTATCGGTGTAGGCGTCATTGCCGCAGTGATTCTGGTTGTAGCATACACTTCTATCAACAAGAAACGAGATAGAATCATGCTCCAAGGTGGGGATAGTCAATTCACTGCTGGGGAACTATCCGCCAAGGGTGATAAGGCCGTCACCTTCCGATATATGATTTAGACTTTTAGAGACAGCAGAAAATAGGAGAAGATATGGCTGAGAATGAAGTAGAATAATACCCTTATCGGTAACTACCTAGGTACTATGTCCTTTACTCATCTTTAAATAGAAAATAGCAAAGGCTTCTATGTTAAACTTAATAACTATATGCCCTTATTATAAACAATTCTATAACATTGTCTTTGAAAAAGAAATAGAAGACAAAGGAACACGTTCATAACAATGCAAGACGATAAACTGTACACTCACAAAGAGTTCAGAAACTATTGTTGCTAACCCATTAATAATAATCTTGTTTCCCTCAAATAAGAATATCTTATTAAAATTGATTTGACAGTCAGAAGATTTGATACCATACAACCTTGATAGCACGTGTAATACATACGCTGGTATTAACTTAACTTATCTCACGCCTAAAGGGTTAAAACTTATCATTATGGCACACTCACCACTTCTGCGGACTCTGACACGGTTCACATTGGATAGTAGGAGTGTATCATTGGTGAAGTATGAGCTGGCCCTCGAGGATATTAGTACCAACCTACAACTACTACCCGACAAAACTAATTTTGACGAAACCCGATGGTCTGACCTCCGCAAAGATTACGAAAGTAAAAAGATTCGAGAGTCCAAGAAGCAATTATGTGAGCAGGAACTCACTACGATGATAATGAAGGAGTGTAAGCTTCTGTATACGAATGAGCGTAAATCGCAGCATTATAACAATCTACTTCAGTTCGGGGGAGAGGTGATTCCGACAAGTGTTCAAGCACTGAAAGCGACCCTACTTAAATCTGGACTTCCAGAATGGAAGCCACCGGTAGCTTCAGAATGCTTATTATCTGAAAGCCAGCCTATCCAATGTACATATGGCCAGGTCTGTGCAGCGGAATCGGGTATCCTGGATAGGAGGCTGCTTCATCACTACCTATCCCCGAGATATGTTCCGAAACCACATTTCAAAATGGAGAGGAAGAGACTTGAAGCTAAGAGTGCCGCGTTTGCAGCTTTCGTCGAAGAACAGACATCGGATCCGAACAAACCCAGTTTGATACCGCGTCCGGAGGATGATACGTCCGATGAAGGCCTCTTGACTACGGATGAGTCTGAAGACGATCCTCCAGTGAAGAACGTTAAGGGGTCCAAAGCCAAACTTGGTAAACGGAAAGCACCTGCGAAAAATAAGAAGAAGCGCACAAGAAAGCCGGTGAAATTTGTTAAACTATATGATTGTAAAGCTCACGATAACGCTCAATTAAAATCACAGGGAGTAAATTTATATTCCTTGATGGTACAAAGATTACCTCGTGCAGAATCCCCGGCAATGGAGCAAGTGAGTAGAGCTAGAGTCAAACATGAAATTAAATCATCAATCCCCGAACTCGATGACGACGAACTTTTCGCAGAGCAACTTAGAGTCCACGGCTGCCTATTGCCTGTACAGCTCCCGCACAATGATGTCGCTGAAGAAGAAGAACAGTCTCCTACTTTTGAAGACGTACAAGAATACCGAACCTGGAGAAACCAGACTAGACCATTCTTTAGCGAACGAGACCGATATATGCAGAGCAGAATATACCGTGAGGGGGTACGGGATAATAAGTTGATGCATGCTACTCAGGAACTAGTAGCGTTCTGGGCTAAAATAACAGCTTAATGGTAGCCGAGTAGATTTGATAGATCGGACCCCATATACTGTACCATATATTACTTTCCTTTATTGTATAATATTATTCAGGTCTATATAGACTAATCCCGTGTATCTTCAAGCGTTTGAGAGGACCTTTCAGTATAATATAGAATCACTCATAATATATATGGCTCCGTTCTCCGATCATGTCAATATATAATCATTTATGTACTTAATAATCAAACAATTTTATTTTTCACTGTATGCGTGTATTCGTGAAGTTTTATTTTAATTTACTCGTAAGATATTAGCCTAACTACAGGAGCCAAGTCTACATTGTGCACCCTTTAGACCCGGGTTTCAGCCATCGAGACACTCGTTATCAACATACAATTAATACTATACATTTCCTTTTTTTTAAAAAAAAAAAAGGGAGGAGGGGGGGAGGGGGGGTCCTTCTTCTATTACCTTAGGTGGGTAATATAGAAATAACAATATGAATATTATCAAAACTCTTCGTATTAACTATATTAGGACCTAAGTAATATTGTCTATTGCTTACCCAGGTGATGTCCCCATCTAAAGCTCGATTTCAGGTCCTAACGAGAACATCCAAGATGAATTTAAAGTAAATCCTCAATGACTTCGTTCTACACGATATAAGTCGTGAGTGATCTACCTAGTCATCCATAAATTGGTCGTGTGACCGGGTCGGGGGTCCCATAGGTGGCGTTGGTGCCCAGAATATTGGCACGCGAACACGATAACCATTATTATCAATCTCGGTGTCACTTTCGCCATCATTGTATCGACTTTGTTCCCAGGCACCAATGAAGCCACACGCAGAAGCTCTGATGAAGTCGAATTTCGATTTAACATCATTTCCACATTCCCACTATAATAGAAGTTAGCGATTGTATTTTATATGCTTTAGTAGGAACAGCAGGGAGGAAGGGCGCAAAATGGGAAAGGAAACTTAGGGTACCATACCGGTGAAGAAGGAGATAGGTCGACCATACCAACGTCGCCTGGGATGTAATCCCAGGCTTGCGCTTCGTAGCCATCATATAATGCTGGGACAAGGATTCGGGCATATTCTGGGTGAGGATGCATACGGTTATATTGCCAGGAAGTAACGAGTAACATCAACAAGGAGAACCCAAACCAGTGTCGATCATCTATTTCAGTAGAGGACACATCGCTGAAGAAATAATCCTCCCACGGCCAGCGAGGCTCGGCAAGTTGTTCACGTTCCCTAGCCTCGCATATCTGAAAGCCGTGATGGTATACCGTCATTATAAATCGTACGGCATGGTCCATAAGGGTCCAACTGCTCTTGTCAGGGTTAATTGACAAGTAATACCGTCTTCTTATGTTCTGAATGGCCCTATTTGCCAATGCTACAAGAGTAGTCAGTAAAAATATCTTCCAGGCGAATCAAATGTACAAAGAGACAAAATATGATATTACGTACCAGGCTGTAATGTACTCCATATGGGACATCGTGTATCGGGATTATGCTGTAAATAGTCATCGCGAAATTCAATCCAAGGTTGCATGACAGCAGGCGATCGTATGACTTAAGTAGATGTTAGTTATATCATTTGACTGGAGGTACGAAAGGAATAGGGGAATATTAAATGCTACTTACAATACCTCAAATGTTCAACTCCCGTGTTATTGAGTGTTTCATCATCGATATCATAATTATTCAGACCTATTAAGGTGAGCATTATAAGCGATTGCCGATGATTCATGCGCTGTATTATAGCCATTATCGGGTCAGGCGGGGAATTTGGGCTACTGCCGTCTAATTCCTCAAAAGGATCCGTTAGAGATGTATGTTGATGCTTTCGTGCAAATCCCGTCCAACTGCGACAACAAAGTCAACTAATGTTACACTCAAGAAATAAGTCATGGGGGGTATAGTATAATAGGTACTTACTAGGAATATGCCTTATGCACGGAAAGCCGGTATCTCATAACCCTAAAGAAGTTAATGTGACCACAGTGATAGTCGGAAGTATCCTCAAACAGATTTGTATTTAATTCAGATTCTCTTGGCCAAGGCCGCGTCCAAGTTCGTGCAATATCCATCATCCACCGTTTAAAGGGGATCCATGGCTGACTTATATCGAGAACGCCCTCATTGAAATCTGCGTCATTAACAGGAGGTCTAGATACCTCGTGGGGGATCCCTCTGCCACGCCACCACGCGCTCCACGTGAATGCCGGCAATTCATCAAAGTCGAAAAACCGACCTCTCGGTTCATATTCATCTATAACAAAATCAGGCGGATTGGTTCTTAATGTAGCATACTTATGTAGTATATGCTGATATAACCTATGTCTCTGCTCACGCGTAGGTCGGCCGCGTGGAGAAGGTGAAGTTATATAGCCTTCGAACATGATAAATCTGTTGATTTAATGATATCAAGTATAAATAGTACCAAGTTTAAGCACTTTCACAGTTGCGGAATCATAATCGAGGATTCCGAGTAACGCGAGGCTTATATATATAGAGAGGCTCTCGCCATTAAACAATATCCTCTAACAACGTTGCAACCATGTCTTTTTTAAAACAATGCATTTGATACTGCACATTACGATCCTCATATAGTCCAAAGGGGAATGTAACTACAGAACTATCGTATGGCAATGGCATAAAGCATTTGTTTTTGTTATAGTATAACACACATTTCGTTCCCCTTTATTTTTGATCATCACACCTGTTTATATTTCAGTTCTTAGCTAGAACATTCACTTGATTCTACTTGCAAAACACCAAGTTTACAGTCAAGCTATACGCAAATGCAACAATATAGAACCATGTTGTATAAGTTTATCTTATTTAGTTGATTCATTCTACTAAACAATAGACGCAACAATTAGGTCTGTTTACGTCTTAATTGTGTCTCTAGCTACTAAGATAGCCTTGGCGGTCTTCTGAACAAACTCATCTGCAAGTGATATATTCCCAGCTATAAGCGCCTCCGTTATTCCCGGGAATGTTGTTGGTGCGTAGCCTAGATAATTATGAGTAATTAGTCTTAGCGGGCAGCTAGGAAAAGATGAGAATCATACCAGTATCAAGTCCCGGCGCAAAGATAAGATGCCGATAGAACTCGCGGTTAGGCAGACCACCCTGAGATACGAAGCCTCGCTGGAAGTCTCTAAATTTATGATTTACGAGGGTGAGAAGCTCGGGATCATTGGTGGAAATCGCTTGTTCCTTTTGGGCTTCTACCTCCGCTGCTGCAGTCTTGAAGTCTTGTATAGCATTTTGTAGCGCGGATGTATCCAAAATGGGTGTGGTTGAATTTACCAAAGAGAGTAAATCGTTATAATAACTCTCCATCTGTATACCATAGTTGGGTAGGTCGAACGGTATCGCATCTTGACTCGTGAGGTTATAAACTAAAAGCGATACATACTAAAAAGATGTTAGTTGTTGTTTCGTTCGGTACACAAAGGTCTCGATAGAAAGGCCGTTATACTTGAGCCGTAAACTTATGAATATTAAACCCAGGGTCTCCGAATGTCGACATCTGTAACATCTATCATCAGTATAATGTAATCAAGATTTCCAATATGCATAGACACCGGGAGGCTCATTTGCTACTAAACTAAATTTCCCGTGTTGATTGCCAGCTCAAATCCCCCATAATACACTTACCCAGTGATAAGAATCAAAGTTACTATGATAGTGATAAATAGGATCCGTTGCACCCGGGCCAGAGCTTATATCAATCTAACCATAGTCAGCAGCAACTTTACACATGGGGTATGTCGAATGATTACTTACCGAACCAATTCCTCTGTGGACGAAAGACGTATAGTCACTGCCGCTTCCTAGCACACCGATAGAACCTTGAGTATATTCCAACCAGACGTCGTACATGTTACGTGCATCTTTCCACAAAACCTTCTTCATAATATCTGTAGCGATACTATGAAGCTCTGGAGTCGCTTCTATATATGGCCAAGGTCCAGATGTACCAACATCCTATTGCATATAACGTTAGAAGTTTACATGAATAGCCTCAAGGACTACTTACAACGTTTATATATGATACCGCAGTATCGGTAAGCCAGGGGATGTATTCTTCAACCCACTACAATTGATGTTAGTAACTAGAAACTTCTCCTAGTACCAGTTCAGGGGGATTTAGACATTCGTTGGGGAAAAGATCCCGCCCAGCCAATACAGGTGAATAAGGGGTAAAGGAAACTTCAAATGCTACGAACTTCAGTTGAACCCAAGAGACCATACTCTTCTCCATCCCACGACGCAAGCTGTAAATAGTCAGTGGTTAGGTACATCTCGAAGCAAGGATTCAAAACACAGGCAAGAACGAAAGGTTAAAGGAAGAGACCAAAAATAGCCTTTGAAACAGTTACATACGATGATATTTCGTTTCGGCTTCCATCCCTGGGATAGAAGCTTTCCAAATGCTTTAGAAAGCTCAACTAAAATAGCTGATCCGCTGTTTGGGTCAGCCGCACCGCCGACAATCCAGGCATCGCGATGATTTCCTATCACAATTGTCTCATCTCCAACCGTTCCATTAATTACACCGATCGCATCCCAGATCGGGGCATACGTATCCTCCATAAAATTCGATAAGTTAATTGTTGTACCAGGTGCAGGGCCGGTACTGTAAGACACGTTCAGCTTGCCCACCCAACCAGTGCGGTTGACCTCGTTACCAGCTGTCCCATATCCATCGAGAGCGGCAAGGATTGGAATTGCGTTCGCATACGAAATTGGTATTGAAGGGATATGTGGGAGCACTTCGGGATTCTCTACACGGGGCGAGTCTTCTTTCGAAGGGTACCCCGGAGTAGTCGGGTCGCCAGGATATGTTGAGAGAAATTCCACACTACCCCTTTGTACGCTGGAAGGGTTGCGCGCTGGTCCATCCGGATAAGCCGCGTACCCGTTAGCCTCGGTGATGTCCCCATCTTCAGCGGTATCTGTAAAGATAATCACGCCTATCATACCCTTTTCCTGTGCATTTTTCACCTTTAAGCCCCTAAAGGGGCCTCCGTACTGAGCAATAGCAATCTTGCCTTCCAAGGGTACCCCGAGTTGAACCAGCCTGTCAAAATCAACCTGCTGGCCACGTCCAACATAAACGAATTCGGCATCTACGCTGCCGCTAGCTGAGTAGCCGTGGAACGTAGGTATCGCGTCAGGATAGCCCGTCGTTTCATCCTGGCTTAACACGGCTTCCTCCAAAAGCGGGCGATAAACACTCCCGTTAGAATACGTCAAACTTAGTGACTTGTTAACAGGATAGTTCAGGTAAACGTAATAGGAAACGATACTTGAGTTCCAGCCGTTTTCCCCCCAACGTTCCGCCGTCCACTCTGCCATCGACTGATTCTTTCCGGCTAGATGTGCACCATGTGTGTAGTAATAGGACCATTCTGATATACTCGTGTTGGATATTGAGTCTACCAGAATAGTTTCTTCTGGATTTAGAGGTTGCAATGGAGTGGTATCCCGTTTCCCTGTCAAGCTTGAATGCATGCGTCGTTCATGCATGCAAGCTTTCGTCCATGTAAAAAGAGAAAATATGATAAGAGCCTGGGCTCTGCTAATATGAAACCACATCTTGGCGTTATTGTGAAGTGAATAGCAGATATAAGGTGTGCAATTGAGCCATCAGGTTCAAAAATAGGTTTCAATTTATAAATGTCTTAGAAGTTATAGTAAGCTTGACTTCTTAACCCCGCGGAAGTGAACGCATTACCACCGCCAATCAGTGTAGATCGTAAATATGCCGGTTTGAGTCTTCTACATGAAAATGACGGTTCGGTATGGGTCTAATCTGCGGGGGCTATGTGGCATTCCAAGTAATCAGCGTCGCACATCTCTTTATCCTCAAGCCATGAAATCATACATATTCGCCAAGCTAGGCAGCTGGCGTGAATATTGTCTCTTCAAGTGTTACCAATTAGATCATCCAACCTAGCAATTAGCAATCGATAATTGACAATCAGGTTATTACTTTGATCTGAAGTAAAAATACACCTAGAGGTATTAAGTGTAAATAAAATAGATTTTACGTTATAATCTTATGTCAATATTTATCATCTAAAATTCAAACCCCGATGAGAAGTTGTAATACCTCACCATGCAATATTACACGCCTGTTCGACTCCTTATTGATACAAACATGCCTGTTAACCCTTATCATCCCGAGTCACCAAATGCCGCCTTATTTCCTTAATCCTTTCTTCCTAGATGCTCATCAAGCGATGATTCCGTCGTCGATGACCCGTTTGGTGTATAATACGGACACCCAGGAGTATATCTAAACCCATCGGCAACGAAGCGTGAATCATTTGACCCCTCGTCATAAGCCGGAAGTTCCTCGTCAATAGATGCGTAATCCGGGAAAGCCGAAGCCGGGCTAGGAGGCGCTGGGATTACGTGTTGCTGTCTCTGATGGGCGTATTCATGAGAACGGCCCTCTTCTGCCGCAACTAAATCGCCCACGACGCTAGCAACTGCACGGAATTGCGCAATCTCCTGTTCCATCGTCGTAGAAAGGTTATCCTCCTCTTCATTTTCAGATCCATGCAGTTGTCTCATGAAGGCCTCCTTTTCCTTTTCCTCATTTTCAATCTCTTGGCGTCTTACACTTTCCCTTACCCACCCAACGATTTCGGAATACCTGGTTCCGATAGCCGCGCGTCTATTAGTCCAGGCATTGCGGCGACACTGACGACGAGCCTCTCGGGTTTGGCATCGACTGGCACAGGAACTACGTCGACTTTTGCGAGATGCGGCGAAACAGCGCGTATAAGCAGTACCAACTAGTAGGGCAAGTATGATGAATGTAATCACGATGTGAACAACTGGTAAATGGGGGGGTGGACCGCGGTGTTCAAAATGCTTCATTGTATTAGTCAACGGGTTATTATATAGCTATACAGGATACTTACAGGATTGTGGTGTGGATGCGGAGGCATCCCTTCATGCGGTCTGAAACCTGGAGGTGGCGGTCCATTGTGGTGGTTCGGCATTGGTGGAGGTAAATCGGCACCATCGTCAATAATACGAGGCGGCGGTTCGGGTTTACCATCGCCAAACTTCCTAGTCGGTCGCTGAAAAGTCAGTACTAAGTTCCATATCATATGCCATTCCCTTGAAGCTTACCATGTCATCATTAGGTCCAGTACCTAATATAAAGCTCTCCTGGGTCGTGTCATCCTCTAGAATTTGATGACTTGGTGGTGGGTGAGCGTGTGGTGGGTGCTCTTCGTAAAACTCGTGAGGTGGAGGTGGGGGTGGGGGTGCGCAATCACAGAACGGAGGCGGTTGGTGAAAATGAGGGGGTTCGTGATGGGGAGGCCCATGAGGGGGAGGTCCATGAGGAGGCCCATGAGGAGGTCCATGAGGAGGTTGATGATGAGGGGGGTGAGGAGGGTGAGGATGAGGTCGCGGGTGCGGACAAGAGTGGTTCTTATGAGCGCCGCCGTCATGCGGAAACCAGTCAGGTCGATCGCCGTGATGAAATCGCCAGCCGAATCTATTCGGTCGACCACCAAAATGCCTTCCTCCTTCAGGCCCATGCCCATAGAGACTACTAGCCATGTGTTTCGCACGCCCGTACATTGTTTTCACAATACATTTCAGACTGTCGCACCTCCAAAATGAATGAAATTCATCAGGACTCTTCAAATCGTAAGTTTTGGAGATGTGTTGCACTTTAGAAGAAATTGCTTGTTCAAGTGCCGCAAGTTGTCGCATCATCGATTTCAATTCGGCCAACTCACTATCCAGAGGTGTTGAGGTTTCCTTGACCAAGTTATCGTCCGTGGCCGTAGCTGGGGTAAGACCCTCAGTAATAGATGCCGTGCCATTGATGAAGGAGATAGAAGGCGGCGCCATCTGTTGGAATTGGACAACAAATCTAACATCATGGGCTTCCTCACCATCTAAAGAGATGACTTCAAAAGTCATCAGCTGGCCCTGAAACTCATCTTCAAGATGTACACAACTAAAGGCCCAGTTGGCGAGAATGGTATTACCATTCTCGGTAATGACAGGTCCAGACCCAGCGCCATTTTCATCTTGCGCAAGCGATTGACCACTTAGGGTCACATTTCCGTAGCCGCACGGAGACGTCGACTCGAGGATGTCAAGACGTAGAGTCTAAATAAGATGGATTAGCTACCTAACTGTCACTTTGTGGTACCTTAGTAACGACTTACAGTTCCACGATGATTAATTTCATCTGAAGTAGAGTTGATATCGAGGTTGATTATCGCATGTGGTACCTTGACTTCAAATGATGGTTACGTGTTAGAAGTACACGACAGATTGCATAATACTTGATGAATTCTTACCCTCTTGTATGGTTGGAAGAGCAGCTGTAAGCAGCGGTGCTAGTAGCCACTGGGCTTTCAGGTAGCCACGCATCGTGCGATTAGGCTCCCAGAAATTATAGACGAGAATAGATAGAACAAGGCCGCCTTAGCATGACAAGACGACGGACTATCCACCCTAAACAATGGTGTTGAAGTGTAAAGAGAAACTTAAACGGCTGCCTACACAAGCGGCCGTGAGGAATATGTAAGACGCCCGAATCCCCCGTGAAGAAAGCCGCGCGGACATTCACTTTAGGAAATCCACCCGCGCTAGAAAATGTCAGGTAATTTTCAAGGGATAAAACAAAGCGGGACTCTAGGTATATTAGATTTATTAGATGGGAAAAACTAGTAAATACCTATAAGAGACAGACATAGCCCACTCTAAGACTGCTTCAACTACCAGCAATTCGCCGATGAAATGATAGAAGCTTTAGTGCTGCCTCTCAGGAGGCTGTGTTAGTTTAACTACGACTTGGTAGGGATAGTAAACCGCATCCACCAATGAGCTGCAACTAGCTGACGAGTCCTTCTAACCCAACTTACACTGGACCAGGATTAATGACGACCAAAATCGGGAGATGGATTCGTACGCACACACACATAGAAGATTATGCGCATATGTCCTATCAAAAGGAAAGTGAAATAAATAAAAGCCGATTTCGTACACGTATGTCGGACACTTATCAACAGATGTAGATATTCAAACCAACAATCCTTTTGAGACCCTCAGAATTGGAAATATCAATTAAGAATCCATATAAAACCGATAAAAGAATATTAGCTAAAACCAAAGTCAATTGACTATCATGTAACTAGTAATTATCTATGATTAACTAAATGGACAAAGGGCATATAAACCATTAATTTAAACGTACGTAGAAACCCTAGGATTAATACTTGAGGTAAATTGATAATTGGGATAGGATGATTTAATGAGACCTTAGATGATTTGATGCTATGACCCTTTCAGCTCAATCCGTGGCTGACTATTAAGTATCCAAGTACCCAAACATAAGGCTGACCTAGAGTGTGGCACGCACGTGTGGCTAACAAGCTAAGGTTCCCGGTTCCGACCCCCACTAAATTCAAGCTTTCCAGCTCCCAGCACTTTGTCACCATATCACGTCGTTAAATCACATCACCAAGCAAGAATTCCTGGTCGCGCAACTCTATTAACAGATATTATACCATACCAAACCCAAGAACTCAATTCATTCGAAATGGTAATTATTATATTTAATTCGTTCCTTCCCGCAATTTGTCTACTTTATGCGCTAACGGGAACATATCCTAGTTGCCCCTCGGTCTCTTGAATGCAGCCCAAGGTCATCCTATGCTCGTAGAGCTTAAGAACGGAGAGACACTAAACGGACATTTAATACAATGCGATACATGGATGAACTTAACGCTAAAGGAGGTCATCCAGACGAGTCCAGTACGCAATTACATATTCATACTCCGACTAATGTCATGGCTAATATCATAAAAATAGGAAGGAGACAAATTCGTCCGTTTGCCCGAGGTATATATCAAAGGAAATAATGTAAGCCCCAATGAGTAAAAAGCCAACCCTGAAATATGTACCTAATCGGACACAAAAGATCAAATATCTCCGAGTACCAGACGAGATCATCGACCTTGTGAAGGAGCAGCACCACGGTCAACAAGGTGGATTTAGAGGCGGCCGTGGTGGACACGGCCAGCAGAGAGGAGATCACGGCGGTAGAGGCGGTGACAGAGGCGGCCGGGGCGGACGAGGCCAAGGAAGGGGTAGGGGCAGAGGCCGAGGAGCTTGAAGACAGACTAGTAGTATGATACCAACTCGGAAGATATGCAGGTGGCCAAGCCACTGACAGCGCTCCCGAACAGTAGCAGCATGAGGACGTATAACACGCCTCCAAGAAGCTAGCAGAGTTGGGCCACAGTGCTAGGATACAGTCCAGATGAAGATACCCAGCCCACCGCGATGGTGTTGGCACAAACAGTACATGTGTATTTATTAAACTGCTGTGAACTCCGAACATAGGCCGCAGGGAGGGCCACGGCGACAATCCCAGTACGCTCCGAGACATATCCTAAACTCCGAGCTGTTATTTCGAGTTTTCCGACTCTTCATACCATGAATATCTTAGTCGCATAACATAGGTACATACTGACAGATAAACAGTTTAATGTTTATTGTAGGAATCCATAATAAGGGAGGACATGCATATACGACTAAAAATCCTAATATTCATAAGGTACATCTATATTGTAAATACATGTTAATAAGTACCTAAGTACCTAACGCATGCGGATGGAGAACCTTAAATAATTCTTAGAGTTGCCAGTTGCCCGTTGCCAGTTGCCAGTTGTCAGCAGCCGTGGTAAAATACAAGTACTGCATCCTTATCCTTATCTTATCATAACCTACCTATTCATTTGCGCCTCAACCGCATGTAGAGTTCATCGTCAACTTTTTTTTAGCCACGCAATGCCAAGGGAGCGCATTGTTCTCGATGGGCTCTGGCGATGTCTATGTCCTTCTGCTGATATAGCCACGCTCTCAAGACTAATTCGTCCTCGTGGCAATGCACACATCCCCAATAGACCGGGTCGGCGAGAGTACCACCGCATACCTGTTGTCCCTCGTACTGACCAGTCGCGCGATGATTACTCCCCAAGTGAGAAAGTACGGATTGAGTACCTGAAACGAGTAGCAAAACGAAGCCCATGGGTTCCCGGAATGCTCTTCGGGGACACCGAAGCTGTAACCGCAAAGCTCGAGTCGATTCCAACGAAAACCATCTACGCTGCTATCAAAGAGCTCACGAGAGTCGAAAACACGTATAAATCAATTGTAAAATTAGTCGAATATCTAGTAAGAGAAAGAAAAGAGAAGCCAAATGTTATCCTCTACGAGAGCCTTATAAGGGCGAATATCGACAAAAATCATGGATCCGCAGAGATCGCCAGTCGATTACTCCAGGAAATGGAGAGACTAGGCATTTCAACGACACCACAAATCTATCAAGCTCTCCTAGAAGTAAGATGCCGGCCCATTTTATAGATTAGTATTTCCCGACCTAACATCACAACTCAGGTTACGGCGGTTCATCCTGATTATGCTCTTCGAAACACAGTACTCTTCGAGATGAAAAATCGGTGGTATTCACCAACGGCAAATGACTTGGTCAATATTACTATTGGGCTGTTAAGAGATAACCAATACGAGCTTGCGCTTGAGAAATTGGAGGAATTGCACAAGGATCCCCTGGACATCCCCCTCTGGCTCTACGACGTATTCCTTTATACATTTGGGGACTTAGGCTTCCACGGAGAGACGCTCTCAATTCTCAAGCATCGAATGAAGGTCGCAAACATAGTCAGAGAACCATTATCCCTGAACTCATGGCAGTTCCTTCTTGACGTGTTTAGTAGAGACGCTTTTTACGAAGGGATCAAATATATATGGGATCGCTCAGTCTCCCCTAGATATATAAATCCACCAGACGGCGTCATTCTGAATATTATAAATGCAGCGTCAAATCATGGAGATGCAAGCTTAGCAATAAGCGCAATTCAGATGCTTTCAAACCGCGGCAAGAAACTTGAGCTGCACCACTATGAGGCTCTCGTAGACATCCACGCCCAGCAGAAGGAGTTTCTTAAAGCGTTTACGACTCTATGTATCATGTCCAAGGCAGATCTACGTCCTTGTCTCTCCAGTACACGATCCATTTATCGAGTGCTACGCGATTCGTCCTCGGAAACAAGTAATGCTTTGACGATATTAAACGACCTCCGATTACATCATCATGTCCCGGCAGCTGCATTCAACGTTGTCTTGGAGGCTACGGAAATTCATCACGGTTTCAAAGCAGCCTTGGATCTCTATAGAAGCGTCCGGCAGATTTGTACTGACGGACCGGATCTTGAAACCTATCATATCCTCCTCAGCCACTGCACAATGAAGAAGTCAATGAACTTTTTATTCGCAGAGATGGAGGCTTTCTCCGTTGAACCTACCCATACCACATACGACCATCTCGTCCGAATCTCTAGCATGCAGGACAACTATGAGCAGGCATTCACATTCCTTGAGAAGATGAAGTCTTGCAAGACAGGAGGAGTGTCAAATAACTGGTGGATAAGTAGGGATTCGGCCCTGGCGCTCATCAGGAGGTGCATCCAAGCCGAGGACATCAGAGCACATGAACTTATTGAGGAATGTCGTAAGAGGCGCATGTCCATTGATGTGGAAGTGCAGCAATTACTCGAAGCGGTCCAGAGGCAGAAGGAGTTGATTAAATTAGATACAAGTGACCCTATAGAACGACTATCATCTATAGTGCCAGAAACTGCGATACCTCCGGAAGAGGCTCAGAGCTCAAAGCCTATGGCACTTTCGAGTTGGACGTAGAGCTAACCCGGTGGGAATTAAATAAACCAAAATTCAATTACTATGATATAGATCTTTGACCGCTATGCCTTGATGTGTAATGCTAAGACTTCTTTTCGTATGGTACCCTTCCGAGTTCGTGTGCCTATATCAGGACGATATCTTATCGATTCAATGGTTTATATAAATACCATCGCAGTGTTACTTTAAGCTCATAGACTAGCGACGTAGTCGAGATGTACCTAGATTCAGGGGTAGATCTACTAGGACTGGGTATATAAAAGGCGCACAACGTTCTCGTGAGAGGGTAGAAGGCCAGACTTTAATAGTTTGATATACCTATCCTGATATTCACTCTGTGTATGACATTCATCACAGGTATAAATATGATACTACCACACCACAAAGTGTGTCGCAAATGTGCAGGTACAAAAATCAAGCCATCGTAAAGTAGCTTGAAGGTAACATATGCTATTAGGGTATTCCATTAACTACAACACTGGTGTGTTGGTATACTATTTTATATTCATTAAGTTTAAACGGTTAACTTAGGACTAATATTCAGCCTTAATATGTGATTCCAGTCACTTGAGTATAATCTTCTTTTATAACTATAGGGATTCAGTTACTCTCATCTCGATAATATATGTATTCGCAGGGTGTCTAAAGAATCACAATCACCATCACCACTTTAGTAATATAATGACTCTATACAAGTTAATCAGTTTATACTTTGAATCGTAACATCGTAATCATTATAGTGTTGGTGTAAATATGCGAAGATGGTACTATTACCACTACGCTACATTGAAAAATCTCTTGAATTTGTTAGGTACCTAGGCTTAGATTTTGATATATTATATTTTAATGACATCCAAGAGTGAGACTGCAGATTTTTCGGGTGAAGGTTGAGTTTAAGAAATATATGTCTTCGGCAAGCATAACATTCACAATAGTACCTAGGTAAAGCTTCAATACATTAATTAGTACCTACTTTATACCAATGACTCGTAAATATAGTAGTTATCCAATATAATCCCTTCTTATAAATCCATTCTTCGTTTAGCAAAGGGTCCATTAGTAGTCTTCTTTTCATGTTGTTTACTAAGACATATGTACCTTATATCGGTTTTCCCTTCTTTTGCACCCTTGTGTAAAGGATTCTCCTACCATTCTATTTATGGGGTATTTCTACTCATGATTTTGAATTATTCTAGCACTTTCATAGGTAAACATAGCTTATATCCACGGACAATATAATAAATCTTAATTCTATCCAATTTGAACATCCCGGAAATTGTTGGTGATGTTGTTTCTATTTTAGCTTATCTTCGATCAGCCACTAAAGAAGAATAGGGGTGATATGAATCAATCAGCGAGCACATGTGTACAGAGGTTCGAGAGCTCATGAAACATCGAAATTTCGATGGGTCTATCGATTTGATGCATTGTAACCTTAATATTTTTGGGTACGTACCTGACATACACATCAAAGTGACTTGTAGGGGTCGGAAAACGGAGAGAATATTCCCGAATAGTAAACACCCAAGTACCTGCCATTGCATAAAGGGGACTATGCAGGTTAAAAACATTTCCCCACAAACAACATGCCATCCCGCACCAAATTTGGTGGTGACTTTTTGATTACTTAGTACAGCTAAAAAGTAGTCACTAACCAGTTACAAGCTTGCTAGACATTGCACCCTGCTATCTTCTTCCTGCGAACACGAACAGAGTCGTTAAATACGTACGCACATAAGCACCATATTATGCAGGCTATATATGTATAACAAACACCAATACGAGTTCCTGCAGAGGTATCATGACTAGTCTGTATTATAGGTATCTTCGATTGGGGAAATACATATTATTTTAATAGACGTCTTTGCATGCAGATGTATGTAGTCCTCGATTTGTCTCCTTGCCTAGGTAGGTACCTAACCTATGCGGGACTTGTACCTCACAATATAAAATTTGAGTGGACCATCTCCGTGTAATGAAGTACCTATCTACCTATCTATGTTAGGCAATTAATGGGTTTAACTTACAGGCACAAACCTAACACAAGTATCACCAAAGTTCCTATGAAGTAGTACCTAGTAGTAGTACGTAATATGCTTAAGTAGGGGAATCATAAGGTCTAATAAAGATGCACTTCCGATGCGTCAGTAATGTGTTGTGAAGAAAACATTAAACGGTAAAAGAGAATGTCCGAAGCGAAAAGAAGGGAAAAAAAAACCAGTCGATAAAGATAAATATATGATGAGGTGGCAGAAAGCTTGCAGAGCCGATGCAGTAGCGAAAAAGAAGCTCCAACGTGCTGGTTGATTAAATCCCCTGCCCAATTGAAGTTTCAGGCCAATCAACGAGCTTAGCGTTAGTAGTGACCCTTGTCTTTAAGTCCCTGTAGCTACCTAAGGTCCCTAGCCACTTTTGGAGTGCATCGAGTATCCTTGCCTCACCCGGCTCTAGTGCATTAACAATAACTAGCAGGACTGCTAACCGGTATCTGATAGTGCATTAGAAGGGGCCTAATAAAGGAGTACTCAGGCACGGTACCTAATTGGTATGGTACAAGGGTGATTTAATACACTACCTTTATGTACCTAGTAAGTAACACGACCCCAAGCCCCTTTTAAAGCAAAAAAGCCAGGGCGGCCAGGGACCCAAATTTGATTTTTTGAATGAGGAGACTTAGAAACAGGAGGTCGGGTTGCACACCACCTTCAACTTCATTTTCCCACGTAAATTCTTCCTCCGTTTAGTCTTCAACCTCCTAATTTGGCAGACTGGCACTCTCTCTGCCATCCCAACCATCCCATTAATCCAATTCATCGTTTTTTCTTACTGCAGTCCGACATTCTCTAGATTCTAACGAGATACCGGTGCACGCAGAGTCCGTCCCTCGACCCATTTACTTCTTTCGCTCGCTTCACTTGCAATACTGTTTGAACGCTCTGCGACCTTTGTAATTGACACGCGATTAAAAGTCATCTTTTCGGTATGTGAGCATCGAATCCGTCTTTCCTACCATACATATGTGCATACAGAGACATACAGGGTCAGACTCGTTCCGTCGAACTTCCCGTCGTCCATGTTTTTCGCAAGTCTTCGCAGCAGCCAGAACCCGGTTGTCGCGTCAACTTCCCGTTTTTTTTTCCTTTCTCCTTCAGATGTCAACTTCATCCCGCCTAAACAGCAACGGCAAACCTTGGAATCTATACTAACCGTTCTGTATCCGTAGACTAAATATCGCACTTTCTCCGCAACGTATCTTTTAGGTCCTTACATCTCTTGACGTATTTACTATGGGTAAGCTCTTTCCCATTTTTACTGATGCAGTCGCACGTTTCGACGAGGAGAGCAATATTGCAAGAGTCGCCGCCATGATGGAAACAACAGCTGTCCTATCTGAACCCTATTTTTCCTTGCTTGGACCAGATGGATTCCCTCCGGATCGAACACCTCTATCCCATTAACATCAACAACACTCACCCGCTTACCCAACTGCCTCACCCTTGTTTTTTTGGTTGATCTATCACTTCTTGGGTCTTGGCCTCTTTTTTGGTTCTTTGGAATATTCGACCATCGTTAGGAGAAATTGTCCCATCCATTCAAAAACCAGAAAAAAACAACCAGAAAACCCCCAGCTATTCGTACAATGCCAGCTTTCCTTAGCCCTCACAATAAGGCACGAGCTCGCAGCGTTCAACTGGACAGTGCTCACATCATGGAAAACCTCTGTTTGCCTCAGAGAGAGTCGGCTACATCCCCAACTCCGGCCATCAGGTCAAGCATCCGGCTAGACCAGGAGAATCGGCCCCCTTCCGTTCGACATTACCGTAGCATGCTAGTCGTGGACGCTCCGTCTCTTGGTCCCCTCAAGCCGATGTCTTACGACGAACTTTATTTCCATCAACCCCTTGCTGGTATAACTCATCGGATAGCCTCTTGCAATTTGCTCTCATTTATACGTCCAATACCTGTTAAAATTTCATACTAACTTGAAATAGCTGCAAACGGTACGATAGCATCGCCTGTGCCGAGCGAGGGCAAGCAAACCTCACCTCAACCGTCGTCTCCGCCGAGTTCTGACCTCAAACCAACAGCCCCATCTGCTGGCCCGACGTCGGGCTTAATCATCAATGACAACAAAAACATCGTTCGAAGGAAGTTGACCGGCTACGTCGGTTTTGCGAACTTGCCAAACCAATGGCATCGTAAGAGTGTCCGAAAGGGCTTCAACTTCAATGTTATGGTTGTCGGTAAGTGTCTACCATCTCCTTTTAACTGGTCAAAGACTAATTATGACGGCTTTTAGGTGAGTCTGGCTTGGGTAAATCTACTCTCGTCAACACTCTATTCAATACGTCTCTGTACCCGCCCAAGGACCGAAAGGGACCTAGCCTTGACATAATACCCAAGACTGTCTCTATCCAATCCATCAGTGCGGATATTGAGGAGGCTGGTGTTCGTCTACGCCTGACTGTCGTCGATACTCCCGGCTTTGGAGATTTCGTGAACAACGATGAGTCGTGGAGACCCATTGTTGACAACATCGAGCAACGCTACGACGCCTATCTAGATGCTGAGAACAAGGTCAACCGAATGAACATCGTGGACAACCGTATCCATGCCTGTGTCTTCTTCATCCAGCCTACCGGTCATTCCTTGAAGCCTCTCGATATCGAGGTTATGCGTCGTCTGCATACCAAGGTCAACCTAATCCCCGTCATTGCTAAATCGGATACTCTTACCGATGACGAGATTGCCGGCTTCAAATCTAGAGTATGTTTTTGCTATCTCGTTTTATCTGTATCTTACTAACTTCACTATAGATCCTCGCAGACATCAAGCATCACGGAATTCAGATCTTTGAGGGACCTCGATATGAGTTGGACGATGAAGAGACAATTGCGGAGAACAATGAGATCATGTCGAAGGTTCCTTTCGCTGTTGTTGGTGCCAACAACGAGATCACCAATGCCGATGGACGCAAGGTTCGCGGTCGTCGATACCCCTGGGGTGTTATCGAAGTCGACAACGAGGAGCACTGTGATTTCGTCAAGCTACGTCAAATGCTCATCCGAACTCACATGGAAGAGCTCAAGGAGCACACCAACAACGTTCTTTACGAGAACTACCGAACAGACAAGCTCACCGCAATGGGTGTTGCTCAAGATCCTAGCGTCTTCAAGGAGGTTAACCCTGCCGTCAAGCAAGAAGAGGAGCGTGCTCTACATGAGCAGAAGCTTGCCAAGATGGAGGCCGAAATGAAGATGGTATTCCAGCAGAAGGTAGCTGAAAAGGAGAGTAAACTGAAGCAGAGCGAAGAAGAACTGTATGCCCGTCATAGGGAGATGAAGGAACAGCTAGAACGGCAACGACTAGAACTCGAGGAGAAGAAGTCCAGAATCGAATCCGGAAGACCAATAGAAAAGGAGGGCAAGCGAAAGGGTTTCTCCTTACGGAACTAACCTTTGACGACGACTCATTCTAATCTATGATCTACGCCCGGAGCCTTCATGATGCCCGTACAGTACTAGCCTGCCGCGTCTCTTCACTTCGTCATTCTGTCTATTCAACCTTCTGTTCTTTTAATTACTCATCACTTAATACACCTCACCGGAGATTGTCAGTTTGGCAATTCTCGGATGAGTATCATCTCCTGGCCGTGGTTAGTGGTACCGACAGAAGCACCCAGCAGCTACCATGAAAACGACACAAAAAGGCCGGCTTCCGAGGCAAAGTTTCCCGATGTCTGGGGTTGTTTTTCCGGCGTTCTTGAACATTGCGGCGAGATATAGTTGGTTCAGGATTTTGACGACTGTATCCTATTCCCTCGGACGTTATGCATCAGGCTGCCTTGTATGTCTCGTTAAAACCGCCTCGACATCCCATTTGAGATTTGGAGAGGGGCGAGCATGGCATAGTGAAATAGGTACGGCAGGACAGCATCCATATAATTCTTCCTTATCAACCGGTCGGAATGTCCCCCGCATACTACCCCGAAGACAACATAGTTCTCGTTGCCTCTGTCGGAGTCTTCGTCCTACCGTTTATTTTCCTTCACGATCATATGTGCTTGTTTTTTTCAGCTGTTACGACAAAATACCCGGAATTGGCGGAAAGTCGATAGGCGGCTTGGTGTGTTCGTGGAGGATACGGAGGAGAATGTCAGAGTATAATGCTCCCCTCAAAAATTAGATGTCTGTATTTTAGGAGTAAGCCTTCTCGCTCAAGAGATGGGTGTATCCACTAGCCTCGCTGGCTAGTGCCATCCGGCGAGGAAGACCCTCTCGACGCACACGCACATCTGGCCACGAACTTGGCTCACTCTTGGTTTTCCTTACGTCAACCCACTGTCCTGTGTTTTCTTTGTGTTTCTAGCCTCGACGTGTTTCTCAGTTTAGGTCGTCTGAATTAAGAAAAGGATGATTGTTTTTTTTTCTTACGTTAGGTTCTTGATAGTGAAGTGACTTGTTATATTCTATTGCTTTTTGCTCACATGATTTTGTGTTAACGGTACGAACATGCCTATCCAGAAGTTGGATGTACTCAATACATGTAGTTAATTAATCTTAATCAATGGAGCAGCTAGACAATTTGTAATCTGTCTAGTTGCATAAATCAATGCTGAAGATCTGGGGTCTTCGAGGTCGATCATGCATTGCCTCGGCTCGTAGCTTTGTTTATTAAACAAGTTTCATAGGGAGTGGATTGGCCTGCTAATAGGTACGTAAGGTACTTCGTTGGGTTCAGTATGGTAAATGTTGAATAATATTTCCTCTAGAGCTTTTAAGATGATTTGATCTATGGGCATATGTAGACGTATTCTGTGGCTAAGGTCGATCGACTTGACGGACTGTTCTACGAGGCGACTCGTCTTGTTTTATGTGAAGAATGTCCACTTATATGTTATATTCCTCTTCCTACCTTGCCAGTGTTGAGTATTTTGAATTGGTCGGTCTACTATAGGCGAAGTTATGACTTAACTTCCTGTGAGTTGTATTGTAAATTCCTATACCGCATAGTACTACACACCACTACGAAGTCCGGCAAGGATAATAACGCTCGCTGGCGACCATATACATCATATTGTACATGCTATCTCTATAAAGGTATATGCACAGAGAAGAATCTCCGCCTACTAGACCGCTGATGTGGCGGCCCCGGAGCAGCTACAGCCAGCCAGCCAGCTAAACGAACTAAGTTGAGAAGTTCCTTAGGTCGTAAGCTTTCATAATATACAATGTACGTTATCGAGATCTGCCGGTATATTGGCTGACTACGTCTCATATAGGATCAGACCAAGCCAATGTTATACCCTTTATCCGCAGGGCCCGTAGACCAACTTAAGCCTCGGGTTTTTCTTTCTTTTTCTTTACTACTTTACCTTCTTCTCAGGTACCAGTTGAAAGCTAGCTGGTTGACGGGTTCGGGGAAGGGCGTTGGGACCTCAGCGCTGCCGACCCTTGCGACGGGATGTCGTAGGTAGACGGCGGCGCAGATGTTGTGGTTGACTTCGAGATATTTGGGAATGAAGGCGAAGGGCGCCATGTAGTTGCGCGGCCGCCAAGGTGTCTTGTACGGCTTGCTAGGGTCCCATGGGTTTTCTTCCATCTCGCGCAGATATGCAGACATGCGCCGGTTTAGTTCTCCGAGCTCGTATCTACTAAGGTCGTTGATAGTACCTGTCGAGGAAGACTGTTCTTTTGCAACCGGGGCTTCCTCGCTAGAGGAGTCGGATATATTGAGCCCCGTGACTAGATCCGAGAGCTCGGAAGTGATATCTTTCGCGGAGGCATCAGGGCGGCTGGCGCGAGAGGTCAGAGGGCGTATATCCTTGATAAACTTCCGTAGCCGTTGCTTCTGGTGCGCACCAAGATCGCTATCCTCGTTTAGTATAGCTTTGGCTTGTTGAACTATTTCCTGTATTTGTTTCTGCGTCGGCTTCATATCTACCTTGGCCGGCTCTGGCGCATCGGTTGTATCGGGGTCTTGCTCTACCGCCTCTGCTTCTTTGGCTTCGGTAACTTCTTCTTCGGCGGCTGCCTGCACCTCCTCCTCTGCCTCTGCCTCTTGCTCTACTGGCTCCTCAGATTCTTCCTCAGCACCTTCGGTCAAAGCTTTCTTGCCCTTCGACTTGTTTGGATCGGGTTTTGGGATTCCAGTTGCATATAGGACACGTTCGGGATCGACCTGGAACATGTCGCCGGGATTAAGACGGTAGGCGGGGTATGGCATCTATTACATAGAACTCGTTAGCAGTGCTCCTTTATATAGTATAGTATACAATCGCATTGTTCTGATTGAGTTAATACTAACCACTTTGCCATTGACCTTAACAGCGCCGTGAACACAGAATTGTCTTGCCTGTCTTGCGCTGCTTGCGAACATAGCTCTGAAAACAGCGATATCCAATCTCCTCTCCATAGGCGCAAATGTCATCTGCATGTAGGGGGTCGGAATAGGTTTCGTTACTTGGGATTCCGACCAATTCGGTGGTATGTCCTTGCCAGAACCTCTACCTGCAGCCAATTCGGAACCGTCATGCTTGGCCATATACTTGGGGTCCATCTCGGCGACACTTAACAAGCGGCGACTGAACATGCGCACCCACTTCCGCTCGACGACGTGTTCACCGTGGTAGTTTCGTAGCATACCCTTTGCCTTCCATTTTTGCTGGAAGAAAGTCTCGTGGTCGCCTTTTCCGAGCTTTGGGTCCCTGGCACGCCATATGTTGAAGAGGTTATATTTGTTCCAACTTTGCCGAAGTTTCTATAAGAGGAAAAAAAGGAAGGACAATATGTTAGTGGATGATTCTATCAATGCTACAATTGAAACGAATTCGTAGTAACTTACTGGTCGTTTCAGACCGTGATACCTTCTGGGCTTCATCTCGGCTACTGTCCCGGATTCCGTATGCGAACAACGGTGTCGGGGATGGTCGTGATCCTCTATTCGAGGTTCCGCGATCTTTAAATCTTGAACTTTTACTTTTGCCCGCCAAAATTTCTTAATTGATGATCACGTGCGATACTGCGAAGTACAGTAAGTTTAAGTTCGGGTTTAATTCGTGCGTTGGCCCAAGCTCAAGCTTAATTGTTCTTATCGATAGAGATAGGTCAGTACCTCATTATGTATCTCGGCAATCTCTTCTAACCTTGCCCGTTCGCAATTCGGTGTTTACCTCTTGAGTAATTTGTCGAGTTCTTTTGAAAGCTTCTTTCAACTTCACTAGTAGGTATTAGTTTATTGTTGATATTTAATCTTATGATAAATACTGTTAGTTATACCTTTAAAGTTAAAGGTTATTAATAACTAGTTATAGGAATAACAGGTAGTTATAGTATTGTGTTACACCACTAGCTTTTAACAATCAAAGCAAGGTAATTGGTCGCTAAGGAGCGACGATATTGCAACTCCTTCAAATTGCTTATTTACTAAACCCATCTTCAATCTTTTATCTTTAATAAACTATTACTTCACCTCGGATTTCTAAACCGCCATACTATCTTAACTTGACGTACTAGAAAAATACGTAGGTCATTAAATAAGTTCGCTTCGCGCTCAATTTCGACGTAATATATAAGATATTTCGGGACATCGCTGGTATTTCAAGTCGCGAGTAGTTTTGAAGACTCACGACGAACTGGCTTAATTATTAAAAGCCGAAAGGCATGGACCAATGTCAGTTCGTTTTTACCCTGGCCGGTATTACTGGAGCTTATCTCCGTTTTAGGAGGCTCTTCACCGACTGAACTGTTATTCTACATACCTTGAGGTCTATCTATCGGCAAGATGGGTAATATGCTGAGTCGTAGCCGCTCCGGTACCGAGCCGGGTAGCCATTGACCTGCTTTGTCCGTCATCCCCAAACCACTTATATCCGGGAAATACGACTGTAGACGAGATCGGATAACACCTTGATTGGACAATTCCAAATCACGTCCTTCCATCTCCTGACCCCATCTAGGCGAGAATATTGTCTATCTATTTGGAGGTGGATATATGTAAACGTATGCTACGTAATGGATTCGGTCTTACCGCTACTAATTCCCGTCTTATTCCTACTGGTCCTTTTCTATATTCCATAACTCCAAGTTCCGTGATTACCATGTGTATAAGAAGAATCGCCAAGCCACTATAGACATTTTCGTTTCCTTGTTATTCAGCACCAACGCATTATACCTATACCTTCGTCTTTCAATTTGGGGCTAAATAATATTAAAATTGTATAATTGCATTTTCTCCGGTGTGTTGTGATCTTCTTTGGGATAAGCAATAGGTAAGTTGAAAGGGTGGTTATGAAGGATTCACTAGCCGATAAGGAGGCCGGAGCCGAGGACGGTTCAGTCGATGTCGAAACCACGGATACAGCGAGGGGGTCACGAATAGGCGAGGGTGAGAGATTGGAAAAATGCGATAGTCACGAGTCCAAGTCAGACTCCAATAGCAGCTTAGACACTACCGACAACAGCACTCCCCGTGAACCACTCGATACTTCCGGGCAGCCAGCTTCACGGACCCCTTCGCGGGCCCTATCGCGGACCATCTCTGAGGTACGATATGGGATCGAATCGAGGCGGGATCTGGAGGAGGGCCAATTCACCGATGACGAGGAAAATACCGCTGCTGCTACTGCGCCGGACAGTAGCGACCCTAATCTGGTGACATGGAAAGGCCCCGACGACCCAGAAAACCCAAAGAACTGGCCATTCTCTAAGAAATGGGGTGTCGTTTTCATCGTATCCATGTTCACTTTTGTCTCGCCTGTCTCCTCGTCTATGGTCGCTCCGGGCTTGACTGCAATCGGCACTGAGTTAGGAATCCCAGAAGGCTGTAAGTTGGAAATACGCTGCTATTGCAAACCTCTACTTAGAGAATTCTAACATAACCCCTTTATAAGTTCGACAGAACCTTGTCCTATCGGTATTCGTGCTTGCCTACGCTATAGGACCTTTAATGTAAGTGGCCCCCTTTTCTGTCAACCCCTATATCGACTGCTCCTAATTCTGTCTTGCTAACTCCAAGGACATCGAATACAGCTGGGGTCCGCTCGCAGAGATTTATGGCAGAGTATCTGTGCTACAGTATTCCAATCTCGGATTCCTCGCCTTCACATTAGGTTGTGGCTTCGCGCGTACCCAAGGGCAAATTATCGCCTTCCGCTTCCTCTCCGGTCTGGGTGGATCTGCCTCTCTTGCTATTGGCGGCGGTGTACTCAGTGATCTTTTCGTTGCTGAACAGCGTGGCCGAGCTATATCAAGTATGTAGTAGCATTAATGTTTCCCTGCACCCTATATTGAGTTGATAAAGGGGCTATCGTCACCGATGTATAAATACATCTGGACGCCACATAAAGACAACCACTAATTCTCCTCTCTATAGTATACAGCTTAGCTCCCCTTCTAGGCCCAGCCGTCGGCCCCATCGCTGGCGCCTTTATCACCGAGAATACGACCTGGCGCTGGGCCTTCTGGGCTACCAGTATTGCCGATGCCGTCATCCAAGGAGCCGGCCTATTCTTCCTACGTGAGACTTATGCCCCACTAATCCTGAACCACAAGCGCCAGCGACTCATCGTTGAAACTGGGAATGCCGCCCTGCACACCCCATACGATGATGCCAAATCTGATAAGAGAAGCCTCCCGGCGATTCTCAGCACTGCTATGACCAGGCCTTTCCGATTGCTCGCCACTCAGATCATCGTCCAGTGTATTGCGTTGTATATGATGTACATCTATGGACTTATGTACCTGCTGCTAGCATCGTTCCCTTCGCTCTTCACCGCCCCGCCACCAGCTGGTTACGGTATGTCTACAGGGATAGGCGGGCTGAACTACATTAGTCTGGGCCTAGGATTCTTCGTCGGTGCGCAGACCAGCGCTCCCCTACAGGACCGGATCTACGCCGCGCTCAAGCGACGATATGGTGTCGGCAAGCCCGAGTTCAGAGTTCCCATGATAATACCCGGCTCTATCTTCATCCCCTTTGGACTATTCATATACGGCTGGACAGCCGAGTATAAAACACACTGGATCGGCCCCAACATCGGTGCCTTCATCTTCGCTATCGGAGCTATCATCTGCTTCCAGTCTCTGCAGGCATTTGTGGTTGATTCGTACCAACGGTACGCCGCAAGCGCTGTCGGTGCCGCCACCGTGCTGCGGTCTCTGGCTGGCTTTGGCTTTCCGCTCTTCGCACCTTACATGTATGACCGGCTGGGTTATGGCTGGGGCAACTCCCTGATGGCATTCGTCGGTATTGCGATAGGTTGGCCTTCGCCAATATTATTATGGAAATAGTACGTCACGTTGAATCTTTCGATTTGTTTAGGAGTTCGGTTTTTCAACTCAACGTTGTTAAAAAAGAAACTCCTAAGACATCCTCATGATCCTGTTGAAGAAGTAATTGCTAACTCTTGTAATAGTGGCGAAGCACTGAGAAAGAGGAGCCCGTTTGCTGCCGGAGGTTAGCACAACTATGTAACAAGAGCCTGTTACTTTAGTTAAAAGGGGAAAGGGATAGACATTTAGACGATGGAAACAAGTGTTAGGTGTAGTGTTCATTCACCTAGACCATTAATCACGTCTGCAAAGAGATTGTACATATTAACGGTATAGGCGATTATTATTATATACCTAGGTAGCAATAAGTAATACGGTAACCATTTCAACAACTCGTGAATTTTTTTTGTAGCTAGACACAAATATCTAGCGCCTATTTAAAGAGCCCATAAACGCCTCTTCCGAACCCTACCAATAATTCCATTACCAGGTCCGACCTTGAAATGCAAAGCTGAGTGCCTCAAGTGCAATGACATACAGGAGGAGCGATGAAAATTGTGGGAATCAATATGAAATAAAGATGCGAAGAAGGGGTATGTAATTCGTATATGACGAATTAATAAGTTGCTTTAGTTTGCTCATGCAGCATCAGCAACAGCCTCCTTGGTATCGACCTTCTTTGCGGGGGGTGTATCTGTGCTATCACCATCTCTAGCACGCTTTCCGTTTGCCTGAGCGTCAGTGTTGCTCTTGGCATTCTCTTCCTTCATAATCTTCTCACTTTCCTTGCTCGTGTTGATTTTGGGTCTACCATCATCACGCGAGACGGGTCGGTCTTGTTCCTTCGAGCGACTGTTATCGTTCTGAGCACGATCTCTACCCCGGCCACGGTTGTTGTTGCCACGACCTCGGCCTCGGCCACGATGATCACGACGGCCACGACGGTCCTCAAAGCCGTTACGCTGATCCTCGTCACGACGTTTCTTCCAGTCATTAGCATCAGAACCTCGATAATTACCACGAGACCCTCGGCCTCGGTCACCACCGCGATGACCACGCTGAGAACGTCCAAAGTGGTTAGAACCCTTCATCGGAATTCTGCCGGCACGGATCTCTTGTGCCTTAAATGCCTTGTAATCAAGCTTTGTCTTCATTTCTAATGCGTGATCCTTCCATAGAGGCTTAGGTTCTAGAGCCATGAACTTATCCAGGGTATCTTTGTCAGCCCATTCGACAAACACGGAACCCTTAAATGACTTCTTCTCATCATCAGCTCTTCGAAGGCGTACGGAATTGAACTCTCCATATTGGGCTAGGAATGCCTCGATGTCGAACTGGGTGGATGACTGCTCTTCGCCGAACCCTTTGACGTAGGCGCTGCGCTCATCAATCTGGTACTGCCTGTCATCGGCTGGCTTGTAAGGATGCTTTCGGCGGATTGTCTCTTCGCCTTCGGACCCTTCCACAACAAGGTGCTTGCTGGCTTTGAGAGCGTCAATGACAGCTGAGTAGGGCTTGAATCGACGCATGCGTGAAAAATTGCAGATCACGGAGAGCGGTACTGGTTTGTTGTTAGAGCCGTCGGTCTGGCTCCACAGGAACTTATCGCCAGGCAAGTTGCTGTCGCTGAAGTAGAATTCGACCTAGGATAAAATGATTAGAAAAAATTATCACATTGGATAAAAATAAAAGAACTAATCCTTACCTGCTTGCGGATTTCATGAGGATTGTCCGAGTCAGGAAGGATAGAAGCATCCGACTTCTGTCTGGTCTCACAGCCCTTTCTATTGACCTTCAACATTTCCTTAGGACGCTGAACAGAAGAGGCATCTTCACTAGCCTTAGTCTCCATCTCTCCCTCAGCCGTGTCTTTCTCAGCCTTAACTACATCGGTATTTTCTTGTTCCTCAACCGCGGGAGCATCCTGGGTAGTGGTCTTGGTCTCCTCACCAGCCTCTACACTAGTGTCGACAACTTCCTCAACCTTGACCTCGAGAACATCGCTGTTCATGCCCTCATCGGGCTTAGCAACCTGGTCACTCATCCTGGCTAGAGGGGGGTTTTCGGAAGCTTCAAAGTAGTCTGGTAAAAACAAATAGTAGAATATGTGATTGAATACCGGGACTGCGATACAAGCCGAGTAAAACGTAAAAGTTAGGATAGAGTAGGAGGGTTTGAGTGGCAAGGCGCGAAGAGATAGGTTGCCGCGGGGCAGAACAAGTCCCGGCGGGGAGTCACTCGCGAAGGGCTCGCGCAAGATGCGACGAGATGGATGGGAATAAAAAACCACCACTCGCAATTATAGCTTGGGCAATTTAAATTGAATGGGACTAAATGCGACAAAGCTTGGAGCGAATTGACTAGATGTCACCAAGTGTGCTGGTGGTGGATGTTGTGGAAAGAAGAGAAATTCTCACAAGGAAAAAAGGTGAAGCTTTGGTTGTGACCTGCGAAAAAGTTATGTCGAGGCGCGGGTAGAAGCTCTAAAAAGGCAGGCAGGGTCCACCAATTTTTCTTTAGGTGGGGCACTAAGCATCGAACCTTCAAATTTGATGCCTCAATTCCAACATTTGCCCCGCCAGCCTGCCTAAGGTTAGGCTAGATCATTGGTCCGTGCACCATTTTGCGCTCTTAGCTCAGGTACCTCTAATACAGGTGCAGCATTAGGTCTTTGAATGTAGCTGAAGTTATAAAGTTATTAGTTAAGCTTACCTAGAAGTTATTTACATCTCATCATACTGCACACTTGTACGAGCTATCCGTTCAATTGCTATAATAAAAAAGAGACGCAATGCATTAATTGGTAACAGGTACATATTATGATTGATCTCCAACGATTCTAAAGTCAACAGTCCAAATTTGGTTATTACACTTCCAAATCTAGCCCAGATCAGGACTCCTGAAATCCAAGTGCTTCACGGCGTGACTTCGAATTCGGATCAAAGTATGGTTTCTCGCCAATAGATACGACTCGATTGCCTTGACGCTTTCCGATGTAATCACTGGCTTGGTGTTAACTTTCTACGCGATATTGTGGCTAATTATTCTAGGAAGATAACTTACTTTGTAGCCGTGTGGAAGACAGAGCGGCTGGACGCAAGTTGTCAGTTACCCCCTATATTGTATCCAGATCAAGTTACTCACTTGTCCCAAATTGCAAGATCATTCTTGTTCCACCTGAATCGCACCTGAAGGTCATGGTTCTCAACGATTATTTGGAGGACTATGACACTGTTAGAAATCCTCATCGTTAAAACTGAGTATTCAGTGACACACAGTAGTTTTTGAGTATCTCGCTCTCCCGCTCGGTAACTCCGTTGATCCATCCGCTCTCAACCTGACCACCTGCGCCGAATAAGCTTTTCCACCCAGTTACTGGGTTTGTACGAATAAGGGGACTGGAAAAGTCAATTGAAAATATTCGGTCAGGCCAGCCTAGAGTATTTAACTTACTGCTCTGCCCTGAAGTCAAGACCATTGTTCTCAGGAGAGCCTCGGTTCTGGTCAATAAGCTCTTCGCCAAAGTCATTCTGTACCTTGACGAAACCCGGTTGGTTGTGTGTGGCGGTTAGGCTCTCCACTAGTTTTTGAATAGGCGGAGAGAGACGGTCGTAGGCTTCATAGCCCGATGCCCACAGCGTATCACCACCGGCGTCCTCGGGCGGCTGGATGATCTTGAGGATTGCATAGTCTGAAGGAATATTCTCGAACGTAATGCTGTCTCCATTATTAGCAACCCAACTTCTTATTGCACAGGGTCATCTCAGCGCATACTCTGCATGCCAGCCATGACTGGCGATTTTCTTGGAAAAGGCCGTATATCGGTCCTTGTAGAATTTACGGTTCTGCTCGGAAGAGATAATAGATACTTCATCATCAAGACGACCATTCTCATCAACAGGGATGCCACGTTTACTGTTTGAGAGGGCATGACGATGAAGCTTAGACGTTTCTGGTTTTCCAGTGAGTTGTCCAAGTCGGTCACCCAGCAACTTTTGGTCGTCAATGTTGATATCCTGGTTTCGGAAGAATAGAACACCTCTCTCGGAAACTGTTACTGGTCAGGAACTCAAATTTCTATCAGTATATATTTTATGGCCTTGCTTACCGAGAATTGCTAAGTCGCGAATCTTAGTGTCGTCGTGTAAAATCTCACTTAGCTGAAGATTGCTGAATTCCCGGCCGATGACTTTAGTGACATCAAATTGCTTGTACGTGTCGAGACTCCCAGAGTATTTTAGGGGTCCGTCAAGCCTAGAGCTAGTCAATGACTTGACGGGAACGGGGCCGACAGACTTCTTGGTAGCCTGCTGCACCGGCACGTCGGATTGCACATCAACATCTGCTGCGGGAGGTGCCATAGTGATGGTTTAATTAAAATAATTAAATGGCTACCTAGATATCTGTGTTGGAGGGGATATGCTTGAATATAGCTACTTCTAGGTTTGAGTTGAACATCAGAATATATCGAACCTCCATCTATCTTTATACAAAGAGATTCCAAGACCACACTGGACGCCCACACCAAAGATAATGGTTGTATCAATATATATCAGGATCACGTCAATTGCTTTACTATCTTCGGCGAATCGTCAAGGCGCAATGAGGATATCTCCAAATGAGATCAGATACCCCGCGGATAACGTCAAGCTGGATAACTGAAAGCAGTCAATCCGTTGAGGGGTTCACTGCCGATTTCTAACGAATAAGATCAATATACTACACTAGATCTGAACGCTAATGATTCTAACAGACCACAATATGTATTGTTTATGTGACACGCTGGATTACCCGAGTATATTTTGATATGAGCTTCGAGAGGCTGTATAGGTACCTAGCCAGACAGGGTATAGATCGTGACGGGTATTCGTAGGTAATTTTACGTGTACATATTTTTAAAGGATATTAGAGACTGTTACTGATAGCGGAAACGTCATGAATGGTGATAAAGATGCAAGAGAAGCTAAACAGATGCATTAGTAATCTATAATAGGAGGGACTCTCGCCCCATATCATGGAAAAAAGAAACTACTCAACTTGTCTTTTACTATCTCGAATCCCAATTCGACAAGATTATTAGAGATTCGACTTTGAAATAATTAAAAGCAGTTGTTATATTTACAAAAAATCCTACTTGTCGTCTAAAAATCTAGGTAGACAAAAATTACATTCAACAGACAACATGGTAATAACAATTGGAAAAAACAAAAAAGGAAAAAGAAAAGAAAATAAAAGAAAATAAAAAAAGCAGGCTCCAAAGTTCGAACTGCGCACATTTGACCTGAACAAGTAGACCATCTTGCCGCCCTGCCGCTGGCTCGAACCCGTAACCTTCGAAAAACACCGCGAAGGTATTTTATCTACGCCGTCTTACCTTCAGACCACTAGGCCACGGCCCCTTTGGCTTCGTATCTTCAGGTCAGGAGTGATGGAGGGGCTGTTAATGGGCCTTATAAGTTTCTCCTGCGTTGCTAGGAAACCATGGTGGTCATCTGGTTGCCTAGCGATGGTGTTGTTGTTGAGTACCTTAGGTGCCTAAGGGGGTATTTACTACGCCCATGCACTTCTGTATTTTAAAATCGGCTCTGTATATACTTATACCGTCAATCTAGCGGCAAAAATTCAGATAATTAGATATTTGCAACTGTGGAATTATTTCAACCTCGCACTGCAAAGCAAGATGATGAAACATAAGTAAGAGACAATCGTATTCACGTCACCTAGACTACTTCAAAAAGTTGATAGTATCTAGCTGTCTCGGGTCTCCCACACCTAAGCTGATCTCCTTCAAGTCTTCCAGGTCTTTCTTAGTGTCCTCGAGGTCCTTCGCTATCATTCCCCAGGAATCAGCTCCCAACGGCACCCGAATCGGGATTCGCTGCCCGCGGCTTACAATTTTATACATCGCTGCGGCTAGGTCACTCGGCTCTGACCAGAATTTGCGATGTTCCTCATCTAGCGTGTAAGCTAGCAAGAGATTCGTGGGATAGTTGGGGTCGGCATAGGCTGGGTGTCTTTTGGCCATGTGTTTAAGAGAAGACGTCGCGTAGTTGGTTTTCACGCCCCCGGGCTCGATGTTACATAAATGAACTGAAATTTTTCGCACATTAGCAGACCATCTACATGTAGTCACTTTGACTACATCGAATACTTGGAGTCCAGCTATTCTCAAGATAGGAGCAGTGTACTTACTATTCCACGAAGCCGGCAACTCCTTTGCTACAGCCTCCGTCCATCCCTCCATGGCAAATTTACTGGCATGATAAAAGGAGCCTCCCGGGTAACCTGACCAGCCACCCATAGAGCTCAGGTTCAAAATTACACCACCCTGCTGTCCAGTTTTGGGATTCACATCCCTCATGATTCCCAGAGCTCTCTTAGTCACATCTACCATACCCCAGAAGTTAGTGTCCAACACTGCCCGAGATTCCTGGTCTTCTGCAGCTTCGGCATCACCAACGAGGGTGTAGCCTGCGTTGTTAACTACGACATCAATGCGACCAAACTTCTCCAGCGTAGCTTGGAGAGCTGCCTCGATACTAGGGATGGAAGTGACGTCTAGCTCTAGCTTGAGGACGCGGTCGTTCGTTGGAATGCTTGATAAAGCTGATACTTTGCGTGCCGTAGCTACCACGCGGTTTGAGGTCTGTGTGATGAACTCAGCTAAAGCTTGACCGATTCCAGAAGAGCATCCGGTAACTACATGTGGGTTAGGGGTTATCCGGGTAAAGAGTAATAGGGGTAGAGTCGGATCACTGACTAAACCAGACGGCATCCGAGGGTAAATGATAGGGGTTTTTATTTGGTGCATCCATTGTAGGAGTACTTGTTAGTTGAGTGAATAAAGATAAAGATAGCACAGTCAGAATGAAGTAGTATAAGTAAATTTGAAGATTAATAAATACATGTTCGAGTTGGAACATCCTATGCTATATATACCTCTATGTACCTCCCTACCTACCTACCTGGGTAGATAACATATGTCAAGACATTTAAAACTTTAGAAATGACAGATCTGGTGACGAGTCCGTATATTCCGTAGGATGATGGCTGTTGGTGCCAGCCTTGCATATCACGTATAGTAGAAAAGGTGCTATAAATTTCTTTATAGAATGCGGGAGCATTATGCAGGGCCTCGGATATCTTCGTCTTAAGTCCTTTTCCCCGCATAAATCACCGGACTAACCGGATTAGCCCCGAAGCGTTTGCATTTTGTGCATATCTCTCTGCACTAATTCGTACCAACACTATAATGTAATTGACCAATTAAGTCTAACCTAAGGCTTTATCTCCTGTGTAACTACCTTAGGTAGCCAACAACTCTATTTGATTTGCTACTTTGCTATTTATTGTAAGGGTTTGAAACTCAAAATCCCCATCCGTTACACCTATTTGATCAATGGGAGAATGGTTTCCGCCGTACGTGCCACCATAGCAGTATAATAGTCATCCCTTAATACACCACTAGCATGATCTTTTAGAAACTGCAGAGTCCCTTCATCTACATCCCATGGCTCAGCTTCTAATTGCTTTAGCCCGAACTGGCCACCTGAAGACCGATCAATTGGTGGCATAGCTTCATGCGCCAGACCACCATCATAACCTATTTCGCGTAGCGTCTTGATGATCAAGGCCCAGTCCAAGCTACCGTCACCTGGAGAGAGACGATTGTTTTCGCCGAGGTGGAAGTCATAAAGCCTGTTACCGCACTTCCGTAGCGCGGCGATTAGATCCGGTTCTTCGATATTTAGATGAAAGGGGTCGAATGCGATACCGAGATTCGGTACATTTGCCTCGTCGATGAGCTGCAATGCTTGTGACGTGTTTGTGATTATATACGTCTCGAATCGATTGAGAGGTTCTATCGCTATGCGTACCCCCTTCTGTAAGGCGTATTGAGCTACCTCTCGTACACCCTGTACGACCCATCCCCATTCCTCAGATGCGCTTGCCACCGGGTGAAGCTTGCCTACGGTACAGGGGACCACAGTCGCTGTCTTTGCTCCTAATCCAGCAGCTAAGTCGACGACACTCTTCATGTAGTCAACCGTCTGTTCTCGTTGAGCTGGATCTACGGCGGAAAGATCTCGAGAGCCGTACATGATAGTTACAGTGGCCCAACAAGACAAGTTGTATTTCTTTAAGAGGGTCTGTGTTTCGCTAACATTGTATCTAGAGGGTTCGCCGGCGAGCTCGATTGACGTATAGCCCAGGGAGGCTGCTCTTTTTAGAGTCACCTCAAGAGGTTCTGGTCGCATCCACGTGTGGGTTGAGAGATGCATATTGAAAATATTAAAATATTCTAAAAGCTTTATTAATCCAAACTGAGCTTTCTTGAGTGTGTGTGAGGAATCGATATCAGAACCAATGTTCACACCTTAACTTCACCCTTTATATAAATGCCTACACGCGCCGTAGAGGCCCAGAAAACTACTTGGATCATTTTGAGACATTATTAACCTCAGTTCTAAGAGCATTTTACGGTCCGTATGTTCTCTCCTATCATACAACGTAGATGTTGGTAGTAGATTGTCAATGGTCTATCGGGCTAAAAAGCGTAGCGTTACATCACACTGACGATCTGCGGACTTGCCGCATTAAGCAGGTCCACACACCGCTGGACCCTGCGGACTTTCTCTTGATTGATCTCCGTAGGAATTTCTACACTTTCCTCACAAGACGACATGAAGAGGATTAGATTTCTCGGAGACTATGGCGATGGCAGCGGGTCCAAACGCAAGCAAGTAAAGAAAGCTTGTGATCCATGCAGGAAGGGAAAACGGAAATGTAGCCATGGTATTAGCGACGAGACCCCGGTGCAACAGGAGGGAGTTAGGCGTCAAGTGACCATGGCCGTGTCGGATTTGCTAGATGGCCAACTCCCTGTTCATCCCGTGGATGAACAGCCGCCCGAATCATTCGACTCCAGAGAAATTGATAACGATAATCAGCAAGCTTTACCATCTACACTCGCTTCACGATTCACAGCCCCCTTCGCTGGGGCCTCGTCAGCACACTCCCTCTTCCTCTCTATTTGCACGGCTTCAGGTGTAGAGATGGACCCGGCACAGCAGCTTCCTCCATCGCGTATCCTCCGCCCTTCCTTTCAGGATATGAGGGCACCACCCTCCGAGCGGCGCCCGGGCGTCGCCGCAGGCTACTTACCAATGGTGGTGAAAGCAGTATTGCCATATCTGGAAATCGAATGTCTCCAGGTTCTCCCTCCACAGCCAGATCTTGATGCTATCATAGAGATATATAAGCACGAAATCCACCCTATCCTCCCCATCGTCGATTTCAGCACTCGGGCATTTACCGGCCCCGTCAGTCAAGAGAATCCAGCCACCATCATATTAAGACAGGCTATCTGTCTGGCCGCTTGCAAGAGCCCATCGGCTAGACAGTACCTTAACCTTCCGGAGATTGAAGATGGGCAATTCGCTCTCAAAACGCCCCGTGATTTTGCTGACAGACTCTTCGGTGTTCTAAAGATAGCTCAAGATATCGGTCTTGTTGATGATAGATTAGAACTCGTTCAAGTCCTCGCGTTAATGACCTTCCACTCCTATGGCCCAGATGGCGATGACGAAGTTGCCCGATTATGCGGCTTAGCCGTCCATTTTGCTTATTCTTCTGGATTACATTACTCCTCACGGCCTGGAGACGTGATTTCGGAAGCACGCCGTGTGGAGTTACTTTGCTCCCTGTTTGCGCTTGATAAGATCGTTGCCATGATAACCGGTCGGCCAACAATGATTCACATTAACGAGATATATTTACCAACACAAGACGGCGATATAATGAGGTCGTTATCCCCAGGTCTTACGTTACTATTTCGCCTATGTAAGATGCTTAATCGTGTTCTAGACCTCTATCAGGCGGGGTCGCCCGATGAGATAGCGAAAGAAAATTGCGTTTGGGAAGCATCGTGGCCCGAATTTGAAGAGTTGGTAAAAGACTGCAAGGCTCAAATCATGCACCCATCTACGCAAGCCTGTTTAGAACTACTATATAACGTTATCGGCGTCATATCCTACCGTCCAGCCCAAATCGAAACCATCGAACCTCGTAGCTCTGAAAGTACATCGCCTTTGATAATGCAAAGCTCAAGAGTTAGACATAAGTATTGCGCTCAGCAAATATCATCCCTTCTCGATCTTCATATATCGAAACTTCCCTTCATTCCGTACGCGGCATCTCTGTCCCTGACAGTAGCTCTGCGTAGTTTAAGAGACACTACACTGGAAACCACGAGGAGGGCAGCTAGAGAAGAGGTAGAGAGAAGCCTTAGGATCATTGACGAACTCGCGGGGACATATTGGCATGCGGAACAGGCGAGTGGAGTTGGCCGTCAATTACTCCAGACCTATGATGGAGTTATATACTAACAGTCTGGGTATTAAACATACCTAGGTACGTACCTAGGTAATAGTCAAAATTGACCTGCATTTATTAAAAATAAAGAATAAAATAAAACATAAGAAGAAATAAAGGGAGGGGGAGTTACAAGAAATAGCAGTATAGAGATCAAAGACACTAAATATTTAGGTGTATCACCAGTTTCATAATAGGGGAAAGAAGCTCTGCGTAACCAACCCTATGCAAGAGCGTTAGCACTTGCCAGACATGCATGTGAAAAAGCTAAAAACTTAGCAGTGGCGGCCAATTAATTTACCTTCCATGTCAAAGAATAGCAGTCTCCTAGAGCGATGATAGAGGCAACATCTTCCCATACAACAACAATTTAGTATGTGCAGTCTTTCATGTTTCTCCTTTCTTGAGGTGTTATACCGTATCTAATAAATCAAATTGGGGTGTTCGACATGGAATCGCTGCCAAATGAAATCCTCGATATGGTTATCGAGTATTTGATAATTTCTATTGGTATCTATAGAGCTTTTATACTTCGAACCGTCAATAGTGAGTAATACAAGGCACACCAATATCCGATATAAGCGAATCTAATAGTTTAATTTCTTTTATTTTTTTTCTCTTCAGAAAGGTTCAACTCTTCCATACTGTTCGCCATCTGCGACAAACAAATCTTAGATATCAACCATCCGGCTACACCAGAGTTGATCATACGCATGCCGATAGCCCCGAAAGGCAGAGTTCTTCTAGTAAAATCACTCTCTGAGGAAGTCAATAGAGATGATGCTCTATTCGTCATCTCCAGAGTGAATCAAGTGCTAGATGAATTAACCAAGCCATCAAAGGAACAACAGGCCGAGCAGCATCGGATGATTTCTGAGGCCATTGCTGAGAGATACCCATATCGAATATTAAATTTGTTGGATGGAACCGATACTAGCATGAGAACGAATGCTCATAATGTCCTCATGGGTGCTATTGTAATCGGTAACTTACCACTTGTTAAGACACTGCTAGAAGAGCAACAAGCAGATATCAACGTAATTAACCCCTAGTTTGGACGACCCCTAGATATCGCCGCCTTTCGGGGCTATCTACAAATTGTTCTCTATCTTCTGGACTGCGGTGCGGATCCTTGTCGGGATGATTACGGAGAGGACTGGAACTGGAATCAGGGCTGGCATTGGAGTCATTTCAACACAAGATCCTCGACAAGTGCGTTAGGGGCCGCAGTCCGAGGAGGACACGAGGGTGTCATCCGGTTACTTATGCAGCCAGAGTATAGCCCATCTCCCCTCAAAGCCGAGTATTCCCGTGTAATTCTCGATGGAGTCGAATTTGGGCGTATTCGTTCTGTTCAGTCACTCTTACAAGCTATGGGTAAACCATTATCAGACTTCGCTTCGTTCGGCCACTTAATCTTTTACACTGCAGTGTTCAGCAACCAAGCAGACTTGGTGCAAATTCTTCTAGACGATGGCATCGATGTAAACACATCTGTCTACGACCTAAGCGGCCTAGATTACGCCGGCGTAATGTGTTACGCGGTGTCGACGGAGCATCCTCGCATGGTCCGAATTCTTCTCGATCATGGCATCTATACGGACTGTGCGAAAAACGTAAATGGTTACGATGAATCCGGAATGCCTATTGCAGTAGCTGCCAAGCTTGGACATGAAGAAGTGGTTGACCTTATACTTGCGCACAGCACCGACCCCGAATCTCTTGAAAGAGCATTCGTATGTGCTGCAGAAGGGGGTCAAGCTCATTTAATGAACAAGCTTTGGAAGAAAGATCCACAGTTGCACACAAAGTGGTGGCCTCGCGATAACTTATCTCCCCCAGAAGATGAAGATACAGATCTCAGACGCACAGTGGGCGTCGAGGCATTGTACCGTGCCATCCTCGCGAAAAGCCCAGCGGTAATCTCTACATTGGCCGAGCACGGTGTTTCGCTCAATGAGAAATATTTAGGCCGGTGTCTCATGGTGCTGGCAAAATTCGAATCAGCGCGATGGATAGCAGATTTTATGGTATCGTTAGGTGCTGAAGACGTAGATATTGACCACGATGATGTATTCATTGACTGTGCCGAAGAGACTACTCGCGAATTGAAGATAAGAGCAGGCGTATTTATAACGAAGCAAACCTGGGAGTGGGGAAGCAAGTACTAATAGTCAATTTATATTAAACTATCCATAGATTCAAGCGAACCTCCCCCTCAACAATATTTATTTTAAAAGCGACCTAAGGAACTGACCTTCGTCTAAGCTAGGTAGATTAAGAATTAGAATATATACGTTACCTACTTCTCTTATTATCTACATCAATACTCGAGCGTCTCTCTAGCGGACCTAATACACGGATCGGAGGTGTAGTGTTGAATATTGAATACCTCTCTAACCCGGATCCTCAGCTCTATCCGGATGCTACCCCATAATTACATTGTCGGCTTTTCCGGCAATGGCCCCGCTTAGGTCCGATCCGATTGCGGGCCATCGACGCATGGCATATTGATAACGACAAGACCAGCGTCTTGGTGGCTTTGGTTGCAACGAGATAAGAGTCACGGTAAGGAAGATGCACGTAATAGTACATACCCCGTGAGGGGTAGTTTGGATATCGCATGTGGCATGTGAAGCCCCTATTCATAACTTACAGGTAGATAATATCAATCAACCAAAGCCGCATACTCCTTTAATACAGATATTCTAAATTCACATCATAATATACAACAGTATTAAGAAATTAAGTTATTCCTAAGTTTATTGTTTATAGTTAACATTTCTATAGTTAGTTGTGTTCGGTTGTAACTAAACCCAATATGCCTACCTCTATACACGACTTAGCTATTGACTTTCAAAGTGCCGGACCTTTACTTATTACTATAATAATAATATTGGTATCCTATTTGGTATCTGTTGTAAGCTAAGCTTTCAAGCATGCTTTTGATATAGGCATTGCTAACCCTAGGAAGGTCGCATTTGGCACAGATATTCCCCGTATCAAGGGAATACCAGAAATTCCCGGCGCGATTCCAATCTTCGGCCACCTTCTCAAGCTCGGCGAGGATCATGCTAGCATCTGCGAGAAATGGTGGCGCCAATATAACTACTCCATCTTTCAGATAAAGTTGGGGAATACTCGCGCCGTAGTCGTGAATTCTTTCGATGACTGTAGAAAGATGTTGGTGGGCCATCAGAACGCAGTAATTGACCGGCCAAAGCTATATACATTCCATGGGCTTATTAGTAGTACCCAAGGTTTCACGATCGGCTCTTCGCCTTGGGACGACAGCTGCAACAGGAAGCGCAAAGCTGCGGGGACAGCACTGAGTAGGCCTGCCTTAAGAGGATACCATCCTATGTTCGACTTGGAAAGCTATTGCATCCTAAGGGATCTCTATAAGAACAGCCAAAACGGGGAGGTCGAGATCAGCGTGCGGCCATATATCCAGAGATATGCTCTTAACACGACACTAACCCTCTGTTATGGCATTCGTATGGACGCCGTTTATGACGACCTCCTACGCGAGATCCTTACCGTTGGCTCGGCCATCTCACTCTTGCGCAGCGCATCTGAAAATATGCAAGACTACGTCCCGATTCTGCGATACTTCCCGAACAATGAAAAAAGTGCTCGGTCTAAGGAACTACGGGACCGGCGCGATGCATATTTAAAGCTTCTTTTGGACAAGGTCCGGGAAATGATAAAGCGAGGCACCGACAAGCCCTGTATCTCCGCCGCTATCTTGAAAGACCAAGAGACGAAGCTTACCGGAGTAGAAGTCTCGTCAATCTGCCTATCTCTAGTCTCGGGTGGTTTCGAGACCATCCCCGGAACGCTGACTTCTGCAATCGGATCCTTGTCGACCAAGGAAGGACAGGTTTGGCAGGACCGCGCATACGAGGATATTAAGCGATACTACCCAGATATACGTGATGCCTGGACGGACTGCTACATACAAGAGAAGGTTTCGTATATCAACGCAATTATTAAGGAGGCAGGGCGATACTACACTGTCAGCGCCATGAGTCTTCCGCGAAAGACAGTAACGGAGGTGAATTGGAACGGTGCTATCATCCCCCCCAAGACGATGATCTTAATCAACGCCCAGGCAGGGAATCACGGTAAGTATAACATTCTCACAGAAATCATTTACTCATACAGATACTTATACTGTCTAGACACCGACCACTTCGGCGCCAATGCTAACAAATTCGACCCCGAGAGATGGCTTAAGAGCCTCGACCCGCCTACAGAGCACGAATCCACGGGCCTTAGCCACTTGAGCTTCGGAGCCGGGTCTCGCGCTTGTTCCGGCCAATATATCGCATCTAGACTCCTATACACTGCTCTAATACGCCTTATTTCGTCCTATAAGATTGTAGCGAGCGAAACGGAGCCGCCTAATACGGACTATGTCGACTACAACGCTGTGAAATCGGCACTGGTTGCAATTCCTAGGGACTTTAAGATTAGGCTTGTTCCTAGGGACACGACTGTCATAAGGGATTGCTTAAACGCGGCAGAACGGAGGACTGAGGGGTACTACAAGGGGTGAGAAAGTTGATATATTTATTGTTGATAAAACATGTAGTGTAAACTGTTAAGTCCTAGCGACAGTTTTTGGAACCCCTATTACACCAAATAATTGTAGATGTATATCCTTGGCTAAGACTAGGGTTACACCACATCATAGGAGATCATAGGAAGATGAGTTTGATTTCAATATGTGGCTGACGTGATATGAAATATAACTGGTTTTCAATCTCGATTAGAGGATCCGCACCTAATGCATGCAATAAAAGGCGGTTGGCACAGGCAGAATTTATATACGAAAGTCTATGGATGATGTCCACTGGCAGCAATCCTTTAGGCACCTGTGCATATAGTATAGCTATCTGATTTATATTCCCATTCTTTAGCCTATAACTTGGGTGTCTTTGTATTGACTTGATGTGGCTTTTACATACTGAGAAGCTCACTCTTGAGTATTTTAATGAGGCCCAAGTGCAAAAACTTTCATATGCAATTCTTTCACATGCGTGGGGACCTGATGAGGTCCTTTTCCATGAAATACAAGGGGAACAAGCAGCTCTACAAGGCAGAGCGGGATGGGATAAGACGATCCGTTGCTGTAAGGCGGCGCTGGCGTATGGATTTGCGTATGCATGGATAGATACATGCTGTATCGACAAACGTAACAGCGCCGACTTATCTGAAGCAATCAATTCCATGTACAAATACTATTATGACTCCGCATTGTGTTTTATATATCTCGAAGACGTGCATAAGTATAACGATAAAACAGATGGCTCACCGTCGACAACAAAGATCATAACCCGAGAACAGCTACTTGCTAAAGTGCGGGAAACTCGCTGGTTAACGAGGGGATGGACATTACAAGAATTACTCGCACCTGCACGACGATCCTTCTTTGCTTCAGACTGGTCTGAGATCGAAGACGGAGACGATCTGCTCAACACTATCGCTGAATCCGCCGGAATTAGCAGAAAGCTATTGGAAGACAGAAACTTACTGTGTAAAATCTGCGTTGGCGAGCGTATGAAATGGGCCTCTAAGCGACAAACGACGCGGGAGGAAGACATTGCCTATTGTCTTGCGGGTCTTTTCGATGTTAGCATCCCCGTCTTATATGGCGAAGGAGCTAGAAATGCGTTCAGGCGGTTGCAGCTTGAAATCATGCAAACGTCGTTTGACATGACCATTTTTGCGTGGCGCGGTGACTATGAAAGCAGCGGCCTCCTTGCTCGATCTCCGGCCGATTTTAGGAATATTCCTCCTTTAGCGTTAGGGCCATCTAGCATGATCGCGCCCTACTCGATGACCAATGCTGGGCTTGTTATTTGCTTGGGTACTAATATTCACTCGGAGAACAACGAACAGAAAACCAACGAGAGCGTGTCTGGAGAACGGCTTGGCGATCCAAGACTACCTGCAGCCCTCTTATGCGAAGTTCAAACGTCGAATCAATGGGAAGTTCCCTTGATATATCTTGAACCTCTGATGGACGTGAACTTCGTTATTAACGGTCAAAGATGTGGAGCTTATCGTAGGACTCGATGTGCGGAGTGGTCAACGGTGTCCTATGAACGGTTTGAAGACTATGGTTACAAAGATATAATTGTTCTGGAGGACGAACATTATGAGCTGATATGTCGAGCTAGGGAACAACATAAACGGCGAATTCAGAGAGGAACGTAACGATCCTCCCATGGAGGATGTAGTGTATAGAAATCTCCTAGGTGTTGGCTTTAACGTAGCATGAAGGTGTTTGTGTCGTTGGTCCTCACTTCATTTACATTCCACCGATGCATTATTCCCATACGTGCGTTATTCCTAAATAGGCAATATAAGATACTAACCTAGGCTAAGCGCTAGTACCTGAACCATTGCTTCTAAAACGGCTAGAGCTGACAAACAGACAAGCTGGAAGGTTCAAATTTCAAGAACACGAGACTACCTTGTCTTGGTATTCTCTTGTCAATCGGGAATCGGCAACCGGGAACTTCCACAATAACCTTATCAAAAGGTGTGACATAGTCGAACTTTATATTCAATTCTAGGTAAATATACCTGCCCGTATCAATATTACCACCTATTTGCATTGGCAGTCGCTTGGCAATGAGAAAAACAAGAGAAAGCTCTCGCAACCGTAGGCATGTGCATCCTTGGGGATCGAATGAACGAAGGGAGAGAGTTATGCATGACGCGGTCACATTCCATATAGAGAACGTTGAAAATAAATAATGTATAGTACCTGCTTTATATGCAGATGATTATTTATAATTATTCTGTGACTTACCTTATTAGACTTTATTAGATTAATAGGAGGTAGGCATCTTTTAGTGATTTACATAGGTTAGGTAAGGACCTAAGGGACCCAACTTACTATCTACGTTACGTATGTAGATCTAGATGATCTTCAGGAAGCTGGGACTCCCTATGGATATAATTAGCTCGACCTTCTTATCCCATGCTGCCCCATGTTTTTGATTTGCAATATGTATATCCAAGTAGCTCCCCTCAAGTAAATTTGAAGATGCCTAACCACAATATATTTTTTGAATGTATAGAATACAGGGAAATGATGCAACGTGTGTCACCATTATTGCTTACATTAAACTGCCTAAAAAAATCATAACGGGAACTTGCAGCAGAGTTTACCTACGTACCGCATTAGGTTTAGCATAGTTGCACAATAATGCTACAAGAATTTACGTATTTCGTACATTCAATGTACTTATGCCAAGGCCGACATTGCCGTGTGTACTTATATGTACAAGAAGAGCGAGCTGACATGGAACGACTAGTCAGCAGCCACTAGCTTCATTGCACCGAAGCGCCGTTCTGTTCCATTCTGTCCGTTTACTTTTTTAGAGACTTTTCCATTTTCATACCGGGACGATCCAAGGAAGTCCAAGCCACTCGAGCCGTTATCCGTTCTTCTTGGCTGACAGATTCAAGGTTTACAACCTTTTTTTTTTACCCTTTCGTTCTTGTCCAATTCTAGCTCATTGGCACCCATTGGTAATGGTTCCGCGCCATTTTACCTCCCTCCACAGGTCACACTCCAGATCTAGATTCATTCGGTAATACCACACATTTACTCCATTCGTTCCCTACTTTCCCATTCATTCCTTTCTTCTCCATTCTTCAACCTTTCACCCCCCCTCCGCGACAACCACTTTCACGCAAATCTCATAACGCGATCCACTACGTTCGTTTGATACAATCTGGAGGAAAAAACAAACGCGAAAATGTCACAGTATTGAGAAAAAAAAAGAAAAATTAGGAAGGACAATAGTCAAGAGACGATCTCTCGTTCATTTTGCATCCTGCAGCGTACTACCGCTAATACGATAGATCCGACAACCCCTTTGCCGATTTGCCGGATCTATTTTTTTCACCCATTTGACTTGCCTTTAGAGTCTCGACAATTCATATTGTCACAATAGCGATATTCGAATCCCTTGTATCAGAGCGACCAAGTATAATTGTATAAACAACTTGGATTAGTGATTAGGAAATTTGGTTGGTTCTAGACGACGGTGACTGGCACGAATACCGTTACGCTGTTGTATCCCATTGAATACTGGAGGGTTAAAACACCGTGTGCTTCCAAACGTACGAGTCGGAGTTTACAGCGCGAATTGCCAGCTCTTGTCAACATCAACGTCCAATACAGTTGATTTTCCATACGTCCAATATATTTCGGTATTTCGCATTCGCACTTCGCCATGGGTATGCTTCCTCATCTCATTCTAAAGAGTCCAATGGGAATCTTCTAGTGCAATGTTCCTAGACTGACAAACTTCTTCAGCTCAACAAACGCCCCCAGTAACAACGATCGTACCCTTCCAGGCTCTGCCTTCGTGTGCGGGTCAATGCGGTCCCCTTTACGATGCCAATGGAGCTTGCGTACCTCCTGCTGCCGCAGCTGCCGATGAAAATACCTATGACACTTGCTTTTGCGCCTACGATAGCCTCCAGCCGTTCAAGCAAGGCGCATCTGGAGTTTGCGATGCGGCTTGCACTAACGATAACGCGGGTTTGTCGAGTATACAAGGCTGGTTCACAAGTTTCTGTAACGAAAAGGCTGCAGCTACGACGTCATCATCCTCGTCGACAAGTACCGCAACAGGGAGTTCGGGAAGCAATGACGGCGGAGATTGGTAAGTTTTTTTTTTATGGTGTCCTAGTTTGCTTCGGTATCCTAACTTTAGCTCCCTAGGATTTCAACACATTGGAAATGGGTTGTCATGATAGTCATCATCGTCGTCGGAATCGCCGGTATTTGGATTGGAGCTTGCGTATGGCGTCGCAAATACTTAAGGAAGAAGGATCGAATGTACGAGCTTGGCAAAGGCCTTCCTAGTAACGTCGCGATCAACACACAAGGCAATCTTGTTGGGCCCGGCGCAAGGGATAGTACATATTCTAATCCGGGCATGTTCATGTCGGGCTCCGGAGGTGCTAGCTATACCGAAAAGCCAAAAAAGGAGCGCAAGAAGTGGAACGTCACTCAACGAACATGATCAACATAGCATGATCAACGAAATATCAGTCTATACCAATCCCACAACGCTCCTTTCACATACCAATATGGTATCGTCTCGACTACACGTCATTTACTATACTAGTCCTACAACCGTAGGATTATTCCTTAACATATCATTGATTCCGAATTCCACATTATGGGCGTTAAGGTCGGAAAGGTGATCTTGGTAAACTTATACCATGCGGGTTCCTATTATCCATTTCTTGAATAGGCAGGCGTGAGGATTGATCTGGATAGACAAGGAACCGAGTCGGGCAGCATTGGATGGTTTGATATCACTTTTACAGTCCCGAATTAAGCGGGAGATATATATGGGAAAGGGAAGACTCGGCATGGATTTGCGGCAGCTGTCTTCTCGCTGGAACGATGAACGAGCATAGTGGAGATATTCTTCTTGACTTCTCTACACATCAAAGTCCGCGAATCAATAATAATTATGTACAAAGACTTTGTGGTGTACATTGTCTTCGTTTCCCTTCTCACTTTTGAACTATCATGTCTCCTTCCCGCCTTGGCTGCCCAGGCGGTCTGCATCACATTAACAAATATCGCCTTTTAACTCCTATACCTATCACATACTCATTTTACCAAATTATTAACAGCGTTACCAAAGTAAGTTTTTTTGATATATCCTTTTTTTTTTTTTCTCTTCTCAAATTGATGGTTAACATCAAAACCGTCTGGAACCTAAATCGTAATATTTTAGGTATTTTAGCAATATTTGTCAGGCGGGTACTACGTATTGCTAAGCGAGTTAAGTTCGACTTAGCCCCAATACCCCTTTTCTAAGAGCTATAAAACGTATGACATATTGGTCGCACGGTCACGATGCTAAAGCCAAGCCTCACCTAAACCCACGACCTCCCGCCGTCTGTGTTTACACGGTACGAAGCTAGCGTTAAAGCTCTATCAATAGCCTAATGCTTTTATCATATGCGTTATCGCATAATCCCGCCGTGGGCAGTAGATATATGCTGACGCCATAGGGAAATAAGGAGAGAATAGGCTAAGACGATAAATAAATGCTACGTTTTCGTGATCATATTTCGTATTTTCGTATTCACGTATTCGTATATGTTAGGTACGTATCTCATCTTATCCAACCTTGTGATACGTAGGTATATATGTATCAGCAAACCCTTGTCTTCTCTCTATCCTTCGATGTATATTCAACTCTTCTAGTATAGCCGTACTATCATGCCTAGAGGAACTCCCTTTAGGTATGATGCAAAGCAGATGATGCTTTTCAAACTCCCTCCAAGTCTTATGTCTTTGATGCCGACCTACACAGGCCGACAATTTAATAGTTAAGCTATGGAAGTAGCAATTACTCCATGCCATAGTCAGCGGCATCCATGTACAAGTCGATGAGGCATCCCGCGCTCCAGGCTTGCGTGGGGCTCGAGTCGTCGCAGTGCTGGCCATCCTTCTGCGTGAGCTCCGTAAGACCTGCCCACTGGCTCTGCCTAATCATCTCCTTGCAACCGCTCAGTCGCCTCGTAACCTGTTGGAACGCCTCGACACGCCCATGCTGGGTATCCCGTCTCATGAGGTCGAACTTCAGTAGCGCGCGTAGGAAGAATCCCGTGGGCCAAAGCCACTCAGGGCCCTGATGATAGTTCCGGCCTTTGGACGTAGCGAAATCGGTCGAATCCTCACTATTTATATAGAAGGGGCGGTAATTCAAGTCCGAGGGGTCAAGTGTTGCCATTCCGGTTGGTCCACGTAGGACTTTGTCCGCCAAGACGAGAGCGCCAAGAGCATGCTCAGGGTCAAAGAGATCCGGAGCGACGGTCATGGCGATGGTAAAGTTAGGCCGCAGCTGGTAGTCTTCGTACTCCTTTCCGGAACGGTAGAGGTCCTTATAGACACCACGTCGGTTGACAACCTTTGGATTTACACCGTATTTGGCGTCTTCTGATGGGTCGACCGGTACGTAATAACAATTTTCGAAATTTGACTTCAGTAGGTCGGCCCAAGCCGAGAAGGTGATCTCGGTCCCATCGGCTTTCGTCACGCTCTTATACGGATACTTGCCATCCGCATTAAGCTTAGCCAACCATTTCAGAGTACTGTAAAGTAAGCCGGTAATCTCAACAGCAGCACCATCTCGAGGAGTACCGGGGATGCCCTTCGAGCCAGCGCGTTCACTTTCACCCATCTTGTCCATCCAGGTACCGCAGTTGAACTGGTTGCCGCCGAAGATAATACCATTTGACCAGTCTACATTAACCTCGATGTTGAAACCCTCGTCGCGCATCTGGGAGTCAATGCCTGGTCCTGCATTGGCTTCGCGAAATTTCAGCCCAGTCGCATGACGTTGCAGCGCCTCCTGGATAACGCCTTGTATCAGGCTCTCTGTTGAGTATGCTCTCGGGTCTTCTGAGTCAAACCAGACGTCATCGTATGGTAGGAAGCGTCGTTTAACTTTTCGTGTCAGGAGGCTCACACCATCTGGGGCATATCGAGTGTAATCCTGGATACACTGCAAAAAGAACCAGATGGAATCCCGACTATTGTATCGCGGAAGGTTTCCGCTGCTGAGAAGATTAGGAATCATACCATGCTTGAGAACACTAGCGAATGCAAATATGTGTTCCGCTGCCTCTTCAAACCGACCAGTTCCGAGGTATAGACCACGAAGAGAGATGAAGACATCACGGCCCCAGCATCTTGCCCATTCGACAGCGAAATGTGGTAGACCAGCAGCCAGAGAGGGGACAAATTTCTTGGGCCAAAGTGAACCTGACTTGACCAGCCCTGTCATTTGCACGCTGACCAAGGCTAGGTTTTGAAGGAACCACTGACCACTCTGCACCTTTTCGTTCATAAGTTCCAAACCTCTTTCCCAGGCCGCCTTATATGCAGTTCGTATAATAAGTGCGAAATATCGCGGTAAAAGGAAATTGGGAATACTTCGAACTGCGTCGATACGCTCCTTAAGCCAAGCCGCGGGTTTAGTAAGACCGGCAAACTCCGACTGTTGACTTATTCTCTCGAGACGTCCAACCGTATAATCCAAGGCCCATTGTCCATCGCGGAGGTTTTGGCAAAGAGGGTGGGCTAAGTTGTTGTCCTTAATGATATCCTTCAGAAGACTCCACCAGCCCTGAAGGCCCGCATATACGATCTTACCATGGCTTGGAATATCATAGGTTCCATCTTTGCCGCCACTACCATCGAGCTCTTCAGCTTCACAGCGGTATAGCAGGAAGTTGAGATCGACTAAATCCAGCTCGGCCATCGCTTCCTTAGCCCCAGATGTGACGTAGTTATCTAAGCCTGATGAATGTTCTGCAGCCGGAATCCAGGTTTCAAAAAGCGCAATACTTCCAGGCGGAAACTTGTCGCGCACTGTGACAACTGTCTCATCCGCCTTGGCTTCTAGTCGAATACCAGGCACATCAATCACGCGACTTGGGAGCCCTCGTAGGTATTTTTCGTCACCCTCGGTCTCCTTTTTCGTTTCCTCGCTAGCATCAACCTCTAGCATCCAACTTCCCAAGTGCCGCGCTTTTGTGCCGCTAAGGCGCACAGCACTAAATGCACCATTGCCATTCCCGTAGCCCGGGAAAGCAGTGTGAGCGATGAGGAAATATCCTTTCCTCGACTCGGGGTGTACTCTGTGGACGGTAATATATTCGTCCTCGTGGTGTATATGTGTTTCGTCGTAACCATCTTTGCCCATCAGTGTGTGGATTTGATTAAGTAGCTTTTTGACACCTCCAATACCACCTTTGCCGCCGCCAATTTTAATTTCTTTGGCAGAAGACGACTCAGACGTGTAAAGCCTAGTCTCGTTTACGAGATCAACAAGTTTCGGATATATCTCATCGTATCCCATTACACTTCCAGTCGCACTGGAACACATGCACACCAAGGCAGCGTTTGGTAAAGTATCACGAGCATCTCTCTTCTGTGCAGGAACCTCATTATCGTGCGTGCAATCCATAAACAGGGCCTGGACTGGTACAGGCTTGATTCGGCGAATGACCTCTCGAGGAGAATAGTCATTAAGTCCGGGGCTCGTTGGAGCACTTCCAATCGGACCCTTTGAGATTTCATCGACTTCAAAACTACCAATGGGGCGCCCGCCGTGGCGATGTACCAGTCTGCTGAGTTCTGCAGTGCTCCAGGCTTGCATTGCCTCTCTGATTAACGAGCTCAATCCCAGCCTCTTGACAAAGACGTAATCCATCTCCTCCGAGCCTGTAAATAACTCTGCCACGACATATAAGTTAGGCCGGATTCGACGGGCCTCATCAAGGATATGCTCCGCAACATGAATAGGGGTAGAATGGCAGTTATCAATTCGGAAACCAGCAAAGTACTTTGCCAACATGCGGGCATATTTCGTCATATGCTCCCATAACCATGGACTATCTTCAGGGCCATTTCCGTAACGAAGCTTAACGCAATCACCCCAAACGATAACTTCGCGTCGTAGGTACACGCGCGATTTGGGACCGGCGTTGTCCACCAGAGCGTTCCCAGCCCATACCCAACCGTTATTGACGAGAACCAAATCCTCGGATTTCAATTGATCAGATGCCTTAGCCTTATCTAGGCGTGTGAAGTATGTTTCAATCAAGGGATTGTTCTGATCAATGGGACCAAGTTTTGGTCCATGCTCGTCGATGCGGACATACTTGATCCTATTGAATAGTTGTTGGAGAATTTCTCCGATTTCCTTGTCGTACTCCTCGTAGAATGGAACATTAACCACATCCAAGATCTGAGCAACTTTGGTTCGGATAGCCGCCTCATCTGCCTCACCCCTGTACTTCCCAAAGAGAGCAACGATCAACCCGGCCGAAACTTTTGGGTCAATACGTCGCCGAAAGCGTTCGCCAAGCCTGTCATTCCCAACTAGGCCATTCTGAACTAAGTAGAGGGCTTGTTCCTTAACCTCCAGTTTAGTCAGGTCATCCTTTCCAGTTTCCTCAGGAGCACTCGACTTTCCAGCAGCCCAGGACTCGATTGCAGCATCCGCATCTCTGTCGACGTCAAGCGCATAGTACTCCCATAGGCGAAGCTCGGCAACAACATGCTTTTTTATGCCGTCCATGATCTTGATGAGGTCATCTGTAGATTTGAGCTCCTTGGGGTATCCTAGCTCCTCTAACTTGGAGCCAAAAACCAGGAGTTGGGTGTCAAGAATGTAGGCCGACTCTAGCCAAGGGGCAGTGGTGAGATTATACCCAGCTTCTGGGTGTTCAAAAAGCCACTTGCTGTTATGTGCGGTATGGTTTAGGACTATGTCGGTTAAGCTGAGAAGGGAATGGTTGTGCTCCAGACTATCCACCATCTGCTTTACATCTTTCTCCCCTTGAGGAAAGCACTCTGGATCCCATCCAAGCTGATCATATAAGCTGTAGGGAGAGTTTGAAGCTCCTCGAACTTGAAGGGGGGTAAAATGTATCATGTTGTACCCGCGGCCGCTGATACCTCGCAGATGCCTCTCCCAGTCGGTTGGGTATTTGCCCAAGAATTTGCTGATAACAGAAAATACGGACAGTGCTGGTAACGGCAAGGGTCGGCCATCTAGAGATAACCTAGGAGCGACATCAATGTAGTATAACGGCGTCTTTTTAGATCCAACCGTACCCGATGTGTTCGAGCTCAAGGCAGAAGACAGCTCGGGCAGTTCGGCATAGGTAGTGTAGAAAGCGAAAGCACCAGCTTCGAAGACAGGGATCGAGATCTCTATCGTTCGATTAAAGTCGGGATTTAGTCTGGGGGGGGCCGTTAACAAAGAATCCCAGGATCTTAGAAAGCGAACAGTTTGCCTACTTGTATTCGCGAAACTGATCTCTGGAAAACTCAGATCCCCGTTCCGGGATATTAACCCATAAACTACCTTGTCTACATATTGACGACGTGCCCTCGATCGTAAATCGTATAGTTATGGGATCCTTAGATCTTGGTGCCAAGTATATGTACTCGCCAGGGATATCGGGAGCACCATCATCCTTCAGAGGCAAGATGTAAACCTCATTCGAGGTCACCGTCCTGGGAATCATGATGCCCAACTACTCGCCAAACTTCATACAATAGCTAGGAAGATATATGTAGCCGTAGTAGATGAACTAGAAGATATTTGATTAAAAATGGAGGAAAAGAGGAAGAGAGAGAAAGGGTTAGATCATAGAATGTTAAACGAGAGAAGTTGTAGGTGATAGAATAATATTTTAAAGGGCAGTAAGATATTTATATCAGGCCATCAGACGATGAAATGCGACGGTAAAGAAAAAAAAGACTTCAAGTAGTTGGTCTCTTATGAAGGTGGGGTTTGGCAGGGTTGGGTAGCTATTACCTAGTATCCTAGTATCCTCTTAAGGTACAACACTACACTACGTGCATCTATACTACATCACATGTACCAAGTAGCTATCGTAAACTGCAACTGCAATATGTAGTGCAATATAGTAGTGTACTATGATTGATCGGGTCAGAGTAAAAGCCCACTACAGCACAGTGACGTAATGACTTGATATGCTGAATATTAGCTCCTAATTGGCCCCATATGGAGATTTATGGAGGCGGGGCTATCCGATCAAGTACCTGACTTTGCCCAAACTTTAGGTAAGGTTCTGTCTTCTAGGCCTGATGTACTCCCTATGCACATCCTGGGCTATCCTGGCTCTCTTTATGACAACACGTCCATTTTTCTTTTACTTGAATATCTTCTTCCATCGTCCACCGATCTCTAGTAGATGTGAATGCATACTGCAATTCTCCATAGTGAACTAAAACATATTATAACGTTAGCCAGTACTCCATAAATGGGTGCTTAATAAACGACATGCAGTTTTCTTACTTTTATGGTTAGGACAGGCGTTGTTAGCCTTAGGATCAAAAGTGACACCACAGAATCGGCAAATTTGAGGTCCTGGAAGAGGAAGAACATCAGCTCGGGCGGCTCGGGCGGTTCTTATTTGACTTTCCTCTTCCTCCTCCAACCTTTCTCCTTCTTCTTGCCTCTTTCTCATCTCTTCTCCAAGTCTCCTTCGAATCATTATGGCCTGCTCGATACCTCCTCGCTTTCGGCGTCTTTGTTGATATCGGTGTATCGGAGTATCCTCTGACCTTCCACTAAGCTCTGAAGGTTCCGCGACCGAAGGACTTGTCGTGGGTGGCGATGGCGGCGGCGGCGGTAGCGGCGCAAACTGTAATTCGCCTGGATGGGGAAGGATAACCCCCTTGTAAGGGGTCCTCTTGCTGTGAGTTTCTTGCGGCGACGGCGCTTTCGGAGGTATCGGCGTGCCTTCGGGCTTGTTTGCAGGTGTTGCCTGGTCTTCTACTGCATGTTTAGTCTGCAGTTTAACCTTGGACTTACCCTTGGGCTTGTATTTGGGTTTGTGTTTGGGCTTGTCCTTAGGTCTGCCTTTAGACTTATTCTTTGCTTTCTTTGCGCGTCCCATCTTCTCAGACTTTATAACCACAAACCAAAAAAAGGTAGAGGGGAGACTTAAGATTTATTAATCAAAATAGAAGTGTGCGCAGTAAGAACAAGTAGGAGGGGAGACATCACTACTCCCGGAGTAACAGCTGTTGCCATCCGTCATTTAGACATGTGAGTACAGACAAAATATCTGAGTGGAGGTAAGAACGGAATTTACAAAAGAGCTCTTTCTAGATGAGTTGCTAGGTAACTTGTTTGGTGCACGGTCGATCTCTTCAACTGATAAATGTTAGATGTCTATCACCTAAGGAAGTATCTACCTAATTCGTACCCATCCGGGTAGAGAATAAGTAGCCTTGTAGCCTAGGTTGATAGGGATTTTTCTACCGCTGATTTTCCTGCAGCTTGAATACATAGAATACATTACAACAGGTACCTCCCTTTGATAGTGTCAATATCAGTTCTAGTAGTTGAATAAAAGCGATATGTACTTGAACAGGCACTTAGGACATGTTATATGTTGCTAAGATGCGACCAGTCACATACTTGCATGCAGGCAGTTAATCATTGCAACCCATACCTATCCCATAATATCAAGGTAGCTGCTGGTATCTCTTAAATTTATGCTTGCTCCTTTTTTCTTAATCCTGACCTAATATGAGATATATTCTATGTTCATCCCTTTTACTAGTATGTACTGTATATAACTCGAGTTTCGCTAGAGATTTCTATCATGCTAGTAGTAGCTTATAGTAGTTGTAATGTCTCCGTTAGAAATCATGATCCAAGTGCTAAGAAGACGTATATATACATGTAGGTACCTTTACAAGATTTTTAGCCGTCGAGTACGATTAAGAAGGCTACGCCCTGTAGGCTGCTAAGTCTTCCAAGGAGGGAAGAATATCCCCGCGGTAGTCATCTCAATCAGAATGAAAGTACTATCACAGCTAGCAACCCGGAGGTCGCTTTGGTAAATTAGGTAGGTAGGTACCTATGAATGTATTAGCTTTTCTCTATACATATCTCTGTCAGTCTGTAGTTGGGACCACGATCTAACCTGTAGAATATAACTAGCTAATATACTGGCCGAGATGTTACCTACCTAAGAAGGTAAACTATGCAGTATAGGAATCCTGCCTAGTTTAGCAGCGTCCATATCTCTCACCTTATCGTTGAGACGCACTTAGGGGGGGGATGAATTCATTTCGAGGGATTCTAATAATGAAATTAGGCAAATTCTCAAAGTTTCAAGAGCAAAATTTTATGATTATTACTAGCCATGCCTTATTGGTATTGATAAGTTAAGTCTATCATAATATAGTAGGGTTGTTAGGTATGCATGTTGGGATTATGGTCACGTGACAATGGCACCTAGCATTGTCATGTGACCAAGGGTTGGGCCCCACCCACACCCTAATCCAATTGTATTTAGCTTCCCCCACTTTTCGTAGATCTTCCTCTATCATCATCAATCAATACATTAGGACATCACTTTTACTACAAGGGTAATTGGTGATACAAAGTAACTGAATCGATTCCCCAGTCAATCCAACAATGCATGCAAATAGGCTAGCTTGCTCAACACATCGTTTTATTTTCTAAAATTGTTTAGTTTTTTTTCTCGATTAAAACAGCACCTTATTGGGCCATTAATGTCTTTTGAGGATGAGTTTAGCTACTGCTATCATCCACTGCGTAAGGATACCGTACTTGAGAGGCACCAAAGTATGAAAGGTTTCTGATATGTTGCCGACTATGAATTCGTGATTCGACCGAGAGGTTAGAGCTACAAGTACTAAGTTGGGTTAGGTGCCTAGGAGGTAGTTATTGAGTCTAAATCAGGAAGGCAGGAAGTAAGAACTTGACACTACCTTGCCGGCAGTTCCTAGAGTACTCACCACGAAATTGTTTCCATGCCTTGTAGTTCCACTTCGTGATAAAATACTCAACATAGGACGGGGAAAATAGTTCCCTCTCAAGTTTTAGTATATTTAGCTTCATTTATCTGTCTTGAACTAATTCTTACAATTCTTTTTCATGCGGGATGATTTACTCAACTCTGGCACAGTACATTTTTATATACTAATACCTACAAGTACATCACTACATGTAGCTCATGTAGCTGAAAGACTAAACCTCGGTAACGAAAAGTAGGTAGAATTCTATAGATAGTGATATCAAGAACTTTGGGTATGATTGAATTACCCAAGCTAGATACCCAGATACCTTATAGTATGCAAGGGGGCATAAGTACCGGATCCTCGGAACACCTAACAATGGGGCTATATGTTTATAGAGAACATTCCCAATAGAAAACCTAAGCGAACAAGTCTGTCTCCAAGCTCTTATTTTCCTTAGCCATGCCAACATCTGTGTTCACTACCTGATTCTATGCTGTAGGTAGGTGCTTCAACTTGACGCGTGTATTTATCCTCTTGTTGGGGAAAAGTACGAAGGGAATCATGACCCTGGTATATTATCAGAAACAACGTATTTTAAGTTGCTTCCTAACCTAACGTCAGTTCTCTGGCTCAGAAGATGCTGATTGTCGGCTTAACAGAACCGGGAGTCTTTTGGGAAGAAGGGGGGGTCGGGGTCTGTCTGGACGACGACGAATCTTTGGAGTTTGTATAGGTGAAGCGAGATATTGGACATGGTAACACATTTAAGCAACCCATAATATTACTATGAGATATACAGGTAAGTATATGTGTGAAATTTATCGTAGTTTTGATCGTAAAGGCAAGGTCTAAGAATTTGAAGGTGTTTCGCTATCGAAAGAGCAAAGGGTACGAGCTCGGCGTAGTGTCATCTATAACCAGCGTTTTCGTGACGTAGGTACCTATTAAAATTCAAGTAAAGAAGCTGTCAAGTCGCCGTAGTTGTTGTGGTTCTTATAGTTGCGAGACGTCTAGGGTTTGACAATTCATGACAAGTCTGTGCCGACTTCTGTGCATGTGTCTCTATCTGTATTCATAACTGTTGAGCCGGCTCCTGTTTAGCTATTAATTATAGTTCGGTACAGCAAGCATTGCGCTTACGTAGGTGCGGACAGCCTAGACCTTTCGCCTTGTCTTGATTCAAGTTTCTTCCTTGCGAGGTTGTGTCGTGTCTAGCCTCGACTAGGAGACCTCCGGACGAGGCCGTTGTCTCATCTAAAGCGCATTATTTTCCAGCAAAGCTTGCATTCAGATTACACGATTTCAATCCATTTTAGAGCTTCTTAGTGCAGAACGCATACAACTTATCCCACCAATTCTGTAACGCACTGTAAGGTATACGGCCAAGACAATACCTAAACTAGAATGTCCTAAATCTACGGATTTTAATTTAAAGTACACCCTTCGCCAATACACACTTAACTCCGTGCCGATGCAAATGCACAAACTATTTATAAACACTCGGTTATTCGGTTCCCCGTTCAAGTCAGGAGGCCAGGAAGTAGTTGAATAGGGTAACCCGGAGCATTGCTCCTATACTTTACGTATACATGGATTCAAGTCCTAACAGGTCTGGGTTATGATCTGATTTACATAAATAATCAACTTGAGTAGCCGTGTCTAGAGTCTATGTGGCAAATTCTTGTGTCTACTCTTGTATAGTTCATAGGAGACTAAATTAGGTGTCAAGGATACTGGCCACCAAGTTCGCTTCACTCCGGGGCTAGTGTTCCCCTATACATACTTCACTTCTTCGGGTTACCCTTTTCGTCGAATTTCATAACTCTTCTAGCACAAGACATGGGGGGATATCATCATATGTATTGTATTCACTAGGTACGTAGGAAAATTATACAAATCGCAGGAGACGTCAAGGGTCGTGGTAATATTTGTCCCAAGAAAATATATTTCATCTCAAATCTCTGGAGTTAAAGCTTTGCATGTTTCTCTTACATAATGAATATCTACAGCGTAATAATATTCGAAATAGCCTCCAGTTCCAGCACTCTCCAGCTATCTATAGGAGTCTGCCATGTAAGATCTAGGAAACGCAAAAGCAAGGGACGTAATAAAACTAGTACGTGATGGGTATATAGCATATGTTTAACCGCGGTTTTCGACAAAAACGCCGCCGTGGGCCTTCTCGACATCCGTCGCCAGAGAGGCTGATCCGGATCCGCCGCCCTCGTGGTGTACGGGGCGCTCAACGTGGGCCTTGTGCTCCTCCGTCTCTTCGTAGGCAATGAGTAACTCGCCATTCTTGCCGTAGCGGCGGGGCTCCTTTTCAGCCACGTCTACAACCGTAAAGTAGCCCTTAGCACCGTGTACCTTGTGGAAGATGGTGTCCATTTCCTCAAGTGACCGGTATGCCGTCTCAGGGAAGAAGAAGTAGACCGACGGTACCATGAACGCGTTGATCACTGCGAAGATGATGTAGGTCTGATATCCAATACTGTTGAAAGCTATGGGTGTAATCATAACGACGAGGAAGTTGAAAATCCAGTTAGAGGAAGTAGCAAGCGCGTTGGCCGGTGCGCGGGTCCGGAGAGTTGTGATCTCAGCAGGGTATAACCAAGCTAAAGGAAAAGGAGAAGTTAGTCATATTCTAGCAAACGTTTCCGGAAGTGTGGGTTTGTAGAAATACATCATGGGTCCGTGAGATAATATATGGAAACCAAAATGTACTTACTCATTCCGAGCCAACCAACGGCGAAAAAGGTGTTGAAAACGAATAGAAAGGCGATGGCGACGCCCTGGGCTGCTTTGTTATCAGGTGCAGAATTTACACCAGCTAAAATAGCCATACTGATAGCTTGGCCGGCGGCGCCGAAGAGCATGAGCTTTCGGCGTCCAACCTTTTCGACAAGGAAAACAGCAGGCCACGAAGCAAGGAAGTATTCTGTGCCGTTGATCGCCGCGAGTAGTCGAGCCATGAAATCGCTCATACCGAGTCCGCTGTAAATTACTGGTGCATAATAACTGATGGAAACATCCTGTGTTAGTTTTATAACCTTACACTTCTAAAGTTTTACTGTTCTTTTTCGAGCGAGTCGAAGCAATAGGGTGATCGCAACTTACTACTGAACGTTAGTTACTGTATACTTCGAAACCTGTTTTAGGGAGTGGGGGATGAAAATCATAAGAAGGGGGCGCTTTTATACATACCGTGATTAAATTAATACCTGAGATTTGCTGAAACATTTGGTTTACGAAAGCAAGCAAGGTGCGATGCAAGTTCCTGTCCTTGTCCATAGTAAAAAGGTCGCTAAAGCTGCCCTTAGACATCTCTAGGACAGTGTCCTTGATAGCAGTAAATTCATTTTGTACTTCTGGGGAGTCGACTGTGGTATCTCCTAATGCAGCAAGGACTTTTCGGGCTTCGTCTTCGTGGTTCTTGAGGATCAGCCATCTTGGGGACTCGGGCATATTCCAGATGAAGGCCAAGATGAACAAGCAGAATACAATTTGAAAGGCGAGCGGAAATCTCCAAGCGACACTACTGTCGATGAAACTGAAACCAAGATCAATCCAGTAGCTGACCATAATACCACATGTAATTAAAGCACCTTCTATCATGACTAGCTTGCCTCGCTTGTGGGCGCGAGAAGTCTCCGATTGCCAAGTAGGGACAGTTGATGTGTTACCTCCGTTTCCGAGTCCGGTAATTACACGACCGATGATGAAATGAGGGAGCGTTGTGGCACTGGTCTGTAGAATAGCGCCGATGACCATGATTGAAGTACCGAGAATAATCATTCGCCTTCGACCGAGGGGGTTGGAGATAAAAATAGTAGCGACCGCACCGACAAAGCATCCCAGATTGTATGCTGCAACAGCGATACCCTGGGTTGAGGCTCGCTTTGCTTGTTCTGTTGCATCTTTCGCGGCGTCTGGATTTATATCCGGGAAAGCCTCAAGAAATTGATGCATTGTGAGAATACCGCCCATCACGCCCTGATCTAAGACATTGTTAAGCTATTTAAGTAGCGCTTATATAGGATAGGGATATTTACCATATCCAAAAAGTAAGAAATCACATCCTGCAACTATGCCTATAGCATAGTTGAGCCAGTTGCCTCGAAGGCCAAAATATCTCCCCATGGTAAATGTGTCAAATGTAGCTGGCTTCGATGTGGTGTGTGAGATTGGACTCAGCCGAGATGACCCAATAGTTTATATAGTAAGGCTCATCGGCGTAGAAGTTAGTGGAATACAAGGTCCAAGATCAATCGCGCCACGTAGATCTGTGCGCCGATGACCTTTTATTATATTAGTCCCACGTCGATGTCGATCAGGCTGCGGAACTAAAGAGACTAAATATGTTCGGCTATAGTCAATACTCGTAATAATCTACCCGAGGACTAAGGACTAAGCAACAACGGGGAGCATAAGAGGTAAGTATAACTAACAAAGACAATTAAAAAAAGCAAATTTATGATTTGAGGCGGGCTGACAACAGATGATATATATACTCGGCGGTAGGTTAGACGGTTAAAAGATATAGACCGCTACACGGTAACCTTGGAACTTGGAACCTTTTCCTTCATGTCAACCGCCAACCGCCAACCCCAACCAACCCACGAGCGTAGAAAGCCGGGGTGGAACCGGGGTCTCCAAACCAACGATGTACCCCAAATACGGAATTGGTAGGAATATAAATGGGGACATATGGCGCTTAGTGGGGCTTCATCCAAGTCGGGATCTACGTGAACGGAATAGCGCACTCGGCCTTGTATCTTCAGTGGCGGTGCGCTGATGTGGGAATGTGGAGGAATTGTGGAGGGACCTGGAAGTTTTGAAGGTCTTCAAGTTGGGGAAATGTCTTTTAGGGTTAGGTAGTTTCTCTATGTTATAGTGATGTTATAATACTTCTAAAGTTGTATACCTACCTGTATTTTAATTAGGTACCTACCTAGGTATGTACCTCTTACCTAAAATACCTTGTAAGATGGCGAGGTGTTAGTCAAAGCGGAGGTCCTATCATAGAAAAACTGGGCTTGAATAATTCGATGCAAGCACGGCCGCCACTATATGCAGGTCAGATCGCAACATCTCATAATCGATTGAAGCAAAGGTAAATCTTTTTTGAGGGGAAATGGCTTCAGGGGCCCGACCCCAGAAATCATATAACCCATAACCCCATTCCAAAAGGGGTCCCCGCAAAGAGACCCAAAAATTGTACTCACCTAGCTGACGACTTCGGGGAAAAATGGACATTGGTAACGTTGGTATGGATGCGACCAACGTTTTTGGCGGCGACGCTAGAAAGATTATTCATCAACGGATTTCCTAACTCGGTAATCCGAAGCCGCACTCGTCGCATTGGAAGCCCATACCACTATAAGTCTATAACCAAGGATATCAAGCAGAAAACGGAAATTTTTGACGTAAGTGCAAGATCAACTTTCGCGAAGAAAAGAGGCAACCCCTGTATGACAGCTACTTAGATTGTGAGAGGATGACGTCGATCGGGCCGGGATGTTTCGCTCGTTATCGGTCTTATATCGGTGATAACAGTTTCTTTCCGTCGACTAATATCTCATTCTTACTAAAAACCTGCAGAAGAATTTTCAAATGGCTACAATCTTAAGGTTGTTTTCATTTTTTGGTATTCCTAACTTTATAGGATGATGAAAGAGTGAATAATGCCGACAATATTAATCGGGGGTCGTGACAAGTCGGTACCCCAACATCCGGACCCGGGTAACCTAGCTTAGGTAGGAACGGGGCTAACAGAATAAGGTACTTAGGATTAGGATATCCGGGGTTGAAAATGTGACTGATGGATTTCCAACAATAAAATGGCAGGTCAACTCGCTACTGGTTATTTTGATCCAGGATGATTGGAAATGAATATTAGAAACATTGAAGTCTTATTTGTCACTCACTGTACTGTGTTCATGGTCTCATTTCTATCTACACTATAAACGCTTTAGGATTTAGTATATCCTCGCATCGCGATGCTGCTGAACTTATAACCCGTTCTCGGTCTTGAATTTATCCCAACTCTCATTTAGGGTGGCAAATACTGTAGCGGCAATGAGTCTTACTTCCGTACTTGCATCTTGAGGTAGCTATATAATACCTGTTAGTATTGAAGACGCGGCATATATGTAGATGGCAGCCTATTTTATAGAAATTGATAACTTACCTTATCAGGATGACACTTAGCAATTGCTTTCATGTAATGTATCTTGACCTTGTTCGCAACTACTAGCTCGTGCAAGCCAACCTTCTTCCATCCGCTGTTCTCCCATAGCACCTGATCAAGACTTCCAAGAAGGGCACGTAGATTATCCCTTTTCCCATCACGCCATGTAGCGATCTTTGCATCGACTTTTTCGCTAAGCGCAAATTTCTCATCATCGGCTGCTTCAGCTGCCTTATTGGCCTGCCGCAGGCGCTGTACAGCTTCCGAGCTTTTTTGCGAGTTCAGGTCTGATACGGCGGAGGGTTTCGGTCGAGACTTAACCACCTGTGCCGGCTTCGGGGTTGGTTTAGGTTTAGGAGCAAGCGCTTTCTGACAGCGTTGTCGACCAGCAATCGCATTTGCACCGCCAACGCCTGCCTCGACGCATTGCTGCCAAACGTTCCCAGCATCCGTCCACTTCTCCATTTGCTCAAGAGCCTCGGCTTTTCGGCTGAGCGCTTTGCCGTACAAATCTTTCATTTCGCGTGTTTCGCCATCAGACAATGCGACCTTCTCGCCTTCGCCGTGAGAGGGCCCTATAATGCCGATCGCAGCATCTGCATCGCCAACAGCCTGTTTAGGACTCCCGGTTTTCAGTGCAGTAAGTGCGCGGTTAGTAAGCAGAACAATGCAAATGGGATGTGACTGTGGTATGCCGGCTAGCGAATTTGTGTAACTTGTGTGCGCAGCGTCGTAATCTCCCCTTTTAAAATGGGCTGTTCCTTCGAGACGGTGCCGTGTAGAAGCTTCTAAAGTTGATGAAGGGATAGTGGGAATATTTCGAGTGGGCGGGGCTGGCCGTGGAGTGATGGGCTTTGAAGGGGCCCGTGTGGGCTGTTTAGTTGAAGGGGTTGATGACTGAGCGGCGCGTCGGGGTTGGGATTGAGAAGGTTGATGTGAAGGCTGATCAAATAGTAGGTTCGGTTCAGATTCAGATGGCGGTGCGGGTTGAGGTGCTGCCTTTTTTCTCCTTGCAGGACTGACATACGCTTGTGCGCTTTGCTCCTCAATTTCTTGCTTGTTTAAGCGCACCCGGGGATCCCGGGAACTTGGCGGTGCTGCTTGCTGCCATTTGGGTATCCCTGGGGAATGCGTGCGCGGTCGAGTGGGTAAACCCGGGGATTGATCTCGCGGTTCACCATGTAGACTTTGAGTAGGCCTGGACGAGTGTCTCTCTGGCCGTGTACCAGATTCTAGCATTAGAGCTTCGTCTGTAGTATTCTGAGGCTCACGCTTTCCTGCATACGGCTGATCTAGATGGGCTGAACGCATCCATTTTGGTTGGCTGGGATCGCCACCCTCTTGCTGGAAATCAGCAACTGCCTTTTGGACCTGCTTCTGCCCACTCTTCCAAAGGGAATTAGCCGTTTTGAAGAAACTGGAGCCTACTGCCGCGGCCCTTTTAGAGAAGTCATCTCCAGAAACAGGTGACCGATTATCTCTTCGTGAAGGAGGATCACCTGTATGGTCTCCACTCATCCACGCGGGATTGCCATGATTTCTAGAACGGTTATCATCCCTCCTAGCTCGTTCGGGAGCGGGTTCTGCAGGAGACTGCTTATTACGAGCTTGTCTATGTGCATCATCCAGGAGCCACCCAACAGCTGCTTGAACGTTTAAGCCTGTCCCATTTTCCGTTAAACCTCGTCTTGCGTTTTCGGCTGTGAAACCCATATCAACCAATTCCGCAACTGCCTTGTCAAATGGGTCAGAACTAGCTCCCCTTGGAGGGATTTCGGGCTCAGAGTCCGAGTCCGTGGTCTCGATAGGCCGACCTGGTTCTGGCTTTGGTTGTGTAGCTTGGGTTTTGCGCCGTACCTCGTCAACTGGTTTCCCAAGATCTCCTAGGAAATCGTCGTCTTCGTCGTCATTAACTGATAGTTGCTGCTGTGGTTTTTTCTTCATCTGGTTCAAGCCGAAGGGGTCATCATCATCACCAAGCTCGCCTCCACCTGAAGCTGTAGGCTTATTCCATGCGCTAGCGCTAGTTAAGTCAAGCTGAGCGGTATTGGCTGGGGTATTCTTTCCAGATAATTGTTGCTCGGGGGGAGGAAAGTGGCTGGCATTATCAACTTTTGTATCTCTATTAAATGCAGCAAAAAGATCGTCGTCATCATCCTTTTTCTGTCCAATTTGACTTCCTATCCCGCTACCGACTGATGGTGATGGGATAGCCGGAGAAATGGTTCGGGACGCAGGTGTAGAGCCTTGCCCGATATTGTCCCAAAATTGACCACCTCCATACTGTGATTGTAATTTTCTTCTGTCCTCCTCTTCTTTTCGACGCCTTTGAGCTTCTAATTGTTCTTGGCGCTCTCGGAGGCTTAGGTTGGCGTTACTCTTGGCGCCCCCAAAGCTCACGAGACCACTAAAGCTATCGGCCGTCGGTTTGCCAGTTTGTGGTTTCGGGGCAGCGAAGCCGGAACCTTGGGTAGAGAGCGGTGTGGTTCGACCGGAGGGCTGAGGGGATGGCGTCGGACGTAGAGTGGAATAGAAAGAAGGTGGATTCATAGGGGGAGGCTTGGTGGCCTCTTTGTTCGAGTTGGTCGAAGACCAATTAAGGCCGGAAAGATCGTCCATGGTCGCGCAGAAGGAATAGAAATATGGTTATATCAAGGACACCACATGATTAAGTTGCGATTAGGTTGCGCCTCTAACGGTCACGATGTTCATGGAATTATCTGCATCAGCTGTCGCATTCGAATTGTTCCAACGTCAATGGTTTGGTTAAAACGTGGCTGGTGCTTGAAGGGTGGTGGATTACGAATTGTGGCTTGTTATCTATTATGGACATCTATGACATTAGGTAATCAATATCTGGTACTTCGTACCTCTTTCTTTAGTAGATTTCCTTTCCTTATCTTACCTTACCCATTTGCACTTGCATGATATTTAAGTCTTATGGCGGGATCTCGACATCCTATAAAATTGTGACTCTAATATATATTTGTTGCAACTCTGTAAACTCCTGGCGCTGTCCCAAAATCATTGGGTTGGTAGTACCAATCCGATAATATCGTGTTTTGTTGTTTCATATTAACTAATCCATATATAGGTAGCTTAGGATTTAGTGTCGATCCCCCTTTTCTGCATAAGTGCCAAATACTCTTAAATTGAAGGGTTTCGCGGTAGAAGCGATAGTATTAGAATATCTACATGATCCATGTGATAGGTAAAATCATGAAGGGGCATCTACCCGTATCACCTTATTTAGGGGAGAAACTACGTGTACCTATACATGCATGTTATTAATGAATGGTTTAACAACTAGTTCTAAGAGGATTATAGATATAATTGCTCTTACCTACCTAAGGTATGTATAGAAAGATAATGTTTATTTAAGAGCTTATTTCATAGGATTTAGAGAGATGAAATATCCTAAGGTGTGATTGTGAAATTTTATGGTCATGATATAATATGTAAATACTTTTAGGTGTGTTGCTGTGGAAGCTATGATACTTCTCATGATACTTCCATACCCTTCTTCATCTTTAATTATGATGAGCTGAGGAGCATTTGCGAGGAGGGACCAATGATAGTACGCGCCTTGTGCTTAAAGAAATTCCGGCGGGTAGATCATTTCGTCATCTTTTTCGTCCGTGACCTGGTAGCCTGGGGAAAATATGATCAATGCTACAATTGACCGATATGAAAGGATGTCCTTGTACGACTTTATCCGCCAAACCTTGCTTGCACCAATTACGATTCAACTTGAATTTGGTGATTATTGTCAAAGGGAGTTTGCATGTATTTCATAAGTACCTGCACGTAACGCAGCATTGGTGAAGATAATAGAAGAAAGAATATATTCTTCGCTTGTACTAATGATTCTTACTTCAGCTAAGGAATTCTTACCCATGGTCCTAATCTACATTCCCAACAGAGTAATCATTAGATCAAATCTTCGCTTTGATTGGCTAACCTTATATGCTAGGGGCTGAAACTTGTTTCAGGAACCTGGATGCTCCCCTGTCTTGATTTGGCTCTAAGTACAGAGAAGGTACGTTGGATCATTGTTATTGGTGTATATCCGGCGGGCAATCATTAAAAAAAAAAAGGCATTTATCATAGTAAGTTGTACTAGTGTAGCTACATATTCTTTGCGATACTTTGTGTAAGAAGTTATTGCGCTTGTGGAAATGAATCGCAGAGCACACCATGTCATCCATTTTGTACATTTGACTACCTAACTTACATGAACTATGTATGTATGTAAAAGCATTTACTTCATATGGTGTACATGTCATTCCTGACGTGAAGTAAGAATCTTACTTGTATCCAGTGATGAGATTAAAAGCAAGCAGTGCTGAGAAGCGAGTTCAATCAGTCAGTTTAATTATCAGTATGTGGATAGACTACGAAGCTTGGATGAGCGATTAATGCGCATACTACATCCACTATCAAGCAAGCACACGCCTCAATAGTTTTTAATACTGTAGTGAGAGATTTCCTAATACTAATAAGACGCTATGGTGATTTGGTAGACCGCCTATTACCTATGAAGGACCGTGGACGGCTTCGTGCAGACCCTGATAGCAGTGCTCAAGCAAACATTCGGTAAATAACTATGGACCTAGGTACTAAGTACGTATTCTATTATCGTTTGGAGTTACACCTTCAAAGAGAAAATAGAGAATATTTACGAGGTGCAGTTTGCAGTTATTTTTGGTTACCTAAAATCCATCTCGCTGTGCCGTTCTCTACGATGTAGTTTCTTTATCTGTGTAAGTGCCTAGGTGATTTTATATATTAGGTACGTGGGTACATTGTTCGGCTGCAACCGCATCTTGCGTTGTCGCTTGGGAAATTGGAGAAACGGGATCTGTACCTGCGTGGGACAGGCTAGGGTGTCACCCCTTCGCTCTTGTCCCTGAATATCTCCGGCCAATGACCATTATTAGGAAAGAGCCCCTTGATGACATATCAGTAGTGGTTTACGCCTTGCGATCTGGCCTAATCTAGCCTCTCTTGTAAAGCTGCTTAATCTTCTTTAGGTAGGAATGACGATCCTACAGGGTTTCCTAGAACCGAGCCTGTCGCTTTTGCCAAGATCAGCGAGAAAACCTTTATTTGCGCAACCATGTGGACGGTATCAAGTCAGCTTTCGGCAGCTTTTGGAAAATGCGCAGGACGAATATGATGCTACTGTATACGAAATAGGTGCAACATAGGCAACATAGGTGCTGATAACTGTGCGCAAATATGATTGTACAAACTGTTGTGATCTGATATGTGTAAAAATGCTTACGTACATATATGTACCTTCCAAGTAAAAGGAGGTGCACAAGATACCTAATGGTAAGTGCGACTGGCCTCTCTATTTCCTTTTTGGGATGTATCTATGTACCGGATAGTACCTACCCCGTACTGTCTCACGATGCCCAACACCTCCTTATGCGCCAATCCCCACCTACCCTCCTGCTCCTTTACCCTTTGCCCTTTCTACGCGCCGCTATTTTCAATATCCCCTTTGCCTTCGCCGCCCTTCTTTTCGTCTCTCGTCTCTCGTTCTGCTCCTCTTGGGACTTCACCCTCATCACCACCAAAGCATTTCGTTCATTATAACTCCCGACGGTTAACCGTCAACCACGCTCTTTACCAGTATTCACAGTAGTCTAGATTACTATCTAGATTATTGGCATCATCACACTCTTTTCTTCTTGTGTTGATCGCATTCATTTCGACTCTAAAAAATCAAGCAAACATTTGTTTTGTTTGGCATCGCGCAGCCCTGAGTTTGGATGCGAAAAAGGCATTTAGGTACCTAGTCAACTTCGGAAACTTGTTCCTGCATCTGAATTACTCGATATCAACCCTCGAATTCATTCCACGCCACTTGGCTTAGGTTACGCACAGGCCGATCAGATACTTACAGATTACGAGCGTTGAAGTTCTGATTGCTCTGGATAGCAAGTGTGTATTTGGCAGAAATAGTAAATTGGGGGAACCGAGGTGGAAGGAATTGGCGATAGCATCGGCGGCCTTGGGTGTGCCATTCGAGAATTCAGTATACTGCAACAAAGGGCGCCAGTTCCTCGACCCCCACCAGTGAATTATCCGCATTGGCAGTAACTGAACGTTGAGATTGAATCATCCGAGCAGTCACGGCTCAACTATTGAACTTGCACTCGTCTGACCGTTTGCGCTTTGGTGCCTAGCGACCAACAAACCACTACATAAAGCAACGAGATTGTGCGCCGGCTACACTTTTTCTTGCAACCCGAAAGAAAAAAATTTCAACAACCTCTAGTCAACTAACGACTTCGCGCAACTCCTTCTGATCAAATCGACAAACCTCCTGCTTCGAGTTGAATCTAACGATTGCAAAATGGCGTCCAAAGTTTTCTCTGCCTTCGTCCTCCTCAGCACCATTGGAGATGCGTCGGCTTTCTGGCGCATGGAGTGTCATGGCCGCACAGGTCTAGCTCGTATTGATCCAATCATGGATGCTGGCGTGGTATCTCCTCATATCCATACCGTTCACGGCTCTTCTGGTATGTTCCTGCTGTATTTTCTAATGTGCCTACCTATGTCTTGCAGGTTGGGTATGATGGATATTTATTGACCACTCCTATAGGCTTTTCGCTCAGCGCTACTTACGATGAGCTTATGCAGGGGAGCTGCAGTTCGTGTGCCGTGAAGCAAGACAAGTCGGCGTATTGGACCCCTGCGCTCTACTTCCAAGATAGCGCGACTAAACAGTTCGAGATCGTTCCTCAGGTTGGAGGAATGCTTGCGTAAGTCTTAGTGTTTATTTTGTCGTTCTATATGCTGCCACAAAGTCTGGTTATTTAGGTTGGATTGTTATTTGTGTTTCCGATGCATTATATTGAGGGCTACCTATTCCCTATCAGTCAACCCCTTTATCGGTTACCTATTTTGCGTAATGTTGAGTGCCTAATATTGAAGCTAATGCGAAGGACAGGTACTATCTTCTGCGAGGAGATAACGTTACGGCTTTCCCGCCTGGATTCCAGATGGTTGCTGGAAGCAACTACCGACGAGACTATACTGTCGGAGATCCAAAGTCACCTGACCCTCCTCAGTCTGACTGGGCTGCTCTCAAGCAAACTAGCCAGAGCGACCTCGAGCAACGAGCAATTGGATACAATTGCATGGACTACAAGAAGGCGCCCGAAGGTTCGCTACTCCGCCACTACTTACCCGACAAGAACTTCCTCGATGGAAACTGCCCTGATGGTCTCCGCATCGAATTGATGTTCCCGTCATGCTGGAACGGTGATATTACATCCAAGGACCACAAGAGCCATTTGGCGTATCCCAGCTTGGTTGGCAATGGTGACTGCCCTGAGTCCCACCCGAAGCGATTAGTTACTCTATTCTACGAGACTATCTGGGATACCAACAACAAACAGTTCAAGGGCCGCAATGGAGAATTCGTCGTTTCCAACGGTGACCCAACAGGTAAGCAGGCAAACCCTACGCTTGTATTATAGAATACTAATATGGTCGACAGGATTTGGCTATCATGGCGATTTCATGACTGGCTGGGACGTCGACTTCCTGCAGGAAGCTATTGACACCTGCACGAACGACTCCGGTAATATCCGGGACTGCCAGCTTTTTGTGAACAACGGTCCTCTCCAGACTGATGAAGAACAAAACTCTTGTGAATTCGATGTCCCGCCAATGCTAGCCCAGGAAGATGGATCTGCTCGCAACCTTGCAAACCTCCCTGGTAACATCCAGATTCAGGCTGGTCCGCAGTCCGCCACCCCCGGTGTCGGTGATGTCAATCCTATCATTTCTGCTGCAACCAGCATACTAGGTGGTTTCTTTGGCGCGTCGTCGTCGTCTACTACGTCCTCTAGTATCCCGGCTGTTACCTCGTCTAGTGCATCTGTAGCAAGTACAAGCTCAGTTGAATCGGTTCCGGCATCTCCGAATTTCGGTGCCCTTGCAGTGCCGTCGGCCGAGACGTCCTCTTCGAGTACACCTGCACCCCCCCCGCCGACGACCACCCCTGCCCCAGCAGTTACTTCGGAACCCGGTGTATCATACGAAGTGGTTAGCACGCAGACCATTACGCGCGGTTCCCAAGTCGAAGTCGTTATCTGGAAAGAGCCCGTTGTATATGTAACGGAGGAGTCCGTCACGACCGTAACAGTTGAATCTCCGGCAGTGAAGCCACGACGATTCTATGGCAGACATGCCTTACAACATGGACACCATGCTCGGAGGACTTAAAGATTAACAAAGTTATGCGTTCTTTTATATTCGTTTCGGTGGAAATACTTGTTCGCCAATATGGACCGGCGATGATTTTTTGCATCATGTTTCAGGGTCTGATCCGATTTCACCCAGAGACTTTTTTTAAGCACGTTGTGGAGGCTCCTTGTGGAAAAGCAGAACATATGCGATGAGTTAGAATGGAAGGCATTGACGCAAATACGATTGCATTAAATTTCACCACCTGATGCATACTTCATGCCTGACTGAAAGTGATATTGCATACGGGGTTCATATTTCGGCGTTCAGCGACTCGACTGTAGGGGCAGTGAGTCTAAATGGTCTGATTTGAAGCATACAAGCTGGCGTATTGAAGGTACTCGTTGCATTTTCGGGATGCATCTCTTCTGGCAAGAGATCTTTTCAATGTCCCTTAGCCTTGAGTTTTATACCCATCGATGAGCCATCTCAAGACAATGAAATGAATCAGTCCACCATATGTGTTCTTGAGTAGTTCGTTGGTCATGTTCTCGACATTGTGTCGTGTTTTCTATTGCAGTATTTTGGTAATTCCTGTCACTTGAATTCGGTTTGTGCAAGTAGCTTTGCTTATATAGCTATTCTAAGTCTAGCAGTAGGACGAAATCAATCGCAGTCTATCTCAATACTAAACTTGACCGTAATTAGCTGTAGAATGCATGCGTTATGACTAGTTATTCTTCCCTCCCACAGCAATACGTCTTTGTCTCATCGGCCAGGGATGGGTTCGTTTGGAATGCGACTTATTCTCTACGGCCTACGCAACGCGCCTGGTGCTGATAGCAACGCATTCCAGCAGCAGATTTGGGACTCGAGATGACGCATTCTAAGATTATTTAGGTATTGAATGGCTTGTAAGTGTTTAGGTTGGGCATGAGGATTTTGATTTGTGTTGTTCTGTTTTATCCTATGTCGACTTCGTCTTGAACCGCTTCTCCTCGCCGCTCGTTTATGTGATTTTGTCCTCTCTAGTGACTACACTCTTCTACGGATTCGTGAAGTATCTTCTATATCTATGTAATGTCAATACGAAGTTTTATACGACTTACTAACAAAACAGCCCATGAGTGAGCGAGGAAGGCGTGAGAAGAAGTACGAATGCGACCCTAAGGAGACCAAATACACCTTTAGGAAGTCGGACCAGGCCTCGCTTCGATCTTGGTATACGAAATGTCTTTTTACATCAGAGGTCGAAATACCGCGTCTGCTATAGCGGCACATGAGACCGGCGCCGAGATGGCTCTCTCTACAGGAGCTATAGCCGGCATCGCAGTCGGCGGGGCTGTGCTTCTCTTCGCGGCGCTCGCACCTTTGCTTCTCAAACTTGCCAGGAAACAAGATCAGCGTCGCGCGTCTGTCTTTCCCGATGTTGCGGTAGAGTCTGGGGACACGACAACGAACGAAGCGGGCCCACGGCGACTACGCAAGAAGAGCTTTATCGGCGAGCAGGTGGCAGTCATGATGGATAAGGACGACGAGGTCGGGATGGAGGAGAGTAGGAGTAGACGCTCGAGTCTGAACGTCATATCGCCCGCTCGAACACGTCCAGGGAGCTTTTCTGGGGGAGATGGGAGTGCTAGAGGCAGTGTCGATACACAACAAGGGCAGAAGCCCCGGTCGCCTGATAAGGAGCGCGGCTACGACATGTACCAGCACCGACGCAAAACATCGTGGATCGATGAGGACGCGCTTCACGGCCCAACCGTCACTTCTCCAAAGAAGTCAAAACAGAAGCACAGGAGGAAAGTGAGCTGGTTCGACGGTGGTTTAGGCCGTTCCTTAAGCCGCCTCTCGACGAAAAGTGGTATAGGAGAAGCTAGCCCAACTCTACCGTATACCGAGACAGGAATAGAAGAGCAGCTCAACACTCCTACTGACAGCACCAGTGACCAAAGAATGAGCGGACCACCTCAGGACACAAACTTAACCGGGTACACAGCGACACCACGACAAAGTCAACATCAGTCTCAGGTATACACCAGTCCACAGAAGTTATACGGGCCCTCGAACAACCCAAGCCCCGGGTCCGCCTCTAACAGCCCGTCAAAATCACCGCCAGATATCATCCACAACCCGCGATACCGCAACAGAGTTTCGTTCCAAGCCGCCCAACAACTAGCCGGTGGAGCGCGTCTACCAGCCCCTATTAGTATACCGCAGGGGCAGACGCTGAGACAGCCGATATTACACCACAGCGCGACAGACACGGAACTAACGGAAATCCTGCGCATGACCGCAGAGAGATTGCAAGACGGGAACAGGAGCGCGCGACGACAGACTCTAATGGTCCCTCCGTATACCCCAAGAAGGGGGCTTAACGGAGGAATCCAAGGAAATCATTATGGCGGATATATGGACTTCAGTTATGAGACTCCCGACAGAGGGGACGTTAGTCCCGTGAAGAGCCACAAGAGCGCTCCAGCAACATTGTCATATGCGGAATTAGAAGGCTCTACTCCAAAGCCACAGCTCTCTCAACGTCAGATGCGGACTCCCGGGCATTCGCGACAGCAATCCTACGTATCGCGAATATCACAAGTTTCGATGTTATCGGAACCAGATAGCCTCGTTGCGTCTAAGAGGGAGTCGTACCAAGACGTACGAACCGCTTTATCTAGTCCGAGCCGGGTTAACAGGTCAGCAGAACCTAGTCCTAGTCCGCAAGGGAGTCAACCGACTCGTCCATTCTCAAACGGGAGTACCTTGTCTTCTGCTTTATCAACACTATATAGCATGGAAGAAACATCTGTCCGTAGTCCACCTGTCGACTCGAGACCAGAGGGCAGCGTAGAGAGGCGCGCCCCCAGAAAAGGTCTTTCCAGTCACGAGGTGGTGCTCTCTCCAAGCAGAATCCCCGAGACAAGCCCGGAGCGAAGTCCCAAGTCTCGCGTCAAGGAGGAAGAAATACCCCCTCCGTTGCGAATTCGTCGAGGAACCTTGGGCATGGACACATCGCCAGCGCCTCAGTTACTCCTACAAAAGAGCATACAAGCCAACAGCATACCCAGACGAAACCCATCATTCACGCTCCCATCGTCAGACGAAAACGACGACGACCCATTCACCATGTCAACTCCGCCGCCGCAAAACCCCGCTCGTTTATCAAAGGTCTTCTCGCCACTTCCAGCTGAACTACCCCGTAAACAATCAGACGCGAAGTATCCCGCGCACAAAAGAACCATATCCCAAGAAAGCGCCTCCATCTCCACCCCAACGCCCTCGCCCTCGCGCAGACGAGTATTACCCTCTCCCCGATCCATACTCAACTCGCCCACCTTCGCAAACCGCCAACGCGCCCCCAGCCCCGCAGTCTCCGAAGCCGGGCTATCATCCGTATACGACAGCTACAACTACAGCTACAATGATCCCCAAGGCGACAACCCCGATGTCTCGCCCGAGAAACTCGCGCGGACGATATCTAACTCAGGCCGCTCCTCACGCATTGGGTTCCGCATCCCGAACTACGGACAAGCCGAGGAGCCGCGGCAGTTCAACCACGAATCCGTAGCGTGGGTGCCAGCATCGCCGCCACCGCCGCGGCGCAGCATGCCCTCTGAGGGATCCATATACTCGCAAGATGAAGACCAAGTCCCGCCCCTGCGCGCGCAGACCATCAAGCGCAGCAAGACGGTGCGCATGTCAACAGCGATAACCGAGCTGCGGCGCATGAACAGCCAGATGAGCACCATGAGCGACATCAGCGTAGCCAGTTCGACGGTCGTAGGGATGCGAGGAGGCGGATTCAGTCCTGGGCGACAGAGCGGCGGTGTGAGGAATTATCTCGCGTTAGGAGGGGACCTAAAGAGTGGTAGTAGTAATGGTGATAGGTTCTCCCGGTCGAGCATGGGCAGCGGCACCGTCATTCGCAACGCCAGTTCCAGTTCCAACACCAATGCGAAACACGGCAGTCCCTTACGGCGGAGTGGCGCTGGGAGAAGTCGTCGGGGTACGGTGGTGGTGCAAGGTATCGATGCCAAAAGGGGGAGTAATATCGGAACAGATGCCGTGAAGCACGCCAGCCAGATCATGACGCATGCCACGAAGCTAAGCCGCGAAGAGGCGGCGGCCAAGCGGGCGAGTGTTGAAAGTTTGTACGACGCGAAGGGGTTTCTAAAGGGTTAGTTGAACCCGCCGCAGTTTTGTATACCACGCTCCCGACGAGCGCAATATTTCCTCTGTCATGTAAACACAGTGTGCTGATATCTTTAACCTTCGTCGTATATTATATATATCCTGTTATGTAACTGGGTTGGGTTAGGGGGGTTCCAATATAATAGTTATTTGAATTTCCAGAGCATCTATCCTTGACTTTTAGACACCGGGGATATACTAAGGAAACATTAGGTACCTTAGAGGATACCGTATTAATGAGCTACCGTAATTATATCCGGTATTAATCAAGCTTCAGGGGGTATCTATCTATCCTAGCCTTATGGCTTGTTAATATTCTAGTTTTAATTGAGAACCCAGTGAGTGGTAAAACTTACTAAGGTGTGAAGCTCTGTTTGACGTCGTAAACTACGAACCGACTGCATTAAATTATTACACATATGCCTGGATGGTAGCACGAGTCGTAAATCGTCCCGAATACCAGACAGCCCGAGAGTACATACTCGCGAGCTCGGTTGGGCGCTTGGTTTTCCATATATGGCTCACTTATTCGGTTCGCGGACGTTTCGAGTCAGCACCATCGCCATTTTCCACCCCATCCATGGCGTCCTGATCTACTTCGACATGTCCTCGAACGCGACCTGCACCATCTCCGAGTTCGCCGCTCACACCATTTTCCCCGATCCAATTGCCTTCTTCATCGAAATATTGGTTGACGTTATCGGCGGTAATCCACCCAGAACTTCCCGGCATCGGAGGCGGCAGACCACCGTTGAGGGCCCCCCTAAAAGCACCAGGTAGTCCTTCTATCGCGTCCCCCTCGACATTACCCTCGAACACGATACGGTCGAATTCATCTCCACCCTCCTCTTCCTCTTCCTCCTCATGGGGGTCAGGGTGTAAATTTGAGCACGCCGAGACCTGGTTGAATAGTGCGGTAGCTCGCTCGCTGTTCAATGGGTCGATAATTGGAGTCTCCGTTGTGGATTGCTCCTTTGGTAATGCCTTGTATGGAATAAGTGTGAGCTCGATGGGATCAGAGATTTCATCGTCTTCTCCACCCGAATTCGAGAACTCGAGCTGCATGTAAACTCCGATAAACTTAAACGAGGCATCATCCGGTTTCTCTACATGGCGGAAATTCTTGATGGCGTGGAGTGTGATAGCTGGGTAAGGAATCTCAATTCCAGTTCCACTCTTGTGAGAGAAAAGTGTCAACTTGCTATTAACAAATGTCAGTAATGCTCAATTATGAGATTTGATAAAGGAATATTTACTTTGACGCAACGAATACTTCAACCTTCTCCTCAAAAAGATGTTTCCCCCAGTTATTCTCAAGCGCATAGCATTCTGGCGGACTGGGATTTAGTGGTGTAAGGCTATCCTCGGATCCTTTTGAAAAGATATATAGAGCTTCATATTGCTCTTTTGAGACCCAGGCCTTGATGTTTTCGTCGTGATAATAGAGGATGGGCTTCCCATCAAAGAAAGTATCTGGGGTTTGAGCTTGATATTCACTTAAGGGCTGGAAGTCATTGTCTGCCGAAGGGCAAGTTCTAATTACTGTTGGAGGCAGCATGTCTTATGAAATTCTCGCCGCGGTTAATGATATTAGAGATTCTTATCCAATATCAGCCGCTTGTTGTCGTGATATGCCCTAAGTCAATATATGAAAACGTGAAGACGAAGTTGTTACTTAATCAAAGACGCGAAAGGCTACGGCGGTCTTGAATTATTTGGTTTATCTATCGAGAAATTGGGGAATAGAGGGGCTTATCGCTTATCGATATCTCACGTCATACACGTCACGGCAGCTTCGATACTTCGATACTTCGATACCTCGACCTGACAACTCAAACATGTCCCTCTACCTCCTAGGGTTGCAAACGAACACAGTATTTAAGTCATCAGTATAAATTGCACAATGGTCACAATGCGTGATGATCGTAAGTACCTAATCTATCACCTCCATCATTTATTCTTACTAACACTCACCCACCAGGCACACACCCCCTCCTAGCGCAAATCCCCCTAACCGTCTCGCCCTTCGTCTCCCTCCCCACGGCCGCCACGCTCCCCTACACCTACAAGTCCATGCCGTCGACGCTACCCCCGCCCGCAAGCGGCGTAACCGGCAACACCAAAGTCAAGTACGTAGTCGCGCAGTCCGGGCACGCTGCACACCCAGACGACATCATCGCGTCGTGCAAGGCGCTGCAGGCGCACCTGACGCGCATGCAAGAAGACTCGGAGCGCGTGCTGCGGGACCTGCAAGACCACATCCGTGAGCGCGAGCTCGCCGAGAAGCGCCGCGTCGCCCCGGGCTGGCTCGACAGCGACGCGCGTCTGCTGCAGCCCGAGCGCAGTAATTACCCTGCCGAGGCTGAGGTTGCGGGCCAGTTTGCTGAGATGAGCGTTGCGGATGGGGAAGGGGGAGGTACGGCGGGAATTAGCGAGATGGCGGTTGATCAGGGCGAGGAGCTGGATCGCGCGTTTGGCGGCTTGAGGTGAGATGGGGTAAGATGAGACGAGATGGGTGAAAAGGGAGAGTAGACATGTTGGGCATTTATTAGCGATGCTTTATGTCCTTGTACTGCGTATTATATTTAACCTCGTGCCTACACCAAACATCTAGGCGTGGGGTTGAGGCGTTTAGGATGGTAATGAGTAATTAATAATTAATTTTACTATAATACTATTATAGTAATCACGAATTCAAAGTTCAAAGACGTACGATTATAAGGAAACGGAGTTTTCTAAAGTTATTTGACTTACCGATTAATTTGACACAATTTCTTATAAACAACTTCGCTCATGTCCACTAACACTTGTCTCCGGTGCAGCTATTAGGAAGCAATCAAAATGTGTATTCGGTACCTATTTAGCCTAACAATCGATAGTGCTTCTTTCTAGGTTAGGCTATTACGTCTCGGGATTTTCTTCTTTTGACGTCTATATACTTTCTTTCGAGAAGCGATTTTGCCTCCCATTCCCAACCCGAATAGACTCACTCACTTAGAAAGAGAGGACAGTCGATAGTAACATTTGCCGGAGTATCGAGTAGCTTAATAGCTGATCCTACCTAGATTTGCCCTGGATTAAGTAAGAAGGCAGGTAGGCAGGTAAGTATAATATTCCGTGATATGGAAGCACTTAATGCTGGGAACGCGGCAAACGTGTGTCGCCGAAAACCCAGTTCAACTTATAATTTGGCGCTCTTCCGGCATCATAAAGTCTCTCGACGGCCTCTATTGCTTCGTTATGTGCCTCCGAAACCCTGTGGAAGCTTTCATCACTCGTGTATTCCTCAGCGATACCCGGACCACCCCACCGTAAAATACCTCCCGAGCCGGAACCTGATATGACTTCGGCGTGTAGCTGTTTCAGTAATGCGATATAAAAGATATGTAAGGAGACCTGTGCAGAGAGGAGACTTGCTTCTTGGTGACAATTCTCACGGCTAAGTTGAATTACATGCCGAACTGCCTTGCAATTGCTACTTGTCTCTTTCTGTTGCGACTGATCGGGCGGATGGTCTCGCGGTTTCAGATTGTGAAGGTACGTGATGACATGATGGGCAACATATTGGCCTAGATCTGGAATATATCTATTGACATGACAAATGATAGGGCTTCGATGATCAAGTGGTGGCGTAAATAGTTCGAGCATTTTAATAACTAATATGGGATCAAGGTCTATTTCAGGATCTTGATATTGAAGCCCGGGTAACTCAGAAATTTGAGCTAAGCGCTAGATAGATTTATATGCGTTAGGAATCCTTTAGTATAACTTAGGTAAGTACCTAGGCAATCGTATAAAATAGCGACTTACTTCAACAACTCTAAGCTGGGCCTTGATATTTTGGATCATAGAATTATTTTCATCCTCCGTTCCTATTTTGAGGCTGAAACTGTCGAGAAATGGAAGAAAACGATGTTCTTGATATACGAGGCGCAAGTTTGACAGATTAACATCGCACGCAATTTGTGAATCCTGGAGAATAGAAATATCATTCAGAAGACCGTCTTTGAAACGACAGACATCTTGCGGAAGTGAAAGCGGCGTCGTTCGGTCACTATATTTCCACACTCTATTATAAACGCGTGTCAGGCTGCAAGTAGGGTATTGTAGCTCAATCTCGAGGCGGTTATGGTCTTGACCGTGTAGACGGGGGACTAGGCTGGTTAGGTTAGGGATGGCCTGAAGTCGAGTATAAATATGAACTGCACGGTCGAATTCTAACCGACTGTCGAACCGGCGTATAGTTATCTTAAATTGTCTATCCCGACGATTATGATGTTCATGATGTTGAGTTTAGGATCTAACCGGGAATTCTTCTTGCGCTTTAGTGATATGTTTAATCGCAAGCTTTCTAATAAGAGGCGTTTCATGCCGTCTGGCTTTGATTTTGATATGACGAGAGACCGTGACGTCCCTAAGCGGTCGACGTGATGGCCGGAGCGTTTGGCTATGGGGTAGATCCATGACTGGTTCGTGCAATATATATGAGATGAATATATGCTATGGAAATTTTATTTTCATTCTTTACTATGATTTATAAAGAATGATGATCAGGTAACGACGCTGGCAAATATTTTGTAAGTGAGAAACTTAAAAGTATGAAAATACCGTACAAAATACAAAATTAGTAGAACAATTTACATTAGTCATACCAATTACACGCACACTATACTATGCTATATAATTCTTATAAGTCCCTAGCAAGAGTGACTCAAGCACTCATACAATGAGGCAGTCGCTGCCTGCATCTACTGCATATATAACTAGATCCTAATCCTGCAATCAGGTAATAATCTAATCTAATAACGATGTAATCACTATTCTAAGAATCACACCTATATATTATAGAAGCTATGTCCCAAAAGCTCATAGTATCAATATCTTCTTTTTGGAGCTTCACGAGACTTCGTGGAAATCGGCTTCGAAGTTTTCATAGAACCCTTCCGAAGGCTTCTGTATAGATGAGGATGATGCTACAAGCCCCCGTACGAAGAATTAAGTAATGGCATTCATTATGATCTTATAGTAAATATCAACAGTTGAATAGTGATTTACGGATCACGTCGAAATTGTTGTTATTGTGTTCTAAGTAGGTATTTTGATGTGACAAGGATTTAAAGTGATACATAAACGCGTTGATACGGTCTAGTAAGGAGAATAAGGAGGCACGAGTCCTCGACGATCTTGGACATATATCCTTATATAAACATGACCTAATATTACTACGGCCTATTTTAAACTTATCAAATTAACAAACACACCTCTTAGTCACAATATCACCGTTTAATACGTTCTAACAACTTCTTCTAACAGCTTAATAGACAATATCACGTATGAAATATCTTTTAAACCCCCTTTAGATACCCATACCTCGATCAAGATGATCACGGATACCAAAACATAGTACCACAGTGCATCAGAAAAGAAATAGACTACATTAGGTAGGTAGGTACCTAAGGCATCACATATATCCCCGGACACGGCCAAACCGTCCGGATACGAGGTCTTTTCAACCCATCTCTATCTTGAACTTGGTACCGCAGTGTATTAATCTAGTCTTACTCTATGGCTCAGTCTTAATCTATTCCCTAAATATTACAATGTGGGATATTCAGCATTACCATGAGACACTTCTATCTAAAATACCATAAAGGCGGGGCTCGACCATCCCATATACATACGTGCCACGAAACCGCCCGGGTCACTCTACAAGTCTGGGTTTCGATGCACTAGAACCATCAAGATCCTCCTCTACTTTCCTCTTCCTCCCGGCAGTCTCCGTTGTTCCAGCATCCTCTGCACTTGACGTATCTTTCAGGAGGACCAGCTCTTGGAACAGCTCTTCTCCTAATAGATATCTCATGTACTTGCACCTGAACGGTTTGAGGACATTGTTGGAAAGCAGAAGGCGACGCTGTTGGTATTCCTTCATGTCCTCTTCGAACTCCTTTCCCAACTTAGTTACAACCAATCCGAAGGGCGTACGGCCTGGTCTAATGCGGCAATGGAAAAGCGTTTTCGGTAGCTGGTCTTCAAGGTGGTGTCGGTCTTTTATAATCACGTTGAATTCGCGTACTTTCTCTTTGCTATTCACAAGGAAGGAATTAAGTTCCTTGCAGTCCCGGCAGTTCATATAACATTTTATCGGCCTGTGCTCCCAACCCTGGGGCTTTGTGGGCTGCTTTGGTAACGTTCTAATGAATACATTGCGGAGGAGAGTTGCAAACATGTTCTTGACGAATTCAAAAGAAAGGATTTTGTGCTTCTGTAGAACCGCTAATACAGCTTTTAAGAAGTCCTTAACCTCCCTAGTAGGGAGGGAATTTTCCTTTCTTAGTTCTAGGCTGGATTGATAGATATTAGTACAACTTATCTCGAGGAGTTTAATAGCATGTTTGAATAGACTCATGTCTAAACCTAGGTTGATAACCTCTATGGTCTTATTAATACTTGATGTATTTTTATAGGGACGCTTGTAGGAGGTTAGGAAATCACTGGTGTGTAAAGCCAGTTTTTCTGTACTACTCTCCAGAATGCACTGGTACGCATATTTAGCATTCGCAAGTGTTTTGCGCTCGCGATTATTATAAATATCCCGTAATATTGTATAAATGAGCTCGTTGGAACCTTTCCTTGATAGTATCGGCGCAAACCTAATTAATAAATAAAAAAATGAATCAGCCCTTCATAATCTTGTATGCTTTAAATCACTGTACTCACCAGTTTGTCAACCACGCCAAGTCACTAGATTGTGAAAATAGCAGGCAAATCAAGTAATCATGATCTTTCATGCCCAACGTGCGCTTTGACTCGACCATTTTTTCTGCCATAGATTTCCTCCAGCTCTGAAAGGAAACTTGTAGATCACCGTCTTGTATCAAAGTGTCCAAGTGATTCAATACATCAGCTAGAATTACCAGGGAAATATTGCTGGCCTTAGAGAACGTGTCGCAAAACCTAGAGTAATTAGAGCAAGGTCATCAAGGTCACTAGAAATATCGACTTACCAATAATCCCAGTCTGGCTGTTTCTGAGTGTCTTTGAGGTGATCCTCCTTCATGATCCGGACTATTTTCGCTAATACTGACTGTCGAGGAATTGGGTCCTTTAGCGCAGTACAAATAGCTACTTGGTATAGCGTCTTCCTCTGCAACTTGACAGATAGGTCAATAATGTCAGGTAATAGCGTGCTATCGGGCGAACTATTAGGAATAGCACCCTCTAAAGCTGTCAATAGGGTGTCCTGAAGAAAATGATGATCCTGCCAGTGTTCTAAAATATGCTTGGACAGGCTCAATACAGTCCGCAGGCTAGGATTAGGAAGAAAAGAGATTATTCTACTTATAGGCACTATAACAACGACCTAAATCAAGTTAATATGGGGGGCTTAAGACAAAGATTAGGTTATCGCGAACTTACAGTGTCATGATAACGGAGGGTCAGCGACATGTCTTCGTTGCCAGTAAAGTCACCTCCACTTTCACTATCGGCGTCTCGGTCCCATAGGTTTGACCCTAGGATATCCCCACTGTTCAAGAATACGATATTGCAGACAGCTAATCCATCACAAGTTCTCACGTCTTCCAGTCTTGTTAACCCTGTTGTTGACCATTCGTACTCATCAGACTCACGGGGATCCGCGCCCTGCGTTCGGATCATCTCGGCAAGAAAAATGGTAAAGCCGCAGCTTAAGCCAACCTCGTACAGACTCTGACATACAGCTCTATCCCGGCCTTTAAGGTTGCTCAGCTTCAGACTTGAATTTGTATATTTGTGCTCAAGCTTATAAACTAGCTTCCCCTGGAACGGTAGCTTTGACTGCCATTCAACTAGTGCCGAACGGAGATTCTCTGATTGCTGTTCGACCAGTCCAGCAGATATGTGCTTGTGACCCGTATGGGTGACGTTATATATTAATACCAAGCGGTATCCGGACTTCAAGGGTTGGATCTCGGGCGTAACATCAGAGAACCACGAAAGGCTCGTTAGGCCGAAGTCAGAAGTCTTATCTGTATCGAAGACGTAACTCTTGCCAGCATGAGACAGATGAATACTACCGCCATCATGTTTCGAGGGAAGGCAAATTACTAGTTTTCCGATCATTCCTGGGACATTCTCCGAGTCTTTATGAGATTCGAAGAAAGAGCCTTCTCCATATAGAAGCAGCTTACAAGGCTCAGCTCTCACCTCTGACATAGCCAAACTTTGTGCGGCATCTTCCAATAAGGTGGCAACATAGGCTTGCCAGGCGGGATTCGCAAACATGAATTGAGTGTGATCAAGTTCCCATATCTTGCGTACCGAAGTATCAACCACTGTCTGTAGTAGCATAAGTTAACGGTCTGATCAAGTGTAACTCTTAAAGCCTTTTTCTCGACTTGAGTTCATTCCTTTCCCTCACGGTAAAAAATCATGAAAGGAAAAAAGCCCCTAATGTTTTATAAAGAACAGAATACACAGGGGGTGCATTAGAACTACATACCTCGTCACCTTTGCCAAAGGAAGCTTCTTCAGATACACTCCTAATCGTCTCGGCATCACGAGGCATCAGTGGTAATGGTATAAGAATGTTAGCAATCGTTAACCCAGGGTTGACAAATGCCTCGTGCTGCTTAGATACAGCGACACGAGCAGCAGTTTGGGTTTCATCGAGACATCTTAGCAGATATTCATTTATCTCGTTTGTATCATCTTTCTCGGGTGTGAACTCGAAATCTATGTCATCCGAGAGTTCAGAGTATCGGCTCATATTGAAATTTATTGAAAGATCGCCGTGTTTCGATTGGAATCAAGTTAGTTATCTGATACTAGAATAGTTTAAGAGGTATGAGATAGGAAACGCGAATAATAATATTTAAGACGCGTCCTTGACTGTGCACAGACCACAATGTAATCCCACTGACAAAGTATTCAAACAGGTTAGTATAACTTCTCGGAAAGAAGGAAAAGAATGGGAACAACTATAAACATTATAAATAGTTTAGTGGTGAATTATACTAATTACTACGACTAAAGTTGCGTCTAGTATTCGATTTTTCTCTCTTCTTTTCAGTCTTTTGGCCTGGAACCTAAACTCTATGCCTGCTTTTATTATTAGATAAGTTAAATTAGATATGTAGGGCAGAATAGAAAGAGTGGAGCTCAACATGGGGATGGTTAGGGGACGACATAATTTGTACCCCTTCTTCACTTACATAGCCAGTAACATATATATTGATTTCATAATCCGATTTCTTAACTAAAGTAATAGAGAAAAAGTATTAAAAAATACAATATTAAACTTAATTGACTAAATATTATTTTTCATAAGTTCAATTTAAGTTTTATGGAGGTTGGTAAAGTTATTCGAGTTAAAATAAATATTAAAGTTAAGAAACTACAATGGAGCATATTTTTTTGCGACAGCTTGCTTAAAACCGTTCCGCACCTAATGCACGTTGACAGGGATTTGAAGGCGGAAGCTGACTTGGCAAGCCACGTGTGTGTAAAAAGATCGCACGGTATTACTTAAGCTATAGGGTAGTTGAGGTCGTTATAGATATAGTGGTAAGCCACTTAAATTTAGCCTAGCTTAGCAGGTAGACAATACAGTATTGGAAACTAGAAGTAAGTACGGACTAGACGGAGCCTCCTAGCTACTAACCAATAAGCTTCCAACATGATGAAGTAGGATAATTCTACCTCCTCATCGCCGTTTCTCATTGTAAACTCATTGGCTAATGGCTAGTGACCAGTAACTTACAACCAAAGTCAGAAGCTCTGCGCCCTAATACTCTCTCTTTATAACTAGTTGATGAGATCCTCGCTCCCAGTCCCCTTCTAACTTTCTGGGAAAAGTTAGCAAGCAAATTGGTAAGCTAATTCCAGTTTCTCAACGCTGAAAACATCGTCATCCCCACTTTCCAATATGGCCTCCGATATCGACATGGGTCTATCTATATTGTTGGGTCATAATCAACATGCGGTTTTGACTCTACAACACTTGATGATTGGGCCCCCGGAGATCTGTGCTAACAACATCCAGCATCTAACCCATAACATCGGGTATGTTTTCCATTAGACATAAGCTTTACCTATTCCACAAATTAACGTCACCCCACAAGATACCCACCTCTCTTTCTCTATGGTCCAACTAGATCTGAAGGCAACGCCCAATATGAGGCATTCCAGCATGCCGTAACATTCATAGCTAACTTACACCCAAATCATGATAACTTCTTATCTTGTATATCGATGTATAGTCCCGATAGACCATTAGGGCTATGGAACTCATACTGCTATTCTGCCTTCAAAAACATCGCAGTCGGATTCTTAGTCCGCCTCCCCATTTTGAGTAGTCGCGGGGCAGAAGTATTCCTATACCAACATCCTTCGACATTAGTTGATAGGAGAGATATCCGACCTGGCAGGGTCCCACATGGTAAGTATACGAAAACTCATATCTACCTTATTTTGGTTCTACTTTCTACCGCCTACTATTTCTAATAATTAGGACAGCTGTGGTCAAGATCTACGCTGAACTCCCTAACGGACGACGTACCATTGGTACCGGCGCTATCATCAATAAAGACGTCGTTCTAACATCAGCTCATAATTTAATCTCAGCCCACGGTTATGCTGTTTCATTTACAGTCATCGTCGGCTACGGAGAGCAGTGTCAGGTACGATATGGTGTATGTGCCGTCGTCCATGGCAGGTGGTACGCCATGCGAGCAAACGCCAATGACATCGGCCTTATCAAGCTAGATAGACCACTTGATAACGTTCAGCCTCTTCGTTATAGGCAGGCCCCTAAATGCAGTGATCCTAACATGTACGTGAAGATATATGGGTTTCCGAAGGATGAGGTTGGCTTTGAGCCACATGGACAGCTATGTGAGACTCGCACTCCTATACATTACAATCCCTCATTGAAGATGATCGAACACTTTGGAGATACCCTACCAGGTACGTAAGACTATATCCCGCGTAGCAAGTAATGTCAACGGAAAGATGCTAATACCGTTATAAGGAAACTCGGGGAGCCCGGTGATTAACTCCTCAAACATCATCGCTGTGCACTTTGGTTCAGGTTTCGTAGACGGAAGGACGGTCAACCTTGCAGTAGCAATCGAACGTAATGGTAATAACATTACGGCCCTCCGTCAAGCCCTTAATATGATGTTGGCAAGTTCGAGTTCCCCTCCACGCCACCACCAGCACAACATCAATGTCCAACAACTTATGGGAATCAGGGATGCTGGGGGTCTAATCTTCGCCTGGTAATGTGGTGAAAGGGGGTAGCGAAGATGAAAATATGGTTATACGTGCCACATGATTATTATGAATGCGGCGTCTGGATTGTTGGAAAAGCCGGATGGTATGGTTTTGGATAGATATAGGTTATGACTCACGACGATGTGCATATAGCATTAAATATAAACCAGCCTTAAATGGTTACCCCTTGGGCTTGAAGAAACATGGTCTCATATTAGTCTTAACTCATACCCCTATTCCTAATGCCCCTCCTACCTATCCCACACAGCCACCCCACTAGTGCCACGGTATTGATTCGCCGAAGTTATAACAATTTAACGTCTTTGGCTGTTTACAGAGGCAACCTCAGGTTGGTTCTTCGAAGCGGCAGCCACTGCTTCATTGTCGAGTGTCTGGGTCTTACGTCTCCGGAGGAGTACAAACGCAATAACACCCACAATCGCAAGAGAGGCCACGATTACGCCAACGGCAATTCCTGCCTTTGCGCCGCCGGATAGACCATCACCAGATGAGCCTGAGCTAGGGGCCACGTTTGCGTCAGAGGCGGCGTTTGTGGTACTTGGTGCTGGGGTAGAGCTAGAAGATGAGTCCCCGGATTCGAAGTCTGTTGCTGTCACGTTGAAGCAAGGAGGTTGGATCTTCATGTCCTTGGACTCAACGAAGGTCTATGGAAGATGTCAGTATACACTTCATATGTAGGGCCAATTGCTGTCGATGTCATACGATGTCAGCGCAAGCGTAGAAGGTCTGGTTTCTACCATTGAGCTCGTTGTCAACGTTAGACCAATACTCTAACTGGATTGTGGCGTTGGTTCCCGCGGCTACGGTATTTGGGACATCGGCAATCTTATAACATTGGTGGCCAGGCTCAATCTCTGTGACGTCGCTAACGACTTGCTGGCTGAACTGGCTCTGGATAGTTGGTGCTGGGACACTATTAGTATTGTGGTGCACGATATGCACGGTAGTACTAACTATTGTCATATGCGATGGAGAAGTTAACATTCCACGCATCATCGGCGATTGATAGGGCAACAGTTCCCTGAGCTAAATGAAGATGAGATCAGCCCGAGATATACTACCTCATGCCATCGCTATAGGTACTCACTGAGAGGGAAAGCAGTCCTGTTAGCTACACCGCTGGAGCTTCCGCAAGGCCCCACGTTGTCGGCTGAAGCGCTCCAAGGTCGGTCATCAGGCCAGAGGAAAGCAACAGGACCCATGACACTGCCCTCAAGGCCTTCGCCGTGAGCCTCTCCATCACCGGCGACGAGCTGGCTCCCAGCGAGCGCAGCAATATAGGACAACTGACTGAACCTCATATTGAATAGGCAATACACTGCAAGTCGCTACCTCTGAGATGATTATAACGATATCGTGGGTGCTTGCTTATATAGCTAAGGGGAGGCGGTTGTGGCTAGGGGAGCGTTTCGAAGGGTGAAAACAGGCGCAGAACGATCTTATAAGTATTAATCGTGCAACCCGTGGGGAGTTCATTTAGGTCATATAGCCGGCACCTTGTCACAAGCCAATCACTTCGTTGCCAAGCTCGATTCCCACCATCAAGTTGTGAACGGACACGCACAGTCATTCGTCCGAGATAAGCCGACCCAAGACGTCGTTAGATTCTATAACCTGCGTCTAAGTGGCAACCCTGGGTAATAGTTCCTTGCCCAAGGACATGCTAGTTAGCTAGTGAAGAATAGGCATCTCGGATTTATCGACGTACTTTCAGCATCTATGTCTGCTATAAGACTTCCTCGTAACAATACTCGAGTACAAATTAGTTCGTACGAGAAACTAACATGTCAGGTCGGGATGTGATACAATAGGCCTAGCCAGCTTTAGGCCCTGGTTACGATCGAGCTAACACTCGACGATTCCACGCTCCAAAGAGTGGGACAAGCCGGTCTCTTGGGATCTAATTGGCCGAGCAAGCACCGTAGGCGGTTACCGAAGACTTATACATAGTACGTCCCCTGCGAGATGTAAAGATATAGGAAGAGCGATGATCCGATGACGGCAGAGTAATTGGTAGTATGAAGGCTACCGTCTAGGTTAGGAAGGTCTCACAAAGACTCATTTATTTTCCTCCAAGGTAAATAGTAGGTGACTTAACTCCACGCCGTTTAGGACCGTTGGACTGCCTATGCCGTATCTAGAAACATGTATATGGATATTGGAACTCTCTAGTTGCCGAATCTACCCATCACCTCTCTTCGTTACTTGCCCTAAGGCAGACCAATTCCCTAGATTAACAACACGCATCCCTTGCTTCGCTCATTGAAATACTTCAAGAATGTCAACATATAGGTCGTAGCTTTGAGGATCGTGATGTATATCGTATACTAGATAATAGTTCCAGTAGCAACTATTTCAGAATCATCGCATAGACATCGTGAGTGCCAGCTAAATTTGCTTGCCGAGTAACAAGTGACAGGATATCCCACGGCTAGTAACGTAGTAAACCAAGACCACCTCTCTCGCCATCACCATCTTTTAATGGTCGCCTAGACCATGTGGGGACGGGTTCATCAATATAGCTAGCGTAAGTATGGATAGTATGAGACTAGGAGAAAATAAACGAATCAGACCTGCAGATTGACACTCTGACAGGACGGACTTGAGTGGCTAGATTGTATTGGTGGTATGATTTCTTACCAATATTCAGATCGCAAGTCACCCCGGCTCTCCTGCAGCCGAGCCCTTAAAATCAGGTCACTCGCGTAACGAAAACTCGAATCGAAGCGTGGAAGGTAACGCCGCAACCTTAGATACCTAGTTAGCACGGGCATATACGGCCGCAGTGAAATCTGAATGCATGATAGTATAAATCTAGCTTATACTTAGAGTATAAGATCTACGTATATAACATCATATTGTACACCTATCTCAGAAGTATTATATAAAAGGCTAATTAGGACACAAGACAGAAACTTCAAAGTTGTAGAACTTCACTTCACCGTTTATTCTTTCTAGCTTATTTGTTTATCTGATGGCGCTAAGAGAAGATCCCCTTGTTCAATCCTTGCTAGTTTGTTCTTGGGTTGCAACGGATCCGACTCCATAGCGGAGAAGACCCAACAGGGTGTGGCACTCCATCTAATCTTATCAATCTAATCAGATCGGACGTCCAATACGGGTCCAGAACTTCATTATTCTCGTAATGGGTTCCAAAGAGGTTTAGTAGTAGACGACGGAGGAAAAATCTCATGACCCGACGATTCCGTAATATGGGGACGTCGAGTGATGATATCAAAGACTCGGCCGATATTATAGAATTAGTCTGTCTTGGTTGTAAGCTAGAGTTGTCATAGATGGATGAAAATGAATTAAGGTCGAATATTAATCCTCGGTTCGACAGTTAACCTAATTATCCATCCTAAGGTAAAGGTTATTCTAGCACATGGGATGACACATGCAATATTAATGTATAGGTCATCATGCCTCGGAAAACCTTCGCTTGGGAAGTCTATGTACCAGGCCTAGTATTATGCCAAGTTTATAGCCGGAATATGGATTCTTTTACGGAAGCAATTATCAAAACAGGCCGAACTACTCAAAGTAGCAACTTAATCCTACTTGGAATACCTATAATTCAATCTCCGAGCATCGGCTACTTTCATACCATTCGTCCACGGATCCTAGCCTACGTTCGGTGAAAACCCCTTGCCTTAGCTGAATGTTTGCATGCATTTCCCCGGTTGTCTTCTTTTAAGCTTACTTATGTCCAAGAAGCATGCCAGCTATAAGACGGTAGGATCAGCTGTCACCCTTCACTTTGAATTTATTTGTTTCCACATCGACTTCCTCATATAGCCAGATACTTCTAAATAAGCCATTCGTTCTAGTATAATCACGCTCGTTCTTTTGGACATATAGCTACCAAGATGATTGTAGCTCGCTGGACTTTCGGAACAATCCTTGCTGCTACTGCGGCCTCCACCTCGACGGACGAGCTACTGTTCTTTGCTCGTCTGCTCAAGCGTCAGGACCCAGGATCTCCATCTTACAACTGTCACGATAATTGCGGTAAGCATCACATCTTTAATGCCTACTAGAACGGATGAATTGACACTAATGTTCTTCAATCTAGGCCAAGCGATCATCCAAGGAAGAAGCAGTAAGGATGTATGCCATGATGACATCTTCCTAACCGACTACAAGGCCTGCTTGCAGTGCGCCGGACCCGACAACGAGGATATCTGGCAGTACTACGGAAATACCCTAACGAAGAGCGCAAGTTCATGCGGTCTATCAACATCACCTCTCTCCGGTGAACAGCCCGACGTGGGGCCGGCGGTTCCCGCCGGGTCTTCCGGTGCGACAAGTGCATCGGAGTCTCCTTCACCTACTACATCCGCGACCGAGACCTCTGAGACTGAGGAACCGACTCCTACCGAGACTCCTACTGATACTCCTACTTATACACCTACCGAGACTCCCACTGAGTCTCCTACTGAGACTCCTACCGAAGCTCCCACCGAGGCTCCTACGGAAGCACCAACTACTACCGAGTCCTCGACAGAAACACCCACTGATAGTTCCAGCACTCAAGAAATAACCCCAACCGAATCGACAACCGCCTCTTCCTCTTCTTCCGAGCGCCACACCGTCACAGTCACCGAGTCCGAATCAGCAACGAGCGCTTCCGAGGCAAAAGCAACCACAAACGCTGCCACGGGTATCAGCAGCGGAAACGGAAATGGAACAGCACCCACCGTCAGTCTTTCCCCCTTAATCTAAATAAAAGACTTCCAGCTAACTGAGAAACAGTCATCTGGAGTTGCCGTAGCTGGCAATGCTGCCAACTCCTTCTACGACAGTGCTGTTGGCTTCTACGGCGCGCTGGCGCTTGGTGCTTTGTATGCCGTTGCGCAGTAGATGTGGCTTTTCAGAGTCATGGTGCGCTGTACGCCTATGTGTGTACGATATAATGAAGTAGCCAGATACTCACATACTTAATACATATTGCACTACTTAATCAAGAATCTATACATTCGCAATCTTATCTCTATCAATACTATTAAATGCTAAAAGACAGACCATCTACTCTCAAGAGATCTATGTCGAGTTGGGGTACTCAGATAGGGGTTAGAGCACTTTGCATCTAAGTTATGGACAGGCCTGATGAATAAGGTAGCTTATGGATAAAGCCGAAGGTATTAACTAGGTACTTACTACATATGGAAGGCGCCCCAGATCTTACGGCAATTGAGAATAAAATAATCAGGATATATCACCTTGGAACCTTCCTTTATGACCTATTCCCTACCAAAAATTTAACCAACCAACTCGTGCAGCTCACCTCCACACTTTTCTCTTTGATTCCCTCTCCTTCTTCCTCTTCTCTCTACTTACTCTTCCATATGTTTAGTATTACGGACATGTAAATTTACCATTTCCGACGTCCTAGCAGAAATCCTTTCGCTCAACACCATAAGTGAGATGTATTTCGAGTCTCAGAAAAACTACAGCAAGCCGTGGCAGCTTTTTACAGGAGGGAAGAGGAACCGTATTGGCCTACAATAAGGGTTGTCATTATCTGCTATATAGATTACCGCTGACATAGATGTGCCTGGTCTTGCGTGGGCCAGGATATCCCTTATTGCTGCTACTCCTATTCAACATGACTCAACCCTCTCTCTACGAGTGATAGGTTGATAACTAGTTCGATGATCGATATGAACACAAATAAAATCAATGAATAAATTATATTGTTGACTTAAAAGTAGTTATCGAGATAATGCTCCAGTAAAGAGTAAACCTGCATACACATGTGCATGTCTAAGTTTTGCAAGTGCTAACTATTGTATTGGTGTATTCTCTTTGCAGAGCCCTACACTAGTCACTCTAGAATCTAATGACAACATATTCTTCCCTTGAACTGCAAGGTCTTATGATTCAAGGTTGTTACTTACTTTAGACCGAAACTGACGTTCCTGGGCCGAGCTTTCGAACCAATGACGAAGGTGATTACGCAGCTAGGTATAGAAGGCTATTGGAGTTGATCGTCTTGTATAATACATCAAATATCGTTTCAGTCTAGTGGAGAGTGTTCATTATATATTTCATCAATTTTTGTGATACTTTCTGCCGCTTTAGGAACCATTCTATGTCATTAAGTCCGCTCATAGGGCCGATCGCCATAGTTATAGTAACGTAACATTCTTCGTAAAGCTCACCACGTTTCGAATAGCCATATTGTCCAAGGATTAATTCATATACGTCGTATCCAGAGATGCCTCTTTCTCGTCTACGTTTATTTCTTCCCTTTCCATTCTGACTCGTCCATGATTTCCGGCATTCTTCACCTTAAACCCCTTTTCTTGTTACTATGCTATATATTTTACCCTCTAATCTACTAGGTTAGACAAGTGAACAAGTTGACTCGCCTATATACAAATAATCCACACCTTATTCTTAGTGACCAACGCATGGATAGAAATTCACAGAATACAGCTTGACTTGAAATTGCAATATAGATCTTACTAGAAAGTTAGAGTATCGGTGTAGATAGACTGGTAGAAGCTATTATTATGGTCCCCGAATGAGTTGGTCGAGGCGACTTAGTTCGCCGACCAAGTTCTATGTAATGCATCTCCTTAGTCACCGCTTGTTGTCGAGATTTAAGAAGCACGGAAGTATTACGCGGCAGCAGCTGGATGTACGTCGATCTGAATTAACCAATATCTAGTCGAATCTAAGCGGTGTTACGCAATCAAGATCAGATCTAGGCAGAGCCTGAAGTATGCATTCAACCCTCTGAACAACGCAGACTACAATAAAGAACTCTTGACTGGTTCGGACGAACCGGAACCATCCCTGTGCATGGATATAATGCTATAAATCAGATAGGCTATTGGTTATATTCGAATTTGTAATGGTATAGGGACCTATCGTATGGATTAGAGTATGAAAAGTTTCCGACAAGGTTCAAATTACTCCGATTCCATGCGGAGAGTTTTTTCTAGCGGAGAAAGTAAGTTACTAGTATCGAAGATTGTCATGTTCTTTTCAAAGCTCTAAAGCGTAGTGTACTACTCATGATGATAGAGATACATAGGGCATATGTTCGAGTAAAGGCCTCAAAGCTAGTATTGGGGAAGTAATGCTTAACATGAGGATAATTAGAAAAAAAAAGGTATATGTCTTCATGGGGTAGGGCTCGTTGATCGACACAGCTGTCTTGCCCCGTCAGCCCCGTATATTCGCACTCAGTTGCCTCAATTTCAGGAGAGATCGGATCGGCAGTGTATTAGTGCACTCCCGGTTAACTCAACTAAGAGCAGCCATGTAATTGGAAGAAAATGTTTAGGTCCATTCAGCTTGCCAGCATATCGTTACATGCATTTCGATCACGAAGATCCTTTCTAGGGTCTCCATGATCGTGCTTCCTACTTTAGTTGAACCGGACCCGGATACGGGACAAGACAACGGCACTCAACAAAATCTACCGCCCGAAGTTAAGGGGGCCGGATCAAAGGAATTCTGATTGGACTTTTAAACGAAGCCGACATTTGCGCCACACTCAGCTCAGTCCACAATACGGCCAGTGTCTTATAAATTTGTGGCCGTACCGTACTCACCGCAAATAGATTATTGACACCTCTTACGCGTCGTATACTCTTTCCAGTGGATCTAATGAAATCTTGCCCATGGTAACACATACCGATACCCAATCTCGTGTTTGAATATGCACCCCGACGTAGAGCGAATGGCGGCTGAGCGCTGATCTGTCTGTGCCGCGTCCTGCCAACATCAGCCTCCGGGGAATACTAAGGGTGATGATCGACGCACGTATTAGCGCTTACCGTAAGAGCGGTCCGCGAGTCTAATAATGGAGATGATGGTTAAAGGAGTCGACGACAACTTTCTATAAAGTCAGTAGTTAAGTCCTGCAAAGTCGAATCTTAAATCAACACATCGACAACGCAATCTTCAAAGCAAACTACAATTTAACAAACTCACCAAACAACTCTCATAATCTTAATATCGACTTTAGTCAACCCCTTCCAACATTCAAAATGCAGTTCTCCGCCATCTTCGCCTCTGCTATTGCCTTCACTGGCCTAGCCGCTGCTCAGGTTCAGCGTCCCTTCGCCAAGATCAACGTTGAGTCTTCTCACGGTGGTGCCGGCAACGGTCTCGTGAACAAGACTATCTCAGTCGGCTTCGATGTTCCCTTCACGGGCGAAGAGCTTAAGGAGGTTTCGAGCCTCTACCTCATCGGCGCTTCTCTAGTCGATATCAACACTGTCGTTTGCCAGCCTCACAAGAACACAGATGGGTAAGTTGTCTAGTTACAATAATCAATCATTAGTTAATTAACATAATCTAGCTCCGACACTGCCGCTAAGACCTTCGATGTCAACAACCCCGGTCGTCTCTCTACCAACACCGTCGTTGTTGGCAGCATCACCTGCCGCCACTCTTAAGTTAATGAACCTATCTTAAGTAGCACTGATTCCGCATTTCGTGGGGTCATGAGGACTACTTGGTGAAGGTTTCGCATTGAAGTTGCTTGTCATTTGGGGAAGTGAGATATATAGAGGAGGAAGAAAAACCGGTATGATGCATACATAATGGTGTTTACTGGCGCATATTATTTATTATTCTATTCGCTCGTTTGTATCACTATTAGACTATCAATATAAAAGTTGCACCCTACGTCATTTATCTTTTTTTTTTTTTTTTTGATTTGCTTATTTCGGGTTAAATGTGCCGTCTAAATTGTGGCTAGGATTTAAATGCTTGCGGTTTGTGGCAAAAGCTTCCGCGCCTTTGGCTTGGCGCTATGTACTGCATACATCTTAACAGATGGAAGGTGCTAGTAAAAATGAACGATTGGTAAGGCAAGTGTGAATTTGAATTCGGATTGTGGCTAGGCTTAGTTTCGGTTAATTGGAACATTAAACTTATATCTAAGTACGATTTTTAATAATTAGTACTACTTCAAAATTGCAAGTTGCGTGTCAGGATGACCTCAGGTACCTATGCCTAAGCTAGCCAAGATGTACCAAGCCACAAACGTGTACCTAATAGCATATATCAGCGCTGAATGGTACTTCACTTATACGCGTGGACTCCGCCTCCGCCACGAAACTAGTTGAGGTTTACTTTAATAGAAGGCAGTTTCTTTATTGAAGCTGGCCCTATTACGACATCTATCGAAAATCTACCCGGAAGCTATCATTCACTGCCTCAGTAACGTATGAGGCGCAAGTTCTAGGTAGCAATCTAAAATAAATAGTCATTACTATGTACCCGAGGTAGTTACTAGTATTAATCTATATATTTATCGCTTAGCAACCTGTATTACTTCATTCCTCCTCCCTTCGTCTACTCCGCTTTTGAACTACATTTTCAAATTCTGTACATCTTCAACATCAAACACCCACAAAGTTCCTGAATAACAACTAGTTATAGACCTTGATTATATATCCTATTAAGAAATATTTTCGATCAGATACCGAGTGATAGGCGAACTCTGAGCATGTCGTACCCTTATGGCCAACCGGGTTATCCCGGTCAATACCCTCCTCCGGGTCAGTATCCTCCTCCGAGCCAATGGTCGGCACCACCACCTCCTCCTCAAGGGTACAATCAACCTCCTCAAGGTTATTATCAACCTCCCCCTCCTCCTGGCCCCCCTCAGGGTTATAATCAATACGGGCCCCCTCCTGGTCCTCCTCAACCTCCTCAAGGATATAATCAATATCCCCAAGGCCAATACCCCCCTGCGCAAGCCCCGTATGGCCAGCCTTACCCCCCAGCACCCGTAGGACCGCCTACACCTCACAGTCTAGGATATGGGCCACTCCCACAAATTCAATGGGATGCAACTCCTGACGCGCGGGCACTAAGGGGCGCAATGAAAGGTTTCGGCACAGACGAGAAGACGTTAATTCGTGTTCTATCCTCCAAAGATCCTATACAGATTGAGGCTATCAAAGCAACTTACTTCCGGAATTTCAGCCGCACGCTCGAAAAGGATATAACATCAGAGACGAGAGGATGGTTCGAGACAGGACTAATCGCGGTTGTCAGAGGACCTTTACTCCACGATGTACATCTCTTGCATTCAGCAATGGATGGGCCTGGGACGAAGGAAAAGATCCTCAACGACGTCTTGCTAAGTCGCAGTAATGCGGATATGAATGCCATCAAGAGTATGTACCAACAAACATTTCGCCGGTCACTAGAGAGCGACGTGAAAGGAGATCTCAGCATGAAAACCGAAAGACATTTCATGATCGTACTAGGCGCAAACAGGGCCGAAGACAGTGCTCCGGTCATCCCCCAAGCTATCGATCAGGATGTCATGGAATTATATCGCGCCACAGAGGGTAAAGTCGGTACGGATGAAATGATGGTGTGCTCGATACTATCTACGAGAAACGATAATCAAATACGGGCTATTAATCACGCCTACGAGCAAAAGTTCAGACGACGCTTAGAGGATGTTATAAGAAAGGTAAGTTTGACTACCCAATGTGTAAGCCACACCGAATTATAAATGCTGACCTTTTCGTAGGAGTTTAGTGGGCATATGGAGGAGGCTTTACTATATCAGCTGCGGAATGCCATCGACAAATATATGCATGCAGCTGCTTTACTCGAGGACGCAATGGCAGGTTTAGGTACGAAGGACCATCTACTAGTCTCGAGAGTAGTCCGATACCACTGGGACAAGCAGATGATGGCAAATGTCAAGGGCGCATATCAGCAACGGTATCGTCGAAGTCTTGCCGGCCGCATTAAAGGCGAAACGAGCGGAGATTACGAGAGGCTTATGCTAGGCTGTCTTGGGGAGCCGGTCTGAATGCACGTTAAGGGGGCCTTTCCTTAGGTACTTTCGTCTTCATAGGTTGGCGTTACTCAGTGTCATGTCGGGGATGTCTTGTACGACTTTATACCATTCCGTTGATGTTATCCTACTATGCTCTTGTTGTATGAGTAACGATTGTAATGTCGCTATAAGCGAGACATGATCGTCTGTTTTCGATCAATTATTAGTCTGTTCCAAGCGCTATGACTATTTATACGTGATTGTTGAGAATCTATACATTTAACTAATCTATTTAATCGTCTATAACTTTAACTTCTATGCAGATATTTAATGCTAATGTAGAGTAAGACACAATATCGGTTGAGGATGGTGCAATCCTATCTGCCCGCGCCCGCAAAGGAATATGCTACATTTAAACCCCACAATGTACAGCTGCTTTCACCTGCAAGGAACCGAATCTGGAAGCGCCTATACCTCGGCCTCGGCCAATGTGGCGCTGCATCGTTAATACTTCAACTGAACTTTATTGCTTGGTTGTTTATTTCCCCCCCACAAAGCTTTGAATTAACCGACCGTAATAGCACTCCAAAAGCTAGCTTTAATAGCTGTTTCATAGCTCTATTAAGCTTTTATTATAGCTTACAATAAGCTTCCACCTCCCGCTTAGATCTCTTGTGCTACAGACGAATCTGCAACTAACCTATTAAGCCTAAGTTCGGGTCCTTGAAATCATCCCTATCAAAACAGCGATGTACGTATATACCTAGGTAGACTTCTATAGAAGACCGACCAACCAACCAACCAACCAACCAACCAGTAACCTTTTTTTCTTTTTTGCGTTTTGCGAAGGGGTAACTCGGATCTCATTGGCCTTCTTATTACTAATAAAACTCCGCCTTGCTGACGATCTCCCGCTTTTAGAGTCGCGGGGGCCGTTCGCCTTTGAATTATGGATACGGCGGCTCAAGCCCAAGCTCAAGTTCAAGCACAAGCACCTGCACCTTGCTCCCGTCCCTCGCAATGAGTATATTATATACGAGTCAATATGAATTCTTTGCGTCTTTTGCAGAGACAAATCATTCTTTCCTTTTCGCTTCTCACACTCCCTTGGATAAACGCCAAGACTTAACCTCCATGGACATCGTGTGGCGAACCTCGATCGCGCAGGCGGCAATTGCCGGTTGCTGTTTTCTGTTATATACCGCCCGCGGTCTATTTTCTAAAGGTCCTCAATGGACCCGTCCCTTTGCTAAAGAAGAGGCACTCTTGCCTGGTATCCGTACGAGATCTTGGAATTTTTGGAATTTCTTCCTATTGGCTTTATCTACAGTCGGACTTGCTTTGGCTATTTTGACCGCTATATCACCGCCATTTAACACCACCAGGATCTTGGAGCTAGCACCATGGGTTGTAGCTCTATTCATTACGGCTGCGAGCCGTCCCAAGAAGACGCCGAAATCTTTACTAATTCTATTTACTACCACCGTCGTGTGTGGTCTAATATCACTTGTGTCGTGGTACGGTGAGACGGAGCGGGTGAACATTATCCATGTCGCCTCTGTCGGTGTGGCGTTCGCCGCTCTATTTCTAATCATGTCAATGCCCATGCGAGACCCAGACCTAGATCCAACGGGTATCGCAAATTCTCATTATCCTCCTACTTCCCAGCTTCGCAGCCCCGAGGATAATTTGAGCTTATGGCAATTCATGACTGTCTCGTGGTTGTCTCCGCTGATCTCTCGGGGGTATAAAAATAGATTGGATGACGAAGATGTCTGGTTACTACCATATGACTTTCAGCATGAAAGGTTACATCTATTATTTCGAGATCTTAAGGGTTCTATAATAAACCGTTTGGTTAAAGCAAACGGGTTGGATTTGATTATCATCACATTTTTGGGACTTATAGAAACAGCGGCTAATCTTTCAAACCCGGCTCTTCTCCAGCGCTTGCTACAATCTATCGAGAAAGGCCTCACCCATAGAGATGAGTCTTTCTTCTACGCGTTAGCTATCTTGCTAGTCCGTCTCGTCGCATGTCAGTCGGGCGTTTTTCTTCTTTGGTATAGTCGGCGCGCATATGAACGGTCGCGGGGAGAGCTACTAACAGCGGTTTATGCTAAAACGTTGGCGCGTAAATCATTTGGGCTTCGCACAGATCTGGTTGAGGCTCCTCAAAAGAATGGTATTGAGGATGGCGTTGACGATAACATTGAGCCGGGAGAGGAGACGTCGCTGCTTGGTAGGAAGCCCAAGAAGACGCGATTAGCTCGTCTTCTTGAGTTCCTGAGACTTCGCAGAGCTAAGGATCAAGGCAAAGCCAAGACTAAACCAGAGCAACCGGCGACTATGGGCAAGATCCTCAATTTGATGAGGAACGATGTATATGAGATAGCCCAGCGATTTTGGGAATTCCCGAACCTCATCACGAAACCGTTGCAGCTGATTTTCTCACTGGTTCTCATCTGGCAACTGCTGGGATGGCCTTGTCTTCTTGGGTTGGCCTGGGCAGTGGTTCTCCAAATCCTGAACGCAGCTTGTGTTCGTTCACTAATCAAAGTCGAGAAGACTCGAAGAGTTGCGACCGATGTCAGGCTTCAAGCAACTACGCAATTTGTCGAGGCTATTAGACCCCTCCGATGGTATGATTGGCAGTCTAAGTGGCTAGGAAACGTCATGCAAGCACGGGCGAAGGAACTACACTTGAAGATTATCACCAGCTTATGGACCATTGGGGTCGGTGCTTCTAACCTTGCTGCCAGTGCCCTTTTCCCAGTGTTCACTTTCTTTGCAGTAACCTATATTGCAGGGCGCCCTCTACCAGTCGATGTGGCCTTCCCTGCTCTTCAGCTCTTCACGATGCTAGAGTCTAGCTTGAAAGAACTGCCCAACTTAATAACAGTCCTTTTGAACGCATCCATAGCGATAGGGCGTTTAGAGACATTTATGAATGAACCAGACAAAGAAGAGGGTGACTATAACGACATCAACACCGAGATCGAGTTTCGAGATGCATCCTTTGTGTGGCCGACCAATGGCAAATTGGTTCTCGAAGATCTAAACTTACGCTTCCCTACAGGCCTCACTCTTATTTATGGCAAGGTGGGTGCTGGAAAAACCGCACTACTTGATGCTATCCTGGGTGAGCTTAATCAGGCCAAGGGTGATTCTACTTTGCCCAACGAAATGGTAGGATATTGCGCCCAATCTCCGTGGCTCCAGAACATGAGCATTCGAGATAATATCCTTTTCAATTTCCCTCTGGACAGAACGAGATATAACGAAGTCCTGGATGCGTGTGAGCTTATGCCTGACTTGGCCAATTTCACCCATGGAGATAAATCAAATATTGGAGAAAATGGCATCGGCCTTTCGGGGGGTCAGAAGGCAAGGGTGGCGCTAGCAAGAGCTGTGTACTGTCAATCCCGAATCTTACTACTTGACGACCCTCTCGCTGCACTCGACCATCAAACAGCTCAGTCTATTGTCCGAAAACTATTCCGCGGGTCCCTTTTGAACGACCGCAAAGTTGTACTGGTTACGCATCGGGTCGACCTATGTCTATCGCTCGCAGATCAAGTAGTCGAAATTGTGGATGGCAAAGCTCGCATCCTTGACCCAGATGAGTATCCTAGAGAAGTTGATATGCCATCGCAAACTCACGACGTCGCTACCGAGGAAGAAGCCAAAGTAGTCACCGAAGAGCTAGCAAATGCTGCAATTCCAGACAAATTCATCGAAGACGAGACTCGAGCATCAGGCGGTGTAGTTGCCAAAGTTTATTGGATATATATCAAAGCAGGTGGCGTGACATGGTGGCTGGCGGTTATTGGGATTTTCTCACTTTTCCGGTTCGCCCGCGTGTTTAATTACTGGTTCCTCAAGGCATGGGGCGAAGCTTACGAAAGAATTAAGGCACAGTCCTCTATAGGCCTCTCTGATATGGCAGACCATATCTTCGACGGGCTACCAAGCCCTGAGGACGATGTCAGGCCATGGCTTGCGTGGTATGCCGTCCTTGGACTACTTATGACCATATTGTATGTCTTGACCCAATGTGGTCTTACCATTATCCTATATAGGGCATCGAGGAACTTGTTCGGCAAGGTCGTTGATCGAGTAAGCCGTGCGACGTTCCGATTCTACGATGTCACTCCAGTTGGACGTTTGATGAACCGCTTAACTTCTGATATTGGAATGCTGGATGGCGGTGTCATATATCCACTTCAGAATTTTGCTCTTTGGTCTCTAACATGGCTAAGTTCCCTAGTCGTTATCGCTCTAACGACGCCAATATTTTTTGCTGTCGCACTTGGGATGACAGCCTGGTTTATTGCTATTTTCATGCGGTTCTTGCCGACCTCACAGAGTCTGCGCCGGCTGGAAATGGTAACCCTCAGTCCGCTAATGTCAAATTTTGGTATTCTTGTCGACGGTCTAGCTACGATTCGAGCTTTTAGGGCACAGTCAGACTTCCAGAACCGTAACATCGTTGCTACCGACATGTTTCAGAAAATGGACCATTTCTACTGGAGCTTACAAACATGGCTCCAACTCCGATATGATCTGCTATCCGCTTTCTCTATATTTACTCTAACGATACTAGCCTTGGCGCAAGGACTATCCCCCGGCTTAACAGCTTTCGTGCTCACGAGTGCTGCCCAGCTGGTCGAAGCTACTCATGTTCTGTGTAAGACGTATGGTCAACTTCAGATGGATTTCGTATCCGTGGAGAGAGTTGCTGAGCTTTTGGATCTAGAAGAGGAGCCCAATGGAGATGTCAAGCCCCCTGCGTATTGGCCTTCGTATCAAGACAGCATCACGTTTGATTCGGTGACGCTTAAGTACGCACCTCATCTTGAGCCTTCATTAGTTGATGTCTCTTTTACAATTCCCAGTGGGTCGACCTGCGCAGTTTTAGGCCGAACGGGATCCGGTAAATCTACACTAGCACTCGCCCTTCTGGCAACGATGCACCCCGAAAAGGGGCAGATCCGTGTTGGCGACCAGGATATCTCTAAAGTTGACGTACATACATGGCGCCAACGAATCAGTTTCGTAGCGCAGGACCCCGTACTATTCCCAGGCACGATTCGAGAGAACTTAGATCCATTAGAGCAACACTCAGATGATGAACGCAAGGAGGCGTTACTACGTGTTCTAGGGCCGGAATGGTCTCTAGATTCAATCATTGATGTTGGAGGGAAGAACCTTAGTCAGGGCCAACGTCAGCTCGTGGGTATCGGACGGGCCATTCTTAGAAAGAGCCCTATTATCATCTTGGATGAGGCAACTGCGTCGATTGATAAGAAGACGGCCCTCGCAATCCAAGATGTCCTTTTGGCGGAATTAAAGGATAGTACTGTCATTACGATTGCTCATAGATTAGAAGCGGTCAAAGATGCCGATTATTTTATTAGATTAGATGCCGGTAGAGTGGTCGAAGCAGGACCAGCTGGCAGTACAAGATAGGAGGTTTACGTGCTTAAGAGGTACTTTATATATCAGGTACATTATGTACGTGTACATATAATTGATGTTTGGTGTTAAAGGGGCATGTTACTTGGGTACAATAATACAGCAGATTGGATATTACTTTAGGTTAGGTACATTATGTACCTCACTAGGAAAGAGCTATCAGATAGATCAGTCAAGTGTTGGATTGAGTGTCAGGTACGATAGACCTGAAAAATGATAAATGAAATAAAAGAAGTCACATCCCTCTTATGTACATCCTAAGGAGGTAGGTACTCTATTACATACATGTGACAACGCTGTTTCCTACAAGGAGCATTTGTCTGTCATTGCCGTAGCGCACTGACCCGGAGAGACTTATCAAAGGCCGGAGACTCATAAGATGTAAGTAGTACCTTCCGAACTACGTAACTTCTCTAGAGAAACCGGAACTCCGTCAGTGCGTTTGTTTATCGTTCGTGACAGCATCACCTTCCCAAAGAAATTGAACATCTTCACTAGTATTAATTCTGGTAGTTATTAAATATGCTTCTTATATAAACTAGACCCTTTCCATCGTTGATGATATTCATCGTCTCTTCTACATGATCTACTAGCAAGTTAATTAAACCAAGTTCTCTTCAAAGAGAGCGATCAGATCAACCATGGCTAGTGACTATCCACTACTCGCCAATTGCGCCGAACAGGGTACGCCTATACGGGGGTGTGCTCTGCCTTTTACCGTAACTCCTGACCTCACTAAGCTCAAGTCAAAGTTCAATGAAGTATCAACTTTCAATTGGTCATATCCCACAGGACGTGCCCTGGGACCAACCATCCACAACATCTGTATACGTAATATAGATGAGTTCATCTGTTCTTTTGAGTTGAGCCGCGAGAAGGATGACTTGGAGCAGTTCAAAAGTACCCGCCTACGCCCAGAGTTCGCTTCTCTCCCGGATGATGAGATATTGAAGCAGATAGCCGATCTCGCGCAAGAACGAGCTCTCATAATCAATTACTTACTCAGTACTCGCGTGTCACCCGTCTATCACCAAGACTGTGTTAATGAACAGAACCATCCGGATACCGAATATGAGAGGAAGGAGTTGGAAAAAGACCGACCACGTATGGCGGCAAAGATAGTCGAGTTCTTCTGGGGATTTGCACACTCGGGAAATCCACTGCCAACCCATCGCCACAAGCAACTGGGTATATCCGCTTACGATCGCTGGGCTGATCGTATTGATGACAAGCTAATAGTCATGGCCGAGAGACTCAATAAAGACCCACAGAAAATGAGAGATCTATTCTAGGAGAGCGGACCTCAGCCTCGTCTTATTCCTCAGATCCATAACTCAGTGGGGGTCACTACTAACAAGGGTAGCAGCAGCAACCCAATTGTCATCGAGAGCGATGATTCTTCTGACGAAACCGACGACAAGCCCAAGCGCGTACCCGAGAGCTTCACCGGCACTGAAGGAAGCACCAAGTTCACTAAAGAACTCTCGAACGACCAACATATTGCGAAGAGACGCATCGTACTACCGCCCCTGCCGAGCCTATCATTTAGTCAGGCTTCGGAGCAGACATCGAAAGATGCCGAGAGGATGGTCTCGCCTACATTCGAGGAGTTTCAACCAGAAAGCCCAAAGAGGAAAGATCAGAAGTAGGAGTGAACCTAAATAGGATTTGCGTCGATGATGAGGACAAGGTACGCGTGTAACTTTTGGCAGATTATGGCCTGTTCTCTCTGGTTTTATTTGTTTGGTGTAGCCCCGCAATTCCAGCACAGATACCCTTTGATGCTTTAGGGATAATAGGAGGAAGGACGTGAGATCTGAAGCTCGTGTTTTTGAGGATTTGTCCAAGGGGTTTAAGAAGTTTGGCTTCCACTTAGGCAGGTTTCTTTCTAGTATGTTTGAAGTAAAAACAACTTCATAGGAACTACTAGTGACCTATATATGCAAAGTTCTGGCTAGCTTGCTTAAAGTTGGCAGTCTCGCGAGGATAGCCCATAGTTAATGACACTTGTGTTGCGTTTATAAAGTATGATGAGAATTCTCAGACATTAAAATTTCCTTGTGCACTTAATATAACATCCGTACCCATAATTTAAATGTGATTTGCCCGATCCCATAACCGGAAACCGATGGTCGAGAATAACATATGCTAGACATTGGAATGCGACTTGCCAGGTTTCTCATAATTAACATTAACTAAAAAGTATACCTAAACTACTTCATACCTATTTCATATAGTTATAAACTTAATAATTAAACGTTAGGGGACAAATTAGTACGTTAAATTTAATAGGTAAGTCGCTAGTACGTATAAGAAGTTCGTGACGATTGAAAGATGTATTACATCATCCCATGTGAAGGTCCACGTCATGATAGAGGTTCACCTATAGAATAGTTGGCTTATTCTCAGAGTATCGTATTGATTAATTAGACAATGCTTTAAAGTAATTGATCAATAAAATTACGTGGTTCAAGATGACTTCGATGCGTCACCTCCATCTTGATCCGTTGAAAAGACAACCCTTGCTCAAAGATCAAACGACCCCTAATGAAGAAGACACCACGAAATTACCGGTGAAAAAGGTTCACACCGACCCTCAAGGGTCTAATAATAACGAAGATGCAAGTGTATACTTTATCGGTACAGCAACAACGATAATCGAGTGGCAAGGACTTCGAATCCTTACTGACCCCAACTTCTTACATGCTGGCGACCACGTGCATTTGGGTCCAGGGGTGACCGCTCAGCGGAAGACAAACCCGGCGGTAGATTTACATGAGCTACCAGCAATCGACTGTATCCTACTGTCTCATTACCATGAGGATCACTTTGACCAGCTCGTTGAAAAATCGCTGAGCAGGACATTCAATATTATAACGACTCCACATGCTAAGGAATGCCTCTCAGGCGAGACCAAGGGAGATCCGTTCCAGTCTGTGCACGATCTAGGTTTCTTCGAGAGCATGATACTCCACATTGACCGCAAAGACCCGTCTCACGCGGGTGGGTACGGCAAGGTACCAGTGATTAAGGTAACGGGGATGCCCGGGAAACACGTGCCTCCGGGACCGCTTGCTATGGTCAATGACCTCATCAAAGCCGTGCCGCCAACGAACGGATGGCTTATCGAGCTTGGTTATAGCTTTACGGCCCCTACCGGAGGCGACTCGGGCTCTATCGACACGGGTTACCGCATCTATATCTCGGGAGACACGTTATTTGTAGATGAACTAAAGGAAATTCCGAAGCGGCTTAAGAACGAGAAGATTGACCTCATGTTGGTGCATTTAGGCGGTACGACAATTCCGAGCCCGTCAATACCCCTTTTAATGGTGACGATGGATGCCGAGCAAGGATTGAAGTTGATGCAGCTCATGAACCCGGACGTGACCATCCCAATTCATTACGATGACTATAATGTCTTCTTGTCGCCTCTATCGGATTTTAAGAAGAAAGTTGACGAGGAAGGGTGGAATAAGCGAGTTGTTTATCTTGATCGCGGGGAGCAGTACGAATTCAAAGTCCCGGGAAACTGAATAAATTGAGACTAGGTACCTCCTAATAAGGAGACTTGAATAGCAAGATGACCTGACTTTGTGCTGTGTGTCACAGCGAAGACGGGAATCGGGAATCGGGAATTTCTGCAGGATCGCGGGCCGCGTTTTGGATGAACTAAACTAAATAAAAATTTAATTGACCAGTCATATAATCGTTATTTAATCTCCCCTTTCCAATAAATTTAATAATATCCCTCGTTAGGTACCTAGATGCATTGTTCATTTATCAATTGAATTTTTGTAAACAGCCTAAACTGGACCGATATATGAAAATGATATATGAGCACTTTGTATCTTATTAGCCCTCTTTAGTATCTTTAGTAAGCCCTAAACCGGTTTATATGATCGTGTAACTAGATAATTTCTTCCAAGCTTATCTCGGATGGGATAAGATAGCCTGTTCAATAAAAAGATCTAATCCTAATCCTAGCGTCTACATAGTTTAGTTCTCTGCTGTCTTACACTATTTCCCGAGACCTAACAAATTATCCTCTTATGAAAGACGTACAGGTTTGTTTTGTAATGCATCGCACCGCAGTTAGATATGAACACTTACTTATATGGAAATCGAAACATTACCTTAGGTATCTATAAATTATAAGTTCGGAGCGTACTCCGGTACATATGAAATATACCTTACGTACATAGCAGTAGAGGAGATGTCACGCAATGATTGAGGGTTATATTAATAAATCAAAAATTGTCTACTTGAGGTACAGTACCTAACTTAACCTAATATACCCAAGTATTACTTACATGAAGTATGTACCTAATGTACTTAATGTACTTAATAAGCTTTTCGGTCGCGAAGAAGAAAGGATACCCTCAGGTACTTAAAAAAGAGCGCGGATTGTACTGGAACCTTATTGATTCATCCGGGTTAAGACATTTGGGGCTTCCCATGTTAAAAAGGGCCAATGTCACACCTTCCGCGTAGCAGGAAGGAATACAAGCCAATCATGGGCGAGCTTGCTCTTTAAGCGTGGGCCATTTATAAGTTGCTCAAATATTAAGTACATCCACTTTCCTTATTTAATTAGCACTAATCGGAGGTAAAATCAGCTACTAATAATGTAGATTATGTGGGTCCACAAGTTAAAAAGACTTTAATAGTCTCGGACATCCTCTTTATTTTGTCCGTTTGTTGTTCGTTTATTAAATTCAATTCCTGTTGGTGTTGGTACGTTTAAATGCTGTTTAAAAAAGGTGCCTGTTAGACTCTTTTCCCCCAGGGACCCAGGGACAGTACCTTCTTAAGTAAGTAACCTAGATATAGGTAGTAACATATCATGCGGTCAGATGAATACATGCGCTAATTTGCTTTTACCAGGCACCAATAATAAGCAATAGGCAAAAGAGGATCTTTAGGCGGACAAAAACCAGAACAGGTGCAGCCAGTCGCTCATTATAGGGTTAAAAAAAAGGGAAAGAAGAAAACAAAACCCTACAGTGCGCGCATCTAACAAACAAAGCCTCTTAGTACAACATTACCCATTTACCACCAATCTTATACAAAGGTGGCACGTGGACCCTTTGAGGAATCATCCACATTTTAATGTTAGCAGTCTAACTACACGGCTATTATGGAAGCACAACCGACTCCGACTCCGACCCCGGGGCCGGCGCCGGCGGCACCGGCAGTTTCGGCGGCACCGGCCGCAACGGCTGTAGCGCCCCCCGCATCTAGTCTATCACCGGTACAGGTGCAAACTCCGTCGCCAGGTAACCAGTCCGTTAACAATGTGACGCATTACCCAAACGGTCTCCCCCGCAGTATCAATGGACTTAATGGGGATGCAGCTAACAGTTCGGCACCGACGCCTTCGGCAAGAGGGTCTTCCGGTTCAACAACACCGGTTCAACCGGCAGCCGGGTCCCCGACCGCGACTGCAACCCCAGTATTGGCGGCCCGAGCAGTGGCAGCAGTAGCAGCAAGTGCATCGGCACCACCTCCAGGCCCTACTTCGACCCTACCACCCATAGCCGCAAAACCACTCAAACCAATGGTAATATATACACCTTCGCAGCCGCATCCGCATTCGCAACCGCGTCAACCTTTGCAGCGCCAGCCTTCTGCAGGATCGTCGCATAAGTTTTCCATCGTAGATCCGCCCCGCACCTATTCGCGACAGGGAAGCAACCCGCAGCCACCAAACATCTCTGCTGCCCAAGGCTTCCCGTCTCCTCGAAGAGAACACCATCTCGAGAACCCGAAGTTTGCCGATGACTTATCTCGCCTTACCCATGCTATGAAGCAATCTGTTCCCGCTGCTGTGAGAAGGGTCATTCGCGATAATTGGGAGAAGTGCCTACTTGGTTCAGAATTCCACCACGCGTTCCTTGTAAGTGTATATTCCTCTTTCAGCTATATTTCAACTACACTGCCCTATTGTTTAACCTCTTTATTTTCATATTACTTGTCATATCACTATCAAGTAGTATTTCATTCTTCCCAGCACGTTTTGTTTGTTAGCTATTACCTCCTTCTCGCATTGCACTTCCTAAAATGCATTCAATTGTTTTCGCATCCCCGGGATTACATCACAAGATCTACAGCTACTTGGAGCTCTTAGTGATCTTAAGAGGGCTTTTACACTCCCGCAGATTTCATACCTATCCATAATCACAATATCATACAGCGCATTGTCATTTGTTTGTCTTGCGTCGCCCTGTCCCTTAGACCACCTAGGACTTTTGCCTTCAGCCCGAGAACAGGCTTTGCTTACATTTCTATATACGCGGCTTGATAGTCTACACTTCAGATACTAACTAACATACTACTAGTTGAACGCTGTTATTCATCACTCCAACGGAGTTATAATTCGACGGTCTATTAAAGATTTCGGTGCCAAAATGGTGTCCGAATCAAAGCACGAGATTGTCTCGCACCTTTCAACTGCTGACCTGAATGAAGTAGCCAATGACGTACTCGAAAAGGCCAGCGACTACTTCTTAGATCAGGCGCTGGAGAAGCGACTGAGGACCATTGACGCGCGTTCTCTTATCAACGCCCTCGCTCGCGCTGAGCGTCTTGGTTATGAGAATGGCGACGTACTCGATGAGCAGAAAGAAAACAGGTCTAGATTCAATCCAGCACCTTTCGACCCAACCCCTCAATCTATACAAAGTACGCCTATCTCGAAATCGCATATTAAGTCTAATATGCCGGCACAGTCACAGGCATTAGCACGTGGTCCCCTGCCTCCTCTCAACGTGTTGCAGTGTCCTCTGTGCTGGCGCAAGTTTGATAATTCACAGCCTTATGAATATGTAAGTCTTAATCAATTCCTTCGCAGGTTCAATACCAACCCAAATATAGCATGTTCAGAAGCAAGTATGTACCAAAGAACCTCCTAATAAGGAAGGATTTCCATTTTCATGCATGTATTGTGGTGCTGGCTTCATTACTAGAGTTGGTCAGCAATATGTAAGATAGTCTATCTTGACCTTATCAACAATAAACAAATAGCTAATATGGATAACAGCATGTTGCTAATCGCGTATGCGGTGAGCATGGCACTATGCCAGCAACGCCTAAAGGACCGGCGAACGCTGGATCGCCTATCGAATCGGGCAACAGCAGTCCAGTTCAGCCTGCCTCTGTCCTAGCATATCCTCTAGGAACTCAGCATATGTTCCATGCCACACCTTTAATTACGGCACCTGTACATCACCAGACGGTATCGACTCCCAGATCTCTGCCCAAGGAAGAGGAGCCGTATGCCCATTTGAATCCTGCTACACGAGAAAGACTAGAAGAAGAACTAAGGCATGCTGAAGTCACGTATACCGCTCGCTTCAAAGAAGCAGAAGCGATAGAAGACCCGGCCCAGCGAAAATTCAAGGTCGAGGGTCTCCAGAATAGCTTCAGCACTAAGCAGAGTATTATCAGGAAGAAGTACGGCGTCCGGCTTAGAAACCGGCGAACAAAGGCTGAGATCGACAATGAGCGTCAACGTATGGGCTTCAAGCATAGCAGTCCTGGCCAGACAGAGGGTACACCGAGCGCGAAGCGTCAACGAACTGACGACGGCCCTTCTTATCCAAATCCGCAGGCTCCTCTAAGCAGCAATGGTCCCGTACCTAAGCGTAACCATATGCCTGTAGCAGATATGTCAGCTGGTTTAGGCGGATCGAGCGCAACAGCAACCACCACTGACCCTACACGACTGAGCTCTTCTTCAGAGCAGCAGCAGCAGCAAAAGCCGTCTGCACAGAGCAGCTTTTCATCATTACAGCAGAAAGGTTACCGAGTCTCACCTCATCGTACCCAATCAACCGGGGTTTCCCCGACAGATACCACAATAGAAGGATCTACCCCTCAACGAAGCGGCTCAGCCTCAGCCCCCGTAGCCGTGAATGATGAAGATTCTTCGGATACCGACTCGGACGAAGATATACCCGCGAGTCTACCGCCTCGCAGAGCTAGCAATACGCCTTCGAGTTCGAAGGGTCTAGCAGGATAGGGCCTCGGACTCTCTTTGCGATAATCGAAGTTTGGAACACGGATGAAAGGTTATTGGTGGTGTATCACCATTACCTAGTTTGAGAAGGCTTTTCAATTTCATCAAGAAGCCTAAAAGTTTTGCATTATGATCATTTTGTACGAGTACGAGGAGTTGTATCCACAGTTGCATTGCATACAAGCTTTTCTAGCTTTCTTGCAAGGCGCGACGTCTTTTTTTTTTTTTTTTTTGCGAGTTGCGTTTGAGTACCTAAGTCATCTTGAAGGTCTTATCGACCTCACTTTGGAGGGAGAGAGAGAGAAAAAGTACGAGGGGATGAGGGGATGAGGCAGGCGTGGAAAAAAAAGTGTCTAGGCGGATGGACACACATGACGTTCTAATGTATCTACCTGATAACCCTCGTTGGTCGTCAGTTGTTGTAGAAATATGTACTTGGCACAGATTCGCACAAAGGGGACTAGGCTATAGTACCTAGTAATAATTGTATACCCTTAGGTAGCTAGGTTTAATTTGCAACTGAGCTTACCTAGTTGAAAATACGATACACAATTTCAATAACTGCTTCATTCCATACCTAGGCACCTATTATATAATGACCCTTCGTTTGTCTCCTCACTAGAGTAGAGCGTAGTCTCTTTCTCTACGCTTACATGCCTCTCTTTAATACCTACCTAATGTCCATAATGCATCCTGCACGGGTACGGTATCATGAAAGAGAATAGCTAAGTGCAGTGCATCTAAGTAATGTTGTAAGGTAATCGTACATATATCTAAAGACAAGAGAACAACGAGACTTACATTAATATACGCAAGGAGACAAGCAAGAAGAGAAAGAGAGAAGTTACTTCAGGACCCAAGCGAAATCGCACCACGTCTTCTCTCTTTACACAACGTTTGTACAACCCCTTATTTTCTTTCCCCCGTTGGATTTGCTTGCATGCATACTACAAACTACATTTCACCTACATCGGCTTACAAGGCATACTTAAATGTGTAAACTCATTCGCATTTATATTTACGATTACACTTCCCTACCCTACCCTAACCTCCCCTCCTCTCTACCTATCCTACACTGACCTCGCCCCGCGGGGACCAGAAACAAAAGGCCATATAAATGAACATGCCGCACAACTCCATGCTACCACCTTCGTGCCTACTACATAGGTACATAAGTATCTCGATGGTTCCTCTCAGCTAGTCCTGTTTCTCCTTAGATAATAGGGGGAGCACAGAAAACCACTAGCGAAAGTAAATCGAAAGAATAGAATAAAAAAAAAACAAGACGAAGCGTGACGTAGTCGTACCGTAGTCGTAGCATAGCATAGCATGGTATGGCATGGCATCCCTGTAGACCGCCCCTATTTCGGAAAACAAACGACCAAAAAAAAGCTCAACAAATAAAACTCGAGGATACTTATCATCCTCGTTTCACTTCCAGTATGGAAAGTCTCAACTCGTTATGGGTATCGTATTATGGAAGGCGAGCAATCCAGTGCTTCTTCAACGGCATAAATCTCGCTGCCAACACCGTTGCTACTATCGCCTTTACGCCCGCCTAATAACCTATGTCCCCTCCCCTTCTCTATCCCCTAACTCTGATCCTACTACCCCGTAACCCTCCTCACCCACAACGTGGTCGGCTCGTATTCAGCATTGCGATCGAGTCTTTTGTAGGCGCGGTGTAACTTCAGCCCAAGATCATAGCTCTCGCGCTCGACATCGGCCAGCTCGAGTCGCAGCGTCTCCACTTTGCGTTTTTCTTCCTCGCGCCGCCGCGCTACCGCCTCGCTCGCCAGGATGTGGTCCGTTGGCATAAGTTCCGTCATCTGCTTGATCGCAGTGTTTAGGTTAATACGTCGATTACCCAGCGCCCGTAACCGTGCGTCTAGCTGCGCCACGCGATCCTGAGCTTCTAGTGACTGCGTCTCGGGTGGTGCTGGGGGGAGAGATTTATCCATTGTCGATGTAATTGAAAGTTTCGAGCTGTTGTCGTGGAGGCTAATGTTATTGATGGCTTTGTTCTTGATGTTGGGTTTGTTGTTGTTGTTGCCTTTGACATTGCTTCCGGCCCCCATCACGTAGTATGAATCTAAACTAATCTTGACAGGTTCCGCAGGGATGCTTTTTTGTGGAGAGTTGTTATCATAGCCTGAGACTACCGGACGCTTGCGGTCAAGGATCGAGGGCTCTGAAGGAGCGGGCACCGGCGGCGTGTCCTCTTCTATACTCTCCCTATGGGTTGATTGGTTTGATGTTGCGTATGTGGTGATACTGAAGCGAGAGGGCGGTTGCGTCCAACCTTCTAGGGACGTGTTAGGAAGTGGTGCCTGGGCCGGGTGGATTTCTTGTTGGGAGTATACAGATGAGGAAGTTGACTGCTGGGGCTGGTGGCCGGGGGCTCCTGTTGGCTTCCTCCGAACTGCTTTGTCGTTCGATGGGACTTGCAAAGATTGCTGAGGATTACTGGCCATATTATCGTCTGAAAGGGGCGAGCTCGGATACATATGCGGATTGGCGTTTGTATTCGTGACTGCAATACTAGGCGATTGCGGCTGGGAGGTAATTCCAGAATCGACAGAGTCAATACGAGCTAAAGCACCAGCCTCCCGGGCGGCTCGTTTGCTACTTTTTCGAGGTAACTGTAGTGGAGCCACGTCTTCCGTGTCGTTCACAGGTGCAACGAGAGTTGTTCGACCACTGGCCCCTCGCCATGCCGGCCGTGGGGCTGATTCGGGTTGAGGGCTACCGCTGGGTTGTCGTATTCGACGCAAACGGTCGCCAAAGGAAATGGGGCTTTGGTGAGTCGGCTTAGCTGGTGGCGGAGATACCGAACCTGGGCGATCACCAAGGCCCTGAACATACTGTTGCGGATTTACTTGCGATGGTCTACCCTTCGTATCTGTAGTAGGTTCCCCGGTATTCGGATCCCAGCGAACATCGTGACCATATGGCCGCTGCTGCTTCAGTCTCTCACGAGACTTGGCCTCTCGAAGAGCATTCATGGCAGCGTCTGAGTTCTTCCGACGCTCGCGACGGGCTGCTGGAATGTTGGTGCGAGATTCATTCTTTGCGGGACCCCGGGGGTCTATGGCGAGTTGAGACATGCCTGGTATATCGTCTATAGGAGAAACATCGCCTGGATTGGGCCTGAAACAAAAGAGGGATATTAGCTTAAACCTCACGTCTCTACTCGAACAGAAAAAGCTTTTGATCTTCATGATGTATCCAAGGGTTTTAGCATCAATTGACGTTTTAAGTAAGGACGTCTTTCCAAAATTATCTCCCAAAAAGAGCGCCAAGTTTATGACACATGGGACAGTGAATTAGAGAGGTGATATGTCTGGTTGACGGTGATATAAGGCATGATGCCAAATACAGTCACTACCAGTCCATCTTTCCATTCTACTGACTCGCTCCTCTTTGCTCCTTCCCCCTTTCTCCTTGATTTTTCTCATACATAGTTGTTTCCATTCTCTTCTGATAGGCCTAAGAAAAAGGGAATGATCGCACTTACTCGTCCTGTGGTGAAAAGGCGTCAGGGGAACTCGGTGGGGAAACTTCGTTCGGATTATAAGGCTGATTATAAGGCGGAACTTCAACTCTCAGCTGTTGCGCAGCAAAGGTAGCGGCGGCCGGCGAAGGTTGTGAGTAGACGGAGGATGCGGGACGTGGGTAGTTCGAATTGCGATGTTGGTTCGGCGCTTGTACGGGGGGTGCGGGTTTGAGACTTTGCCGGTTTTGCTGACTGCGGTATTGTGACGTTAGCATATCATCTCGTAGATTAAATAATGCGATGTAGAAATAGGAGGAGGGCGACATGTGTGACGAATCTGACGAGTATAGTGCGAGGATTACGATCCTCTTCAGCTCCTTTTTCGTCTTGAGTCGACCGAACTTGTTCATCCAATCCTTCAACTCGCTAACACAAACAGATCAGATGAACCGGGAAATGCATGTGATTATTACAGCATGCAAGAGGTCATCGCCCGCCGATGTATTGTCGTTTCCGCATTCCTCATTGCTAAGCCAACCAGGTTCAAGCTGTAAATATACCACCGAAAATAAAAATAAAGGCTTACCGTTGGGTCGGGTAGACGGGATCTCTCGGCGGCCTCGGGGGCGGAGGTGCTCCTCCTTTGATAGAATACTGGTAATGCGCGTCTCCTCCTTTTACGCCTTGAGAGCGTGATTTCTGCCAGGCCTCGAGCTTCTTCCTATCCATCGCCGGCGCACCCTGATCCTTTGAGGAACTTCGTAAACGGTCAAACATGGTGAATTGCCACCGGGGCTCCCTCGGATACCAATACTTTCTTTCGCTGCCGCCTCTTATATGTATCACCAACGCTTAGGGCGCGTCGGATCGCCAGCCGGGGTGCGATGCTTCACACTAGTAATTAATCTTGGCTATTCTGAAGAAGTGGTATTAGGAACAGCGCATGAATCTGGATGGTTCCCAAGCTTTAAGAAATCGGCTGGTATTTTTTTCTTATGTGCTTTCTCTAAGTGCCTTTAGGAGAGAAGAACAAAAAAAACATTAGACAAGGTTTGATATGTAGTTGTCGGGAAGTCCCCCTCTAATATTCTCTAAAATGGTAGTATTTTTGGCCTCCAGTGATGTTGCGTCCTGGATTTATTTGTTTGTCAATTGCTTCGTAATTTGTTATTTTCTTGGCAAACTTAATGTTGAAGAATCACGCCTCTTTATTTATTATTCAGCTGAAACTTAGGAAAGTTTAGGTAGGTAGGCAAGTGCAAGCCAATTCCTATTATGGCACAGGCGCAGGCGCAGGTGCAGGTACTGGTTTCCTTGTTGTCCACTACTTGTTGTATGGTTGTATGGATGTATGGATGTACTTGTTCAAGACTCGGGATGTCGGGGCCAAACGGTCGCATGACGGGGTCCTTTTCCACCTATCGATTAAGTCCCGATTCGTGCAGTTCATGTAAAAAGAGTCAAAGAGTCAAATAGATGCGCGCCTCGGCCCTCACACTCCTCACGCTAAAGAACCCCGTTCCTGAAGATCGGTAAGCTAATGTCGTGCGTTCTCGTAAATTATTTTTCTAATTTGTCGTAATATATTGTATATATATATTTATATATTTATATGAACAACATCTATTTCAAAAGCAAATATTTGTCATGTCAGAAAATAATCTAGTCAAAAAATAGGAGAGGGGTTAAAGTCGGTATTGTATGTTGGCGTTATCATGCCAGGTCCTTTAATATTAATATTACATACATGTAGCTCTCGTCATCACATCTCAAAGAGCCACCTTTCTGTCAGCTTAATGATAATCCTTCTCCCGCTTTTGGCCATTCCATATGCATAATCCAAGCCTAATTTAGATTTCCGACGTGAATGGCTTAAAGATCCGGTTTGCGACCGCCTTTTAAAGTGTTGATAAATACCAATGCCGGTAATGCATCACGAAATGAGCATATTCCACAGTATCGACGTATTTGTCTTTGGTCCTTACTATGTAGGTTTTGAGACAAGAAGCTAATAATATTTACTCTGTAAACCAGGTAATCTTATCCATGTTTTAAAATCCTTGAGAACCTTCGAATCTTCGATGAATCATATGTTGCGTACAGCTTCGGTCCAGGGACCAACCTTGAATATGTAATTGAATGGCCCTCGAAGCTAAAGAACTTGGACCTCGTGAAGATCCGTTTCACCGTAGACTGCCTTACAGGCCTAGGTTAGGTACGTCCAGGGGTTCGCAAAAGGGAACTTGACTGTCTCAATTGGGAAAGTGGGATAATGGCTAGCTGATTCATAGAGCCAATCATTCAAATAACGTTAGATGTCAATCCGCCGCGTAACAGCACGTCACGATACATTTACTATTTACATGTATGTTATGCTTTTCTACACTAAAACATAACGCAGACCAATCTCAACGTGTAACGTTCGGTGTTTATTAGGGTTGTGCGAGTTAAAGTCATACAAGCGCTAAGGTTGGTATATCATCTATTTCCGACACTGGTAACTGGCTTCTGGTTTGCTACTTTAGACTAGTTAAACAGTCTATCCAAGTCTACATACCTAGGTTAGGTAGTTAGGTAGACAGTAATCTCAAGAGCCATTTAGTAGCAAAAGCTCCAAGCCTATATACATCTAAATGTTAAAAATTATATAACCCGTATAAGGTAAGATATCATCTGTAAGTGACTTGGCGTAGCATTTGTACTCAAAGATATTAACTGATAGGAATACTTTCTTGGTTACATTTAACATCTTGCTCTATTATGACAAACACGGAATTAAGCCTAGTACTACATATTTTCATCCCACACAAGAAATGGTATATATATCTATATATAAGGTTAGTCATCACCTAAGCTTAGTACTAATATCTACTTCGGATTTTATTGGTGTCACACTCAGACTTGTGGTGACACTTAAAGAATGACAGCGACAGGCAGCGCGCGATCTTATCTATCACCATTATAAGTTAAGTAACTAAATGATCTCTAAACAAAATCTAATAAAACTTAAAAGTGTTTAACTTGAATGTTTCGACTAGTTACCTAGGTTAGGTAGTTATTAAGTTGCATGTCTATTACCTAGGTAGTAACACAACTAGTTGATAGAAGTCAACAACACTCGTATAGTTATATAATGACTTTGATAAACACTTAAGTAGCTAAATAGACTTAATAGGCTTACAATATTCTTGTATGTTAAGATAATTTTGATTAAGCCTTTAAAGTACATTAATATCAAGTTTAGAGGCAAAGGATATGTGGTTTTGGTAACCATTAGAGCAAATTTAGATAATGTACCTAAGTACTAGAGATGTGGGTTAATCTTACCATAAATTTAAATTGTTTAGATCTAATCATGTGCATACTAGTCACGTGCATGGATGCTTGAGTGGAAAAATCATTTTCCATCAAAGGTTGGAAAGCTGTACAAACAATGGCTTAAAGTTTATCCGAGTGCACTTGCCATAGCAATTTAAAGTTTATCCGAGACCTGCACCTGCCACAACGGTCCGAAGCTTATTTGCGCGCACCCGCCATAACTCCGAACCTTGTCCGGGTGCTCCCGCCCTGACCCCACTAATTCTCGGCCCCACTTGATCATGTCCGGCTTGCAGACCGGAAAAACATTCCTGCTTAGCACCGGATAATCTTCGGCTAAACAATACACAAATCTGCTACGTACCACCAATTTCTTAAGGATGTGGGCCCCTAAGAATAATAACCCCGCCATTTCGGCACCAGCAAATTTACATTTTCAGCTTGCATTTCGCGACGACGACTCCGAAGAAGAACTTTTTGCTGGAACACGCTGTGGTCGACGACGTGCGCCCTCCAAGAAAAAGAACCACAGGCCAATCCAACACTTCTCTATCCCTAGCCAAGCCATTTCTTCTACATCGACCTCACCACTTTTCCCCCCCAAACCCAAAGACGATCCAAGCCATAATTCTAGCACCGATCCGGGTGACGATTTTATTGGTGGTTACGAAGAACCTAAGGAAGAGGGAAAATCTGGCGACGACAGTGACGAATATAAGGAAGTCGATCTCACTCAAGCGTTACTCAACTACGTAACCCACCGACTCGAAGAGCTAATTGCTGAGCGCGTAATCGAGGGAGAACCTAAGGAACTGCTTGAAGACTCTTCTGACGATATTTCCGAGTGCAACATGGCCGCTCAAGAGGAGCAGCAGGAAACGCGTCAGCAGTATGCTTTCGTCGACGGCAATTTTGCGGAGCTAGCTCAGGACTTGGCTAACCATCTCAACGTTGGCGACGACGTTAAGTCTATTATTGAGAAGGATGACAAGGATCAACAAGATGAGGTGCTCAAGAAGCTCATCATCGCATCTACTTCCCTGCACTCAGTTCCTGAGAGAGAGTTTACTGCCAACTACAACCTACTTATCTACCTAGTTTTGCAATCTGATCATGTCGGCATGTTCCTCCCTCGAGTTTGCGACAATCTCATGAAGCCCGTCACCTCTTCGCCAGTTCACGGCCCTGCACTTGCTCTCCAGGCACTCACCACCATCTTCAATCTGCTCCAGCAAGAGAACGAGCACAATTACGAGTTGCGCTTCAATGTTCTCATGGCAATTCTACGATTCATCAAGCTGAATAGCATGTACGACAATCTTAAGAAGGCCCTACCTAACATCAAAGAGTGGCTTAAGCAGTGGGAGACTGACGAAGAGGACCAACGAAAGCTATTCCTCGAGATGGCGGAAGTAGCTCATGATGCAGGCGATGACGAGTGAGTTACAATTCCGCATAGTTTTACTTGATCAATTGCTAATCTTGCAACTTGGATAGGGCTTCTTACCAGCATGTCCTCAGTGCTCTACACACATTTGATGAAGAGGACGTTAAGTCAGAGGAGGCCCAGCAATTTGCCCTCCGTGCTTTAAAGACAGCGCTTCTATCTACTACCCACAACGACTTTCAAGACCTTCTTGCCGTCCCCGCGATTCAAGCGCTCTCTGACTCCCACCCTCTATACTTCGAACTGCTCACAATCTTCGCCGAGAAAGATCTAGAGGACTACAAAGACTTCAACGACGAACATGAAGGCTTCGTCGAGAAAGAACACCTTGATGGAGACAAGCTTCATCGCAAGATCCGACTGCTCACCTTTGCGAGCTTAGCAGCTAGCACCCCCAATCGCGAGATCCCTTACGAGAACATCGCCAAGGCCCTTCAGATTCCCATCGAGGAGGTTGAGATGTGGACGATCGATGTAATTCGTGCCGGCCTAGTCGAAGGAAAGTTGTCGCAGCAGAAGAAGGTCTTCCTGGTCCACCAGACATTCTACCGAGTATTCGGCGAGAAGCAATGGCGCGAGGTCGGCGACCGCCTCGATGGCTGGCGAACCCTGATCGCTAATGTGATCGCCAACCTACGCCGAGAGCAAGCCAACGCCGATGTGCACAAGAAACGCGAGGCAGAAGAGCTCGAGCGACGCCTAGCGAACACAGGTATTATTGGCGGTAATCAGTCAGGTGCTGGTGGCGGTGGACGCCGAGGAGGTGGCAATCATAGCGAGCGAGCGCCTCGTAGAGATCGAACTGAGGAGGAGGATTAGACGAAGGCATATGTTCTCTTCTCTCGACGTTTCCGTCTTTGGATTGTGTGCATCAGGTACGGTCTATGGCGTCTTACGGATTTGCAGGGCGAGAGTTTAATTCGGTTGCGAATGATTTCCAGGTTTAATACGCGGTGGTCGGAGGCTACGTGACGATGCATTCATCTCGTCGCAATCAGTTACGATTTACGTTGCATCACGTTGCATGTTGAGGGCCCAGGTTTGCAGGAGGCAGGAGTGGAATGTCACTGGGCCCCAAGTATAGATTATGAGGATTGGCCCCCTCCGCGTTACTTCACGAGTTGTATTTAGAGGATACAGAAAAGTTGCCTGGGAATGCGTTGCGCATCGCATTTTAATCGCAAGAGTTCATTAAAATATTTCTTGCTTGTGCTTCTTTCTATCTTATAGATGTAAAATCCCTCCTCGTCTTCGTAGATTATGCAACCCAGACAGACTCTTGGCTGTGTCTACATTTACCTATATGTCCCCTAATTCTTCATAGTCCTTTATCATTCATAATCGTATCTCTTCTCTCTCTATTATAACCTTGATAGGATAGAAGGCTGAATTCTATATCCGGAATAACTACCCCTTTTCCTTCGGTTTGAAATCTACCTCCTCGCCGTCGCGGCTCACGAGCCTACTAATAAAACGAAGCTTTACAGCCAGCTCTAGTTAGTCAAATATAGCTCGATTCAGACTCAGATCTGGAGGCGCTTCTCAAGTTCCTTCTGGGTAGTCTCGAAGACCTGGTCCGGCTGCCGACGAGCGTCAACCTTGACAACGCGGTCCTGCTTCTCGAAGTAGTCGACAACAGGCATGCTGGTCTCGACAAACGTGCGGAACCGCTTGCGGATGGACTCGGCGTTGTCGTCCTCGCGGCCGGACGTCTTGCCGCGCTCCAACAGGCGGCGCTCCATCTCGTCCTCGGGGCAATCGTAGAACAGCACGAAGCGCGCCGGCACAACCGCCTCCTCGAACTTAATCGCCTGGTCGAGCTTGCGCGGGAACCCGTCGATTAGGAATTTACCCTTCTTGCGGCCGCCGGAGGAGGAGGAGGAAGTCGGCTGCTCGTCGAGGATTTGCCGCATGGCGGCTTCGAGTAAAGCGATTGTTACTTCCATCGGCACGATCAGCCCGTTCCGGATGTAGTGTCGGATCAGGTCGCCGAACTCGCTGTCGGGCCGGTTCTGCTCGGCGCGGAGCAGGTCGCCGGCGGAGAGGTGCGCGAAGCCGTATTGGGCGACTAGGCGCTCGCATTGGGTGCCTTTGCCGGCGCCGGGGCCGCCGAGGACGAATATGACGGTGACGTCGTCGGGAGAGAAGACGGGGGTGGTGCGGTCTTTGAGGTTGTCGATGGTGGACATTTTGAATAGCTTGTTTTGTCTTGTCTTGTCTATCTCTTCTTGGTTGGTTGTTTTTCTAATTGGTAGTTATTCGGTATTTATTCGATAGGTCGGTCTGGTTCTAGGGAGGAACGAATGAAGAAATAGGAGAAGGAGGAAGAGGGAAGAAAGTAAGAAGAAGAAAAAAAGGGGGGGGTTGTTTTACAGGGTGAAGCTATGCTATGTTGGCATAGTGGGAATCTCATGAATGGATGAGTGGTACAGGCTTAATTTCTTGATATGTCCCGCATTTTGATACTTGGGTACCTATTCATCTATTGGTTAGATGGGCGGGACAGGGTTACACATGATAAGTTCATGCGAGCCCCTCCTTATTTGCACCCGTTATCGATTGTAACCTCGATTAAAGTAAACTTCGCCAAGCCGTTATTACTCGTTTGACGGATGGCTGTTGAATCTTATAAGTCAGGTCAACTCTATAGTACACTTTACCTAAGTAACGGGGTTATCCAAGTCACTTTCAATGACGGATTTTTAAGAATTACTTATAGGATTGAGAGATGGAAGAATAAATTAGCTTAGACCTAGGCTTTTAGGCTAGTTACTATATAATAATTTCTCAATAGGTACCTAGTTCAGGCTTATTAGATCGGATTAGATAGGCACATGTACGGTAGACGGCTAGGTTATGTAGTATTGCTTTTCAATAAATTTCTTATATTTTGTCACCTCCGAAGGTTTCTTCGATATTTGTCAATTCTAACAACATAGCTTCTCTTACAGATGATTAGCTAATAAGCCATATACTCCGTTACAATAAGTAGTCAGTTATAATAAGTAGGCGAAGACGGGTTCAACTTATACATATCAAAGTAATTATCGAAGAAGCTTCCGCTAGGCATGATATTTCTTATTTCCCTGCTCTATAAATCTTATACGACCGAGTTCTTTCACTTACTCTCAAACGAAAGTATTATTATTCAGTGAGCAGAGAAGCCAGGCGTTAAGTCATAGAGGCGTAATGATTGTACGTTGACAGACTGGAAACCCATCCACACCTAATCAATAGGTAATCATACATATAATATACATATGATATATCACTTTAACATAGTCTTTGCCGAATATATCCAATAAAGGCGCCACTATTGCAACCTCCTTACCGGCGCATTCCTATACATGACCTGTCAATATAACACCCTACCTAGGTAACTAACCACACAACATGAAAAGCAAAACTCACCTGCTCGCAGCCTTAGCCCTTACCAACATAACATACCCCGCGGTCCCAAGGCCGATGATAGCAATGAACGGCCAGAACTTGACCGTGTTATTCGAGCCTCTTGGGGGCTGCGTGCTGTACGTTCGAAACCGGAAGGGCGACGCGGGCCGCACCAGTAGCCGCCGCGCACACGCCGTAGCACCCGCCATTGGATAGATACCTGTAGGCCGCAATTTGGGGGCCGTCTCCTTTTTTTTTTTTCGTATGCGAAGATTTGCTGAATATTAATTGACCCACAGCCTTGCTGCGCTTGAGATTTCGGTATGCGCCCACGGACGGTGGTGATGGGTACGCTGTGTGACTTGTAGGTTGGTAGGGCAGAGCAAGATTTGATGATAGGTACTATATCATACGGCTGGAGGCTTGAGCTTGGAGAAGCTTTTAGAAACGGCCCACCATGAACTGATGGTAGTATGCGGCTGGCAGGCAGCTGGCAGCACTTGGATGGAAATACAAAGAGTTCAAGTTCAAGTCACTGACATTACATAGCCACCGCCATTATGAGTATAGATCTATATATTGCTTATTTACAATCCCAGGAAAGAAGATGATCATCTACCGGTACGAGGTTTACTAAATCTAAAATTATCGTAATTCCAATATCAACAACTAAGTACTCGGAGAATCCAACCCGATTGATAAACCCAAGACCCAGAACACTACTACTCGTCGCTTGTTGTTCTCACTCCGAGCTAACTGCGCCTTCCGGGAGAGCTCTCTCCGTACTCCTACTAGTCCCGGGTGTGTAGCCCTGCGGCTCTGCAATAAGTAACCCTTGCTTGTTGCAGAATGTTGTGCGTCCATAGTACCTACATAGCCACGAAGAGGGTCTCATTGCTACGACCTATCATGAGAGCCTACCTGCTAAGTATCTGATGTATAGGGGTCTATTTATGCATACCCCAAAGTGTCATTCATTAATGAGTACTATTATAGACATCTCACCGAAAATGAAGCAATTTGAGAGGAAGTAGTTTGTTGAACTGATATCTCATTGTTCAAGAAAAAAAAAATAAGGGCTATGCACATTGTAGCAGTAATTATGATATATGTAAAAGTTGCTTGTTCCATCCCCGAGGTATATTCCAAGTTCGCCGGTATCCAAAATTCATACACAACCCACAACCCACACCCTCTCCCCAATCATATCACCTCGAGGACGCCGCCTCGTCGTTGGGCCAGTTTGATTCGTCGGTTTTCCTACGTTCCTGCATGATAGAACATAGAACATAGCGCGTGATAGTAATAGGTAGAGGGAATCCAAACTTGGATCGATGTGACCCGTTTCCAGCTCAGCTGAACAAAAGAAATTAAGTATATCCAAATAATAGTTCAGTTCGTTTTATTTTTATTTTTATTCTTATTTTTTATTTTCCTTCCCGTATCACACACGTTTACCGCGGGTGGCTGAAACTCGTCTGTGCTGGCGGCGGGCTCTTGACAACGGCGTCGTTGTACGCCCCGGGGATAGGTACGGCATCGTACTGTACCTCGCCAGGTGCAACTGGGCCGTGCTCGTTGAAATTGGAGCTGAAGCTGGGTCCAGGTGCGGTGGGTGTTGTAGGTGTTCGGAATGCACCCTGGCTCATCTTGGGGGTGGCGGAGGGGGCCTTGGTAGGAGGAGCCTGCAGCTTGAACGGCTTCTCGGCACTCTTGGGTTGGCTCGCGAAGGTGGATTGTGGCTCGGCGATCTGCGCTCCGGGCGTGAACGCGGGTCCTTCCGAGATATCCCCAAGAGACTTGTAAGCCGAAGGAGGGAAGCGCGGCGACATAGCGTACTGCGAGAACGATGGAGACTTGGGGCCGAAGCCTGGGGTGTTGGGGGCTGATTGCGATCGGAGCTGGGCTAGGTATAGGTCGGATCGAGCGCGGTCTCGCAGGTCCATCGACTTGGCTAGACGTCGCTTGGTGTAGTATCGGTAGAAGACGACGCTGTAGAGGATGATAGTAAGAACGTCAATTACGATCTCGATGATGATGCAGATCAGGGCCCAGTTCTAAGGAGATTATTAGATATATGATCAAGTAATTGGATAAGTTTATATAGGCACTCACCTGAAGTCTGCAAACAAGTTCGTAGTCAACCTTTTGCGAGAAGAGGTCGGAACGGTGGTTCTGGACACATGCCCATCCCCACAGGTCCTTGTTGTCGCTGTTATTCCTCGTGAATTGTAAGACACCTGCAGCGGCAGCCCATAGAATCACGGAAACGATGAACCAGCCAACTGCGAACAATGTGTAGTATACACCAACTTTCTCCGCGCGGTGGTGACCACCTCGGCAGTACCCGATGAAGATGAGGATGCAGATGAGGAGATTAGTACAAGAGACTGCTAATACGAGTATTTGCGGCCACGTGCTCGTGCCTGTCGCCCATGGAGGTAGGCCGTTCTGTGCTGGTAGACTCTTGGTCGCGTGGAAGATAGCAAAGGATGAAGAAAGCATAGCTAGGATAATGGTACTGCAGCTGAAGCTGACACCTCGGAGTGCGAACTTGGCCATCCGTACTTTCGTCTTGAGACCCTACACTGGATGTTAGTCTATATTCTTACACGCTCGATCGCGATTTAACCTACCAAGTCTCGTACTTGCTCCTTCTCGGTGTCCTTCTCCCGCTTTTCTAACATCTCCTCTTCCATGAATGTCGGACTTAAGGGGTTCTCGAATTTCCTCCCTGGGGTACCTGGTACCCTCATGGCACTCTTCAAGGGCGACTTTGGTGTCATCGGCATATTTATTACGTGGCTTGACTCGTCTCCAATATATCCAAATCCAACATCAGCCGGTTGAGCGTGGGCTACATGTGATCTATCGTCTCTTCCAAACGGCGTATCTGGTTGCTCTACCGGTGAGTATACTGTGGTAGCTTCCGCGAATCTTGGTGTCCTTGGTGGTTTTCCCAGTGACGATGTGGTAGATGTGGAGCCAGTAGAAGAAGATCGCGAGGGAGCCAGCTTAAGGGCGGAAGGCCGCCTTCTTTCGTCTTGCGGCGCCATTGGACTATAGTGTGTGTATGATGAGGAAGAAAAGTGAAATGAAAAAAAAAGAACAAGACTCAGTCTATGTGTACAGGCTACTATATGCTCGCGATACCCTTAGGAATAAGACCAGATTGTATGTGGCTTAAAGAGAGGAATGGATTAATACGAGAATGAATTGGAAGAGACCAGCTATCGAAGGAAAAGTATTTCAGAGTTGGATAGCTGGGAAGGTGGGTGGTTTTGAGTAGGCGCCGCTGCGATATGTTGTCACCTCATTCGACCTTTTCTGGGAATATTCTGCATGGGACAGTTAGTCGATGGGGCTACATAAAATGCAATGGAATCGCTCACGATGGACCGGGGGGTAGGAATAGACTGAATGCAAGTCTCTGATAGGGTGGCTAGAGTGAACACCAATATCCAAGTTGTACGATTATGAAAATAGACGCCCGCAGGCCGTAGTCTACCGCTGAGCACTTGCTGGGTTGTATCGGAATTACTAGATCAACGTGTCAACGTTGATTTAGAATCTAACGGGGCAAGTCACAGGCTTCTGATTACCGACTTTCTCATACGGATGGGAGAGCGTTTGGGTAAAAACGAAACGAAGGGGGTAAAGAGGTATACCGAGAAAAAAGCTCAGTATATGAGTGAGAAGAGGGAATTGTTGATCCTATGCTGGGGAAATGATACTATGGTATCTAGAGCCGACAATACTCTCGCTACCACGGCTATACAGGTATGGAATAAGTCTCTCGCACCTACATTTATCACCAAAGAGATACATTGACCCATGGTTAACCACATGTCCATGTACATCATTTACTTGCAGTACTATTAGACTAGGCAATCCCTCTTTGCGAGCAACAGTCTCTTGGGTGCAGACCTGGACCGTAATTGGATGCACTCGACATACCAAAATGCGCACTACGAATGAGGTTGAAGAAAAGATTTGCTAATACCAGGGGTCCCTTACCCAGTCGAGCGCAAAAGACGGGGAGAATGAGATGTGGTTGGATGCGTGGGACTAGCCGGCGCGAATCTTCCTAGGCGCTTTCATTGACCCCAGTCGACGATCTACCGATTTGATAGGCAGATAGCATCCCTGACAAGACCCGTGCCCAGATACAAGGTTGAAGGTATAGCCAATTAGAAGCTGAAGAGACGTGATACCGCACGACACTATGCATGGGATCAGGTTGTGCCTGGGCGGTAAACTCTTACCCACCATATTGAACAACAGGAAACAACCGGCCCCGTTCGGACTTTGAGCCCGAGTCCCTATTGAGTCCCTATTGCTTATTACTCTCGCGCTCACTTTTGTCACCGCAGATATGTAATGGGGATGCAATGAGAAGGATTCCGGACCATAACAGCTCAGACCTTAATCGTAAGACGAAGCGCAAATGTCTATAAGAGCTCCTGAGAATTCTGAAGTCCGCCGGCTATGTAGATGCAACGAATAGCCGATCATATGTTCCCTTTTTTAGCATAGAGAATAATGACTCGACTGCGGATTCGGCCAATTTGAGGAAAATACATAATCGGCAAGGTGATTGTCGTGCTAAAATGTAACCCAAGCACCAAAAAAACCTGTCCCCCCTCCCGGATCCTTTACCATGATCGGTTGCACGGACAGGCGGGAATGGAGGCCAATTTCTGACGAATCTGCATGCCATCGTGCTACTGGACTAGCATAGCTCTTATTTGATAATTTATTAAACAAAATAAGGCCGTTGTGCTGCCAAGGATATTGAAGGCTATTTTTAGCGCTTTTGCTCTCATGGCCAATAAGGCGGCGCACTGTCGTGTGGGTGATATCGCCTCAAAAGCAGTAATTTTGCTATATCAATGCTATTAAACCACACGTCAACGGTCTAGATGCTATACTAGCTCACGCGAGCGAACGAGGATGATTTCATTAATATGCCCCTAATGTTGCTCTGGATGCTAGAATAGAATTCAATGACGCTATGTAACTTACATCAGACAAGAAATCATGGTAGGGCTGCATATATGAATATATTCCTGCAGACTGTAGTTTGAATCTTGGTTGTTAGTTGCCTTAGTGCTAACATAGTAACATGTTGGAGGCTTATAACGATCTCTCTAGGGATGTTCGTCAGCTTTGAGGGGTAACTACCTACCTAAAGTATCTAAGAATAGTCTTTGTCGAATGACGAGTAAATAATTGTCTCGGGGCTTTGGCGGCTCATAAATAGGTAAGCTTAATATCAGATAAAATATACCCTACAGTAAACGATGATAACATGGCTGATGCTTCCAAGGTTGAATGATTACTAAATTCGACAGGCTCCGTGACAGCGTGAATAGCTATTGTAAGAAACATGATTTTACTGAGCTAACCGAATTGATTTGAAGCCGAACTAACGTTGTTTGACCTACAATGAGAGAAATATAATTATTGTGCCAACTTAGAAATTCAAACCCGATTCTATTAACTAAAAGTTGTTGTAATGTCTTGAGATGTAATATCTTTTAGTTAGTCGTATTAGTATATAAACACGTGACTTGGTCTCTTTAATTGCAAGTAGCAGGAAGTAACGTTTTAACAAGATATATAGAAGTCAGGTACGCTAAGCTTTGTACCTACCTGTATGTGCCTATCAAAATTGCCCCTCATTCTTTATCTTATCGCCGCTTGGGAGAAGACTCATACACAACTTTCAAAAAATCCCAAACTCCACGCCTAAACGTCATTTTGTAAAGTCGTTAGATTTCACTTAGCCGCCAGTAAACATTTACATCCAGGAGCCAGCGAAAAAAATCACATAGATAAAGGCATAATACCAGCAACAAATACATCATAATGTCCGCGCCCGACAGGTTTGGCAACGACATCGAGTCCGATTCCGATTCGGGCAACGAGTCACCTATCAACGATGGGGTTGACGATGGTGTTGAGGAGTTAGATCAGAAACCTCTCAAGTCGGCTATGAAGAAGTCTCCCTCAGGTCCCTCACCTCCGATTGAGCGTCCTCATCTCCCTCCTCAAACAGACGCAAAAGACCTCGATCTCCAATCACTAAACCCGCTCACACCTGAGATTATCGCGCGACAAGCCACTATCAACATTGGTACGATCGGTCACGTCGCTCACGGCAAGTCTACCGTTGTGAAGGCCATATCAGGTGTCCAGACTGTTCGTTTCAAGAACGAGTTGATCCGAAATATCACCATCAAGTTGGGATATGCGAATGCCAAGATCTACAAGTGCGATAACCTTGAATGCCCTAGGCCCGGATGTTATCGAAGCTACAAGAGTGAGAAGGAGGTAGACCCTCCTTGCGAGCGTGAAGGATGTAGCGGTACATATAGACTTCTACGCCATGTCTCGTAAGTTTATTAATTATCTTAATTGCCTTTTTATGTTATTGACAATATTTAGCTTTGTCGATTGCCCTGGTCATGATATTCTCATGAGCACTATGTTGTCTGGAGCTGCGGTGATGGACGCCGCTCTATTGCTGATTGCTGGAAATGAAACCGTACCTCAGCCTCAAACTTCGGAACATTTGGCAGCTATCGAAATTATGAAGCTTGACAAGATTATCATTCTTCAGAACAAGGTCGACCTTATGCGAGAAGAGGCCGCCCAACAACATTACCAGTCTATCCTGAAGTTCGTCCGTGGAACTCCTGCTGCCAAATCACCCATCATCCCTATCTCTGCACAACTGAAATTCAATATCGACGCTATTAACGAGGCCATTGTCAACACTATCCCTGTACCACCCAGAGATTTCACTCAAGAGCCTCACATGATGGTTATTCGATCCTTCGACGTCAACAAGCCTGGTGCCGAAATCGAAGAGTTGAAGGGTGGTGTTGCAGGTGGCAGTATTCTGCATGGTGTGTTGAAGCTCGGTGACGAGATTGAAATCAGACCTGGTATTGTGACTCGAGACGATAAGGGTGCTCTCCAGTGCAAGCCCATCTGCAGTCGTATCGTTTCCCTCAACTCGGAGTTCAACGATTTGAAATATGCAGTCCCCGGTGGTCTCATTGGTGTTGGCACGCGTATTGACCCTACTCTGTGCAGAGCTGACCGCCTGGTTGGGTTCGTTCTCGGCCTTAAGGGACGTCTTCCTGCCATCTACAGCGAGATTGAAGTCAACTTCTACCTCTTGAAGAGACTGCTGGGTGTTCGCACAGCAGACGGCAAGCAAGCAAAGGTAGCCAAGTTGACCAAGAACGAAGTTCTCATGGTGAACATTGGATCTACCTCAACTGGTGCCAAGGTTGCTGCCATCAAGCAAGATGCTGCTAAGCTATCCCTAACCAGCCCTGCCTGCACAAACCTTGGAGAGAAGATCGCTCTTAGCCGAAGAATTGAGAAGCACTGGCGTCTCATTGGATGGGCTACCATCACAGCGTAAGTTTCTACCCTAGTATACTGAACATTAGTTGCACCAACTAACCTATCTAAAGTGGTGTCACATTGGAACCTACCGAATCGTGAAGTCCAGGCCAAGTATAAATTTCTTGACGAAGCGTATCCGATAAGTTATAATTCTGAGGGATAGGTAAAAGGGAAATGACTAGGTATTCCTAAGTACGGCGACCCACGTCGGGGACACGGCTCAAGCGCTTCATAGAGGTACAAGATGCCTTAGTTTGAAGCTACTGGGGCTAAAGGGGATGTCCCTAAGAAGGCTATGTATTTAGACGATGATGACGAAGCAAAAGGAGATAAAGGCGTACCTAAATACGGATCCGTTGCACTTTAAGTTCTAGTCCTTTTTGCAGAGACCGTAGTCTCCGGTGGCTTTTGTCTACCTGTAGGCGTCTAGTGGAAAAGGGAATATAAAAACCTATATTCATCTGATTATCCGACTTATTCAAAGGCTTCAATCCTTTGGCTTGTTATGTAATGTATTAATTATAGACTAACCTAGGGTGACGTGGATAGTAAACCACCACATAGTATATTATATCTTATAGAGATATATAACAGCAAATAGCTATATTTTGTAGCTACGAAAGATAAATACTACATTTCTTCACGAGAGATATATAGATACTTATATAGAACTAGATACACTTGGTCTATAAAGCGAGATATACTACTGTGGAATTACTAGTGGGAGGTTAATTAGAGCTAGGACCTATTCTACACTTCTAGTTATAGATAGCTTTGGCAGATTGATAACTACCTATAATAGAAATTCCCTGTCTTTAGAGAGTACCTCTGCTATAGCCTATAAGAGATGATTAAAGCTGCTCCTCATATGACTCGAACATAGTAGGATGACGACCAAGGAGGTGTATTATGGTTATTATACCCCTATACTATGCCTTAGCTTCTGATAACCAATTAACTGATATCTGACACTCTGATAAATGCTATTGGGATATTAAGTTGGCTGTTAAGTTATCTGCGCTAGGTGATCTTTACCAACCTAAGGTAACTAACTGTATAGTGAATGTGACTGAGCACCCCCCCCCCCCTTCAGGCGTATTTTTAAGGATGCCATAAAACATGTTTTGATTTCCGCTTCATCCGGGAAAAGAATTGCGGTATGGGCAAAAAAAAAGAGGAACTGTATATAAAGACTAGTCGTAAGTTACTTCTTGCTAGCAACGTATTCATACTACCTACCAGTAAGGAAATATCAAGGCCAGAACATGATCCCCAGCGCAACAAAGGCAAATTGCACATCTAGTATAAGGTATCACTTATCACTATTAAGAACCGAGTATTAACATACCGGTTTGCTAGGACACGAGCCCAACGCAAAGTCATTAGTATTACTATGTTGACCCTTTTACTTATTTCCTAGTTTTCCGAGCATGCTTCACAAGATTTTCTATTACGCCCTCGAACGCCTCGCGATCGCCAATCTTCTCGTCCGTACGTTTCTTCCAATACTCCAGCACGTCCTTCGCTAAGACCTCCATTCCTTGCAACTTCTTCACATGCTGCTGGAGTTCCTTGTCTGTCATACCACCTAGAGCCTCGTCTGTAGTTGTGCAGAGCTGCTTCGCAGAAACCAGATCCAAGTCGGGTGCTTCAGGTGGTCCTTTTCGACGTTTTGATACAGACCTGGGCTTCTCCTTGCCTTGGGAATCTACCGATACTGAGGAGTTGTTATCGGTGTCCGGCTTCCTGAGCCTAGAGACGGAGCGAGACTCCGATGATGTGCGTAGCGAGCCGCTTGAAGTGACACGATGGATTGATGGTAGCACAAGTTTCTTTTGCTTGGAGGCGGGCAATATCTCGTCCAGATCCACTGGTACGCCAAGGGAAACTAGGAATAGGCGCCGTATGCGAGACCGGATCCAATCAGGGGGTTGAAGAGGCGGCGGTGCTGCCAATTGCGACCAGAGAGAGGCGCTTCTGGGGTTGAAGAATATTGGGTTGTCCTTTGGTGGCGACGGTAAAGCTGGGAGCTCTTGTATTTCGGGGGAGAACAATGCATCTAAGTACGGTTCTGTTGCAACTATGATATCTTCTGAGTCAAGCCCATCAATATCTAATATTGGCTGACAGAGAATATAGTTAGCATAAATGTACGACTACCTAGAGAGGGACCTAAACATACAAATGAAGGTATTGCGACCTGAGGCTGAGGAACCGGCGTGGGAACCGGTCCTTCTGCCTCGGCCGTCTGAAAGCCATCGTCGAAGTCGCCAAAATCAGCATCTTCATCACCCTCTTCAAACTCGTCAAAGTCGTCGCCAAAGTCACCAAAGTCATCAACGTCATCGCCATCAGCATCTTCTTGACTAACACTTCCCGTTGATCTTGCTACTGACGATTTCCTCCGTCGATGGGTCGATGGTGACTTAAGTGATGGGGCTACAGTCGCGTTATCTACGAGGGCAAGGGTCAATCGCGCTGGGTAGCTTAGGAGGACTTGGCTGCCGTACCAGTTGCTTCCTTGGTGGTGTCAAGCGAAGAGGGTGTCGGATTCGCCTCGCCAGTACCGTCAGGTTTCCGAATAAAGTCAGGTTCGGCATCTGCACGACGAAGATCTTCGTTATAGTGATGAGTTGAAGAACCAGGGGCATCCGCTGATTCGTCAACTACCGTCTTTGGAATTGGGTGACCCCCTGGCGTCACAGGTCTATCTGGGGAGACAGATTCTGGCTTCTTCTCGTGGATGATAGCAATCTCATCTGGCTCGGCATCCTCTGTGCGCTTACTGTAAGCTTCCGTACCCGGGACTTCACCGTAAGACGGCTCATCGTCTACTTTTTCGACTCGCGTCCGCGGTACCGGAGAGGTAGCCCCGGGACTATTCCTCGGGGAGGATTGAGCATCGGAAAAGTGCTCGTCGGAATCGGAGGAGACTGAATTGGAACAATTGTTAGCTTACTGAGGGAATTGAAAGGGATGTGTAAGGGGTACTAAGGCATACCAAGCTCATGAGCACCTGGGTCTTCTGTACCTTTTCTCTCGGGAGCCTCGAGGCTAAGTGACCTCCGCTCTCTAGACATGGCAAAGAGCTTCTAGGTGGTATATCGGGGTTGTGTCACTTGGTTTGAGAAAGTTGACAGGCCTGTAAAATAATATCTAGTAGGAAGTTGTGGTCCCTTTTCAACAACCGTTGGCTGGTTTGATGATTTGAGGGGTACCGTATAACAAATTGACCAGATGTAGGGCCAGAGAGGTCGATGGTTCGTAGTTACTGATCTTAGAAAGGCTGTAGGATCGATTTAAAGATGTGCAAGGCCATTAAACTAAGCCTCTTATTGTTTTGGCTCTTATATGAGGCAATCGTAGAGATCGAGACTTCAGCTCAGGGATCGGAAACACATGTTCCTGGTTTGGGCAGGCGGCGAGGGCGGACAGGGCTGGCAGGTTAGTTGGTATTGGCGTAAGAGACCTAGACTGATTAGATAAGGGAGCCTAGAACCCCTGTGGCTTGATCAGGTAAGTAGGTAGGTAGCCAGTACTTAGGTACATACGTGACTTTAGAGGTATCTTAGGTACATAACCATGGAAGGTACACTGATGAAGGTTGAGATCCACATGTGGTTTTGCAAATATGATAGGTACCTAACTGCCTTGTAGTACATGCTACAGTAGTCGCGTCCAACTTTACCACCTTAGAAGCTTAGAAGCTTGTCGCGCAAAAAAAAGTGGTCGGTCTGTGATGCATCACTAAGTCACCAAGTCAAACTGTAAGTAAAAACAAACTGTTATTCTCACAGTTAGATTAAATGAATTGGTGTTTTCATACACACTAACCATTCCATAAAGGATCAAGATATATTCATCTTCGAAGTTTATCATCATCGTCAGGCTTGCGGTGTCCTTACCTAGCGAATTACGAAACATCGAAACCCCCAGCCTTTTCTGTGCTTGCGGCTTGGGGATGAGTGCAGGTTTATAGACACGGCTAAGATCAGACGAACCCATATCACATTCCAATAACTAGATCAGATACAACACATCATATAGCACATTCCTCCCTTACAAACACTGTCCTACCATGTCGCTGTTCGGCAATCCGAGCTCAGGAGGGCAATCCAACAATAATGCCACCACTTCCAGTGCACCTCCTTCTGGTAACTTGTTTGGCTCATCAACTCCTACTACTTCAGCTTCGACCAATCTCTTTGGTAGTTCAACCACTGGCACACCTGCCTTCTCTTTCGGAAATCTAGGTGTTGGGAACAATAGCGCTGCTGCTGGTTCATCAGGAACTACTTCTAGTCCCTTCGGAAACACGGCTACTAAGCCAGGAGAGCAAAAGCCATTATTTGGGCAAACGACGGGAAATAGTACACTAGGATCTACTCCTACGTCGGGTAGTGGTGGCTCTGGGTTGTTTAGTAGCAGCTCCCAGACACCTCCCTCTACCTCTAACCTCTTTAGTAGTGCTGCGAAGCCTGCGCAATCTACGAACCTATTTGGAAATCCCGCCTCAACAACACCGACGTCAACTAGTGCCCCCCCAGCATCAGCACCGATGATAGCAGGATCTTCCAGCACCCCTACCTCGGCGCCCGGGCTCTTTGGCAGCCTTACCGCCGGCGGCAGCAGTGGTCTTTTTAACAATGCCAACTCAAGCACTACTCCAACTAGTAATGCCCCCGGTTCTGGTTCGCTATCGACACCTACAAAAACAATGTTTTCTCTAAACTCAACCACTCCCGCGGGCGCGCCTCCGACGAAGCCTGCCAACCTCTTTCAGAGTACTACGAGCCAACTATCTTTTCCATCTACTCAGCAAGGAGACAAGAAGGAAACACAAGCTAGCTCGTTATTTGCAAACCCGGGCAGTTCTTCCCAGGCTGGTACCGCGACGAGCAAGCCGCTGTCCTCTACCCAGAGTGGACTCTTTGTCAATGCCGCTCAACCCCCAACCCAAACCTCAAACCTCTTTGGGGCTTCGAAACCTGCTGATAGTTCTTCCGCCTCAAATTTATTCGGCGCGAAGCCTACCACTGCACAAGGCGGCGGAGCGGCACCTGCAGCCAGCGCACTGTTTGGACAGCAACCTTCAAAGCCTGCCGAGGCATCCTCAACTAAGCCCACGAACACACTCTTTGGGGGGTCAGGTACTACACCAGCAGCACCAGCAAGCTCATCTTCGTTATTTGAGAAAAATCCTGCATCATCTGCAGCAGCTACTACATCGGCGGTTCCTGCTTCGCCATTTTCGAGCCTTAACAAGCCCTCGGGCTCTACCTCTGCCTCCGAGCCAGCTAAGACGCAGGCGGCTTCTTTGTTCAGTCTAGGGAAGCCGGCGTCCGGTACCGGAACTACTGAACAAGCCAAACCTACATCTGGTCTCTTTGGTAATACTGCCTCTACTCCAGCAGCAGGAACTGCAAACGCCACGCCAGCCACTGGAACAACAGCTTCTGCAACTCCGGCCTCAACCGCTACCACAACGGCAGCCCCAGCAAACTCTCTATTCGGCGCCGCGCCAAAAGCTGCTACATCTGATAATACGGCACCACAAGCCACAGCAGGAGTCGGTAGCACATTGGGAGCATCGACCGCCGGTCCCACCTCATCTATGGCGCGGTTAAAGAACAAGACAATGGACGAGATCATTACTCGCTGGGCTACTGACCTCTCAAAATACCAGAAAGAGTTCAAAGAGCAAGCAGCTCAAGTGGCCCAGTGGGATCGCCTTTTGGTTGAGAATGGGGAGAGGATCCAAAAACTCTACTTAGAGACGTTTGAGGCCGAAAAAGGTAGTCGTGAGATTGAACGACAACTCGTCGGCATCGAGAGTCAGCAAGAAGAGCTCGAGTCTTGGCTCGATAGGTATGAGGGTGAGGTGGACTCGATATTTGCTAAACAGGTTGGACATGGAGATCAGCTTGCGGGACCCGATCAGGAGCGCGAGAAAACATACAAGCTAGCCGAGAAGATTACCGAAAAATTGGATGATATGGGTCGTGACTTAACCAAGATGATCAAAGAGATTAACGACATTTCCGGCACATTGAGCAAGGGCAACAAGCCGGATGACCCGGTAAGTGTTACGCGTAAACCACATAAAAAATTTCTGTATTGGCTAACCCTCCTTTTTTTTTTTCTATAGCTGAGCCAGATCGTCCGAGTCCTCAACAGTCACCTTGCTCAACTTCAGTGGATAGACACCAATGCTGCTGCGCTTCAGGCCAAGGTCGCAGCCGCACAAAAGGAGCGCAGCACAATCGGCAACCATTACGGCGGCCCAGAACAAGATAATGTGGACAGCTTCTATAGGTCCTATATGGGACGTCGATAAGCTTAAGGTTTCTTTAATAATCACTAGACTACCGAGGAGGAATTTGAGAAATTCTTGTTAGGGGAAGTTTGGTGTAGGAGTTTAGGGAACCATGCACGAAAATTCGAGAATTCGTAGATGATGACATGCACTAGGATAGGGGAGGCCTTCACTTCAATCGAGCAGGTATGCCGTGATAAGAGACGAGAGTTAATTCTCAAGATAGCAACGAGAGCACACTGCACATATGTGCAACGGCTGTATTTATGTACACTAGGACATGGCAAACGCGATGGCTGAAGAACAAATCTGGTTTCTTGAACTGTTTCTAGTGACACCATAAAGACTCACGCGTAGATGCTAGACATCATAGTGAGCGGAGCTTCGGCATTCCTTCTCTTACGTGTTGATACTAATACATTTAGTTGTGTTCGCCACCTTGGTCCTTGGTCAACTCGTCGCTATAGCGGAGGTATATCTATTAGTACATGTTGCAGATATTACGAATCTCGCAGGAGAAAATGTTCTAGGTAAGCAAGATAGACCTACATGTGATCGGACAGCTTCTGGAGGTGGTCCTGCTGCTCGCGGAGCTTCTTGCGCAGCTCGAGAAGCTTCTCCTTCTCGCGCTGGCGGATCGAGTAATCCTCGTTGGCCTTTTCGCGCTTCTGGAAAGCGTCACTGTTATAGGTTTCTTTGTTAGTCTTGTTCTTTACTACTTTCTCTAGTTTATCCCCTATGATCCTCGACTTCCGGGTGGATTCTCTATGCTCTAGTGAGCTAGGAGATACCGGCATCTCGGAACACCATTCCAGCTTTCTGGAACTGGATGGCGGGGTAGGTATTGGATATTTCGGAATAGACATGCGACGTACCCTTGGCCACCTAAGCTGCCTAGCTTATTCGGCGCACCGGTGTCGCCTGCTGACATGGCGCGGATGGTCGTCGAGAATGCGCGGCGGGAGAGGCCTCGAGACGGGATCTTGATCAGAGTCTGGCGGTACATGTTTGGCTTTTAGTTTTTGAGGATCTCAGAGAGTCGCTCGCTGAATTGGGAGAAAACGTTTAGTATTTGAATTGCTGGCTTACAAGCAAGTCACGGGATGATATGGATTGGAAAAGCTAGTACCTGTCTAATTGGTTTGTTGTTGTATGTGGTGTGATTGATGATTGATGAGGCACTTCCAAAAATTGGAGGTTCAATTCGATTGGAGCTTAGCCTCTTCTTACCTATGAAGTCAATGGCAGGTAAAAAGCTAAAGGTTCCCCAACCCCGGCGGAAGAAGACGGGGCGCACGGACGCAAACGGAGCGGAACTCTCCTAAGACCGTTTCTCTGCCTCAATGCCTAGGGTACAACGTCTATGCCTGCTCAGGCCATACATAGCATCATTAGTGACCACTGATCACGCAAAAGTCCAGCGGACCGGAATAGTTTAATTCTTTGCCCTCCACCACGCCATCTGTTTAAGGTCATCTGATATAACAAAAATTCTGTAGCCTACCTACGAGATATTGTAGATTTGCCGCGTATCATTATTCAAAGAGGCATGAAAGCCTATGGGAATTCTTCCCTATTTATATTAGCCTCGTATTGTGTTGATGATTTACAAATTTCACTCCTTAGAGATCTTACGAGAATAATACGTATGTAGTTTCGACTACTATGCGTATTAACAACCATGGCAATACATATTTTATATTTTCATTGAGGCTGAGCATGTCGTATTGCATGAAAATAATATACGCATAATTGATCATAGACAAGTTTTGTTATGCTGCCAACATCTAAATTTGGTATGATAACTCTCAGCTATGTACACCTCCGCCAGGATGGTAACCGTTAGGGGCTCCACCCCGGCCCATCTGAGTCCCGCAGGTAACTTACAGGGCAATTTATATGAAGAAAATACGTAGTGGCCTATATGAGTGGCTTGTGCGAGGCCTGACATCTTCATATTTCGAGATCAACAAAATATTAAAAAGTAGAAGCTAGGGGATTTCCCATATAAAATCCCCTGGCCGCTACTTGTGGATTATGTATGGGGCAGTGGAACCCCTAACGCTTACCATCCTGGTGGAGGTGTATGCCAGACGCGAGAAAAGAATGGGGCTAAGTATCGTGAGGCTCTGGTCTGGCATGATATCTTCCAAGAATCAAAGGAGCATAAATGTTTTCACCGGGAAGCGGTTCCTGGCCCCGCAAGGGAAGATACTTGGCAATGCATGGGTTTCATCACCCCTCTAAGAAGAAATCAAGTCGGTGACGTTTTTAACAAACCGACCCTTTTTCCTTTCCCTACTCTTGATTTCCAGGTCAACTTCGCATTGACGATAGTAGAAATGGATTAGACAAATGAGAAGCCAAGTTCCTGTGGTGGCTGGCGCGGGTGTGGCCCCGAATCAGAAAGCAAGATGCAGCACTGTGCATATGTATGAGCTATTTGGGCTGCATATGTTGACGTAGGCTGAAATTCTTTCCCCCCTTATCGCCCAGTAGCGGCCATGGTAATTCGGACAAAGAATGTAATGGCTCGTGCTTCGAGTAGCCTCGAATTACCTAGGTCTCATCTCCCAAGGGTAATTGGCTATGTATTAACTCGAGTGTAGACCCTTTCTCGGTGACTAGTTACCTTGTATTGAGACATTGAACAAGATTAATGAAGGGCCACTTGAACAAATACCCTTTCTATTGCGAGTGTCATTGGATAGAGGGGTACGATAAAGAGTACGATAAAAGGGAAGAATATATGAGCAAAATAAAAATTGGATAACCTCATAAATATTTGCCTTAGGTCATCCTATATCATTTAAGGCTTGACAGCTTGTTGGGTGTCTATAAAGAATGCCTCATGTACTGGTACAAGCACGAGACAAAAATTGATTGTTTCTTGAAGTACGTGGGGTACGAGTTCAAGTATTTGATAGTATTAAAACTGACGTAGGAGACGTGGGTAGGGAGGGAAAGGAATTAAACAGGGACATCTGAACCTTTCATGAATGACATATAATAGGTGGTAACCTTAGGTAAGTACATCGGACATATATAGAAGGCACATGACAGCCACGTGAGGCATAACTTCTTTAAAGCACAAAGGCGTAAAAAAATTGGAAGGTGAAATCAAAATGGAGGAGTCAGTCAGGAGTGCCTTACCAACTTTCTACGCCTCAATACTATCAGGCTTGTGTATACCTACCAAGGTATGCAGTTGTATGCGCAGTTCAATGTATGCAATGTCATGTCCACAGCATAATATTTGAATATAGTTTATGTATTCTGTACCCAAATATGTTAGGTACATACTTCCATATGATAATGATGTTAGTCATTAAAGGACGAAAGGACGAAGGTACCAAAATGTTTAGATTTGAGGATGACCCCCTTTCAAGCCTTGTTCTATTGTCAAATGATCCGCTGCCCGCTGCCCGCTGCCCGTTGCCAAGTTTATAGGCTTATGGGCTTCTACTGGTTCAGGTCCAGTTAGGCTCTACATAGACGGAACCGGTGCTAGCAATTGTAAATTAGTGGAGGCATCAATTGTACAGCCCTGGGGCAGAAGAGGGAAGAAGAGGTACTTTAGATTAGGTACCTTTAGTAGGTACAGTACATGTGCGTCTAAGGATTTTAGAATGTACTTGAGGTTACTATTACCTCTTTCCCCCCTCCCCACGCGCGCACTGGGCACACCCGCCTCTGAGCCCATCACCCTCTTTCTTCCCCTTCACCTCAGGCTCCCTCTGTCTACCAACAAAACCAAACTGCAGCACATCCGCCGACACAAAAACTCTCCCAAAACTTTTTACATCCCATAAAACCTCCCAAATCCAACAACCACCAAATTTATTCTATCCTCCGTCTTCGCACTTTCTCTATAGTGCATCTTTCACTACAGGTCGTTCCTTGACAACTAAATCTCGAAATAATAAAACAGAAAGGTACGTTTAACCCTTATCCATCCATCTCCTCTCCTTTTAAAAAAAAAATCCCCTTTCTTTGCACTTGCGGTCATGTTCCTTGGCCTACCCTGAGTCCCGCCTTGTACTTTCGTCATCGCCCACATCACGACCGCCTCCTTCTTGTCGGCCGTACATACAACAGCAAATTTATCAACTACCTAATACGACCTGTTCCCTAAATCAATTGATTATTGCGACAACATACACGCCTGTCCGTCTACCTTTACCTTACGCGTTTTCCATTCGCATCCACTGGCGCAAACCCCACTGACTGCGGGGGGTTCATCTTTGCTTCACCGTCACAACCTTCGAGCCTCTTGATATCCACGGCAAGGTAGCGCGTTCCTCTGGTTTGGGCTGTAAACACTTCCAGTATTGTCCTGGCAACTGTTTACAAAATCCTAGATCAATAATTGTTGCCTGTTGCCGTGCAAACCTGCGTGTCTTTTTTTCCCCTCTTCCTATTATTTAACATCTATACTGCATACACTTTTCCCATCACAACCAAAAACAAACACGTTATCCAACCGAAACCAGAGCTGACTTTAATACATTAATCTAGTTTTCTCATCTCACCGAGTCTCACACCGTCAAGATGGGTCACGAAGATGCTGTGTATCTTGCCAAGCTGGCCGAGCAGGCTGAGCGCTATGAGGGTATGTGATGATGATATGGTTATGGTTGCTGGACCCCGCAGAGTAGCAATACTAACTTTCATTGTTATCAGAGATGGTCGAGAACATGAAGATCGTCGCTTCTGAGGATCGTGATCTTACCGTCGAGGAGCGCAACCTTCTCTCCGTCGCCTACAAGAACGTGATCGGTGCCCGACGTGCCTCGTGGAGAATTGTCACCTCCATCGAGCAGAAGGAAGAGTCCAAGGGCAACTCCTCCCAGGTCGGTCTTATCAAGGAGTACCGACAGAAGATCGAGGCAGAACTTGCCAAGATCTGCGATGACATCCTCGATGTTTTGGACAAGCACCTCATCCCCTCTGCTAAATCTGGCGAGTCTAAGGTGTTCTACCACAAGATGTACGTTTTCTTCGGTGCCAGCACCTATTTTAAAACCAGAGATTTCTGACCAACCAAAACAGGAAGGGCGACTACCACCGTTATCTTGCTGAATTCGCCGTTGGTGACCGACGAAAGGAGTCGGCTGACAAGTCGCTTGAGGCGTACAAGGCTGCTACCGAGGTTGCCCAGACCGAGCTGCCCCCCACACACCCCATCCGTCTTGGTCTCGCCCTGAACTTCTCCGTCTTCTACTACGAGATCCTGAACGCTCCCGATCAGGCTTGCCACCTCGCGAAGCAGGCTTTCGACGATGCGATTGCCGGTAAGTACCAGGCGTACGAGCTAAAAGTAATTTGAAGCTGATTTAAATCTATAGAACTTGACACTCTGAGCGAGGAGAGCTACAAGGACTCAACTCTCATCATGCAACTCCTCCGAGACAACCTGGTATGTATTTATAGTTATCGAGTATTAGTTGAATATGCTAACGTAAAATTAGACCCTCTGGACGTCTTCTGAGGCTGAGCCTCCTGCGGAGTCGGCCGCAGCCCCCGCCCAGGAACCGGAGAAGGCCACCGAGACCCCGGTTGAGGAGCCCAAGGCTGCCGAGTAAGAAAAAAAGAAAAGCCCACGTCCCTTATTAGTCTCTAGATTTTAAAGGGGTCGATTGAAGTTGGGTGGACTCTGGTGTCTATGGAGTGTTTGCTTGAGAATTCTCTTGCTTGAGATTCTGCATTGATTTGATTTTTTCCCCCTTCACGTGGCAAATGCACAGAGCAAAGACTTGGACGGTTCTCTTTTTCCCGCAGGCAAAAGGGCTAAAGAGCTTTTGGGAGGTCTTTCGCAGAATGCTTGCCCTTTAGACTCTAATGCAAATTCGTCTGAATAAACCCCATACTTTCTACTTGCACAGGCAATATTAATGTTATGAATTCTTCATGAGCAATGGACTTTCGTAGGATCTTTGCAGGATGAAATTAAAACTTAGGCAGTAATAGTATCCTCTTAGGCTCGAATGGCCAGTATATGCTAAAATTGCTGATACAAAAAGACCAAGACATACAGTTGTGCATTTGCATTTACATTTACTTGACGACTAATCCACGAATATTTCATCTTTACTCCTAGGAGTAGTAAGCCTTTCATTGCATAAATAATATCTTACGCTATTAATTATACTATCTACTAGCTCGTAAATCATTCACATTATATCATACCTAAGTAGCCCCTTGAAGTTTCAGCCAGCATAGGCCAATGTACCTAACCAACCCCTCCTATCCAGTACTCCCAATGTGCTCTTCGTAAATACATGAATATGGTAAATCACCTTTCTATCGACTTGGATGTAGACGTCCAGGCCACGTGATATACTTTATCTGTTGGGGTAGAAGCGAAAAGCGAGCCTATCGGATTGAGTTGTGACGACATCTACAACGAATCCATGTCTCATGATAGATACTATATCCCGATGTCTCTCTTGGCAGGCTGCTACCTCCGCGAGCCGCTCGTGCCAGTCCCCGCCGTCGCGGACCCCGACAAAGAGATGCCCCAGTTGAAACTCCAGTTAAACGTGTAGTTCCTACCGGTGCCGCTGCCCCGTCTCTCCCCTGCTGATGTCACGGCGTCTGTACCCCTTCCCATCGTTAGTGTAACGGCCGCTTCGCGAACTGTGGTATTAGCGTTTCTTGCGGGACTGGTGGTGGCGGCGGCGGTAGTGGTAGTAGTAACTATAACATCACCACCACCATCCCCCCCGTCATCGTCTTCGTCATCCTCGGCTGCGGCGAATAAAACCCGGATCCAGAGACTGCAGTCGAGACACTCGACCATCAACACGCCGTCGTCTTCGAACTCCTCCAGGTTGTCCTCGGTAAATGCGTATCCGCGCGCGTTGCCGCACCGGCAGCTGCGGTAGTACACCCCCGTGCGCTCGTCGAACGCTAGGTCATCTAGATCGACCGTCTCGACGCCCGTCTGGAACGACGAAGACGCAGACTGCGAGTGCCGCTGGGACGGCGCCGTGCGCAGAGCTCGGTCGTAGTCTGTGCGCTGCTTGCGGTCTGAGAGGACTGCGTAGGCGTACTGGATCTGGTCTACGGTGTAGGTGATGCGCGGTTGTGACGTCTGTTTAGGACCGGGCTTTGATGAAGTAGAAGTAGAATGTGTTGGGGTGGATGTCCTGCTGCCCTGGGGAGTATTGCCACTGGCAGATTTGTCCGGGTGGTGTTTTAGCAAGGCGCGGTGATATGCTTGCTTTACGATCTTCTGCTGCTGAGCTATGCCGGCTTGACCCTCTAGGTGCTTGGGGGTTAGCGACAGGATATCGTAGAGCGTGGGCTCGGCTGATGTATTGGATATAGGAGGGGCCATGGCGGCGGAATTGGATTCACACGATTTATTTTATTTTCTCTTTTTTGAGGCGGATTAATAGTCAACTGTGGCGGGTTAGTCTATTTACCGCGCCCGTAAATTGCGAGTGTGAGGTTCTCATATCAAAAGGTAAGTTCTATTGTTGTAAGTGGCTTATACGAACCAGGATGGGATAACTTCGTTGGAAACCGGTTTTGAAGGAAAAAGTTCAATGGCGCACGTGGTCACGTGAGGCTTAGTCGAAGTTTGCTGGTGAGCTATAGAACGACGGAAATATGAGGCCAGGATTTAAATAGACAATTTAACGAGGATAATAGAAGGAAGAGTGGAAGAGAAGAAACTAATGTCTTCTTGAGAATATGTTACTTACCGTTGTCAAGTCGGCTACATTGTGATACCTTCTGATATTAGCACCAAATAGGAAAACTAGCCTATGGCACGGCAGTAATGATAACTCCTGGATTTCTTGAAATATTTCTCCAATTCTCTTGAATAGAGTAATACATAAATTTTGTACATTTTTTCTTGCCGGCATCGTAAAGTCATGACATAATTGTTCATCGTGGATATTTGGTCCACCTGTTTTTCCCGATCTATCATTTCTTGTTAGCAACACATACAAGTAGATAGGAATAAATGACTTACCTTCCGCCATTCTCTGACAAGTCTCGGCATGCCCAACATAGCCGTTCTTCTCTTCTCCATCCTATACCTCTTGTTAGTATGAAAATCTTATTTAGGAAATGTCCCCCGAGGAGCAAAAAATATGCTGGCCAGGGGAAATTGTATAGCGGTGACGTACTTGGCAGCCAGCATTCTTTCGTGCAAGTGACCCTTGACAGATTGTCCAACACCAGTACCACGAACCCTCAAACCGTGCGCAACTCTGTGCCGTATACGCTCCTCTGTGCCCTTAGATGTGAACGGTAACAACTCCTCTACTCCCTGTTCCCTCGCCAATTTTACGAGTTCAGCTTGCCGCCTCAGGGAGAATTCCGGATCATGCCATTTCCCAGTTACCGGGTGTTTATGTGGCAGGAAAGGGTTCGGCGTAGCACCGTCCTTGATTGTATTCGTCCTCGTCGAAACCGGGAGGATCTGGTTCGGGGGGTATTTGGCGAAGAAACGCTGTAGCCGCGGGTGCAGCTGCTTGGCGAGCTCGATATATCTCGTATTTAACGCCATACCCCCAAATCGCAATTAAGATGCTTCTCCTTTTTTTGCGATTGAGAATTTGGTAGTTGGGAAGACGTCTTGCTGGTAACGTGAGAGAAGTCGCAAAATCGTATGTAGAGCTCCCAAATTTTGGTTGCGAATGGTCAAAATGACAAGGTTCTTCTATCTTAATTAAATCTCTGATTGGCTCCTGTTGTTAGCGTCTTGGATTAGGTAGTATGTACTTTGCTACACGTACCCCCGACACGCCGATGTCAGTGTTTCTATCTCTTTGCCTTCAACTCAGAAATCTAGAAACAAACAGAAACAAAAGCAACTTGCGCGCTGCATTATCTTAATTTGAGCACAGCTAGTCAACTTAATCCTCGAAGGAGATAAAATACTTTAATTCCTATTATCCTTCATCATCCAAATCAATATCGAGATTTATCAGCTAGTTACCTGTTCCAAACGTTGAAAGCAATTACAAAGCCTCGGAAGGTCGTTACAAAGACCTATCGTTCTACGTTAAGGCCTTGCGACCATGGGTATGCAGCCGCGAGCCGGGTCGCTAGCTGACACCAACGGAACCAATGGAACAAACGGCGAAACGAACAGGCGGAAAGCACCTTTAGATATCGAAGAGATCTTGCGCAAGAAGAAAGAAGCAAACGAAGCCGCCGCGAAACCAAGATTTATCCCTAAAGCTGAGCGTGAGCGCCTAGCAGCAGAGAAACAAAAAGAAGATGAGGAGAAGCGAAGGCGGAAAGCGGAAGAAGAAGCACGAAATAAGCCTACTGGTAGATCTACAACCACGTCGGGACTCGATGGACGGCATCCGGATCGTCGCGACAGAGATCATGCACCAGCTGTTCCAACGGGGCCTAGGGCCATGCGCCAAACTGGGCATGATAGACGTGATACCAACGACAACGAAAATGGAGATGCACGAGGGAAATCAAAGGGTAAGAAGGGGTTGGCCGGGGAGAAACGAGCGGCACCAGAAGAGACAGAAGCCGCCTCAATACGAGCGCGATATATGGGCCCAGAAATGAATCAGTCTACTTTCTCAGCTAAAAAGAAGAGAAGGAGAACAACAGAAAAGAAATTCAATTTCGAATGGGATGCGGAGGAAGACACAACACAGGATCATAATCCCATCTATTCAGAGAGGGCTGAGCCCACCTTCTTCGGAAGAGGAAGGCTGGCCGGGTTTGGTGACGACATGACAGAAGAGAACGCCAAGAAGTATGCCATGTCTCTGATCGAACGTGATCCTGAAAACGGGGCGCAACGAGCACAAGAGCTACTAGAGATGATGCGAAAGGCGAAGGAGAGGGCTAACCGCAACGGCCTAGGGAAGCATTGGTCAGAGAAGAAGCTAGAGGACATGCGCGAACGAGATTGGCGTATATTTAAAGAAGATTTTGGTATTGCAACCAAGGGTGGACTCATTCCAAATCCAATGCGAAACTGGCATGAATCGGGTTTACCTCGTCGTCTGTTAGACATCATCAGCAAAGTTGGGTACGACGAGCCGACTCCGGTCCAGCGTGCCGCAATACCAATTGCTTTACAGGCAAGAGATCTAATCGGTGTAGCTGTCACTGGTTCAGGAAAGACAGCTGCTTTCTTACTACCTCTACTAGTATACATCTCGGAATTACCGCCATTAAATGAAATCACCAAGAATGATGGTCCGTACTCATTAATTATAGCCCCAACTCGAGAGTTGGTTCAGCAGATCGAGTCAGAGGCCAAGAAATTCGCTATCCCACTAGGGTTTACTGTTGTTAGTCTTGTCGGTGGGCATTCACTTGAAGAACAAGCGTTTGCCTTGAGGAACGGTGCTGAAATTATCGTCGCCACACCTGGTCGTCTAGTCGACTGTATCGAACGACGCCTGCTGGTACTGTCCCAATGTTGTTACATCATCATGGATGAGGCCGATCGTATGATTGATATGGGTTTTGAAGAACCAGTCAACAAGATCTTAGACGCGCTCCCCGTCACCAACGAAAAGCCGGACACTGACGCCGCCGAAAATCCGCAACTAATGAGCCGACATCTTGGCGGTAAAGATCGATATCGACAGACAATGATGTACACAGCCACCATGCCGTCAGCTGTCGAGAAGATCGCGAAGAAATATCTACGCCGACCTGCTACGGTAACGATAGGTAATGTAGGAGAAGCCGTAGATACGGTCGAGCAACGGGTCGAATTCGTCCCTGGAGAGGACCGTCGCAAGAAGCGATTACAGGAGATTCTATCATCGAACGAATTTGCACCGCCTATTATCGTATTCGTCAATATCAAACGCAACTGCGACGCCGTCGCTCGGGAGATCAAACATATGGGCTTTTCAGCTGTCACGCTCCACGGCAGCAAGACCCAGGAACAGCGAGAACAGGCTCTCGCTTCAGTACGCGGCGGCACGACGGACGTCTTGGTCGCGACAGATCTTGCTGGTCGTGGTATCGATGTTCCAGATGTATCACTCGTCGTCAACTTCAACATGGCCTTGAGTATCGAAGGCTACACGCATCGTATCGGTCGTACGGGTCGTGCTGGCAAGAGCGGTGTTGCTATTACATTCTTGGGCAACGAAGATGCGGACGTCATGTATGACCTGCGGCAAATGCTTTCAAAAAGCTCCATATCTAGGGTACCGGAGGAGCTGCGCCGGCACGAGGCTGCACAGCAGAAACCAAATAAGGGGCCCAAGAAGCTTGAGGAGAAGGGCTTTGGTGGGAAAGGGGGCGGATGGGACTAGAGTTAGTCCATGCTTAGGTACCTACTGTATTTATGTAACCTATCACGAGGATAATATTATGGCTACGGTCGTTACTACCTCACAACGGTTGTGCTTAAATGTGTGCCACCTATTTGACTGGTTTAATCTTTACAGAAGGACTTATCAGATCCCTTAAGATTACTTAGATATCTGCGTAGAGTAATTCGAATACTTGCACAAGGGACTAACAAGTTGCTAGTGGTTTTAAGAATAAGCTTGCGTGAATATAGTATGCCGTTATATTGTTATTAACTGGGTAGGTATTATGAAGCCAAGGCCCTGGAGTGTTTATAAATGGTATATCTTGAAAATGAATTACTTAGTGTATACAGGAGATACTAAAGGAGTTTAAGGGGTATATACAGATAAGAGACATCGTGTTGTCAAAGATGCCTAGCTTACATGGCTTGTTCTAGGCTTTATATAGGTATGCATTACTGTACAATATTGAGTACCTAAGTTAATTAGACGACTTTTGTTATAGCTTTTAATACAAGATAAGGAAATAGAAAAAAGACAAATCCAGAAACAGAGAAGAAAAGAGTTGGCGTTTGCAATATAGTGTTCTTATCTTTCTATCTAGGTAAGTATACTCTCGAGTTATATTCTCGAGTGACAGGTCGCACGATAGTTGTCATCTCAAATTGCGAACTTGAACCGAGTATCAATAGGTAGCACCGAATGGATGGGTTTCTAGTTGAACTCAGTTTCAGTTGTATGGGGATCTACATTTCCTATGTTCTAGAATCACCAATTAAGATGCGACCCTGCATGAGATTTTGTTTCCAAAAGTCGCAGTCTCGGGGGAAACGGCCGGCTGCAGCGCTACTGATACCAACCAGTTACCTATTAATTACCAGAGTAGGTAAGTACTCGCTCTGTCGGTATCCAACCCCTGCAACATCCCGCTACACCGCCTACCCTACGTGGCGTTATTTTTACACTTTCAACTTTTTTTCTTTTCTTCCTTTTTCCCTCTGCCGCACCAAAATATCCTTGTCTTCTATAATTTTTAATCAGGTACCTTGAGGGCTGATTATCTAAAAAAGGGCTTAATTCGTTAACCTAGGTACTTAGCACATACACAGAAGTTTTGATCTATTATTTGTCTAAGTTGTCTGTCTGGTTATTTAATAATGCACGAATAGGGAATCTCCCTAACTGCCCCTCACTACGAAGAAATAAAGAACTGAAATTGTACTTGTACATACCTAACTTACATATTTGTATGTACATACTTCTATGAGTACCCCTCCATTGTAGTACCTAACCGCATGTAAATTTCCCGGAGTTACTACTAGACGATCTACTAATTTGTATTATATTTGACAATTGCATTATATGACAATTGTATTATATCACCCTCTTTCCCCTTCCCCTTCCCCTTCCTTACACATATGTCTTTACGCGCCGTTAGTCGTGTCGACTTCGTTCCTCGAGTCTCAACAGCCACACGACTTCGATTAAGACCACGTACTTTACCACGTACTCTTCATCCAACCGCATCACAGTGGAGACAAAATCACATCTCGTGCACTCCTGCCTTATCCTCTCCACCTTCCTACCGGTATTTCTAACCTAATTGACCGCTCTTCTAAGCCAATTAGACTTTCAGACTAATGCGGAAGCTAGGCTTAGTCCACGTCTTGGGAATCACTCCTCACTCATTTCTGTCTCAAGAACATCTCCTTTCGAGAAGTCTAGAAACACCACTCTCTCGACACCCCTTGTTCGACATTGCTCATACCGGAGACAAAATATGTGTAAGCTTGCTGGAGACATTGACCATACCGGAGGGGCTACCCCGGACCCCACCCAGGGCCGTGAGCTCCTCCCGACCAACGTCATCCCGAGACATTACGATGTCACCTTAGAGCCCAACTTCGAAAAGTTTACCTTCGACGGCAAGGTGCTTATCGACTTCGACGTCCAAGAAGATTCTAAGTCTATCTCTCTCCACAGCCTTCAGATCGATATCCACAGCGCCAACATCAAATCCGGAAACAGCATTATTAGGTCAGCTTATATCTTTCCAGTTATGTTAATAAGTACTACCATTCTAACATGTCCGAGTAGCTCATCTTCGGCAATCACGTACGATGAATCCAAGCAGATCACCAGCATCGAGCTCAAAGATGCCATCCCGAAGGGCAAGGCCCAGTTGGAAATCAAGTACTCTGGTCAACTTAATGACCAGATGGCCGGTTTCTATCGCTCTACCTACAAGAAGCCAGATGGCTCCGAAGGTGTCCTCGCTACCACGCAGATGGAAGCGAACGACTGCCGCCGGGCTTTCCCGTGCTTCGACGAGCCCATGCACAAAGCCAAATTTACTGTCACCCTCATTGCGGATAAGCACTTGACATGCCTCAGCAATATGGACGTTGCGTCTGAATCAGAAGTGCAATCGGAATTCAGCGGATCTACAAAGAAGGCCGTCAAGTTTAACACGACTCCTCTTATGTCGACTTACCTAGTCGCCTTCATCGTAGGCGAATTAAGTTACATCGAGACCAACAAATTCCGTGTCCCAGTTCGAGTGTACGCCCCGGCTAGTTCAGATATTGAACACGGCCGCTTCTCGCTCGAGCTCGCAGCGCGGACTTTAGAGTACTACGAGAAAATATTCGGAGCCGAATTCCCGTTGCCCAAAATGGACATGGTTGCTATCCCCGATTTCGCGGCGGGCGCTATGGAAAATTGGGGTTTGATCACCTACCGTGTTGTCGACCTTATGCTGGATGAGAAGGCCAGCGGTGCGGCAATGAAAGAACGTGTCGCCGAGGTCGTCCAGCATGAGCTAGCACATCAATGGTTCGGCAACTTGGTAACTATGGACTGGTGGGAAGGTCTATGGCTGAACGAAGGGTTTGCGACTCTGATGAGTTGGCTAAGTGAGTTTCCTGTGACATTCAAGTTAATATGAATGATTGGCTGACAATAACAATCCACTTAGGCTGCAACTACTTTTACCCAGAATGGAAGGTCTGGGAAAACTACGTTACTGACAATCTCCAGAGTGCCTTGGGACTGGACTCGTTGAGGAGCAGCCATCCTATCGAGGTGCCGGTAAAGCGCGCTAGTGAGGTTGACCAGATTTTCGATGCTATCTCATATTCCAAAGGTTCATGTGTTCTTCGTATGATCTCTACATATCTTGGCGAGGAGACTTTCCTAGAGGGTGTCAGGAGATACATTAAGAAGCATGCCTACGGTAACACACAGACAAATGATTTGTGGGCGGCCCTTGAGGATGCCAGCGGCAAACCGGTTCGGGAGATTATGTCTATCTGGACTAAGAATGTGGGCTATCCCGTAGTCCAGGTTACGGAAAACGAGAAGGACAGTTCTATCCGTGTCAAGCAGAATCGATTCCTAAGAACCGGCGACACTAAACCTGAAGAGGATAAAGTGTTATATCCGGTTTTCTTGGGCCTCCGAACGAAGGATGGTGTAGACGACTCATTAACGTTGACGAAGAGGGAAGATGTGTTCAAGGTTAAGAACTTGGACTTCTTCAAGCTGAACGCAAACCATACTAGCATCTACCGTACGTCCTACACACCGGAACGCCTCACAAAACTGGGCCAATCTGCCAAGGATGGGCTGTTAACAGTTGAGGATCGTGCTGGTATGATCGCCGACGCTGGTGCTCTCGCCGTGTCAGGCTATCAGAAGACTTCTGGTGTTTTGAACCTACTAAAAGGGTTTGATACAGAGCAATCGTTCGTGGTATGGAGTGAAATTATTGCCAGGGTTGCAACCGTCCAATCTGCGTGGGTCTTCGAGGACTCGGCCGTTAAGGATGGCCTCGAAGCCTTTGTTAAAGAACTTGTTAGTGAGAGAGCTCATAAATTAGGATGGACCTTCTCAGACAAGGATGGCCACGTTGAGCAGCAGTTTAAAGCTATGCTGTTCGGCGCAGCTGGAATGGCTGGTGACCAAAAGATCATCGACGCGTCTAAGGAGATGTTCAAGAAATACATGGACGGCGACAAGTCAGCTATCCACCCGAATATCCGAGGAAGCGTTTTCAGCATGGCTCTTAAGTATGGTGGAAAGGAGCAGGTAAGTTTTACATATCGAATATTCACCTGGGAATTACTAATTTATATTTTAGTACGATGCGCTTGTCGACTTCTTCCGCAAGTCCAGTAACAGTGATGAACGTAACACAGCCCTGCGATGCATTGGTCGGGCAAAGGACCCGGCTCTAATCAAGCAGACATTAGACTTCGTCCTCAGCGGCGAAATCAAGAGCCAGGATCTATACCTTCCAGCAAGTGGACTTCGCAGCCATGCTGAGGGTATCGAGGCGCTCTTTAGCTGGCTGACTGAGAAATGGCCAGAAATATCTAAGCGACTTAGCGGAAACGCGCCTATCCTAGGTTCGATGGTTACCATCTGTACATCTAGCTTTGCAAAGGCGGATCAACTCCAGAAAGTGGAGGAGTTCTTCAAGGACATTGACACTAAGAGCTTTGCCCAGCCCCTTGCTCAAAGCAAGGATGCCATTCGCAGCAAGATTGCATGGCTAGAGCGTGACCGTGACGACGTCGCGAAATGGGTTAAGGAAAATGGATACAGTTCGTGAGCGATGAATCGACACGATATTCCCGTAGGGGTTTAGAGGGTATTTGCTAGGGATGTGTTTAGAGGAGAAGCACGAGAGATACCCGTAGAAAAGGATAGAAAAGCAATCGCCAATCATAAGAAGTAAAAAAAGCATTATATTTATTCCTCTTTTCTCCCTCGTAAGTTGATGTGTAGACTTGCTTATTCGTCTATATATAGTATGTATAAAGGGCTTTGATATATTTAGGGATATAAGTGTCTGGTAAGTAACATGTGAAACTTCGGTTGTTTCCGTATATTAGGTGCGTATTGATAACCTCTCTCCTATTTGTTATAAACAAGTATTACCCTCGTCTTTTTATTAAGGCTACTGACATTGAATATAGCTTTAGTATAGAATCAGAAGAGGGTTGTCTAGAGTTGTTACATAATAATAACTTTTGATCAGTGCTATAATTGTCAATAGTATACCTTACCTAAGGTATTTGACATAAAGTATTGATTAATCTAAATCTTGCCCCTCTTCTCAACAGAGCTTGCGAGACAGGCGAGACAACCAAAATAGGGGCAAAACTAGAGCAAGTTGTAAAGCCCTTACCCTTGTAAAGAGGTAGCCAAGTAGGTTAGAGCCATCTAAGCTCTTACTGCAGGTGTTCTGTACGTTGTGTCGGGCCGGTAAGGGGACCAATAGACTAGCCAACAATTTTAGTTTTTACAATCTCAATTTCTACACCATAATAGGTAACCACGGAGTAATTTGAGGTACTTTCTATCTTTCTATGGGGGTACATCTGTAGCCAAGTAAGCTTGGCAGGTAAGATATGTATCTATGGTGCAGTTTCTGCAGTTTCTGTGCAGTTATTGTGGCACACAGTTAGAACAGTAGCCCCTCCTTCCTCCGATGTCATCCTAGTTACATAGTAAGGTCCGTCGCCGGACCCCGCCAATTGTTAAGTCCAATTGTAAGTCGTGCCATTCCGTTTGTTCACTCACGTTGTCCGCCCAGCCCACGCTGCAGCAGCCCACTTACATCAAACGGAGGCGTTACTAGAGGTACCTAACCAACCTACCTTTAAACATTTCTTACCTTATTATTGAAACTTAACTTTTTTTTTCTTTTCCCTTCTACTACTTCTTCTTCAATTCAACTTGTTACACCAAGTCCTACCTTATACCCTTTGAAAATAGTAAGTTTACAAAGCTTCATTCTCCCAGCCTGTTATAAATTTGCTCACAAGTCAATGCCAATGCCAATATCCCAATTTCTTTTATTGATGACATCTTGAGCTACCCCGCCATCCCACCATCCTCTCCCCTCCACTTCTGACGACCCCTACACTTTTCTTCTATCAATACTCAACTCTTGAGGCATATATCTACTTTTTTCAGATTGAGTCACTTATCAAGGTTCTTACTGAGCGAATTTCCTGTCAACGTATTCTTTTTTATTAATTACTTAGACCCTCGCTGTAATTTTTCCCAAGCTTTTTTCCAGCTTCAACCCTTTATAGCTAACCCAACGGTTTTCTCTAGTTCCCAACCTATATTCGGACATCAAGATGGCTATCAAGAAGATCCATGCCCGCTCGGTCTACGACTCTCGAGGCAACCCTACCGTAGAGGTGGACGTTGTTACCGAGACTGGTCTTCACCGCGCTATCGTTCCTTCTGGAGCTTCCACCGGTTCGTGCCATTATAACGAATTCTCTGAAGATATCTTACGAACTAACACGGTATAATAGGTCAGCACGAAGCCTGCGAGCTCCGTGATGGTGACAAGAGCAAGTGGGGCGGCAAGGGTGTTACCAAGGCCGTCGAGAACGTCAACAGCATTATCGCCCCCGCTGTCATCAAGGAGGGTCTTGATGTGAAGGACCAAAGCTCAGTTGACAAGTTCCTCAACAGCCTCGACGGAACACCGAACAAGACAAAGCTTGGTGCCAACGCTATCTTGGGTGTCAGTCTTGCCATTGCCAAGGCTGGTGCTGCTGAGAAGAACGTCCCTCTGTACGCTCACGTCTCTGACCTTGCCGGCACTAAGAAGCCCTACGTCCTACCCGTTCCCTTCCTAAACGTCCTAAACGGCGGTTCTCACGCCGGTGGCCGTCTAGCTTTCCAAGAATTCATGATTGTCCCTTCCAAGGCCCCTAGCTTTTCCGAGGCTCTGCGCCAAGGTGCTGAGGTCTACCAGAAGCTTAAGGTTCTTGCCAAGAAGAACTACGGCCAATCTGCAGGCAACGTCGGCGACGAGGGTGGTGTTGCCCCCGATATTCAGACTGCCGTTGAGGCTCTTGACCTCATCACTGAGGCCATCGAGCAGGCTGGTTACACAGGCCAGATGAACATCGCTATGGATGTAGCTTCCAGCGAGTTCTACAAGGAGGATGTTAAGAAGTACGACCTGGACTTCAAGAACCCCGATAGCGACCCCAGCAAGTGGATCACCTACGAGGAACTTGCTGCCCTGTACAGCGACCTCGTCAAGAAGTACCCCATTGTCAGCATTGAGGACCCCTTCGCAGAGGACGACTGGGAGGCGTGGAGCTACTTCTACAAGACCCAAGACATCCAGATCGTCGGTGACGACCTGACTGTCACCAACCCTATCCGTATCAAGAAGGCTATTGAGCTCAAGGCCGCCAACTCTCTACTCCTAAAGGTCAACCAGATCGGAACTCTAACCGAGTCCATCCAGGCTGCCAAGGACTCTTATGCTGACGGCTGGGGTGTTATGGTTTCTCACCGATCTGGTGAGACCGAGGATGTCACCATTGCCGACATCGTTGTCGGTATCCGAGCTGGCCAGATCAAGACTGGTGCCCCTGCTCGATCTGAGCGTCTCGCCAAGCTCAACCAGATCCTCCGTATCGAGGAAGAACTCGGAGACAACGCCGTCTACGCCGGTGAGAACTTCCGCAAGGCTGTTAACCTATAAATAGATAGGAACTCGAAAACCCCATACACACACATAATGCGTTACGATAGGAATGACTGGGGGCGGGTGAGCTCGGGTAAAAACGGTCACCTAGATTTTTAGCTACCTAGTTAGTAAATTCAAATGAAATGTCTGAACAATTTGGTTCGAGCTCGTCTCCTCTTGGAGTAGATGCGTGTTTTCCGTGTCTCCTAGCTGCTGCCGTCCGGCCGAAGCCGAATTCTCGGTATTAATACGTGAATTGTTCGGGTGTCTACGCTAATTCTCCGGCTGCATATTGCGGCTCACGAATATGGCATTCTTTGGTACTCTAAGGACAGAAGTAGTTAGGCTCTAGTGTAATGCTTTGGCATGTGGGATTTGTGTGTATATGGGGGAATAGCTAATGATACGGTCGTGAGTACGTACGTGCTATTAATAATACATTTATACAGGGTAATAATAGAGGGAGGTTAAGGTATGACATGTTCGTTTTAGTTGACTATTATGTACGGCTTAGCAAGTTTAATCGATATTAGTCTTTTGGCCGATTTTGTAATAATTTCCAAGAACCATTTATTCTAGCTTCGATTTCGTACTTGATAATTCTTCTTTACGATGGAGGGAAGGGTATTAGGTAGATCCTACCTTTTACGCAGTTACATATTGTTCTAAAACCATCGACTTGGCTACAGTTACAGTGTAAGGTAGGTGGGTGAGTGATGGCTTAACAAGCTATGAGGCTCGTACGGTGACCTACAAGAAACACTGACCCAGTCAAATCTGCTTCTTCAATCTCTAAGGGAAGGACGCGAAAGATGCTAGAAGTATTCGTATATTGACGTGTGGGTAGACAGAGCAATATGGCCAAATTAAAAACTTGTTGGTTTTCTTGAATGGCATGACATTTTATTACTATGACTCTATATCTTTCTATGATGACGACTGGCACGACATGATACGAGATGGATAAAATATAGGTACATAGCTGAGACATGGTACTACATGAGTAGGTGATCAGGCAATGAATCACGGAATGCGTCGATGCAGATAGTAATGATGCAGAATCATTCGATGCTATTAGAAGGGAGCTAATCTAGTCCCAGGAGTAGCTCTATCTCGTTAGACAGCGATCCCATTCGATATCCTCTTATATGCAGCTACCGCTATACGAGTACTCTAAATTACCTGCTCATGATGTTAGTTGAGCTTCGATTGCCAGATGTGATTCATGTAGAAAAAGCGAAAAGCGATTGATCCGTCTCTGTCAGAAGTCCGTTGAATACATTTCAGGCCTAAAGGCCCGATGATATAAGAGGTACCAGAAAATAGTATGAAAAAGTTGTGTATCATCATGAGAAGGGGAGGCGGAATCGAAAATAGAGGAGGGTTGGAAAAGCTTACCTGTATGATGGATTGCGACGTAGAAAATGCTAACTTAACACGGCTGATCTATGAAAGATAAATTCCGGGTCTGATCTCGAGATACACGAATAAGTGCCTCTACAATCATTGTTGACCACGAGAGAAAAAAAAGTTGGGAAGTGAAGAGCTACGAAAATTTGTCTTGGTCTAGGCCAGGCGCTAGTAAATCCGGTAAATCTTCGGATTAATGGACCTTGAAAAAAGGGAGTGGGGCTGTGCATTGACCACCGGAGGGCAACAGAAGCCGACACACAATTTCACCCAGCATCTTTTTCCAAAATTAAATCCTCCAAAAACTTCACTCACGATCACCAACCACCTTAGACAATTCCGACAACCACCACAAGTCGACAAACACATCCGCCAAAATGGGTCGTCTTCACTCCAACGGAAAGGGTATATCCGCCTCTGCGATCCCCTACTCGCGCACCCCGCCCGCGTGGCTCAAGACTACTCCCGCCCAGGTCGAGGAGCAGATCTGCCGTCTCGCCCGTAAGGGTGCTGCCCCCTCTCAGATCGGTGTCGTTCTCCGTGACTCCCACGGAATCTCCCAGGTCCGCATCGTCACCGGTATGAAGCAATTATTCTAATCGCTTACCTCTTAACAAAATGGCTAATCCCAAAATCTAGGTAACAAGATCCTCCGAATCCTCAAGTCCAATGGTACGACATGATTGAATGAAACCCCTCCCCTCGAAGCCAGCGAAAATGCTGCGCAGTCCAACAATCCAAATATCATAGGTGGTTCCTGGAACGCCGTTGTATATAATAATGCCGCTGTTGGTCAAGGCTGACAGTGCGATCTTCATATAGGCCTCGCCCCCGAGATTCCTGAGGATCTGTACATGTTGATCAAGAAGGTGAGCCAACCCGTTCATAAGACATACTATTTTTTAAATACTAACGACAATACTACGTAGGCCGTCTCCGTCCGAAAGCACCTAGAGCGCAACCGCAAGGACAAGGATGCCAAGTTCCGCCTGATTCTGATCGAGTCCCGAATCCACCGTCTCGCCCGTTACTACAAGACCGTCGGTGTCCTACCCCCGACCTGGAAGTACGAGAGCGCTACTGCCAGCACCATCGTCGCATAAGCGTAATCAACGAGCGCGCGCGCGGAGGATGATTTGCATGTGGAATGCCTGGTCTGGTCATGGAGTTCGTGGAAAACGGAATTGCTTTTCGGGCAGCCACAAAAGTGATGAGTGCCTGATTATTCTACTAGTTGCCTGAGAAAGGTGATGAATAAACAATTACACAAGAGATCAATACGAGTCTCGTGAAGAACAACAGTATTTGCTTAATTCCTAGTACTTTCGGTGAATCTAGAATCTGTAATGTCCTAGCAAGTCTATATTAGTCCTCCTAATAATAATCGTTCGTTCCTAAAGCAATGGTATCATCGTGAAAGACGAAATCTATAATGCGGAACCTGTAATGCTATAATTGATTCCTTTTCCCTCTCCCGGAACTCCATTCTCATGCTTGCTTGCCTACTATCTGGCTTAGCCCTCACTACGTTGTCGACTCGAGCTCCTTGGAGCGCTGGATCAAGTATTCGCCTAGAGCGCGTAAGGGATCCTTGGGCCTGTGAACGTAAAACGTAACATTAGCATCCGTACTGTTAACAATTCATAATCGTATAACTAATCCGTAAATAAACCAAACTAAGCAATCGTCCTCGTAAATAGCACATCCCAGCCTCAATCCTCAATCCTCAATAATAATAAAATCTAATGCAGAAAAAAAACTTACCGCTCCTTGGCAATCATCTTCATACCGTCTAGCAACGGACCCGTAACCTTGGAGTTGAGGTACTGGCGCACGGGGGCGCCGTGGGGAGGGGCCTCGGCCGGCATGGTGAACCCCGGGTCCGGGTGCTGCGAGGCGGCGCGCGAGGAGGAATTAGTTTCTTGCTGGCTGTTGGTTGCGCGGAGGGGCGTGCCGGTACGGGCGGGTGGTGCGGTGGTAGCGGTGGTGGCGGCGGCGGCGGCTAGGCTGGGGCTTGGTGCGTTGGAGGGCGTTGTTGCGGATGCCGGTGCGGGCGCGGTTGTGGGTGCGGCGGCGTTGGTTGTGGTTGTTGTGGGGGCTGGGGACTGGTTGAGGAGAGAGGGTTGGTTAGTCGATTGATCGATTGGTAAGTTTGGTTTGGTTTGGTTTAATTCGGTTTAGGGGAGGGAAGTGTTTTATGCGTTAGGCAGACATGGAGCTTGGACTACGTACTGCTGCTTGTTCGGTGCTAGGAGCGAGAGGTGGTTGTTCAATGGTCATAGCTGCTGTGTCTCCGGTAAGAGATGTTGTTGTTGTTGGTGGTGGTGGTGGTGTTGCTGTGTCGGCTGTCAGGGCTGGTTGCCCGTAGACGTGAGGTACGGGGATAGGCGTCTGGCGGATCTCGTCGGCCATGTTTACAGCGGGTTTACTAGTACTGTTGTAGCTGTGGAAAAGAAGAATTGTTGGGGTGGTGGTGATGGTTGATGGTTCGTGGGGAATTTCCAAGAGCTTAGGATGTGGAAATTTGGATATAGTATGTGTACCTAATGTACTTACCTTATAGAGGTACAATCAATGTCGCACTTTCTAAGCAGTAAGCAGTAGTACTGATTTATAGGAAGTACTTTCTCTATACAAACCTCAATCCCGTGATCACGCGTTTCCACTCTAGTTCCCTGCGCTAAGAGAATCCGCGTCTCGCCACGCGTTTCATTCTATGAAGTCATCTTTTGTCTTTTTCTCCCTGCAACTTCATCCAAGATGCATCGCTTGTGGGATGCGCAATAATGGACGCTTTTCTTATTCGGAGAGCACCCCAATTGAAAGATGAACGTGCTCATGCGACGGATGAGCCGCCTTCTAAGAGAGCTAAGAGGGATGAGGGTCGCGTGGGCGCTGAGGAATCAGATGAAGACCTTCGGCCTAGGAGTCCACCGTTGAAACGCTTGCCAGTGGTGCGGAGAGCAGATACTCTGGTTTCAGAGCTTGGTGATGATGATACCCCGCAGAATTCGGAGGCAGAGGTAGATGCAGAAGCTGACGTACCGAGGCGGACTGCCATTGAGGATTCACTGCCCGAAACCAAGTCTGGAAAAGAAGCCTTGGAGGAATATGAAAGATTCAGAGCGTCACAAGACGATGGAAGCTCTGCATCTGCTGCGTCGAGACTAGATTCGAGGAAGTGGGTGAGAGGTAAGACGTCACTCTATGTGGATGCTTTTAACCTCGCTCTTGGCACCGTTCTCGACGAGGAATCTCATTTATTCGATGACAAGGAAATGTATATTTTTGGTCAATGGAATAAGTTAAGCTATGACGCCCAATTCCTGTACGTGACATATGCAGCTCATTCTTCTATGATTATCTCTTCTGACCTGGAATTGTAGATACGTGCGGCTATTCCTCAGGAAGACTGCATCGTGGCATCGTATCGCTCGTCTACGTTATCACGATGATATTTCAGATACTGAGGCAGCTGTTGGTGAATTACAGGAGAACCGGGACTTACCAGCCAGTTCTTCCGGTCCTAGTCCTACCTTTATATCTACGGATCCGGAGTCTGATTCTTTGGCTCAAGATCAAATTTTGCTTAGTGACAATTTCACTTTTGCAGATACATCAGAACAGTATATTACCAGTGTCGAAGAAGCTGTGGAACTCCTAAGCTTAGACGAGGTCAAAGCCTTGGCTAAAGAGGCCAAGGTGCAAGGCAAGAATAAGGCCGAGCTTGCAAGATCTATTTGCAGAATGAGTAATCAACAAGCAGGCCTCTTTTCTTTAGGCCTTCGCCGATCTAGCACTATTGTTTCCGTCGACTCGCCAGGTCGTGATACACCAGAGGTGGACTCACCAGCCGCAGATCCTAGTAAAGATTCCAATAGGAGAAAGCATTTCTTGGATAAAATCTTAGCTACAGCTGGACCTTGTATAAGGCTTTCCTTACCCGTTTTCAAATTATTCGAGAGGGTTCACCTAGTCTTTTATAGGTCTACCGAATGGACAGAGAAGTCTCTGATTACGATTATTCTTGCAAAAATATCAAAACGTAATTTCCCCAAATACGTCGTTAGCAGGTCTGCAAATATTTTTAACTCGAGGACTCAATTGTTGGAATTCGAGACAGCTATGAGGAATGAATACGCCGTTGACAGTATTTTGGAGTTTAACGGACCCGTCACAGAGGTGGCCTTTCGAAAGGTGATAGATGTTTTTGAGAAGATATACCCAAGATGGAAGACTCTTCTTCATGAGGAGCAGGAGAAAGAGGAGAGAGCCTATGAATCTGGAGAAGGCGCTTACTTGAGACGGCTAAATCCTGCTCACCCATACACACGAATCGTTCATAAAGCAGCCCACGTTTTTGGCCGGCTGAAAGAACATCAGCAGGAACATGCACTTCTGACCGAGTTACTTGACCAGCGCCTATTCCACTTGGCTCGTCGGGGTTCTTGGTATCAACGAAAGGCTCTGCTGGAGGAACACTATATGCATGCTTTGGAGACCGATCCTACCTATAAGGATTCAGACCTGCAGAAAAAGCATTGGAAACGCATTGCAGCAACTACCTGTGAAATTGCCTTGGAGGATCGAGATTGCCATATGATCTATCATTATGATATACAGAAGAGGTTGGTTAAACTTGAGAAGCAGCTCAAAATTCCAAAACGTTTACAACATGATTTCGGTCACGTCCGACTGCAGAAACCTGAAGAGCATTTTGTCGAAGGAATTCAGCTGAAGAAGGATGATGTAATGGGCAAGAAGGGGAAGGGAGCGAGTACTAAAACTATATGGGTAGACGAGGCTGAGGGCGGAGGCGAGTGTAGCGTGGAAGCCATGTGTTTAAGTTGGTATAGGGACCAGGGCTGGAAAGGCTACCATGCCGAAGGAGGTATCATAAGGACGCTCTTCGCGTACCTCTTTTTCGATATACTCTTCCTCTACATACCAAATGTCTTTCAGACCGAGTACCAGACGTGCCCGCTGGATCTGCACACCGACGCCTTCTACCCCACCAGAGCGTCTGAGATCAATCACCGCCTAGTCGAGATCGCAAACGGTGATGCGGTGAAGCTGGTCGAGGAGGTTGACCGGCGGGAGCGCGATAATCGTACTTGTGTCGTCGGGCTCAACTGGGATTACGAGTTGGAGGACCTCCTCGAACTGGCCGGCTGCTTTGACGGCGCAGCACTAGCCGCCATATGCAAGGTCATGGCACAGGAATATGGCCAGAGAGGCGGCGGCATACCAGACCTGATCCTCTGGAGGACAGAACCGAGCAAGGAAGTGATGTTCGCTGAGGTTAAGAGCGCCAATGATCGTCTCAGTGATACGCAGAGGCTGTGGATTCACGTTCTTACCGGCACTGGCGTAAGGGTGGCTCTATGCAATGCCGTGGCAAAGGAAGTCAGGGAGGTCAATGGAGATGACAGAAGCCAGTAAAATGACCGCGCAAACGAAAACAGAAGAGATAAAGGCTAGATCTTTCTCCACGATGGCTTTATTAGTGGCGCGTTGGTGGCGTTCACGCGTGGGGGATGCGAGCATGTACGGGGACATCTACGAATAAGTCGGAATTTCGCCTCAAGCAATCTGTATGTATGCCCTAGATGCAGCTTCGAAATCATGCGAGACTTACATGAGACGCAAGCCAGGGAAGAGATGATTTACTACCGACGCGTTCCGATTAGCTAGTGTTGTCCCATCCAGAGATCGCGGTAAAACGACAGACGAATCAGCATTATCGCACGAGTAGCCACCGTCAGGAATAGGTAGTCAGCTACTCAAGAATATGACATGTGCTATCTACTCATGACTCTCGTCTGCGAGATTTCTTAATTAGCTGGTCTTGTTGACAGTGTCAAAAACGAATCGGAAATAGGAAATATCTCACCTTCACCTCTATCTACTTACAGCCTCTCACACAAAATGGCGGTCAATAACTCACGAAGCGGAGCCCTGCGACTCGAATGCATGTATTGAATGCCAATGTGGATACTCTAGTAACCGAAAGAAGCGCGGAGTACATCATGATGCATCGATATACTCATCATACGCCTCGAGACAAGATGTACTTGTTCTAAATAGGCGTGTCCTTAGGTGTATATCCTAACCCCTTTAAATTTTTGGTAACGACATCACAATTGTTACCAACTCCGGGTATTCGTTCTTGAGAGCGAAGAAAGACGATGTAAGTGTGCCTCTAACGGTGGCAAATGTAATATACAGCCAACAGCCAACAGCTAGAACGGAATTATACGCACGTATACCTACCAATACTTCAGCTCGAGATATCTTACGCGTAAGAATAACTGCCGTGATAGTTTAGATGACTGCCACGTATCTAGTTTTGCTCGTAACTCTCTACGCGCTTGAGCAAGCATACGATAGAAGCGTACCATAGGGCACTCTGGAGCAAAATGTAAACAAAGATCCTAGAGATCGACCCGGTTAGTTGACGGCACCGGCTCCTTCTCCAGTGTAGATTGGCCTATCTGTAAAGCCTTGTCTGTCTGGACGAACTAACAGACGCGTGACCTCATGGAGTAGGATCTAGTTGATCCCGTGTAGACACTAGAGCCAGTAGTCGATGCTTGACATTACCATTCCAGCCTATGGCGAATTCGAATGCTACAGCGGCATTCTGCATCGTCTACTAAAATCCAATAAATATATCTCTACTCTTAACAACAACAAACAACTCCACGACATCGGCACTGCGATAATCGCCACGCACTAGCTAATACTAGCTCCATCTCTGTTGACGACCAGGTGAGATCCACGTTGCGCCTAACATAGGATTCGGTACTTGTTCGTCGTCTTCCTAAAGATTATATCGGAATCCGGTTACAGGTAAAGACCAACACTCGATGACATGGCCAAGCTATCTCCAATACGGTTTATTGTCCGCATATTGAGACCCCTTAGCTCGTGCACTAATGTTCAAGTTAGGCGCAATCGTTCCCTGCAGGATAGCAACGAAACCAACATCTTTAGCAACCATGAGCAACCATGCCGACGAAGCTGTATGATAAGCGCGCAAAGGCGACTAAGGATGAACCTTTTGAGGAATAGTTGGCGTGGGAATCAGCAAGGTTAACCGGCGCTTAGATGGGGGCACGGCGCCTCCACAGCATTGGGTCACTTGGCAAATCTGACTGGCATAGAAGGTTTCTAGACGAACTTCACTTCGAGTTAGAAGGATTGTTTATCGTTTTGATGGCCTCGCATTCTGGTATCATGGCTAGACAGACCCCTCTTTTGGCTGGCGCCCATACTCTAGCCTCGTAGAAGCGCGCGCTGGGGAGGCGTCGAATATGAGACTTAGAAGGGCTTTCATGGTAAATTGTAGACTCCAACCCCCCCAAGGCAGACTCCGTTGAGGACCTCCTAGCCAACGACAGCTCGAGGATGTCTTCGATCTATGTCGTGCATCATGTGGCGCGCGCTCCGCTCAAGTCTGGCTAAGACCAGGAGCCGCAAAATAGAATAAAGGATCTATTCATGGGAAGTACACGACCTTTAATTGAACAAAACAAGCGAAAAAACAAAACAGGCATGGCGAGCCGCGCGCTGGATGAAGCAGGAAGCAAGAAGCATGAAATGTAGAGTAATACTTGAAGATTGTTGAAGATTAGAGAGAAGGGGAGAGAGAGAAAGAAGCAAGAGAAGACTGAAATCTGTACATAAAATGAGACCTCGCCCCCAGGCTTCACGATCATGTCTTTGAATAGCAACTGTTGAGTAATACACAGCGGGAAGAGTCTTGGCTAAACTCATCGATAATCTGAAACGACGTTTCTGAAAATATCTTACCTCTATCCACGTACGACACTACTACATAATATCTGCATCTCCATCTGCATCTGCAATCAATATCAGCATCAGCATCAGCATCCTTTATCGACGGTCATCCCGTGATCCACTCTTCAGCTCATTCAGCTTAACCTCCAATTACCAAGTAGAGAAGCTGACGGTAACACAAATTTTACTTTTTGTGTGCTTTGTATACTTTGTGTACGGAAGGTTTACTGTGGTAAACTCAGCCACAGGGGTTTATTGCCGCTGAAGTTTTAAGTTAAGGTGAGTTGTGAATGGTGATAATTATGGTATTGGAGATGATAAGTGGTTGTTCTCCGTGACGGGAAAGCAAAATAAAAAGACAGGGGGGGAGAAGAGGCCGAGGGGGAAAGATCAAATCAGAAGAGTGGGCAACGGAACGGCGCTAATCAGGAGCCAAATATAGCAAATACACAGTAGCGGCAGCGCTTAAACCCAAGTACCGAATACCTCCGAACCACTTAAACTCACCAGCGAGATCCCGGGATATTGCGCCTGGCAAACCGCACCGACCGGGGGCCTTTAACCAATCAGATATAAGATTAGCTACGCACTTAAACAAAGCTGGCTTAAGTCGACGGTAACCCCAGTACAGGTAACTTATACCTTTGGGAGCCTTTTTTTATTATTATTATTATTTTATTTTATTTTCTCGGGGTGAATCATTTTAAACAGGATGTAAGTCAAGTGCCTCCTCTCTCTCTTTCTTTTATGTATATCGTTTAGTGTAAACCCCCCTTCAATTCTTTACATAACTACCTCCTTATTACAATCTTGACCCAGCTTTTAACATAACCTAGACTAATCAAACTAATTAAGAAATAGAGTCAGCAGCACAGGGGAAGAAAAAGATACCTACAATTACTCAATTGTACATTACAATTGTATATACAATTGAATCTATAAAAGGGTTGGTTCTTTAAAGGCACCTGATCCCTGTCGCCTATTCGTAGCCAATCCGCAGCCAATCCTGAGACGCCTTCACTTTACACTTCTACCACTGGCTCATTACTGCCGCTGTCTTCGACTAAGCTTTAACCTTGCTCTACTCTTCGCGCCAACGTTGACTACTTTATTCCATATTATTTATTATTTTTATATCTCTCCACCAGCAGGACCACAAGTTAACCTTTCTTGTTCAAATACTGGAATTCGTTTACAGCGCGTACGGGTAATAAACATAGTTAGGGTACTGTTACCTATTGTCACCAGAACGAAACAGACGCCTACCCCGTCCTGAGCCCTCGCATACATACCCGGGGACTTACTCCTGGAGCCACACCCCCCTACCTTGGCCTTACCTTGGATCTGTCACATCGATTCTAGTGTCCCTAACCGGGAAGTAGCTTAGCTTCCCGTTGGCGCCTTTGTCTCAGCATCGACTAGGTATTCTGCCACGGTTGCTTGCCCATCCCATTATCCCTGTCCACCACGCAGCAACCTTATCCTTGACCCGCCAGAGTTACATATTATAACAACCATCGCTCCCTCTCACCCACGACGCACATCTTCTCGACTCTTCCTCTATCACGGCGACTTCTCCGCAGCTCCTAGGCATCCCGTCTTCTCATCCTTCCGAGTCATTCACTTGACTTGAAGCTACTCAACTACTCAACTACTAAACAACCAACTTTCTACTTAACCACCACTTAGACACCATCACCATGCCTTCAGCTAAGCCGAAGCTCGCGCAGTTGAAAACGCCGGTCACGGCAACCTTCCCTTCGGAGCTCTCTGCTCTATCAGCCAGGACACCACTCTCCGCCGTCCCGGACTTTATCAAGGAGGAATTCCCTAATAGCGCAAAGACTCCTATCACTCCACCTACAGCCTATATGGATTTCCTAAAGGCTATGTCGATGCCCTCGCCAGTTATTACAGGGAAGAGATCAGGAACGAGCAGTCCTGAAGATGACTCAACTCAGGATTCGGTCCCATCGACCGCAAGCAGCGAACAGACAGACTGCTCTTGCAAATGCGGTAACCATAAGTCACTAGGCGGTATCCCTTCAAGCCCTCTTCCGGGTCAGCCCATGTCTGCACCACCGGCGGGAGTGACATCGTTCCCGAGCCTTCACATGCCCCCATCACCCGCTGTATCAACGATAGATTCGCCACTGAGCTCAACAGCACGATCTCCGTTCAGCGCAAGATCAGTACGGTCGCCGTTTGACTGGGAAGCGGCATTGAAGTCTAGGTACTCGCAGGGTTGTAGAGCACACAAACCGTCAGCCAAGAGTGTACGTCATATTCGGGAAGTTGTCACAAGGACCGTTACATATACGCCAAAGATGGAGCCGGCACCGAAAGGCAAGCGGAGGAAGACAACGCATCTAGACTGTTCTAAAGTCCAAGCAGCGGCCGCAGCGGCAGCAGCAGCCCGAACGAACACAGTTTAAGCATTTGATTAAACCATCTTACCAAATTACTCAACTACGAACGAACTAAAGTCATGGCACCGCCCCCCCCTTAATTCTATTTTGGCCTTTGCGCCAGGAATTGACATTTATTTTTCCATTTGTTCATATCTATCACTCCCTCTCTCACTTACTTACTTACTCGCTCATTCATTAACACGCGCAACTACCAACTTACTCACACACACACTCTCTCTCTATTTCTCTATCCTTCTCCGATATACTTATCAGTATCAAATTAACAACAACAACAACAACAACGAAGCCACTGTTGGGATCGATGGACCATTAATCTCCATCGGACATCCCGTTAAAAAAACGGTGGGAAAATGACTTTATGGCTTCTTACGATCTAGATTCCATGGCGTATCTGGCATTACAAAGAGGGGGGAGGGGGGAAACATTTTGGGTGGATTTCTGTTAAGAAACTATGACGGAGTTTATTGGCGTTTTGCTGCTGGTGGGCATCAGCAATCCTGGGAATCGGAGGCTTGCGCAGCGATACCACGGAATTTTTGGATTATTATTATTATTACAATTTTTTTTTCTTATTCTTCTTTCTTCTTCTTCTTCTTCTCCTCTCTATAGGTTCAGATGTGGTGGTAGTGGTGATGGTAGTGGTGGTGCCCCCTTTTTTTTTTTGGAAAGGGGACCAAGAGGAACGTGGAGAGGAGGGAACAAGCAAGAAAGCAAGCAGACAAGCAGACAAGTACCGATAGGTTACTGTGTGATAGGATAGGACCGGGTCGAAACTTGGTGTAGCCAACATTCACGCAATTAACATGGCATCCCTTAGCTTAGTAGAGCTTAGTGCCCAAACAATATCAATACGTGTTTGACGAAGAATTGGCTCTATAGGCGGGCCCTAACGTGAAGAGATTTCCCTTTTTCTGTAGGTGTTTTTTGTTGTTTATTTATCTGTATGTGTGTATGTATGTATGTTAGGTATGTATACGTATGGATATGGTTTTTTTTTTTGGTTTTGTATGGAGTTAGTATGGAGTCTCAGACGGGAAAACGGACGGTGGACGTTGTTTTCCTGTCTGCCCGCTAAGGCGACCTAGAATGCGGCCGGGAGGTTGGGCTCGTAAGCGTTGACGATTCGTCGGCTTGGCTTTTGGCCAAGTTTCGGTCAAGAGCGCGGTCGTCGTTGGTGGCCCTCCTTCCGCCGCCTCCGCTTCGCTAGTTACGATAGGTAGGTAGGTAAGTAGGCAGGTATAGGTAGGTATATTTTCTAGATTTCTGGCTCACACGCTCTCATGCTCGCACACACTCGCACAACACACGGACTTTTATTTTTGTTATTATTATTTTTTTCTTGTGACCACGCGAACTAGGGAGCCAACCGAGATTGAGAAGGTGTTTGACCAAGATCGCCCACGCGCACACACGCACACACTTTGTTTTTGGTTTTTGGTTTTTGTCTGTGTGTGTGTATATTTTTCTTATGATATTACGTATTGTGTTATCACGAGGTGGCTGTTTCAATGGAGGGGACTTACGAGGCCTCGTGGACACGACATATTACCTACCTACTTAGATACTAGGTAGGTGACTTTGTTCGAGAGAGTCCGGCTGATTATACCCGTGTTTACGTATGTATACTTATACCTGTGGTGCTCTTACTACTATTACAACTACCTATCTACATAATATATATCGTATCGTCTTGTCTTGGCTATTATCATCATCATTATTATTATTATTACTTATTTCTCTTACTCGGATTCTAGAAATATTCCCACGATGTTATACTCACTTACACTTAGATACCTACTTGGACTTTACATACCTACTTGCCTATTACAATGTAAAAGGTAGGTAGGTAGATATGTGTATGTAGGTCTTATATGTAGGTAGGTACCTTGGTAACTCGCGACGCCCGACTGCGGTGGTCTTTTACACACGATTGGTCGGTTTGTGCGTCCCGGCATCCTGGGACTTGCATGGCGGGGCTCGACGAGGGGTGACAAGAAAAAAAGGTAGACTAATTCAATTTTGTGTTAGCGTTCGCCCTTTCGAAACTGGAACAGAAACTTTCAACTATTACAGCCGGCGCGCAATCTTCTTTAAGCGCTGGATCCATCGCCCGAGGTCGTAACCCCATTGGCTAAACCTTAGCCTTAGCTTTTAAGGGGGGTTATGGGGGGGGTTATGGGGTGTGTCATGCAGCGGTTCGAACTCGGCTCTCGGCTCGCTATTGGCTGTTTGCGGGTCCAGTTAAGCGCCCGCGACCTTTTGCTATTAAATTGCACTTTTCCTTTCTTTCATACAGTAACACTCTACATTCTACATTCTACATACTACATTCTACATACTACCTCTACATACTACTATTTCTCGTCCCCAAATCTTCCTCCGTCGCCCCCCTCTTCTCTCAACGGGGGTTTCGATCCCGCTAGAGACAGACGGATGGATAGAGATATATATACAGGTAACATATATGAGTTGCACCTTGACTGACAGCAGGGTAAATACCTACATAACATAGCGTACAGGGGGAAAGGGGGGAGCGTGGGGTTTTTCTTCTTTACTGCGTTAAGAATATAAAGAACAACCCCAAACCAATCCCAATCCCAATCCCAACCCCATTCTCTCGACCGGCGGTGAGGATGTAGATGGGAAAAGCCTTTATTTTTGTTTTGTTTTGTTTTTACCTACCGCGACGCGGACGGCCGCTGCCGAAGTGGCCATCCACCGGGGGCAAATGTTTAAGAAGTGCTTCTCTGCAAACGGCAGCCAGGCAAAAACATACATACACACACACCCGCGGAAGTGGATGACGATCGCGCCCGGCCTTGCCAACGGGTAAGTAGATTGGGATCTTGCTTTGCCAAGACCTAGAACCCCAAATGTGACGATGCCGGCTGCTTTCTTGATCACGAAGGCGGGTTCGAGCACCGCGACTATACATACATACATACATACCTAACATACCCTAGGTAGCGAGGTAGGTAGGTAGATATATACCAATGGGAGAAAAGAAACAAGCAAGCAAGCACAGACTCGACAGAAATTTTGTGCTGCTTCGGTCTCTACAACTCTCGGACGGCAGCACCAGGCGCAAAAGCGCAGTTGGCTGGAGGATTCCCGTGGAAACGGTAGCAGTGCGCCGTTTGTCACGCATCGCATCGGGGCAGGCGAAAAAAAAAATGTGACGGGGGCCGCAGTAGTCTGTCTGTCTGTATACCTTACCTTCTCCTCTTCCTCCTGAATATCCCGTGCCGTAACTCTTAATTTTGTCTAGATCAAGCGGTCGGGCTTATCCTTCTTGCGTATGTTTTTCTATCTAAAGCCCGTTGCCTTTTTCTCTTGTTCGATACCTTCATTATATTAATACTGGATATATACGTACGTATGTATATATGTATGTATGTATGTATATGCGTGTGCGCTTGCGTGCGTGCGTGTGTTGTGCGTGATATATTATATCCGAGTGCCATCACATAGACCTATTAAACTGGCCATGTATCCGTATGTTGGGAACATACCTTAGATAAATACATAGCTAGCAGCAAATAATCGGCCTGCTGTGAACTCGGAGATACCTATCACAATCCCAATCGCGAGATCCCTAACCCTGGTAGCTACCTGTCCCAATCGACACGTTGTTCTGGAAGAGAGGAGCAAAGAAGATGGTTATTCTCCGACACGACCAACCTCGTCCCGATCGTCGCCCCTGTGCCCCAACCGTGGGACCTATAAGTCCCGTTATTATGATTATCCGCCTGCACCTCGAAAGACACCGCTTAATAAAAGCCTCAGAGGATCCACGTCAAGATACCGATATTTATTTATTTACTTAATTATTTTTTTTTTTCAAGACGCGCAGAACGGAATGCAGAATACTTTTTTCTAGGGTTGGTAGGTAGCTAACGTATACTATACTACATTGTCTAGTATAGTTAATATATATAAGCGATCGCTTTATATTCTTAATACTTTCGACGAGAGTATTCTTCTTCATCGGAAGCTGCTATTTCGTTCTTGTCTATTGCTCTTATATACCTAATATATGTACGTCTGCGGCAAAGACACATGCATGTAAGATGAGGATTTTTTGAGATATCATCTCTAGTGTATGTATTCCCCCCCTTAAACAAGCAAGCAGATTAAACCCTTTCCGACGCTCTTCTCGCACGTGGGAGAAAACACACTTATCCTGGTTCCGACGGGATCGCCCCCCCACGCGGATGTGAAACGACGCGTTGTGGATTCGTGATGGGATGGGATGGGATGGATGTAGATATGGCTGGGGGGAGGGGAAGGGGGTGTTTTCTGACATACATTAGATACATCCCTACGTATAAGATAGGGTAGGTAGGTAGGCTAGGTTAGGTGCTTACTTGCGTGCTTACGCCCACTCGTCTCGCCGCAGCCTCGCATGTCCTAGGTGTCTCGTGCCTGCGGGCTCGCTCGGACCTCTTTTTGACTTGGGATTTTTTTTGCTCGCAGTTGGAATGAGGGAGGGTTTTTGGTGAGTAGAAAGCGGTGTTGTTAACTTGGTGGTGGCTATTTGTGTCTTCTGTAAGTCTTGCCAGTATAGGTACCTACCTAGAAATTACAATATCCTCGGCCGACGAGAGAGGTACCCAGATAGGCATCTTTCTCCCGCTTGTCGGAAAACTGTCAGACCGGCTCATCGCCGACAGCGTCTCGCTTATCTTGGCTTGGAAGCTGCGCGTGAGGCTTTTCGGCTCATTCCGCTAGGGAGGTGCAATATTTCGTGTTTACCTACGCATAGGGTATCTTAGATATCTGCCTTGCGTTGTCTTCTTAGAAACATGTTTAGGCTTGTCTGACTCATGTATCCCTGTGGGCTGAAGAGCTGCCTGGTTGTTGACTCCACTTGTACTATTATATCGTGGCGATGAGTCCTACGTACATGGTAGTTTTCTCGCCGTCGAAGTGCGGGACTGTTGTTGAGAATGATACTAGAACGGGCAGGAACCCGAGAGTATATCGGGACGAATGCCGTTGCT